GGAGGGGGGTTGCGGGGGAGGTGCTGGAGGGTGTTAATGCGGTTGTGTGGGAGGCGGTGGTGGGGATTGAGAGAAGGCTGGATGAGCAGAGTGAGGGGGTGGAAGATGTAGAGGCGCCGTAGATGTGGTCGGTGGGATAGAACAGGAGGGATTTCGGCTTGCGTTACCTTGGCATGGATGCTAGATGGAAAGTCAACATTTAGAAGGGGAGCTTAGAGCAAGACGGGTAGACCAGACTACGATGTAGACAGCTAGATGCTATTGATTAACTTAATCTGAACATAAAGACCGAACGGATGATTTGTACGGTTAACGACAGAAAAGAATGCCACGGCCTCCACAACAAACAAACCTTACCAGCCTAGCCCGACGCTGCCTTGGACATACCCGGGAGCTCCGTAAGCCCTACAAGCAGTTAGCATTTGCATCGTTGACTGCAGGGTATCTCGAAACGTACATCCTTCAGTTGGCTCATTAACAAAGTCCTTGACGGTGCACTTGTTGGCCGTGGTCATAGCCTGCTTTGTGATAGAGCCGCAGCCGTCGTAGAAGCACTCGGACTTGTCCATAGCACGCTGGAGTGCATCGCCCTTCCAGCCGAACATATAATCAGCGTGGGTGCCATATCCACTCGTACCCTCGAAGCTCCACACAAAAGGGTTAGGTGCGCCCGAAGTCCACATGCTGTTGAACTTGGACGTATCCCAGACGGTCTCGTACGTCACCTGTGGCACACGAACGGGGTGAGACGACGGGCATGCCGGCGCGTTCATAAATCCGTCGGACTTGATCGTGTTGTACATGTGAGACTGGTGGTCCGGGCTATCGAGATTCTTGCCGTCCCAGCATCTAGGCTCGATTAGCATAGCTTACATCTCGGGGGAGGCAGGTTACTGACGCGGGGAAGTGGTGGGTAGTGAAGATACCGCCCGTGCAGGGCTTGGTGGGGAAGTCGGCCATCTCTGCACCTCGGTTTTGGCCTTGCAGGCATTGGTAACGCAGGCCGACATGCGGCTTTCCGGTTTCAGTCGGGCTGCCTACCGTCATGCGAAAGCCCTATAGAGTATTAGATTCTCATACGGCACTCAAGCATTTCGGTTGGGCTTACTGGTTGGAAGGATTTGACAGGCTGCGTCTTTATGTTGTCCCTGGATAAGTCGAACTGGGTATAGTAGACGGTAAGTCCACCTGTGACTCCGTTCGAACCCCCCAAAAGGGGCTGGACAGGAATAACCGGCACACGATGGTAGGAGCCATTGGTGGGATGCTTAAAGTATAAGACGGCAGTCCAGTAGTTGGAAAAGTCCTCGGACATTTGGCAGGTGGTGCAGGTGGCCCTCTCGCTGACGTCGCCCGTCATAGTAGCGTTGAAGGCATTTCCACCGACGATGTGGTGGACATGAGCGGACGGGAGCATGCCTGGCTGGACGGCGGGGTCGAGGCGCTGAATGGTCAAAGTTGAGCATGGAAAGCGAAGGCCGGCCTGAACGGACCCGACGAGGGCGAGGGCTGTGGAGAGCGACTTCATCTCGACGGTGGGATTGGTCTTGACAGTACTAGCAGCAGGAAGCTAGAGGTGTGCAGGAGAAGGCAAAGGAGGAAGGAGGTGCATTCCCGTGTTGACTCGACTCTTATAAGCTTGGATCTGCCTTGAACTCCCTGCATCGGCAGTTCTACCAGAAAACTATATTCTCTTCATATTCAATACCTGGTTGGAAGCAGCAACGAGTAGATAGGATGGCGTAGGTCTACTGCGAATCAGCTCATGTCCGCATTACCAGGATTACCATCTGGTGTTATGGCGATTTAATTGCACGGACGGCAAATATCCAAGGTGATTGTTAGGTGCCGGCAAATGGCCGTTCTATGTCCTGCTCATGATCCCTACCTGTTCATTAGCACATAGAACTACCGCGAGGACATAAAGTGACTTACATTATCGTGACTTTCTTGGGCTTAGCGGCTTTAGGTATAATCTAAGAACCTAGCCCCTAACGATCGAGCGGTACTGAAGTTCGACAGGATATCGGTGACGGTGGCATTTGGGGAGTTCGGATCTCTATAAGTCCTGGTGCGTCCGGTGCTTCCGAGCCGCCGCGCCTCGACACCAACTTATTGCCTGAAGTTGAAAAAAATGCGGCGTGTATATGCCCAGAAGCTCTCGTAGGAAATGTCGATGTACATAAGTTCCGGAAGAACAGATCAAAGGTGGAGCACGGGATCGGCACTAGACGCACAGACCGCACCTTATTTTGTATGGAGCTTTTCGCGACGAAGCGCGCATTCATCGTTCCGACAGCCCAACATGGCACCGGTACCCATGCCTTCGGCTCTAACATTCGAGCTGCTGGGAAAGTGCTCTGTAAGAGGCTGTCTAATCATATGCAACTAAGTGTCTAATTCCCGTTAGGTTACCAAAGCCCGCGCCGCGACCCTCCATCTCCCTCATGGGCCCGTTCCGCTTCCCATGTTCATGCCGGTGGCCACTCAGGCTTCACTGAAGGGCCTCACGCCAGAACAGCTGGAGGAGGCAGGATGCCGGCTGTGCCTGAACAATACGTACCATCTGTACGATATTTCCTCCATTCCATCGAGTGCGCGATTTAACATTCGGGAGAGGCCTTAAGCCAGGACAGGCAGCATTGGATGCAATAGGCGGCGCGCATAGACTCCAGTCATGGCCGCACAATATCCTCACAGGTGCTTGCCCCATATCCGTACCGCGAGTGCGATCCCAGTGCTAACAGTTGTAGATAGTGGTGGGTCGGTGACCCATCCAACTTTGTCGACGAACGGGCTGTAGCTGACTCCGGGGTCAGCTTCCAGATGGTTTCACTGCTCAAGCTCGCACAGATCACAGAAGAGGGGGTTCGTTTCCTGAGTCCGCATGACGGCACACCTATGTATGTAAAAGTTGCTCGCACCCGGGCCGTTATAGTCGCTGACATGGCCAGGCTTCTCACTCCAGAACACTCGATATCCCTCCAGAACTCCATCGGCTCCGATATCATAATGCAGCTCGATGATGTCATCGTAACGACCTCCCCCGACCTCGTGCGTATGAAGGAAGCAATGGAGCGCTCCGTCCGCTGGCTCGACCGGTGCATCAAGGCGCACAAGTACCCCGAACGGCAGAACCTCTTCTGCATCATACAAGGCGGACTGGACCTGGATCTTAGGCGGGAATGCACGAAAGCGATGGTGGCACGGGACACTCCTGGCGTTGCTATTGGCGGTTTGTCCGGGGGGGAAGCGAAGGACGAGTACTGCAAGGTGGTGGATACGTGTACTGGGTTGCTACCGGAGAAGAAGCCGCGATATGTGATGGGAGTAGTAAGTATTTGGACCCACCTGGAGGAGCTATTGCTGAGTCTGGCAGGGATATCCGGAAGACCTAGTCGTCTCCATAGCGCTCGGCGCCGACATGTTCGATTGCGTGTGGCCAACAAGGACTGCTGTAAGACACGTTCCCCCAAGGTCTATCTCGAAACAGCCAATACTGACTATTGCCAGCGATTCGGAAATGCAATCACGGACCAAGGCGTGTTGAACATCCGAAATGCAGCATACGCGGAGGATTCCGGTCCCATCGAAGAAGGCTGCCGGTGCGTGTGCTGTCGGTCACGGGAGGATGGTGGTCTGGGAATCACTCGAGCCTACATCTACCACGTCACGGCAAAGGAGACGGCGGGAGCGCATCTCTTGACGATGCACAACGTCCACTATCAGCTCAATCTGATGCAGAGGGCTAGGGAAGCGATTATCGAGGATAGATATCCCGCCTTCCTGCGGGACTTCTTCGCTAAGCTCTACGACGACAAGAGCAAGTATCCCGGATGGGCAGTGACTGCATTGAGGGGGGTGGGAGTAGATTTGCTGAGCGATTGAACGTGGGCGCAGATAGATGAGAGCTAGCCATAGACTCCTCAGAATCCCAACCGCTCTCCAGCGCAACACCTGCAGCGATGAGACTCGTGCATCTCCTGCACGATGGCACACGTGAACGGGTGGCTGACGTGCGCCTGGCTAGCCCCAGCCCTATGCATCGCCGATTTTGGCGGCTCGCTTAATCCTGTTTAGTTGCCTCGCCAGCCGACGGGCAGCATGGCGCCGTCATCACCGCTGCACCCTTTATGCACCCTTCCTTTCACCACAACCACCACCGCCCCGCAAAAGTCTCCAGCGCAAACGAGCACGCGCCGCGTCGCGGCCAGACACGGCCGAAATGCAGAACCACGAGCAGTCTGCGCCGCCGGGCCGCGATGGCCCTCCGAAACCCGCGCGCCCGTCAACAAACAGCGACGCGCACCTCCTTTCGAACCCGCTGAAGCGCCTCTCCCTGCATACCGCCGCGAACACGCCGCTCCCACAGTCGCCGGGCGTGAACTCGCCCAGATACCCCTTCGTCCGCCGCAGCTCCAGCGTCGCCAGCCTGAACCGGTCGTCGTCGCCAGCGCCGGCTCTGGCTAGAAAGTCGTCCGCTTCATCGCTTCGAGGCGACATGCCCGGCACCCCTCGAGCACCCGTGTCGCGCCGGTCGTCCTTCAACCCCAACATGCCGTCGCCAGTCAATGGCAAGTCGCCGCTCGCCACGCAGGTGGAAGAGAAGCCGCCGTTGCGGGCATGCGATATTGCCGAGGACTGCTTCAAGAAAGAGCTGGCGCTGCACGAGGGCATGGCAGGCGCCGCCAATGCGGGCACAATCGTCATAGTCCACGACCAATGCTACGGCCACCGATACTCCAGGCCCAAGGCGTCGAAAGCGCAGCTGAGCACTATCGTGGAGCGACCGGAGAGGATCCTCGCAGGCGTGTTGGGCATATCCGCAGCCTATGTGCGGCTTGGAGAACGCCACTGCGAAGGAAGCAACCCGCCCGCCCCAAATCAGGCCCCGCCCGCGCGCATCCCATTCAAGATCCGCAAGACTGCCCGGAGCGTGGACCTCACGTCTCAAGCAGTCACGAATGTACACGGCTCGAAGTGGATGGAGGAACTTAAGTCGCTATGTATGGATGCTGGGCGGAAGTTGGCCTCCACCGGAAAAGAGCTGGTACGAGATCCGTCAACGGTACCAGGGCAGCCGAAGGAGCAGTTCCATTCCGGCGACTTATACCTCTGTCCGGAGTCGTTGCATGCCCTTCAGGGAGCGCTTGGCGGAGTCTTGGATGCCGTCGATGCCGTCTTCCAAGGCTCTGGCATCGGCAATGCCACATCGCGCGCATTCGTCTGCGTTCGGCCACCTGGTCACCATTGTTCCGCAGACTGGCCGTCCGGATTCTGCTGGCTGAACAACGTCCATGTTGGCATCGAGCACGCCATGTTGAATTACGGCCTCACCCATGCCGCAATCATTGACTTCGATCTGCATCACGGAGACGGCTCGCAGGCAATCACCTGGGAGCGCAACAAGAAGGTGCAAGGCATGCATAAGAATACACCAAACTGGAAGAAGACGTCAATTGGCTACTTCAGCTTACACGACATCAACTCCTTCCCCTGCGAAGATGGAGATGATGCCAAAGTTCAGGCAGCTAGCCTCTGCATCGACAACGCTCACGGCCAATCCATCTGGAATATTCACCTAGAGCCTTGGTCCACCATGGATGACTTCTGGCGAATCTACGAAGAGAAATATTTGATCCTTCTGGACAAGGTGAGGCAGTACCTCAAGCACCATACCAAGCGACTCCGTCAATCTCCAAATCACCCCACTCCGAAAGCGGCCATCTTCATATCCGCAGGTTTCGACGCTAGCCAATGGGAGACGGCGGGAATGCAGCGCCATGCTGTTAATGTACCTACCGAGTTCTATGCGCGGTTTACTCGCGATGTCGTCCGTCTCGCCGAGGAAGCGGGCACTGGTGTAGACGGCCGAATAATTTCAGTCCTCGAGGGCGGGTACAGCGATAGGGCACTCGCGAGCGGCATTCTCAGCCACATCAGCGGCCTCTGTGACGGGCAAGTGTTTTCGGATGCGCGCCGCTCGAGGGGGCTAGCTTTTGACATGCAGCAACGGCTCAATGGCCTGAGCATGCACGATCCGGATTCCCCAATGCCATCCACCGAGTCCGAACTGACCCCGGTCACGTACGACCCTCTCTGGTGGAATGAAACTCAATTGGCAGAACTGGAGAACCTTGTCAACCCGCCGCCAGTGGTTATACCAAAGAAGGTGCGGGCGGGACCTCCGGCACACTTCTCCTCTCCGACCCAGTCTTTTACTGCCAAGGTTGTCGATCCGACCAAGATCCATCGTACAGTTTCCGGGAAGTTCCAGTCCGCCAGCCCTTCTAGAGCACCAACGCCACCCCCGCCAGAAGTTGACTGGGCCACGGCTTCCCATGCTCTCAGTAAGCTGTTGATTCCTTCGGACCGCCAGACCCACAGCTACAGGGCCGAAGAACTAGCCGAACCGAAAGTCAAGAAGGAGAAACCCGCGCCCGTCCTAACATCCGTCCATGTGGATCCATCAGGACGCCAGCTCCGTGGTAGAAGGCCTGTAGCTGCGTACGCAGAGCCAGATTCGGATGACGAAAATGCATCTGTGCGTGCTGAATCTAAGGCAAACCGCCGTAGAACGATTGCCGACCTTCCGCTCGCGCCAGCCGAACCTCCAGCACCCGCTCGATCGGCGTCTCGGCGTATGAGCATTGCATCGAGCATTGGGTCTGTCAGCGGCGAGAGGAGTGCGAGTCGTGCGTCTACTGTCATGCCCAGCCGGCGGAGCGTCACACCAGCGCCGGGGACGAATGGAGTCCAGGTCAAGAAGGCTAGAGGTCCCACTACTGCGACTTCCCGTATCCCGAGGAACCCGCCTCCGGTACCGCGTGTGCCCTCCAACTACACTAATGGAACCGCTTCATCGAAAGACAAGGAGAAGGAGAAGGAGAACGATATGGACCAGCTTACCGCTGGCATGCAGCGTGTCACACTGAAGCTGGCCCCCAAAGACGAATACGAGGCCCGGCAGAAGCAGAAGGAAGCGGAAAAGAAGACGAAGACGGCAACGACGCGAAAAACACCCGCTGCACGAACCACGAAATCAGCTGCGAAGACTACCACCACGAGAAAGGCTCCTGGTCGGCCACCCAAATCATCCAAGCCTCCCTCGCCTGTCGAGCCTGAAGCGCCCATTCCCGCACCAGAACCACCCAAAGTGGAGGCGGCCGCCATGACACCGCTCGAGCAGCCCCAGCCGGTGCCGCCAGAGCAGACACCAAGCGTCATTGAGCAATCGGGACCCGCGCAACCCATCCAGTCTATCGTATCTCCTCTTCCTGCAGATCGCCGACAATCAACCGACATAGTACAGCCCCCAACCGATCTCACCGACATGAAAATTACCCCGGAGCAACTCCCCAAATCTTCGTTCGTGACATCCGTCGAGCCCCTCCCCATGACCACTTCTCCACCTCGTCCTGACACGCCACCTCCACCCCCGCCGTCGAAGATCCCGCAGTTCGTCAACTACTCCAGCCAGACTTTCGGTACTGCACCTTCGCAAGCCGCTCAAGCGGCAGCCCACTTCGCGTTCCAAGACGCTCAGCAATTGCAGTGGATGCCTCCGAATTCAGACGCTGGGCTATCTACTACTTCGACTAGCGAATCTCGGCCAATGTCTCCTTCGACCAAGCGACAAGACTTGCCTGTCTTCACGGCGAATGGTATGATTCCGTTTGCGTCAAACCCGGCTGCTGCGACGAGTGCGAGCGGTACTGTGTCTGCTGAGATGCGGAATGGAGATAGTGTGAAGAGTGAAGAAAAGGCGAAGGATATCTGGGATGTGCCTGATACGCCTGCTCGCTAAGCAGCCTGTGTCTGGCTCTGGTGTTTTGTCTGATGGAGTTCTTGATCAACGTTTATATTGGAACAACAATGGTTTGCGCCATCCTTATTGACGCGGCATAGCGCAATGGTTCGTTGGGACTCCTAGTATTGAGTGTTAAGGGATGCAAGGCGTTCATAGGTTTTGTTTCCTCCCAGAGGTGTTAGCCGGATCCTGTGCTGCGGCCTGGTATGGCACCCCCCTTTTCCCTTGACACCCCCTCTAATGTATGCTTGTAATGCTCTTTTTGCTCGGTAGCGTGCGTCTAGGGTCAGATACCTGTTAGTGATACCCGCCTTTGTTACAGGCTTGCGGGACGGCTTTGGGAGCTTGATTAATACAATTTTGGGTTTCCTTTGCATTTTCATAAAGTGTGATCAATTGGATTGATTGTTTTCACGCACTGAGACAGAGGGTTTTCTGAGATTGGTCTATCTTGAAGCTGGTGACTAACTGTGTATGCAGGAGCAGGGACGCCTCCAGCCCGCAATACTGAAACAAATCTATCCCGCATGCAGTCCTCGAGGTCCCTCCGCGTATCCCCTAGCCCGGGGCTGTTCAGCCCACAATACTGAAGGAAATCTATTCCGCATGCAATCCTCGTAGCCGTGGAGGTTCCCCTGCGTATCCCGTAGCCTAGAGTGCTTCAGCCTGCAATACCCAAGTGAAAATAAGAACCGAAACCAGATCTATACCCCGAACGCCCCGAACGCCTTCAAACTCCCTCGAATCCATCCTCCCCCGTATCCCTCCTCCTGGACTCCTTCACTCCCCAATCCGCCGTATCTATCTCCTCCGCCGCCTAGTGTACCACTCCACCGGATCAACCCCCGGCGGCGGCGGCGGCTTCGAAGCCGCATAGTGCATGACGCTCGAAACCCCCGTCTCGCGGGCGGCGCGGGCCTCCGCATCCATGACCGCCTGCGGGGTCTGGAACCCAGTGCTAGCCTGCGGGATGGGCAGCCAGATGCGCCGCGTGCTGGGCGGCGGCTCGGCAAAGGAGTATAGTTGCGAGCTGCTGCCCTGCGGCGGGCTGGGCCGGCTGGAGGAGTGGGAGGGAGCGGGAGCAGGCGGGGGCGCCTGGGGAGCTTGGTGGTAGCCACCGCTGCTGCTGCTCGCAGGGGGGCTGGCGAAGCGCACGCTGCGACGGCCCGCATTCCTCCCGCCGTTCAGCCGCTCGTGGTCCTGCTGGTGCCCGCGCGCCGCCGCCTCGCGGAGGCGCTGCGTGCGCGGCGAGCCCGCGTCGGCGTCGTGCTCGTTCTGGAAGAGCTCGACCCTGCAGATCGGGCATGTGTGGTGGTTGGCCGTGGGCAAGCGGAACCAGCGGCGGATACAACGCTCTCCGAAGAAGTGGTTACAGCCGCGAACCTGCTGTGCGCTGTGCTCCTCCAAGTCGAAGGGTTGCCGGCATATGGGGCATTCGAGGGGCTGGAGGCCGTCCGCGTCCAGGAAGGCTTGGCGAGTGGGGAGTTGCTGCGACATGGTGGAGGATGTGGTCGCTGGCTGGCTGACTGGTAGTTGTCAGTAGTGGTGGATGAGTTAGCTGCTTGTTTGTAGTGGTAGCAGTGATGGTGGTGGTAGTGCTGTGTTGAGTGGTTGGTTGTGATCTGGGGAGAAGAAGTCGTAAGGAGGGAGGGAGGGGCGGTATATATAGACAGGAGGCGCCGCGGGCTGGGGCTGCCTGGAGCCGGCTGTATTGTGCTCTGCGACAATAGGAGAAGAGGGAAGTGAGAGTGTAGTTCTGTCAGGAGGTGGGTTCTGGCACGTGTCGAGGGTATTGCCTGGTGGAATTGGGGGAGAGGTGAGAGGATGTGGTGCTGGCAGCCATGATCGTGAGCGTATAATAGGAATAGGGTTATTGTGTAGCACGTGTGGAAGTTACTGCCTGGTGGAGTTGGGAGAGAGGTAAGAGGATATGGTCCTTGCATCCGCGTACAATAAGGGGAATTAAGAAGAAGTGAGACTACGGGGAAGAAGTGGTTCTATAGAACGTGGCAATGCTACTACGTTGTAGAGGAGCGCTCAGTAAGGATTATCTAGGTATGCATTGAGTATTGGGACTCGATCAAGCTTTAAAACAACCGAGTATTCTCTCACCAGAAACTTATGGCTAAAGCGCGCAATCACTTCGACAGGATAGGAGCGGGAAGGCCTTCAAGCTGAGCTGAACCGAATCGCTGGATGGTATAGGATATCAATCCATCTAAACGGTATATATTGCGGTAGGGCTGTACTGTACACGCTTAAGCTAACTAAGGAGACGGTGCGACTCGAAGAACAGTGTCGATGCGGTCCAATCCACAATATTATACACTACTTACACAGGAGTCCAAAGGCTCAGATGAAGAGCTTGGAACCATGATATTTAATTTCGTTCTCATACGCGGCGGAAGCGACGGAAGCGGTACGTTTGGGGAAGCCCTTGAACGAGCGAGCGTACGTAGCAACCGAATGCGCAATGAGCTGGCATATATTAGTGAAGTACGAGTAGGATCAAGGAATGAATCCACATACTTTTGTGTTCACCACCCAAGCCGTCATATTGAGATTGCCCAGGTTGTCGCAGAGCTGATGATAGCAAGGGTCATACCAATCCCCAGCCTTGCCACCGAACATCTCCTCTTCCTCCTCAGTCTTGATACCCTCCGCGCCTGTCGCGATACCACCACCGGGGATTCCGTTGCGAATGAAGCCATCGTAATCGCTGCGGCCGTCGAAGGGAATGAAGGTGTAGTTCAATACTTGTTCCTTGTACCAATCCAAGTAGAGGTCCCTTAGTTCTTCCGATCCGTTGGGGTTCACCGCATTCGTGGCGTTGTACACCTGATAAGCAAAATTCGGGCTAGCCATCATATCATAGTCCATGAAGAGGCGGATCTTCATGTTTTCTTCTTCCGGCAGCGTTGCGACGTAGTAATCTGATCCAAGCAAGCCCTCCTCCTCGCCAGCCCACCACGCGAAGCGCACACAATTGCTGACGTTGAACTTGGTCAGTTGCGTAGCAACTTCGAGCAGGCTCATTGTCCCTGACCCATCGTCGTTTATGCCGGGTCCCTCGGCGACACTGTCGCTGTGCGCGCCGAGCATAACGCAGTTGTCCGGGTCGCCTTCGGTGGTTTGAGCAATGATATTGGCAGTCAGGATCTGGTTGACCTCGGCGTCCATGTACGCGATCGCGTCGACGTATTCGTTCTTCTCGAGTTTCTTGATAATGGGCGCGGCTTCCGCGCCGGACAGACCGAAGGTAGCAACATGGTTTGGCGACGGCGTGCCTAAGGTCCCTGCAACTGGATCTTTGTCGTAGTTGTACACGACGGCGGCAGCGGCTCCTTTCAAGCCAGCGTTCTCAGATTTGGTTCCGAACGGGCAGGTTCCGCGCTTGATGAAGGCGATATTCCCACCGACTGTATCAGGGAAATCGGATGGCTGGCAGCCTTCGTTTTCGACGAGCACCAGAGCGCCATAGACTGGCTGCTTGTCCTTGGTCGGCGGTGTCAATCCCATTGGCGCAGCGGACTTTGGGACCTCGTTTCCTAGCACCAGGCGCGATTCGAAAACATTCCCTGAAACAGCAGGAAACGACTGGTTAGAGATGGAATAGTAGTCGCCAAGCTGAAGGATAGTCTCGTAGATGTACGATAGCGTCCCGAGGTGTCCTACACATTCATCAACACGCTGATTGAGCGAGGCACGTGCCCAGCCCTACCTGCACTCCCGATGACTCTTGTCGGATGATTGTACTCGTCCTCCCCCAGCTTTGCAATCTCAAACATCTTCTTTGCGCGCACCATCAGTCTGTCGCCGCTGATGAGGTCCTGCAGCGCGGACGAGTTGACCAGCGGTTTGGGCTCGTCTGCAACCTGGATGGGCGCTTGTTTGTGCGAGGAGAGCAGGGGGATTTGCAGGGCTGCGGCACCCGCTGCGCCCGCGCAGAGCGCCAGAGCTGAAGAGATCACCATCATGTACATATAGGTATGAACGACAGTGGGGAGGAAGGAGATGGACGACTGGTGGATGATGAGGCGGTGGCTCACGGGTTGCTATGGCGCCAGGCCGAAACGCCACCATGGATCCCTGCATGGATCCGTACCGCCTCTTCACGTGACTCTGTGTAACTGGTCCGCCTATTCCGGTAAAGCGTAGAAGAAGACACACCGTTTGGCTTTCCTACTTTCTTCCGCCTTCCTCTCTCCCCTCACCCCCATCACCATGGCGCCCTCCACCTCCGCCTCGCGGCCCTTCAGTTTCTTACGCCTGCCAGTCGAGCTGCAGGTGCGCGTCCTGCGCTGCGACCCCTTCTTGACTCTCGCGTTGATTCGCGCTTCGAACAGCGTGCGAGAGCTCTTCCAAACACACTCCAACTCCGTCCTCCGGTCCCTTCTTCACCTGTGGCCTCCACAATTGCGCCACCTCATCAGGACACTTCTTGCCGTTCGCCAAGGGCTACTACTTTCTTCTCCGGCAAACGCAGAAGATATTCGCCAGCTCTATAACCGCTATCTCGAGCCGGCGTCGGGCCACCCCGAACATATCGATTTCCCCCCGCTACAGACGCTGAAGCTCCTTTGCACGCTGACCCTCGATATCGACATCCTCTCCCAAATCATCGTCCATCGGGCAGCCGATGTGGCTGCGAAAGCATTCCGAGCTCCCGCGATCGAAGGATGGCCGCCGCTCACCAGCATTCTGAGCCAAGAAGAGCTCCACAGGATCGAACGAGCAGTTCTTCGGCTCCTGTTATATTTTCAGCTCCGGCGTCATAAACCGGGGGGCGCGTATCTCTCGCTAGCAGACGTTTTCATCGGCGAACTCTCGAGCTGGGAAATCGAGGAGTGGTTCACCGCCGTGAACTTCGTCTGCTATTTCGTGTACCACGTCAACGAGTCCGAGTTCCGGCCCTTATACAATCAGTACAGCTTTCGCTCCTTCTTTGAAGACATTTCCCCGGATTCTTTCCTGAGAGCGGCACGCAGTACAGTAGAGTTCTTACCTTGGCATTCTCTACGAAACGCCATAAACGAGCATGGATCTGCAAGCCCGGCCTTGGCAACACCTCTGAACCGCTTCAGTGACGGAGCTAAATACTTCTTCGTGGGACTCAAGCACTCTTCCGCCGATATAGGCTACGAAGTGGACCTGCAATATCAGTACAGGCGGGTTGGTCTTTCGTTCTGGGACTCGAAGCGCTTAGCCACCTGGCTGGATCTTCCCCCTTCGCTTTCGGATGACCCTTTGCCCGGAGGACCTGATTATCTTACGGAATGCTCGAAAATCCTGGAACCCTTCGAGAATACCTGCAAGGACGGATGGGGCCCGGTGGTACAGAAATTCACTGAGTATTGGGAGGAGAACCGCGCGTTTCGGGCTCGGCGAACTCCACCCTGGGCTGTAAAATAGACTCCGTATTCAAGGACCTGCATAGATGCAAGGTCGTACACCAACTATACGTGCCACTGTACCGACCTGTGAAGCTCTTCAGCATTGGCTATACGAATGCCAGCTGGTCCCATTTGCACCCATTTCCTCGATCTACATCACGTACGCTCCTCAGCATCCAGCTCTCACAGATTCCTCTTCCACCCCCCTTCAGCCTCAAATATCTTCCCCACCTCCCTACACACCCTCAGCAAATGCTGGTCTCGATATCTCGAAGCAACCACACTCAATCCAATCGGCATACCATTCTCGCCTTTGAAGCCTGGCACATTTACGACCGGCATATGCATGGCGGTCCACGGTCCACAGAAGGCCGCGCTGCCTGTATTTCCTTGCCCAACAGGCGCCTCATCCAGGGCGCTCGGGGCGATAATTGCGGCATACTTATCGGCGAGCACGTCCATCTTCGGTCGCATAGCCGCCAGTTCATCGAAAGCCTTTAGCTGATCTCTCCGCGTATGCTTATCCTTGTTTTCAACATGACCAATGAGCGAATCGTGAAGATGGTGCTTCGCCTGGTAGTAGTCGGGGAGAAATGCGACGCGGCCGTCACCGGCGAGGACTTGCAAATGGTACTTGTACATTGGGCGAAACTCGTCGGGCAAGGTGATCTCTTCAACCATAGCGCCATGGGCTCGGAGAAGCTCTGCGCCTTTCTTCATTGCGGCTTCGGTGCCAGGACCGGGCTCGGGCCATTCCGGTGTTGGGAGAGTGACGAGGGCGAATTTGGCACCTTTGATGGCGAAGTGCCCCTCAGGCCCATCGTCGACCAGTTGAAAGGCGTCTATGAGCAGCTGTAGGTCGTCTACGCTCCGAGCGTAGAGGCCGAGGGTGTCGAAGATGAGCGAGTAGAGCTTCTGGCCCTCGCGCGATATCGAGTTCCAGGTAGGCTTCATGGCGTATATGCCGTTGAAGGAGCCGGGGCGGATTGTGCTTCCCACTGTCTGCGTTCCTAAGCCAATTGGCACCTGCATGTCTCCTACCGCTGCTCCTGAGCCCGACGACGAGCCGCCCGGTGTTCGAGAAGGGTCGTGTGGATTGGCCGTTTTGGGGCCTTTGTGCGAGGGGCCGACGGAGGTGGCTGCAAATTCGGTCGTCGTTGTTTTGCCTACTCATCGTCAGCCAATACTCCTTCATGCGTTTATATAGAAGAGGAGCCAAACCGAATATCAATGCCCCATTTGCCCTCAGCGTCATGATGCTCGCGGCATCAATCCTCGGCGCGTCGTCTTCGTATATCGGCGAATTGTGTTGCGTCGGCATATCCTTCGTAAGGATGACATCCTTGACACCAATGGCGACGCCATGGAGCGGTCCTCTCTCCTCTGGCGGTATGCGGTCGAGCTTGCGCGCTTGCTCAAGAACGAGGTCCGGATCGAGGTATGCCCAGGCGTGGACGGTCGGATCGCGTGTCGAGACGCGGTGGAGGAGCGATTTCGCATATTGCTCAACGGTCAACGAGCCATCTTTGAATTTGGCTTGCGCTTGTGCTGCTGTGAGGCGGAATGGTTCCGTGGCCGTCATGGTTGGAAAGCGTTCAGGGGCCTGGCTTGATTGTGCACGTCAATGGACGAGGAGGAAGAGCAAGCTGGGTATGAGGAGCCCATTGTGAGGGTGGAAGAGCGCATACCGACAATAAGGACGCTCGTGGGGCTCACCTTGCGGCCCCCGTTGAAGATTCCCCGCAACGCCGTGATAAGAGCGATCCGATGCCGGCATCCGTTCACACGCTAATGACTAAGCAGCTTCCGCTTTCCAGCCGCTGCTGCTCGGCTCACCAACCACACAACCGATCCTCAGATCTCCATCTGCTTTTCCCCTGTCGGGAGAAACGAAGCCGATGTACATCATCATGGAAGCCGCCTCCGCTTCCTCTTTTCGCTGTAGACGGTCCCTTGCCGTAGGTACCACGCTCTCACATCGTCAGCCTGTCATTTCCGTCATCGAGCTTGGGGGATCTGGCACCCGAAGCTAGTGCGTCAAGCGGATGCTTGTGTACCGCGCCCGCTGTATGCCTTCTTCTCTGTTCTCTGTCATTTGCGCCGTTGCGAGGCGTCCAATCCCCGAGGAAGCACATTGCTCCCAATCCGCCGAGCCGCCTGTGCAACATCGTCACCCCAAGAGCGCATAGAGAGCGATTGAGTTCTCCAGGCGCTAGGATTAGTGTGTCAGGGAGGATTGAATAGACATGGGAGACGAGAACGCGAGGAACATTTCAGTCGAGCCATCTGTCGAACTTCCGGATCTTGAAAACAACCTCGCAGAAGTCAAAGAGAGGGACCTTGTCACACCGCGGTCGGCAGAAGCTGATAGAGAAGATACTTCATCAAACGACTCCGACGGAGATGGAGACGATGCCAGCAGCATACGAAGTATCGGCGGCCAGACAAACGCGCTTTCGACCAAACGCCTCCTAGTCGCGATTCCAGCCCTCTCAGTAGCGCTCTTCGTATCCTTCATAGACACAACGAGCGTCGCCACATCGATACCCGCAATCTCATCAGATCTAGATACGGGAACAGCCACCTCATGGATAGGTAGTTCCTTTCTTGTAGCCTCGACCGCCTTCCAGCTGATCAACGGCCGACTATCTGATATTTTCGGAAGAAAGAACTGCCTCCTCCTGTGTTTGGCTTTGCTTGGAATAGGAGACATCGGCTGCGGCTTTTCGCAAAGCAAGGAGATGCTCTTCGTCTTCCGCTCAATAGCTGGCATCGGTGGCGGTGGCATCAACAGCCTTGCAATGATCATCGTGTCCGACATCACCACCCTCGAGAATAGAGGCAAATACCAGGGTATGTCCACAGCCTCTCTATCATGTTCTCCCTCATGCTAACAATACCTGTAGGTATATTCGGGGCCGTCATAGCACTAGCCAACGGCACCGGTCCCTTCGTCGGTGGCGCCCTCGTCGACTCCGCAACCTGGCGCTGGGTGTTCTGGATTGTACCTATGCTCGCAATCCCCGCCGCCGTCGTAATTTTCTTCTTCCTTCCCCTAAAGTACGAGAAAGGCAACTACAGGGAGAAGGTGAAGAAGATCGATTATGGAGGCATTGCGCTCAACCTTGCCGCCGTACTACTCGTGCTTATTCCGCTATCTGGAGGCGGCGTTCAATATGCCTGGGACTCAGCACTCGTCATCGCTATGCTTACTGTTGGTGCTTGCACCGCAATCGCATTCGTGTTGTACGAGTGGAAAATTGCACCAATTCCAATCATGCCTGTTCGCTTGGTCAGATACCCGTATTGTCCGTCGCTGTATCTCCAAAACTTCTTCACGGGGATGTGCTTCTACGGGAACTTCTTCTATCTGCCGCTGTATTTCCAATCCGTGCTCGGACACTCTGCCCTTATGTCTGGGGCTCTACTGCTCGCGGTCATTGTCCCCACCTCATGCACGAGCATTGTCAGCGGGCAGCTGATGGCAAGAAGCGGACGATATCTTTGGATTGTTATCGTCGGGTTCGTGTTGTGGACGCTCGGGACGGGCTTGAAGTGCGCGTTCAATCGATCGACCGAGATCTGGAAAATCGTGCTTGTACTCCTTGTTGAGGGGCTGGGCATTGGAATGACGCTGCAACCGACGCTCGTTGCTATCCTTTCGAATTCGGGCAACGCCGACAGAGCCGTCGCTACCGGCCTGCGCAACTTCATCCGCACCATAGGCGGCGCCTTCGGCCTCATCCTCTCCGGAGCCATCCTGTCCAACATCCTAGACAACCAGCTGTCACACCTTCCGTTCATGACGCGAGATATCCTCCGCAACCTCACCTCTTCTACATACTCGCTGGCCAAGCTGGGCTTTACAAAGCAAGAGATGGAAACGGTATTGGACTCATACATGACCGGTATTCGATATATCTACATCCTATACGCGGCCGGAACGGGCGTGAATCTCATTCTCTGCACCTGGATCGGCAATACGAGTTTGAAGGCGAAAAGGCCTGATGAAGAGACCGAGGTGGAGGCGGAGGCTGAGGGTGCTCCTGATCCGCGGCCGCTTCAGGAGGAGCAGGGCCAGGCAGCGAAGGAGGAGCAGGGCAAGACAGCTTGATTGCATTGGAGTGGAGTTTATCTAGCATGGGACGAGTGTGGATCTCTTGCATCGTCAATCGCATCAAAACATGGAAACGGTGGAAAGCATTGCATTGCATCTGTAGCGTAGCATTGAATCTATCTCTCGCATCATCATCATCATCAAAAGCCATAATTTTCTCACCTAGACGACGCTCCTCTGTGACTTCTCCATCCTCGTATCCCGCACCCACCAAAAAGCCACCGCGTTATTCCCGTCGGCTACATGCACCCCATAACGGCTTATCAGCACCCCAGCCGATCACCGTCGGCCTCGGCGCACCTTTCCCGACGCCTCCACTTGTCAAGCCCCCCCACTCATCGCGCGAGCATGCAGGGACCGATAGGCGGCGCAGCTACGCGCTGCCGTGCGCGATAAGGAATCTTCGGAATGCCTTCGGAACCGTAAGAAGGGAGGGGTAAGCTGAGGATAGATACGTGAGCTGCTTCGGCATTTCAATTGTCTGGTTCCCGTATTTCCATCCGGGTGCATCCTGCATTCTTGTCGCCTTGGAGCGGTTCTAGCTTTACTTGAGTACATTGTACTGTATCTGAGCGTATAACTTCTGCAAAATGCCTCCGCTCTGGTGCGGCCACCCGGACTACGACACGGCGCGCGACTTCCAGGGCTACGGCGAGACGGGGTTGAATCCGAAATGGCCGAATGATGCGAAGATTGCAGTCTCCTTTGTGATCAACTATGAAGAAGTACGCCATCCCCCCAATATAGCCGTCCACACCAGCATTAACACATCTCCCAGGGCGGCGAGCGCTCCGTCATGAACGGCGACGGCATGGCAGAGCAGAACCTGCGCGAGAACCCGGGCGGGCCACCGCGCATCAACGAGCGCAACCTGAACGTCGAGTCTGAATACGAGTACGGGAGCCGAGCGGGGTTCTGGCGGCTGTTCCGCATGTTCAACGAGCACGGGATGAAGTTCACGCTGTATGCGGTTGCGCAGGCGGTGGAGCAGAACCCGAGCGTGGTGAAGCGGTGTGTCGAGGAGGGACACGATGTGGCGAGCCATGCGTACCGGTGGGTGGAATACCACGATTTTCCGATCGAGAAGGAGAAGGAGTACATCCGCAAGGCGATCGCCTCGTTAAAGAGCCTCAGCGGATATGCGCCAAAGGGATGGTACTACGGCCGCAATAGCCCGCACTCCCGGACGCTGGTTCCTCAGGTGTATGAAGAAATGGGCGAAGAACTCGTCTGGGCCAGCGATACGTATGCCGATGACGTGCCTTACTGGGTCGACCTGCCGCTCGAGCGCGATTCTCCCAACCCCAAAGGGCTCCTCATGGTGCCCTACAGCTACGACTGCAACGACTTTAAGTTCCATGTCGTAGGGAGCGGCTTCGCGGACCCACACGGCTTCTACGAGCACATCAAGAACGCGTTCGACGTGTTATATGAGGAAGGCGAGAAGGGCATGCCGAAGATGATGACCATAGGATTGCATTGTCGGATCATTGGAAGGCCGGGAAGATTTGGCGCGCTGAAGAAGTTCGTCGAGTATATTGCGCAGAAGGAGGGCGTTTGGGTGGCGACCAGGACGGAGATTGCGGAGGCGTTTAGGAAGGCGTATCCGTATAAGAAGGGGAAGTTGGCGGAAGCGAGGGATGCTGGAAAGACGGTGAATGGGATATAGTCGACGGGTAGCAGAATAACTGTGTGCGTACTCATTGGGGTCATTCGTAGCCCGCGAAGAACCCGTGATCCCATCCTCCTTGGGCGCCGAAAGCGCCTCCCGACTGCATGCTCGGTGCATCAAAGTCTGCATTTATGAACCCCAGGCTGTCATTCCAGTTCGTCGTCACAAAGTCTTCTCTCGGCATTGGTCCCGCTTCTGATATACCGCCCGTGGCGAGCCCCGGCTCTTGTATGTCCGACTGCACCATCTCGTTGAAGACCCTCCAGCCCTGCCAACCACCGGGCACATCTTCATCTACTTCCATGAACACGTCTTTCACGGCGCCGAGAAGATGATCAGATGACCCCGCCTCTCTAGCCTCGGCCGCTACCGAAGGGGTCTGCTCGACCAGTGTATCTAGGTTGATGCGGAGATTCTGTTCGCCTTCCGGCGCAGGCTCCATGATCGCTCGCAACACGCTGCCAGAAAGCGCTTCGAAGATCTCGCCGTATTTGACAGCGCCAGGCCACTTCTCTCCGAAGATGGTAAGGCACTGGCTGCAAGATCGGGTCGCTTCCAGGATGTCGAAAGAGAACAGTGACTTATCTCGCCATAAGCAGTAGATGAGAGTCAAGCCCGCCACGAAGCACGAATGAAGCCCGATGATAGTAAAGGAGAGGATCTTCTGCTGATTGAGGCGCTTGTACGTTGCGCATATGCGGGCGGATGATTGTGCGCAAGAGACGAACCGAGGGTCATTTATGGCCAGGCTCGGTAGGAGTGCGGTGTAGAGCGACAAGATAGTTTTGTGGTACTGAAGCGTGAAGAAGTCTCGCGAGTCGTGGTAGGTATTGAGCGTTTCCGGTTGGTACATCCAACGCGGGCCACCTTCAACGGCAGGAGGAGGTTCGGGGATGTCGTTCACCCAGGCATCGAGGTCAGCTCTGATCTTCTCGACTTTTGCGTCATCTCGAGCTTGCTCATCTGGCGAACGAGATATGTGGTCAATATCGACCCGGAATACGGTGCGTTGGATCTTGGATTGGAGTTGCCGGAGCTTGACCACGTGGATAAATGGCAAGATGTTGCTCCATCCAGTGCTATCATTCAGAGGTGGCTGGGTGGAGGTTAGGTCCCAAAATACTGAATCATCGCTGGGCAGCTGCACCCCGTAAGCTAGGTGAACACAGTATCGAATGCGTTACCCACCTCGACATTGATATCTCGATCCGAGATCGCAACCGTCCTACCCAAGAGCATGCTCGTTAAGCGGTCCAAGCAATAGCAGGACCAGAAGATTCTCCTTCGAATTTCTAGGTCTCGTGGGTCGCGTGCCGGCGAATGTGAAGTAGGTTTTCGATGCATACCTAGCTCGACACAGAGAGTGATGGCGTAACGCACTTGCGACCAAACGCCTGCTCCGTATGGCGACCTCTGACCATAAATGGCTAGGAGCGTCAGAAACTGAACGGTCGAGCTATTATGTTGCTCCATGATGAAGTCCATTGGCTCGATTGCTGCGGTGAAATGTGCTTCTGGGTCGACATCGGTGCCTTGCTTAGTGAGTTGCATGAACCGGGCGGAGATAGCATAGATGAGGTGGAGGCTGCTTCTCTCGATGATCGGCAGTGAATCCTGCTCATACTGGTGCTCATAAACTTGCCCGTACACTTTGCGATCCAATATGGGCCACCTCGTGTGCAGCCGGTCGAAGAAGACAGAGAACAATCGCTGCGCCTGTGCTGGAGGAGGATACTCTTGCAAAGCAGTGGTAGCTGGCGGTGATAGGATAGACGAGTTTGCAGAGCTTATGCTTCCAGAGCGAAGGGTATTGAGAGGCGCAGGTGTATTTGTAGACCCCTTCCGTCCCCGGAATATAGAAGATTGTATCAGCCGGGCGATAGTGGCGCCTGAGCTCGAGCCCATGTAGAAGGGTTCTGGGGCGGCGTCCGTAGTTCCAGATGCGCATAAGGAGAGGTAGGCAACGCCATCCACCAAGGTTGAGTCTTCGTCATCGAACTCATCTACTTGGCTGACAGCTGAGGTGCTGGTGTAACGCCTATGGATACGTCTTGCGCCCTTGGTCGGGTCGACGTGACTAAAGTGATCCCGTCCATGCTCCGGCAGTTGAGCTTCCAAGAACGCGATCCTCTCTTCCAGTGCGTTGATATATCTGCATTGGCATCAACTGCACGCCCCTTGACAACATGCAATGTAATCTTACAGCATCTTGCCTCCCGGGTAACGAGGCCTTAGCGTAGGCTCGTAGACGCAGGTGATGCCGGCTTTCAGGCACGACTTGCACGAAGGGTGACCGCCGTCGCACTATTCAGTCATCAGATCGGAATCCATACCATTGAATCGATACATCGCATCTTACCCTCTGCTTTCGTCCCTTGCATCGCTGGCAGGCTAAAGCCACGCGAGCCCTTCGAGGAGCCGCGGGCTGCGGAGCCTTGGAAGGCCGTGCTTGAGCCGACGTGTCCATGTTGGTATCCATCTCTCGGACGGCGATGCCGAAGTCTCAGGAAGAAATTGTGCCCGCGACATTGTTGAAGATGAGGGCAAATCCAGTCCTGGTTAGTCATGATGGTTTGTCGGGCGATTTGTCCCGATAGTGAGGATGATGAGTGAGTGAGGGGTGTTCGACTTCCCTGCAAGGGCATCCGCACGAGTCAGAGATGCTGCCCCACGCCATTATTGACTTTCCGTCGGAAAGCGTGTGCCTCCGCGATGGCCAGTTCATTTTCGCTAGCCTCGTGGGTACAGTGATTCTTTGATGCCTGCGTTCGGAGAGGGCGGGCATGAGAAGGGATCCGTATCCGCTCGTTCGGATCGCGGTGGGAAGCTGTCCGCGCGAGAATCCTGCAGGAGTCGGCAATCGGCTGGGAGCAGACTGCTCCAAAGACGGTAGGGCACCTATTGGAATCGCCATCGAGCAAGAAGAGAGTACTCTAGTTGTCGAGTCGTCGTGTTTCGGAGATGGGCGCGTTGAGACCTGAGGAGCTCGCTTATTCGACCAATCAGGCACATCCTCCTAGCGTGCACCTCTTCGTCGCTTCTGCGAGCACAGCCATAGCATCTCCGTCCGGCACGCATCGTCATTCCAATCACTTTGTGCCAGAAGCTCTATGCGGCCTTTCAGGATGGATTCGACCGCCAGCTTCCTTCAGGAATCTGGCCGAAGTGAAGGGACCCTTATCTGCGTCCTAGCGGGTCCAACCCTGCCGCCTTATCTGTCCTCCAGCCTCAGGCTTGGCCAATATCGAACAATGTCTCCAACTACGATGGATTATATCGGCCAGAACCAGCCGATGCATCCTCCGTGGGTAACGCTGAGCTTGCCACGCCGTGCGCCCCAAGGCCTTGGTTGGAACGTGTCTCCCGAAGTCTGATACCCAAACCCTCGGGGCATACATATGAACCTTCGCGATCCTCGACCCTGCTGGCATCCCCCCAAGGACTAGTAGTTAACAGCGGTTGGAAGCCTTTAAAAATAACAATGCATATGCCAAGTGTCTCCAGCTTCACAGCTCCCCTCCGCTCGAAGGAGGCATTTCTCGACGCCATTACCACCGAGCACCATGGAGAACATCTAGCGGTGGGCAATGCAAAATGGTCTAACAAAGAGTAAGTTCCAACATGGAGTCATCCGAGAACGCTACTAACACACCTTTCAGTCTGGAGCCGACACGACCCGAGGAGCGAACCTGGACGTGGTACAATCTACCCTTATACTGGGGCTCGACAGCCTTTGGTACCGCTGGCTGGAACGCAGCTGCGTCTCTAATAGCCGTCGGGCTGACCTGGAGGCAAGCCTTTGCATCATGTGTTATCGGAGCCTTCATCAGCGCCCTCGTCGTTACTGGAATGGCGAGACCTGGAGTTCGGTACCACATTGGCTATCCTGTTCTCTGCCGTTCGGTCATGGGCATGTACGGTTCCATGTTTTTCATCTTCATTCGAGCCATCGTTGGCGCGATTTGGTACGGAATTCAGTCCTACTACGGCGCGAACCTGATGTCCACGTGCCTTCGCTGCATATTCGGGTATAAATGGGAGAACTGGGATAACACGCTTCCACCATCTGCAGATGTTACTTCGAAGCAGCTGCTGTGCTTCTTCCTCGTATGGCTCATGGAGCTGCCTTTGGTAAGTCCGATACCGCGATCCACTCCCCATCCCAACGTTGCAAGGGGAAGCCTGGAGTACTTCGCCCCCCTTTGCATAGTCGTCTTCCATACGTTCAAGGACGACGGACCCGGGCATCGCTGCTGACATAGGACAGTGTTTCGTCCACCCACGCCGGATCCACTACCTTTTCACGGTAAAAGGTCTCATCATGCCCTTCACAACATTCGGCCTCTTCGGATGGTGTATGGCCCACGGCACGGGACTTGCGACCATTGACGCCCAGAATGCTGCTGGTGCTAAAGTCGCAGCAACCACCGCTACCGGCTGGGCGATCATGAATGGGATTAACGTAGTCATGGGCACTCTTTCTCCTATGCTCGTCAACCAACCAGACCTGGCTCGATACTGCAAGAAGCCGCGCGACGCCGGTTGGCTTCAGGGATTTGCCGTCTTTTTCAGCAAGGTCCTCATATTTTTCCTAGGACTAGCTACCACCAGCTCCATTCAAGGCGCATACGGCAAAGCGTACTGGAACATGTGGGATCTTAACAACGCGATTCTCGACCATAATTGGAACCCCACTGCACGCTTTGGTATCTTCCTGGTCTCCTTCTCTTACCTGTTCAGTGTATTTGGGACCAACCTTGGCGCGAATTCGATTCCGTTTGGTGCTGATATGACTGGCTTGTTCCCGAAGTACCTGACAATCCGGCGCGGACAGGTGCTCTGTGCGTTCCTAGGTGTCGCACTCGTACCGTGGAAGCTTATTGCTACCGCTCAGACGTTCATTACATTCCTCGGCAGCTACAACATCTTCATGGCTCCGCTCTGCGCAGTAAGTCACCCATCGAACGAAGACCGCTCTTCAATAGTAGTTAATCGCTCATAGATCATCATCATCGACTATTGCTTCGCTCGCAAAGGCAACATCCACGTACCGTCTCTCTACCAGGGCTCAAAATCTGGTCTCTATTGGTTTACAGGCGGCGTGAACATCCTCGGAGTATTCGCTTGGATCGCAGGCACCGTAATGGGCCTGCCCGGCCTTGTCGCAGCCTACAATCCAAAGCTCGTTCCGCAGGGTGGGAAGGACATGTATAAGATGGGATGGGTTCTGACCTTCATTACCGCGGGCACAGTCTACTTTGTACTCATCAAGATTCGCAAGCCAAGGGTATTTCCCACTGGCTTCGAGGATGTCCCGGTCAGCTGGGAATATCTTGCCCTAGAGGGAAGAGATGGATTCTTCGATGGAGAAAGGGGCGGTTATGCAGGATATTCGCCTAGGGAGAGTATTGGCGAGGGCGTGAGCCAGGTCGAAGAGAAGCCAAAGGGTATATACTGATATCTCGTGGCACCGTTGGCTCGTGTCGAGCGGGAATACTTAATAACGGGCGTCATGATGTATGCACGGGATTTGGACTTCCGATTCAGTGTCTCAATAAGATCGAGAGTTGTTTCGCACAACAGGTTCGCGATGGTCGTATATTGTCTCTAGCTGGGTTTCAGAGTCGTGGGATTTCTGTGGCTGATGGCGAATATCCCGATCGGAATCGGTCGAGTCGGTCCTATCCCCGACCCCGACCCCGGCCCCGACACTTCAATGATATCATGTAACACGTCCCTTCAAAAACATGGCTCAGCAATTGACTATATAAACGCAACAACGAACCCAAGAAATAGACAGCTTAACTTTGCCACCACGGTGCTTATCTTCCAACACGACGCTGTTACTGCCCTTTTCATCGTTCTTCTCCTGCCCACATCGAATCTACGCACCTGGTCTCATACGCCGAAGAACTGGCACTACAATGTCGAAGCAACCCAAACTCAACATTCTCATATCAGGCGGCGGCATAGCAGGTCCCTGCCTCGCCTTCTGGCTCCACAAAACCGGCGTCCCCGCTCACATAACCGTCATCGAGCGCGCTCCCGTCCCACGCGCCTCCGGCCAAGCAGTCGATATTCGCGATGCAGGCGTCGACGTGATCAAGCTCATGGGACTTGAACCGACAATCCGCAGCAAGACGACGACAGAAGAAGGCGTAGACTTCCTCTACATGGATGGCAAAACGAAGGTTACATTCCCTGCTACCGGAGACGAGCAGAGCCAGAGCATTACGTCCGAGTATGAGATACTGAGAGGGGACTTGGCGGGAATCTTCTACGACGCTACCAAGGAGAATAAGGATGTGGAGTATGTGTTTGACGAGTATTTGGCGGAAGTACGCGAAGAGGCGGATAAAGTGCGCGTGAAGTTCGCGAACGGGCATCTGCCGGAAGGAACGTACGATCTGGTCGTTGGCGCCGATGGCATGGTGTCGAACACGCGGCGGCTAGTGTTCGCCAAGGGTCCTAAGAATGACGACTACCTGCGGAGACTGGGGAGTTATTGGGCGTTCTTCACCATCCCGCGAATCGAATCCGACGCGAAGTTGTCGCAGTGGTACATAACGTCCAAGGGCCGACTGGTCGTCACGCGGCCGGACCAGTACGGCGGGACGAGGGCGTATCTTGCTGTTACGAATTGGAACATGGGTCGCTTTGAGGGGATTGAAAAGGCACTTAAGGGAGGCAGCCAGAAAAAGCAAATGGAGTGGCTGGAGGAGCAATTTGCTGGTGCGGGCTGGCAAAGTGAGCGTGTCGTGGAGGGTATGAAGACAAGTCCAGACTTCTACATGCAGGAGTTGGCGCAGGTCAAAATGCAAGATTTTGCGAAGGGGCGGGTGGCATTGCTAGGAGACGCTGGGTACTGCCCGAGCCCGATGTCTGGCATGGTGAGTGGCTGTTGGAATGTGCACATGGATGTCCAATAACTCTGTACCAGGGAACTTCGCTTGCAATTGTCGGTGCATACATCCTCGCGGGCGAGATATCAAAGTCGCCATCCGACATTCCCAAAGCGGTTGCACACTACCAGTCAGCGCTCAGGCCGTTCGTCGACAAGTGCCAGAAGCTGCCGCCGGGCGCACCGCAACTGTTTTTCCCTCAGAGCAAACTCGCTGTTAAGATCCTAGATTACGTCTTTGGTGCTGCGTTGCATCCTTGGGCTAGAAGTCTGTGGTCATACATCTCTGGGCTGTTGCCGAGATCAATACAGGGGAGGAAATGGGAGATTCCGAGCTATGAGGTGTTAGAAGTTCTGTAAGGTATATGGATACGGCGTTGCAGAAACTGTATAGTAAACGGATCTCTTCTCAGCATATCGTACATCTCGCATACCAGATCATACTACACCGACCGCACTGCGGGGCTCTAGCGACCCAAATTCGCGACTTCAGAGCGCGACGGCACCTCATTAGCCCTGCAAATAATGCGAAACGTGCTCGGATCGACTCGCATCCGGCCGTTGGGGAACCTACGGCACATTAGCATCAATCCTTCGCTCCGCCATCAAGCCACTTACTCCACCTCGGCCTTCTCCCTTGCCTTCGTCTTCTTCTCCCCATTCCAGATCCGCAGCTTCTCAAGCAGCATGTTTCCAAAATAGTATGCCTCGCTATCGCCACCGCCCATGCCTCCGCTCTTCTTGAGAAATCGCGCTAGCGCCTGTGGGCTTGGGCCGCCGCTGCTGACGTTGTGCTGGTAGGTTTTAACGGGATGGGAGCGTTCGGCGATGGCCTGGAGTTCTTTGGACAGAGACGTCTTGTTGAAGGGTTTGTTTGTCCCGGGAACGTGTACTTTGCGGTCGATTAAGCTTTGAAGCTTGCGACGGATGGCGGCCGCCTGGGGGACGGTTAGCCGCGGTGCAACTGTCCAAGGTGGGGGATGGAGCACGTGCATTTTCATACACGGGTACCTCTCCTTTGATCTCCTCGAGCGGGATGTCGAGATAGTTGTCTGGGAGCCCTGAGCGATCAGGCTCGTTGTTGCCTGGTTTCTTAGCCCCAGGGCCCTTCTGCTTTGCCTGAAGGCCTTGGTTCTCCTTGTCATGATCAGGGAATTGATACGGGGCAGCACGAGCGCTGCCATTGTTCTTCCCTGAGCCTCGCGCCCGAGTGGGAGGCATGCTGTTTAGGACGTGCTGTTGAAAATCCGTCGAGAGTGGAGAGGTGGGACGAGTAGTGGCATGAAAAGAATCGCGGAGCAGGGGATGTCTTATTATGGAAGAGGCAGATGATCACTGCTGAGACGGGAGGTGTGACGTCGGTAATGTCATTGTTTATAGCTCGCGTACGAAGCGCGAAAGCACGTGATGCGCACGGTCCCATAGCAGGGTCCCCGCGGCTTCCGCCCCGTCGTACTTCATCCACCCTCAAGGCTTCTGGCTCAAGAGCCATTCAACGCCGGCCTTCATATCCACCAGCGCCTTCGCAGCGACCGAGTGCATGGGCAAAAAGTCCATGCCTGCATGCGGAATTCCGCTATACACGTCCATCTTTGTCGCGATGCCGCATTCCTCGCGCAGGATAGACTCATAGATCAAACCCTCATCCCGCAGCGGATCCATCCTATCTTACTGTCAGCGTCGATTCGCCGCAGCCGCAGCATTGGTCTACTTACCCGCAGATTTGGAAGTACGTTGGAGGTTGGCTCTTGTGGCCGCTCGGCCAAATCAGCGGGCTGCCGAGAGGCGATGTTGGATCGACCTTGTACTGGTCTGCCGCATCCCGTCAGCCTGGTCCCGCAAAAAGCTCCTCTGCAGCTTACCGAAGAACCATAGCATGCCCCGTTGGTCCAGGATCATCGCGTCTTTGTTCTCCTCCCAGCTGTTGTAATGCGGCTTATATTTCTCCGGCACAGCGTCCGGATGAACCAGGAACGGGATGCAAAGGAAGACGCCCGTCAACGGAGGCGACAGCTTTGCATCAGCAGCCTCATGCGCAGCCACAGCTGCGAGGTTTCCGCCCGCTGAGGCGCCCGAGACGATGAATCCCTTCGACGGGTCTGCTCCCAGCTTCGATGCATTCTCTGCCACCTGTTGTTCGTTAGATCCACTCTGGACGCTGGGCGTACCAAACGTACCCATTTTAGCGAGTCCCACGCATCATTGCCAGCCGTTGGAAATACACTCTCTGGGGCCAGCCTGTAGTCCACGCTGACAACGGTGCACCCGAGCTGTTCCGTCAAAACCTTAGCACCCACTTCGAATGCTTCCGCCATGCCAAACACCATCCCACCACCGTGGAAGTACACCAGCAGCGGACCGGGGGTTCCGGTACCCGGACCGTAGACTATCGCACGAAGCGACGCGCCGTCTCGAGCAGGAATCTGGATCTCTTCTCTCTTCGCACCCGTCCAGTCGGGCATCATGATCACGCCGGACGCTATCAATGCCCCAAACTGCTCAAGAACCGCTTGGCGCAGGGCATTCGCGTCTCCGTAATCTGCGAAAGATTTGTTTGGAGGCAGATTCGGCAGCAACTTGGCTATTGTCAGCATAGGTCAGGAAGACGCTGTGGATTCTCTCACTAGCGTTAACTCCGGATCCATCTGGCCGTATGCTTTCCATGACGATGAGTCCATATCGAAGGGCTGATGTCTTCTTGGGCCGGGTTCGAGTTTCTAGGTATAGAATAAAAGCGATGAATGGGTGGGGAATGCTAACGTCTTCCTGCATTACATCTACCAGGGTTATATAGGTTTTCCCCGCTTACGCCAACGTTCTGGTACAGTGTAGTGGGGTAATAGGCCAACCGCGCCGTCATCTTTGAGGCACGGTCTACGAGCCTTCCCGACCTGCGCTGCCGTCTCGCGCGGGAAAGCCTGGACTGCTTTCCGGCGGTAGTCAGCATTTCTCTAACATCCGCTATGCGAACAAGCTAGCACGCTTGAGCATATAACTCTCGACAGTCGCTGACTCAATCTCGACAGCGCTGGCCTGAAGCGGGTTAGCGCCAACCGGTGAGTGTTATCTTAACCTGAAATAGTCCATGCTGACTAGTCCTAGTCCCGCACGATTCTTCTTAGGAACCACGCGAGGCAAAGCTGCAAGAGTTCCATAGAAGCAAGAAATAACCCTCGGGCAAGAACCCTATATATCATTCATCCTGCAGCTTAAGCGTATTCAGTAACTTATCAACTCGCCAAGCCCGGTTAACACGCTCTCCACTACCTCGGTATGCGGCCAGCGTAGGGAATTCCAGGGCCAGCTAGCTTTAGGCAGAGACGTGCTAGCACAATGCACATTGCCTGGCCCCACTATTACACTCCGTCACACCTCATCTGCTCCTCGACGGAGACTTGCTAGGCGTTCTTCTCATCCGCTTAAGGGGAGAATCGGCGTTTCTCGAGCTGATAACCAGCTTCCAGCGAATGAGGGACGCTAGCCGGCGTCAATGCATATGATCTTAGGTATGTACAAGTCCTTCCATAACTAGGTACACTTTGCTCACTTCTAGCTTTGTCAATATCGCATTTACAGCGTCGTCACTTCTAGGTTCTTGACCGCGTATATCGTATCTGCCAAGTTAGCTAATCTTCGGCCTTGCTTTTGCCATGCCGGTACTTACTGGTCTTCGGTCCCGGGCTCCCACTGCTCCCTTCCATCTGGAGATTGATGACCCTATTCTCGCGTCAACATGCGCCTCTCTTCGCCTCATCGGCGCAAACACTCACAGATACAGAGGCTTCCCCACATAATCTTTCCCATAGTGCGTGGTTACCTCCGTCCCGTCCATCCAAAACTTCACCTGCGCGTCCTTCCCATTCCCTTGATCTCTAACCTGGCACTTGATATCATGAAAAGCCCCTGGATTACTATACGTCACGTCCTTCCACTGCAACACACTGCTGGTGTTAAACGTATTGAAGCTGATCTTCCCAGAGCCTTTCCACTCCGCCATATCCACCTCTGGAGGCCACCCATCTACTGCCGTCAGCCAGAACGCGGGCCATGTCCCTTTAGTCGTCGTCGCCTGGAAACTCCCGCTAAACACAAGCCCGCCACCTTTTGGGATGGTGAAGTGCTGTTTCGCGCCGATCGCTCCAGAGAGGTAGTTTATGGCGATTTGCTTGCCACCGTGGGTTGCGGGCGGCTGACCAGTTACCGGCTCCGCGGTTATTGCCAACGTGCCGGGCGGGCTCAGGGCAACGTGTGCTTTATCCATTCGCGCACCTCCATTGTGCGTAGTGCCACCCCATGGGTAATTGTAGACGAAGTAGGATTCGAAGATAGTGGTGTTGTCGAAACACGATTTCGGTATCAGAGTTGAGGCGCGCTTGGAGAGAGCAAGGGAATGTGTGAGAGCGGGGAGCAGCAGGGCCGATGCAAAGGCCAGGAGATGCATCGTGAATGCGAAAAGTAAGGGCTGCACAAAGTAATCCGGGGGAGAGAAACTGAAATTGCCTAGTTCAAGGCGCGGCGAGTATATAACTACACAGGTATTCTAGGCTCATGACCTACCCAAGGACTCTTCTCCGCATATTACTCCTGTATAGGCGTTTCGTTGCGGTTGGTGGAAAACGAGGCTTTCCACTGGACCTTCATGGTTCCGCTTAAACAAAATATGGGGAATCCCGGCATGGTCGCCTCAACCGGCAGGTACTTTACCCGATCGGACCACGAGCTCATATAAATTAAACAGCATTAACGCACGGCAGCTGGCTCGCGTAGAAATACTCTGGCCGTAGGGAATTCACAGACTAGCGTAAATGCTTTGCGTTGATGTCTGTAGAACGAGTGTATCTACTTCCTCCCACGATCTATCTCCCTCCTGGCACTCTTCTCTCGCGATATCCTCCAGCGAAGAAGCTTGTCAAGCATCTACTATTGGCACTCCAGCCCGAAAGACCCCAACGGCATCGTCCCAATGCGCATGCAAATAGCCGGGTTCGCTTCGTTCTCAGACACGCTCTGCCCGGTGCAGTCGGAGCCACTGTAAATAGTAACTGGGAGTCCGACGTTAACCAATTTCACCGAGAGCGCTGGATCATGATAGACGCTTACAAAAGCAAGCCGGGTCGATGCTGCTGGCATGAACTGCGGCGTTGCAGCTGCTGGCTTTGATGTAGGCTCCTTCGGCCAGGTCTTGGTTTGCGCACGATGTGGGGGCGGCTGGTCTGGCGGGACTCGAGGGGCGAGCCGCTGGTGACGGCGGCCGGGGAAGGGAGTAAGATGAGGGGGCTGGATGTGACGCGCCTTTCGAAGGGATGTTTGGTGGCGAGAGTCCAAACGGAAGTGGATCGAAGATGAGAGAGCTGAGTGTTAAAGGGATGGGACGGCTGGAGTAGTTAGAGCCGGTGTGCTTGCTTCTCGAGGAAGACGGCGAGGTGGGTGAGGTTTATGTGCACAACGTCGCTCCATGCTCCTTCCATCTACGAGGCCAATTCTCCCATGATTCAAGTGGCCTTCAAGCCCTTGGCGAATTGTCAAGGCGGCTATCACCTGGAGAAAGCGGTCCGGCTCTTCCACACTCTGCGTCAACCGTGTAATTCCTCTTCCAGTTGGCATGCAGTGGAATGAAAGGCCCTGGTTTCCTGGCTTGTATGCGACGGGAACAGCATCATGGGGAATTACCGTGGGGCATAATGGGCGCCTAAGGAGCATTGGCCGTCAAGGTACTGTTGAGAGGCATGCGATCTCGGTCAGCTGGGCGATTGTTTAAGCTTTTATGTCAGCTTTATATATTTCAGATTCCTTCCTCGGGGAGCATCCGTCGATATCGAAGACGAGGGCTTTCTGCTATGTTGCTGACTAATCCGGCCCCTTATCGATAGGATTTTTCGACCAGAACACAGCTCATCCCATTGACCGTCTTCATCAAGCATGGCCTCCATCAGGTATGGCTAGGCGAGATGTTACTGATGCCGACCAATTCTCCTAGGACGATGAGAAGATGCTGCCCCAGAGTAGGGAGGCGCCAGGACCACCCCGGAGTTGCATCCCGCGTGCAGAGGTGCGACACGTGACCACCGCATTCAAGCCGGTGCCGTTGAGGGCTATCGATCGCAAGAAGCCGAGTAGAGATTACGAGCGGAAGAGAGCGCAACAAATCCCCCATTTCTCCGGCTTCGCAAGAATGGTGTGCCGAGCGCCCAAAAAGCTTTTGGCTTTCGCCTTGGGTATGCGATAAGCTATCCCCCATCCCCGCATCGGCAACTCTTAACCGGCATGCATGCCGCCTGCGACCTCGCAACGATCTTCACCAAGCGGGAGCAACGCCGAACCTCCATTGGCAGATACCGCCTGTACTACCTTCCTCTTCTAGTCATATCTCTGTCGATGAACACCTGCCCAGGAATCCCATTATCAATGACAGGTACGCGGTGCGGCTTGTTGAGGGCTTCAAATACGGCGCTGAGCGCCCATGTCAGGATGCTATCGCGTCCTCTCCTCTCCCTTTTGAAGTTCGAAGAGCCAAGCACAGTGCAAGAACTGGGGCCAATATGGGTCAAGACGAAATCCGTGACACCAGACACGCCTCAGTTGACGAGGACGTGCCGGAGAAGGGAGCGTACAGGGATGCCGACAAGGCGCTCGAGTTCCTCAAGTACAACGAGACGGGAGATGAGCAGTCTCTCGTCAATGAACCGGCGCTGGTGAGGAAGATTGACTGGATGATCGTGCCCATCATGTTTGCTTGCTACTTCTTACAGTACTTGGACAAGTCGTTGCGTGAGTGGATGAACCGTTTCTTCGCATATCCCATCCTGAGGCTAATGCAGGAGCACAGTCAACTACGCCGCCGTCATGGGTATCTTCGAGGACGCCAATCTTACCACTCAGCAATATGGCACGCTGTCTTGGCTCTTCTACCTCGCCTTTCTGATCTTCGAGTTCCCACACGCATTCATGATGCAGCGTCTGCCTCTAGCAAAGTACCTCGGGACTATGGTGTGTTTATGGGGCACAGTTGTCGCATGCACTGCCGCATGCAATTCTTACGCCTCGTTGGCCGCATGCCGTTTTCTGCTGGGCATGTTCGAGTCGGCTATCAGTCCATCCCTCATCCTAGTCACCGCAATGTGGTACAAGCGGCACGAGCAGCCCATGCGCATAGGCTTCTGGTACATGGGCGTGGGGTGCGCCGTCATGACCGGCTCCCTGATCTCCTTCGGCTTCCAGCACTACACCGGCGACCGCTTCAACAACTGGCAGATCATGTTCCTCGTGGTTGGCCTCGTCACCATCTCCGCCGGCATCACCGTGATCCTCTTCCTTCCGGACAACCCCATGTCCAGCCGGCTCTCGCACGCTGAGAAAATCATAGCCGTCGAACGTCTCCGCGAGAACAACACCGGTATCGAGAACAAGCACTTCAAGCCGTACCAGCTCGTTGAAGCGCTGCGGGACCCGCAGGTCTGGTTGCTGGCGTATATCACCACGGCTGCTAGTATCCCGAATGGCGCCGTGAGCTCGTTCCAGAGCGTACTTATCTCGAGCTTCGGATTCTCGGATAAAGTGACGGCGCTGCTGCAGATTCCGGGTGGTTTTATTGCAGTCGCCAGTGTGATTGCGGGTACGCAGATCGCGGGCAGGTACAACCGCCGTGGTGCGATGCAGATCGTCTGGACAGCGCTTGGGGGTATCCTCGGCGGAGGTCTGATCGCATTTCTCCCGACAAGTAACCGCGCTGGAAGACTCGTGGGCAACTACTTCACGCATCTCACCGGCGCCTTCCTGCCGATGTCATACTCGTTCGCAGCTTGCAACTTTGCTGTAAGCTCTGCCCTTGCTTGAGGCCTGCTGGTTGTACTAATGATTCGCCAGGGTCACACTAAGAAAGTCACCATGAACGCCATCTTGCTCATGTCGTTCTGCCTCGGAAACATCCTCGGCCCGCTTACTTTCCGCGACGACGACGCGCCGGAATTCACGCCCGCGAAAGTAACGATCGTGGCCGTCGATTCTACCGTCGTCGTTGCCGTCGTCCTCCTGCTTCTGTATTACAGATGGGAGAATAAACGGAGGGATAAGGTGGCTCTTGAGCATCAGCAGGATATTGAGTTTAGCGACTTGACGGACAAGGAGAACAGGGAATTGCGGTACAAGTTTTAGGGGAGAGGAGCTGGATTATGGGGCTGGATTCTGTGTGCCCGGGGAGTACTAGCCTTTTCGCTAACAGAACGCGATGTTGAGGAGAAGAATACTCTCTAGACCGCAGCACTGGCTTCCTGTTGCCGGTGTAAACGTTCGACCTGATCTCTTCGGAGGGGATTGGAACGCTAACAATAGAAATGGAAGAGCGACCTCAGTTCTTAACACAGCTCCCAGGAGAATGCGCCGTGACGAAGTTGACGAAAGCGATAATGAGTTTTTCGCCGCCCATTTTCTTACCTTATTAGATACGCATATTTCGCACCTTTCAATGTCGTATGTCTACTACTTTTGTGCACGGAAGTACGACCGTTAGCAGCCTCAGGTGGAGAAGTGCTATGCTCGAGCGAGTTTACTTGCGATGGGTTCGGGTGCAGACGCCCCAATACGGTGACTGAGGTGGATCGGTCCGGATGCAGTCCTCTGCTGGGCGGCAAACTTCTTGTCTCCTTGCAGGTCACAGCAGCAGTCGTTGGAGGTGCTACGATAAACGATGGTTCGGCTCTCGTGTGATGGTAATACGCCCGGTAATACCGCTGTCGCCTACGCCGCAACCCTGCATGCGCCGTGCCGCATCCTTCCGGTCCTCCATCCTGAGAAAGAGTAAACTCGCCCACGCAACTACAAGTGCGACACGTTTGGTGGCATAGGCCAGTAGTGATTCCTCGGCTTCTATTCGCATTGCAACTGCTGATCAGGCGTCACAATACGTCCGAGGTAGACAGCAGGAATACGCCCACATTAGCATCGAGATAAACGGCGGCCATGTCTTCGGAGAACTTCATCGTCACGGAGCGCTGGTCTCCTTGCCAGCACATCCGCGAGTATCCTCAAAGCGTCAAGCGCGATGACGCCGCGCTCTTCCTGTCTGTCAAGGAGTATCGCCCACGCGACAGGCTTGACGCGAGCGACGGCGCCATCACTATCATCGCGACGCATGGGAATGGCTTCCCGAAGGTAACGATCAGGTCCAAACATCGTCCACGGTACAAGACTAACATGGAGATCCTAAGGAATGTTATGAAGCGCTATGGGACGAGCTGCTCAAAGCGGCGCAAGGCTTCGAAATCAGAGCGATATGGATAGCAGAACATGCGAACCAAGGAGCGAGCTACAAAAGGAACGAGGAGGTCCTCGGCGACGATCCGAACTGGTTGGATCACTCGCGCGATCTGCTGCTCCTGGTGAACCATTTCCGAGATCGGATGAAGGCGCCATTTGTGGGTGTGGCGCATAGCATGGGGTGTGCGATGATGTATGTCTCCCCCAGCTCTCCCGCATCAACAACGATGTCAAGCTGAGCAATGATGATGGGGTGTAGGGCCAACCTAGCGTTGATCCACCCACGCCTCTTCCACTCGCTCGTCTTGATCGAGCCCGTCATCCAGAACTGTCATCCGGCCGGGCCCAACGCCGCGCTCTTCACCTCATTGCGCCAGGAGAAGTGGGAGTCGCGCGCCAAAGCCGAAGCTCAGATCCGCAAGAATCCGCTCTTCAAGTCCATGGATCCGCGCATCCTTCGCGCATATCTCACCTACGGGCTACGCGACACCGAGGATGGCGGAGTGAGACTCGCGACTCCACGGGCACAGGAAGCGTGGTCGTACGTTCGCTCGAACTTCCAGCCTCTGCCCGGGGATACATCGACGGCGGAAGCGAGGAGTCGTGAGAGGCTACTCAGTCCTAATCTCAGTCCTGGTTCGGAACCGTCGATGGAGGTCTTTATGCGAGAGGAAAGCTTGCACGTGTACGAGTCGCTGCCCCATCTCCGGCCTAGGGCACTCTTCATATATGGAGCATCTTCGCACATCAACGTCGAAACGATGAGAGAGAAGCACATCTCGCGAACAGGGACCGGACGAGGCGGAAATGGAGGCGTAGCTGACGGCGGCGTGGAGATGAAGATCATCGACAACGCAAGCCACTTGGTCGTTTTCGAAAAACCAGTCGAGATCGCTAGAGATATCTCGGAATGGGTAGGTAAAGAAGTGGTGCGATGGAAGGAGGAGAAGGAGTTCTTCGCGACATTCGAGTCCGGAAAGAGTAAGAATGATGGTAAGGAGCTGTCGGACAAGTGGATCGCGAGCGTGAAAAAGGGTGCTTCGATACCGAGGTCCAAGGCGAAGGATGCGGCGAAGTTGTAAGTAGCTCAGCTATCGTGAGCGTAGGTAGACACTTGTGTATCAACGCGGCAGCCGTGGTGCTGGAAGCGGTACCCGATATCGTACCACGCTTTGGAACTCGTATCGAACTCCGACGAGACGGTCGGTCCTCTTTTCGCGGAATGCTTCGTGCAACACGCCGTTCATTCCCGGACGTATCACGCCGGGGAGGCATACCAATCGCCGCCGTTAATATAATTTCGGCATTGGAAAAGCGTGGAGTCTTAATCAAAGCTAGAAAAGCGGTCCTAATCAACTCAAAACCCCGGCCGCCATCTGTAGCGTCACCTGGCGTGAGTCGTATATTAGTTGGCTCTAACCGCGTGCAGGTGGCACTGAGCCGGTTAAATCGGGCGGCGGCGTATTCGGACGCAGCTGTACGCCGTCCCATTGGCCTGCGTGCTCGAATTTTCCAAGTCTTCCCCAGAAACGCACGCGCTGCAGAAACACCTGCACGTCGAGCTTCCAGAAACCTTGTCAGGCCACGAGAGAAGGGGACTGATCGCTGGGGGCGCAGATGCGACGCCAGTCTCGTGACTCCGAAGACCGCTTAACCTGAGGACATTGTTCACCGCTGTCACGGCGCCTTTTCAGTGTTATTGTCTGCCCTTCCTGCTTCGTCCTCGACGTTTATCGCAGATTCCGATTGCGGGGTGCGCGGGGCGCGTTTGCTGACGTTCTCATGGCCGCGGGCGAATTCAGCCGCCTCCTCGTATCGCATTGGCGGGAGCTGCACGAGAAACTGCGCACGCAGGACGAGGAGATTATCATCGATGGACGCAGCCTTAGCCTCGCAGCTGTAATAGCATGTGCAAGGTATATATACAACACCTTCACGTGATATCGCGCGCCTGCACTTCAACGTGTGCTGACAGAGCGATAGGTATGGGCAGGACGCAGCCATCGGTGAAGAGACGCTCGAAACAGTGCGGCGGTACACGGAGAAGATATATGGAGAGCTGCGAGATGGCGAGGTCATGTCCGGTACGTGAGATGGCGCCTCTCCGTTCCCCCTTCTTCCCCAGCAGTTGCTGACCGGTACCAACAGGCAGGCACACCAGCTGGGGAAGCAGCGCAGCCGTGCGAACATCTGCTATAGAGCACTTGCAGCGAGGCATGATCCGGCATCTGCACTATGGCGTTCTTTCCGGTGAAACCGACTTTGACATCTCTCACGCGGCACGAGCATTCTCTTCAGCCATACCATTAAGCGACCCTGTGGAAACCACATCAATGCCGGAGTCCTGGGTTCGCGCAACAGTACTCATCCGTGCGAATACTTTGGCCTATGCGACTGCAGGCGTAAGGCCCCTGTTGCTGGAAAGGCTCACCCAACTTCTGAATCTGGACATCGTACCTCGCGTTCCGCTTCGGGGTAGCATTTCCGCCGCTGGAGATCTAAGTCCACTATCGTATATCGGAGGCGTACTGCAAGGGAAGCCGGCAGTGCAGGCATGGATAGGGGACCGGATTCAAGGTGGACGGAAATTGGTACCGGGCGACGAAGCGCTCAACTACGCCGAGATTGAAGCAACTGAGATCCGGGCAAAGGAAGGCCTCGCTATCATCGCTGGGACAGCGTCCTCGGCCGCTGTCGCATGTCTAGCATTACATGAGGCCATTTGCTTGGCCGCAGTATCCCAAGTCCTAACGGCCATGTCAGCGGAAGCACTGTGTGCCTCCGATATGAGCTTCAATCCTCTCTTTTCCGAATTACGACCCCACCCCGGGCAGACTGAGTGCGCGAAGAACGTCTGGTGCTTCATCCAGGGCTCTAAACTCGTCATGGAGAACGCTGGGTCGGACGAGTTTATGGACCGAGCGGACCGATATGCCATCAGGACAGCTCCGCAGTGGATAGGACCCATCCTTGAAGATTTGCAGCTCGCCCATTCTCAGATATCTGTCGAGATCAACTCGGCAACCGACAACCCCCTAATAAATGAGGCCGGCAGGATGCTCCACGGCGGAAACTTCCAGGCCAAAGCTGTCGCATCCGCAATGGAGAAAGTACGGCAGGGGTGCCAAAGTCTAGGCCAGATGCTCTTCGCCCAGTGCACTGAGCTGATCAACCCAGCGTCCAACAAAGGCCTCGCCCCGAACCTCGTAGTCGACGAGCCCAGCCAATCCGGCATCTTCAAAGGCACCGACATCCTCATCGCGGCCCTCCAGTCCGAGCTCGGCTTCCTCTCCAACCCCGTCAGCAGCCACGCGCAATTCGCAGAAATGGGGTACCAGGCCGTAAACTCGCTCGCGCTCGTCTCTGGCCGCTACACGCTCACCGCCATCGACGTGCTCACCCAACTCGCAGCGGCGCACCTCGTCGCTCTCTGCCAGGCGCTCGATTTGCGGGCCCTGCATATCCAATTCCTGTACGCGCTGGCCCCGAAGTTCAAACTCTTGACAAGGCGCTGCCTAGCCGAATGCAATGAAGCCATGACGCCTGGCGGCGAAGGCGGAGGCTCCGAGATTGCGTATGATCTCTGGGTCCATCTCTCGGAGCAGATAAACCGCACGACGCACTTGGACTCGTCGGCGCGCTTCGCCAGCGCAATGGACTACCTCCAAACACTGATGCTGCGCGCTGTGCCACCGACGCAGCAGTCGCTCGAAGCAGTGCTTCACTGGACCAACGACTGCGTGAACGAGGCTACGCAGACGTACCAGGCCGTTCGAACGCGCTATCTCTCCACCCCGGACGCGACGCCGGTGCTGGGCAAGGCGACGAAGAAGATGTATCTGTATGTGCGGCGGACGCTGGAGATCCCGTTCTTCGGGGAGGATTATCTGCAGAAGGCGGAGTGGGACGACGGGACGAGCCATACGGCGAAGTACAAGTACCGCAGCATGGGGGCGATGATTTCGGCCGTGTACGAGGCCATGAGGAATGGGGCTTTGTACTCCGCGGTCGTAGACTGCTTTGAACAGGTATAGAAATATAGAAGTATAGTATTGGCAACACTTTGGATGTTGTTCTGCCGAAGCGCCGTCCGCGCGCAGTCTGGGAATCTGGATGCACCGGTCGATTTCATCGCCAATGAATACCCGTTCTGTCGTATAGCCAAGAGCCGGGCTGAAGGCTCTGGTCCACAGTGCGAATTCGCAGCGCGTGTGGAGGCACCGTGTTTCCGATGAGGCTTGCAGCCTTCCCAATTAGGGGAACGTGTTGGTGTGGCTAGGCCTGGCGCTGGCCTATGGTATTCTCCGCGACGCGCCTAGGTTTGCCGAATACGGGCGCCAAGTTGTTTGTTTCTTCAGCTGAAGTCTCCACTCTGCGAGCTTAAAATAATCTCACAGAAGAAATTCCTCAGGAAATCGGAGGTGCTTCGTGTGTCGCGGGGCGAAGGACGGGGCCGTATAGCAGAGGTTTGTGGAGACATCAATTGCTCGAACACACGGCGGGTGTGCTGAAGCGGCTGGTGGAAATTCGGCGCGACAACCACGTCGGTCCAGCCTCATGTCGTGGTCTGCAGACCTTCAGCCCAACCCTAGATCCTATATCTTGGCGCCCGCCTTACACACCTTCAGGGTATAGTCGGCGCCTTCTCGATGATCCAGGCCAAAATCGCATGCACGGATACGGCGGCGCCAGCAGGTGCCCGCAGGGCTGTCCTGCGCTTTATCTTCGGCCAACCCCCAAACTCAGCCTGAGTCTGAAGACCCCATCACAGTTTAAGTGTACTTCCATCCATTGAGATCGGTGATTGTGTTCAACATGTTCCATCTTCTATTGCTCGCGCTTTGCAGCCAATACGCTCAGGCTGGCGTTATCACGGCACCGACCCCTGGCATCACGCCGCCGCCGGTGCTGAGGAGAGATGTGACAACAGCGGGATACAGGTCGACGGGCATGTCCGGTGGAACGACGCTTTGTGAGTGCGCGAAGCTGGATGCCAAACGTTCAATTGCGCTGACCATTCCGAAGGGGGTACCGTGACCATCAATCTAGAGGACCAGATTATCGCCACATCCGGGAGCTTGTACCGTCTTTGCATACCTGGCGACACCTGCGATTTCTTCACGTGCAGCGGAGATTACGTCGTGTATCCGAGCAGCTCGTCATACTGGTATGTTTCGTCGTGGAATGAGAGCGCCGAATCCCTTTGCTAATCTGCGTGCCCGACAGCGGTACTTCGAGCGGTTTGACATGTAGCTGGGATGTCTCCTTCACCGATATGTCAGATACATCGCCTATGACAAACATGTGGTGCGACGATTCGACGCTGGACGGATGGGACATTTTCGCAACAACCCCGTCAGACGGTAAGCCAGCCCCTTCTCCCCTCTTAACACGCTCTAATCCGACGAACAGACCCGACTACGACCCCCGACCCCATCACCACCGACCCAACAACCTCGACGTCTTCGTCTTCCTCCTCATCCTCCATCAGCCCAGTACCCACGCCTACCCCCGGTCCCGACGACAAGAAATCCACACCCATTGGCGCCATTGTGGGCGGCGTAGTCGGCGGTCTCGCCGTAATCGGCATAATAATCGTGCTCGTTGTGATCCTCCTGCGCAAGAACCGGAAGGCAGCAGCTTCTGCCCCGGTAGCTTCGATGCAGTCACCAATGCCACAACACCCGCCGCCAATGGTTCAGCAGTACCATCCGCACCAGGGGCATGTGTCGTACTATGATCCGAATGCGGGTGCCGGGGGTCCGCTGCCCGAGAAGACGCCTGCGATGACGACGAATGCGTATCCGTATTATACGAATGGCGAACAAGTGCAGCAGGGGCCTGCGAGTCCGGTCCCGCAGTATACGCCGAACAACGGGGCGGTGAACGAGCTGCCAGCTACGAGGATGTAGAACAGCGGGCGTGCAAGGCTCGCTGCGTACAGATTGGTTTTGAGGTGCCCTTCCAGCGCTACCTCATTTTCCCCTCCTTGGACGAGAAGATTATCGTGTCCTAAAATGGCGGTTTTCCATTTTCGAGCTTTCCAGTCGCGGTGGAGTAGGCACTGCTGGCATTGTTTTAATAGATGAGCAGCCTCTAGCTTCTTGTATATACTTCTGAAATGATGACGGCTTTCACCACGATCCCAGCTCGAAATCGTCTTCCCCAAGTTGTAGTGATATGCACGAGCAACAGATGAATGGTCTCCATTCCTTCTGCTCTACCTGTTGAGGACTTTCAGGAACGCTTTCCACGCCAAAAAGTAAAGACTAACCTAATATGTATTACGATATATGGTTTCGATTCCTCATATCTCTGCGGGCCACTTGTGATTCGGTCACCGCGGGCGGACGGGCGTACTCGAGACTCTTGGCCGTGTTTGGAAGCCACTGGAACCGAGTATGAGGTTCCCAAGGCTGGAGCGGTACGGCACGGTGCATCTCGGTTGTGTCTTATTTTTGATTCCGGAAAGCGACGCCTGAGGATCCGAGAGACTTGGGCGGATACATCTAGGCCATGCTCCGATGCACTAAAACTTTCGAGCCTCGCCCTTCCGCAATGTGGCGGTGAATATTTGGGCTCCGGAATGTATAGCCCCCGTTAGCCACACCACTGCACAATGCATGGTAAGCAGGTGCAAGTATTTATATCACTGCACAGGTATGCTGTGATGATTTGGATGTGCATGGCTGGAATGACGGCTAGGGAGCTCAGGTTCCGTATCCGGAGGTGGAGTTTGATCGTAGTTCTCCCAGTGCGAGGTCCACTCAATAAGTTGTTTCCAATCAGCGCAAACGTGCTCGGTGCCGAAGCCAGTAACGCCGCCCAGTTCGTCGTTCTGAACTTCGATGGTGAGGTCCGGTTGGCACATCAACGCTTGCCGGAGCAGATCAATGCAGTGCCGGACATGGCTAGGCGTCGCATGATGAGGAAGTGCGGATTTATCCAGCTTCGCTCCACTCTGCGAAATGTCGAGGAGAGTCCAGTACGCGTGGCGAAGACCATCCTGTACAAGTCAGTTCATGTTACATGCGGGCTTAGAGACACTCACAAGGCAGTGCAATTGATGGAATACGGCAAATGTGGATCGGTCGGGGGCAAGTTGGGGGTGCTTGAAGAAGCCGCCTTGTGTCGGGAATGAGCCTAGCCATGCTCTGTCTGTTGTAATATTTGGTCTCTCAGCGAATATGCTCTCGTACTGGAAGGACCGAGCAGCCGAATGAACTATATATGGTCAGCCTGTGTCTGGTAATATTACGATGTAGGCGCTGCTTGCGCTGCAGAATGTCGATTGGGTTCCTTGGCTGTGCGAGGCGCTGGCCAGCCTTGAAGGAAAGACCGGAGACCAGAATTAGAATGAGTAAATGCCACGCCACGTATGGCAATGATATTGTGCTGTTCTCAGATTTGGTAGGTGATGTGGTCAGGGGAACATAGGCGGCAGATGATGCCCTCTTACGCCAGAAACTGGATGCCATCAAGACGAAGCTCGGCAAGAAAGGCCGGATAAGGCGCGGTGCGGTAAAAGATACCGAGTGCTAGAAGCCTTTGAACAGAATAAGCGACGGATCCCAGTAGGGAGAATATTTGGGGCGGGGTGATGTGTGGTCAGGTCTCGGAGAACGAAGGTGCCACGATGCAACCCGCGGCACGCGCCAATTTAGCGTCTTGGCACGGCAACATGTTGTAGGGGAGAAAGAACGACGGAGCACGGCAGGGAGGAACGGACGCTGTTGTGTAGGCTGTTCATGAAGACACGCGCATGGATGTATCCACTAGACAGGTCCAGGAAAGCGTACCCAAGTCAGCCTATAATGTCCTGGCCAATGTCCACACCTTCAAATTGAAATCCAGTCATCTATACTAGCCTAAGAGGGTCAAATCCTTGAAATCCATCTTATGCGGAACGCTCTCATGCGCAACACCACGACGTTACGCGACGCCAAACGCATGAGCAATCTTCCCCTGTCGAGAGTTAGCACAAACCCAAAAGCTGAAAACAGACCGAGAAGTTCAATTCGGATATCTCTACGAAAAACAACTAATTTACAAGACACCACTGACCCAAGGAAACCGAGCACTGCGATGAGGGGTAACTAGCGAACGACAACAAAAGAAATCCGATAGCCGACAGACCAGACCAGGTTAAAAATTTTTCCGCGCAAAGACACCACCCAGATTCCCATTACCATTACAGACCACCACCCCATCGTAACATTACCGTGACCTCCTCGCCTCGTCCTCTCCATCCGGCAACGCACCACTGCTCTCGCTTACGCAATCCCCCTTCGGGTCCTCATAGTTCTTCGCTATCGAATCCGTGATCCAGCGCCAGCTCGACAGGCTCAAGCTACGACTACTTAGCATTAGCGGTTAGGCTGGACGAGGAAGGGGGTAAAAGTGCGTACCTACTGCCTCGCCTGAGCATTGGGAAACAAAAGCGCAAGGCCCTCCTCCCAACCCCTCTCCGTCACAATATCGATAACCGGACGCCCAGACTCGTCGACCGCTTGAAGATCCACTGACCCGCCCTTCTCTATCAATAGTCGTAGGATATCCACGTCGCCGTTCTCGACGGCCTGGAGGACAGCATTCCATCCGCGGTGCATCTTGTTGATGTCGGCGCCGCGGGTGAGCAGCATGGTGAGAATCTCCGTGTCGCCGGAATATCTGCGCAAGGCCTTGACGAGTGGCAAATGCTCGCCCGGTGAATTCGGATCCGCACCCGCCTCATCTAGAAGGAAGCGCACGATGTCTTTCCTTTCTTCGCGGATGGCCGTGGTAAGTGGGGAGAAGACACCGCAGTTCTTGTCCTCGACGCTAACGCCGGCTGCGAGAAGCATCTTGATGCTGTCCAGCTGGTTCGCGACCACGGCCATCTCGATGACGCCACGGAAAGCGCGTGGGTTGGGCGTTTTGGTGAGGAGTTTCTTGAGAATTGGTGGCTGCTTGACTGCCATGCAGAGAGGCCAGTCCGCGCCGCGGATGGCTGGGTCGGCACCGTTGGCCAGGAGCAAGTCGACAAACTCGATGCGATTGTCGCGGATGGCGGTGGTTAGTGCTGTGTTGCCTTCCGGGCTGCGGTCGTTGGGGCTAACGCCCTGGTCCAGGAGGTACATCAGAGCGTCTTTATCGTTGTGCGCGATAGCCGTCTCGATGATGCCCTTGGGTTCACGGAGGTTAGCACCAGCAGCGACAAGCTGTGGCAGGAAGTGCGGGCGGTGGTGTGTGATGCATTTGAATGCGGGATACTCTGAAGCCTTGAGGTTGGGGTCGGCGCCGTGCTCCAGCAGGTAGGTAACGATGTCGGCGCTATTGTCACGGATGGCGGAGCAGAGCGGCGTATACACCCCATCCTTCCGGATGTTCGGGGACACACCAGCTTGAATGATGATGTGTATGGATTCCATCTTCTTCAGACTGGCCGCTAGCTCCATGATACCAGGTGCCTTCTTAGGGTCTGCGCCACGCGACAGCAGAAGCTGGAGGGCCTTTGGCTTGTAGGTTGACGGCCAAAGAGGGTGCTTCGGTGCAGGCAGGTTGGGGTTGGCGCCATGGTCAAGCAGCACCGTCATGAGGTCCACGCGGTTCGCTTGGATAGCTGCGAAGAGTGCGGTCGCGCCCTCACCGTTCTTCGTGTTGGGATCCGCACCTGACTTGAGCAGGAGTTCGACGAGCTTTGGCGAGACGGTCTTGTTCATGCACTGGACAAGGGTTGTGCTGCCGCTCTCCATGATGAGGTTCGCATCTCCGCCATGCGCAAGATACATCTGCACAAGGTCGATGCGGTTCTCGCAGGCGGCCAGGCAGAAGGGCGATTCCGAGCCTGGACCAGCAGAGAGATTCGTGTCGGCGCCATGCTTCAGTAGGATCTTTGCGCCCTCATAGTATGGGATTTGGGTGGCAGCGAACAGCGCCGTATACCCATCCTTGTCGAGGCCATTGACGTCGGCTCCGTGCCGGAGCAAGAGGCTGATGCTCTCGGCGTCCCGGTTGTGCACAGCGGTTCTCAGCATGCCAGCTTCTACCCGGGCATCCCCCCTAGCGCCGCCATCGAGTAGTTGCTCGAGCATTCTGTGCCTCTTCTGCTGGACAGCGTCCACTAGGGCCGCCTTACCGCCAGATGCCATTGAGCCCGCCGGTTGCCTAGGTGTCCAATGCGGTGATGATGACGCTTCTTGTCTGCGGAAAGAGGGTTCATGCGAATAGCGGTCGTGGAGGGAGAGATCGTGCAACTGCTCTTCGGCCTGGGCCTTAGATCTGCTGGATTCTTCGGACGAGCCCTCTCCGTAGCCTGAATCATGATACGGGTGGTGCTGATAGACGACCGTATCCCTTACCGAATGCGACTCATTCGATCGCACGCTGGGCGCTCGCCAGTTGTTGTGGAGGTCGATGATTCCTTGGGACAGGCCCTGTTCGCCGGGTCGACCATAGAGGTCACTGGCGGACGGGTGTTCCCTCAGCGGCGAGGGAGGCATGTAGGAAGGGTCCAGGGATCGCTGTACAGGAGTAGAGCGGTCCGTGGAGCGGTCCAGAGGAATACGTTCTGTGGGCATGCGTTCCAGTGTAGACCGCTCAAGGGGCACCTGCTTGGACGGGGGTTCCGGCGGTGACGACGATGGAGGGGGCTGCATCGGCGGGAGGAAGCTGGACTTGCCCGGATTGATGCGCTCGAGAGCAGCAGCGAGGCCGGTGTACCCAATGCTCATTTGGGAGTCCGCCTTTGCGTCCCCAAGCGTCCACCGGAACATGGCTGAGCTCATCCGCAATGCCTCCTTGCTCTTGGTCAGGCTCATGCGCACTTTGTCGACGTCGGTATCGGCGAACATCATCCGAATAGCCCTACCGAAGCCGCCCTTCTTATGCTCGTTGTCCAGGAACTTGAGCATCAGCTGGTTGAGCACGATGAACTCATCGTTGATCTGGCGAAACCGTTTGTCGAGCTCCAGGGTCACATCGGAAGGGAAGGCATTGCGCTTATGAGATGCTTCTGTCAAGCCGGCTTCTATTGACCAGATGAGACGGCTCAGGTCGAGGAACTCGCTCGCGAGGCTCTGGAATCCATGGACGGGGTGTTTGGCGGTGCTGAGGTACTCGAGCATGCGGATCGAAATGGAGTTCCCCAGAAGGGTGATACGGTTGCAGAGGTCGAGAGACGATTCCTTCTTCGACGGAGCCATGGCGGTTGGTGTGAATTGCGTTGCCCACTGCAAGCAAAGAGAACTCAGAACTGCTCCCGGCGGAGGGATTCACACCTTTTGAAATTCCCCTCACATGCCAATCCCGCTAGAACCACGGCTCAGCTGCCTTGCCACGTTCTGGACGTGCGCGTCTCGACCATGAGAACGCAATTACGGGCCCCTCGCGATAGCAAGCGAATGGTGGTGTGGCCGCGGAGAGGCCGTCTGGCTAGCGTAGTCAGGGGCACGGTCGTTCCAAAAATAAGGTTCGACCACCGATGAGCCCCGCTGCTAGTCATCGGGGCGGCAGATCAATCCAGCCAGCGAGATTGCACAGATGGCGTTCGATCTGGGGAGTCCCCAGAACGCCGCGAACTTTCTGACAGCTGCCATGCACGTGCCCGCCTTCGAGCCAAGGTCCATTATGGAATCGGGAGTGTGCCATGAGTAGCCACCCTGCGCAAACTTTCTAGCTCCTCAACAGGATGATAGGGACAGCTGGTTGCCGAGCGCGCTAGACCAGAGTATTTCCGGTTCGAATCTTGTTCTCGTTCACCCGGCGCCTTAACGATGCCTCGAGCCCGTCCCCTTTCGTACTAGACTCGCAGGATCTGATGAGGGGCGAGCTCGCGAAACTCAAATATCGAATACTTTAGAAAGGATGATATAGACCCCTATCGTGGATGCTGACTCAAATGCAAAACGAGATGCAATTGTTGCTCATGCAGAGCTTCCAGAGGTGGGCAAGCTCCGTTGACGGTCGTATCCTCTAGCAAGCCGTTCATGTAGCCCACCATGCGCTTTCTTAGCAGCGCAAAACAAACGCATATGCGCCATGGCGTACGGAAATTCTCCGTCCCATTGGGCGTGTTGCTAGCGAGAAACTTTGAACTGCTCCCAAGCGGCAGCCAGCGCGCATCAACGGGAAGACGAAGAGATAGCGTGAACACACAGCCGCTGTCACAGTGGCAATTTGAATCGGAGCTCCCTCGATGGCCTTCGCTTGAGAAACCGATATAGCGTGTTCGCGGGAGAGTGCACATGTCGCTTGAGATGGCTCGGCGCCAGTGTCGAGGGACCCACGCTGCCAATGTATGTCATGACCTGCGGTGCAGACTATAACAGCGTAGCTATAGTATCAATAGAGCATGGGGCGCCGAGTGCACATTCCCAGCAACGCCAGTGTGATACTTGGTAGCGAAGGTTTGTAATCTGCTCGGACACCATTGTCGTCCTACTCTCGGCCCGCTCTTCAATGCTCAGGAACTAGTCTACCGGTACGGTATGGGGCGCAGTTAAGACCAACCCGAGTTGGGCACGAGCCTGGTCATCGCACCAACCGTTCGACGGCAATACGTCCTCAACCGCTCAGCTCCAGTAGTCGAGCCGTCAAGCAGTCGAAGTGGCAGACCTAAGCGTCACCTTGCAATCAATTGGGATTGCAAGGCTGGAGACGCCACTGATAAAGCAAGGGAGGCAAGAAAAGGGGAACGGGAAGTAAAGACGAATAATAAAAGGAGGATATTTGGGTGTGCTGTAGCGCAGGATGTCGGAAATTGTTCCGGAGGAGCCCTACGCGTAGCGCCGACGGGGTTGAATTTCTGAGAGCATGAGGCTCGTAGGAGTGTCGGTCATCCCCCTTTAGAGGCAGCTCCGCAGAACGCTACCCACGGCCGTTGACGGGAATTGCCTTGGGAGCGCTCGCGCACGAGGACTTAATTGTTGGCGATTTCCACGGTGTCAAATGCGGGCAAGGTATTCCTCGAAGCTCGGTAGATGGTGCCGCAGACTACTGACGGGTCGGGCATAGAGCATGCGAGTTGTGCAAGTGGCTGACTTGGATGGCTCAGCCCGTCGAAGCTTCGCGCGATGCTTTTCGAAAGGGCGAAGTCTCTTTAGCGGATCTTCAGCTTTCCCAAGCTCCTGATCTCAGCCACGGGCCTTCGCTACCGAGCCGGAGCTCCCGGGACCATGCCCCTGGAAGGCGTGAGCTCATGGCCAAGGTTTAGTGTTGGTTTGCGGTGGAGTCTGGACTCTGGAGGGAACCGGATCGGCCAGTGGTGGTACATGGAGGGTGGGGCACAGTCACACTGATCATCTGTGGGCTTTTCGAGAAACGCATCTGCAAGCAGGCGGCGAGGCAGATATCGCGTAGGTGGAGATGGTGGTGGTGATGGTGATGGGTAAAGCACGGAGAATTTTTGGCGCTAGGGCGATTAGCGCGAACTCCTCCAGGCGTCGGTATCGCTATGCCGCCTGCCATCTCTTCCGAGGGAGCAAGCACTCACTGTCGTCGACGGCACACATCTCATCCGCCATGACTTCGAACCCGACCTTGTGCGAGTTCAAAAAAAAGACGCCCAGATAGGCACGGCTGCTCCTTCGAACCAGCCCTATGAAATGTTAGTTATGAAGCGGAGGGTACTAGGAGTACCCAATCAATGGAGGAAATGAGTACCTGTCCATGCTGCTGGGCGTGAGCATCCTATCTTCTCGATACCGCTCTATCTACATCCGAAAACGGTCACGTCTCTGTTGCTGGGGACAATATACTTTGCAGACACGAGATGGCTGAGCACCAAATTTTGAACCCCGAGGAACCAATCACAGCAGTCTTGGCCGTCGTGTCACGCATTCTTGCTTTTTCCCGCACTGTGATCGATTTTGGATCCGCGACGTCGGGAGAGTCCACAGATCGGCATCCATCGAAGTCTTCCAGGATGGGCTCTTCCCGCAGGCAAGGAACGTGTACGTGCGCGGATAAAGTCGCGAGGTACACGTGCGAATTCCTCGAGATACCAGGCCCACGGGTGCAGCGACCTCGCTTAGGAGCGCGTCCGGCTGCATCAGCAAGCAGCCGTCAGGACGCGGCATAGCTGGGAGAGTAGAGGAAGCCCTTGTCTCACCGAGCCATCTTGTACGCAGAGTCGAAACCAAGCGAACGGCGTGCGGACCACTTCCAGCAGAACTCCAAGGTGGGTTGCCGATCATTGCGCACGCCTCCACATGTCCCTTGTATGTGCCCCACCATGTCTAAATACGGAAGCGCTGCATTGCATACGAATTGATACGATATCAGCCCTCCCCACCATGCGCTTTTGCTTCGGTTTGCGAAGCATTCTTGAATCTGCAATGCGAAAAAGGCAGCTCCATGGACAGCATGCTGCGCGGTGAGCATGTAAAGAGATATAGCGGTCCCACCGCGCTCGAGAGCCATTGCCCTTTCACGTCTGCCACAGCCTCGTGTGCGACGAACCTCGACGCTTGGGAAAGTCCCATCACATTACTCTGTCCGTCAGAATGCCTTCTCAAAATCCATCCCCCGGCCAGATGCCGAAGAGCCATAGTATCGCCGAACCAGTCTATCTTGTAGGTGCATCTCCTCTCGCATTCGCGCACACCAAAACCAACACCAAATCAGGGAGCCGTATGGGGACTTCTCGGCATCTCGTTCCTCTCACTCCTCGGCCGCGTCTTCATCAAATGGAGGACATTCGCCAAGCTCTCTTGGGACGACCTTTTCGTCATCCTAGCCTTCATCTTCAGCGTAGCCATGGCAGTCACCATGCAAGTTACCTCACGCTACATGTATCAACTCGAATACGTGCGCGTCGGGCTCGTCTACCCTCCGCCACCGAGCTTCATGGAAGACACCGGGAAGTACTTCAAAGGCACCATCGCCATGGGCGTCTTCTTTCCCTGCTCGCTCTGGGCCGTCAAGTTCGCTTTTCTCCTCTTCTTCTGGCGCTTGGTCAGCAAAATCCAGAGCTTGCGTCGGCATTGGTACACTGCCTTCGTGTTCACTCTTTTGAGCTTCGCCGCGGCTTTTGCGGCGACGGACTGGCGGTGCATTGCGAGTCCGGTTGAAGTTATCTTCACAACTTGCGCGTCGAGGGATTCGGGAGTCCGGATGAGATTCTTCATGTGGTTCATTTGCTCGATTGATGTCTCCAGCGACATGCTGAGTGAGTGTTCGATGTCGGGACTCTTGCACTGTTGCTGACACTGACCGCATATGCAGTCATGTCCATCCCTTTCGTGCTCTTGTGGCAGGTCAACAAGCTCCCCTTGCGCAAGCGAATCAGCCTGGCGGGCCTCTTCTCTCTTGTATGCGTCACCATGGCTATTGCATTCGTCCGCGCCTCCCAGATCACAGCGTACAAAGGGCAGCCAGATAACTCTAGGACAACACTTTGGAGCTTCGTCGAACAAAGCATTGGTGAGCTCGGGCCTTCGCGCTCTCTCTCGTACCACCTATTGATCTGCCGCAGCTATTATCATCGTCTGCCTAGGCTCTGTCCGTGTGCTGTTCACGTCAGAGTCGAACCGAGCCTCCAAGAGATCGTACCAACATCAAGCGCAGCCGCCTTGCCTCCTGCGGTCACCAGAAGCGTCAAGTGGCAAGAAGCCGAAGCATCCCAACGGCGTCACCGTCGACACTGTGAGTGCCGAGATAAGTTACGCCGCATCGTGGCGGCATTCGGATCTCGAATCCGGGAAAGGATCCACCATTGCGAGCTCAAAGCATTGCGGGACATGCACGTGTGGCAGCTGTTAGAAGCCGTTGGCATTCCATATTTCTTTGACCCTCTTGGGATCCCGCTCGTTTCGCCTATCCGTCATCTATTGAAATTCTGGAGCACCGGTGGATAGAGTCTTTGGTAGTGCAGACCCGCTCAACAGGTCCGATCGGAGAGGGCGGCGGCGCCCCCGGCTACTCCAGAGTCCTCCTGTGCCCCCTCTTTACTCTACACCTGTTTTTCTCATCAATCTCTGAGCGGTCTCGATTCCGTACCGCGCCACCTCCAATCGCCCGGACACGTGCGCATGCTCGGATTCCATTCGTGTTGCCTCACGGAAGCTGTCGCAACCGAGCCCCCGGCGTGAAATGAAACCATGCAAAGAGCCCCGAGGGCCATCACAAAAACGACAGAAACAAAGGCATTTTACCAAGACTCTGCTCTCAGCAAGAAACGTTATGCACCTGAAAGGTGAGGCTCCGACACTGCCCCTCTCGGGTCTCTGAAACCCGGTTAGCTTCATGCCGACCGTCCGTGCGCCTCAACAACACCTGCTTCTGCCCACTCCAATGTCGTCTCAGCTGCCATTCCTCCTGTGGCTACGCTTGGCTGCACCCTCTCTGACGAACGACGTTTAGCCAAGAATCCTCATTGGTCCGCCGTGCTCGGCTTCCATTCTCGGAAAATGTTTCCATCTTCCGCTTTTCTGATTCGTCGATTTCCATGGATTTTCTGCCAAGTGCAAACCGCACAGCACTTTCAGGACCGCGCGCGATGCAATGTCACCTGTCCGTGTTCGAGACTGGTGGGGTTCTGCTCTTGGGTGCCAGCGACAAGAGCCTAGCTGCCTCAAGGCAACCTCCGGATTGCAGGAGCACGGGATGTGATCAAACAAGTCCAAGAGGAAGCCACGCAGAGCACAACTGTGGCGAAGGGATACCTTCCAGAAAGGGGCATGTGGTCATAGCTATGGGGAAAGCATATATCTCGAAGGCCCATTCCATCTCTCCATCATCATATCCGCTTTCAACCTAGTCACTTCTAATACCTTCCGTTCTTTCTTTCGTGCAGAGCACTAATCTTAATTCTTGAGAGCAGAGCTCTTTTCCGTTCTTTCGATTCTCCTTAGACTTAGGATACGCCTCTACGGCACAACTTTGCTTTCTCTCGTTCCGAGACACATTCACGATCCATAATGAAGACCGTATACTCACTCCTTACCCTCCTCTCCGTATCTTTCGTTGCTGCCGGGCCGCTGCCGGCACACCTTGGGCGAAATGCTCCGATAATGAAGCGAACGGAGCACCTCGTCGAACCCGCTCCTACCCATGCTATGCCTCCTCCAGCTGCGGAAGGGGTGGATCCCAATAAAGCGGCAGCGGATGCGGCTGGTAAGTCTCCCCATGTGGCCCTAGAGATACCCGACTGATACGGCCATTAGCCGCGGAACACAAGGCAAAGGCAGATGCTATGGAAGCTATGCACGTAGCAGAAGCCGAAGCGAAAGAGAAGGCTCACCAAGAGGGTATGTGGAGTCAAGTTGCCGCAACTGCCATCAACGGCTAACAAGTACTCCCAGCTGCCGCACAGATGGAAGCGATGCATGTTGCGGAAGCCCAGGCGAACGACCAAGCCGACCAAGAAGGTAAAATATCCTTTGTCACCCTTTCGCCATCCTACTGACAAGCCTTGCAGCCGCCGCCCAGATGGAAGCAATGCATGTGGCAGAAGCTGAAGCCAAAGAGAAAGCTCACCAAGAGGGTATGTCAGCTCCAGTGTCCTTTCATGTATCAGTCCTCGCTAACAAGCATCCAGCAGCTGCACAGATGGAAGCAATGCACGTCGCGGAAGCAGAAGCCAAGGACAAGGCTCATTTAGAAGGTGCCCTACCACAAACCCCCACCGCCAACCCATCACTAACCAGCACCTCAGCCGCCCTCCAAGCAGAAGCCGAACACATCGCAAAGCTAGAAGCGGAAGCCGCAGCCCACAAAGCCGAAGCAGACAGGAAGGAACTCGAACATCAGCAAGCAGCTCAGCAAGCGGAGATCGAACACCAACAGGCAGCGCAGCAGGAGGCTGAGCAGGCACAGGAGACGGCTATGCCTGAGCCTCCTCCAGCGCCTATGCCCACGGAGGTGCTTGCATCGGAGCATGTGGCTACGCCTACCAGCGCTGTGGAGCACGTAGCTATGCCTACGGTCGTCGTAGAAGAAGCTGAGCCCACGAGCGTCGCGGAGCATGTCGTGGCGGAGTCTACACCGGCGGTAGCGCACATAGCCGAGACCACCAGCACCGTGGAGCACGTCGCTATGCCTACGGTCGTCGTACAAGAAGCCGAGTCCACGAGCATCGCGGAGCATGTCATGGTCGAGTCTGCAACGGCGGTGGAGCACGTAGCCGAGACCACCAGCGTTGTGGAACACGTAGCGCCTACATCAACCGGGGCTCCGGAGCATGTGCCCACGCCAGCACCGACCGAGGCAGCAGTACTAGAACACCCCGGGAACGCCGAAGAGAGTGTCGAAGTCGAGGTTCAAGTCGAACATCCGGCCGTCAATGATACCGAGCCGGCCGCGAGCAATGCCACTGTTCATGAGAGGAGGGCGAGGCGAATGCGCCATGCTGCGAGGCTGTATTAGTCGGGGGTGTGACTCCGTCGGCAGGCATGCCTGTACGATGAGATGGAGAGATGACAGGGATGGATTCGGGCATCGCGAAGACATTCAGTACGGTGGAACATACTAGGGAAAGCGTTCTTGATAGAATTTATTTTGTAGCGAGCGGAAGAAATCACTGCCAGCTCCCTATAAATCGAGCGCGAACTTGCATTGGCTGCTAGTGCAGGGAGTGGGGTATTGCGTCTGCTCCTTAATCGCATGAGAAATGGGATGGATTCCTCAGCTCGATCACCACTTTCTCTTGACTGACATGCTAGGTACATGCCCCCCTTCTTTAACATTGGGTCACATATTCTATCGTTGGGTCCCCTCTGGCCTATCTTCTAGTTTCTTCTCCTCTCCGCTCTCCTGCTCTCTCTACTACCCCATTTGCTACTTCTAGAGCATACAATAGCTCCAGCCATGAGACAACCCTGGACAACCTCAGGACATTTGTTTAGCTAGAAACAAATTCGTGGAACATGTGAGTGACGCACATCTCTAGAGATAACCTCGTCTTATTTTAATGATGCTGAGCTAAGTACGCCGCCCAAAGCAATCACGTCCTCCGGCTTTTCGGGTTTCAAAGTAATCGATTCCCCGTTCAATCAGTTCTTCGTCATGTTTGCCTACGCGTTCCTTCCTTATGTCTTCTAGATGGCATCGCTAGATAGAGGAATGGTCTTTTAATCAATGTCCTTTATATCGATCCTTCTTCTATCAGGCCTTTCCTCCATTACGCCTTCTCCTATCAAGCCTCCTTATACTTATTCTTTTTCCAGAAAGTCTCCCTCTAAGGAGCACCCTCCTGTTAGTCCTTCGTTTGTAATATCCACGTTATCTGTTTTTCATTTCATTCGTCATGCTGCTATCAATCTATCAGTACAATGTTGTAAAGGTTGACTTAAGCTTAATCCTGCTTATATAATCCAGTCAAGATTTTACTGTAAAGGGCCGGGTACTTTCCTACCCCATCGTGGCTGGGTCTACTTGAGGGCTTCACCAGAGGCACAGTAGTAGCCGTCTAATTCCTAGAGTGCCACGGCTTAGACGATGCTTGGACCACATCGACTTTTTTCATCGTTCGAGAATATACGGCCGGACCACTCCTTGGCGATGATGGTTTCCCTCATTGTACAGGTGGACGTCTCCCGAGTAACTCCTGGCGAGACCGACTTCACACATTGTTCAAGCATATATCTCTGGATTGCCCCGTGGGGAATGCTACCTGCTCCCCCATTCCCCGTCCATGTATGACGAAAAATAGAACCTCGGGTTGTACGCACGCTCTTGGAGCGAGTGCGGCGCGTTTCGCTATTCACAATGGCACGGCCACTGCTGGGTATATATTGATAGTCCTTCATAGGCTTCCAGACTAAGACACGCTCCAGAGCCCTCCCAACTTGCAACCTCAAGAGCAACCCAGAGAGCAACCCAGGAAGCAGCCAAGAAGACAACCCACAACCCCGAGCCCACGATCCTCAAATAGTCATGGCACCAGCGAAGAAAGCAGCACCTGCATCGCGGAACTACGCCTGGTTTTGGAACCACTTCCTCACTTTCCTCAATGTCCTTGACACCGCCAACACCGACGTCGAGGATATGGCACACGCAGCAGCCTGCATCGCGGTCCTCGGAGGAACCATGTCGGCGCAGATCCTGCAGGAGCCACAGCCCATCTCCAACTGGCTCCGAGCCTTCGAGCCTCGGGCGCTTGTCTGGCTCTATCGCCAGGACGTGGGACTCGATGTCATCGAGCAGCTGAAGGACAAGGCAGACCGCGACTTCTTCAAGGAGTTCGTCGGGTTCCTGCGGCCGTACGTCGATAAGCATGTGCGCAAGGAAGTCCGCGAGAGCAAGGACCAGGCCAACGCGGTAGAGTACCCCAAGTGGGCATTGGATACGGCGCGTTCCTCCTGGAAGAAGTCAGCTGCCCATCTATGCAAGATCGCACAGCAGCACAGACAGGCCAACTCCGGACAAGACATTCGCCGGTTCAAGGAGTTGTTCGACGAGTACGTGGATGAGTTTGACGAGGTCAAGAACTTCCCTCCCTTCGTGGTCGCCAACGACTACAACGTGAAGGAGAACGGAGAGTTCAAGAATTACGTCTCTAGATACCCCGGAGACCCGGACCCGGACAATTTCCCCGTGGGACCCGAAAGCGATTCGGATGAGACCATGGAATCCGAAGGCGAAGAAGATCCAGAGGCCGTCGAGGAACTCGAACGCTACGAAGATTCGTTGGCCATTGAGGAACCCGAAGGCGATGATGAATCAGTGCTCGTCTCGGACCACGAAGACGAAGAGGCCCATGAGGAGGATTCCCCAGTCGCTCGCCGCTTATCTCGTTCGACATCGTCATACTCTCCACCCCTTTTTGCTCCTGCACGGGGTGCGAACTGGGTCATGCCTCCTGGCCGAGAATACCCACCCTTCACCGATGCAGACATCGAAATGGACGACGCTGAGGACCGCATCGCGGCCGATACGTCTGGTGTCGACGCAGACGATGACGGCCCAGATGAGCCCGATCTGCCGACTCCTCGCCAGCTCGCCAATGGTATAGATGACCTCTCTCTGCAAGAAATGGGTGGCCCAGCGGCCCAGTACAACATCGACGCGAGTATGGACTTAGACGCACCACCGCGTGTACAACATGAACCGAACGACGCACTGGTAGAGTATCAGTCGGCCGGTGAGCCAATCGCACAGGATCAATTCTGCCATGTTCATCGGGCTCTACCGTTTGAATGCTTAATCTGCAAAGGTGATTTCACGTTGCGGGAAGCCCAGCCTGATTCGGGTCTGATCGCCTGGACAATTTGTGGCCACGCCTTTCATACACGCTGCCTTAACAATTGGGTCAACGAGGCTGCCATGGACACAAGTAACCAGTGTCCTCTTTGTCGAAGGGTGTTGTGTGTTGCTCGTGAACGGGTCCATCCAGGGGGTTTGGAAGAGGATACGTCGTCGGATGATAGTTCGTCTATAGTGTTCATTGGCCTGGATCGCCCTAGATGAATGTCATTGGCATAGCTAGGGTGATACTGCCATCGGGCTTGCTCAATGGGGAGAGTGGTGCTGGGGCGAGCTACGCTGTCCATCAATAAACCAGTCGCCTAGCACTATCAAGCGATGATTCATATATCGAACAATAATTGCGCAAGTCCTGAGAATTTTGAAGGAATCGTGTAAGCAGACCGTCTCTCGTCAGCAAAATGACGCTTGTGGAAGTTTCTTTGGTAGAAATAAAGTTGATTAGTACAACAGCAAAAGGTGTGGTCTCGCAACAAATAGCTTAACGAGACTGGCTGCGGCTAATACCGATTCGGACGGCTTGATCGTCCTCTAAATTAGGAGCGTTGATATTGCGGCTAAGTTCTGCTAGGCGCAGTCAGCCGTCAGGCTCTCTCTGAATAGGGTCGTCATCGGGCCATGGCGGGTCCAAGTCTAGGTATGGGCCTACCTCAACCAGCCGCAAATAAGTGCAGGCCCCACTCGGGTTTACTCGAAAATCTCAATTCCCACCAAGTCTGGCGCCCAAGTATCGCCCACAGCGCGAAACATAACCTCATTGGACGACCCTGCCTTGAACCCATCCACTTCCACCATCAGCCTCCCCGTCTCGAACCAATCGCCACCAGAGATCGGAAACGCCCATCGCTTGGTCGTGCCACCATTCACCGCAATTGTCATATTTCGCGTATTGGACCCCCAATCCCATGCCGTCGCGAAGGCATAGTCGTAGTTGATGAAGTCTACCCCAAGGAGCTTCTTTCCAGAGGTTTTCGAAGCGACAGAGTGCACTGCGACGCTGGCACCTTGCCCGATATTGCCGACCTTCTTCTGCGTGGGTACGCAATCTCCCGAGGTGCAGTTGACAATGCTGGCTGTGCCCCCGAGGGTACCGTTGGCGGCGGAATAATATCCGGCAGAGGAAAGTGTGGTCGCGCCCGTGATATTAGAGAGGACCCATAGCTTCAGTTCATGCCCCGCCAGACTAATACTCTGAACGCCCGTAAGCACACCGAGATCTTTGGCCGCCCATACATCTCTTGCACTCGCCGATGTGATATTGAGACTGCTCAAGTCGATCTCGTGGCTTCTGGACTGATTGTTCCAATTTGCGACACCCAGAACCTTCCGTGAACCCGACAGCTCGCCAAGCCAGATATCCCATTCGTCTTCCGTGTATCGGCGAACAAGCTGCGCTTGCTTGGCTAGGGAGTCTTGATTGATTGCGATGACCTCTTTGTTTGACAGCGTGGCTAGAGAGGTCTTAGAGAGCAAACTGTCTAGAATGCCGCCGATGATGAGCGGTGATTTGTTGATGGCCCACATGCCGAAATGGAAGCGCTCCTCTTCTGCAGAAAGGGCGCTGAGCCCGACCCTATTCATGGTAAGTCTCGGTGTAAGCGCCGCGACGGAGGCGAGGCATACAGCAGCATGTCCATATCTGGGAAGGCGCCCGGTCTGGTCTGCCTGTGGTATGGTACTACTTGGTTTGTGATGCGCCAGATACTGCGCCACGCGTTGTAGATATCATTGCTCATCCTCCACGTGTTCCCAATATTCGAGGCCCTATTGAATTAGCGTACTGCTGTCATGTGCATCAACCCAATCTTACCAGTCCCCGACATTCTCTCCTATTCCCCACTGGCAAATAAAGTATTGAAAGTCACGGTTCACGTTGTTCAGGCTCGCGGCCATTTTCTGGAACCGAACGGGTGACTTCGCCTCTACGGAGTCGGAATCTACCATCGTGGTTCGGGAGGTTGAGTAGCAATTATCGTATCTGCCTACGTTGGTAAAGCTCGATAGGGCCAAGCGGGGCACGTCATAATGAGTTCTCACATACTTCAAGGTATCACCACCCCATCCAGCGAACGTGTTCGCATCTATGTCTTCGTATCCTAGAGCCCAATCAGTACTCCCATGCGCCGCGCATCATGTCAACTCACCAAGAGACCCCGGTAAGTTCGTAGAACCACACTGGTAGTATCCGGCACCCGAATACAATCCGAATTTGAGCCCTATTCCGTGCAGATAGTCTCCAAGTGCTTTCCCACCCGACGGAAAAAGGGCCGTGTTCCACTGCAGCCTCTGTTGGCTGTCTCGATTTGGTGTCATCCATCCGCAGTCCGGCGTCACGATGCTGTAGCCAAGCTCTTTGAGCCCAAGGTTGACCAGTCCCTGCGCATTTATCTTCACCTTCTGTTCGTCCGGGTTGCAGCCGTATGCATTGTAGGTATTCCATCCCATAGGTGGAGTTGGGGACTTGACATTGCCGGCGAAGGCCGAGGGAGTCAGGAACACAAGCAGAAGCAGGGATTTCGTAGACATCATGTTTTCCGGAGTCACGTGCCTGAGATTGCCCTCTTCCTTCATCGATAGATGGCAGCGGTTACGTTTTTATGGCCGATGGGTCGTTAAACCCCCTCGGTGTATTTCCCCATCTCTTTACATCTTCCCCGGCCTCAATGCTGTTCCCCTGCATCGGGGCATTCTTCTTCCGCCAAAAGGATTCCACCTATCACGAGTTCCGAGCCGCTCGCGAGGACCGGCAGGTGAAAAGGACGGCCGATTAATATAATAGCGCGACCGTTAGCTTGCGGGGTACGTGAACGTCCCCGCAGATGCCCGATGACGCAAAGACGGAGTGAGGCAGCCTGCGACGCATTTTCCATTCGGCAAGGCGCGAACCCGATGTGAGAAGCGCCGCGAAGCTCAGGGCATTTTCGGATGGAAAGTAATGAGGCTGTGGATGTGAGCCCTGGAGCCCTGGAGATGCCGAGGGAACCCCGGGAGCTAGCGCATTTTTGGACTAGCGGCTGTAGATCTCGGCCCAGCTGCAAAGATGACTACACGAGACTTTCTTGCAGCCTCGAGCCGTCCGCGTTATTGTAGGCTCCTTCCCAGTAATAGTCGACGAGGCGCAGCTCAGCTGCAGCCTACGTGGCATGGCTTTCTGTTTCGTTTAGGCAGCAGCTTTGAGAGCGCTGACTTAACCTACACCCGCCGCTGCCGCAACACCTCTCATAGACCAACAAACATGGCTGCCTCTCCAACTACTCCGATTCCGTTGATCCATCTCCTCTGCGTAAACGAAAAGGACATCGCCGCCTTCAATGCCGCAAAAGAAACCTACAAGCTTCCCGCATCAGTCAACGTCACCATTCACAATGCAGCCCTCGCCGCCCTCGATCCAGCTATTCAATTCGACGCCATAGTCTCTCCCGCGAACTCATATGCGCTGATGGACGGAGGCTTCGACGATGCCCTCTCGCGCGCCTTTTCGCCCAAAGGAGACTATCTTGCCCTCACTCGCGTCGCGCAGGCCGCTGTATACAAAGAATACCGCGGTTTCGCGCCCCCGGGAAGCTGCACGCTCATTGATTTGGAGGGCGAAGCCAGCCTGAAGCAGAACAATTGGGGGTGCAAGTGCTTGGTCCTTTGTCCGACCATGAGGATGCCACAGAACGTCACGTGGGATCGAGAGGTCGTGTATGAATGTGTCTGGACGCTTCTAGCTGCCATCGATAGACATAACGGGCGAGTGTGGGAGGGTGCATCTCAAGATGAGCAAAGTGCTGGAGAGGGAGGGATTCGGAGTGTTTTGATGACGCCGTTGGCGACTGCCACTGGCGGTTGGAGTGCTGAGAGGTGGGCCGCACAAACTGTGCTTGCGATCAAGCATTTTTTAGATGCGGTGGAGAACGAGGCGAAATGGAGGGCAATGCAATGGGGTCAGGTTGGACGGTACTCTACTGAGGTAAAGAGAAGCTATAACCTATAGAAGTAGTATCTATACTACAGTCCTAGTACGGTATATATTAGAAGAGAGATAGCTTCGCTTCGCTTCCATGGAACTCTCTCCATCTAGATCTCATCGCACAGACCTTTTATGCAGTCCAACGGTGCTCTTGTATCGAACTCGTAGTGGTCATGTGCGAGAGGAGGGTTATTTTCTTCCCGGCTTCGCAGAACCTGAACCATGTCCTCAACTCCCGACTCGTCATCCTCGAGCAGGTCGAATTCCTCCGTCATCGCCTCCCAATACCGCAGTGGCCACTTTCGTACTACTCGAAATTGCTTTTACTATCACTTTCTATAACTCGTTTGCTAAGCTATGCTTGCCGTACTTAGTTGCTTCCTGACAGGAGTTTGCTTATACATTTTTGTACATACAAATACCCTCTCATAGTACATATATAATGCGTTCAGATCACCCTAATAGCACTGTCTACCATCATAGCAGCCCCGATAGCCATGTCTATGATCTTCACAACCCCATCCGCCCACAAAGGAGTTCAGTCGTCTTTGTTCTACGGACAAAGCGGAGCTGGAAGAAATCAAGCCGTATGGACGAGACACATTACTGGAAAGAAGTCAGGTCATAATGTCGAAAAGATAGGAGGTATAAGTACCGGCTTCAAACCTCTCCCTGAAAGTCAGAACCACAACAAACCCGACAAAATGGCCCTCGTCGAAGAGAAGATTGACACACGACTTCCGTACCGGATTGGTTACCCGATATTGCCTGTCCTTAAGGTCGAAACACGAGGCGCCGGTGATAAAGTACGGAGTTACTTTGCCAATTTCGACGACTTCAAGAACAGTATCCTACCTATATTCGCTGAGCATAATGTTCCTTGCGGCCCTATGCGCTTTGCATACCGGGTAAATCCTGGAATGGATGCTACTGATCAGCACCTCACTCTTGTCATCCCGTCTTGGTACGAGCATGGCTGTCAAGATCGATGGGTCGCCGTGGTCAAAGCGATTCGCTTGAGCCTAGTTGAGTCTGGCATTGACTGTGCTATCGAATTGATCGACAACCTGGTATACATCTTGGGGCTCTTTATCGCACCTATCTTGTCGACTGATCGTGATCTTATTGAAGGCTGGAATAAAGTCCGTTCTACTTTCCATACTATGATCGAGAGTCGAGATTGGGTTTCAGTCGATGTTTTCCGCCGTGAATTCCCATCGCTCGGAATGCGCCCAACAGTCATCATATGCGCACGGGATGCCAACGACGATACGTGGTGGAATTCAACTCTCCCCGCCCTCCAGGAGCTGCTGAAAGCCAATCATCTGGAGCTTGACATTGTCCTCCTTTTCCATGAAGGCATAACCCTTATGACTGGCTCCGCTCCCGGAGTTGGTACTGAGCCTGATCTTGCGGTCGCTCAGGACTTCTACCGCTCCAAAATCTACATGGGCACATCATGCGCAACGTCCGATTCAAACAGAACCGGGACCTTAGGTGGTAGGGTCAAGCTAGAGCATGGGGATGCTGTTCTTGAGCTAGGACTTACTAATTTCCATGTCTTAAGGCATGCTTTCGAAGCTGAAGAACACTTCTCGGAGTCGTTTCCTCCAAATCCGGATCGGTCGTACGGAACCGCGGTTAGCCCCTCAAACAAAGATCACGCATTTACAGTTCGGAAGCTGGAAGCGCGCTTGACGGAAGCCCGTGAGACGTATGAGCGTCTCTCCCAGGATCTCGATTTGTTCCAGGACGATCCATACTCGGAAAGAATACGTCCCAATGTGGAGAGGGAGCTCCATCAGCGTAACAGATTAGAGGAGGAGTTTGGTGAAGCCAGAACGTTCTCTCGTAATATCGGCACTATCTATGCAGGATCTGGATTCCGAACTCGCCACAACCCACAATTTTCCGACCTACAGGAAGATAACAACTGGGCACTTGATTGGGGTTTAGTTCAGATAGTTAGATCGAAGACTATCCCGCGTCAACTCCGGAACATACCCATAAAAACCGACGACAAGGGTTGCGATATTTTCGACCATATTGGTAAGGAAACTGAGGTCAGCCAGTATTGCACAATCTCTACGGATAAGAACTACAAGGTCATGAAGCGAGGAAGGACAACAGGTTGGACCGAAGGCACGGTTAGCGCAATCGCCTCGACGCTTCGCATAAGCGATAAACCTATACCACAAACACCGACTCACCTACAAGAACGGTTCAAAGACATGTTCGGGAATAAACCTGTTTTCGTCCATGGTGTTATAGGTACAGCTAGGGTACCTATATTTCTGGAACCTGGGGACTCTGGAAGCCTTGTTCTGCTAAATCAACCCTCGAATGTCCCTGGCGTCGCTATTGTTGGACTTGGCTTCGCCGGCAACGACGTGACTCTCGCCTCATACATGATTCCCATGGATTTAGTCGTCCAAGACATCGAGGAAATCACAGGGGGGAAGGTCATTGAGCCACAGTACGCGGGCGAGGTGCATGTTCCAAATGATCAGGATAAGGAACGGAAACCGTAAGACAAAGATACTAAATCCAACTGGGGTAGACTTGTGCGGTAAGCCGGTGTCGAGGATGCTGCAGCCGCAGACATAGTTGTATCATGACAAGCAATACACATGCTGTTCATTCTGGCTTGTAATGTAGAGTGGATGAGGGTTGTGCGGTGAAGTTTCTTTGCGTATTATGTAAGCCAGGTGTTCATTTTTGATGAACTTGCGATCCTCTGCATGCCGTAGCTCTGCGAAAATGCGAATGGGAAAATCCGGAAGGGCAGGTAAAGCTCCAAAGCACCAATGATCCTGCACATCAAGGAGCCTTCTCCAATCCAAATAGTATGTTTATAGCCACCTAGCATGCGTGTAGCGAATCTTCTTGCAAAGTCTGCACTGTCCATCCCACCGGTAGCCCTTTCTTGCTCCCTCTCATAAGTATCCTTGATAGGATACCAAAGGCTACGCTTGTCCAAGTGGTACTTTGTACAATCTTTATTGGTCCTGACATTCCCGGTCTGAACATAAGTGACCTTAACTCCGAGAGGAGCAACCTCAACTCGTAGGCATTCGGAGTAAGCGTGCAGCGCTGCTTTTGTTGCACAGTAGCTGGACATGAATGGCAACGGCATGTGGCCGGCAACGGAGCCAACGTTGACAATAGTTCCGTTTGCGACGAGTAATTCGGGTAGGAACGTTTGGCACATATTGATTACGCCCAAGACATTGGCGCCGAACATTCTCTTGCACTCGTCAAGGTCAGTCTCGGTTGCTGGCCGAAAGACAGCTGTCGTAGTTAGTCATACAGCCACCAGACGGAAACGAGATCAATTACCGAATCCAGCATTGTTGACCAGATAATCCAGCCCTTTGCCTTCCAGCAGCTTCACGACTTCCTCGTGGCACGCAGCCACGCTTTTGGGGTCGTCCACGGTGAGCGCCACGCAGTCGACTCCCAACTCTTTCAGACCGGCAATCTTTTCTAGCGTTCTCCCAGTCGCGATCACTTTCAAACCGCGCTGTCGAAGCTCTTTCGCGAGCGCATGGCCGATACCGCCGGGGGTACACCTGAATCGCGTGTTAAGAGGATAGCCATAAGCGTGTGCGAATCCGTACCCTGTGACGAGCGCAATCTTCGGGAGCGCCATCTAGTCGTTCTCGGATGAAGCCAGCCCGCCCCCGATGGTGTCCGTACAAGGCGATGTAACAGTGTTTGTGTGGTAGACAGGAGGATGTAGGTATGGTGTGGGGCGCGTGAACGCCGAGATCTTACCTCACAGCTTCCCTGCACGTCTAACTCTATTAAGCATCAACATCATCTTGCTACGTCCAACAAAGCAGCCAAGCCATTCTACTTGGGGTGAATTAGAAAACTCCGCTTGTTCCTGCCTCGCATGCACTGGCTTCGCCTTCATTCAGGCGGATGACTCCGGCAAGCTCAACTAGAGCGACAAAGTGCTCGACCGGTGGGAAGACCGATCGCTCTGCCGCGCAAGTCTGGAAAGCGCTGATTTTCTGATCAAGCCGGGGCAACATAAGGGCGGCGGGCAATAGAGACGGGACGACAGGCTGAAAGTCAGCCCTTTTCGGTAAAGCGCGGCTTCCTTAGCGCCACGAGTTTGCCCACAAGTCACGGGTCACACCTCCTCCTCCGCCGTCTTCGCGCCCCTCTCGGCCTTTCTCCTTGCACGACCATGGCGAATTTCGTCCGACTCCCGGATACGCTTTCTCCAGGGCCGGCTCTCAAGCTCTACAGAACCCTTGGGGACGGTGCATGATGGAGCCGTGGTCCTTCCTGCAGCCGCGAATGCACCGCACCCATTCGTGCACCCACCATCGCCTCCAAAGACCTACAGCCTCTGCAGGTCTCTGCTCTGAAGCTCTTCTTCAAGTCGCAGTTCTGCACGAAGGCCACAACCCCGCCACCCTCTACCTCCCTTGCTGGGCAAACTGCCCTCATCACAGGACGCAACATTGGCATCGGCCTCGAATGCGCCCGCGTCCTCCTTGATCTGCAGCTGTCCCATCTGATCCTCGCAGTCCGCAGTACCGACAGGGGGGAGGAGGCTGCGGCTCCTCTACGCAAAACCCATTCGAGCGCCAGAATCGACGTCTGGGCATTAGATATGCTCTCGTACGAATCTATACAGGCCTTCGTAGAGCGCTGCACGACCTCGTTGCCGCGGCTCGATATCGCCATTCTCAACGCCGGCGTGATCCTGACGGGCTTCAACATCAACAGATCGACGGGCCACGAAGTCATTTTCCAGGTCAACTATCTCTCCACGGCTCTGCTCGCAACGCTCATGGTCCCCGTGCTCAAGGACAAAAGCGGCCATCATGCGCCCGGCCGCCTCACCATCGTCTCTTCGGGCATGGCTCTACTATCCAAGTTCGCGAACCGTGGCGCTGTCCCTCTGATCCCGTCTTTCGGCGACCCCAAAGGCTGGAATCTCAGCGCTGTGGCGGAACGCTATAGCGTGACCAAGACAATGCTGCTCATGTTCGTAGTGAGCATGTCAATCCAAGGCATGTCATTGTCAATGCGGTCGATCCTGGACTCGTGGCTGGATCCGGCTTGCATCGCCACTTCGCCGGACCGCTGCGAGCGATAATGTGGGGCCTGAAGGTGGCTTCGGCGCGGTCGCTGTAGCAGGGCGCATGGATGTACGTTGATGCGGCGGTGGTGAAGGGGGCCGAAAGCCATGGATGCTTTGTCATGGACTGGAGCCTCTGCCCGTGAGTGACGATCCAGCATGCCTTACTGGGTTTTCTGTCGCTGACGATACTAGCAATCACACATTAATGTACACTCCAGAGGGCAAGCAGACCACAGAGAGGCTGTGGGAGGAGACACTAGAGGAGTTAAGGTTTGCTAATGTAAGAGATATATTGAGTCGCGCTCAGAGTACGAAATAGGTCGCCTATCTTACTCGATATCCTGCACTATTTCTTGGTCGTGTGTTGTATTTTGCTTCTTCTCTGGCTATCTGATGGCTCTCTGCTTCCTTTTTGTCCCTATTTGGCTAAATTGTTAATAACCCTCTTGGAAAACTAGTCCGTGCTAGCTTTCCACTGCGCGTCTACTATATGAATTAATGCGAGATCCCATCAAACCTACACAGGCCAACCTCTTACTACCTATTGATCCCGTCTGGACTCATCTTCAATTGACTAGCGGAGAAACCTAGCGCAGATGTACTTAAGTTGCACGGAGATTGACGTTGATAGTCTTGCGGCTACTGCGTTTCCGAAGGGCGTGAAGATCTCTGAGGCGCGAATGCTACGGGCATATTTGACTGGGGAAGAGAGATCACGGTTCGGTGCTGCGTTGGCAATTCGGCATGACGGCCGATGTACAAGATGCGGAAGGTTGGCAAGGGGTATGAACATCCCGTGGGCCTGTTGTGGGATGGAGAGAAGCGGAAGCCAAAGGATCCTTGGAGATGATCCGGCACGGTAAGTTACCCAGCAGAGAAATGTACGCGTCTGAAACTATCGAGGACTCTAAGGATGCTTCTTTTCATATCGTAAGGCGACTAGAGATGCGGAGGAACGCGATGCGAGCGAGAGGACTCCGTACACGGGTACCTAAGATCGAATGCGCGCCTTTGAGATCTAACAAGAGCAGTAATAAGGCCCTAGACTGGCCAACAGTTCGTTGGGGCCGATCTCAGAGAATCAGCTCAGCGTTCAGAACGTCGTGCCAAACAGATACAATTACCCGTGACAGGGCCGGTCTTACTTCTTATCACTGGCACGCACATAAAATTGCGCTGCTGACGGAGTTCGTGCTCTCGGGAGCTCGACACTGAATCCGTTTTATGCGGGCCATCATGTTAGAACACGAGCCAACGGAGGAACCCCGTCCCCGCGAGAGCAAGCGTGGAGTATGCCAAAGAAAAGCGCTAAAGAGGAAGGAGTGGCGAATAAAATCAATACGGTCGCGTTGGTACGCAAGACACGGTGAGCACTTGCGAAGACCGAACCTAGCACGCTTTTCTAAACCTACAATGGAACTAATATCGGTATCTAGATGACCATGCCCAATCTACCTGGTACGTAACCCTGTGCCAGTATATTTATTCATACATGCGGCCCCACCTAATGCGGGCAGCTTACTCAGGAGGCACCGCCTCGCCCTACATCATCGGCGGCAAGCCCGTCGGTCTCGGTCCGCCCTTGCCCGTCCCTTGAGGCCTGCCGCTATGATGTGGCTTCCCGGTACCATGGGGCCTTCCCGTCCCCTTTGGATGATGCGGCTTCTGCGTACCCGTTGGGTGGGCGTATCCATCTCCGCGATGAGGCCTCGCATCTCCCCCCGAAAGGATCGCGGAGAATGGTTCCTCATGCCTAGGCGCGAGATGGTAGTCGATCTCAAGGCTGCGTTCAACAGGAGCGGGCGTGGGAATTGGACCCCACGGTAGAGCTGACATGGCGCCGTTGTCGGTGCCGGAGGGAAAGGGAGGTGCGGTGCCAGTTGGATAGGGATGAGGACGGGTACCCGTTGGGAAGGCTGGAGGAGGGTGGGGGTAGCCGGTTCCAGAGGGCTTGGGATGGTGTTTTGGGCGGTTGTGGCGAGCTTCGAAGTTGGCGCCGAAAGGGACTATGAAGTGTTAGCATGCTCGAATGGTAGAAGGCGATGTGTACATACAGGCAACGGACATGCCTACGAAGGCAAGCACGATGAGAGATCGCATCTTGAATGTGTAATGAAAAGGCTGATTCGATCGGAAGTGAATGTACGGGATAAGGGTGCCCGAGAACGACAGAACTCAAGGAGTTATGAGCGTAGACTGGCGCCGTCAAAGAGTGACTTTCAAATAAGTGGTAAAGACGGTCTGGCCTCGCAGCGCAAAAAGGAAATCCAGCCCAAAGCTTCGAAGAATGGAGGTTGAGCGACACTACTAGCGAGAGCAACCGCGCCTCTCTATATACATTCCCCGGAGGGATGATACCAAACATGATCAACAACCCTTCCATCTACGACGCAGGTACGCATCCTAGATCCGCATTGCTATCGGATGAGCCTGCAGGAGGTCCACCTTCCACGCATAGTGCAGATCGGCACGGCACTCCGAAGCTCTCCAGCAACCGTTCTGAATTACCCAAGGGAGTGGGTCACGTTAAGCATTCTCTCATGTATGGTTGGCAAGCATTGACAGCCACGAGACGTCTCGGAGCAAGTCCGATATACGCCGATTGCGGGCTGTTTCAGAACGTAGTCCGCTGGGGGTTGAATGACGAGCTACGTGCTTGGAAGGAGTGAGAGCCCAGTGATACCGTAGTCCGAGGCGCTCATGCTGCCCCTGCATGTAGTTGGGGGCCGTCATAAATTAGATGAGGATCTTGGTTTGATGTGGAAGGCGTGGGCATAGCTGTACCGGACGTTGGAGATGAAGGGAGCGTGGGGAGTTTGTAAGGGATCCACTTCGGAGTTTCGAAACACCATGGTGAACGCCAAGCACCGACGCTGATTGGCGGAAGGTCCGTGGACGTATCTGCAAGTAAGCCATCGCGCTTATTAGGCATGTTTCAGGAGTCGGTTGGTGATCTGCTGTGGATGTGTACGTTGGGGACTAATGTAGAAAACTTCGTAGGAATGCGTGTGGCAGGTTGAGACTTGGTAGCGACGTCCGACTGCTTGGTCTCGGCCAAGGTTCGTCAGCTTTTCTGGTCACCAAAGGGCTGAAGGCGTTCCTTGACATTACGCGTCTCCTGCACATGAGATTGTAGCTTGCGCTAAGGTAGTCCGATATTTGGTAGCGAGGTACGAGCTCAACGTGCGTCAGATTCGGGACCGGTTTCTGCGCTGGCGAGCTAGCGCTTCTCGCTTTAAGTTCACCGGACAATTCACCATGGGGAAAATATAAGGTACGCAATCAATATTGCTCTTTGATACCTGAATGCATCTTTGGACTGTAGACGTCGGCGGCAGTTGAGGTTCGAATTCGTGTTTGTGGGTTGGACGGGATGCTGATAACGCCTGCAGAATCTCCAATCTCGTCCATATCATGACGTTGCAGGTTGAAGAGAATAATTTGTCTCGGACTCAGTTTGCCAGCATCTCTTCGCTCAGTGCTCACATGGCCGTCATCCGCAACGAGCTCATAACCACCCGACCCTCTTCGCTGCAAAGCTCCACCCGGACAGCAATGCGGTCGCACCCGTAAAGACGATGAGAGCTCCATAACCGGACCCGTATGCCATTCCGGCCCTCCAAGATCCTGCCTCGACCAGTGCTTCAGAGAGTGGTCCACTGCACAGATTGGCGATTCCTTTACCAGCCGAAAGACAGGCGAAGATCATGCCGGAATCGGCGCCCCTCTTCTTATCCCTCGTGTCCCGAATGATGGCGCTCCAGGAACTCGAATTGCATCCAGCGAAAGCACCGTAAGCAAGAGAGAAGATGTACAGTGGCGCCAGAGATGTTGCAAGGCCCCACAGAAGGAAGACGCCGATGGTGGAACCTAGCGCAGATACGAAAAGACAGTCGACCACATCGTACTTGTCTACTGCTGTGCCCATGCAGAGAGAACCCACAAAGGCTGCGGCATTCAGTAGGATAAGGGTGACGGTGCTTTCTAGGCCGGATGCGCCTAAGGAGCGGGCATATGTCGGCAAGTAAATGGCCGGAAGGAAGTAACCCAGGCTTTGGATCACGTTGCCGGACTGGAGGATGAGAAAATTAGTGCACTTCCAGAACGACATGTCGAAGCTTCGTGACTGGGAGGTCTGGGAGAGCGGAAGCCGCGGTTTGAAGAAAAAGAGAAGCGGGAAATTCAGGGCGACAAAACTGAGGGCGCATACTCGCAGCGTAGTGCGGAATCCATAGCGGTTCAGAAGCCATTCGAGTACAATTGGTAGGATTGCTCCAGACAGACCAAGGCCAGCCATGGTCGCGCCGTATGCGAATCCGCGGCGTCGGACCCACCACTCCTCGATGTAGAAGAGTATGGGAGTCCATGCGAGTCCGCCACCAACTGCGTAGATGATGCCTTGGGTGAGGATCAGATGCGTGACGTTGGTGGACAGAGATCCAAGGCCGAGGGCTAGACACATGATGACTAGGCCTATGGGAGTGGCCCACGCACGCAGCTTCGGGAAGTATTTTAGGAGGGCGAACATGATTGTGATGTCCATGTACATGATGCCCTATGAAAGGTGTAAGAACAGCTCGTCGTCGCCGGCGGGGGAAGATACCATTGCACATGCGCCCACAAGGGGGATATTGCTGGATCCCGCGAAAGGTTCGCGGGTGCTGTAATACTCCTGGAAGATACCATAAGAGGCGGCGAAGCCTGCTCCAGCGTCAATTGAGCTGGTATTCAGCCGTCAAGGCATACGGACCCCATATCAGCCCCTCGAGCATGAAGCAGGCCAAAAGGAACAGCCAGGCATCTTTGCCGCCGTCAGTGGGCGGTAACGAGAAGCCGGCAATGTCGTCGCTCGGATCGCTGTGCTGAGGCTCAATGTCGGTTGAGATGTGGGAGGGCGTCTGGCCTGGATAGCGAGCTAATTCCAGCTCCGTAGTGCGCTCTGAAGCCATTGTATGCGAGAGAGGGGGAAGTTCTCGTGCGGCTGCCGAGCGTGGCGCTGTTGGTTTGGTGCTTTATACATGCTGCGATGGCGGTGGTGTTGAGTCAAGTAGTAGTCTGGTGGCGTTGGAGGGATCAACCGTAGGGCGTGGCCGATAGCGGCAGGGGGTGGGTGTTGAGTTCGGCTTAGTCATCACCCGAGCGGCTGCGGAAGACGCGAAGTTGATGCGCCGCAGCTTCCACCACCTGGGCACGGGCTCCAGCACCAGCACCAGCACTTTCCCCAATTGCGCCCTTTCACTCCGCTGTGGCGATGCATCGATAACCTGCAGACACAGAAGAGCGCCGGGCGCTGCACTCTGAACCCGCCTGCGCCATGGACGGCTCCCCCCGGTCCTCCAAAAGGAGGAAGCTCGACACCCCGGCCCGCGGTGCCTCCAGCCCGCTCAGGCACGCTTCGTCCGCGAGGAAATCTGGAAGGTTGGCCACTCGCGCCGTATCGTATACAAATGGAGAGGTGCAGGAAGCGAGGGCGTTGAGGGGCTCCAAGAGCACAACCGGCATGCGACACACCCATGGAGCGACCGAGGAGGCGGACGTTTGGGACGATATAGAAGGTGCCCTGGGCGAGAAGCCGACTACACAGCTACAGCCGTCAGCTTCAAAGCAGCGGCCGTCCACGTCCCAAAACAAGGCCGGTACCTCTAAGAGAGCTCATACAGAGGATACCACGAGCACAGGAGACATGACCGATGAGCTTCAGCCCACGACCTCTACTCCGAAGGGTCGCAACGTCAATGGCACCGTGAAACGAGACAGTGCGAGCAGATTTTCCTTTCGGTCGCTGGTGAACGGATACAGACACGGGACGGGCACGGAGCCGGATATCCAGATTGCCGCAGACGCTTCCACGCCTTCGAGAGATACGGATCAGCTTCGGCCCGCGCGTCGCCCGGGGAGGCGACAGGCGGACGACAGAACGAATGGAACTAAGTTCGCAACACCGCCGAAGGGACGAACTCGGCGGACATCGAAGCGAGGTGCACCCGAGGCAGACGACGATGAAACTGTCGCAACCCCGTGGACATCGTCGAAACGCCGTGCATCTGTTCGAGAGCGCTCAACCATTCCAGATTCTGAAGACGAGCTGGCCAACCGCAATTCGCCGAGCGCTACGATAAGCGCGAGCACAAGACGTCGGGCGCACCGAGCAGATCACATCAACAACCAGGCCGAGGAGATTGTGGTGCCATCTGATGACGAGCAGGCCGGTGTTGGCGCGTTAGAAGAGGATGACTATGGCATGGAGGTTGATGGCAACAGCGCCATGGGCAGCGTCCTTGACCCCACAGAACCGAGTCCGTTCAACAAACCTGCCTCCGCCCAGAAAACGAAGCCCGCGCTTCGGCTTCTCCACGGGCATCTGGAGCCTGGTCATGAGCGACAGCTGGAAGTGTTGAAGAGTATAATGCTGGAGCGCATCGCCGGCAAGCGTCCTGGAGCGCTGATCGGTTTGGCTGAAGAATATAAGACGGTCCACCAACTCATCGAGCACACCGTCACCGCGGGAGAAAGCAACTCGATGCTTCTCATTGGAGCTCGCGGAAGCGGCAAATCAGCACTTGTCAACAAAGTGCTCTCCGAGATATCCAAAGAGAACAGCGAAGACTACCATATAGTGCGCCTGAACGGCTTCATCCACACTGATGACAAGATTGCTCTCCGTGAGATATGGCGCCAGCTAGGAAAGGAAATGGATCTCGACGAAGAGGGCGGCGGCGTGGGGAAGAATTACGCTGATACGTTGACAACCCTCCTGGCACTGCTGTCACATCACTCTGAGCACACTGGTGAAGTGACGGATCAAGTAGCCAAAGCTGTCATCTTCATCATGGACGAATTTGACCACTTCGCCCAGCATCCTCGGCAGACGCTATTGTACAATCTCTTCGACATTGCGCAATCGCGCAAAGCTCCTATCGCCGTCCTCGGACTCACTACGCGCATCGATGTAGCTAACAGCTTGGAGAAGCGTGTGAAGAGCCGGTTTAGTCATCGATATGTGCATTTATCGCTGGCGAAAACGTTCACCGCGTTTCAGGAGACGTGTAAAGCAAATCTGCTTGTGCTGTCGGAGCAGCTCAATGTTGAGGAACGTGGGATCCTTGAAGGTGCGGTCCAGGCCACACCAGCTAAGAAAGGCAAGAAGGGTGCGAAGCAGGACCTTCTATTGCAGTGGAACGCCAACGTCAACGTAAGAGCCCATCTTCCCATCACCCCTTTTTACCCCATACTAAACTATCCCAGGCCCTCTTCGCATCCAAAACTTTCCTCACAATGCAGCTTGGCCCGCACTTCTACCGCACGAAATCCGTCCCCTCAGTCCTCAACGCGTTCCTTTTCCCCGCCGCCACTTTGTCCCCGACATTAGCACCGGAACCATCGAGTCTCCTTGCACCCCCGGACTCCAAGCTCTCCCTAATTCCCCATCTCTCCACATTGTCCCTCTCCCTCCTTATTGCCGCCGCCCGCCTCGACATCATTCACGACAGCGACACCTGCAACTTCAACATGGCCTATGACGAGTACGTTACCCTCGCCTCCAAGGCACGGATCCAGAGCGCGGCTGGCGGTTCCACCTCCAGCAGCGGCATTAGTAAAGTGTGGGGGAAGGAGGTCGCGCGCAGGGGGTGGGAGGGGCTTGTGGAACTGGGGCTTGTGATGCCCGTGGTTGGAGGCTTGACGGGCGCGTTTGGGATGTGTAGGGCGGATGTCAGTTTGGAGGAGATTGGGGGCGTGTTAGCGGGTGAGAAGAGTGTGGAGAGGGGGTTGGAGAGATGGTGTAGACAGATATAAGAAGCGGAGGTCTCGAAGGGAAAGGCGAATGGCGGGTTTGGGTGGGTATTGCATAAGGGGAGGTCGTTGCGTCTTGCATACGGCGGGAGTTCGGCACGTATTGTGCAGCATTAACATCGGTTGGGTCGTCGCATCTTGCATTGGATAGATGTTCGGCGCGTATTGCATAGCATTGGCATTGGCGAGTAGCATTACATCATCAGCGAATATGAGCATTACTGTTTATGTACAGAATCGGGCCCTTCTTTTTACACGCTTCTCCCGTTATCTTCCACTTCTTCTACAGAATTATGTACCTTTTGTCCTGCTGGGCGACACGCTCCTCGTCCATCCTACCGGCTCTGCTGCAGCTGAATCAACCCCAGTACGTAGCCCACTTGCTCTCCCCACCCAGCACGTTCACAAACTCCCTCGCCACAACCCTGCTCGTCTGCTCACTCGGATGCAGCTCATCATACCACTCATAGCTATCCTTGCTCGGCTGCTCCACGCAGTTGGTTCCGTCCAACGTGCAGCGGTTGATCCATCCCGTGACATTCAAGGGAGCTGTGCCATTGAGGTAGTCAGCCGGATGGTTCCAGATATCCGTCATCAGCGCATTGACATCGAAGTTGGCGATCTTGATCCCCGGCCAGGCGTCGGCGACGTCGGTCTCGAAGGGCGTGCGATAGCGGAAGACTTCGTTGACGGTGGTGACGGCCTCGTACATGCGCCAGCTGATTTCGGTAATGTTGGGGCCTTTGTCCGCGTAGTAGCGCGTTGCGTTTACGCCGCCGTTTTCAGGGGTGGCGTATTGCGGGAGGATCTGGAGAGGTGCGAGGTTCATGAGGACGAAGTAGCGCCCGCCATTCTTGTACAGCTTTCCTACGGTGTCGTACACGCAGTCGGTGTAGTCCTTCAGCGTCTTCCCTTTGGCCTGGCTGTCGGTAAGAAAAGCATCGTTTCCGAGATCATTGGTGCCGATCCAGATAGTGTAGGCGGTGTCGCGGGACTTGCCACTGAAGAAGGCGGTGCCGTTTGGGGACTTGTACTTGGAGTCTGCGACGAAGGCGGGAAGCTCGTAACCTGCGATGTCGGGGAAGGGTGCGTTGATGGCGGAGAAGTAGCGCGGCGTGACTTGGTTGGAGCAGACGGCGCCGCTGACGGCATAGTTGTAGAGGGATGTCTTGGAGTAGATGGAAGCGTAGCGGGCCCAGGATAAGCCACCGCTGGCGGTTTTTAGGCCCACTGGCTGGTCCCATCCAACGGGAGGCGCGGATCCGTCGTGGTTGATGAAGTAACCTAGCCTGTTTTCATCCGTGTAGCTGTCTCCAAATGCAACCAAGGTCTTGAAGTCTTTGGCTTGCCAGCCTTGAGGGCGCGCGAGGCCGCCGGCAAAAGCCAGGTTCAGGGCGAGCAACGAGGTGCGCATGCTGGGTGCTTCCAAGTGGGGCAGAGAAGGTCTTCTGGTCTTCTCAGAGCTATCAACCACAGAGGTAACTGCCAAGATTTGCTAAGAGACCTGATCAAGGCACAATTGCTTCTAGAAAAGGTGCCTTGCGTTGGAGGAGCCAAGAAGGAGTGTTGAAGACCAGGCTCGCGGTAACCCATGAGGGGCCGTCCCTGTATTATACCCATAGTGGCGCGAATAAAATCCGTCCGTCGGAAGATTAATGTCTCCTCTCCGCCGAAATCCTGCCCTAATAAAGTATATTGAGGTCGGGATACTGCAGAAGCATCGGCGGAAGAGGGGTTTACCCGGTAGAAGCGCGTTGAAGCTCGTCGGCTGCGGGAGCTTAGCGCAATCCAGCGTCTGATCGACATAGGGATCAGGCTAAAAAGGCATGAATGCTAGACACTTCAGCATACTGCTCTTGGAGAAAGAAGAGAGTATAGATGCAAGAATCTCATCGGCATCAAGTAGCTTGGCTTTGTGCTGCTCCGTACGGTCGACTTTCTCCGCGAAGGGAACCTGTGCCAGCAGAGAGATAGCGAAGGATGCACTCACGGTCTCCATGCTGCCAAATTAAGCGACGGCAAATCTAGATTACATATGCAGCTACAACACCTTTCCGAGCACGAGCACGAGCACGGTCTCGATCGGGACGCAGGTCGACCGTTGGAGAGATCGGTCCGGGGCCTAATCGTGGAGGACGGTGCCCGTGCATAGCCCTTTGTCCACGCGACACCGGGCCCCCTTTCTCCAATCAGGGCTTAGCGTGTACAACGACACCTCTGGCTGGGCATGGTACGATGGTCGAGATGAACAGATGCTGAGGGAGTGGTGTGCTGTTATATGTCTATGGCGGCCCAAAGTGCGCCCAGGCTGCCAGGCCGCCATCACACATCGTTGGCGTGGCCCGAGGGATCCATGATCCATGGATGGCCGCCACTCACGTGCGTAGTGCTGTATGCACTCTCTCGGCTGCACCCGATTCCCCGATGCACGCTCTTCTAGGGATAGCTCTACGCGTTGCTCGGTCGGATCGTCTCGGCTTGTGGGGCTCTTTATCCCCGTCCGTGTCTGGTTTCATGCGCCTTGGGCCGCTTTCGATGATAGTCGTCTACTGCTAACGGCGTCTGGAAAGGGCGTGGGTGCGTCGTCGAGCTTCGATATCACGTTGGGCTCGGCCTCTCACCACTCTCGCGCCTTCGACCGACTCTTCACAGCGGCCGGGAAGGGGAAGGCTGAACACACGAGAGGCCGGGAACAAGACACGCTTGCGTCCCGTAGACAGAGACAGCGTATCCTGCGGCATGGCGGTTGGGTTTTGGCGACGCGCTACAGCTCCCACGTCGTCGCGCTGGTGACTCGCTTCCAGTCTGTCGGGCGGAGGCTTGCACGCTCGAGTCTTGTTGGCTGACTGCCAATCAGGGAGGCGGATGCCGTCCCCTGTGCACAATTAAATGCATGTCTGAGGCGCTGTCGATGTGCCCTCGGTCTTGCGCGTTGACGTAGCGTCTCCAGCTGCCCTCGGAGCCCTGAACTAGTGTCAGACATCAGGCCTTTTCTCTAGCCCACCCACCTGAGCCTGTCGTCCATCGCCGGCCGTCGGCACTGGCTTCGTCTCTGTTCTTTCTGCTCGACTGTTTCTCGACCGTCGTGGGCGAGGCGGCCGCGGTGCTGTGCCGTGCTGTCGGGTGAATGCCAATCACAGCTCCGCATGGAAGCGCCCATATTGACACCTTCCCTTTCGACCGTCCTAGAGGCGGCCGCCACGATAGCCTTCGCCGGCCCATCGCACTCACGGCACACGTTCTGCTTCACTGCGTCAGTCCCGAAGAGCGGCTGGCCTGCAGGACGGCGGTGCCCAGGTGTTGAGCTTTGGGCGTCGAGGGGGTTGGTTCGGGCATCCATCGCGCCTTCCCCTTTCCCAGAAATTGCACACGGATGACGACACTGCAACTCAAAGCGCCATCACGTACGAGGCGAGACGGGACCCAGCACTCCCCCGTGGCTCTCTCGACTCTCAGGCTGTGAAACCCACCGGCAGAGCCGCCCATGCCCGCAACACTCGCCATAGACACTGCGCCAGCCTTCGGGCATTCTCGTGGGCCGACTTCCATGCGCCGCCCAGGCCCGACGCAAACCATCTCCGACCTTGAACCGTCGACGCCGACTGTCTGGCTGTGAGGAACGCTGGCCCATTGGAGACGAGTCATAGCAAGGAGAGGGAAGTCAAGTTCTACTATTGCGGCCGCTGCGGACGCCGGATATCAATGAGCGCTCAAGCTACGCAACACGATGCTCCCGACAGCGGGAGCGCAAGCGAAAGAGGTGGCTATGTTGAAGACGATGGCTCGCCGACACGGTCGGTTCGCGGCCTCGTCGACCCGCGGGAGCATCCTCCTATTCAGCCGAACGTCTCGCGGTCTTACCCGCGCCGACGGCCCCAAGCGATGTAGCTGCACTCTGGTCAGTCTTTTTCACCCCTTCCGGCATGCCCTTCACTCACACAGGAATGTAGAGCCGCAGACTTGTGTCTTGAATCTCGGACCTTGCCGCGTTCGTCAGTGCCTCCACTTGAGCCGCAGTCCAGCCCAGTCGTTCCGTAAACGGCCAGATAGCAAGGGAGTCGAGGAGCTCTCCTATCATTCCCGCGTTGTCTCGCCCGATATTGGCTTTGGCTGCATCTGTGGACAACGTTAGCAGGCATCCCTGTACAGGAAAGAAGCAGCAGCAAGAGGACCGCGCGCGAGAAGCATAGCCACGCCACGACCGCTATACCGGGGAATGCTTCGGCGACGTTGAACCCGACACTTGAGTGTCCTTGAGCACGAGATCCCCGTGTGTGAAACACGTGAAGAGAGGGCCGTTACCTGGATCCCATCCTCCAATGGGGACGTGCATGATTGTTCCTCCCACGTCCCGCAGTCCAGCCTCCGTCATGAGCTGCTGCAACCTTTGCCCGATCCGCGGGTCACGATTTGATCGCTCCATGGCGCTTACATATGCCTCCCACCACCTCCTTAAGGCCGACTGGCTTGACAGGCGGCCACTGTCGGACTGGATATTCGCGTAGTACTCCATCATCTGCAGCCAGCCGTTCGGCCTTAGAAGCACCTTGATATCCCGGACGTAGGATCCCCACCTACTGGTCTTGATTCCCTGTCCGACGAATCTGGAGTGGACAAGGTCATATGCGCTTCGTTCGAACACTTCTGGGTCGTTGAGTCTGTCGTTCAGATTGTAGCCGAAGAGGGAGAGATTTTCCGGTTGGTCTGCGATGAGGATCGGGTAGATGTCGATGCCGGTCACCTTTCCTCGGTCAGTTTCTTAGGCAACGCTCCGTGCCATGGATTCCCATGTCGGGGCTGGTGCTGGGCCAACTCCATGGCAAGTCTCTCGAATCAGCGAATACGCACCTCACAATCTTCATACTCCTCGGCGACCTGGACCACCCAGTCACCTCGTCCATAGCCACAGTCTAGAATCCTCCGTGGGTTACTGATGGGGGCAAAGAACAGTCTTTCCCCGCAAAACCTGTACAGGACGTCGTGTTGAGCCGTCAGTCGATCTTCTTCACGCTTCGCACAGTCAGTAGATTGCACCTAGCTCAGCAGCTCGAGGATGCACTATGGGAGCCCGGCACTGAGACGTACCTCGTCCACCGGTACACAGTATATCTTCCTGTCGACCGACAGCTTCTGGAAATCGCGCTCATGGATGATTACCCTGCGCAACTCTTCGGGTATGTTCGACATGGTCGACTGAATGAGCCAGACCTGCTATACACCGATGGCACCACGCGACAGTCCCAGTGGACGAACAGGCTTCTGCGAAAAGCTTCACTGGAAGGCCTGCCAAGGCTCTACGCTTGATTGGATGGCGATTAATTCCCTGTACGTCAGCGAGTGTCTTAGTACGATTGCCCGTGGACGAGTGCTCACCTCTCAGTCCGTTATTGAAGATGTCACGGTTGTTTAGGTATGGAATGGGCCGGCCTAACCAGATTGCGAGTGTGCTCCTTTAAGCAGGCTTACAGGAACAGGACGTGGACGAATACGACTCCAAGGTCTTTTCGCCGCGATAGACTCGGCTCGATAGCCTGAAACATGTCGCGACGTGCTGCAGAAAGCCAATTAAAGGCTCGGCAAAAGAGCGCTGCTTGAGACTACCCCAAGTTGAACGGACAGCAGGTCCCACCTGACTTGCGTGACAGGGAGGGTTGGATGCTTTAGAGCGCAGACTGAGATTGCCTTGGGTAGAGCACGCCCCTCACTGGGTGCTTCCGGAGGGTGACGAGGTGCGGTGAATGAGTTGGCCGCTCAGCCGCGATAGATCCTGGAAACGGCGGCAAGAGGCAATTCGAAGCACTAACGTCAGTGGCCGAGGACACTCACTGCCCGGATCCGAAGCAGAAGCTCCGGTGCTTAGGAGATTTTGCCTCCTGGGAGCCCACATCGGGACCAATCGTCCAGGAATAGCCGAGCCTGCCCTTCGACGATGGCACACAAAAACGGCTTGATTGGGAAGCTAGTGGGTACAGGCTAAGGCTCTGCATCCATCACGGCAACCAGCATGCATGCTGCAGACGGTCTGCTACGAAAGACGCGGCGACGCACGCATATTTTGCCCTCGGATAATGTTCATGACGCCCAATGCGCGATCAAGAGCAGGAGGCCAATATTTGGGCGTCTGGGTCGCTCACCAGCCCGAGGCCATCAGTCTTGGAGGGATTTCGTCCGGCATCGCAGGTGAACATTGTCACGTCACTCACCCAGTCTACTGACTGGACGGCTTGGAGATGCATCACGGGAACAATACCAGACGCCACGGCCGCCAGGACCGATAAGGCTCCTGTCAAACTATGATACCGCTGACATGGCCTTGGAACAGGCGGGTACTAACAGTCACCGAAACGACGGCCTGCGACCTGGGGTCAGTTTCCGGTGCCGCCCAATGGACGCCACGTTCACGAAAAACGAGGGGCCAGAAAAAGCGGCAGCGGCAGCGAGACATGCCTCACCGTCGGGCGGGCTGGGACTCCTCGCTTATTGCCGTAGACGTGGAGCGGCTTTTGGGTGCTGGATGCGGAGAGCAGTGTGCGTACAACCGATTTGGACTTGCAGCGCGGCGTCGAATCCTAGCTGCCGGAAGCTGCGCTGTCATTCTTGCGTGCTGTGCCTAGACGGTTAGATGGAGAGGCCATGGAGGTTCCGAATCCTGATGAGGGGCGTTTCAGGGAACGATCAGGCTGCGGCCCTTAGCACCGATTGAGACTAGGATAGGCGATGGTGTCTCTATCGTCTGCGGCGCGCTGGGCGATAATTCCTGGGACACGACATGCGCTGTCGACCCCATGCAGTCTGACGGACGCAAGCAGAGTCACCATCGTCGATGCGCCCGGGAGGAGAGGCACCTTCGTCGTTCCATCCCGTCGTCCAGAAGCCGCTTCCATCTAACCCGGTGGATTCGCTCCACATGCAGCTATCCGTCTTTCGCACCTGCAGGTCATGCAGAGAAGTTTCCACAAGGGACGTACAGGTCGGAGCCACGCATCCTCAGCCATCCCTGCTTTGCTCCGCCTCTGTGTGCCGATGTTCTCGGGCATCCCAAGCTGACGAAGACGGGCGCGGGCATACAGCACTCGTGGCGTTGCACCACGCCCCCCTCCGGAAGCGGACGGCCCAATAGAGGCTTTGGAAATGCCGCTTTGAACAAGCTTTTCTTGCATGCATTTGAGAGGTCTCACAGACACGTTTCTCCACCTTGCTGCTTCATTTTCGTACGACAATTGCAGTCTATCGGCGACCATCCCGACCATGTCTCACGCACGAATGAACCTCGGAATTGTTTCCCCCCAAGTATTCTTCCTTGCCTCCCATTGGGAGTCACGTCCTCTCTAGCTGAAATAAGGTACACACCAGATCTCTCTCAAGATACGTCTAACGTTCGGAGCTGGGGGCTTCTTTGCAGGCCATAGCCGGCCACCAGAAGAGATTGCGGCATGTTCGGTGGCTGTGGGTACTGGCTACACCCGCTGCTTCCCCGCTCAAGGCATTATCGCTGTACATGACTTTTGTGTTACGTTCAGGGTACATGCCTGCATGCAGTGCTGATGGCCTTCGAGAACTATACCTTGCGCGCGGGGACGGGAAAGTCAGTTCCTTAAAGTGGTGGACTCTATAAGTCGAACTTCCACGCTCACTGTCAAGCACCGGGGCGCATATGCAGGCCCTAGCTCTCTCTCGCCGATCAGACCTATCGGGCAACTCTGGTCCCGTCTTCGTCGACATGCAGCAGCAAGCTTAGACTTCTCAGCGCCTCATTTCTCAGTCTCCCAACGGGACCTCTAGCTTAAGGTTGGTTGATTGGAGGGTTATAGCCCAATGGAAGTTGGGCTTGATATTGGGACGGCTCGCCAGTTAGTTGCCTTTGCCTGTTTTGTTGGTTCAGATGGCAAGAACATCGGTGAGCGGAAGCGTATGCCGGTTCTCTCGCACTGAGCTGACGAAGCAGTCTCGTGTCGTAAAGGGGGATGCATGAAATGTTCTCGGTGGAGATTAGGTCTGCAACTCAATTTCGCAACTCCAGTGCTTTCCACGACGCAATCTCATGATGTAGTGCGCACTCTTCCCTAGGACTCCTACCGTCTCTTCCGATGCAAGGTGGGTTGCGGATATAGGATATCCTGGCTCCAATGAGCTGACTATACTCGTAGCGTATCAGCATTGAGGCTATCACTGCTCATCCGGGGCTTTCGGTTCTGCTTTCCACAACACCTTCGTGCCGGTATGGTTCAATCAAAACCTATGCTGGATCTTCCCCGTGGCTGGACATCACATGCGCCGATGCAACTGTTGCATCGGCAGTATTCTCAAGAGAAGCCAGTCACAGCGGACGGCCGATGGCACCGTACACGCTGGTGTTGGCTTCGCCTGGGGAGCCTCGGTCATAGTATCAACTCCGAAGCGCTCGCGTTCGGATCCTGCTCCAATCGCCTCGTCCGTAGTCCGAGAGGTCGCTTCCAGACTGTTGGTCGCAGAGCCCAAATCGCTGGGTGCTGGAGTTCGGGCGAACAGGCTGTTGCCCTTCGTGTGTCACACCATGCTGTCAAATGCCGGGACAGCAGGCGTGATTCCACATGCCCGGCGCTCCCCCACTCAGCATACATGGTGCATTTGGACATGCCACGCGCAAGCAAGCGGCACCTCATCTTGCGCTTCCGAGCATCCAGGCTTCCCATAGTTGTTGTTTGATGTAGCTGGCCCAACTCGCACAAATAGGGGGTATGGTTTCGTTTCTCGGTACAGTCGTTGCGATGCCTCCGCAGGATTTTGTCAGATCACTCCGTCTCTGGCCAGGGATGCGATGCTGGGAGTTGTAAAGCCCAACGCCACCGCACAACCATTGCTGCACAGGTAGGTCTTCGTGGTGTGCATGGGGATAAACCTTGGTTGTGCAGTTGGCTGCTCGTCATCATCGAATCGCAGCGGGCAGTGACTCGAGCGGCATTGGCGAGGGAGAGGAAGACGCCGGTGTGAAGGACGGCCAGGAACGAATGCGTCGATGAGCGAGGCTTAAAGGGGATCTACACCGATCACAGTAAGTCAACTTCCACTGCACAAGACTCACCAGCCATAGGACGCCTGCAGAGAGGTGTGGGGATGCGACAGAGCAGGAGGGGATGAGGTTCCCATTGCGTCCAGGTGAGATGTGGGCTTCCCGTCGCGTCTAACACGGAACGGTCCAAGTGCTCAAGCCTCATCTTTGGCGAGTTGGTTCGATGACACACAGGATGGCGCTTCAGATGGTCCAACATGCAGCAGAAATACATTGGTTTAGTGCGGCTTGGAGGTCCTGCCCCTAACACAGCGGACGAAGCCTCACCGCGTCTTCTGATTTAGCCACACTTGGGATTGCACCGCAGAGGCTGCGTGTGTACACCTACACAGTGGAATACATATGGACATGGGTCGCCCAGTGCACGTGGTATTGGTACTTCAGGGCTCCAAGGCTGCCCCACATTCTTCAGCTTGAGAGCCGCACAGCTCCCGGCTTGTGAAAGCGAGCTGATGTCACACTTCAGATGCGAAAAGCGGGTTGGTATGAAAGGCCCTTTTCATGTGAAGACGGTGTCACGTGTGGCACCCCACAGTCTGGGCCCCGAGCTGGCCGCTGGACGAACAACCTCGGCAAGTCGTCATCGAGGACCTCGTTCCGCTCGGTCCTTTCAGAAGACAGCAACAAAACAGCGACTCCGCAGCGCCCACCACTGCGCCTTCTCTTCTCCTCGTTGAAGATTCTCACCTCTGCCATTCCGCACTTTCCTTCTCCACTTGCATACCCCGGATTGAGGAGCCAGAAACAAGCCAGGACAACTGCCGTTACGGTCCACATTCCTCCACCTCTGTAGAAGACTTGCGCATTCTGTAACTGCCACATATTCAGACACACCATGGCTCCCCCGGAGCTGCGATATGACGGCCAGACGGTCGTGGTGACGGGTGCTGGCGGCGGTCTCGGACGGGAGTACGCCGTCTTCTTCGGCAGTCGCGGCGCGAACGTGGTTGTGAATGACCTCGGTGGGAGCTTCAAAGGCGAGGGCAAGGGCTCGCAGGTACGCTTACTACTTTCCCATGTTCCGTCCGCAAGCCCAATCGTCGCTCAACGAGCCATGGCTAACAAGACGCAAAGGCCGCCGACAAAGTCGTCAGCGAGATCCGCGCCGCGGGCGGCAAGGCCGTCGCCAACTACGACTCGGTCGAGAACGGAGAGGCCATCATCAAGACGGCCATCGACAGCTTCGGCCGCATCGACGTGCTCATCAACAATGCCGGCATTCTGCGCGATATCAGCTTCAAGAACATGAAGCAGCAGGACTGGGATTTGATTTACAAGGTCCACGTCAAGGGGGCATACAAGTGCGCGCGGGCGGCGTGGCCGTACTTTCGGAAGCAGAAGTATGGACGTCTGATTAGCACCGCGTCCGCTGCAGGTCTGTTTGGCTCGTTTGGGCAGACAAACTACTCTGGTATGCAATCAGACATCTTGCAGGAGACGTGCAATTGCTGACTGTCGCAGCGGCCAAACTCGCCCTTGTCGGCTTCACGGAAACGCTCGCAAAGGAGGGTTTCAAATACAACATCCTCTGCAATGTCATCGCTCCTATCGCCGCCAGCCGCATGACCGAGACCGTTATGCCGCCCGACGTCCTCGACAAACTGAGGCCTGAGTGGGTCGTGCCGCTCGTCGCCGTCCTGACCCACAAATCCTCCACCGAAACCGGCTCGATATATGAGGCAGGAGCGGGACACATTGCTAAGCTGCGGTGGGAGCGGACCAAGGGAGCGCTCCTGAAGCCGGATGACTCTCTCACGCCGGGCGCCATCGCGGCGAAGTGGAAGGATGTCGTCAACTTCTCCCAGTGCGAGCATCCCCAGGGTCCTGCGAATGCCATGGAGCTTCTGGAGGCTGCTACCGCGTTGCCCGCAAGCCCTCGAGCACACCAGCCTGACTTCACGGGCAAGGTCGTCCTGGTCACGGGTGGAGGTTCTGGGTAAGTCGCGAAGCTGCTTAATTCCGTCTTTTATTCTGACTCCTCTAGTCTCGGCCGCGCATACTCCCTGCAGTTTGCCAAGCTGGGCGCAAAGGTCGTTGTCAACGACCTCGTGAACCCAGATCCCGTCGTCCAGGAAATCCAGAAGCTCGGCGGCCAGGCTGTTGGGAACAAGGCCAATGTGGTCGACGGCGAGGCAGTAGTCAAGGGCGCCATTGATGCCTATGGCCGCATTGACGTCCTCATCAACAATGCCGGTATCCTCCGCGACAAGGCCTTCGCCAACATGACCGACGAGCAGTGGGATATCATCCACCAGGTGCATCTCTTCGGCACCTACGCATGCAGCAAGGCCGCTTGGCCCTACATGCTAAAGCAGAAATATGGCCGTATTGTCAATACCACCTCTACCAGCGGTATCTATGGCAACTTTGGCCAGGCTAACTACGCCTCGGCTAAGTGCGGTATCCTTGGATTCTCCAAGTCGCTCGCGCTCGAGGGCAAGAAGAACAACATCTTCGTCAACACGATTGCTCCAAATGCTGGCACTCAGATGACCCGCACCATCATGCCGGAAGAGATGGTTCAGGCGCTGAAGCCGGACTATGTCGCTCCTCTTGTCGTGCTTTTGTGCTCTGATAAGGCACCGGAGCCGACTGGTGGATTGTATGAGTGCGGTATGGGCTGGTTTGCTGCTACCCGATGGCAGCGGACAGGTGGTCATGGCTTCCCGGTCGACGTCAAACTCACTCCAGAGGCTGTGTTGGAGCAGTGGGAGAAGATCAACAATTTCGACGATGGCCGCGCCGACCACCCGTACGACAACGCAAGCGGTCTGAAGAGTATCATGGCCAATATGGAGAACACTGCCAAGGGCAAGAAGGAGAAGAAGGGCAACGATGAAGTCCTCAAAGCTATTGAGGAGGCGAAGTCGGCTAAGGCAGAGGGCACACCGTTCGAATATGACGAGAAGGATGTTATACTTTACAGTAAGTGCTATCACCTCACCAGCTACATGAGAATGGGAGACTGACAGGACCCAGACCTTGGCATCGGTGCCAAACGCACCGACCTCCCCTTCGTGTACGAAAACCACGACAACTTCCAAGTCATCCCCACCTTTGGTGTCATCCCGCCCTTCAACGCGCAAGCCCCATTCTCCATGGCCGACATCGTCCCCAACTTCTCGCCCATGATGCTGCTGCACGGTGAACAGTACCTCGAGATCCGGAAATTCCCTATCCCTACCGAGGCCAAGCTCGTCTCGTACCCCAAGCTGATCGAGGTTGTCGATAAGGGCGCCGCTGGTATCATTGTAACAGGAACAACGACCAAGGATGCGAACACAGGCGAGGATATATTCTATAATGAGGCCACGGTGTTTATCAGGGGATCTGGCGGCTTTGGCGGGCCTAGCAAAGGCACCGACCGTGGCGCCGCGACCGCAGTCCACAAACCCCCGCAGCGCAACCCCGACGCTGTGATTGAAGAGAAAACAATCGAGGAACAAGCCGCCATATACCGCCTCTCCGGCGACCGCAACCCTCTCCACATCGACCCCGAATTCTCCAAGGTCGGCGGCTTCAAAGTGCCCATCCTGCACGGTCTGTGCTTCTTTGGCATCAGCGGCAAACACGTGCTGCAGAAGTTCGGCGCGTTTAAGAATATTAAGGTAAGGTTTGCGGGGACGGTCCTGCCGGGGCAGACGCTCAGAACGGAGATGTGGAAGGTCAACAACACGGTGGTTTTCCAGACTAAAGTCGTGGAGACGGGCAAGCTGTGCATTTCGGGCGCTGGCGCGGAACTGATGGGCGGCGCGAGCAAGTTGTAGCCGTGTAAGGGCGCGGAAGGAAGAAAAGACATGGGCGAGCTTGATGTGTATGTGGAGTTGAGCGGTTTATTTTTTTTTTGTAGATACATTTGTATGGATAAATCTACCTTTCCTTTTCATAACTAACTAGATGGTGCAGCATGCTTCGTGCTTGAAGTCAGGTCCAATTGCGCGCTTGTAGGCTAGTGAAGTATTTCAGCCTTGCTGAGTCCTCTCTTCTGCTTGACATGCTCCGGGGAGTCGTGGGATGCTTAAGCTCACTCACCTCCATGTCTCAATCCCCCTTCCCAATTCCCAACCGCCCAACCACATATGCGTTGACCAGAGTCGTCCTTCCCTCTCGCTTCCTCCCAGAAACCCGCCAGCAAATCTAATATCACAACCACTGCAGCCTATCCAGAAGAACCCGACGCTCCATCACCACTCCCGTGCCGCGCCTGGAAAACCCGCGCCATATATTTCCCGCACCGGGCGTCCTAGCAGGAACTCTCATGTCCACGGCCCGGGCGGATGAACATGGCCGTGTACCGCTAGCCGCGGCTTCAAACACCAGAGCTCACGATTGAGATGCCGTGGCCAGAACGATATCTGTCACTTGGAGGATAGATAGCGCTTGCGCAAAAAGTGCGCTCGCCAGGATACCGGAAGGCCTAGGTCCCGTTCCCGGATATGGGGGTTATGGGTGCACTGCAGATGCAGACTATGTGATTACATATGCGCAGCGCAGCGCATGTGCGTGCGGTCCAGCAATGACGTCTCCCCAATCGAGATCCGATGTGCGGTGGGCTTCCCGCTCAGAAGATGGTTCGGCACGGGACTTTTGGTACGGTCGGGATCCAGGGGCAATGCGTGGGTTGCTGAAATCGCGATCTTGTGCGCCGGAGGTGGACTCCTTATCTCGTCGAGGTGCCTGTGCAATTGAATTCCTCGGGGGTGCGCATCTGCGTAGGATCGCCGGCGTGAAGCAGGATATGATATCGCCTTCAAGACCTCGCGCGTCTCGTTGTGCGTAGCGGATACGCACATCACTTTGGCGGGTTGATGGCTTGGGAGTAAAGCTAGCGAGGAGTCTTGAGGTTGTTGCTTGTAGAGCCACTGTACAACAAGAGCGGTGGGTTCCGGAGTGAGCGCTGCCAGCGTGTTGGTGTCGTGGGGTAGAAGAGGTAAAATTTCCTCCGAGTTGGTCTTGCTGTGCTTGTCGATATGTCTCCTGATTTTCCCCAGAGAGCGTTGTGGTGCTTCTATAGAAGGATGAATATGAGTGGAAAGTATCATGATCTAGGAGCGTGTCAACACATTTAACACAATAATATTTTTATTCAAGTCTCGCACAGCGTTGCAATGACAGCAATCTCGGGGAGTCGTATGCTTAGCTTATTAGCTAAGTGCATTAAACGAAATGATCTTCTGAGGCTAGTGCTTCTAAACAATCGTCAATATTATTTTCCACATTCCATGGTCTTACAAATGCTGAGCCGCCGTGATGCCAGACCGCTAAACACCGCCCATTCTAGACTGTCCTATACTGTTCTCCTCAGTATTAGCAGCCATCTATGTTACAGTGGGTAGTCCCGAGAAGAGTGGTGAGACAGAACGAAGAAAGTAGTAATGCAAGAAAGAGTTTCGCAAGAAGAGAAGCTGCAAGCCCGTCCCCTGTTATCGTTCGTCGGCTGCTCCAGTAGTCATAGTTTCGTCTGATCGGGCCGTCGCTTAGTCGCTCTCGAAGTACACCTTCCGGAACATCTACGTTTCGTTAGCACACATTCTGCTTCATGCGGTCCTGACCACTACTTACCGCCCATGTCCCTGCGACACTTGCAACAATGCCGGAGCTAATCATCATGGGCCGTAGTCCCCTCGTGCTCTTGAAAACGGCACCGCTCAATGCGCCCGCGACCACGCTGTTCGTCACATCATGCTTCCCTCTATAGTATCCAATTGTGCTGTTGATTCCATTATACACCATAGCCACGACGCCGGCCGAGTTCCCCAGGAACGGGCCCCTACGTGTTACCGCGTTGAGCACGCCGTTGAGCCGTAACCGAGGTGCCATTGTCGGCGGGTTTTTCTGTAGGCCTTCTGCGAGCCCCCATGCGCCGCCAATGGAGAGTGCGGAGAGGTATGAGATGCCGGTGCCATAGCAGAGGTCGTCGGACCAGCCGCGCGAGGGGAGCGCAGATTGCGAGCCGGGGAGGTCTGAGAGTACCGAGTCTTCGAGGCTTAGATAGTCGAGCGTGTCTTGGTTGAGGCCGGCGAGCGGGTGCAGTTGCGACGGATCGTAGATGAACTCTGACGGGTTTTGTATGGCGGAGCTCGGATCGAAAGCCGCGGGTGTGAAGTTGTCGTGCGGCTCGGGCGCGGACGTCGTTTGTGAGGAAGCGGACTTGCGGCCGGTGAGCGTATCCCAGCTGCATCATGCTGTCAGTCTCCAACAAGGCAGATCTAGGGGAGGGATTGGGGCGTACATGGTCATGTTGAAGATGCGCGGTGGTGTGAAGATGGAGTAGGCTCTGCGGGATGGCCGTCAATCGCCGGCAGCTTCCTGAACGCCCAGAATGCGAAGAGAAGCACAGCAGACGAAAACAGGGAGAAGAAAAGAGAAGAATTCAGCCAGGCAAATGCTGGATGCGTGGGTGAGGGTCGGCGGACGAGGCGTTGCGTGGGTTGGGTGCAGATAAAACTTTCCGCCCACTGGGCCAGGAGTGACGCCGACCAGATGCGCACGGGCCACACCCTGTGGCGGTCTTCTCGACGCTGCAGCTGCTTCCGAGACACATCGATCGCTTCACACCTTTCGGCGCACCGTCAGAGACGCGCATCATGTCACTGCCCGAGTATAAGACGGCTTTCATGAGGGACTGCGTCTCAGCGGACGCGCTCAAATTCGGCACCTTCACGCTCAAGTCGAAGCGCATATCGCCCTACTTCTTCAATGCGGGCCTTTTCCACCGCGCATATCTCCTGCGGTCCATATCCTCGGCATATGCGCACACCCTGACCGCGCACGCGCAGTCAGACCCTTCATTCCACTTCGATGTGTTGTTCGGGCCAGCCTACAAGGGCATTCCTCTGGCTGCTGCCACCATCGACAAGCTTGCCGACCTGGACCTGGACAAGTACGGGAAGACAAGCTACAGCTTCAACCGCAAAGAGGCCAAGGACCACGGCGAAGGCGGCAACATTGTCGGAGCCTCCCTCAAAGGCCAGAAGGTGGTCATTGTGGACGATGTCATCACGGCTGGGACCGCTATCCGCGAAGCCATCGAGATTATCAAGAGAGAGGGCGGAGAGCTGGTGGGCATCATCGTGGCTTTCGATCGCTTAGAGAAGACGCCCAGTGCGACAGATGACGATGGGACGCCGAGGCCCAGCGCTATTGGGGAGATCAGGAAGCAGTATGGGATTCCGGTGCTGGCGATCCTGACGCTGGACGATGTGATTGAGTACTTGAAGAGCTTGGGGAGCGCAGAGGATCTGGAGCGGCTGGATGAGTATCGGGCCAAATACAAGGCGAGCGATTGAGGTGTGAGGCTTCACGACGCCATGATACATCTTTGTGATACCCATAGATCTCGTGCTGCCGCTGAGCAGTGCTCTTTCATGGAGAGATTGCCGAGAGCGGCCTCGGCAGCACAAGCCTCCCATAAACGATCAATTTAGGCGGCGGCAGTCTAGTGGGTCCGCAAACATCTAAACGTGACCACGTCTCAGAAACCACCGCCAATGGAGGGCAGCTGTTCATCTGCTGCACCGCTTCACTCCGCTCTTTGTAGTAGCCCAACAGTGCCGAGCTTCCGCTTCCGGCTGGTCCATCATTCTCCCTACACAGCCCTGCATGCTCCTTCCTCCTTGGCAGCTTAGCAGACGCGCTCGTGCCCGTAAACCACCCTGAGGCGAAGGTGTCCTTCTGGCGTCCTGTCACTCATTCGCCGTCATGACTGAGAGTTGAGCGGGTATTCTTCTCATGCTGCGTCTCTGCGCTGCCATTGTTACTTGAGCCATTCGCTGGTCCTGCGAGCTGTCAGGGGCGCCTTTGGTTCCCGCGACAGCTCCAGGCCTCTGTATTCCTTCCCCGGACGCAGCTTCTTCGTACGCTGTGGTGGAGCCTCAGGCTCCCTCCTCTCATTACCGGCCATGGTCAGGATCAAGATGCCCCGCAACGCGGCGAGCCAGCCCATGTCCCGGCGGCACAAACGAAACCTCACGTACGCGCTCATCGCCGGCTTCACAGTAGGCCTGCTATACCTCTGGACCGGACCCGTCGATCTGCTTGCCGTGCCCTTCGACCAGCATGAAGCGTACATGAACGACCGCGCCAACGTGGACGGCTTCGTTTCGAAAGGCTCCTACGACTGGCGCAAAGCTCCCTTCCACCACCCCGTCAAAGACTACATCCCGCTGCCCCCGGGCAAGCCCCGCACGCTCGCGCCCGTACAATACAACTTCCCGCCTGAATCATCGTCACAACGCGCAAAGAGGGAGGCGCGCCGCGTCGCTGTGCGCAGGGAATTCCAGCGCAGCTGGGAGAGCTACAAGAGGTGCGCATGGGGGCGGGACGAGCTCTTGCCGCTCACGGGGGAGGGCATGGAGACTTTTGGGGGCTGGGGCGCAACGCTCGTGGATTCGTTGGATACACTGTGGATCATGGGCTTCAAGAAGGAATTCTACGAAGCCGTCGAAGCCATCGCCGCCATTGACTTCGGAAAGACGGAGACGAACGCCATCAGCGTCTTCGAGACGACGATTCGATACCTGGGAGGACTGCTTGCTGCATACGACCTGAGCCGCGAGAAGGTGCTGCTGGAAAAAGCTGTCCAGCTTGGGGAGATGCTCTACCGGGCGTTTGACACGTCGCCGAACAACTTTCCGTTGGATCGGCTTGTAATTGAGAAGGCCAAAATGAAGGACGGACCTGCGCTTAGCGCAGACACCAACATCTGCTTCGCCGGCCTCGCCTCGCTCACATTGGAGTTTACCCGGCTCGCCCAGATCACGCAGCAACCCAAGTACTATGACGCCGTTGCCCGAGTCACCCAATTCCTCGACAGAGAGCAGAACAGCACTCGTATACCTGGCTTGTTCCCTATCTGGGTAAACGCTTACAAGGAGGATATCAGTCATAGCAACTCATTTACCGTCGGCGCCATGGCGGATTCTTCGTACGAATACTTCCCTAAGATGTACGCTCTGCTCGGAGGCCTAGAACCCGTATACCAAAAGATATGGAAAGACTCCGCAGCTATGATAGACAAACACATGCTTTTCCGCCCCATGCTCCCAGACAGCGAACCAGGCCAGGACCTCCTCTTCTGCGGCGACGTGACCACAACCGGCGACCCCGTCCGCATTATTAAGCTAGATCCCGAAATGCAGCACCTAACCTGCTTCGTGGGCGGCATGTTCGGCCTTGCGGGACGTCTCTTCACCGACCAGCATCACATAAGTCTCGGCGAAAAACTCACAGAAGGCTGCATCTACGCCTACAAGTCCATGCCCAGCGGCATCATGCCCGAGATCTTCAACCTCTTCCCCTGCGAATCGCGCAAAACCTGCCCCTGGAACGAAACCGCATACGAAGCCGAAGTCCTGCGAAAAACATACGGAAGGACGCACGCCGACTATCTCACCACCGTGGAGGAGCAGAAAATGCCCCCGGGCTTCACGTACCTGCGGGACAAGCGATATCTGCTCCGACCTGAAGCCATCGAGTCGGTGTTCATCATGCACCGCATCACAGGGCACGAGGAGTACCTGGACCACGCATGGGACATGTTTACTTCGATTATGCGCGCTACGAGTACCAAATTCGCAAATGGCCAGGTGTTCGATGTCACGGCGGATCCGCCGGTGGAACCGGAGAATAAGATGGAGAGCTTTTGGCTTGCGGAGACGCTGAAGTATTTCTATTTGATTTTTAGTCCGCCGGATATGATTAGCTTGGATGAGTGGGTGTTCAATACCGAGGCGCATCCTTTTCGCCGACCGAGGGTTATTAAGGTGCAGGCCGGTGGGTAGGGAGAGAATTAAAAAAAAGGGAGAGAAAGAGCCTCGGGAGGTAAGAAGAGAGAAGGAGGAAGAGTTGGTCGGCGTTTTGCATGATACCCATCTAGAGCGAAGGGCTCTCGGAGTCGTTGTTCTTGCATTGTAGGCTGGCCTTGGGTTATGCATATGCATTTGGTCGGCGTTCGAGCATGGCTCGTGGGTTTCTCTCGGGTATTTGTTTCCTTTGTACAGTACGGTTAGACAAGAAGCAATAAAAACTTCCGATCTTCGGTTCGCTTGAGGCGCTTGGTTGTCCATGGTTCCCTGCGGCTGCTGCCCCTGCTCTTGACCTCGCCGCATTTTTTTGGTCCAGGTACCGCGCGCATATGCAACCCGCCTGCGCCGTATAAGCTCAAGTGGACTTCACTTATTATCGCATGAATGCACGCGAGGGACATAGGAGCCGGACGTAATCCAAAAGGTCATGAATTATATACTACGAACAAAACATCAAGTACCACTGTGGTCTTCATCTCCAGCATACAAATGGCCCCAGAAGCGAAGTCTTTTCCGAATCAAAACACCACTCAGATGAAACGCTGTCTGGTAAAAGCGCGTCGAAGTTCTTCTCTTCCTCTCCCTTTTCTTCTCGCGAGCCCACGGAACCTCAAGAAAAATCCTCCTCTTCTTCTATCACAGACCGCCAGAGCGGTAGTCGCAGGCCTGAACTCTCTACCCACGCGTCGTTGGCTTCTCGAAGCAAATACACACGCTCACGATGGAAGCTCCTGGGGCTCCGCTCCACCTGCTCCCTGCGCATACTTCACCGTCGGCTTCGCGCCCTCCGCCGGCATCTCCCGCGCATAGTCGCCGCCCAACTCGCTCGGCGGCGCGCGATGCTCGTGTCCCTGGGCAACGGGCGTGTAAGCCGGCGCCGGCGTATACGAATTCGCATCTTTCTCCGCTATTCCGGCTCCTGCGGCGTTCTTGGTCCGCCACCTGCGGACGAGGAAGAAAGCACCGACCAGGGCCGCGATCCCAGCAAGACCGCCGACAACCGGGCCCGCGATCCATGCCTTGGAAGAGGAGGAGTTGTCGTCGGGGTTCGGCGAGGTAGGAGCCCCGGAGCCAGACAGCACGGCGTAAGTCGCGCTGCTCTGGTCGCTGATCACGCTCGTCGTGTTCTGCAGATAGCAGTTCTGATACCCGCCCTGCAGGCTCGAGTCGAACAGCACGCCCACGCAATTCTTGCGGTTCGCACACGCATCCATACACGCCGTGACGTTCTGCTTATGCACCGCGGTAATATTCGTCCCCGTGTTCAACTGCCCGCAGTGGATCTCGAATTGCTTATTGCTGCCCGACGCCGTGTACGAAGAATCGGCGGGGCACTCTGTGTCGATGGTCTCGATGCTCGTGATGGTCGCGCTGTGCATGGTGCCCTGGCTAGACGGCGGGTCGTCGAGCGTCTGCGGGAAGCCGGTCTTGGGCCAGCAGTTTGCGAAGCCGATCTCGAGGCCGGGATTGTACGAGACGGCGCGGCAGAGCGGATGCTCTCTGATACAGATGCGCAGGCACTGCACTAGGCTTGTGGCGTGCCAGAAGCCGGTAAATGGGCTCGGGAGACACTCTGGGTAGTCGTTCCAGCAGGTGTCGTAGTCGCCGATTACCTTGCCGCAGTGCACTGTATAGCCTATTCCTTCGACGCCGGGTAGATCGTTGACGGAGAGGTCGGCGGCGGGGCAGGATTCGTCGAGTGCGTTCATGTCGCCGGCTTCGACGAGCGCGGAGTGGATGCCGGTGTCGTTTACGAGGCTAGCGGTGGAGGTGGTGCTGTTGCGGAGCCAGCATTGTTTGTCTTCGCGCCAGACGATACCGTAGCAGCCTTCAGAATCACCCCAGTAGCGCGAGCAGCGTTCCATGCATTCTTGCATTGAGTCGACTTCGAAAGGGTCCATTGCGTCTGGTTTCTCATCAGTATGCGCGTTAAGTGGACGGCAGATAGAAAGATCACGAACCATTGAAGGGATTGTTGTGCTCGCAGTAGGTCGTGAAGTTGAGCCCGTTCTTCGATGTGTAAGAATCCGGACATTTCGTCGTCGCTCGTACTTCGAGGTCGCGACTTGATCCCAGTTCTGCGACGACTGTTCTCATTAGCACCCATCCCGACGTGATTCCATAGCTGCCAGCGCGAAAGAGGGACTCACAAGGCTTCGTCGCCAGCGCCGCACTTGCGCACAGCAGAGCCACGAGGCTCACCGGGAGTCTCGCAAGCAACCCCATCGCGATATCCAACTCTTCCTATCCAATGCACTGTTGCCGTTCCAGGAACCAAGAAACCCAAAGAGCGAACGACGCAGTAACAAACGCTCACGTCTTGCAGGACAGTTTGCAGCAAGATCAACAGATGTCAGGAAGAACCCCCCTTCTCACCAGCCCAAACCTCGCACCATACCCTTTGATCGGCAGCACCAAACGATGCCCTTCCCAGTCAAGTAAAAGCCACGCTGCCCCTGCCCCAACGCAGGCGCCGCGCTAACGGCCCGTAGACAGGGCTGTGAAGCCTCTGCCGTACGATGAGTGGCGGATATCCATTTTGGCGCGAGGCTACGGCTGAGGCGCCGGCATGGACACTTGTTGCTGCGGTCGCGGCTAGCGATCAAAGGGGAAAGATCAGGCATCCCGCTCGAGTTTCGGGTCATCTTTCTCAAATCGCTGGGTGGAACCGTCTCTTCCGAGATGTGGTGAGCACGCTGATCGAGAAGAAAGCTGACCGACTACGGCAGGATATTGCGAAGGCTGGCGCTCCCACCAAACCATGGCAGCCAACCAACCAAGGCATAAAGCCACCATGCGCCTTGGCAACCCTTCCTCATCTGTCGCCGGCAAATTTCTTGAACGGGCAGCGCCACAATGCGCGTTAGATCCAAGCGGTCAGCAAGGCGAGAAATTCGGGACAGATAAAGCGCAGGATAGCTCGCCGATTTCTCAAGTCAGAGCATGTTGCGTTCGTGCTCCGGCACGACACATATGATGAATTTGAGCACGCAAAAGGAAAAGCCCGGAACCGGTGAGGCAGAGGCGCAAAGGCCTGAATTGTTTATCAGCACTTTTAGTATAGGCGACCGTCGCCCGACCTCTAACGCCAAAGGCGGACAACTGTGTCTCCTCTAATGAGCTGATGAGTGGTATCCAGCGAATATAGACAATGAATCTATAAGCGTTTCCCTTGGTTGATGAAGAACAGATCCGCCCCGCTGCCAAGAAGCTCACCAGCAAGGAATGGTATCGAACAATTCCTGAACGCCTCATATCCACCTCTACTGTACGAGATACCCGGATATGCGTAACATCACTTTATCGCCTGTTCGTTTTGCCAATGCCGCGCTTGCCCGCAACCTACAGAGCATATTAGCATTGCCCGGGTCGTAGTGCATGCGGAGAATACTCACCAAGTGCTTCGTCAGCGATCCAGTCTGGTGTCTATCTGCTTCACCTTGCCTAGCCATCCTGTTCATCTTCTTCTGGGACAACTTGGCCAGACGCTCGGCTTGCGAGCGGGCGGCTTCGTTCGTGACGCCGTCCGTCCGCCTGTTCGTGCTCTGACTTCTGGCTCTGCTCTTCGCTCGCTCCAGGGCTGCCTTGGGTGTATCAATCTCCATAGCATCGCCGTCCACACCTTCTAACCTGCCGCGGGCCAAGCTACGACCCCGACTCTGACTGCGTGCTCGAGTCGCAACGTTGGAAGTGTCATATCCGAGGCTCCCAAGGTGAGCCTCCATTTCAGAGAGCTTCTTTGCCTTCGCGCCTCGCGGGATGATGGCCCTGTTCTTGAGGCTCTTCCTCATCTTCGCCTCGTTGCGGATGAGCTGCCTCTTTTCCCGGATGAGCTCTGCCTTGTATCGAATGTCGGCCTCCTCTGCGTCTTCAAGGTCGTCAGACTCATCGTAGAAGCCCTCTGCTTCCAGCTTCTCCTCTTCAGCCTCGAGTGCTGCAAGCTTGGCTTCAATATCCGGATCGATGAAATCATATACGTTCTTTCCGTCGAAAACCTCGGGGATGCGGTCTTCTTTCCAATCGGGGTTGTCCAGGATATAATTCTTCCTCATGTTGTAGTTGTAGACTCCGGCGCCGCCCTCCTCTTCCTCCAAGTCGCGCTCCAGCTTGGGACGGTCTGGATCGTTCGGGTCGTACTTCTTCATCTTCAGAACAGCTTCGGGGATAGAGGCCTCGCGAACCACCCCGCCTAGGGGCTGAGCAACGTGGATCCTACGCAACAGGTCTCCCAGCCGTCCCGTGGGCTCTCCTGAGCTGTTCGTACCCGCTTTCAGCTTCTCCGCGTTGCGAGCGGCCAGTAATCGGTCACAGGCGGCATTCCTAACGCCCATGACGCCTTCTGTGGTGGTGCAGGATAGCTGAAGAAGTTCCACCTCACCAGACTTCAGCATTCCCTGAAGTTGCTCTTGTGTGGCGGCATCCAAATCCTCCGGGCGGGCCAGATCGATCTTGTTGATGACAATGAAGACCAACTTGTTGGCGAAAAGTGGCTTGATGCTGTTGAACAACGAGATCTGCGACGACACACTGTATCCGCACTGCTCGGACAGATCCATAAAGTAGAGAACGGCAGCCCGCAGGTGGGCTATAGCGCAGATGCTTTGGTGTTCGATGGTGTTCATCTCCTCCAGTGGGTGGTCAAGAACCCCCGGGGTGTCGATTGCCTGGAACCTCAACATCTTGTAGTCAAAGTGGCCGACGAACAGGCTCTTGGTGGTAAATGCATAGGGTTGCACGTCCACGTCGGCTCGCGAGATGGATCGCAGGAACGAACTCTTGCCCACGTTCGGATAGCCACAGATGACAAGAGTTCGAGTGTTGGGATCGATAGCGGGGAGACGCCCTAAGTGTTGCCGGACTTGTTCTAGGTATACGAGCGGGTCCTGCTTGCATGTCAGTCTCGCTCTACCTGGGGCGCCCAACCAGATCACTCACTTTTAGGCGTTTGCAAATTGTCGCCATGCGCCCAAGAGCGGCTCTCTTCAACTGCTTGCTAAAAGGTTTCCGCAGTCAGCGCAGTCCAGTATGGCGGAGCGCGTGCCTCTTTTCCGCCCGTATGCTCGGCACCCGGCCATGGCATCAAAAGCCACCAGAGGGCGGTTCCAATGAAGAGAGCAACGTACCATTGGAACAACGATTGCCCATATTTGAGTAACCTAACATAGTCACGACTGACGGCTTCGATGAGGGATTTCGCGGTGGACAGCTGGCCGAGAGCAATCCTGAAGTGGTCCGCATCGTACAAGGTGTTCAGCAAATCGCGGTGGAACGGATGGATGTCTTGGAGGCGCGGAAAGGCATCGATTCTATCCCACATCAGTCTTTCCCTCCCGCACCATCATGTATATCGGGTGGAGACGTACGTGGCGGACAAGCGCTCGCTGAAGGTCTCGGCGGTGTACTTGACCTTGCGGGTGTAGAAGGCGCGAATTCTGCTAACTGGAGCCGGTGTTAGCGATGCATCGCTGGAATGCTAGGGGTGTAGACGGCGCACTTTTGAAGCCAGCACGGATTTGCGTGGGAAGCCGGCCTGATGCATGTTAGCCCTACGAGCCCCACGGTCAAGTCCAAAATTGGGCAGACGAACGCTGCGTGCGCGAGAGCACAATGTCGAGAAATTCTTGACTCGTCGGGACGACGGGGATATCCTTCCACTGCGTCTTCATGTTGGCGGCTGCAGGAGGGTGGCAGGGTGGTTGTCGAGGCCAGTCGTCTTGGGGTGGCTGCGGGTGTATCGATAACGACGAAAATTGAGGTTGGCGAGCGAAATCTTGACGCGCTAGTGGGAGACCAGATCAGATCCCTGTCAGCCGAGGCGCTCCGCTTCCGCATCGTCTCCGCTGCATCCAGACTCGAGAATCTCCACACTTTCGGTTCGACGACGTCGAAAGAGGACCAGATACATGTCCGCTGGAAAACGCCGGCCACCTTAAGAGTACAATGCACAGTAATCCTGCAAGCGGCATCGCGCCTTCCGAAAGCGAAGGTCGGTACGCCCCGCTCCTTTGTTCAACACTGTCTCCGCTTCATCCCTAGGTACCACCACGCGTCTTCGCTCCAATGCTGCGACGTTAATAATCCACAACATTGCCGGTTCTTTTAGCCCATATTTAAGTCTCCTGGCGACTCTTCAAGATGCACTCACAGCCATGCAACTGGTGCTACAATGGAAGAGACGGCTACGCACTGCCATAAACCCAATTGCTCGTGGTTATCACTGGATAGGCTCACTGGACTCCAGCATGTACCGCCTTTGCTTCCAAACCCCGAGCTGTCGGGCATTGGGGTAAGCAGATCCACCAATCGCACCATCGTCCATGTCTCTATCGTGGAAATCTTCATGCAATGAACACGATACTAACTGCCACACAGGTCATTCTTGGCTTCTCTATAACGGCCTATCTCACGGTTGCCCTTCTCATCTTCCACTACATAACGGTTTACAATCCGCAGCGAGTCGGTTCCGGGGGACAAGAATATGAAAACCCAGTTGACCGCGGCATCCTCGAATTCGTTCGGCAGCGAATCATTGCATGGAGCCCACGCAGACGCTTCGAATACGCAATGGAAAAGTCAGTGCTCATTCTCAGCGACACCCAACTCGTCACCGGCCTCGCCATCCTCATCTCCGGCTATTCGCAGCTCTCCTGCGGGATAACAGCCTACCATTGGCAGATTATCGTATTCGTAGCCTGGTTCTCGTCCTTCACATTTCTCTCCGCCATGGCCTTTCTTGAGGGCTATTTCCAGACGAACCACAGCTTGCGAATTATCCGGGTTTGCTTCATGTTCATCCTAGGCGGGCTCCAAATCGTGGCATTGCTGCCGACGGGAAGTCAAAACTGGCTCGACCTATATGGCGAAGGAGGGGGCTTTTATCCTAGCCTGAGCGCGCAGTGCTACTTCGAACAGCTGACCATGGCCTCATTCACAAGCGGTGGACCGCGGATCTGGTCTATGATCTTGTCAGTTCTGGTGGTGGGAATCTCTTACATTCACAGCGGTGTTAGGCTATTCGATTCAACGGCCGCGTTCAGTCGAAGGTACTTTCGAACCGTTCCAGGCACATACCTCAAAGGGCTCTTATATTTCCTGGAACGCAAAGCTGACCAAAGGGCTCTTGGGGCGGCAATATGGACGTTGCCATACTTGCTGAGCTTCTTCGCATTCAGCAGCGCCCGCGCATTCTACGATCTCGCAGAGTCGATGCTTCTCGAGATCATATGGCTCTCATTCGCCATTGCCTGGGGCACAATCAAGGTCTGGGCCACTCGAGCAAGCGCACAGTATACATACGATGGCAACCACTATGGATACAGCATCACGGCCCTAGGGGAAGACTCATGGTCCTTCGGCCAAACTCTACCACTCGTTCTGCTACTGCTTCCGATTCTTTCCATGGCTCAGTCCTACCTGGACAACGATGCTAAAGCCCACGACGCCCCGCAGAATGCTGCCATACCAAAGGAACGCCCTTCACCGGAACATGCTCAACCCGCAGGGCTGTCAACGGTCCTGATAGCGGAGCGAGAAGAGCCCGAGATGCCCGACACCAGAAACTCTACTTCCTGCAGCATCACCCGCTGCAATCATCACCAGCCGTCTGTTGCTCTTTCGCGCTATGTCACCAGGACCCTCAATGAGGAAGAGGCTTCATCCATCTCGGCACAAGCAGACAATGCACCGCCTGTACCACCCCGTTCTCCTTCCCGGCCATACTCGTCCAGCCCAAGATCGGTTTGGTCTGTCCTTCCACGGCACCCGTACCGCTCATTTACTTGCTACTCCTGGTACAAAGATCATATCGCGCTCCTTGTGTTCCAGACACTTATGCTCGGCAGTGTCATTCTGTTCGTACAGAATCTCCTGTCGAGCTTCCTCGGTATCTCATCTATTCTAAGGAACAGGCTCTTCTTGGTCTGGATATTTGCCATGATTCCACTGGCCTCGTTCGTGCACTTGGCATTGTGGTATCTGGCGGCTTGGCTTGTATGTCAATGGGGAGGAGCAGAAGATTGGTTGAAGGGAGAAGGGCGGTTCAAATATCACGGAGAAGAAAAGTCTTGGTGGAAGAGCATTACAATGGGGCGCTACGTATACTGGGGTCTCAGGCTGGTGTTGCTCGGCGGCTGTCTTGCGTTTACGTTCTTTCTGAGCGTTGAAATCGCGGGGCCTGCTGAGATTGAGTTTACGGGGTAATGAATGATACATACTCCAATATGCCAGATCGGACTCAATACGTAGAACAGTTAGTAATCTACCCTAGCACCTGGAAATGCGCATCCACCGGATTCTTCCCGTTGATCGTCAGCACATCCTGCGGACACGCGCTCATGACCACAACTACATCCCTCAGCGCGTCCAGCACCACATAATCCCCAGCTTTCGTAACCGGCGGCTCAAAACTGACACCCCTCTTTGCACCAGTCCCCTCTTGCATAACCGGTATATTCATAAACAGGTTGAAGGGATCCGGGACCCGTCCTCCCAACTTCGCTTGCAGCCCCCTCAACGCCTCCGCAACCTCCGCATCCACGGAGTTCGAAAGGGTGTAGAGTGCATCCCAGCAATTATCCGTACAGCTCTCATGATACCCCTGCACCCCCAACTCGCTATACCGCCAGCGGTCGCACGCCGCAATCAGTGTATCATGCACACCAGGGCTCGTATCCTCACTCAACCTCACCATCGGTGCGCGCTTCTGGCTCACCAGCGTATCTCCCACTTCCGGCGTCAGCTTGCACAAGGAAGCCCGCGTGTGGCACATGGACATGTATTCTGGCGCGGACGCGGCCGTGTTCGCCGTCTCGGAGTAGGAGGTCACGGAGGTGGGCGTGGCGTTGGGGAAGACAGGTGCGCTGATATCGGTAGTGCTGACGGTGGAGGAGGGGACGGCGAAGGCCCACGTGTCGACAACTTGGTTACCGTGCGTATTTATGATTTTGATGGATTGGCCGGCGCGGACGAGGGTGGCGGCGCCGCGGCGGGAGGGGACAGTTTGGATGGCGGACATGGTGTAGGAAGGCGTAGAGGCTTGGGATCGAATGACTGTGGTGCGATTGCTCGAGGAAATGCTTCAGCTGCCCATCTACAGAAAGGATCGAGAGATTATATACCCCTCCACACCAGCCTGTGACGCGTGAGGGGCAGATAGCTCGATCCCTGATCATGCTGTATCTCATTAGTCAATCGAAGATAAGTGGCAAGGAGGAAAATGGCGGATATTCTGCGCCTGTTCACACCCTCGGAGAAGGCCGCAATCCACGTAGGCAATGCCTTGGTAAGGTGGATGTGTGCTTGGGCTTTGAGATGCAGCGCTCGGGCTGAGGCTTGCCTTGGTAGGACCGGCTTCACGTGACCTCGAACATGGAAGGTGGCCCGTTCCCGCCCGCCGCTCTCGCAATATCTCCACAGCGTCCACCCCTACACCACAACCTCCACCTTTCCGACCCGCAGTCTTCGCCATGGCACTCGCTACGAAGACGCAGTCGCAAAATATCTTTGCGAAATTGAAAGCAAAGTCCGCAAACAAGGTGCGTTATTCAACGAAGGGGGAGGGGCACATGGCGGTCAATAGAGTCTAACACCCTGAATAGATATGTTTCGACTGCGGCGCGAAGAATCCGACATGGAGTTCTGTGCCGTTCGGTATATATCTTTGCCTCGATTGCTCGGCGAACCATAGGAATATGGGCGTGCACATTTCGTTCGTGCGGTCGACGAATCTGGACAGTACGTTCCCCTCGAGATATGGGAAGGGAAGGCCGAGCGCTGATATAGGACAGTCTGGCAATGGGATCAGCTCCGCATCATGAAAGTCGGCGGCAACGAGAGCGCGACCAAGTATTTCCAGACGCACGGCGGCTCCGCCGCGCTCGCGAGCAAGGACCCGAAGACGAAGTACACGAGCAACGCCGCGAACAAGTACAAGGAGGAATTAGCTCGGCGGTGTGTTATAGATGCTAAGCAGTATGTCGGATCCAAACGCTTAAGCACTGCAGCAGGCATGTACTAATGCTTTGGTGCTTTTAGATACCCCAACGAAGTCGTAATAACAGACATCCCCGAACCAAGCAGCAGTGACGGAACCAATACCCCAGCAGGCGAGGATGATGATTTCTTCTCTTCTTGGGACAAGCCTACAATTAAGCGCCCCTCGAACCCACCTTCCCGCACCGGCACACCGCGCGCACAATCGCCCTTCCTCAAGCCCGATGCGAACGGCAACGGTACCGCGCGCCCGAAGTCTCCGCTCTCTGCATCCTCTGAACCCACCACGCCTGCTGCGATCCCCGCCGCCAAACCTGCTGTACGGAAGACAGCCTCCGGCACCGCACCGAAGAAGAACATCCTGGGTGCTAAGAAGAAGGGTCTCGGAGCGAAGAAAGTGGTCGCCAGTGATGGGTTAGACTTCGAGGAAGCAGAACGAAAGGCCCGCGAAGAGGCCGAGCGCGTCGAGAAGCTAGGGTATGACCCCGACGCGGAAGCCGCTGAAGTCGCGGCCGCCGCAACGAAGAGCAAAGCCGCCGAAGCATCGAACATCGTTTCGCCTACTCCTCTCTCGCCATCCCGCGGCGGGTTCGGCACGACCTCGAAACCGGAGCGCTCAAGCCAGGAGATGGAGAGACTGGGCATGGGCGTCGCACGTCTTGGATTTGGACAAGTTGCTGGCGGGAAGAAGGCTGCGCCGCCCAAGAAGATGGGCGGCTTTGGCAGCGTGAGCAAGCCGGTCCAGGACGACAGCGAGAAGTATGCGCGGGAGAAGTTTGGCATGCAGAAGTCTATCTCGAGTGATGAATTCTTTGGTCGTAATGCGTACGATCCTGCGGCATCGTCTGCGGCGAAGGAGCGGTTACAAGGTACGTCCATTTCAACATATTTCTAGGAAAATATCCGTTGCTAACAGATGAACAGGCTTCGAAGGCGCCACAGCCATCTCATCCAACGCTTACTTCGGTCGCCCCGAAGACGACGTCCCCGAGGACGATTACGGCGACCTGGAATCCGCTGCCAAGGACTTTGTGCGCAAATTTGGTATCACGGCCAGCGACGATCTGGAGAACCTGACGAGCCTGCTAGGCGAGGGGGCGACGAAGCTGCAGGGTGCTATTCGGAATTATCTGAACTCATAGGATGGATCGTGGCTGGCTTCTTGTTGGCGGAATAGTCTGTTACATGTTCTACAAGACGGCAAAGTAGGAGCGGAGCAAAGCAGGGGAATCTGGCGAACAGTGCAAGGGTGATGTCAACTCATGGATGCGAAACAAGCGATGGCGAATAAGGTTGGAACGGTACGATGTATGCTAGAGGCAAGGTGCGAGCCGTCCTTTCACATTGGAGGTCAGCTCTCTGCGTTTCCTTTTTGAATCCTTGCGGTACGTAAGACATGTCACTCTTGTTCAAGAAACCAAACTGTCATTGTATGTCGTGCTGTTTCCCATATGAGCTCAGAAGCTGTGTTGGGTATCAACTGCTTTGATTCTTCATGTTGCATGCGGAATGTAGTTGATGCACGAATTATATTGATTCTTATACTGATACCTATGCTCCGGTCCTAGCCTGCAGGTCTCTGTATGCTTACGCAAGTCGTTTTTCGACATCGTACAGCCTATCTGCCTCTTTGTTTACCTCGAGTAGCCTCCCCATAATTCTATTCTTGTGTGCGTTCAGCTTCTGCAGAGAGTCAGAGAGCAGCTCCAGCTCACCGGTCGCGGGGCTTCGCCCATCCGACCCTGAAACCAGCTCTCGACTTGTTTGAGATCGCTGCCGGGTTGGAGCTCTAGCCTAGATGCTTGCCTAGCAAAGCGGTGGACGAGGGTGACGAATGTACGTTCTCCTCTCCAGTATGTACGCTGGTTTCGGGCTGGCTTGAATACCCGCATTACGAGCGTTGAACTACCTCCTGATGTGAGCGAGGCCCAACTGCTCTTGCGCCGATCCAGTCCGTTGGTTTTGTGGATGTTGCAGGTTTCAACGACAGACTGGACGAAGTGCGCGGAGGGCTCCAAGTTTTCTCTGAGCAATATCCGTCCGTAGTACTGCTGATGTTTACTGATCCCGTGGGCCTTGTCGGGTTGACGGGAATTGAAGGCGCCAACGCTGCCGGTCCCAGGCGCAGGAGGCATCGGACTCTTCGGTTTGTCAAAGGGCCTCGTCATCAGGTCCTGACATGCCCCAGAGATCTCGTCGCGAGTTTCAGGGCCCGATTCTTCGGTACGGCTGTCTAGGATGCGGTTTGCGTGCTATCACGCTGACTATGAGAGTGGGGGAATCGCTCGAAGGTTGCTTCGCTCATCTCCGCGCGATCTAGGAGGTGAGGAAAGAGTGTGTGAGTTGAAGTCCAGTGCGCTGAGTTACGTAACGCGGGTCGGCATCCAGAAAGATCTCAGTAAAAACTATATTGACTCGACTAAGAGGGTACTTAGGTACTGTTTCCTGGCTCATGCCCATCACTCATCTGCGCCATCCTTCATTGAGATCAGAGACGAACACTACCTTGACTCCTGCCAAGAGGGTGGATCGTCCCAAGTCCCAAGTCAAACAGGCTCTCGTTCCGCCCTGAAGGACTATGTAGAGCAGGAACTGGAAATGAGTCCTCCCGATGTGGAAATAAACATCACTTCTCGCCAACCAATGGGAAGCCAGATATTCGGTTTGCAGCGTGAAGAGCGGATCTCGTCGAGTTCGCTCGCCTCTTCAAACGCATATCCATCGTGCTCATAGAATGTGGGCGCACGCGGTCCGATTGGGCGGAACAGAAGGTGATCGAACCGAGATGGACGTGTCGCATTGCCAGGCCGCTTTACAATAAGCCATGATCGGGATCCTTGAAGAACCATTCGGGTTAGGCTTCAGTAGCTAAGCGGAAGGAACACGAGAACGACCGCCACCGGGCGACGAGGAAACGAGGTTGAAATGGAGAAATTTCGGTGCCTTAGGATAGGTCAAGCGTCCACACACTAACCTAATGCATCATTAGCGTCGAGTCAAAGCGGCCAAGTGAATGATTCACACTAGGCTGCAAAACGCTTGCTTCAACCTCTTCAAAACCTTGGAACTGGAACTTTGACCCCGGGCTCCTGCCGACTAGCTTGTGCGTCTATACCAATGGCGGAAGAAAATAGACCAAAAGTTGGGGTTGGCGTCGTCATCCACGATGGCGCAGGCAACATTGTCATGGGTGAGAGGGCCGGCTCTCATGGCGCTGGTACGTCCTGTGTATTCTGCGAGCCTGCAGTTGCGCGGAGCTGGCATCTACGCTCTATGTAGCCACTGACAAAACATAGGTACCATGCAATGTCCCGGCGGACATCTCGAGTATGGCGAGACTTTTACCGAATGCGCTAAGCGGGAGGTTCTGGAAGAGACTGGGCTGGAGGTTGGAGACATCAAATTTCTGGTTGCTACCAATGATGTCTTCGGGGAGGGAAAGCATTACATTACCATCTTCGTAACGAGCGTAATCGTCGGCGAGAACAAGGTTCCTCAGGTGTGTGGCTTGTTCTGTTATATTAAGCTTGCGTCGGAGCAGCCTCCTGACTGTGACTGACAGCCGCTCGAACCTCACAAATGCGCGCGGTGGGATTGGATATCATGGAGCACGATGTGGCAGTGGGCGAAGGAACAGGCGGAGGCTGAAGCTGAAGGAAAAGAGGTCAAGAAGAGGATGTTCCTGCCGCTCGTGAATCTTTACCGAGATTATCCTGAGATGGAGCGTTGTCTGGAAGACCTATGAGCGCTGTTAGCTTGAGTGATTACAGCAACGATGTGGGATGAGGGATGAGAGTCTGAATGAAAGAGAGTTTGGACTCGAACACCTACAATGGGAACAGCATTCCTAGGACGTTTCTAGTGGACTGGTGAAAAGAAAGCCTCATCTGTGCCGGATGTGTTACTTGCCCCTATTCGTCAGGTAGCCATATATAATCCGGTGATGCTGACAAGTGGCGTAGTCGGGCCAACTGTAGCCGACGAGGGCACCGCACGCACACTGCGACACGAACACCATCGGAAACCGACCTTTGCTGTAAGTACTAGTATAATGGCCTGAAGGTAACATAGCAAGCTCATACAGCAAAGGCCCACAATTCACTTGCTGCAGGGCACCATTGAAGGTTTTTTGGAACGCTGATGTCGAAATCGGTGATGAGTCTCTCTTGCCGCAGACGGGTAGCGTGGCAGCGGCAACGACGTGCTCCGGGGTGGGTATCGATATCCTGAACCGGTGATATTCTATTTTTGCAAAGAAAAGATCGCATAGGCCGGAATAGGTGTGTGAACATGCGATGTCAAGCGGGCTTGAGAATAGGAAGCACACTCGACAGTCGACGAGAATTGCTTCTCTCAACCGACATAGTAAAAGATGAGCGGAGGCACGCAAATGTAAGTGGACCTATTTATGTCTCTGTTTCCGACGCGCTTGGCCTACATCTCTGGATTTCGCTTAGCATACCTCCTTCGATGAGGGTGCTGACGCTACCTAGGTATACCGTCGGACTTCTAATGAGCATACTACTTAGCCCTTGAAACGCGGAAACACTTCTATTCGCTTGATGCGGAATGCTCCTCAGTTCCCTTAGTACTGGGTCCGCAAATGGGCGGAAATTGGCGCCTCATCGCCTTTTCTGGTATCTGCGCAGCCTCGTCTCCGATCTTGCAATGACCGATGTCTCTCACATGCTGGAGGGAAACCTCTGGAACGTGTGTTTGCTCGTGCTGGTGGCTAAGATTCGTTCTGTCGCCAAAGCTTAGCCATGAGAGTGTCCTGGCAAGCTGCGCTGTAACTCCAGAAGAGTAGCGGCATACGGCTCCTTGGCAATCTCCGAAGTCTGCATACTGGTGTATACTGTGTGTGTCAATCCTGCCAATGCGGAACAGAAAATGCGCGTCCATGAGCCATGTTAGGAGACGTTGGATCCATCGGCCATTCCTCGGACAAGTAAATACAAAGCGGCTATGTGTCCAAATGGGGCTACATTAGGGTGGGACGTCCTAGTAAATCTGGGGTTGCGGAGCGGAGATTGTGGTGATGAGTAAGGATGGGTATTTCTTGTGTTCGAACGGCGGCTGAGTATTGCACAATGTTGCGAAACATGAAGCAATATGGCAATCTTCCAATACGTCACAGGGAATGCTTGGAGCTTCGCCGAGTTGCTGCATTGATTAATTGACGAAACGAGGCTCGTGGGGAGCGAGATGGCAGGACTGACGTGGTGTTGAACCAGTCGGACTGTGAAAAGACCGACATCACGTGCGGAACCACTCCGTGAGATCGAACACCGATCGCCCCACCTCCACTCACTGTTTCACGTTTCTCCCAGCGGATGCGCTACCTTATTTCCGCACATTGGGTCATCTGTCACCCGTCTAGCTCAACCGCTTCCGAAAAGGGCTGTCCCGCAACTGCTGAGGCGTGAAACATTGTCGCGCGCCAATTACAGGCCAGCGTAGACATCACTCCCTCGCACTCCTTCCCCGCTATATTGACCCTGGATGACGGCAGACACGACGTGCAGCCAGGTATGAGGGTCTGCAAGATGTTGACCAATGCCAGGACATCACCGTCGTGCTGTCTTACTCTGCGACATCTGGCCTCTGTAAGGATCCTTCCGGTCTAGGAGTCCGGTTGTGCTCTCGTTCACCTGTCATCATGCGTAGAATTCGCGTTACTCAATGCGATCACGACAGCGGACCGCATGATCGAACGGACGGGCTAGAGCCGTCGAGTGTTGCCAGGTCTCAGGCTCCCTTTGGGCTCGTACTCTTTTGCGACTTGGTTGTGGAGAGCCCGGCGAGCTCGGCAAGGGCCACCCGAGCCACACACTAGGCCGCTTCGAGTGGTAGCCCGGTGTGGCACAGCTGGACTTCCCAGCTTCAGCAGAGCGCACCGAGACAAGGCAGCGTTTTCCGCTCCGCCCTCGATTTGTGACGAGGTATCGGGTTTGAGCGAATAGCACGCGCACTCGCCGCCGCGGAACGGCGCCTTTTGCGCAGGTATTCGCATTATTTGCTCGCGTGCCGAGAAGTTGACCTACCAGAGCGCGTAGCAGGGATTGTCTCTTACCCAGGGCCATCGCTCCTCCCGCCATCAGCTCTAGGTGGCGCCAACGTGGGCTTTCTCGGAACTCGCAGGCCCTCACGGAGACAACAGGCGATTCTGTACCTGCGTCCTCGCTCCCCTCATCACACGTCGCCGAGCGCGGCCAGCCTTGCACCCCGTTCCTAGCGGGCCTTGCAGCGGTTATGGGAAAGCAGAACCTCAATGAGATGGGCCGTCTTCAGGCTCCAGGTCCGCTTGCCCGTATTGGAAGGCCGTATGCGAACGGTTTCCGGAACAGACGGCTCATCTCCTTCTCGCTTCATCGCCTTACGGTGGGTGTACTGTCTGCGAATTGCTTCCGGTACACCGCCCGCGGGCACAATCGGCCGGTCGCTCTACACATCTACAGCTTGATTGCGCTTGGTTGATGCCGGATAAACGCTGTTGCTATGTTGGGTGTATAGGTGCGGTTGTAATATTGGTCGCTTCCTGTTCGCAGGCTCGACTAATTATGGCGTAGTTTCGTTTCACCGCTGCACGCCGCCGCATAAGCTTTTTCAGATGCGACGGACAGCCGCCAGGAACACATGCCTCTAGTCCGCTAGTGCCCGCCTTGTCTTCACCCTGCAGGGATCTGGGCGCCGTTGGCAGCGTAACATGGCCGCCAGATCCGTGCATGCCGCCGACGCCCACCCGCATGCTCACCACCTAGACCTAGAGGGTAGGTGCGTCTGCGGCCGTCTGTGGAAGGCGCTCCAGGGCTGACCCCGCCCCAGGTGCCTGCCTACCATTGTATAAAGGTAGGCCCAGCCCGCCGCTCCAAAACATCTTCACCACAACCACCAACAGCTTCACAGTCTTTTCAGTTCTCCTGTCACTCTTTCTTTGCAACACACTCTTTTCCCACTTGCTGGTCATCCGCTCTTTCTTCCACACTCTTTTCAACCACCGCACTTGCAACACCATCCGATTTCGAAACGCTCGCCCTACATTCAAAATGCTTGCCGCTTCCTACATCATCGCTGCTAGCCAGCTCTTCGCCGTTGCCTTTGGCGCCCCTCTTCTCCAGAGCAATGCCCGTGCCGCCCGCTCCCTGGTGGAGCGCACTGCCTACAAAGTCTTTGGCGGTGACGGCACTCCCGCCCAGGGATGGCCCAAGCAGTCCGACTGGAAGTCGTTCGAGGATCTCTGGACCGCCAACCAGGGTACTATGAAGGCCTCCTGCTCCCAGTTCTCGCAGGAGAACGACAGCGACCAGGAGATGAACGACATCAAGAGCGCCATCCAAGCCACCGCTAAGGAGGCAAGCCTCCCAGCCGAGTTCCTCCTTGCCATTGTCATGCAAGAATCCAAGGGCTGCGTCCGCGCCCCGACGACCAACTACGGCTATGACAACCCCGGCCTCATGCAGTCCTTCCAGGGCAAGAACTCCTGCAACCCCTCTGGCAGCGGCACTGTTCCCTGCCCCTCCGATACCATCACTGGAATGATCAGGGACGGTGCCGGTATTGGTCTCGAATTCGGCATGCAGCAAGCTGTCGCTCAGTCCAAGGCCGACGACGTGAGCAAATTCTATAAGGGTGCCCGTATCTACAACTCTGGCTCCGTGGATGCCTCCGGCAACTTGGGCGCCGGTATCGCTACCCACTGCTATTCCTCTGACGTCGCCAACCGTCTGCTCGGATGGGCTGATGATGCTAATGGCTGCGATGAGGCCACCATTGGCTCCGTCGGAGGCTCCGCTCCCAGCGGCGGCAACGACAACGATGATGCCACCGGCAATGGCAACGGCAACGAGACTCAGGATCCTGCTCAGGGCAGTGACTCCACTCCCTCTGGCCCCCAGGCTGAGGGCGCCGCCGCTAACTGCACCAAGTGGTACACTGTCAAAGTATGTCTCCTGCTCCTGAACCTTCTCACTATGCGTCTAACACAATACAGGCTGGCGACAACTGCGGCTCCACTGGTATCTCGTTGGACAAGCTCGTTGAGCTCAACACCAGCCTGAAGAAGGATTGCAGCAACCTGTGGGCTGGCTCTGCCTACTGCGTCGCCGCTTAAATGCAGTGACCTCCGCATCTTCTCTTCTCTCTAGCGCTGGCGACATCTACATCCGGGGACGATTTTGGTGAAGCTGTTGGTGGTCTGTAACGATATTTCCCCGTTTCTCTTCCTTTCACTTCTTGTCACCATTTTGCTGCATTCAATACTCTCCAACTGTATTGCATGGATGGAATGGCTTGGGAATGCTCATGGGTCTTTCTTTTCCTCTTAGCATTTCGAGCGTCGTTCCACCTCTTTCCCTTCCTGTCCATAGACTTCCTCTGCATTCAATCCAAAATCGGATTTCGTCTTAATGCTTTAGCTGCGGTGTTACGTTGTGCTGATTGACAGCGGCCTGTGCGGGGCCTTCGGTGTAGCCGTGCAAGGACCTCGATCCTCTTTGATCCTCGCCACAGGCGAGACCCGCATCCTTACCTTCTAGCCAACATGGTTTCCATGCCGCCTACGCCGAGCATTTTACGGTTAACCTAAATCTTCATCAGCGCCGAGCACGGTAGGCGCCAAGGATCATCAGCTCTCTGAAATAGAAGGTAACTTTCGACGATGGGACCAGACTCCGTACTCCGTATCCGTACCTTGAAACACTTGGTTAGTCTACCCCTCAATAAACGGTGGTCAGACGGAAAAGCGGAATCAATTAAAGAAGTGGCAAACGGACTCGGTGCCTGGCTGCAGTTTCTTCCTCCTCTTCCACATCTCCGCGCTTATTCGCAGGGTCTCACACGTTCGTGCAGGGTTGTAAGCTCCCCACAGTGCGGACGCGCCCTTGACCCAGCCTCGCAGGGCTCTCGGCGATGCTGCTAAGCGGCGTAGCTGGGCTGTTGGATCGATTTATCGATAGTGCGCGTTTGATTGATCTATCGATAGCGCTGAGCCGGTTGGGCGGGGCGGGACAGGAAAGGGAGGAGCGGGACAGCTGAAGTGCGTTGGGCGGCAGGTACGAAGTTCCGGAGTCGTGCGATTGGGCGGGCTGCAGGTGTGGCGCGCTGGCGCTGCACTGCCACATTGGGGGTGCTTACGAGGCTGGGCTGTTTTAGGGACTACGGAGGTCGAGGCTGGCGGGGTTTATGCGAGGCTTCCGAGGGATGCGAGCAGCTGAAGGGTGCGGAGACGTCAGCTTGACGGTGTACGTACGTTCCTGGTTTCGTTTCGTGTATGAATCGTGCTCCGGCCCCAACGCTTTTCTACGACGTACTCATGCTAGGCCATCTCGTATGGAAACCATGTTCCTTCTGATTTCACGGAGCTGAGCTGCTCAAGATGCTTCCGTACCTTTGTCTGCACATTGACTTACGTGCCTGCGCTCTTGTTCACCTGGCTCCGCAAGCCAGATGGATCAGGTCTGAGTCCCCCGATTCTTCACTCTGATAAGTGAATTGATGTAGTGCGTGGTATTTCATAGATAATCTACTCCACATGATCATCCAACCGATATTACATTAAGCGTCCCATCGGTTCCAGGTTACAGGTTGCGCCTTCGTTACTCCACCTCTTCTAAACAACACATTCATACCGCCAACGCCAATTCCAGAAGTGGATGCAGCAACGCGCACTCCAACTGAAAAACGAAAGTCCAAGAGAACCCCTCGCTGTACGCCGCCAAGTAAGCCATAGAAGCATTGCTTGGAATCCAGTTCTTCACGTCAATTCGATTTGGACTACCTCTCTTACCAACCCCCGATTAGAAGAAAATATACAACACGCCCCCCGACGCAGTCAAGAAGACGCCGAACCACCACCATCGGTCAGCCTGTTGTTGCTGCGGTGTGCGCTTGTTGATCACGTTATGGTTCAGCGGGAGTTCCGAGCGCTTAACCTTGCCAGTCGCTTTCGCGCCACCAGGGGCCGAAGTAGTGAGCGGGTTCAGCGTCGTAGTCGGAAGCATTTCAGGCGGAGAGTAGGCGAGGTAGAGTGGCATGAGCGGTGATCCGTCGAATTTGTAAAGGTTTAGACGCGGGATGTGGTGGTACTCGTCCGTGACAACTTCGTAGCGCTGTGGAAGTGGGTGCTGTATTAGCTTGTTGCTCGTCTGATATGTGGGATCGTAACGGAGCGAAGACGTTGGACGGGAGTCACACTGAAAGGGGCATACCTCGAACAGCTCAGATGTATTGTACCGTGTGTATACTGCACTCTTGTACAGGCATGGATCCGAGTACAGCTGTCTTCCGTCCACAGCGATTGGTGTTAGTGTGAGCGAGCCGTTGGCGAGCTTCTTGAAGCTGCCGTGCTGCCACTGGATTATCCCTTTCGGGCATTTAGGGTTCGTTGCTGCGTCAGGTCAGTTTCCCTCTCCTCAAGCGGAATCATATCTTCCATTGATCTCTGTCTAGAACGGAAGAGTAGACGTACGATTCGCTACAGCGCGGTAGTAGGCCTCTTCAAAGTGGCCATCTGCAGAGAACGAGTACGATATGCCAGTATGTTTCGGCTCGGTGAACTCTTCTTTGACGGGGTCATAGAAGCCCTATCCTCCCAGTCAGCACTCGTCATATCAGCCTGCCATATCCCGAAACGTACCGGCCCTGTGAGTGTAGAGTTCGACTTGCTGGACCAAGTTCCAACGAGGTCCGTGACGGGAAGCGAATCGGTGGTCTGCGCTACTGCGAGGCCTGCGCAGAGAACGAGCGCTGCTATCGATGGGATCATGGCCGCGAACGTGCGATCGAAAAGCGAATGTACGAGGTCGGACGGCGCGAGGAGATCGAGGGGAGCGATGGCGTTGTCAAGGAGAGGCTCGAAAGTGGGAACGTTGAAGTTGCCGCCAAGTTTATTAGCAAGGAGGCGGCGAGCGAGGCAAGAATGCAGCCGCGACAGGGATCATGCGGCTAGTGGCAGATCGCTAAGCCACACACCGACATCACCGTCACCACAGATCATTCACGGCGGAAGTAGTCCTTCGGGGTGTTATCGATAACAGCGGGAATTTCTTATGCATCCCGTGCGTCTGCTCTGAGCTGGTGGCGCGGAAGCAACTTGGAAGGCATTGAGCGAAGGTCTCGAGATCAGCGAAGGAATACTCTATCTGCTCCATCAGTGTTATTTCTGGGACACGGTCGCCGCCATCGCTATGGCTTCAATGGCGGCATTGAAGAGGGATCTCAGGAAGAAGATCAAGGGAATATTGGCAGATCTTCCCGAAGCTGCGACTGCAACACAGAGTAGGTTCATTCATGACTTTAGCTGGAGCCAAGCTTCTGTCAGTACTAACAGCTCTTAGCTTCCAATGCCACGAAGACCTTGCTCTCGATGCCAGAGTATAAGGCAGCAAGACGGATAAGCGTCTACCTGTCTATGCCGTCAGGCGAGATCTCCACGTCTGGCATAGTGCACGATGCGCTCGCTACAGGCAAGAGGGTGTTTATTCCGTATACATACATTCTCCGCGCCCCGAAGGAAGGGCAGCCTAAATCGATAATGGATATGCTCGAGCTACACTCCGTCAAGGACTACGAATCGTTGAAGCTCGACAAATGGGGCATCCCCACTCCGAGCGACGACACTCTTTCTTCACGCGCGAATGCCTTTGGCGGTAAGGGACCCACTGACGGAAAGGACGAGGCCATGTTACAGGAAGCTGGCCTTGACCTGATCATCATGCCTGGCATGGCATTCGACTCTAGTTTCGGTCGCCTCGGACACGGTAAAGGCTTCTACGACTACTTCTTGCATCGGTGTCACAAACGGTCGAAGATGCCTTTTCGTGGTAAGAACTACTGGTATTCTTTTTGGATGGGCATGCTAACTAACCACAAAAAGTTGGTCTCTCATTGACGGAGCAGTTGCTGCCGTCGAACGAAGCGGTGCCGATGGACGCCTCTGATTTCCGTCTGGACGCGCTCATTACGGGCGATGGCGAGCTCCGTCGAGCCAAAACATGAACGGCGTGGCATATTTTACCCCAGCTTAACTACCTCGCACGCCTCCCAAATGCCAATGTCAATCTCCCAGCTCTTCAGCCTGTTCTGGGCGTGTTTTCGATTGATACTACCCTTGGATCTGCTGAATCAGGGAGATATTGTCGCCTTTGAGGAGGATTTGGCCTGCAAGCATGTTAGTCGGGCGAAAACTCGGGGCAGCTCGCAATACTCACCGATATTCCTTCGTTCTTCTGGAGTCTCCTTCTTTGCTAACGTGACTTCAATCGCGTCATCGATGACTAGGTTCATGAATTCGTCAAAGCCCTACGCAAGTCTTAGCGACCTAGCTTGGTCATTTCGGGTTGTAGGACTCGTACCCTAAGCTTGCCCTCGATTCGCATATTCAAGTTCTCGTAGAGCCATATCGACACCAGAGCGCGCTGTTGGAGAAGCTTGAAGATGAAGTTGATCGGGGGAAGAAGCACTAGCGAGGCATCAGTATTGGGAATGCGCGATCCGTGGAGGTAGAAGCAAGAGCGTACCTTTCTGCCCGCCGCGGCCTAGACATCCAGTTAGCTATTGTGCGAGTCAGGAGCCCTGCGCACTCACCTCCGCGTCCAGTCATTATCGCAGATTTGCGTGTAAAGGCCTGGGAGTCTCGCGGCTTCTGTGGTATGTGTTCGCGACAGTGGGGTCGATGGGGACGAGGCCGAAAGGTGGAGGGTGAAGCGCTGGAGCGCTCCAGCGCTCCAACAAAATCGTAAGGCGGTCAGAAGCGAGCTTGGCAGGCGCGGGACCGTTTGACCGTGACTTTGTCTAGCAACCGACACAACTTCGTCCTCCCCAAACAAACGCTGCACGCCTGCGCCTGCGCCTGCCATCGTCGCTCTTCCTTCACCCCCCGCTTCCTCGAATATCACCGCTCCGCCAGTGCATAGTTCATGAACACCCGGTAACCTCGACCCCACCATCGCCCCCCTCTGAGCGCCGTCCCGCCTCCACCGCCGTTCGGAATCCCAGCCATGGCCGCCAACGGAGTGCAGCAGGTCTTTGCGCCTGTTCTGGCGGCGCACAGTACGATGCAGTCGGGGGCAGATCGTGCACAGAAGGAGCAGGCGCATCTATATCTGGAGCAGTTCCAGAAGTCGGTATGTGGTGGGACAATCATGCCATGCGCAAGCTCCAGGCTGACGGTACGGACTATAGGAACAGGCGTGGACCACGACACTGGCCATGCTGGAGGCGAACAATGTCGATGCGGCTGCTAAGCTGTTTGCCGCAACGACGCTGAAGGGCAAGGTAGGTCGCTCCCGGAATTGGTGTTCCACGTCTAACACTTCCAGATCGTGTATGACCTCCACCAACTGCCCCGCGAGTCGCTCCCGAATCTACGCGAGTCTATCATGAGGAATTTGGCGACCTTCCGTGCTGGACCCAAGCCTATCAGATTGCAGCTGTGCGTTTGCCTGGCGAATTTGGCCATCCAGATGACGGAATGGAAGGACGTGCTCCCTCTCATAGTCTCCACTCTAGGTTCAGACCCGTCCACATTACCTTGCGTCTTGGACTTCCTTCGCGTCCTCCCGGAAGAAGTCACACATGGACGAAAAATCGCTCTCACAGTACGTTCGGTCGAATCACCATCCAACATCAGCTTACCGGCACCTCCCTGCGGTATCGCGGTATTATATGAGAGTTACAGTCTAATACGTGGTCTTGTCAGGAAACCGAGTTGCAAATGAGGACAGCCGAGCTTATTGAGGACAACGCCCAGCAAGCCCTCGCCCTCCTCGTTCAATATGCGCAGTCGTCACGTACGTCACCCCACACTGCACGATACTTAAACTAACGTTTGTAGCCGCCGCTGCCCAGAACCCCCAGCTACTAAACTGCATTACCTCCTGGATTCGCGAAATCGCACTTGACAACATTGTCAATTCTCCCTTGTTGAAAGTCGTCTTCGACGCACTCTCCGCGGCAGAACCTTTCGAGGCTGCTGTCGAGTGTGTGTGTTCCCTGATTGCTGAGACCAGGGACGTAGACGAGACGATGCAGACCATCCTAGTACTGTATCCCCAGGTGATGACATTGCGCCCGAAGCTCCAGGAGGCCGCGAGAGAAGATGATACAGACAAGTTCAAAGGCATCTCGAGAGTGTTCGCGGAAGCAGGAGAGTCATGGGTCTTACTAATCGCTCGGCTACCAAATGAATTCAGGGCGCTTGTGGAAGCTGTTCTCGAAACGGCTGCACTCGACAAGGAGCGGGATGCAATATCCCATACCTTCAAGTTCTGGTACGATCTCAAGCAATACCTCACGCTCGAGAAATACACGCAAGCAAGAGCGGAATGCGTCGACTTGTACTCGAAGCTGGTCGACATCATGGTCGGTCACCTTGAATACCCCAAACCGGAGAGCGGTGACGAGAAGGATCTATTCGAAGGTGACCGTGAGCAGGAGGAAAAGTTCCGAGAGTTCCGGCACCAGATGGGCGACGTACTGAAGGACTGCTGCGAAGTCATGGGTGTGTCGGAATGCCTGCACAAACCCTACAACTTGATCCAGGCCTGGGTTCAGACGTACGGACCTCAAGCCGGACCGAACCACGTCCCGGAATGGCAGAAGCTGGAGGCGCCGCTATTCGCCGTACGAGCGATGGGTCGAATGGTGCCACCCGACGAGAGCGTCATGCTACCTCGTCTCATTCCGTTGATCGTCGCGATACCGGACCACAACAAGGTCAGATTCCAAGCGGTGATGGCTCTAGGACGGTACACGGAGTGGACTGCTCAGCATCCCGAAACTCTACAGCCTCAACTGGACTTCATCATGGCAGCTTTCGAGCATTCGACCAAGGACGTTATTCGAGCGGCCGCGCTATCCTTCAAATTCTTCTGCAACGATTGCGCAACCTTGCTCGTCGGCTTTATTGTCCCTCTGCAGCAGTTCTATGCGAAGCATCTCAACAGCCTGCCGGTTAGTAGCCAAGAAGAGATCACTGACGGCGTAGCTTCGGTGGTCGCCAAGGTACCCGTCGATCAGATCTACCCTACGCTGAAACTCTACTGTGATCCAGTGTTGCAACATCTGGTCACTATTGCCAACCAGGCAAAAGACGAGCCGGAGCAGAAGCTCCTTGCAGGTAAGCGATCCTACTCATCCGTCACCACGGCATTGGTAGCTAACCATACCAGACAAAATCAACCTCTTAACGATCTTCTTTGAGCTGGTGAGGCCTCAAGTGCCCACCGGCCAGGAGCATCCGGCAGTCAAGTACTGCCAGGAGCTATTCCCTATTCTCGGAAACATAATAACACACTTCTGGAATAGTATACCAATACTCGAACGAGTATGCCGATGCTGGCGATACATGGTCCTTTCCTACCGAACAGCCATGCGGCCCCTTCTTCCGGAACTCGCAAATCAGCTTACTCAGGGCTTCGAGAAATCACGGCAGGGCTGCTTCCTCTGGGCGACAGCATCAATCGTCCGCGAGTTCTCCACAGGCGTCGAGGAGATTGATCAGAGCCTCGCGAACGACGTATTCGTATTCTACGAGCAGCAGGCAAAGACTTTCCTCCGAATATTGAACGATCTACCTCCGGAAGAGCTCCCTGATATCATCGAAGACTTCTTCCGACTCGCTGCTGACATGGCCCTCTACTTCCCTACAGAATCCATCATGTCCCCGTTGATGGAGACCATCCTTCTCGCCGCCTGCAGCTCCCTCACCCTCCTGAAAGAAGAACCTATCCTAGCAACCCTGCACTTCCTCCGCGACCTCCTGGGCTACGGTCGCAACGCCGCGCCATCATCTAGCTTCGACAACACGCGCCACGACGTACCGCCGCAGATTCAGAACCGCGTCAAGCAGCTCGTTATGGGTGGCGGCGTTCAGCTTGTGCAGCGCATCATGACGGGCATGATGTACAGCTTCCCGGAAGGCTGTTTCCCGGATGCTTCGGGCGTGCTGCTCGATCTATTCGAGCTGATGCCCGAGCAGGTGGCGAGTTGGGTGCAGAACACGGTGGGTATGCTCCCTCAGGGGAGCATCACCGCTCAAGAGAGTGATCGTTTCTTGAATAATATCAAGCAGCGCATTCAGACGGGAGATATTAGGATGATTCGGACGATCCTGCAAGACTTCACAGCGAGCTATAGGAGGAGGAATGTCGCGCCTCGAGAGGGGCTAGGGAGGCTTGAGGCTAGCAGGTTCAGGTTCTCCGGTTAAGTCAACAATACTCGAGACGTACGGCGGAACGCCGATGCGGGGCGGTAGACGGCTAGGGAGAGTGGCGAGACTGAGAGATAGAGCGGACCTAGTGCACTTGGTATGGAGTGTAGCGGTGAGTCTTCGATATAGGATCCCTGTGCCACTCCTGCGATGGAGCGGCGTGGGAGTTTACTGCGAGTGTAGATATAATTGGATTGAGAGCATGGGCGATACTAGTCAGAGAGCATGTGGGAGTCGGATTCGGGCATGTTTGCTGCGCTGTGTGACATAGCGTATGGGCATTTGCATGGTTGGTTGGATGGGCTGGGCGCGCATTGGAGTGGAGCTACGTGGCCAACTTCAACTTTCTTCTAGATACCGACATTTTCTTATCTACGCGCTGAATAATATAATAGATACTCGTTCTTAAAAGTATTCCCCCTTCCAACGCTTTGCGAACACCTCCGGAAACGACGAGAAGATTGTGCTGTACACTGCGCTCGTCAATGCTAACCTTGCTTAACTAGCACGTCTTCTTAGACGGTGCAGAATGGGGACGAGGGCAGTTCCTTTTGCAACGATTTTGTATGATAGTTTCGATGAGGAAATTTGAATGCCGTGGCCCATAAGTGGCACCCGGTGCCTGCAGGTAGATGTGAAGCAGTTCAGAGTGTGGTCTCTCCGCTGGTAAATGGACAAATGCCACCCAGGTGTTATACCCTAGTGGGCTGGATGTTTGATTTCGGCGAGGAAGTAAGAATGGGAGGGGAGTAATTGATTTGCGGATCGGTGTTGGTGTAATGCGTGCGGTCTACTATGGGATTGGATCGGGTCTAAGGCGTGCTGAGAGATCGGCACCGTCCTAGTAATCTCTGGTGGATGTGCTCTCGGTAAGGGCATGTGTTTAACTGTCAAAGGAAGACGCGGACGCTGCTGCGATGAAGAACGCCTTTGCTACTGTGTGTTAAATCAGTGAGAAATTGAAACGCAGCGCGGAATGGAGGATAAGTTTGTCAATGCAGAGAAACGGACAGCAGAGAAGCCGCCAGGCCATGCAGGTGCGTGGTGCTAGCAGGAAGATCAGCGTCGGAGCAATCAAAATCTGTATACATGCTCAGCCTCTCTGTGGGGGTGTTTCTCCAAGGTGTCAGCGGGAAAGCGGACAGCGCCGGCCGGGGAATGTTCTGCAAGCGGTATCTGAAGAGGAAGGTCGGTAGGGTGCGGTGAGGCACAGCAAGAGAATGTATCCGTAACTCTGCCAGAGAAACTGAAGTTCGGATGCCTCCGTTTCGGTAGGCGGACCGTTGCCTTTTCTTAAAAGTAGCGGTATAGGGCGGAGGGCGTGCGAAAGGGCCTGATTGCGGCAATTGTCTGACCGGCGAAGGCAGCAGGGCGGCTGTTTCATTAATGAAGAAAGGCGGGAAGGTTGGAGGACTTGTCGGCTTGTTGACCATTTTAGTGACGCGTCTATACGAAGTTGAGCCGCATTATCGGTAGCGCGGAAGAATAGGTGACATACTCGTCTCGCTTGGAGGACAGTTACTCGACGTGATGTTGGATGTAATAAACGGACGCATGCACTGTCGATCGTTTGCCGTCAAAGGATGCTGCGGGACGCAGGAGGATGCTGATGGAGCCGAGGCAATCGTGGGCCGCACGTGGCGAACGAGTCCCCCAAAGCGATAGAAGCGTGGCCTGACATCAGTCCAGATGGCGTCTGTGAGAAATAAAACCACCGGAGCTGTCTTACGAGCCGGTCTGCTCTAGCCATCAATGATTCTGAGATTGTCCCCCAAGCCCGGGGAGTTGAAGAAGGCATTTAGTCAAACCATAACGTACGGCTGTCCTGACGTAGCTCGATATTACTACGGTCGAAATAAGCATGCGGCCTGGGGTGAGAAGCGTCACCGGTGAACTCGAATGGCCGATGTTGCGCTATCGGGCGTGGAGGCGCACCGGCGACGGCTGAACAATCAGGCTATCGCGGGGGACGGGATAGCCTCCATTCTGACCTGTGCTGTGTAGAGACCTTCGCGTGGGATCAGAATTGGGGTGGGCGTTTGCATGGGGAGTAAACAGGCGGTGCTGCGTTCGACCATTGTCCATCTGACTGGGCGGGTGTCTTCCCTGGTAAGAAGTATGGGTATTAGTGAACTGCGGTCGGGGTAGAGGACAGCATCAGCTATAGGCCGGGCTAGTCCTTTGGCTATGGAATACGACTCCTTCAACGTGTAGAGCCGTGCCTATGCAGCCTAGACAGCGACGGTCTAGGTAGGATCTGCCAGGATAAGCGAGCTAGCCGTCTTGTGTCTTACATGGTTGATATACTCAGTCGTCGATAAACCTTAATAACCCCTCAGCAAAACTGGACGCTCTTGAAAAACATTTTCAGGAGACACACCATGTATCTCGATCCTCACGTGCTCTTCGCAATAGATTCCTTTCACGTTAGGCCACACGTGATGAGGCTATTGACGATCACCTTAAAAGAGTAACCCCCTGGACGGGACGGCGCATTTTAAAGCGTACCATTGGCGCCACCGACATCTCGGCCGCTTAAATATGCCGCAAAAGGAAACCAAAGGGTCTAAGGTAATCGCCGCAGTAGTCGCCGTTCTTCCCACCTTGGATTGCCGGCGGCGATGCTGGCAGCGCCGTCGCTCGTGGGCGCCCCAGCGCGCTACATGTGGCGGGTATTTGTTACGGCCGAATCAACGCTGAACCAAGTTGTTGTGTGGCCTTTGTGCAGGTATGTGGTATTTCCACTCCCGTGTTGTTTTTGCTGATCTTCTCCCTTTGCTTTAGGTGGAATCAGCCTCAGAAACTCCTCGGTCAATGTCGCCGAGCTGCGTCAAAGCAGAAGTTTTGAATGAATCCGACGTTTACTGTGTAGTGACATGCGGGCTCGGAAGCACCCGAGCAAGATGAGGTTCAAAGGCCAAATTGCTTTTTGGTTGCTTCAAGATGTTACTCCTGCGCCACGATGGAAGTTTGGTCCTCACTTAGCGGCTTGGTCTTCGCCAGGGTCCATGGCTGCAAATGCCAGAGAGGTCCTCATGCCTTTTTTTGGCGGAGCTCTCCCTTTCGTCAAGTCTCACTACCATACGGTTGCTGCATCGTCGACTTGCTGCGCCCCGAGCTGTGAAGGTCAACACGAACTGCAACTCGAACGTGGGGCTAGCTCGGACGACGCAGCCTTCCGCAACGTATTTTCCCATGTGGGGTCGCAGATAAACGATTCCGAGAGGGAGGAGCGCGACACGGATGAAGTCGTAATGTTCGGACGGGAAGGAATAAGCGGAGTTTCTTGGGGCGCATACGATAACAGTTGGCTAGATAGGGAAAGTGAAGGTGCGTCGACCCCTTTGCTGGGCGCGTATACCTGCCTTGTCATGTCGCAAGTGGGAGCCGGTGACAGCTGCTTGGAGAGGCAGTGGAGCTCGCTCGTATGCAGCCTCGTGGTGGCAGGGTGGTGGCAGCGTCTGTCCGTGGGTGAGGCTTTTTGATGGTGCGGTGGCGCCTCGTAAAAGTGCAGCACAAGACAGATTGGGGGCCATGCAGCACAGGGGTCAGCAACGGGATGAGGGTTTGCGCGTGCCGGCGTGATGAAAGAGGCACGTCGGGCCAGGGATGCGGCGCGATCGACATTGCTTGGGGTTCCGGCGATGCAGGCAGGTACTCGCCGACTGCAGCTGGTTGCAAGAATAGACATGGTGTTGGTGGGATAGCGGGATTGATGGCAGGCCGCAGTATCTGCCAGGTGCAGCATCGTCTGCAGGTCCCGGCAGAGGGGCTGGAGGCTGCGAGCCGCCGGCGGGCCTGTTTATGGGTTTGAGGATGTCATAGTTATCGGGGAGGCTGATGAACCGGGTCCACGGGCAGGCTAGCGCAAATCATATCAGGGCGTGCTAAGGGTGGGAGAGGCGGAGAATGCCAGGCGGGGACGTCGTCGCGGCGGTCACGGCGACTTCCAGCTGGAGCGGGCGCGGCGAGGGCGCGGCGGCAACGAGCTGGTCCAGTGTCGGTCGACGACGGGGCGCTGGAGGGCGAGGAGAGGCCTGGGGGTGGGTGAGTCGACAGAGGTGCGAGGAAAAGAAGGTTTTCCGGGGCGGTGGGTTGATGGCATGGGTGGAGTGCGGGATGGTTAAGCTTGTTGGCCAGCGCACCGTCAGCCGGCGCCATCAAGTCGATCGATCCATGCCCGTTCGGGGCCTGCTTTATTGGAGGTGGGAGCCAAGTTATCAGACGCGGCGCGAATTGGGAGCGGCCGTCGCGGCGGCATGCTCAGGGTCGAGGGAGGTGCAGGCGTAGAGGAGGAGCTTCAGCTCGAGCTGGAGCGACTGGCGGGAGCGTCCAAGGTTGTGTTTGGCACAGGCGGCGGGCGGCGGGCGGCGGGCGAGGCCCGGTATGGCGAGGTGCAGGCGTGAACGCGTCGGGCGGCGGTGGACTGGCAGCTGCGAACAGCTAGCAGCACGCGTCGCTGCTGTCGACCGAGTAATGCTGGTGCTGGTGCTGGTGCTGGTGCTGGTCTGGTGCTGGTCCGGTGCTGGAAAGAGCCTCGGCGGTCGGGTAGCGCCTGCTACAGCACCTCCTCCTGGCTTGAGCCGCCGCCGCTGGGGCTCATCGGGGGTCCATCGCCGTCCATCCACGCCCGTCCGCCATATCACCAGCGCCGCCAGTCCACCCCGACGTCCCAACTGCACGCTCACGGCCGGAGCACCCCAAGATCGCTGGCTATATCGCGCTACTATTCTGGGCAGATTAAAACCACCCCCGTCGCGGCGGGAGCACGCCCCTCTCATTAGCCCGCCCGCTCCTGGCACGCCCAGCGATCCCAGGGGTCCTCCACCCACAGGCCACAGCCGCCAACCTCACGTCCTCACGGCATCTTGCGCGGTTCCTGTGCTCAGTCCCCCGTCCAGCCCGGGCCTGCCCCCTCCCCCTCCCCCCCTGCCCAATGGCGTGCACCCGAATCGCACTCCGCACCATCATCGCCCTATAGAAACATGTTTCTTCTGCCCGCTGCACCTCCTTCACTCCCAGCCTGCGCCTGTCTCTGCTGCACTGCACTTGAAGCCAATTGCTTATCGTGATCCACACCCCCATCTTCCCTGCTCCCCCTAGAGCAGCATAGTCCTCCCAATCAGTCTAGACCGGCCAAACCTCCTCAGCCGGCCGACGCCCGCTGCTGGCCCCTTCGAGCGTGGCATCATTTTGCGTGCAGCCTGTTCGTGGACCGGCCTGGTCGCCTGCTCCTATTCGGGCGAGTCGGCGGCTTTCACGCCTGGTGCGTGCTCCCGGGCCTGTATATCTAACTCCCCAGATCCTGCCTCTACGTGCGTGCTCAGGTCGGGCACTGCCATTTCTCTGTCCCCGCCTGTCCTACATGACCATCCCCACAGGCTCCACTCGGAACCGACGCTGTCCCTCTTTATCTTCACATCGGAACCGCCGCCAGATCTGACAGCTGGACCGTTTGACGCCTCGCCAACCCACCACCTGCTGATCGACATTCTCTAGCGGCCACTTTCCCCTCCTGGCGCCGTAGGCCCCATTCAGAGCCCGGCCTGTCTTCTCCCGGCCGATCTAGCGCCGCCGTCTGTCCAAGGCCCACTCCCGCCCAGGTACCGCTTCCTGCTATATACTCCGACGGGGCCGGCGCTCCGGTAGGCCTTGGACTTGTTGCTCCTTTGACACCCGCGCTAAACCATCACCGAGGACCCGCGACACCACACCCCTCCCTCGACGCACCGACAGCCGAGAGATGGCATCCATCAACTCGAGTGCGGCCGTGGGCGGTGCTGGCGATGTGTCACCAACCGGCACTTCTGGCCCTAACCCCGCCACGAACCCCAAGATGAGGAAAAGAACCAAAACGGGCTGCCTTACCTGCCGCAAAAGACGCATCAAGTGCGGTGAGGAGAGGCCGACCTGTGCCAACTGCATCAAGTCCAAACGCCAATGCGAGGGCTACAACCAGCGCGTCGTCTTCAAGCCTCCCATCGGCGACTGGCCGCATCACCCTGGTGTTGTGAGCACCCTACAGTATCACAACTCCATGCTCCCTGGCTCCCGCGCCACCAACTACCGTCCCCAGTCCGCGCCGCAACCTCCGGAGAACACCTTGAATTCAAGCCAGCCGCGACCCTTGGCTTCGTTCGACTACGCTGCAGAGAACGCTTCTCCCTTGGGACATCTGAATACTCAAGTGCTTGCCAGCGCTCCTCAGCAGTATGCACAGGACTCCAACTTCCATCACCACCAACCACCGCTCCACTCACCGCATCACCCACCGCCCACTCCGACAAGCACCACCTCGTACTTTCCGCAACCTTCGCCGGCGCATCCCAGCTTCCAAGGGCAATACTCTCACGAGACAACGAACCTGGGCTACCAGGAGCTGCAGCGGTATCCTCAGAGCCCCTATCAGCAGATACCCGTCTCCTATGACACCCCAGTCGACCAAAAGCCCTCCATCTCTCGGCCTTCGCAAGAGCAAGTCGTCTACCAGCATCACCAGCAAGCCACGGGTCGTCCCGAAGAGCAACCCGCCTACCTTCAACATTCCAGCCTCCCGTCCCAGGCCGAGGACTACCCTCAGTACCCGGAACACAGGCCGTCGATACACCGCTATGGCAGCCATAGCCAAGCCCCGCTTCAGCAGCCGCCAGCTAGCTCAGCAGAACTGAGCCAAGCAGCCTCATACAACCTACCGGCGGCAGTCTCTCATCCTTCTGATTTTTCGTATTCCGCTTTTCAGCCAGTTCAGATACCCCGGCATGATATGACTTCTGATGTAAAACATATGCCTCAGCATGCTGTTTACGGTATGTCTCGTGTTTAGTTACGACGTCGTATGTCTTAGTTATCACTACTACTATCCCTTCATCAAAGTCCGATTGCACAGCAATCGTAGACCGATAAGACTGTCCATCAAATATTATTATGCATGTTCTTTACTGTCAATTCCCCTTCGTCATGCCATGATACGTTACCCCTTTTATGCCCACGTCAATGAGTGGCAAAAAATTTTGCGTGTGCCCCTAAATTGCACAGAAGAACCCGGCTGATGTTTGCTCTTTTCACCCAGATCCACCCGGCGCTACATCGCAGGCACAACAGGACCAGCCGTCAATTCCCTTAAGCGGATTCGCAGGCGAAGACCACGTTAGCCCGACCCAGGTGCTCGACGAAGCGGCCGTCGAGAACGAAGACGACGACTACTACGATGTACTCTCGGATGAGGAGATGATGGAGGGTGACGATGGGACGGATGAAGACGTGGTGATACTCAACAGAGACTTCAGCTTAATCCGCCGAATACACTTCGAGAATACCAGCGAACTGGCCATACGACGGTACGATGCCTTCATCTACGAGGGCATCCTAACCCAGTACAAAGCGGAGTTTGTTGCGAATCCACTGAAGAATCCCAAGACGGCAAGGGTATTCGCCCACTTTATACACGTCACAGGGCCCAGCTTAGCCATCTACGAGCGGAACCCTAGAAACCCGACTTCGATTTTTGAGGGTCCGACTCACCCGTCCCAGCAGAGTCTCTGGACATATATATTGCCCGTCAAGGCACTGAATCACCAGGGGCTTTTGCATGCCATGCTGGCGCTAGCGAGTCTGCACATAGCACGACTACAGCGCGCGTCGGTGACGCCATCATATAAGCACTACGCTTATGCTCTCAAACGTCTGGGCAGGTCTCTGGGAAATGCGAAAAAACGTCATTCGATTCCTACCCTGGCGACCAGTCTTCTGCTTGCCTTTTATGAGGTCATGACGGTAAGTTCTCCCCAAGACGGAATCGCTGTCGCACAGGAGACTGCTTGCTATGCTTGTCTGAAATGGTCTCAGATTCCTGAGGCAGCTCCCGCTTCACTTTGACAAGCAGGTTCCAACCCTACTTGGACTGACTGTGCTGACTTGAGTGTCTCTTCCAACAGGCCGAACACGTGAAGTGGTCCACTCACCTTGTCGGTGGAGCCCATCTCCTTGCCGAACTCGATTTCCGATCGCTCACCCAAGAAGCACGGCGCCTCAAAGCAGCCCAAACTGAACAAGAGAGCAAGTTTCCGCACCACAACCCCCACATGCTCATCGATCAGAAACAGTTCAATCAGAACCTGAAAGAACGGGCAATGATGCCAGACGAGAGCCTCGTCAGCACCATCGTGGGGAAGAAGATCAGCTACGACGACTTTGGCAGGGTCTTTGAGGACGGGGATATAAAGCAGGGAAGAAGGAGCAATTTGCCCGGCAAGTTGGACCTGCGAACCTATGAGACTCTGCAAGATCTCTATTGGTGGTACTCGAGACAGGATGCTTTCCAGAGCATTGTGAGCGGCAACCCATTGATGTCAGCGACAACTCCGAACCTTCTATAACGCATGCTAAAAAGGTACAGCACCGACTATCGCAAATGGTCTGACTGCCCTCCGCGTGCGCCCCTTGGCCGCGCAGACGCTCTCTACGGCACCCACGACCACATCATCCTCCTCGTTGCTCGCATCGCAGACTTCACGGTTCGGGATCGGGAACGGAAGCTCAGACAGATGGAAGCAGACGGCGGACAGTGGAGACCACGGCCTGGTATGCCCGGCATGGGGCCAATGGGTCCACCACCAGGCAAGGGGCCGGCGAGCCAACCTCCTACACCCACAACGCCTATGGGTCCTCCACCACACATGCAGGGAATGGGAGGGCCCGGCTTCGGGCCTCCGCCTGGGCATGGTCCTCCACCAGGATACGGCCCTCCATTAGGACAAGGACAAGGACAAGGCCCTCCTCGTGGCCCACCTCCAGGCGCAAGCGCGATGCCCAACTTCTTCGGCATGGCTCCCTCACGCCCCCCAATCCCCCTCCCAACCAGCTACGCCAACCCAGATTTCGAACACTCCCCGGAGATGCCGCACACTCCTCACCCAAAGTACTCGGATCTGCCCGCGGCCTACGAAGCTGCCCTCGCAGACTGGAACTCCATCTCCGCCGCCCACGCAACTATCGCCCGCTTCCTCGCCAACACGGAAGCCTTCGCCCCGCTGACACCAGACCTCTACCCCGTCGCGCCCGGCGGTAACATGACGCCCTTCGGCCCGGCGCTCGTGCATCGCAGCTACGACATCAGCACCCTCTGGACGCTGCTTCACCTCTCTAACATCCTGTTGCTGCGCTCGCACCCCGCAATGCCGCCCGCGGCCGTCATGGCCGCCGGCGTCTGCGCGCAGGCAACCCAGCCCTACGCCACGCTCATCGGGCGCATAGCAGCAGGGATGCAGATCCCGGCGAGCGACGACACACCATTAAGTCCGTTCCTCGGCTCGGCGCTTATCGAGCTCACGATGGCATTGTTCTTCGCGGGGATCCAGTATCAGGATCCGGTGCAGCGGGAGTGGCTTGTTAAGCGACTGTTGGATATTGATCGCAGGACAGGATGGGCGTCTGCGGGCGTGATTGCACGCTCGTGCGAGACGTCGTGGGAGCGCGCGGCGGAGCTAGGCCGCGGGCCGCCGTATCCGCAGCGTAGGACGCGGAGGTTTGGCGAGGACGGGCCGGTGGTTATTGATGCTGACGGGGAGGGGAACGAGGATGGATGGGGCGGGGGAGGCGTGGTGAGACCAAGCGCGAGTTCCTCGAGGGGTGGAAGAGGTGGTGCAGCGGGTAGGGGAAGAGGAGAGATCAGAAGGGAGGACTGGAGTGATGAGCGGGAGAGGAGGGAGAACGAGGACAGCCGGTTTGTGGTTAGGAGTGTGCCGTGGGCGAAGAATTTGTTGTCCACGGATGAGGATTTGAGGATGGGGATGGAGAGGGTGGGGTTGAGTGGGAGATCGACATCAGAAGGAGGAAGAAATGGGTAAGAGGGTTGGAAGAACGGAGTATGTTCAGCGCGAAAAGTGTTGGATACACCGTGGACTGGGTGGACTTGGAGGGAGGAGGAACTAAGCAACAACGACGCAAGATTTACTTACGACTGGACGCATTTTCCGACCGCAAACAGAGACGCCGCATGATCGCCGCGTACTAACGAACTCAACAACTAAAAGAAAAACGGCGCAAGAAAAAGGGTTTCTTACTTTGTATAACTAGTTATCGTTAGCGGTTATAATATACCCAGTATTTCAATCTGATATTACTCCCATCTCGTAGAATCGTATCCAGACCCGTTAGCTCAAGGTATCGTTGCCATGCATGTAGAAGAAGAAGCAATTGAAGAAAGCACTTTTCGTCCCGCTACCTAGGTCCCAAAGCGCCTCTAACCCCATATTGAAAGGAAAAAAACGGCGGGCCTGAGTCAGGCGAGCCCAATGAGAAGAGATGGTGCTAGATGCAAAGAAACACCGGTGGATATGTGGTGAATAGATGGCTTTGTGTGAAAAGGGGGCATAATGATGGGATATGAGGGGAGGGGGGAGGCGAAAAGACCAAACGACCAAAAGAAGCGCAGATAAAACAAAGCACCAATCCCTTAGCTCGCATGGAACTTTTCCCGCAAAACTCCGTATAACTGGCAGTCCAGTGCCTTGGTGTCCAACCCCAGACACAGCTCCTTTCCATGCCCAGCTCAATGCTGCCGTGAACACAAACCGCCGTTAAGATCACCCCAATGCCTGGTTAGTCGCCCTCAATCGCTGCGATAAGCCTTAACCGCAGGAGTTCGTTGATCCGAGCGTGGCGATGCTGTAGGCATCTCAGAACCGCTCATAGTTGTCGTTCCTCGCCTGCAGCGTAGCTAGCATGCGATAGAAGTCCGGGTTCCAGTTGACGCACTGCAAGTACTCCCACCAGAGGCGAAGGGCTGGGGGATCATCTGCATCGGCCTGGTCATCGTTAGCAAGCACATCCCACCAAGCGCCCGAACCCCCAAAAAGGAAAGGAAAGGGGGGAAAAACTCACCCTCTCGAACGCCTGCATAATGAAGTCCTTCTTGATCATAGCAGTCTTCATGCGCGCATCCTTCTCCCACTCGCGCAAAGCCTCGACGTAGCGCTTCACGTCCTTCAAGACCTTCTCCTCGCGCTTGTCGAGATCCTCGCTCATCACCGACCCGCCCTGCGCCTCGCTCACGCCGAACATGCGCCCCTCGTACTCGGGCTTCGGGAAGAAGTGCTTCATCAAGGCGTCGGTGACCCAGCCCGGTCTGCCGGAGGCTGACAGCTCCTCGGCCCAGTACTCACGCACTTGCTGCGGCACACACTGCACCATGCGGTCGTAGTCGAGCTTGTCGGACCAGCGCGTCTGGCTGTAGTGTCCGAAGTATACGTACCGCTTGCGTCCGCCTTTCTTCTCGTCGGGGAGAAGCACGAACATCGGGACGTTCTCGGAGGAGTCGCCGCAGCCCTCGGGGAGCGCGCCAAACTCTTCTGCAGGATGCTTATTGAAGAACGCAGTGAGCTTGGCGCCGTGCGTGCCAGGAGTGGACGGGAGATACGGTTCGTAAGCCGCGTCGAGCACGTAGTAGGTGCGGTTGCGCAGGATGCAGGGACCCGGTGCGGGAGGAATGTAGGTCAGGCCTGGGGACCAGAGCACACCGCCGAAGGTGTTGCGGAGGAAGTCGGGGTGGAAGGTTGTCATGGAGTCGAGGGAGGGGATCTCGATGGAGACGTTGGTGGGGAGGGGCGGTAGTGTCCCGAGGAAGTGTGGCTTCCAGGCTTCGGCGTGGGTGATGCAGAGGTTCTCGATGGATTGGAGGGGGACGTCGGGGTGGATGGTGGTGGCCGGTGAGCCAGGTGCTGAGCATGGTGGAGTGTGCTCTATGGCGGGGACTTGGGCCGTGAAGGCGGTGGTGGTGTCGACGTTGCCATCGGTGACGAGGGGATTGTTGGCCGAGGTCAGGGTCTCGACAGAGGCGATGCTCTCGACAGATGAACTGAGACCGTTAGCAATGAGCGAAGACTTGCGGATGAATGATGCTGACCCTTTGGTTCCACGGAGATGCGGAGGCAGCGGAGTGCCATTCTGCTGGCCACCTCTCGCGCCCCTTAGATGCGGTGGGACGGTCGGGGTAGTCTTCGGAGAGACAGAGCCATCAGTCACAGCTACTTTCTTCGCATAATCATTAGCACCGTTATAATGCCCGTGAACCTCAGAAGTGAGTTGATCAAATTCCTGTCTGAACGCTGCGGCGCTCTGATCCTTGAATGGGCCCACGCTAACGGACCAGCCGCCCTTCTTCATCATCTCGACGGACGAGTGAAGACTGTTGCAGAGGGTCTTGAGGTCCTCGACGTCTGTACGAAGAGCGAACTGCTCGCGCTCCAGGCCATCCACCCTCCTCTCCAAGTGGTCATGAGAGGGCTGGCTCACCTGGTTGCCGTTGGCGTGGGCCATGCTGCCATTCTGCGGAGCGAAGCCACTGAAGTGAATGGGTTGGAAGGTGCCAGCGCCAGGATTGAGTTTGTTGGCTGCTGGTCCGGCGTGGTAGGATCCGTGACCATTGATGGGGTGGGCAGAGGAGTGACCAGAGCCAGGTTGACGGTGGGGAGGTGTATATGGGTCGCGGTTAGACATGATCCGAGCGGGAGATAGGATATAGGTTGGAGGAGTAATAGTGGAGGGTGGATGGATGTTGGGACGGACCCGGAGAGGCTGACGTGAAGGTACTGTAGAGAGTTCGAGCGGTTGAGACTTGCTCACGGCGAGCTGTGGAAGGTAGGTAACGATTGCCGCTAGGATGAATAGTTATGAGAGTGGTCAAGGACCGAAGAAGCCGGTGCAGAAGCAGGGAGCTACGAGAAGCAGACTAGCCTAGGTCGGAGGGGGTGATCTGTGGAGGAAGAAAGAAGGCTGATAAGCTGGGAGGGGGCTATTGATATACAGACTTGGTAGCTGCCTGAAGGGCTGACGAGGGCGGTCTGTGCGATCCCAAGTGAGAGAAGCTCGGAGTGAAGGGAGCTTTGAAGTAGGATGCGGTAAGGTGATTGATAGGAGAATCGTGACTTGGCGGGAATAAACTACCAACTTGAGCAGGACTTGCTCGAGACTGCTTGAGAACATGCCTGAGGTGAGAGAATCGAGCGTCCGGAGCAGAAAGTAGCAATAACGAGTATTTAATGAGCCAGTCTGTATCCGGAGACTAGAACACCTGATCCAGTAGCGGTGTGGTGCCGAGTCTAACCCAGTCATAAGGTGAGAGGGCTTTGAAAGACATTGTACATCCCCTAGCACAATAGGGCAGAGAGAGAAGCGATAGTTGCGGTCAATGATTCAAAACGTGTGATCAGGTTGCGAGGACAAATTCCTTCCAAGCGGGAAAAGCCAATAGTTTCCTACGTTGTCCATATCAGCATATCGCGAAATGGATGGGTGTTCCGCCGGCTTGAACGAACACTCGAGCGTAACAACTGCAGAGGTATGGGACACTGCCCAACCGCATGCCACAGGGCGAGCCGGTGGCCACAGGGCTCTCCAATGTGCCGCGGCAGATAGGCCTTCTGTACCAGGGGTGTGCTGGGTAAAGAGGAGCAGAGGGAGTCAGAGGTACAACGAATTTGCCCTGTCTGACGCAATTAGATCAGTATTCTTTGGTTGTATAACACACTTCGGACCACAGCGCTAGATTAGCGTTGGACCGAGCTTGCTAAGGTATACCAGGAACAGCCCGAGTCGCTCTGCCTAGCGTCATCTCCTATGGTATTAGAATACGTATTCGTTGGATTCTCTTCGAAGTTGATTGTTATCGGGTGACAAGCGGTGACTGTTTGCGTGCGTGACGATGAATCATCCCGAAGCCCAAACGGCGATTGTCCAATGGTAGCGGCATGATTCGCATGCCCATTCGTGCTGCTAGGGCAAATGCATCGACCGAGATCTCCAGGACGTTGAACAGCTGGCCAGGGGAAGTGAGCAAACTGCAGGTTGTCTCCGAGACTCGGCTCCGGCGGATGCAGGCTCCACACTGATAAAAGCCGGCAGTCGCCATCAGTCGGTCGTCGTCCGCTTGTTGCGTCTCTCTCCCTCTTCTTCGTCAACCTCTACAGCTCCGATGATGGACGTATCGGACTTCGACACCAGAACATGACTATTCAATGCGAGGCTCCACCAGATGGGCGCTGGTCACGCGAGAGCCGGCACGCTTCCCCGGCAAGGCCCGGTATTTCGGCTGAGGGCAAGAAGCAGCAATTGAAACTCAGCGCGATGCTGGTATATGGAGCTGGGCTAATAAGGATGGTATACCAAAAGGGCAAGGGGGTGGCAGATGAGTGTGCGTGGGTGAGCGCGCCCGGAGCCCGGCGAAACGTTGTTCCCCTCGGCGCGGCTGCGGCCCCTGGTCTAGCCGGACCCTGAGCGTGCCGGAATTGGAGCATCGTGCGTCATTGGCCCGCCCGAGCTCGCGGGAGCGAAGTTGCGTGCGAAAAGCCATCCGCCGTGACGCCTCGCCTTCACGACCCACGACACCGCAGATGAACACACGCGATACGAATGTAGCTGTAGCGTCTTGTTCTGCTCTCTGCGACACCCGCTAGGCCTTGTTCCCGGTCTGGCACTACTTTTCCTCTGCCTTGCTCCAGCCCTCCGTCTTCGCGCCATGCCTCCTAAGCGCACGCACGAGGATCCGCAGGCCCTCAAGGAGAAGCTCCACTCGCTTCAAGGAAACAACGCCCGCGGACGCCGCAATGGGAACACAAACCTTACGAACGGTAGCAATCTCAAGGAGGTCGTATCGTCGAATGGGGACAATGCTTCCACCAACAGCGGCCAGAACGAGCACAGCGGGTCAGGAGTAGGTCCCCTCACAGCATTGCATCTTCCCGGCACCATACCGCCTCGCAGTCGCTGACGTCTATCGCTTTCTCCAGATGAAATGGAATAATCAAGACGCTTCCGTCCTCCAAGGCTACCGGCGTGCGTACCGTCTCGAGACTCCCTCCACGTTCAAGAACCCACTCAGTCACGTCGTGCTCAACCAAGGCATCGGCCGCTTCTCGCCTACAATGGCACGGCCAAAGGCGAAAAGAAGAGTGCATAAGGACCAGCTAGCGCTAGCTGTGAGGAAAAACTTCAATGCGCAGGGCGTCAGCGAGAGCGACGTCATCACACAGTTACTGTACACGGCAAAAAGCAGAGGTGGCATATCTAATACCTCGACTGGCGAACAGGTACGCTGACGGACAATGCAGACAAGGAGTTTCGGGTTCGATTTGCACCACAGCGAAAGTAGAAGCGCGTAATGCATGCCCTCGCCGCACTTTCGGATTTCTTCTCGCGGATACCCGGGCCTCGCAATGGCATCGAACAATCTTTCTACATCTTATCGAGCATCGGCATTGGGCGGGCGTTTCGGCATAATCTCAATTGCGGAATTGGCATGATGGCGGCTCCCAGTCGGAGTCGGTTCTACCAGAAGGGCCGCATTAGAGGAGTACTCAACGAAATACCACAAAAGTAGGGTTTTGGTTGGGATCTAGGTCCGAGGTACACACATCGTCAATATAATGGGTATTTGGTGTTCACACGTTGGCTTATCGGAGTGCTGTCGCGACCGTGATGCTCGGAATTTCTAGCTGCACCATGTCGGAACGTGTCTCAGCCCGGCCGAGGGCTTCCGGATAGTAAGGAAATGCGAAAGTCTTCACTGGTGATGTCTACGAGGAAGAAGGCGCAGCGACTGCCCTCTTATATTGACCTAACGACACATAGGCTCGCTTTTCCCGATCTGAAGCCCTCGAGAAGATACCAGAAGAGACGCGTGCCGAGGCCAATGACATGGCGCGTCTCGAAAGTGGCCCGGGCGCCAAATTTTCATGATTCGCCGGCTCGTTGCCGTCGACCTCGAAGAACTTTATTCATTGACCTCTGGTGCATCCAACGCATTCATTCTGGATAGACAACCCTCTATTTCAAGATGAGCTTAGCTGCTCCGGCGCTGCCTTTCAAAGCAATCGCACCTGCCCGCATCATCTGCGCTTCCCGGCACTGCCAGCGTAGGAGCGTATCGCAAGCATCGAGAACCCAACTCAAGAGGCCATCTATCACATCGCAAAACCACCAGCAGCATGCGCCGCGAATACGGGTACGTATATGGGGACTGATGGTCTGCGCCATATATGCATTGCTATATGCTGACTCTTCCATCTCAGTTCTTCCACGCAACGACGTCGTCCCATGCCATCGCCGACCCCTACGCCACGCTAGGTATACCCAAAACAGCCTCCGCTGCTGATATCAAAAAGGCATACTACGGCCTGGCGAAGAAATTTCACCCAGATACGAACAAAGACCCCTCTGCGAAAGAGAAATTTTCCGCGGCGCAATCCGCCTACGAGATACTGTCGGACAATGATAAGCGCAAAGCATACGATTCCTATGGCGCCGCAGCTTTTGACCAGAATGGCGGTTTTAATCCAAGCGCTGGTGCGGGAGCGGGCCCCGGCGGACCTCAAGGGAATCCATTTGCGGGCTTCGGGGGTTTCGGAGGTTTCGCAGGAGGGCAAGGCGGTTTCCAGGGAGGCTTTGCGCAAGACATCAACTTCGAAGATCTTTTCAGTGCTTTTGGGGCAGGCGGAAGGAGGGGAAGGAGAGCGAATCCGTTCGAAGAGTCGATTCTGGTCGGAGACAACATCGAAGTTCAGACGAATATCTCGTTCATGGATGCAGCGAAGGGTGTCAGCAAAGACATACACATTACGCCATTGACGGAGTGCAAGACTTGCCACGGTAGTGGGCTGAAGAAGGGTGCAAAAACGACAGAGTGCAAGAGCTGCGGCGGAACCGGGCAAAGAGTCACAAGCATGGGTGGCTTCCACATGAGCGCAACGTGCTCGAGCTGTGGTGGATCAGGTGTTGCTATACCTCGGGGCTCATCGTGCGGGACCTGCGGCGGCGATGGTGCTGTCAAAGAGAGGAAGACTATCACGGTCGATATCCCGGGCGGTGTTGAAGACGGCATGCGGTTACGAGTCACCGGGGAAGGGGACGCGCCTCTCACCGGACAAGCTATGGGTGCAAATGTCAAGGGGGCGAGAGGCGATCTCTACGTCCTAATCCGCGTGGCTTCCGATCCGAAGTTCAAGCGTGCAGGTTCCGATATCCTTCATACGGCCACAATCCTTTTGACAACCGCCGTATTGGGCGGAGAGATCAAGGTGCCAACGCTGGACGGCGAAGTCAAGGTCAAAGTACCTACCGGCTCTGGGACAGGCGACAGGGTCACGCTATCCGGCATGGGCATGAAGGTCCTCTCGGGTCGACGGAATGCAAAAGGCGATTTGAAGGTCGAATTCAAGGTCCAGATGCCGAAGTATCTGAGCGCCAACCAGAGGACGATCCTGGAGATGCTGGCTGACGAAATGGGAGACAAAAGTGCTAAGAGGATCATGAACATCGGCAAGATGAAGGCAGAGCCATCAAAGCCAGAGGACCACAAGAACGAAGGTTTCCTGAAGAGCACATGGCACAATCTCACTGGACAGCACCGGAGTATGGACGAGACAAAGCAAGATGAGACGAAAAAGGACGAGGAAGAACCGAAGAAGAAATCCTCTGGATCCGGATAATCGCAACCATGTTCGAGAAACGGAGTACCATTTTGTCTACGTAATATGTCCGGATCGAGAACTTTTTCTCCAACTGTATAATATCGCAAAATAGTGGCACCGGCGCAAAAGGAGGCGGAAGCCTGTTGGGAGACATTTTACAGCATTTGTTGGCGTTGCTCGATGATAAGACGTTCATATAGACCCCTTGGTAGTCCTAGCCCTCTCGACTCAGGCTTGTATATTACCTCATTCTAGCGTTCTTCAAGATATACTTGCTTTTTGCATCATTCAAGAGTTTCGATAGAAGCTTATACTCCCCTGCTACGTCGAGCGCTTATACAAGCCTCCCGCGTGGTGTGGCAGCTCCCTGAGTGGCCAGGTGGAGCTGCAAGTCCGGGATCACCCTCTTTAGTTGCCTTAAGTTTTAGCGAGTGTGTGACTGCGATTGTGAGCGCGCAGGGAAGATGTGAAGGAGGTGGTGGTTTGATGTTGAGCGCGGCTGTGGAAAAGGAGTGGAAACTCGTAGAGCCTTAGAGAGACGCGTGTAGCTATTTTAGTGAGCCACAGGTCCTAGGCTGCGTGCCTTGCAGATGCGGATGAGTGAATGCTCAGCCGCCGATTGCCCCGCCCGCGGACTCGAGAGGTCAAGCCATCAACACTCCACGACGCGAGATTGACATTCGCACTACGTTTCGCGCACTCGGACTTCCTCGAGATTTCACTGCGTAAAGCCACCTCATGCGGGTTCCCGCCACCAGCGCTCGCCGGTGAAGAAGCACCCGACGGCGGCCACATCAACACACCAACCCTGCAACGTCATCCCGGCGCCTGCACACAGATGCCTTCCACACGATCGAGACAAGCGTAACCGCCATATCTCTACCACGATATTCTCGCTTTGCACGCCGAACGGCGACCTAGCTGGGTCACCATCAAGGCAGCTGCAGCTCCGCGATATCGACCGAAAGCGCAACCCGAGCGCACCGCTTGCGCTACAATTGCTGGCGACAACCGTTGATTAAGTCGGACGCTTACGCCCTACATTGCGGTCCGCTCTCCAACCCTACGATATCTGGCTGGCTGGCGGACGACCCGCCCAGCTCAGCAGACCCACCGCCGACATGACGACCCAGGTCCCCATGATCTCGGTGCCGCTGAAGCAAACGAACGAGATCGACTGGATAAACCCGTTGAAAGGCTACATCCGAGCTACATATGGTGACGACCCAGAGCGCTACGCGGAGGAATGCGCCACGCTGAACCGGCTGAGGCAGGATATGCGGGGCGCGGGGAAGGATAGCGCGGCGGGGAGGGACCTGTTATACAGGTATTATGGGCAGCTAGAGTTGCTGGATTTGAGGTTTCCGGTTGATGAGAATCATATTAAGATCTCGTTTACTTGGTATGTTATACTACAGCTTGGAAGAGGAGGGGATATCGACGAGATGATTTGGGGATGGGGAACAGGCTGACAAGAACAGGTTCGATGCCTTCACCCACAAACCGACATCGCAGTACTCCCTCGCATACGAGAAAGCGTCGATAATTTTCAACATCTCCGCCGTCCTATCCTGCCACGCAGCGCACCAGAACCGCCACGAGGATGTTGGCCTCAAGACCTCATACCACTCGTTCCAGGCATCTGCCGGCATGTTTACGTATATCAACGAGAACTTCCTACATGCGCCATCCACAGATCTGAGCCGGGAGACGGTGAAGACGCTGATAGCAATTATGCTGGCACAGGCTCAAGAGGTGTTTCTGGAGAAGCAAATTGCGGATGGGAAAAAGGTGGGATTGCTGGCGAAATTGGCAAGCCAGGCTGCGTTCTTGTATACCCAAGCTACGGAAGGTGTACAGGAGCAGGTTACAAAGGCTATTTTTGAGAAGGTCTGGATGCTGGTTTGTCAGGTGGGTAACCCCAGCGTAGTCGCTAACAGCGGAGGCTAACGATACTACAGACCAAAGCCAACTACATGGCTTCGGTAGCACAGTACTACCAGGCTCTAGCGGACAACGATGCGAACTCACACGGGGTAGCGATCTGCCGATTGCAGGTCGCAGAGACGCACGCGAGAGACGCGAATCGAATAGCCAACGCCTTTCCGTCGTCGACACCCTCGAACTCCAATCTCCCCGCAGAGACTGGTGCAGTATTGGCCGAGATGACGAAGAAGCATGTCTCCAACGTTCAGGAGAGACTAGCGGAGTTCTCTAAGGACAACGATTTCATCTACCACCAGGGCGTTCCCAATGAAGCTTCCCTCACACAGATACCCAAGCTACCGGCAGCGAAGGCAATACCTGTTAGCGAGCTATACCAGGGGCAGGATATCCAAAGGATCATAGGCCCGGATATTTTCCAAAAGATTGTCCCTATGGCCGTCACCGAGTCCGCAAGTCTGTACGACGAAGAGAAGGCGAAGTTAATACGGGCGGAAAGCGAGAGAGTGGAAGTAGCTAATGACGAGATGGCGGCAAGCCTGGACTATCTCAAACTACCGGACAGTCTAAACGTACTAAGAGGAGGCATGGACCAGGATATGATGGTCGATGAAGACTTCCGGAAGTGGTGCGAGGAGTTGGCCGGCCATGCATCCTTTGGGCCTGCTTTCGAACAGCTGAGCTCCGATAAGGCTGAAATCATGCAGATGCTAGATTCAAGCATGAAACAGCTCGACATGGAAGAGAGTGTCTGCGAGAAGATGAGGTCGAAATATGGACCCGAATGGACACAGCAACCGAGCTCGCGCTTGACCGCAACGCTACGGAGCGATATACGGAACTACCGAGGAGCCATCGAGGAGGCAAGCACGAGTGATTCACAGCTCTATAGCACATTCCGGCAGTACGAGGCAGATTTCGACGAGATGCGATCGGCCGGCGAGACGGATGAGGCGGACGTATTGTACTCACGAGCAATGGTTAAGGCCGGAGCTTCAAAGGGCAAGAGTCCACGGCCCGCGGAAGGCAACCTCTTGGATGATGACTTTGTGGACGGACCGAGCGTTGCGGATCAGATTGCCAGCGTCGAAGAGTTGATGCGGAGGCTGAACTTGATCAAGAAGGAGAGAATACAAGTGCTGAAGGATCTCAAGGACAAGGTAACTTCTACTCCAGCAATAGACGCGCCTGGTGTTAACGGTGATTGTAGGTCCACTCCGACGATATCTCGAATGTACTCATCCTCAATAAGAAGGCCATCGCGAACCAAGAATCACAGCTCTTCAAGGCGGAGCTCGAGAAATTCCGCCCACACCAGAACCGCATATTACAAGCCAACCATAAGCAAGCTTCACTACTTAAAGAGCTTACGCGCACTTACTCCGATCTGCTAAAAGACCCGCGAGTGCGATCTGAACAGAGTAAATATGAGGCTTTCTCAAGGCAGAGGAACAGCGTGATGACAAAATACCGGAGGGTCTATCAGAGCTTCAACGATCTCAACGCCGGCCTGATACGCGCGCAATGCTTCTACTCTGAGATGAAAGACACAGTTTCAAGCCTCCAAAAGAACGTCGAGGTTTTTGTTAATAACAGACGTTCCGAAGGCGGCCAGCTCCTCCAAAACATCGAGCAGAAGAAGTCCCAGGGCGCAGACCAGGAACAGCAGCGCCTGAAAGACCTCATGGAACGCATGTCTATGGAACCCTCCGGATCGCCCGTCTCTGCTGGCGGCGGGAGAAAGAAAAGCATTCCCCCTCCTCTCTCCTCAACGCCCGGCTACCCATCAGCATCATCCTCGCAATCCCATCCCGCCTACAACCCCGCTACGTCTCCGCCCGTCACACCGCGCTACCCAATGACCACCGCTCCAGGACAACCAAATTACATGTCCCCCCAACAATCCTACGGTTCCTCGAATGGCTATCAACAACAGCAACAACAACAACCACCCCGCCGAGAATCTTATCAATACCCCCAACACTCGCAAACGCCCTCACAATCCTACAACCCCACACAATACGGTCCCGTCTCGCCTCCCGCACATCAGCAATACTTCTCTCCACCGCCGAACCAGCAGCACCAGCCATGGGGTCAGCCGCCGCAAGCAGGGTATCCCTATCAGAGTAGCACACCACAGCCGGGTCTGCCTCAGGGATACGTGCCGCCTCCGCCGCCGCCTGGCCCGCCACCCAACCAGCAACTGGACTATAGCCAGTATAACAGCCCGTATCCGGCGGGACCGGGCGGGTATGCGAATCCGGCGGGTCAGAGGAGTAGTCAGCAAGGGGGACAGGGTCAGCAGAGTGGAGGAGGGGATCCGTGGGCGGGTTTGAGTGGGTGGAAATAGTGCGAGGAGGAGGAGTGGTTTTGTCTTTCATTTTTAGTATTGCGAGATACCGAGGGGAGCGCTTCATTTACTTGGTTGGCATAGCATGTGGAAATAAGGGAGCTGGGGATGAATAGGGGGGGTTAGGAATCGGAGTAGGATAGGATGGATAATACATGAGAGTGAAATTCGGCCAAAGTGATGAATGCACCAGTGACTCTTGAAGCGAAGTGTTTCTACACAGTATCAACGTCTTAACATGGTACGCGAAAAGCGTGTAGCCAGACAAAGGGATGGTAGATGTGCATAGGAGAGTTTAGTGGAGTGCATACTAGCGTTGAAATGCTAGCAAAGGTTTTTATCTTAGTTTGGATCGACGGTGTAAGGCACGGTGTTGACCAGGCCATTGGGTAAGTGAATACGGAGAGTGAAGGTGCACACTGAATATCAGCACTGTGACTCGTGTGATATCCTTCAAGGAATCAACCTCAAGTGTGCAAACACAAGACAGGGCAAGAGATAGTGGCTAGGAGATTTCGCACCCGTATATAGAAAGTAAAGCATCTAACGCCGTCCATTCTATCCCAGCCCACAAAGAAAAAAATCCAGACATGCAACATCTACCCTGGATATACCACGACCAGCCAACTCCCAACGCAGCACCCTGTAAAAAGAAAAAAAATCTTGTGTGTACATATCCCTCATGCGCTCGTATATCCGTCTCTTTCGGTAATTCTTGCGACGCCGACGATCGTGTTCGTATACACGCCCTGTCGTGATAATTTCAAAGAGGACAGGGGCGTGTATACGAACACGATCGGTGTCCGACACTCTTGCGTGTCGAACCCATGTGTGCCATGCATGCACCGGAGGGTTTGCTGGGCTGCATGGCATCATGTAATGCCGTTTGTTGCCCGTTGCCGCGCTACGCCACGCCACGTGGGACTACAGGCTGCGTCCGTCGACTTCGCGGCGCTGGAGGGTGCGCACGTCGACGTCGTGGAACATGCGGACCTGGGGCGTGTTAGCTAGTATTCTATGGAGTTGCGCGGCGAAGACGGGGGAAGAGAGGTTGGCAGAGGAGGGAGAGGAAGAACTTACGTTGAGTGCTTTGACGCCTTCGTAGAAGCCTGGCTCGATGCTTTCAGCCATCAGACTGCTGCCGCAACGGCTGCAGAAGTAGTGCTGGACACGCTGTTTGCCAAAGCGGTATTTCTAGGGAAATGTTAGGATAGTGCTTATCGTGAGGCGGATGCTCTCAGAGTGACTACGGCGTTTGTTATGGAGGACAAACTTACCTCAACTAGTTCGCTCTCTAATCCCACCGTCTCGAACTGGATGCAGTCGTTCTGCACGTAGACGTTCAAGTACCCGTTTCGCGCGCAGATCGAGCAATTGCACTCCACTACCCAGCTTTCTATGTCGTGGAGGGGCGGTGATAATGTGACGGTGTAGCGCACGAGCTGACAGTGGCAAGACGCGTGGTACTGTTGTACATGGTTAGTGATCGGTCCTCTAAGTATTCGATAGAGATTGAGCAAGAGACCTGAGGGAAGCAGGGAGATAGTCCAGGACCAAGCTAAGGGAACCTGGAGAGTATAAACGACTACGATAGAGCGTGATAAGGTCGAAGTAAGGGGCTTCGGGAAGGAAGCAGCTACTAGACCAAGACGGCGGCCACGGATTGGCGAAGCCACGAAAGACTGACGAGGTTGCTGATAGGCTTCCAGAAGCGAAACAACGTTCGAGGAAGCGGATGATCCTTAGCCGTGGCAGCTGCTGAAACTTGGAATATTTAGACGTCGTCTGCTCCTCCGGGTGGGGAGCGAGTGACTCTGGTAGGCGGTGGGTGGTTCTGAAGCTTTTCAGGTCTTCGAAGCAATTGCTGTTGATCCGTTGGGCCGCTTAAGGTGAAGAGGCCGTGCGTGATACCCCGAATCACGTGAAGACGAGTACAAGAGTGGACTAATAAACAGAGAGGGGTGGAGGATTCCAAGGTGGTATAGGTGAGTGAATGCTGCAGAGGAGAATTGAGGAAACAGAAATGGGAGTCGTCCCATGAAGTCGGACATCCTGAGCTTAGCTAGACGCAGAAAGAACACGAACTTGGACACACCTTCTGGCTTGGCTTATCCGACGGCATGGCGTGTACAGATGGATATCTCACATCCGCCATCCTCCTGTGGTCAAGGTTGATTGCGATGGAGAAGGGATGAAGCGGGAGGAAGTAGATGGGATACGTGTTGGCGACTGTGGAAGAGACGCCTTATACAGACGTCTCTTGGTGGCATGTAGTGGTGTATGGTGGTTGCTCGCAAGCCCAACTGGAAATGGTATTCTCCGCGAGCAGCTGAAAGCGGCAATGCAATTGTATGGGTGAAAGGCGGTTGAGGCTCAAACGAAGCTTCTGCGGCAGGTCGTGTTCTGGTTTTTGGGACTTGTCGAAACGTGCCGGTCCCTGGAGGTGGTGAAGTCGTACTTATACGCTACATTCTGGCCAGTCAACACTGACCGTACTTACCTAGAGATGATCGCTGTAGACTGATCCGTAGTGACTTCTCGGCCCGTCCCACCACACCGTCCCCTACTTCATACTCCCCTTCTATTTTCATCCCGAGATTCTGTCACAGGCACTTGCAGAATGCCAGGAGTCTGCATTCCCGTTTCCCATAACGTTAAGAACGGCGCGCCAAGCACATTGTTAAAACGACTTTTCCGCGGATCGCTCTGCGTTTTCAGCTCGACAGGGCTCTAGACTGCGGCTCGAACGTCTGCTACGGCTCGTAAAGGCGATAGGCGACAGAGGGGTGCCTTTGCATTGGGGCTTCCGAAATTTGGGGGCGCGTTTGGAGTTGGAAGATCTCGTATTGGCGAGGCGCGAAGTCAGGTGTGTGGCGCATTTTGCACTGGAACGGTTAGGCAATCGTGAACTCGCTCGGTACTAGGCTTGCGATAGGTATGGTGGACTGGATTAGGTTGCGGAATGATGCCTGTGGCTTCAGGCGCACGTATGACGATGAGCATCCAAATACGAAGTAATGGTACCCGGATCCTAGACACAGATGTCGGTGATGCAACTACTCTACAGAAATCGACGCTTTCTTCGCTTTCTATGCTGGTTTGGGTGCTACAGATGACTGCTGTTGGGGCCGCAGGTACTATATCTGGACCAGACCTTTGGGTCCGTTTGCGGCTCCTCTTCCTGTTGCCAGGGCGTTGGAGAGGGCGTGGTGTGTAAGAAACGAGGGTTCGGAAAGTTTTTGGACAAATTGGAGGGGCCTACCGGGGTATCGTTGCACCGTTTCCCTGTGCTGAAGTGCGATGCCTGCTGTTTTGCTCGTGGTTGACCGTATTTCCAGCATGCATGTTGTAGGATACGTGAGGCGGCGTAAAGCCACGGGACTTGACTCTACTGCACCTTGGACTTGTATCAGCCACTGCGTTTCTTGATATACGCACGTATGAGAGTGCGAGGACTTGCTCTATTTTCCAACAATGGCGTTGTTTGAAGAGGTGGAGCATTTCGAAGGTTGCATCGTGAGCACCCAAGCGATCCCGCCGCCCTCAGCGTGCGATTGCCAACCTGCAATGCGCTCGTCGACCTTGGAACGCTTGCTTCGGAATCCGGCTGAGCATCCGGTCTGCTACAGACGATCGTGGACCGAATCGAGCACAACGTGTCGGTCCATTCCGACGGATGAGCGTGGTGGGTTCAGGCTCCAACTGCACTGGAGGTTCGTTGCCTTGCCGAATGTGGACGAGCTTTCAGCTGGGGTGGTCTCGTGTCTGCGTCTCGCGACCTCGTATTTTCTCGGCGTGCAGGGCGGTATCTTCCAAAAAGCAAGCCGCGGTGTCAGGTAATTATAGCCACGCCATTGGTCTTTTTATGGCAATTTTCTGGTGCCGCGCGAAACACCCGCTTCGCGCAAGATGGCGCCGAGAGGCTTCGCGGCCGCAAGGTTCTTCCGATAGTCCGATATAAGATAAAGTGAGGTGCCCCCGCGAGTCGAGAATGATGGGCTTCCCGATAGAGGGAGCAGAGCGAGTAGGAGTTCATGTGCGAAGTTGTCATGGTCGTGGAAGGACTGTGAGAGTCACGATGGTTGGGTGGCAGGAAAGGGGAAGAGCGGCACGCGACACCTGCCCGCACGATATCTGAACAGACATATGTCCATGGTGCAATTGACGCTGCTTCACCTTCTTGTGGGCGCAAGGCTTCCGTGATGTCTTATAAGAGGTGGAGCTCCAACATGGGAGCGGAACCGGCATTATTCGGACATCCGTAGATTTACCCCTGGCACGCCTGGCATGGCACTCTGGATACGCTACATACGCCGTCCTTGGCGTGCGTCAAGGACACTTCACTTCGCTGTCAATTGTTGGGGGCTCCCAAGCCATCCATGACGATGGCGCTCGAGAGGAAGTCGCGAGGAAGCCACCATGGGGCAACATGGGCACAGTAAGCTGCGGACACCGAAGCGGTCCAAGATGCGAGACGCCGCCTGCACCGGCGCGATGCGCATCTTGTCAGCGCTTTGGCTGTCCGCGCAATCCAACCCAGGACATGGAAAAGTGGATCGGCATCCGCCGCCAAGCCACCACTCAAGGAGCCCTATAGGGGCATCATGTGGGATTAGTAGCACAACGGGGACTGCGCCCTTGCGAGGCCGACCAGCGACGGGAAAACAGGGCAAGTGCTCTCCTGTCATTCACTCTCCCTCCTCGCAACTGCAGCGGCCCTCTCCTCTTTCCTCTCCTTTCGCTCTTTTCAACACCGCCCCAACGCGGGGGCTGCCTTCTTCGCCGCAGCCTCGTCCCCTTTTTAGCTGAACATCCCGAGTCATCCGGGCGTTCTGGTTCTCGAAGCGCTGCCGTGGAAACTTCAACTTTCTCTCGTCGTCCCGTTTCGCGTAATTCATGAGCTCCGGCCTTGCCGCATCGAACAAATTCCATCGCCTTCGTATTCTCGTGAATCCCATAACGGGCGATTTTGGATCTGCATCCCGGTCGCGATTCGAGCAACCACGCACGCGACCACGACGATGAACGCGCCGAACATCACAGTATCAGTGGACGAGCCGCAATGGAATTCCAAGCCTGCTTGGAAACTCCCGGGATGGGCAGAGCCAATTGTGAGTGCGAATTCCGGTCGCGATCCAGGAGAAACACGCCGTACTGTATCGCTGCTAACAGCTGTGCTTCGCCTCCAGATTGTCGCGAGCATACTCTTCGGAGCTATGTACATGACCCGACGAAGAAACTACAGGATCTTCGGCGCATCCCCATCGAACGACGGGTACCTCGACCGGCTAGACTCCCAGGGGTCCTCAGATGCCCTCCTCGCACACAGTTCGGACAGTGATTGCGAATATGAAGTCGTCTCCACGAGCAAGCACCCACCGAAACTTCGGAAATGGCTCTGTTGCGTTCTCGCCACGCCGAATACCTCGCGCTTCCGAAACAATATCCACAGCCGCGTCCTCCAGCGATTTCCCTTCCTGATCGAAATGTTCTACTGGATAATAAATTACGCATTCTACCGCATGACCTCCATCACATCTCAGAAGATCTTTGCAGAGACGGGCATTTGGAACGTGGCACAATCTCATGGCATCGCGGTGCTGGAGGCGGAGGAATACAGTTGGCTGAGCTTTCTGTTTACGCTTCGTGAGAGGGAGATCCAACAGTGGTTTATGCATGGCCACCAGGACGCTCTCACAGTCTTGAACAAGGCATACGCGCTTATCCACATCCCGGGGACTGTAGGGTGAGTCCTCATTGACTTCACGCTTCCGAAGTTGCCTATGCTAATCTCTTGCCGTAGCTTCATCTGCTGGTACTACTACGTCGCTCCTTCCTTCGATACTTTCGCCGTCGCCCGCCGAACCATGACTCTGACCAATTTTTGCGCCTTCATAACCTTCATCTTTTATCCTTGCATGCCCCCGCGGCTGCTGCCTGCGGAGTATGGCTTTTTGGACACGGTGCGACATGACGATGCTCAGAGCGTGTGGATGAGCGGAAAATACGTGAACACGCTCGCAGCAATGCCTTCGATGCACTTCGGATACGCCTTCTGCATCGGCATGACCTTGATATACCACTCCGGACTCTTCCGCCGCACGCTGGAGAGGGGCGAGTCGCGCAAGAATACGTTTTGGAAGATGTTTTACCTCGCGGTTGGCATTGGATACCCAGCTTTCATTTTGACGACGATTGTCGCGACGGCGAATCATTACTTCATGGATGCGTTGGTCGCGACGTGCTTCGTGTTCTTCTCTTTCCTCTGCAACAAGATCTTTTACGTCTTTATTCCGCTGGAGGACTTGATGCTCTATGCGATTCGAGCTGACAAGCCTATTCCAACGACGGGCGACCGGTTCCACGAGCGCGGCGGTAGGATATAGGCGGGCTAGAAAATATTCTCTCCGGTTCGAGCTTTCGTTCTCTTGCATGGGGTGCGTTCTACGGAGCACAGGAAGCACCCTACGGCGGCGTTTGGTTCCAAGCGATATACTCTTATGGATGTGACGACATCTTATAAAAGGCTGGATACGGCACGGTAGAGTCGCCGTAACGCATGCTTCGCCGGCGCGTTGGATATGGACACATCTGTACATAGATTTTGTAACAGGTTAATATGAATAGCTGATAGTGTCTTCGAGATAGCCGAACAGAATGACATCTAGGAAGAGCTTACAAGACGTGTTGCTCCCGTGAAGTGTCCGCGGTCCCGCTCAATGCTTCTTCCTTCCGTGTTGCGGGGATGCAGAGAGGGCGGATATGGAAAGACACCATTGAATAGGGCGAGGCGGACTCCTATACACTCCGCGAGTGATAGTGGTGGTAACGGAGTCGTCATATGCCCGAGAGGCACTTGGAAAGACTCGGCTCTTTGACTGTGGTGCTTCACGTGGGGCGCTAATGCAGGAACCAGCTCGGCAAACCAGAGCACAGGGCAAAGAGCTCCAAGCTCTCATCTGGGGCGAGCAACCAGCCACTGCACCAACCTCGCGCATTTGCTTCACCACCACAAAGTAAGCCCACATACACCTTACCAGTCGTGCTCACACTTCAATCGCTCGCTCCTCGCTCCTTAATTTCATTCTCACCCATCACACGCCTTTCCAATCAGAGTTTCTAGTTTTGCAGTTTCGCAGCTTCCTAGTCCGAGCTCAGCCCATAGCTCCTTCCTGCGCGCAACCGAAGCGCAATCGACTTTTCGCACTGTATACGACTTAATTGATCCATGGCGGATATCGAGCAGCAGACTCCGATCGAGGGGACGCCGGCTGAGGATGTGGAGATGGAGGGCGGTGATGCGGGGGCTGGTGCGGGCGACGAAGCTGGGCTGACTGAGATGGAGCCCGAGGCGCCAAAGCTGGTGCTGTTCGCCGAGTTAGTTGAACTTCCTCGCACATGTCTTCTACAGCTTCTGGAGAGCTCTGCGACTGCAATTGATCTGTCAATTGAGTTTCGCGGCCATGTGCTCGGTTTCTGACGGGCTGGGCGCTGCGACCGATGCCTGGGGACGACGGCCCAATTCAGCAGCGCGACAGCTCGGGGTCGGACTTCAACCCCTCTTCACAGTGTCAAAAAATGGGCACGTATGTATATGGACCATGTGCTAACCATGCCTAAGCTTGATGAAGAGCCCCATTGTCGAAGTCGTCGTGGGAACCGGAGCCGAGCGAACCACATACTCAGCGCACGAAGCAGTCCTCATCCGGGCTCCAGAATTCGCAAGGCAGATAGAGCGTTTCGCGCCGGGAGGAGTATGTCCTATACAGCGCAACATGCGATGCAATTGAGCGCGCCAGCTAACCCCGCGCAGCCCCGTCAAGTCGTCATGACCGGCATCGACGTCGACGCCATGGGCTCCGTCATCGAATACCTCTACACGGGCGAATACTTCCCCAAGAAGATATCCTCCGCGCGCGACGCTCCGCTCGAGAAAGACCCGCGCCAGCCGACTTCTGACGACGAAGGTCTCGGCCTCCTCGTGCACGCCCGCATCTACACGCTCGCCGACCGCCTGCAACTCCCCGACCTCAAATCCCTCGCCCACTCCAAGATCCACCGCACGGCATCGACCGCAAAAGGCGAGCTCGCCTATGCGCGCTACGTCTACAAGGAGAGCAACCCCGAGGACACTACCATCCGCAAGCCCGTCGCTGCCTTCTGGGCTACCCGGAGCTTCTCGCTGCGCCACGAGGCCGAGCCAGAGTTCAAGGCCATGTGTCTCGAGTTCCCGCAGTTCTCGTACGATGTGCTGCAGCTGGTGCTTGATCAGCAGGAGAAGAGCCGGCGCGGTGGTGGTGGTGGCGGCGACCATGGTGAGGGACACAGGGGGCCTACCGTGGTGCCGGGGAGCAGCAGGAAGAGGGCAAGAGTGAGTCAGGTATAGCTGCATTTCGCACATGCTTGATTTGTTCTGCTTTCAGTTTTAATCCTGTTATCTGATGATCACATTCTGACCCATATGTTTAGCTTGAAGTACGGATTCCGCGGAGCTCGATCGAGCCCCACTGAATGTATGATGAGCAGCACCACATCGGCCATCTTTCCTTATCTTCGCGGTCATCTATCCGTTGTCTACAGCAGCGTAATCAGCGATCGGGTATCTGTTCAGGACACAGGCGTAGGTGCGGATACCGGCTATCGCGGGCGCTATCAATGGAGTCTGGCTATTCCTGAGAGTGTAGTGTATGGTGTACGTGTACCACATGTACATTAGCTACCTAGTGAGTCATCTTCGGCGTTCATTTCTTTCGGGTGCGAGATATCAGCGGGACCCTTAGGGGCTCAAGGGTTCAAAAGTTCATATTTACTTTCCATTATTGCCATCTCAAGTGTGATGGTTGGCGTCGTGCTTGGACTGTAAACTCCCGGGTATACCAACACATTCTGAGGCAGGCCTACAGCACCCTCAAATCAGAGAGCGCAGGCACCACCACACTCTCAACCACGTCCTTCACCTCCCTCACACCCTCCGTCCTAACCCCCACTCCACCACTCCCCGCGTCCTGGAACTCTTGCTCCACAGCTTCCACGCCAGCCCGCGCTACGCTAGCATCATACGTCGCCGGCGTCACGCTCACGAGGTAGTCCAGAAAGCTCTGCCAACGCGGGAGGTAATACTCGCCGACCAATCCACCCCAGCTCTTACTCGCGTAATCATTAATCTCGCCGTCCGGGCCCCACAGCGTGATCTGGTTCCTAGCATTGTACTCGTAGAAGTCAGCGATGGCGGAGGAGTTTGTCGCGTTGCCGGCCCAGGCTCGCGCTGAATCGATCCAAGGCGCGAGACTGAACTGTGGAAGCGCGGAGAGCGCCGCATCGAGTGAGGTCAGGAGTTTGGTGAGGGTGTCCGCTTGTGTCCTGACGGCGGTCGTGTTGGTCGAGGTCGAGTTCCAGTCCGATATCAGCGTCGTGTAGGTGGAGAGAAAGGCGTTGGCGAGGACCTGCCGCGTGATGTCTACGATGTCGTGCTTGAAGGCTGGGTTGCTCCAGAGGGAAGCCTCGGCGTTTCCAGCGGCATACATGTTCTGCCACGCAGCCAGGACTGCTTGGGGATCATAGTTAATCGTCGTAGGATGGTGCCCCGTTCGGCCCGTTAGCGTCGTGATATTCGGCGCGAGTTCGTAGATTGCCTTGGGGACGGCGTTGGATGTTAGCTGCGTGTTGTTGTATGCGCTCTGTCTCAGCCATTCCCATGCATTGTAAAGCTCCTCAGGGAGCGTGCCGTTGGAGGTAGAATACCGCGTGCGGGTCCAGTTCCGGAAGTACGAGGCGGTGTCGATAGGCGCGGAGCTCCATGCTTGGTCGAGCAGCAGCTTGTACATGATCTCGTTTCCTTCCTGGCCCTCGGGCGTGAGACCAAAGCCGACGAGCGAGGACGAGTTTGCGAGCGCGGCGATGGGGTTTATGGTTACGTTGGCGATCTGGCCGTACAGGCCCATGTTGCCGCCGTAATCGTGTAGTTGGTTCCATATCCAGGGCTTGCCGTGGTAAGAATCTGTGCGCTGCCACTGCGGTTGAGACTCGGAGAATAGATCCAGGATCAGCATGTCTTCGTCTTCTTCGACGCCGGAGAGATACGCCTCGATACGCTCGTTTGTCCAGAAGTCGGCGTTGGAAGTGAAGAGCCAGCCTTGCATGACCCAGACTGCTGCTGGGTTGGCCGACTTGAGGGACTGCCATGTGCCATGTGTTATATTCCGGAGGTAGGAAAGGTCGCCGGAGAATGGGTCGTTTTCGTTGTATTGGTCGAGCGTGTAGTACGAAGTAATGTTGCCATAGTATTCGATTTGCTTTGTGATGACGCGGTTCTGGAGCTCGGAGAAAAGAGCATCTGAGGGCTCGAGGAAGGTCGTGTTGGTGTATTCAGTCGGGAACTCCTCCCATTGACTGCCGTTTACGACCGTCGCGTTGGGATAGACATCTACCAGGGCCCTCGGTACGAATCCAGTGAAAGCGGGCAGTATAGGCGTCATGCCGAGGTCCAGCATTCTAGTCACTATCTTTTGTTGCAGTTGAAATTGCCCATCGATCCATTGCAAAGGGAGCTCGCCGCCCCAGGAGCCTTGGATGTTGCCGAAGCGATTCCAAGCCTGGAAAGCTGGGCCGGAGAAGAAGGGGATAATCTCAGAGGTTGTGAGGTTGATGGACTGGAAGACGTCGAGGAGGATCTTTTCGAAGCCGACCCAGGCGAGAGGGAGGTTGACGCCGTGGAGCGCTAGCCAGTCGAGCTCGAGCTCCCAATCTTCCCAAGACCAGAAGGGCGTCGTGTAGGAGAAGGTTACTGCGGTTCATTAGTGGCTGCCCGGATTCATGGCTTGTGAGCCAGATATATTTTTCAAGTGATAGGTTCAGATCGATGTGCCACGGGTCACTGCGATAATGGGGCAGATTGCCTGGAAATGCGGGGAGCTTTCGCTTTACGCTCAGGCTTATAGGTAGATTGAAAGGGCATGTTCTTCTCAAACAGCGAGTCCGCCTACCTGTATTGAAGAAGTATCTGAAGGGCACGATGCTCTTCCCGGTAATTGTCCCTTGCGGCCTCGGCAAGGGTGAAGCGGCCTGATCCAAACGACTCCCAATAAACCAGTAGATGTCCTCATGCGCGACATCGGTGAAGTACCGACGAAGTCCAGTTGCCAGAGCACTAGGACTAGTCCCCGCGATTGCGATTGAGCCGTTTGAGGTTGAGATCGAGTACTCGTCGTTGAACAGCTCCGTCCCGTTCGCGCGCGTCGCGTCGTCAAGAATGAAAACGAAATCTTCGCAGTGTGAAGGTATCCTGCGCTTCACCAGGTCGTAGAGGCCTTGGGTTGACGTGGCTGCGGCAATCGCCCAGAGCGATGCCAGCAGGCACGTGGTGACCGATACTGTGGGTCGCATAGTTGTCGTGGACGGCGCTCGACGGGCGAAGGAGATGCAAATTCTCGTGTAGAAGTCCGTGAAATACCCTCTTTCCCCTTGTGGTTCTGGGTTACACTCCGAAGTCTCTTCTACTAAGGTGCACCCATGTCGCAACGCACCGGACCCTGGTGCGGGGTGACGTCAAGCCCTGACTGCCCGCCATGTCTTCAGGATTGGTGGATTTCTGCGACCCAGTAATCGCTTTTGTTGTTGCCATTTGGTGAACGGGGTTCCCAGCTGTATAGTTTCGAGTAAACTGCTGTGAGGTCCAGGCTTGTAGTGCTTGTCTGTGTTCCAAGGTTCATCGGGTGTCAGGATCCATGTCGCAGTGGGGCAGATAATTTGGATCTGGCGTTCGAACGGCAGAGGGATCGATACGATAAGGCTGTCGATATCCGAGGAGTCGGCTCTATTGGCTCGAGAAATTGGAGAAATTGAAGTGTTGTGGTAGCTGAACGGTGTCTTGAAAGTCCACACGTGCACGCTCAGGGCCACATGGCTTTAGAGTCTAGAGCTCAGTGAGCTTTGGAATCGTTGCTCGACGTTTTTCCGATGACGGCTCGTTGCGTCCGACGTCTGCCTCGGGTGCTTGTCCGGTGATTCGTTGCAGTAGTACATACGAAGTTGGTTCGATGCTTGCGTTGCCGTCCGGTTGATGTAGGTACAGAGTTACCCCTCCCGAATAAGCAGGCGGAGGCAAACGAGGAAGGTATTAGAGAAGGCAGTTCTTTGACAGGTGCAGAGGAGACCGGCTTGAACACGTGGAGTCACGCCTGGTCTAGGCATGCACTGTGCCATCTCGAATAGACGGCTGTGTATTGGGTATTGGACGAGGCCGTGCCGCTCGTGGCACCGGCTTTAGGCTCCGCTTCCGCGCTGGCATATTGAGGGTGTGCAGCTGTGGCACTTCACAGGTTCGGGCAGGCCTCCGTGCTACCTATTCCAACCGGGTATGCATCAGACTATAGTGGGCACTTTGCCTCGCTCATGGGGAGATTGTGGGCAGTTTCTGGTGAGCGGGGGCACGTGTCAAGCCGACAGAAGTCCCGACAGCGCGGAGCTGCACAAAGAAGGTGGCACCGCACGGAAGGCCTGCCTACAGCGCAGCGCTCCGACCTCCAGCACTCGAGCACTCGACGTCCTCCTCTCCCCGGCGTCCAGCTGTCGAGGCGCAGAGCCAGACGCCCGAAGAGCTCACAGTTGCTTTTTCGATCCTCCAACCCCTGCATCAACGCGTCGACGTCGTGTTCCCCGCATCGCCGGCCAGCACCCACATCTGTCACCGGCCGGCCCAACCCACTTCGCTCCGCAGAGCTTATTTATGATGGACTAAGCGCCAATAACCGTGAACCCATCCGTCTCTTCAGTCCACGATCTTCGTCTTTGCCGCCTCGCCTCCATGTCGCAGCGTCCAGAATCCTAGAGGCGAGCCTCGTTTGCCCGCCGGGCCGGCACCCGACCTAGCCAGATCCTGCATTGCACGAGACCTTTCTTCGGCCTCACCTGGCCATTCCGAAGCCCCGTTTAGGCTCCCACGTCCCGTTGCGCGGGTGATCTGCCAACGCATTGCAATCGCTGGCTCGTCAATCCTCAATTTCCAGCTCGCAGGGAGCCCAGCTGTAGCCCTTCGGCGACTTCAAAAATACCGCCGCATGGCCTCGTCGTTGCGGCGCGTCCCGACCTCGGAAACGAATGTGAATCCAGTTCCGAACAGCTTCCCCATTCAATCCAGCAATCTCCACTAGCGTCCTCGACCTACAAATCACTACAACTCGCTCTCACCAACTTCCTCACCCCCGAGTCAAGATACTTTCCCCCTTCCACTTTGCTGTTATCACCAACTTCCAGCCTTACGCCGCACGCGAGATTGCAACAAGCGCTCGGAAGCCTTTCACGCAGACCGTCCCCGTGCACTTCCCAAGTTATCAACGCCCGTCCATCCCGCCTTCTCCCTCTGATTCGCCCAAGGGTGTACCGCCGAATTGCAAAAAGTCAATGTAAGCATTTGCCCGCTGGGGCTCTTGGTACATTCCTAAGCGCCAACAGCTCCGAGCTATCACCACCACCTCGAGCTCTCTCTTCGTCTCCTGTATGGGTAGTGCCATCGGTCAACCTCGGCTACACACTCCTATCGTCGAGCCCAAATGCTTCAAGTCTGCCATCCAACTTCGCCCGCTCTTAGACGACCCGGGCTCGTGGATGCACCGGTCAAGAGAGTAATGAATCCACCATCAGCGCCGAATCCGGCTGGCGATGCTGGCGTCCTTCCCGAGTTTGGCGGCCTCAGCATCCGTGATGCGCCATCCCCGCCGGCCGAGGAAGAACTCGATATTATGAGCATGTCCCGAGAGACCGCCGTGAAGACGATTATGCGCTCAGTCCTGTCCCTGGCGAATGCCGCTGGCGACATTCCTGCAACACCGCCGCTATCTCGCCCACGGACCCCAGTTACCCCGGTTGGAAAGGAAAACCAGGCTGGCCCGGTACGGCACCACCGACGTACGGCCTCCAGGCCAGCAACACCCATTCCAGCCGAAAGAGAGAAAACGCAACCGACAGAGCTTGCACCACCAGAGGCGAGCCACGATGAGCCCACCATCACCCACGACATCGGCGCAGGGGCGGAGCCTGAGTGGGTACAGCGGGCCAACATGGCCCGAAAATTCTTCTCAAAGACCGTTCCAAAGGTCGGCTTAGAAGACTATGTCAATCGTATTCAGCAGTACTGTCCGTTATCCACCGGAGTTTGGCTTGCTGCTGGTTCCTACATTCTGCGACTTTGTGTCATTGACAAGAGCGTTCCGCTCACGCACCGCACAATGCATCGACTGGTCCTTGCTTGTCTTGTTGTGGCTATGAAATCTCTTGAGGACCATCGCTGGCCACAGAAGCGTTTTGCTGCTGTAGGCGGCGTGGATGACGTCGCGCTTAGCCGGTTGGAGCTTTGTGTAGAGTTCCTTTTGCATTTTGATCTTCAGATTCTTTCGCCGGAGAAGATGAGGGAGTTGACCGTCACGCTACAAAAAGCTGGGCAGGCTGCCACGATAGCCACAAGGTTGCCGTCGTCGTTCAATCTGCGGATATCGAACCCAAAGTACCGGCAGGCGCAGGCCTGAGCCGGATGCATCGGCCGATGGGGGATTTTATTTCCTTTGCTCTTGTTGGAATCGCAACTATCTTCTGAGCATGCATGCTGAAGGCGTCTTGGGGTCAAAATGTACGGCATTGTTGAAAGGCAATGGGCACAAGTTGTAGGTGACCCGACTAACTCCAAGGTCCTAATATTTTAATTGTAAGCTTGAGCCCGGCTTGTAGAACGGATGTTCTAGGCCAGCCTTTGATACCAGGTAGTACATAGAGATGACCGAATCCGAAGTGCTCCTCTCGAGAGCCATGTTGTTCTCGTTCGCAGTCGAGAAGGAGCGATGGAATGCTGTTCTTCCCCGATGTAGCCTAGTGCAATCTGCGGCAAGCCCGCCCCTGGCTGCGTAACGCGGCGCCACATCTTGAAATCAACCACGGAAGCTCAGACCAAACTCAACACACACAACTGCCACCCTCCGCACTCGCTGACACCCGCAATCTTTCGCTGATACCCCAATACGATCAGTACCCCGCGCTGTCCGTTTCTTCCGCTGTATCGGCCCGCAACACTCCGTTCGCTCTCGCTGTCGCTCGTTACCCCTTCGTTCTCCCATCATGACACGGATATTGGCACCCTTGGCCGTGGTCGTCGCCCTCACAACGCTGGTGAACGGTATCAAGTTCACTAAGCCAGAAGCAGGAAGCACACTGAAGGCCGGATCAGCGCTATCGGCAGCGTGGCAAGACGGCGGTGATGGACCGGAAATTGCAGACCTCACAACCTACACGCTGTGGCTTTGCGCGGGCGGAAACGATGTGAACACCATCGTGAGTGGATAAACGTTAGGCAGGAAATGTTCAGTAAGGCTGACATGCGCGTGTAGCAACAACTTGTGCAAATAACACCTTCCGGCGCCTTCGCGGCAGGAAACCAGGCCCAGGGCATGGTGGGCACGACCGTTGGCGCCAACACGCCCGCGAACGCATAGTATGTCGCCTCTTCCCCAGCGTTACTCCGCGCAAGCGTACTAAGCACTTTCAACACTAGTTTTCTCCAGCTGATCGCCGTTGGGCAAACCGGCGGGACCGTTACATTCTACTCCGACCGTTTCTCCTACTCGGGCATGACCGGCACATTCCCCGATCCTGTTGCTATCAAGAATGGTATGAAAACAGTTACGGGCACGGGTGGCCCCGACACAGACGACCAGACCACTCAAGATCCGGCCAACGCACAACCCGACGAGGGCGAATTCGCTGTGGAATACACAATGCAAACGGGGCCGACGCGGTATGCGCCAATGCAGCCTGTGCCTAAGACCAAAATCACGAAGAAGAAGGCCACCCCTCAATATCCGACTAGCTCTGTGAACATTGCGAAGGCAATACTACCTACGCCCAAGATACAGACTACAATCACGCAGAGCCAGACACACTCAGTGTCTAGCATGGCGAACACGGTACGTCACAAACTTCTGAAGTCGCCGGAAGAGCACACCGCTCCTCTTTCGCGCCTACGTCTCGACTATATTACCGCCCAAATTAGGCTAACGCAAGTCTCAGAACGCCGCGGCTCCCATGCCCTCAGACGACATGGCCAAGTTCCTCGCGAGGTGGAAGGACTGATGTGTAACAATTTCCATACTCATTACTCAACGTTTTTAGGCGGACAGTTTCTGGCGTTTTAGGGCGCGTTGACAATAGCCAACGCGATAATCCAGGATAAGGAGTACTTCGGCGATTCCATTCGGGTTTTGGACGCATACCTCGCTAATTGCACGACACATGGAGCATCTATAGCATGGGAAATTAGATATAAAGTCCTCATGCCAGGCATGTTAGTACGCAGTGACAAGAGAGGGCAGAATAATGAAAAAAGCTTCCGCACATGATAGTGATCGCTTCCCCCCAAGGTTCTGCCATCACCTCGGGAATCTCCTGAGCTCACGCATTGTCTGCCCCTTGCTTCGGAAAGCAGCGTATTGTGCCCTCCTTTGATGTACCGTGCCGCGCGCCGCCTGTGGGCCAATCGTAAGCCCGCGTCTACCCGAAGCCGCAGTCACCTGACCTGAGGACCCCACCACATCAACTTCACCTTCTCCATGGAGTGCTAGGCATTCAGAGTTCTTCTCAGATAAACCCGTGCAACAGCTCCGACGTTGGACCTACCTAATCGACCTATCTGATCCTCCCCTCTCACCCACCATAGCTGTAACACCCTTAAATCTCGAGAAGCATAATGGGTACTGCGGAGAACTACGAAGACATTCTCAAGGGCAAGTACCCGGCCAAGGCACATGCGAAGAAGGTCGCGGAATGGATTGTGGCGAAGGGTGGTGATAAGACGGGGACTATTTACTTGGAGGCGCAGAAGAGCAGGTTGCTTGAGGTATGTTTGCTTCGAGAGTCGGGATGTGAGATAATTTTTGGCTGACTGATCGAAGGATAACGATGAACCTGCACCTTTCAGGTACGTGCATATTTTCATTGAGGAAAGGATTAGTTCACGGAAGTCTAGAGCCTCGATGCCAATGTAGCATTCCAATGGCATCCTATGGAAGGCCAAGCTGATCTATATGGCTATGCTAACAAGATTGACTATAGGCAGCGACGATTCTTCTTCTACCTAAGCGGCTGCAATCTTCCGGACTCGTATCTGACCTATGATATGGGTAGCTCCAAGCTAACCCTCTTCATCCCACCGATCGAGCCCGATGAGGTGATCTGGTCCGGCCTGCCGATGACCGTTGAAGAAGCGAAAGAGAAGTACGACGTTGATGAGGTGAAGACCACACAGGGCGTCAACTCCCATCTGGCCTCCCCGCACGCCAGTGCCCAGTCCACCATCTACGCTATCCCAGAACAAATCTCGGATGACATTACCTTCCTCTCATACAAAGAAACCAACTTTGACCTCCTCAAGCCTGCGATCGAGACTTGCCGTGTCACAAAATCGCCCTACGAGATTGCCTTAATCCGGAAGGCGAACGCCATCTCTACAGTCGCGCACGTCAACGTCATGAAAGCCGCACCAAAGGCCAAGAACGAGACAGACTTTGAAGCGGTCTTCATCAAGTCTTGCCTTGAGCGTAATGCGAAGCACCAAGCATACCATTCCATTGTCGCGGCTGGTGAGAATGGTGCCACTCTCCACTATGTCAATAACGACGCACCTATCACAAACCAGAACCTGCTGCTCCTGGATGCCGGATGCGAGATCGACTGCTACTGCTCCGATATCACTCGCACCTACCCCATCTCAGGGTCTTTCTCTGAGGAGAGTCTAGGCATCTATAAGATCGTCCTCGAGATGCAGCATCAGTGCATCGCGGCTCTTAAAGCCGGCGTCCTCTGGGATGACGTACACGAACTCGCACACAAGATCGCCATTGAAGGCCTCCTCAAACTTGGTATATTGAAAGGCTCCGCCGAAGAGATTCTAAAATCCCGGACGAGCGTCGCGTTCTTTCCTCACGGTCTAGGACACTACTTGGGTATGGATACGCACGACACGGGCGGCAACCCCAACTACAAGGACACGGACTCCATGTTCCGGTATTTGCGAGTTAGGGGTCCGTTGCCGGCTGGTAGCGTCATTACTGTGGAACCGGGCATCTATTTCTGTAGGTTCATTATCGAGCCATATCTTGAGAATCCAGAGCAGGCGAAGTATATCGACAAGGGGGTACTAGAAAAGTACTGGAGCGTGGGTGGCGTTAGGATCGAGGGTAAGCGATACAAGGTTCTCGATTTTGTGAGCTCAAACTGACTGTGTGTAGACAACATCTTGATTACAGATTCGGGATATGAGAACCTGACACCGACACCGAAGGAGGTCGATGAAGTGGTCAATATCATCAAGTCTGGGTAAAGTGACGCCAAGGTGAGATAGGAGCTGCTTGCACAACGCTCGTTGACATTCGACGTCCTATCATTCGCACTGGCCATTTGAGTCGATTGCTGTAGGTATTGAACTCCTGTACAGATAGCTTATTGACATATCGGCGCGGTGAGGTTTCACCCGATAACCCCGGTAACTTGCATGCATGATTCCCGTGAAAACTACGCCGTATCCTCGAGGAGTCCTTGGCAGTCTATCTGCGGGGTAGAGCACGACCTTTTATCAGTCCGTTTTCTACTAACGAGAACAGCCTCGAAACAAGTTCCGCTAAACTGCGTCACACCCGCAACTGAAGATGAATCTCGTTCGACAGATCCGCTTCCTTCAGGTTCTTATTGCGGTCGCCACCGGTAGCAAGGTGGACTCTGCATGTAATCTTTTACACTCACTGCTGTCAGACAAGGTCGTTTTCCCAGGTAGTGGACCGTACAATGAGTCAATTGGTTCATATGCATACGCAGGGGCACGGGTTCTACCCACCTGTGTTGCGGCCCCGGCGTCTACAGCAGATGTCTCCTTGATCGTCAAGACCCTTGGCGAGTGTGACTCGGTCCCTTTCGCAATCCGCAGCGGAGGGCACAGTTCGAATAAAGGTACAATATCTTCTTGTTTTTATGTTGCTGTACTACTACTGACGTTTCTCGTAGGCTTTGCTAATGCTGAAAACGGCATCACCATCGATTTGCGCGCCATAGACGAAGTCCAGCTCTCTGAGCACGACGGCACCGTGTCCATCGGAGCCGGCGCCTTATCGCAACCTGTGTACGACGCGGTGGAACCCAAAGGCCTCTCCGTTCAAGCAGGTAGGATTGGAGACGTAGGAGTCGGCGGTCTGATAACAAACGGTATGTAGTTCCTCTGCTCTCCTTTGACATACATTGCACACATACTAACCGTCTCGCCACCTTAGGAGGCGTCAGCTTCTTTTCTCCTGAGCGCGGCTGGATCTGCGACGACGTCACGAACTTCGAAGTCGTCCTGGCTTCCGGTGACGTCGTCAACGCAAACGCTACATTCCATCCGGACCTCTTTGTCGCTCTCAAGGGCGGCGGGAACAACTTCGGCGTCGTCACGCGCTTCGACTTGAAAATCTTCCCCCATGGTCCGCTCTGGGGCGGCCTCGTTGTGTTTCCCCTCGCTGACGACGTCGTGAAGCAATTGTTAGATGCGTTTACTGAGATCAAGGACCCAAAGAACTTTGATCCGCATATTGCGGGCTGGGTTCTGTTCCAGTATGGATCCGAGCCGAATGCTGTCGCTTCGACGGGCATGTACTATACGCGTCCTGAGGCGGTAAATGAGAGCCTAGCGCGGACCTTGACGGATATCAAACCGCAACTGTATGACACCTTACGGAATGACACTGCCGGAGCATTCGCGAAGGAATTGACTGCGGGATCCGGCGCATCGAAGTTCCAGTAAGTCAAAGCTGCTCTCACGTTCTCCACGCGCCCTTCAGTTCACAATGCACCGCCTGCAGCCACACGACTCCACTCAGATCTTCTGTAAAGCTAACATTCTTCTCTCGCAGTCGACACTGGGCCGCCATCACCATCGCCATCTCGCCCACGATACTCTCCCGCATCCGCACCTTCTGGAACGAGACCTCCATCTCCCTCGTTGCCGATTTCCCCACCGCAAATCTCTTGACTTCTTACGTTCTGCAGTCAATGCCCCCGGTTCCCTCTACGCCTAATAGCCTAGGCTTCCCGCCGGACTCTCACCCTGAGAGGAACCTTATAAGTGTAGAGGTCATTCTGGATTTCGAGGATGGTGCCGCTGCGGAGCGTTTGGTGAGCGCGAGCAAGGAGATGGTGAAAGGGATCGAAGGAATTGCGCAGGAAGAGGGCGCGTTGAGATCGTTTAAATATGCGAATTACGCGGGCGCGTGGCAGGATGTGCTGGGAGGTTATGGGGAGGAATCGGTCCGGCTGATGAGGGAGGTGAGCAAGAAGTATGATCCTGAGGGTGTCTTCCAGCGGCAGGTTAAGGGTGGGTTCAAGCTTTTTGCTTGAGTCTTGTGCAAAGGCGCTGAGGGCTATGCCGAAGCGGCGAGTAGACCCGCTCTGGAGGTGCGCCAGGTCCCAGGTGGCAGGCGAGAGCTTCAATACTCTCCCCGGCTGTTCTTATGATCTCAAATAGCTCGCGCTTTGCGATGGAAACAAAATCGAGGCTTGAAGTGTGAGACTGCTTATACCGAGGTCGTGGAAGTTCGCTTGATTAGATGATTAGTCAGCAGAGCGTATCCCATAAGAGTTGAAACTTTCCTCTTCAACTCTTTTCATCGCAATTACGATGACTCGAATACATCAAGGCATCTGCCAGCACAGGTGTGAGCTCATAATCGACGCTTTCCTGCTCACGTCTATAAAATGGGCATCACTGCATGGCGCTATCGATTCTTTAATATCCAAGCGGACCTCCATCGTCTCCGCAGCACCCCTCAGCTCGCTCCGCTTCGACCGAACCGTATCGACACTGCCGACAGTAGCGCCCTCGTTCTCGACGCATAATGGACGCGTCCTCTATATACTACCAGGAACCTTTTGATCTTTCAAGCTGCTCGAGACCCCTTGCTAAACATTCACCCAGCCGACCACCAGGAACCAGACGCACGCTAATTTTGTGACCGGCAGGGCCAAGCCTCTTCTTCCCCAGCTTTTTTTTCGTATTGGCAGATCAAGTCATTCCTGTTCGATAGCTTGGTTGAACGCATGCGCGCTACTATATGCAGGGCCGTTAGGAATTGTCGTGCGCGATAGGGGCGTCACGAAGGCAACACGCATAAGCGAAAGGGGTTTACGAAGTCTCGCCGGTGGGTGTTTTTTTCTTCTCGCCTTTACCCCACAGGGGAGGAGCTTGGTCCGGTGCGGCTATCGAGCCTTTTCTTTTACGTTTCTGTTTAGATCTCAAGCGTCTTTTCAACTGCGCTCTGAGTTTCAAAACCTCGATATCTTCAGTTCCTTCTTTTTCGTAGACGGAACGGTCATCACGACGACGTGAGCGAGTTTTCTCGACGATTCCAAGCTCCACACACACCTTGATATATTCTGCCTCGAGGTAAGTCGTGGCACGTTACCACATTTTTCGCGGATGAAGCCCTCCGGCTATTTAAATCCCTGCGCGCTTCATTTATGCCCGCCCCGGTGCGGCAACCTCAACCGTCGGACCGACAGTATCTCCGGCCCCTCTTGCTGAAAACACCCTTCTCATTGGACACTTTCCACAAGTTTTCGCATGCTGGGGGGAAGTCTTCGCCCGGTGTGTGATGGTTTCACAGAAACCCCAGATTTCCGGGGCCCTGGAGGACGGCAAGGAGGGAGAGCGGAATAAGCATGTCAACCGAAGCTTGCGCTTGCGCAAGCAGGCTTGCGATGTCTCTTCTGGGCTAGGAGGGGTATAGAGGTTGTGGCCATAATATCCAGCATCGTCACGAGGGGTGGGCTGGAGGAGAGAATGAGGGGATGTGGACATGTATATCAAGGCCGATCCCCAAGCCTTTGAGATTGTTTGTTTCTTGGTCTTCATCCCTACCTCACATTCCCTTCCCTTCCCTTTGCTTCTGCATTTTGCCTGCTAGGGTTTCCTTGAAATCAAAGGGAAGTGTTTGGGGTTTAGTATCCAGTCACCATGAAGTTCTCCACAACTATTGCGGCCGTGGCTTCATTAATCGCTACGGCGAGCGCCCACGGCGGTGTCGGTATCTACACAATCGACGGCAAAGACTACCAAGGGTATGTGCTGTCAAACTTCGATCGACCCGCGATCTGCATCTAACATGTTTCCAGATGGCAACCTTATAACTCTGCTTCGGGCCAAGTAACCATCCAGCGCCAATACTCCTCCTTTAACCCCCTATTGATCGCCGATCTTACCGTAAGGACTCCCGTACCCACGATGCATTCGCAACTATCCCCTCGTTTTACTGACCCCATCGATAGACCGTGAACATCCGCTGCAACAACGCCGGCACGCTCGGCACTGGCGTATCCGCCCCCGTCACCGCCGGCTCCACAATAAAAACCCACTGGACGCAATGGACGCACCGCCCCGCAGCCGTCATGATCTACATGGCGAAATGCCCCAGCTCCGGCTGCAACAGCTGGGATGGCGCCGGCAAAGTATGGTTCAAGATCGACGAGGAAGGCTTGGTGAGCGGGACGCAGAACGCGGGCAAGTGGGCCGGCGACCAGATTACAGATACGCTGAATTGGACGACGACGGTGCCGGCGAGTTTGGCACCCGGAGAGTATCTGATTAGGCATGAGTTGTTGGCGCTGCATCAGGCCAACAATCCGCAGTGTTAGTCTACTCCCCTTCTTTTGCACTGCTCTGGCCTTTAAGGGGAATGCAAGTGCTAACGAGCGACCAGTCTACCCGGAATGCGCCCAACTCACCGTCTCCGGAACCGGGACCGCCAGCCCGCCAGCCTCAGCCCTAGTCTCCTTCCCCGGCGCCTACAGCGCCAGCGACCCGGGCATCAACTTCAACATCGACGGCAGCGCCGCCATGACCGCAACCACGTACCCGATCCCCGGCCCCCCAGTCTGGGACGGCACGGGCAACTCGCAGCCCTCCAATCCCGAGCCCTCATCCGCACCCTCGTCAGCGCCTTCTTCGGCGGCGGCGCCGTCCTCTGCGCCAACGACGCTGGTCACGAGCGCGAAGCCGGCTACCCCGACGACGCCGGCGGCTTGCACGTCCGCCAAGTATCAGCAGTGCGGCGGGAAAGGGTTTACCGGGTGCACGACGTGCGCGGCGGGGAGCACGTGTAAGGCGAATGGGGATTATTATTCGCAGTGCTTGTAGTTCTACGAGATATTCTAGGGATGGGGGCTTGGCTTGGGAAAACGGGGGTTTTGTAGCATTTGCGTTGGGTTATATTGTTTCGATATCAGATCAGCATGACGCATCGATTTTTAACGTCAAATCGCGAATTGCCATGGCATTGATGGCAATGTGCTTGTGCTCGTAGCTTTCTGATGTGCATGTGTGGGAGCAAAACCCTCCTACGCCTTGGCAGTCCCTTCCAGAGTGCGCATGTTCCTTTTCGCGCTGTCACTTGGGAATAAACAATCACGGAATGCTCAATGAGCGCTTGATAAAGGTGAACAGTGTATCATTTTCATTCCTCTACCGACTCGGCCGAGAAACCAAGATCGAAGAAAACGCATGACAGCAATGTCCAAAGATGATTCCCTTTCAGATCGTCAAATCATGCCAGGCGCATTTTCTACTCCTCTTCCTCCTCTGCATCCTCAGCAACTTCTTCCTCCTCCGCGCCATCAGCCTCCTCATCTCCCTCAGGCTGCGCCAAATCCTCCACCGTTCCGCCCTCCCTCTCCAGCCTCAAATACTCCTCCCAGTCAGGAAACATCTCCGCGTCGCCCTCGCCATCATACGGCGGAACCCCCAATAGCCGGCTAACCTTCGACTTCCCGTCTTTCTCTAAGCTGGCCTTCCATTTCTTGACCAATTCTGTGGTGACGCTGGGCTTGTACGTCTGCGAGAACAGCACTGCCTCCGCTAGTCTGTTGGTCTTGACGAGGATATCGATGCAGCCCTGCACATCGCCGACCTGCCAGAGAGCTGAGAAAGCCACGTTGTTCGCGGTCGCGGCTTCAGCGAGGGAGGCCAGTTCGCGGAGACCAGCAGCGTCAGACGTAGCGCTATAGACAAGGAGGAGAGAGCCCAAGTCCTTGGCCTTGACGAAGCATTCCTGCGCAAGCTTAACGTCCCAGCCGGTGAGGGCGGCATCGCCGACGGTCTTCCACTTGTGTTCCGTGTCTTGCTCGCGCGCGATTTCGACGGCTTGCTGGAGGTCCCCTAGCGAGAGGGCGAGGTCGAAGCGATGCTCAGGGTCGGTAGCGACCTTAAGAGCAAGCTCCTTGTAGCCTTGGCCTTCGAGGAAACGGGCAATTTTATTGTTTTGGTCCTTGGGAACAGAGGGAAGAAGCTCCTCGGCGGCTTCGAGATCGCCTCGAAGCACGAGGGTTTGGTATTCTACAACAGCCAGTGAGAGAGCGAAAGAGACGACGTTGACATCCTTGTCTGCGGCGTAGATCCTAGAATCACGAGGGAGATATCCAAGGAGGTAGTGGGGAGCATCGAAGTGTGAGATAGTGTACGTCTGGTCTCCGACGAGGTAGTTTAGGCGGTTGGTGCTGTTGGTGTAGATGAAGCAGTCTCCGACCCAGGTACCGGTACGTACGCTATACTGTTAGCAACCGTTCAACTCCGATTCCGTGCTCCAAGACTTACCTCTCATTGATATCGCAGACGACTTCGAAAGCCGACTCCGCGCCATCCTCGTCAACTTCTCCGTTCTGCACCGCCTCCAGATAGTTCTCCCTGGAGTATCGCAGGACGTAGAACGTGTCCTCTGTCGCTAGCGTCACGAGCTCTCCGCTCTCCGACCAGTACACGCTTTTAGGGTCCACCTCTATCCTTCGAACGAGGGCGCCTGTGTCCCAGTCGAACAGACCGATACCGCCCTGTCCCTTGACACCCAGGAGAATGCCGCCACTCAGACCATCGGCTGAAAAACCAACGTTCAGCACACTTCGCTCCTTGAAGTTGCGGAAGATTTTGACGCTCGTAGATGATTCCCGGATAGCGTAGTCCTTATCGTGCTCTTTCGACGCCCAGACAAAATCTAATGCGGATCCGAAGGCTTGATTGCGAAGAGCGAGTGCGGTGTAGATGATGTACTCTCCGTCACCACAAACGGCGACAAACCGTCCATTGGGCGAGTGCAGCAGCGACTGAGGATAGATTTCGGTCGATCCAAGATCTTTGGTGGGGAGCGTGAGTCGTTCTGAGTCCTTCAGCTTCTCGTTGCCTTTGATGACGGCCGTGAGGATTTCGTTATGCCTTGCCCACAGCACTTTGCCTCCAGCATCCATACTGACGGCCGGCTCCTCCCGACCCATCGAGATGACGACAGCTCCATCGTCGAAACCGAGAGCTACGCCGTTCTTGCCTTTCTGATACGCAACACACCACGCTCGCTCAAGACCGTAGTTCAGCGATTGCTCTAACCTGTATGTCGACGAATGCCAGATCTTGATAGTGCCATCTTCGGAACCAGATATTATGACAGGCAGTTCGGGATGATATACTGCAAAGCTGACGTTCGAAGTGTGGCCTTCTAAGGTAGCAATGAGGGCTTTCGTAGTGTAGTCCCATACCTTGACGGTCCGGTCATCGGAAGTGGTCAAGAGATAAGGCTTGTCGGACTGAGGGTAGTAGTCGATAAAGTTCACACCCTTGGCCTCATGCGCCTCAAGCGTGAAGTTAGGAACGGAGCTGCCCAGGGACCATATCTTGACCGTCCTGTCAAGACACGCTGAGGCGAAAGTGTTGGGATCCTTGGGGTTTATGGCAATGCCCATAACATAGTGGCTGTGACCCTCGAAGACTTGCACACCTGCAGACCGTTAGCAGAGGCTACGCTAAAGGACATCTGGGTGCGCGCACATTTCCATGACTTGTCCCAATCCCACAGCTTGATAGTCATATCATCCTGCAACCGTATCAGCCCGGTACGTCGTATATATCCTTATAGCTACCCACGCTGGCCGTCAACACGAAAGGCTGCGTCGGGTGAACAGCGATCGCGCGAATATAGTCTGGATGCGCCTCGAACGACGTAACCTTCTCCGAAGTATTATAGTTGTATACGCGCATCTGGAAGTCATCGGAGCCTATAGTCCCTCATGTCAATCTCTCCCACTGTCTAAATTGTAAAGCTGAGGTATCTCACCGGCGACTATCCAATTCTTCCGCGCAATGAAGCGACCCGCCCGGACAGGTACATCGGTGAGCTCGAACGTCTTGACGATCGACTGAGAAACGTAGGACCATATGTGAACGTGTCCTGCTGCCGTCAGCGCCCTGCCCTCGCCGACATGTTCTCCGCACATGCATACCGCTGTATAACGTCGTGAGGATCCATGGCTCGGTCGGGTGGAAGTCTGCGGGATATCTTAGCAAGGGTTCGGGTACCTAGAGTCGCAGTTTCTACCAATTCCTATAGAACGTTAGTTCAGCATCTTCTGTGCAGCTGGCGCGCAGCTCACCTTTGACCCTCTCCGACCGCGCAAAGAGCTGCCTCTATAGTGGGGGCTTCGTTAGCCATTGCCATGCTTATTTTGAGTTATATGCGCTGCCGCCATACCTTTACGTCTAAACGCATGTTCGCAGCTGGAGCTTGAGTTGAGGTGAGCAGAGGGGTGAATTAGAAGACGTGGCTACTTAAAGCCAGTCTGCAAGCGCAAAACCAGGCAGTCGAAATTTCGGAAAGGCAGGTATGGTGGCTCGAGTACTGCGCAAAATCCTAGGTGAAAGATAGAAGCCTAGTGCGTAGCCGTGGTCGACGTGTATTTGGTCCCCGCGCTCGCAGTCGAGATGTGTGCTCGGTGAGGCCCTGCCAAGACTTCGCGCGGGAAAGTGGATCCTTCCCAAAATGGCAGGACCAGAGAAGCTATTGAAAGCAGACGAAAGGGCCAGAAAGTCACCGCCTCTCGGCAAGGCCAACGCTAGAAAGTCATCATTTTATTCATGCTTGCAACACAGAGATTGTTTACCTAGGTAAACCACATGCACCATGAGCATATCATTACCGTCACAGTCAAGAATACGGCGGGTTATTGTAAACTTTTCTTGTTTTCTCATCCACTACAACTATTTACGTGACCTCCCCACAAGCCACATCGCTCGCTGCGAGACTCCACTCCATGCAGATGCTCGGTAAATGCCCGCACATGATTCCTCAACCGCCGAATCCGCCATCGTAAAGAGAAGAAAAGGTCTAGCGCAACGGCATAGACAGGTATCTAAGAACTGAAAATACTAGGAGAATCCAAGATGTGGTAATAAAAGACTTATAAGATATAGGGGTGTTAGAGAGTGTGTCCGAACGTTAGAAAGGAAGCCTCGGCTGGACCACACCAGCTGAGACGAGTCTCGTTGATGCAGAGTGCTCCAAGCAATAGGAAACCGCGAAGCCGTGGGTAATTACACGTGGGGAAGGACAGCGGACGTCCTTGCAGGTCGTGGGGAGGATATGAGCGTCGGCTCCTCCATCAGAATATGATACAGTGACACGTAAAGTCGTGCCGGACTCGGTTGCACTTGAGCAGCCTCTTCAGTTCCAGCCAAGCGAGTTTTCCGCCATGACAGGAGCCGATATCTGTTGCGTCCGTACGCTGCGGCCGTTGCTGCTGCTGCTTCCTCGGCTGCCTCGGCTGTCTCGACCACCAGGCGTCAACCGTCCAGGACCGCGACCACCAGACATCCAAGCAGGGCCGTTCATGGAGCCGTACGTAAATCTGCTGGTGCTTGGCACAGAGCTTGACCGTTGATGTGCCATTCTCCTATTCCTGTACCGGCGCGCAACGAAAAACATGGCAGCACCATACGCCATCGCTCCGAGAACGGCTCCCGTGGCGATGCCAACACTGGTGGGGTTCACCCTGCGGCTGGCAGCCATGTCGCCGCCTATTGCTCCACCGTCCGCAGGACCGCCGGTTGCAGTGGCTGCAGGGTCATTGTCCTGGCTCGGGCTGGAATCACCTGGCAGCTTGCCATACGGAAGGGGCCAGGAAGGATCGACGACACTGGTCAACTGATTGACTGTCTCGTTCTTGTTGTGCCAGAAGGGTGTAGCCGGGTTGCGAATCTGCAGAGCTAGCGTGCTGTTCAGATCTTTCGGAATCATGAAAACAGCCAAGGTGGTGATGAAGCCTTGCCATTGAGAAGTGTCGACCGCCCTTAAGCCGTAATTGACGACGTCGTCCTGTTCAATACCAAGGCCATCGGCAACAGCCTTCTTCAGGTAGGTGAAGATCTGATTCCCACCGTCATTGGCACTGACGAATGCGTAATTCAGACCAAAGTAGAAACCGATCTGACCGAGGAACTTGTCGTCGGGAATGCTGGTTGGCATGCCCTCAGGCGGTGAAATCCACTGCGCCATGTCTGAAGGGATTCCAGTCGCCGACGCGGTTGGAGAGCCCGACGGTTGCTGAAGGATGCTTGAGCCAACGTTGTAGGTTGTCTCGCTGTTGGTCGCGGTAGGTAATATGGAATGCATCGGACCAGTCTTCGTAGGTGGCGGCGTGAAGGGAATGGTAATAGCCTCAGATTCCGATGTGCTACTTGGCGTGACTTTTGGCGTGCTTATCGGCACTTGTGAGGTAGTGCCATTTGCAGAACTTGGCGGCACGCTGGTATCGCTAGGAAGGACCGTCGACAGAGTGGTAGACGGTTCTTCCGAAGTAGGTATAATCGTCTCCGAGGCGGTGCTGCTGATAGCTGTAGGTGCGGAAGTAACGCCAGTCCCAGATGAAGGCGGAACAATGCCGGATGTTGACCCAGAAACGGTCAGAGTAGGAACGCCTGACGATGGAATGGGCAGCGAGATGCCGGTGCTTGTCGGGGGAAGAATGGTCGGAATGTCCGTAGATGGGAGGGGAAGCGTAGACTCCGAAGTGGGCACAGAAATGGGCACAGAAAGAGATGTCGGAAGACCCGAGGGAAGGCCAGTACCGATAGTAGATGGAATGACGGTCGGCAAAGGCGCCGTGCCAGTAGGTACAGGGATGATGGTAGGTAGGTCACTGACGATGCTGGAGAGCATGCTGGAGAGATCCGGCAAGGAGATTGGTAGAGAGGACGGGAGAGGCAAGATTTCTGAGCCGCTCGTAGGAAGGATTGGAATGGGCGTGGCGCTGGAATCACCGGTAGAAGGCGCGGTGGGTCCAGGTGCCGAATCGCTCACGCCGGGGACCGAGCTAGGGATGACTGGCGCCGTTGTATCAGAAAGCGGTAGGCCTTCGGAGTCACTCTTGCTCTCAGAGGTTGGGATCACAGCGGGCCCGGTAGTTGGAGTAGGGGTTTCGGCCGCAGATGTTCCAAAAGCGGTCGTAATCCCAACGACGATTCCAGATGTAGGCAACGAGACGAGCGGAATGCCTGACGAGAAGTTGATATCGCTTGTAGGAAGCACAACCGGTACGCCTCCTGTTGAACCAGAGGGAAGTATGGAGAGCGGATCTGAAGGAAGCAAACCGGTGGGAGCGGGAATCTCGCCGGTGGAGCCGAATGGAACGTCCAACCCTGAAGAAATTGGCAGGTCCAGCGAGGGTGAAGGCTGAACAACAGTAGTAGGGATACCGCCCGTCGATCCAGGGATAATGAAGGGGCCAAGAATCGTAGAAGCTCCAGTGGGCGAAGGCTGCTCAGCCGAAGGGACTGATGGGCTAGCAGTGACAATAGACGCCGGGATTCCGCCCGTAGGAACCGCGTCTGAAGACTCGAGGGGACTATCGGCCGCCGAGGTCGCAGGCTCAGAAGGCTGCACGATGGTTGAAGGAATTCCACCTGTAGGTGCAACTGCCGGTGCAGAAGTGGCAGGTTCAGAGGGGAGGACAATTGACGAGGGGATTCCACCCGTTGAAGCTACCCCTGATGATGCTTCGGGAACATCTGGCACTGCAGTGGAAATACCGGTCGGTTGCACGACAGAGGGAGGCGCCGCTGACGAGGCAGGAATGATGGTATCCGGGATGCCGCCAGTTGATCCCACATTTGCTGGAGATGATATTACTGGGGGAGCAACATTGCTGGATTGAGCCGGGGGTTCGGGAGCTGATGTTGATTGTATAATAGTCTCTGGAAGGCCAGCTGTCGACCCCACGAAGTTGTTAGACGATTGCGGATCCGACGATGGCACTACAGGCGAAGGCTGCTGCGAGCTGGATGTTGTGCTTAGCGAGGGATCGAAGACCGCATTCCCCGTACCGCTTGACGCTGGAACGGGTACTGGTGTGACAACGACCGTCATTGTGCTCGTGGCATCGGGTGAGCTGCTGCCCAGCTCCGAAGACGCGGACAAGGAAGAAGACGAGGATGATTGCGACGATAGGTGGAAGAACGACTCGAAGAAGGAAGAGAGGTCGCCCTGCGACTGCCGCGACTGCAGGTCAGGCGTGCTGCTCGAGGACGAACTAGAAGACGTCGACGAGGCGGGTGCAGTTGAGTTAGTCACAATCTGCCGCTTGACCTGCCGAGGGAAGTAGTATCTTGGGCGCATTGCTGTCTGTTGCGGCCCAGGTGCCGGCATGGCTTCGGCTGTTGTCAGCATCGGCCCTGAGCCAGACAGGCTGGCCAGGAGCAGAGCTGCAGCCCATATTGTCGAGGATCGCGGCATGTTTACTATTATCTTCAATCACTATGTCCGTATGTAACTCAGGGTATCAGAACTAGGCTGAGAGATGGAGAATCTGCCCTCGTTAGGAAAGACCTAGCATAAGCCGAATAACGTACTGTCAGGGTAAAGATTCAAACGAGTGTACTTGACGTGTCAAGGGCAAAATAATGAGTGGACCTGGAGCGGCTGCGCGTTAGCAATATGCGCCACAGGTCACGGGTCCAGATGTCGAATCCGTGGAGAGACTCACTAGGCTGTCAGCGCAGCTAGAAGGAGGCCCGATACTCCAGGCAGCTCAGATGAAGCGTCGCGAGGAGGATTGTTCGTCCAGTCGGCCTATGCCGTCATGTTCGGTACAGTCGTTTCTGGTTTCGCGAGGAAACAGTTCGACAGTCCCAGTGCGGCGGGCGTAGCGTTGTCTCAACCGAAACCCGACACACGCCCAGCTGTCTATGGAAGGCGAGCCGCAACAAAGGACCTGTCGCAGCGGGATGCACCCTCAAAGAAGTGTTCCTGGGATGCGACGATGCCACGCTGCGCACAAAGGATGTGCTTGCCGATCGTTTGGCGAGGGTGCCTTTGTTCCTGATCGAAGGCGCCGCGTGGACAGGGTCAGGTGAGGGCGGCGAGGGACGGACTGGACAGGCGGTCTGCGAGAAACGAGCGACTTCGACGTTGACGAGCAAACGGTCGGGACACAGCTGGCTGAATTACGAGCAAAGGAACGGTGGAGCGAGAGAGGGTGGGCGGGCGAAGGAGCGGCTACCCGGGGCGGGTCGTGGGCGGATGGTCGTAAGGAGAACGGAGGTGAAGGGGACTGCGACGGCGGTAGAAGTGCACACTGCAGGCGATATCGCAGTGAGCGTTCCCGGTCGAGAATTGTCGAGAGGATGGGAGAGACGGGGAGGCGTGGGCGAGGCGGAGCGGTGGTGAGGAGGAAGAGCGCAGAATAAGCCGTCTAACACAGCGAGCGGCGCCCAGACCGTCGAGCGGGAGCTTCGCCAAATGAGCAAAGCAGGGGCCCACAAGAGCCTGCGAGTCGCCAGCCCAGCCGTGCCTTGCGGAGTCGCGCTCAAACGGGCACCCTGGATCGGGCCACGCACTGAAAAGGAGATTTCGGGGCGCCGTTCGATAGCGCGCAGAAAATAGCCAGCGGGACGGCGCTTCGGCGGCGAGCGCAGCAACGCAGCGAAGTCGAGCAAACAGAGGGCAGCAGGATGGGCAGCGAGCGTGCGGCCTTGTGCGATTTCATCTGCTGCGTGCGACACGGCCTCGTCCTCCTTTACAGTCGAATTAGCACCCGGCGCTCATCGTTCAGGGTTGTTTCGCGGAGGCTGTGCTCTTCAAACAACCAGACAGGGATAAGCCCCGGCCCCCCTGGCTACACATAATACCCGGACGAGCACCTCGCGGCAGCACGCGCACTCTGGACGGCGGCCAGCGCAAGAACAGTCTCGTCACGGCGGATGCCACCCAGCACGGCGAGCCTTGGGTGAGGTGTATCCATGGATGTATCCAGCGCTGGCTGCTGCGTGGTGGTGGAGTTCTGCTACTGCCTCCGAATCCTGACGCTGGCGGCAGGCGGCCAATCAGCGGCGGCGCAGCGGTCGCCCCTGCCCGCAGGACCCTTCCCTTCATTTCGGGAAGGCGCCACCGTCCATTTGGTGCGACCTGCGATGCTCACCACCACGCCCTGGGCGGGTTGGTGCCGCTCTCTCGACATGTGCCTCCATATATTTTTTGATTGCCTTCCGCTCTTCAGCCGCCGCGCGCAATTCCTGCAACGGCTGTCACTGGATGCTCCAAGACAGAATCCTGTCTTCGTCGGCCTCCTGCATCGCCGTAGCACCTCTCTCTCGCCGGCTGACATCCTCTTTATTGAGCCTGCAGCCACCAATCCTCTCTTAGAGCACCACGAGTCACTTCGGCCTGTGCATGCTTGGGACCGGCCGGAAGCCAACACGCTGCGAAAGTGCCGAAGCTCGACGCAGCAGTTCCCAAGGAGCGCCATGCCAGGAGCTCAACTCAGTAGTTCATCCGTTTATCGATTTCATGCTCCGCCGCACCTCGCTAGACTCATTTCTCCCTACATTTGCAGCAGACGGACACTCCCGCCTACCTCCTGGTTTCCACGCTGGTGCCTCAGGAAACGAGGCTCGATCGAGCCTCCTGCCCGCTTAGGACGCTTCCGAGCACCTTGTGTCTGCTCCCAGCCCTCAATTCTTTTCGCCGTTTCTACTCGTCCCAATTTCTGTCCCACATTTCATTTCCTCCACTCACGAGGGTTCAAGGCCGTCTTTGTTTCATTACTCCATCTCTCGCCCTCGACGCCTTCATGTTTCATTTCCTGCGCTCCAAGAACGCGTTTCTTTCATCAACATGGTCGAGACCAAGAACCAAGACCTATTTCAAGTCCTTGCACCTAGACTTCACCGCGGCGAATCTTGTGACGTCCCCCAAAACACGCGAAGCGGGAAGAGTACAGAGGGGCGTGGCGACCATGGAGTTGAAACCACAAAGAAATTCCGCCGGAGAGGGTGAGCTTAGGGCACGTGGCATCCAGGATTTCTCGATTTTCTCCCCTTGGAACCGATAGCCTACCAAACGTCCGATTCTTTGGAAGGATCTCTTCCTTTGCTCCCTTTCTTAGCAACTCGACTTTCTTCTCCCATTACAGATAAGTCTATTTCTGCTCTTTGACGCAATCGTCGAGCATACGCGGCAAGCTGCACCTCATGAGCAGCCCTTGCTTGGCATCGGCCCCTCTCTTCCACGTACTCTTTGTAAGAGTCCGGCTCTATCAATTGCGCGTTGGTATGTGTTCTACGGTATACGGTGCAGCTTTGTATGCATGCTGTTCCGCGATTCAGATGTCATGTCCGTCATTCAACGGACTCCGCGCTGCAACTTCCGCTACATACACATGAAAGTACTCCATGTCTTGTGAGTCAGCACCGCAACCCCGACGACATACCAGACCTTTCCGAACGTCCATTGCTGAAGCAAGGAGATTGTCACAGACTCGACTTGATGGGCGCTGCTGTCTCTAGCGGCCGATAATTTCCAAGGGGGTTCCCGGAGGTCGTCGGGTGTTTGCATCTGTCGTCTTTCCCCTCACTTGTGGTTGCTAAAGTACATCGTATCTGGTTAATCTGCAATGCACTTGCCCCGCCTTTGTCTGGGGACAAAAGTTGGGCAGGGCTGCCTTGAGCTACCAAGCCCCAAGTCTACGTAGCATTCCAGGCTATGCGCTGATTCCTTGGAACGATACAGGGCGGCTCAGATGCTGCATTTCGTGCCTCGTAGGTGCGAAGGGGTAAGAAAGTCGGTGACAATGGTCGGCCCGGACTGACTGTACAGGCTTGGTTTGACGTCTCCAGTCCAAACGAAACTTCCCCGGCGCATGAACGTTTCGAAACGTCGACAATCTACTACAAACCGGTACCTCATAATCGGACCTACCAGCAACTCTTCCGCCTCATGAACCGATCTATGCACCTCCACTCCGGGTTTCCTTGCGCTTCAATCATCAGACCTTTACTTAACCCTCTCTACTATGATAATTCATCGCCCATATTATTTTTACCTCGCCACCTTGGACATTCTCGCCTCGACTCTGTTTCGTTTCGCCCAGTCGTCGAAATTGCGAACAATTGCCGACCGCCAGGCCGCGAAACACGCTGCGCTTCACTACCCGAACCGGACCCAATGAAGCAGCACAAGCATGATCTTCCATCGTCATCGCTCCACCTCGATCATTCATGCAGAAGACCCACTCCACTATGATCTTCAAAGACCCGCCGCTTGACAGCTTGACAGCTTGACAGCCACCAAGGTGAAACAGCCGCGCAATGAATCATGGGTGCGAACAAAGACTGCAAAGACTTTGCATCAGCTGGCTCAGCTTCTTTCCTTAAGCCTATGAGAGACTAGCAGTGCCACACCGCCTCTATGTATACACCTGCCTATAAGAAACATACACATAATGCTCACATGTGTGTCTTTGAGCAGGTGGGGGATGCGCCCGGCAGACCGCGCAAGCAGACCGTCTGACTATCTGAGTATGAACGCCTGTGAGAAATGTATACCTATTTCTCACGTCTATTTTCTCGACTTGGCAAGCCGGCGGTGAAGGGGCATTGCGATGGTGTTCAGGCGTCGGGTGAGCGCACTTCAGCTGACGGGAGTCCACCCGTTTTGCATCCATTCAACAAGAGCCCCCAAATCCTCAATCCTCACAAAACCCTCTGTTTCCAACATAGATTCCATCGGATCCATCTATGCATGTCGAGTAATTTCCAAACATGTCCGCGCCGCAGACGCTCTCGCTCTCGCTCTTCGCTCTTTCCTTACTTCCAATCCAACATTTTTTTTTCCAAGCCAAATCTCCCATACGCGCCAACCATATTCCCATATAATCGCGCCTGACATTAGCGCAGCCGCAGCGGCTCGCCTTGTTGGTGGCTCCTCTTTCCGTCAAATAATCGCGTTGGCATGTTGGGCAGGGCAAAATTTAGAGTTGGTCGGTCCGCCCAGGATGACGTGAGACCTTGGTTGGGGCTCTACAAATCCTCCGAACGCCTCGACTGAGTTGGCAAGCATAGCAGCGGCTGCGTTAACGGTGAGCAGCCGCCCTCTGGCGCGTTAGGTAAGGCTAGAGGACGGGATACGCATGCGTAATTTCCGGATAACGGTGAGGTTGGCCGGAATTGGCATGCGATGTGCCGCTTTGGGGAGGTGAAGGTCCGTTAGTGTAGTATGGGTATGTTGGACGGACGGGAAGTATTGCAGGTGACCGTGCTAACAGGAGTAGCATCTCTCTAGACTGACTGTCGGCTCCACGTCTCTACTCACCTACAACAGCATCAAATCACTATGCGCTTCGCGAGCCATGCATCCTGAATTCGGAGCGTAAAATTCCTTGCGTGCGCCAGAATCCTGATGAGCGCCAGTACATGTCCACCGTATGGCGAACTGGTCATTCCTTACTTCCTCTCATCTACGTCCCATTATGGCTATCCCTTTTCAGCAGCATCCTTTCTGTACTATCCTCTGTGACTTGCAATTTTATCATAGTCCATTCTTGAACGGCCACCCCCGTATTAAGTCATTGCGAAGTTTCCGCTATCAGCGTCTCTCTGCGAGACCATCTTGTACAACCTCTCACAACCACGCTCGTGCATGCGTCGGCTTGCATCGATCCAACCACAACCCATCTTTCCCCATACATACGGAGACACCCCTTCTCTCATTCAAAACCCTACACTTTCCTCATTCACTCTGTAGTGTGGCCAGCTAATCGGCCAACTATCACATGCTTCAAACGCCGAAGTCCGTCCCCGAACCTCAACCCAAACCCTCTTCACCTCAAACGGACAGTGCCACGTGCTTCCCCAAGCATCCTAAACCTCGGAGAAATAAGCTTCTCCGGTCAACGTTCTCGTTTCGACGGCCGATGTCTCAGATACCCGATGACATCTCCTCCAGACATTTAGAGAAGCTTAATAAGAATCCGTACTTCTTAGCTTGGGATAGTGTACGACATGTATGAGCCTTGGACGTGAGTCCGAGTCGGAAGACGAACTTTGCGCGACGTGGGTCGCGTTTTCACAGAACGAGCGCCGAGACTGGAACTGCATGCGGATATGTCCGTGCCCGCGAGAGCTATGTTGCCGTGTTCGGCGATCTGAGTCCGGTCCATCCTCTGATCTGGAAAGTGTCTGGTCCAGGGGTGGACTAAACTGGAACGAGATTCAATTTGTTGACCGAGATCGAGGGACTGCGGCCTTGGAGGTGGACGAGTGCGGATATGTGCGGTCGTTGAGTTAGCGGACTCTGTTGGCTCCCTGCCTTTGGTGAGATGCCGTCCTCCTTGACTCTTTCCTATACCCAGCTGCTAATTTATGAAGGCGACTCGTGTCTGGCTACCGGGTTGGACTGCTTGCCCATCCATGATACCGTGCACATACACATCCCCGATTAAACAGAGCTCATGCCGCTCATCGTCGGCGCCGCTATGCTCGACACATCGTTTCATGATGAATGGGACCTGCCCTCCATAGAAGACCCAGATTTGATCTCCAATCTGGGCGTCCGTGGGACCAAAGCCGACATATCCCCTCTCGGTGATGAAGAAGGCATGATTCACGACCATACCGCAAAGCGACTCATAGAGCCGACCGCGGTCCCCTTCCTCGAGAAATGCGTAGAAATCCTCCTCATCATATGCTTGAGCTCTTCTGAGCGGAGCCTCGAGCATTATTAAGTCGCCGATCATTGTCCTCCAGAGTGCGTTAGACCATGAGCCTCCTGCGATGTATGCTTCATGCTCTCCTTGAGAAGCTGTGAGCCAGCCGTTGTGACGGCCAACTAACTCGTGGCAGCCGTATATTGCATCGCGAAGCTTGCCGTCATCAATAGCTTCGCTTGCATCGACCATAAAAGCTTCATTTACTTCCAAGATCTTGTCGACGAGAACCCCAGATAAAGAGAAGCGTTCCCCTTCATTCCACAACGCCATCGGTAGTCCGACCTTCCCGCACGCGGCAAACTGCTTGTACCGATGAGAATGGTTCCACCACTTACATTGGCGCATTCCGTGGACGCGATTGGAGCAGGCAAAGTCAATGGCCCATGTCGGTAACTCGGGAGTTACGTGCCGTAATTCGGCAGAACCGAGAAGGGGCCGGAGTCCCTTTTCTTGTCGGATCAAATCCAATGTGACTCGGGTGAACAGAGCAGCCGGGGAGATGTCATAGTTACAGTATCGCGCGCTAGCAAGTGCATTCGAAGTCAGTAGGCCGAGCAGCGCGTAGACCTTGTCTCGGGGATCCGTGGCTTCCCGATACCGCCATCGCATTAGCAGGTCTAGCGGCTCTTCACCGTTGCTAGATATAGAGAGACCGCGAACGGGATACAGGAAGAGTCCAATGAGTTCGCCGTGCCGCTCCAGCTCTTTGTGGAATGGGAACGGAAAGTGCCTGCAGAGCTGGACTGCTGCGAATTCGACATCTTCCCAAGAAAGACAGAGAGGTCCCCATATCAGTTCAGCCGATATAGGAAGTAAAGCTTCCTGGACGGTCCCTAATGTGGCCACGTGATTAGCAAGTACTCAGTATTCATACCACAAGGTTAGCTTACAGACGCGAGACCACCAGGGATTGCCGTGCATAACGAAGGCCTGAAAAGCTTTGCGTGCTCCCTGGCCTTCCACGGTTTCGGCAAGAAGTTTAGGTAGCTCTTGAATGGGCGAGGTATTTATCGCTGCCACCGCGCGGACGAAGTCGAAGGCGGTTTCGACATCCCGCACAGAGAACCCGTCGGCTGTCTCGGATATTTCTCCCAGCCAGATCAGGCAGTGAGAGCATCTCTTGTAGATATCCCTCATCATGGCTACTTGGCGCGCTTTTTCATCGTTGTCCCATTGATTGATGCAGAGTTGGTCTACCCATATCGTTCTCGGAGCGGTCGGACGACGGAGGTATTTGAGCGCATCGTGGAGGTTCTGTGTAACGAGAAAGGTATGGCCGGATATTTCCACGCTCTTTTCTTCAGCTCGGCTCCCCCAGACGTATGATAGTGTCTCATATTCCTCGTACACGTCTAGGCTCACCACCTGTGACGTGCATTTTATGTCGTCGTCCTGATTCCCTGGTAGGAGATGCAAGAGCCGGATTTCATGTCCCTTGGTGGATTTTCTCTCGGGGCTTTAGTGCATGCTGATATGTAGAGGGAAGTGGGCATGCTGCATACCCAAAGCCTTCGAAAGGGCCATGTCCTCCCATGGACGCCCGCTGCTGGTTGCTAGGAACCCCGGCGTCAGATCCGGGTTGCACCGAAGGGGTAGAATGGATAACAGGGAGAGAACACATTGGGACTATGTTGTGTCTGTAGTTGAAAAACTAGATAGAGCTGAGGAAGACGCTTGTGTCGTTAGGCTGCACACTTAGGTTGGCTGAAGCTTAACCGCACTCTCAGGGAGGAGGCGCGAGCCAGCTTTATGCATATCACCAGCTTAGAGATGAATCATATAGAAGGAATAGCTCGAAAAGGCACGTATCTTCGTAGTTGAGGCGTGAAGGCAAAACCATGCCTCATTGGCACGGGCCTTCCATTCTGGGGTTAGTGGATTTAAGAGCCGCTTGGGACTCAGCTCTCAGCCTGACGGCGAGGCAAGCTAATCATGGACAATGACGGTGCATTCGGCGGTGAAGAGTCTCAATATTGCGAAAACGGGGTTCACAGAGGTGTATAGACCCAAAGATAGAGAGCCGGTCGTAGAGTAGGTGCTTTCCAGTTTGTGTCAGCTCGGACCACAGGTGGGCCTGCCGTTCGACCTCTCGTCAATAATTACATCGCCTCATCTCTTCGAATCATGCTTTCGCCCTCAATTATGCGCTGAACGCAGTTGCTAATGGCTATTCAGGATTATTCTCGTACATGGACTGCAAGGCGATCCTTACCACACGTGGGCTTGCCAACTTTCAAAAAATGAACAGAAGAAAGAATCGAAGAGAAAAAGTGAAGAGAAGAAGAGTCGCGGTCTTGTTTACGGGACCTTCACCCAGTTGGGCCTTTCAAAACCATGGCCAAATACAGCGTGGATGGACAAGGAAGAAGTCAAGAAATCCAGCAAACCCACAAAAGACACCGAAGACAGTCAAGCTTCAGAGGTGTACTGGCCGTTAGATCTGTTGCCATCAGAATGCCCGCGGGCTCGAATCTCGGTCTATGGATACGACACGAAGATTGCAGGCTATGAAAGAGTGAACAAGGATCATATCTATCAGATCGGAAAGAACTTTCTGTATCAACTTCCTTTGCATAGGCTTGACGGGCTACCCATCATATTTATTGCCCATTCTTTAGGCGGGATAGTAGTCAAAGAAGTAAGCTCGAAAAGACGCCGGGAAAGCCCGAAAGAGCTAACACAGGAATGCAGGCGCTCGTACTGTCATCAGACTCACGGGAAGAGGACCTACACAGCATTGTATCTTCGACGGCTGCTGTCGTTTTCATGGGTACTCCGCACCGGGGTAGCAAAGACTGGGCTTCGGTAGGAGAAAGAGGCCGCAAACTTGCAAGTGCCCTTTTAATGAACAACAACCCTTCTCTCCTCGATACCCTGGGATTGAAGAACGGAGAACTTTTCCGCACTGGAGATAAGTTCGCAGAAGTGTGGGATACCTCCAACTTTACCGTCAAAACATACCAGGAGGGTCGGGCGTTCACTGGTGCAGGGATAGGGCATCTGGGTGACAAGGTGCGAGGCTCCCGCCCTACGCCACATGTACTCACTGACGTTTTAGCAGGTCGTCTCAGACGAATCTTCCCTCCTCTTCAATCTAAAGGAACGTGCTGAGTCACTTGACGCAGACCACAGAGGAATGTGCAGATTCAGCGGGCCGAATGATGACAATTGGCGAAAGGTTGGCCCACAGTTGAAACACTACTATGAAAAGATTGTGGGCCTGCAAGTAATGCAGCTGGACACCTTGGAGTCGCAACAGGAGCCCGAAGATGACCCACTCGATAGCCTTGCCAACCATGCGAGGTCAAAATTCGGGGTAGACTTCCTGGAGCTACTAGCGTCACTTAGCTACGACAGCATGGGTGATGCAGAGCACGAAATTACCATGCCCCTCGATGAGACTTGTCAATGGATCTTTCGACTGCCGAAATTCAATTCGTGGATTGATAGTTGCCGCGGCTCGGACCAACCGAAGATCCTTTATCTCACCGGGAAATTGGGGTCGGGCAAGTCGACTCTGATGAGGCATGTTGTCACGACTCTGAAGCATCAAAGCAAAACACCGATACGTAACGTTGTAGCCTTCTTTTTCGCCTCTTCGAAGGATGCCGTTCTGAATCGCACCTCATCAGACGTTTCCCGCTCCCTACTTTCACAGCTTTTTCGCATACCTTCGTTTCGAGAGGACGCTCTAAAGTTTATGGATAAGTATGGCTCGAAGCTACTGCTACCCCACGAGAAGCGATGGCATCCCGGCGAGCTCCATGAAGCGGTCATGGACTTGTTTCGCCAACCTCGAACGGACGAAGTCATCATATTCGTCGACGCCGTCGACGAATGCATGGATGCGGACAAACTTGTGCGATTTCTTCAGGACATGCTTTCCGTCGCTCACGCAAGAAATTCGAAGAGAACACTCAAGATCTGCCTCTCCTGGCAAGGTTCGCCTCCGTTAACAGACGAAGAATCCGAACGCATATGCATTGAAGACCACAACCAGGACGATATCGCACTCTATGTACATCGAAGACTCCATGCTGGCAGCCTTTTGAGTCAAGATCATTACTGCTTCTTACAAAACTCCATTATCGAAAAAGCATCGGGTGTGTTCCTGTGGGTGATCCTGGTCGTGGATCTCATACAGAAACATTTACATGACGGCCGGGATTTCCAGTTCCTCAAAGCGCTCATGGATGAGACACCGGGAGGATTGAAAGGCCTTTATCGCGACATTCTTGTCCGTTTCACGGAAAAGGCTGATCCGATCACAACCAGTACCATGATCGGCGTTTTACAGTGGGTTCTGTTCTCAGCCCGCCTCTTAACCATCGATGAGTGGCACCATGTGCTAGCTTTCATTCAGAATCCTTTTCTCCAATCCATCAAAGAATGGGAAGTGTCGGAGACGTTTACAGAATCTGACGACCTCCTGATTCAAAGAATAAAACGCGTCTGCCGTGGGTTCGTGGATGTCAAACATCGACAGGTCCCCATAGACCCAAGTGCCACCCCCTCAGAAGTCGGCTCTCTTGGGGTTGGAGCAGGATCCTTTGAGAGTCGCCAATACATCCAGGTCATACATCCTTCCGTTCGAACGTTCTTTCTCAAGGAAAATGGATTCGCTTTGCTAAATCCCAATATCACGAACCCTCGGGCAGCAGGACATTTGCATATCCTTGATGTTTGCATCAGATACTGCTTTTTAGAAGAAATGAAGCGGGCGTTCTGGGTCGGGCCAGCTCGTGCAGAGAAACGAAAAAGCCAAGTCGACGCTTCAAAGAAAGGGATATGGCGGATCCGCAGCATGATTCCCTCTTTGCAATCTAGGAAGGCTCGAATTCTACAGCGCACACCGAGCAGGGCCATGAGCCTGGGATCTTCGGCGTCCTCGTCAGCCCCTTCGCTTTATTCGGACGATACACAACCCGGACAGCTCGCGGGGAAATCGTCCCAAGCAAATTGGAAAGCATTCGCCGATGAAACGGATTCGCGCAATGTCGGATATAGTAGAGACCTTATGATGAAATATGTACGGGGGCTAGAAGATCCGTTACAACCTGCCTCCGCACCCGCAGATATAGTCTCTCGCGAGGTCCTTAGAGACACCAGCTCTTCTCGATCGACATCCTCGCATGAACAAGCCGTCTACAACCCCCCGGCGCTTTGGTATTATTCCCGAAACATGCTGGTACACCATGCCGCTGCCGCCGACCAGGAAGGAGCACATCCAGGAAGTCCACTCGACTTCCTACTATCTCAAGACTGGAAGACGTGGGCAGCGACACGAGAAGACATGCAAAAGGATGCAACTCTTGTATATTTCGCTGCCCAGTGGAATCTCGAGTCCTGGTTACTGTATCTCCTTGACGAAAAATCCCTGGACGAGACTGTGAAGGGGGGACTACATTCCTATCCTATCGTAGTTGCTGCGCGGATGGGCTGTATAGAAGCTTTCCGATGCCTGTTTTTGCGGAATTTCTCCAATCTCCTGGTCACTGACCCATACGGGTGGACGGCGCTGCATCATGCCGTCCTCTCCAGAAACAACTGTATTATCGACTGGCTGCGTAAACCTCACCTCTCGAGACAAGCCTTGCGAGTTATCCGCCGAACTATCAACCACAAGGACAGGTGCGGCTACACCACCCTACACCTAGCGGCACTGGCCGCACCCGGCGATGTCATCTCGGACCTCGTTAAGCTCGGGGCTGACGTTCACTGCGTCGACAAAGAAGGCAACACCCCTCTCCATTTTGCATGCTCTCGAGACGAGTCCGATCTCTCCGTGTGCGAGCTCCTTGTCAATGCTGGATGCGACAGGATACAGCGCAACAACGACGGCAACTTTGCGTTTGAGCTCGCGCTTCAATGGGATCATTGGGACTTGGTCTGGTACCTGTCAATGATTCCCTGGTCATCGAACTCCTGGCCACGTTAGATTCTACGTCACACGCAAGGTCGATAAGGCGCTTCCGACCCCGGGCCATAGATGAGCAATTACCCTATGTAAGAGTATTGACGTGCGTACGTCGCACGAGTTTGCAATTCGTTGTTGGCCAATCCCTCCAGGCTTTCTATTCAGATGCACTACAACACAATGCAACGCGACGCCGTGACTACCATTCCCCCTCTATTCGAACAATGACCCATTACCATCCACCCATCCAGTCCAATAGTTGAGATCACCGTGGGTGAAGACCGCCAAACCGACCTACTCCGTTCGAAAGACGTGCCACCCATATATACGTGTAGAGCCGCGATGTCCACGCCAAGAAATACAAGTGTATCCAAGATCCCGTCCAAATCCGCCATATCCGACACAAGGTCCTCGCTCAAACACTGAGGGTCTACCTCACGGCGTCCGCATCCGCATCATGATATGCACTATCCCTAAACCTCTCCTCACCGCTCTCCGTGCTCACACTACTTCCATCCTCGCTCTCCTCAGTCGTATGTATCCTCCTACCCGCATCTCTTGAATTCTTCGCATCATCCAGCGTCTCCAAATCCCTCGCAGCCTTGTTCCGTCCAAAGAAATCTTCTGTTCTCAACCCCCTGACTTCCTTCGGATCTACGCCCCTCTTCAACTTCCCCTCCTTCTTCATTCTCCTGATATACTCCCTCACCGGGCCCATTGCTGCATCTCTACACGCCTCCTTGATATCCGAGCCACTCATGCCAGCGGATACGCGGACGAGGTAGTTGAGGTCGAAGTTCGGCTGGTCGATTTTAGTGCCGCGTAGGATGAGGGAGAAGATGTTGTGGCGTTGGCTGGCGTTGGGCAGGGCGACGGGGAATTTCTTGGGCATGCGGCGGAGGATGGCTTCGTCGATGTCTTGGATGCGGTTCGTGGCGCCGAGGATGCAGATTCGTTGGGGCGTTGTAGAGCCGGTGTGGATGGTAGATGCGAGGCCGTCCCAGTGCGTCATGAATCTGTATTCGTCAATCACGCGATCGAGGAATATTGCGGAATATTGGAACTGGAGGGGAAGAAAACGTGACGACCTACTCAGCCTTTACCATGCCACTTGCCTCGTGCTCTCCACTTCTCCTCTGGCCCAGTACTGCATCGATCTCGTCAATAAAGACGATGCTGGGCTGCAGTTTCCGGGCTAGACTGAACACCGCGTTGACTAGCTTATTTGAATCGCCATACCACTTCTCGGTCAAGGTAGAAATGTGCAGGTTGATGAAGCAAGCGCCGGATTCATGCGCCAGCGCTTTCGCCAGCATGGTCTTACCGCAACCGGGAGGGCCGTAGAGGAGCACGCCCGAGGGCGCAGCGAGGAGGGACGAGGAGTGTGAGTAGAGGTGTGGGAGTGTGAGCGGATAGATGACGGATTCCTTGAGTTCCTCGATTATGGGGTCGAGGCCGCCGATGTCTGTCCACTTATTAGCACACCTGGTCATCTTCACTTTTCCAAGCTTCAGACCACCCCAATTCCATGCTGTTCTATCTCCCCCTCTCTCGCCACTTCTCCAAGAGCAAATCACAACATACCATCAAATGTCACCGGAATTTCCTCCGGCGCCACTACCTCCATAGCAATCGTCTGCTCATACGCGTTCAAATTCAGATCCTCTATCCTTGGTCTTCTCCACCTCTTGCCGCCATATTCCTCCTCATCCTCGCTGTCCGAATCATAATCTCTTCGTGACTTATTCGCTAATATGGCGTCGAGTTTACGATTCGCCGCCGAGGCCTTTTGCCGCGCTTCTTCTTTTTGTTGAGCTTCTGGGTCAAGGCGTGAGAGGAGCTGTCGGATGACGAAATAGGCTATTAGGGGCTATTGAATTGTTAGTATGGGGCTGGAGGCATGGTAAAGAGTGGTGGGAGGGAGGGAGGGAGGGAAGGCGCATGTGGTGGGTTGGTCACGTACGGCGGCGGCTGCCATGAGGATGTCGGGGAGGTAGCTTGTTAGGCTACTCTTCTTGTTTCCGCTCATTTTGCCCTCTTTGCTGTGAATATACTCTCGAGGGCTTGTGAAAAGGTGGAAGTAAGGGGTTTTGCGCGTGTTGAGGTGCTAAAGTGTCGCCGCCGAATGCGTTGGCCTCCCAAAAGATGTCGTCGTCTGGCGCCACACGTGCCTCGGCCTTGGCAGCTAGGATCTATCCGCCTCCGCTTTCGAAGCTCCACTCCCACGTTCACTCCGCACGAGCACGAGCACATGCACAGAAGCAATCATGACCAGCGCAATGGCAGCAATATATAGACCGACGGAAGCAATTCAGCTCCTGCGCCCCGCTACCTGGCGTCCGCATGTAATCCCGCGCAAACGAACAACAGCCCGCATCGCCTTCTCCACATCTCGACCTACACCAACTACCCATAGCTCCTCTCCTCCTCCGCCGCCTCCCAGAAGACAAGTCACAGTAGCAAATGACACGGGAACCGTACGCTGGAGCGAGCTCTCACCGGGCGAAAAAGCCGCGCGAACAGTCCAGCAATCCTTTAACCTCTCCATCGTGATAGTAGGCGTCGTCTTAACCGTACGCTCTGCCCTCTCTCCTCTAAGCTAGATGTTTACGATATACAGGGTGCAGTGGGATATTTCCTCTTCAGCGACGTCTTCAGCACCAACTCCAAAACCGCCCACTTCAACCGCGCAACCGACCGCATACGCCGCGATCCGCAATGCCAAAAGCTGCTCGGCGATGGCTCCAAGATATCCGCGCATGGCGAGGCTTCGTGGAGTCGATGGGCGCGCAATCGCTTTATTGCTTCAACGGTGGAGACCGATAATTGGGGTACTGAGCATTTAAAATTCAGGTTTTATGTCGAAGGACCGTTGGGCCAGGGTGTGGTCCACGCTCATTTGACCAAACGGCCAAGCCAGAACGAGTTTGAGTATCACACGCTTGCGGTAGATGTTAAGGGACACCAGAGGATATATTTGGAGAATGGGGACGAGAAGAAGAACAGCAAAGTTGCGCCTAAGATCTTCGGGGCGCGGTGGTGGTAGGTCCGGAAGAGGCTTGGGCGCAAAAGACAATCTTGGAGTGCAAAAAATATGCTCTACGACACGTTGAAATGCGAGGATCTGACGTGGTCAAAGTCCACGAGGACAGGAAGATTGAACAAGATGCAGAGAGGTGATGAGTATGGCCGAGGCACGGTATCTCGGGGTAGAACAGGCGATTGGGATCAAAATGAAGCTTTCATGCCCAAGTAGACGAACACCAATGGCCACCGCCAGGGTACGGGCGGAATGCCATGCCTGAAATGACAGGCGGACCGGGAAAATGATATAACTCTCCAATGACCGTCCCGCAAGCACGTAGGAGGCGCAGTTTTTCAGCCGACTTTCCAGTCGAAGCCCAACTCCGGGGTAACCCCATAAATCAACGCAATCAACGCAATCAAACAAGCAAACCAATCTCCCCGTTAGTGCGCATCCAAGCCCAAACCCCCCTCATTAGTGCTCCTCCCAAAACTCGGCGTACTCGGCCTACTCTTCTCTATGCCGAAAAAAGCAATATTCTCCCTATGCGCGACATACTGCGTCTCCGCATACCCAAGCGCCTCATGAATCTGCGTGCTATGCAGCCCCTTGATCCGCCTTATCTCGCTCGCTGCGTAATTCACTACCGCTCTTCCAATCTCAAAAGGCGCGGGGTTATGCAGTTCGTAAGGCGGAGGGGCGATAGTCATAGATGACGAGGCGGAGTGCGAGTGGATGAGCGCGGGGTGCGTGATGTGAGGGTTTGGGATTATGCGAGAGGGGGTCGGTGGGCTAGTGACCGGTTGGGATTTGGGGGAGTTGGAGGAGAGGCGCTTTACGACGACGAGGCGAACAGCTTCTTGTTGGGCGAAGTGGCCGTCGACGTCGACGATACCGACCGGGAGGAGGCCGGCTTTGTCGGTTAGTGCTTGCCAGGCGCCGTGGTCGATGTAAATGGTTCCATGAGGGGCGAGACCGTGCAAGATCCAGAAGTAGCGGTCGCGGATGGGGTGGGAGATGGGGAGGAAGCGGGTATGAAGAGGTGGCTGTTCGACGAGTTGAGGAGATGGCGTTCGAGTTAGAGTATCATGAGGAGTTGCGGTTGTGCTGGTGAGTTCGTGGTTTGTGGCGTGGAGGTTTAGAGTTGCTGTTTGCGCCAGAGGGACGCCTTCGTCCTGGAAATTGACCATGCTGTTGCGGCTCGATATCCGTGCTGCCCTCTGCGCTTCCGCGTACTTTATGATCGCGGTAATGTTCCCAGGTTTTGAGGACTTCGTGATAACCGTCGTAACACCAGCACTTGTCGCTAATCTCGCCGCAACGATCTTCGTGCTCATGCCTCCTGTTCCCAAAGCAGAACCAGCACTGCTCACATCCGCCTCCAGCTCAGCGATATCTTCTACCACCGTGATAGCCTTCGCATCCGGATTCGTCCTCGGATTCTTATCATATAGGCAATCGACATCGGTCATCAGAAACAGATAATCCGCCTGAACCATACCCGCCGTAATAGCAGATAGCGTATCATTGTCGCCAAATTTGATTTCCGTAACAGCTAGGGTGTCGTTCTCGTTGACGATGGGTATGACGCCCATGTTCAGTAGCTCGAAGAACGTGTTCTGCGCATTCTGATACTGCGTCCGGTCCGCGATGTCGTTCCTCGTGAGGAGAATCTGGGCTATCGGCTGCCGTAGGTGCCCGAATAACTGGTCCCACAGACTCATAAGTCTGCTCTGTCCGATCGCCGCCAGCGCCTGCACCTTTGGCAAATGTTTCGGTCTCTTGTCCAGGTCCATGCGCCTGAGTCCCACGCCAATAGCACCTGAGGACACAATGACGACTCGATGCCCATCTTGATGCAGTTTTACAGCGGTCTCGACGATAACAGAAAGGATCGAAAGCAGCGGCTGGTGCGTCTTCTCATCGACAATCGAGCTCGTTCCTGTATCCGTTCGTAAGTAATTCTAACTCCCAAGCAGCGGGTCCTTTGTACAAGAAGTGGATTTACCGAGTTTGATCACAACCGTCAATTGGCCCGGATGCCTCTTCATATGGAACGCCATGATTCCTCCACTGTCCTCCCTTCGCGCGCACTCAATTGCTTATGTATTCAGCTGAGTGATTTTCTGTGGTGGTGAGAGATGACTCTGTTTAAGTTGCTAAATTTCGAGCAAGGGTCTACCCCCACCGCCTTTGTGGTTGACCAATCACAGCCTCCGATTTCCTCCGCATTTGCGGCTTCGAGCTTTTTGCCTTGTTGCGGACAAGACGCGCCCTTTGCGACATCAGCGAGCTCCACCTAGCACGCCCTACGACGACTTCCTCATTGTATCGACTAGAGTGCAAACGGACTGTGCGAAAGATGTCGAAATCGGAAGAAGCGCCCACTGATGGCGCGCCAATCGCTACAACCACCAAACCGACCCCCGAAGCAAAGCTCGACCCCGACTACTACACCTGGTCCAACACCTTCTCCATCATGCTCAGTCGCATGACCGGAAACCGCAACCTGCCTCTCGAAACGGCCTACTTCGCCGAGCAAGACACCGTAAAAGCGGAAACGTTCTGCAAGCGCTGCGAATCGAACCGGGACTACCTGCTGCAATACTCGCCCATCGTGCGGTTCCTAAAAGACGAGGTGGGAAAACTAGGCGGGGATTTAAACGAACGCAATATACACTGTAGAATGTGTACGGCGGAGCAGTCAGGGGGTTTCCATGTCGATCATGGGATCATGCTGTGCGCGAATAAGTTTCGGAATAGAGGGCATCAGGAGGATACGATGGCGCATGAGATGGTACATGCGTGGGATCATTTGAAGTGGAAGGTGGAGGAGGATAATTTGAGGCATCAGGCATGTTTGGAGGTACGTCCCGCATCCCCTGCTCCAGCGTCAAGTGGGGAGGATCGAGACAAGTAGAGATGGGAGAGCCACTAACAGTAGGATATAGATTCGAGCATCAACATTAAGCGGCGAATGCCGCTTCAGCCGCGAATTCTTCACAAAGAACCAGTGGCGCATCACGGAGCAACTGCAACACTGCGTAAGGCGGCGAGCCACGCTATCCATGATGGCGAGACCCGGCGTGAAGGACGACGTACAGGCGGCAAAGATTGTGAACGAAGTGTGGGATAGCTGCTTCAATGATACCCGGCCGTTCGATGAAATATATCGCTAACTGGAGTTTGCGCGAAGCTTGGGAGTAATCGGGTGTGAAGACTAAACGTGTATTGAATAGACGGTAGGTATGGAGGGTTCGAATGCATAGCGATGGCGTTGGTATATCACACCTTTGAACATGCTCTTCACTCAAAACTCTCCCAACTTCCTTTCCCCTCTTGATCAACTTCATCTACAATAACTTTTATTGCATTATTCAACAGGACACCCACTATGCGAATTGCAACTAGTGAACTCCGGGCAAGAAACCCAAAAACTCCAATCGATGCTGATGACGACCTCCGGTCCCTTCCGGCCTATACAACGCCAATACCACCCTAAATCTCAATTCACATCCAGCAGAAGATCGACATCCAAACTAACAGACGCGTTCACGCTTGAGAACGCACGGGTCAGCTGTCCCGCTCTGAGCTGCTTCGATACCTGCCCCCTGAAACACGGTCGTACGCGCGCTCTCCGGTCTTGCAATGCTTAACGATCCATGGGTGTCGCTCAACATCCTCAAGAGCGATTCGCTTCTCAGGGTCAAGAACCAGTAGCTAAGGTCTGGTAAGCGTCTGTCTTATAGTTAGGGTCTCAGGGAAGCTTACTCTCTTAATCAGGTCCTTGGCCTCTGAACTGACGAAGTTCGGCACGGTGTACTCTCCCCTCGCAATCTTCCGCTGCGTCATGACCTGTGTATCTTCGAACGGCGCCTCTCCCACCAGGAATTCGTACGTCAGCACACCCAAGCTCCACAGATCGACCTTTTCAGAGTAGAAGTTTTCCTTGCCGCCACCCCTCAACATCTCCGGCGGGAGGTAGTCGAGCGTGCCGCACATGGTGTTGCGCCTGTTGTTTGGAGCATGCACCGACCATCCGAAGTCTGAGATCTTGATCTCGCCGTGGATGCCAACAAGAATATTCTCGGGCTTGATGTCGCGATGCATTACGTGCTTCCTGTGGAGGTACTTCAGGGCTGCAGCCATCTGGGCGATGTACTGCGCAGCCTTCCATTCCGGGAAGCGCTGCTCGCGACGGAGATGCTTGTACAGCTCTCCTTTGCCGGCGAATTCTAGGATGAGGAAGATTCGCTTGGCGTCGTGGAAGTGACCGAACAGGCGTAGGATGTTTGGATGCGCGAGGTGCGATTGGATCTCAATCTCACGGCGGACTTGCTTCTCGACCTTGCCTTGCTGGAGCTCCGACTTGTGCAGTACTTTGAGAGCGCAGACGAAGCCAGTCGCGCGCTCCTTGGCCAGATACACACGACCAAACTTTCCTTTGCCAAGTGGCTTGCCGATCTCGAACATTCCCAGGTGCCATTGCTTGGGAGTCGAGGGCTGGGAGTAGAGTGCAGACTCGGTAAGCGTGCGGCGGTGCGAAGGGTTCTCAGGGCGACCCTGGGTGGCTTGTGCTGGGAGCGTGACTTTGGTAATGTTTGCGCTGACGACTTTGCTCGAGTTTGCAGCTGCCAGCTTCTGGAGTGGTAGCTTCATGCGATTCGCTGCGGCATTGGAAGACGACAGGCCGCTTAATGATACTGCGGTGGAGAGGGAGCCCTTTGGCGGCGTTAGATGGGCCTCCACAGAAAGAAGGACTAGAGGGGCGTCTTGTACTTTTGATTTATGATAGGTAGTAGTAGTGACAAGCTGGTCGTCGTTCTCGTCGGTGACGGTAATGCGCTCGAAAGCGGCTTCGAGGTTCGCGACGTCCATGCTGTCTGCTGAGGTGAGGATGGATGCCTGGCGGGTAAAGGAGAGACTTTAAGCAGAAGGGACGAAAGAAACAACGAGTAAGAACTGCTATTGACTGCAAATGCTGTCCAGCGGGGGACCCTGTCCGGCTGTGGGAGTTGAGGTGGGTGAGATGCGGAGGGCTGGTGTTTGGCCAATACACAGTCGCGGTTGCCCCGGTGACATGCACGGCGTGCCAATTAATCCGATCCCCCACGTCTCGCCCCGCAGAGCTGCAGCCCGACGACGACTTTTCGCAAACTGCACTCTCCATTAGTCCACGTACACTCTCCTCTTCCGCAGAGCCTGACGCGATCACCGGCTATGATGTCGTCGCTCAACGGCGCGCCGCTCGATACCCACGCGCCCGGCCACGAGGACACCTCGATCACCAAAAATGGCTTCAAGATCACGACGCGAAAGCTGCCTATCCTCAAGGCCGGCCCAATAGAGGAAATGACCACCAAGCTGGGGATTGCGCCGCCGGAAATGATATTCGGCGACAATTTCGTGCGCATTGAACACGCAGCCAGCGGCTGGCGCATCGAGTTCAACGCTTTCGATGCACTTGATCGCGTCGACAAGACTGGAGACTCGATGCTGAAGGTGTCTTACTCCAAGGAGTGGCAGCAGAATCGGTAGGGATGCCTTACTTCACATGGCCCATTCTAGCCGTCCTGCATACGCGCGCATTGCTTTCCTGCAGGGCCGGCTGCTGACCACCCTTCAGCCAAAAGCAATTTGAGGACATTAAGGAGGTTGTGAAGCCCTTCGACTGGTCCTACAGCACCGACTACAAGGGTTCGACTGCAGAATCCCCCGCATTCCAGTCGACCGATACGCCGATACCGCTGGCCCTGCTTAAGCGTCCCGACCCAATTCAGTTCTTCGACGACGTCATGCTCTACGAAGACGAGCTCGCAGACAACGGCATCGCGATGCTCTCGTGCAAGATCCGTGTGATGCCGGCGAGGCTACTGCTATTGACCCGCTTCTTCATGAGGCTGGACGATGTCCTCTTCAGAATCCGAGATACACGGGTCTTCGTCGAGTTTGCGACGGGAGAAGTCATCAGGGAGTACACCGCGCGGGAAGAAAAGTACGAAGTCGTCCGCAAGGTGCTCGCGGGAACGAAGGAAGACGTTCTCGCCCTCATGAGAGATCCAAACCGACTTGCGGAGTACATCCCTGTCGTGGGGAAGACACTTGAGAAGGTGGTGTTGAAGTGAGGCAGATGAGGCAAATACTCAAGGATCACAGCGTGCGAAGCCCCTTAACGGACACCATACAGAGCTGGTGTGCTCGAAGGAGTCTTAGGGAAGGAGTGTACGGTTGCACCTTGACTTCCCCTATTGAGCTCTGTGAATAGACCCCTCGCCCTTCCTCCAACCGAAGTTGGCACCATGCTCCCCGTAGAAGGGCAATTGGCGAGATGGCACTATATTCAGACCCTTCTTCTCCCTTCGGAATAGAAGGAGGAGCCGCAGAGATCGAGTTCGAAGAATTCAAGGAAGCGCACCCTTGCTGCCCGATCGAAGGTGCCCGCAGAAAGGATTTGATGGAACGGAATGAGTGAAGGATTAAAAATAAGATATCAGGGTATTCCTAGAGAAGCTACTATCCTAAAGTTACGCACTGCCACCTGCGATTCGTAAGGCTAACCCAATTTCCTTCTGAAATCACTGCCCAGCCAACGCGATATGCTATATCGTTCCTCCACTCAACCACCAATGCACGCAGACGGTCTTCTTCTTCTCCCCAGTCCGAATCATCAATGTCTCTCCCGATTATTACAAAATCCAGGATTACAACATCCGTCTCGTCAAAGCCCCAATCATGGCCATCGGCGTCTATTGCGTCGATAATATGTGGAATTCTCTGGGGTACTGCCGGGTCGTGCCGCTTCAAATGGTTTGTGCATCCCATGTAGAATTCCGTTGTCACGTCGTCGAATCCATCGGTATAGTCTTTAGACTCCATGAGGGCATAGGAGAGAGAAGGCATGAACCAGCGTTGTACATAAAGTGTCGCTGTGCTTGTCCAGAAGCGTAATAGACCGGTGTCCAAAGTCTCGTCAAATGCATCCTGACCTGCGACGTCCATGGATATCTCTGACTCTTTCCATGAGTGCGAAATGCGGTCGACCCCTATGCTTTGCGTAATATTGTCGAGACCGCGGTCGCACGCTCGCTCGTTGATCATCCTGTGTTGGCCATTCGAATCAACCTGGTAGAAGGTAATCTCTGCTTCATATGACCCGGGCTGTGTATGAAACGCCAGTAGGGACTGACGGTTTACTCGCCTCCATGACACCCAGCTCCAACTTGGAAGTGGAACTGAAACTTTAACCCCGTCCCGGGAAACGGTCTCGTGTGATGCTCTATTTCGAGGCTGGTGTTTCAATTCCCAACAAAGCGAAGCGGTAAATGTCGACTCAGGTAATCCCCAGATATAACGTTCGCCGAGTGAAGAGAATGTAGTCAAGATACCCAGAAACGCATTGAGCCGATCGGATTCGTATGTGATGTTTCGACACATGAACTTCGTGGCAAGTTCCTCCACGGTTGAGCGAGGGTTGATTCCGTTGTCGATATCTCGGCCGTTTATCTGGACATTAAAGTCGTATTCAGGGTCCAGATATGGTGTTTTTCCGAAGGCATAGCCGCGATACTCGTCCACATTTCCGTACTCTAACTCAGTCTCCTCTAACCACTTTGCCCGAGGGCAGCTCCAATAGACTTGATTTCTTGCGAAGATCAATTTCCTTGAGGAAAAAAATTGCTCTTGCATTGTCCACGCCCGTGTGTACTACTCAATGTAGCGGAGTAATCAGCGAGTTATCAAGTATTCGTATCACGACGACTTACCCAAGGTGAGTATGGGATATTATCTTCAGCAGGTGCGTATGTACTCTGCTTTCTGAGAACCGCTTCTTCTCTGCAACCCGAGCCGATGGCAGACATGAGGGTCGTTCCAGACACCTTTAAAACATCTTGACGCAACAAGCGCGTACCCGCACGAACTCCAGGTAGACCATAATCTGCGTCGTCGCCCGCTGCGGCAATGATCGTGCATGCCGCGTTGGCGTAAACGGAGGCCATTTGCTTGATTTGGGACTGCAGATGAGCTCTGTCGTCCTGAACGATGCAGATAGCATCCACCCAGAGATATCGGAGCCCAACTCCCAGTGTTACGGTAATGGCGTCGCGAACTGTTGCGGGCAGGGCTTTCCTCAATAGACCGCGTTTTTGCCGTGTCGATGGAAGATCGGCTTTTGTGAGCTTGTAACTATTGCATTTGCCCCACACATAGCTCAGTGCAACGTATGGACAGGCATCCGGTGCGTTTACGATGCAACTATCTTTGACGTCGATCAGCAGGAGGCCCGTTGGACGCCCCAAGTGTTCCATCAATGGGAGAGAGCAGCACGAGTCACCATGGCGTGATTCGCAATGATCGAGCCAGAACTTGAATAGTCTCAGGTCTGCTTTGACCGGATCAAGAATTCGTCCGCTGAAGCTCGCCACGGAAGGGTCGGTTGGCATGATCCCTGTGATGGTGTCCATAACGGTAGGTATCCATGGCGAGCATGACTGGAAGGCCAGTATTTCTTCGAAGAAGTCGCGTCTGAATTTGATAAAGACTACAAACTTCATTGTCGTGTATTTCGATGCCGGAATTCTTGCCTTCCGACTTCGGATGCCACCGTAGTGGAAATTGCGTGTATCATGGGGACTGCCTTTCGGTCCAGCTTGCGAAGAACAAAAAGACGCACACTGGATGAAGCACCTTTCCGAGTGAGAAGAGCCATTGTTGTGTCGTCTTGGTCTCAAATAGCCTTCCTCCCGTAGCTTCCTCGTAACGATCCTGCACAAGTCGCATTGTGCCGCTCTTTTGGAGATGTCGTGAAGAGTGCCTAGCTCTTGTTTCAACGTATCCGATTCCACAACGTACTTGCTTTCCTTGCCATCCATTACTGAATCTACTATCGTAGAGTATGACTCGACATTCCTGAGCTCGTTTCGCCAGGCGTACCGGGTGAAGTCGATGGTGCTACATAATTCACACAGTCGAGAAGCAGACATCTCACAGGAAGAGAACTGGGCTAATGTTAGCTCCAACTTTATATTCAGCCGTAGAAGGCCACACATAAGTCGTTGGTGTAGTAGCGGCTAGATGAAATGCGCAGCTACTTACCGGCTGCGGCATACCTAGGTATTCAATCTAATCCCTCTCAAGCCATTCACTCAAATGAAGATACAAGCAATTCAGTTGTTGACATCCTGCAGACAGTGACGTAAAAGTTTAGGCAACGCGACGAGGCTGAGAATGCAGAGGCTCTGCCCAGGTGGCTTTTGACGCACGGGATGCAAATTCTGGATAAGTTTAGCCCCATAGGTCCAGTAGTTCTAGCGCGAGACGTCTCCCAATGCATAAACAGCATTCGCATGCCAAAACAATCCCTCGAGCAATATGCCCAGCTACAAAATCTCTTCCAAAGCTTCGATACCTGCAAAGACCGATCTTTCACATGACCGTCCAGTGGCGTCATAACCCAACCTAGGTTTCCAGCTGCCCCACCATTGCCCAACCCCGCCATCAGCTGCTCAACGGGCCGGAACGCTACCCGCCCAACTCAACGACTTGTACTCTAGATCCCAACAGCGCTATCTTCGCAACACACACTCTTCTCTCTTTCTGCCTCTTTCTCCTGATCACCTCCAAACTACAACCAACAGACTCTGTTTACATCAGCTACGCAGCAGAATCAGCCGCAATGCCGTCCGCCAAATTCAACGAAGTCTACCAGAAGACGCGCGAGATCAAGACCGGCCCGTCGAACGATGAGCAGCTCAACGTACGCCTTCCCTCCCCCTGCCTCCCTTTCATCTGTTCGTTTCTTATCCGAGAGACGGATGTGCTTGTGCATGTGTGATGGAGCATGATGCTAACGAGCCGTGATAGCTCTACGCCTACGCCAAAGTCGCCCAGGGCGAGGACATCTCCAAGGCACCCAAGGTCGGCATGATGGACTTCACCGTACGTCTCCCCTCCCCCTCCCTCCATTTCCCCACCCTTCTACCTTCAAACCCCGCGAACCACCCGGCGATACTAGTATGGAGTGTATGGGTAATGCGTGCTGACATCGTGGACGTGGACAGGGCAAGGCAAAGCGCAAGCGATGGCAGGAAATCGTCGACCAGGGCGTCTCGACCGAAGATGCGGAGAAGAAATACATCGAGCTCGGCGAGTCGCTCATCAGCAAGCATCTCAAGTAAACCAACCCAAGCCTACCAACCACGGCCGGAGTGACACGGGGGATATCATGCGGCGGGATACAAATCTAGGGCCTGGGAAAATAGCATGCAATATGGCAGGATATACACGCTGAATTGAGGCATGATATAATTGCATTGAGATACTTGACTGTGCTCTATTGACATGGTACAAGTAGCTGCTGCAATGCCTGCCACCGGTTCACATGATTCTGCCTCTCAATCCCGATGCTCTTTCCATGGGGCGGCTAACTCGGTTAGTAGCCTGGCCACTTCTGTCCCTTCCAATCCGGCTCCTCGTGCGCTGAACTAGCACACCAAGGAACCTCATTCGCGTCGTACGGTGACAAAGGCAGGTCATACGGCATGCGGAATCCTACCACTATTTTCGCCCCTTCCATTGCCCCTTGTACACCCTCATCCCCAGCCACATCTTCCGCAGACCCGTCCTCCGGACCCGGCATATCCTTGCCAAAGGTTGGTACCATAACCGTATCAATTCCAGAGGTCTCGTAGAGCTGCGGCCAAACAACGACACCGGTCTCCCAACTCTGAATCCACACTTCCTCTTTCTTGTTCTCCATCAGCCCCCAAGCCTGCGTGCTCAGATTTGCGCTCGTCACCATGGCCCAATCAATCGACTTGTGCGCCGCATCACTAAACCGGATGTAAGTTTTAATATGCGGAGCTGCCGGGCCGCGATGTGCTTCCCTTCGAGTTGGTGTTGCGTCTGATGCTGAGCCCTGAAGGGAATACTTCCAGTGACAGAGGACAGGGCGAAGATACTGAAGTTGCTTTTGCTGAGCGGCAGATTGGACTTTTGTATGGATTGAGCCGCCTGAGTTGTAGCCGTCAAGGGAGGTGCGGATTTCGTCTGGCGTCGGGAATATGATTTTGAAGGTCGGATCCGGAGCTTGCATGTTCGACTGTAGAGCCGGCTTGTCGCGTTTAGTGAAAAAGTTAGCGGCTTTCGAAGGAGACGCTGCAGTTGTTGCAGTGCGCGTCTGGGTCGCCGACGCAGAAGACGATCGGCTCAACACGGATTGGAAGTGTGTCAGCCACGTAGGAGCCTGGCCTAATGTCGCAATAGAGGAAATTTGGATGACGATATTTGGTGGCGAACTATCCTCAATTCTCCGTACGGGAATTGTAGATAGGATCTCCTGAAGCCCCAGCCAGCCAAAGGAAGTCTGTATCGAAGACTTCGCAGTGCTAGGCTTCTGACGAGAAGGCGCACTTGCTATGAAAGCAGCTCGAGCAGCAGAGAAATCATAGCCTGAAAGCTGCTTCGTCAGTCCGCGTAGTCGCTTCCCATATGCGTTGAGATAGCAGAGGAGATCCGTCTTGAATCGCTCGCCGCTACCGATAGGATGCGCTTCGGGCTCCGTCTGGCCATTTGGAGATGTTGGATCCTGAGACTCAAGTGGGAGAAGAGGCGACCGCCATACGGCCTGCGTCATGTTGCCCCAGTCGCGCGAGATCATGTTGGCAGTGTGGATGATTATCTGGGCCAGGTCATCGTGCCGGAAGAGGACCAGCATCTTGGAGTGATGGGTACCGAATGGGTCCGGAATATAGGCGCTGATGAGCTCGACATTGGGATAGCGTTCTGCAGCTTCCTATTTAGAGTTAGTCAGAGTTCGTAGGTTGGATTACCGTGACGCAGACGCAGAGTGTGAGGTCGAAATGCAGATGGGGCGAAAGCAACAGGACGTTGCAGTATACACATGCATGAGATCAAACCATCTTACCATCAACGCAATTCTCCTCTCGTCCTCCCTCTTCCAAAACCCATGTATAATCTTAACCTTGACAAGATCTTTAACATCAAGGTCAAACTGCTGCCTATCCTCATCAGCACATACTGTTCCTCCTCACCACTCCAATTCTTCAAAGACTCACATGACAAAGTCCAAGTCGAAGAGAAAGTTGAAGTTCCAGCACTCCTTAATCATCGGATCACCCAGGATTTCCTTCAGCCCAACCGTATCCACATTTTGATGCGGAGCCAGATCTCTAATCCGCGTGAGTTGGATGGGTGATGGAACATATCTCGTCTGCGCTTCTTTTTCCTCTCCCGTGTTCGTTTGAGCGGCCCTGGGTGGCGTCAGCGCTGATTGTTTGGTCACGTGCGCGTCCGCTTCCACTCGGGGAGTCGCCGGCGTAGGCGTCCGCGACCTCTTACGCCTCGAAGCCGGCGGACTAATCGGTCTGTTTAGCCCGGCCAATGTTTCAGCAGCTTGGGTATCAGTCGGCGGCGGCGTGCACCCAGCTTCGGAAGCGAAGTCAAGGTCGAGTTTCCGTCGTTTGCTCGGCGGACCTCTGCCCGGGTCTTGCTCGGCCATATAGTGGGCAGTTTCCGGGCTCAGCGACGCCTGTTTTTGTACTGAGACAAATATACCGTGGGCGTTGCAGACGTTTCGGAGGAGATGCTCCGTAGTTGGGTTGAGGTCATTGTTTTGGCTAAGCGAGCTTTCACGAAGGCAACCGCGAGTGAACACCTGCCGCCGGCTGAGTGGGCAACACGTCTATGCTCAAGTCACCGACACCTTGCATGACACTCTCATGAGGAAAAGTTCTCATACGGAATTCACGGGGACCTTAGAAGGTTAGATACGATAAAATCACGTCGAGTGCAATAAGGGAATAGTGAGTCGTGAATGGATATCATAATTTCTCGGACTATACTACCAAACCTAGGTCATGTTCGCCAATTTGTAGGCTTCTATGACAATCGCTGATCTGATATCGGAATCATAACTCCGTCTAACCGTGTTTTGAGGAGTGATAACACCCTCCAACGAATGCTTGAGAATTACCACGCCGCTATGGCGTAGAGCTGCCGAACGCCAAAGTCGCTGATGACAACCCAAGAAGAGCAAAAACGTGGAAACGACACTTATGCAGCGCTCGCGCTGACGATGGGTTGCTGGACCTTGGTGATCTGGTTTCCTGCCCGGATAATGGGGTTGCCAGCGTCGTCCTTGACGTGCTGGACATCCTTGTTCTCCCGCTGGGCGCGCTTCCAGATCTCGACCTCGCAGCCACCACGGATGACACCTACCCTCATAGTAGAGAGCAGGTTGTGCGCGGCATTGGAGTGCAGGTACACGCCACCGTTGAACATGGCGGTAACGTCCTTGCCAAGACCGCTCTTGATGAGGGACCTGCCTCCAGGGTGCTCGTTGATGAAGTCGGTGACATCATGAACAACACCAGCGACAGCGATGAGACCACGGCCATTGCTAACCTGTTCAACATAGTCGTCCCATTCGATAACGGGGAGCTGGTCGAGAGGGACACCCCAGTCGAGCTTGGCGCGCTTCTGGTCAAGCTTTTTCTGGAGCTGCTGGACGCGGCCCTTTTCGATTTCGTTGGAACGGAACTGCTTCAGATTGTAGGCAAGACCAAGCTTGCTCCAGAGCCAGATGCACCACTTGGTAGGGTCGTATTGGTGCCACTGAATGGCGTTGCGGTAGTCGGATGGAAACTCGTGGTGGAAATTGTGGTATCCCTCGCCGAGGGTAACAAGTGCAGTAACGACGTGGTCCCTGGGGCTGTTGCGGTCGTCGAAGGGCTGATCGCCGAGCCAGTGGGCGAGCGAGTTGACACAGAAAGTGGCCTGCTGGACGAAGAAGATGCGGAGGATACCGCCATAGATGAAACCTCCCACCCAGTCGCCCCATCCAAGACCAGCCACGAGGGTCGGGAAGATTAGTCCCATGAAGAAGACGACCTTGAGGTAGTGGCGGTGTTGCCAGACAACAACGGCATCCTCGTTCAAGTCCGTGATGTCAGTGCGGCCAATGCGTTTGGGGTTCTGCTTCATGACCATCCAGCCGATGTGGCTGTACATTAGGCCCTTTCGAACGCTGTAGGGGTCTTTCTGGGTGTCGGTGTAGCGATGATGGGCGCGATGATCACGGCTCCACCAGCGGATCGAACCTTCGACAGCACCACCACCCACGGCAGCGAGGAAAATTTTCAGCGGCAGAGCAGCGGAGTATGACTTGTGTGCCCAAAGACGATGGTATCCAGCCGTGATTCCCAGACCAGTCCAGAAGTAGTATATGACAGCCCAAAGGGCGGTCTGCCAACGCAGGGGGGTCCAGAAGGCGGCAACGCATCCCATCATGGGAATACCGACGATGAGAAAGACCTTGGATGTGTTAGGCAATGCATCAATCCGTGAGCTCGGAAATATAGCTTACATTGAGCCAATTGACGTGCTTGTACCAGTTTTGCCTCGTAATCGGGAGATCTGTGATGTGTGGCTTCTTCGGGTCATATTTGGAGTTGCGGTTGGGCTCAGCAGTGCTAGCCATCGCAGACGGCTGCGAGACGTACTGAGGGTCCACGGTGAGCTCGCCGGCGACGGGTTGGTGCGAAGGCATGATGGCGAGGCGGTATAGGATACAGGAAAAACGAAAGAATCCGAGTAGGTCGGAGAGGAAAGGCGGATGACGCTCCGGTGGTCCTCGGGTAATCCACAGAGCTGCTGCAACGAAAGGCAGGCAGGCTTCACCACGCTCGATAGGGAATGAGACAGTGGTTGGCGAGTGTGGGCGAGGAGAAAGAGGTGAGGGGACAGAAGGAAGGTGGGAAGCAAGTAATTAAGGCGGCGGAATGGAGGCGTGGACGACCGGGGTGAATTGCGGAAAGTGTTGAACCCCCAACAACGCACGGCTAAGCGAATAAATCGGGACCTTGCATTGACCCATTCCAGACCCCAAAGCGCTGTAAATTATGTCATATTTGGGCTAGCGCCGTGTCTCATTCGCTGGCCCAGGGTCCCGCACAGGCATGCAAGTGGCTTGGGCGGTAACGGTGCGAAAAGAATTTTGGAGCGCTGTCGCGTCGCCGCCGTGAAAGACCCCGGCGTGGGGATCTTTAACGTCGAGAACTCGCAACAGGTGGCGGTGCTGGCATTCACAGGTGCCAGTTTCAGTGAATGCCGAGGCCTTCTTTCCCCAGATGCTGCTGAAAGTGAATCCTTTCGCCATGCCGGGCGTGTTTCGCCCGCCAGCCCTACACTAATGGAGAGAGGCGCGGTACTCGCATCCGAGCATCGGCGAGCAGGCTCGGCAACTTTGTGAACGCCAGACACCTCACGCCGTGGTGATGCTATCGCCGCGGCAGGGCTGACGTCAATCCACGACCCACACCTCACGGCGAGCCTAGATATCCCGCAAGCCCGCCGCTAACCTAGGACTCTGGTCGCGAACCTTGGACGGGGTATGTGCTGCAGTCAGCCTCCTCTGGGCTCTCAACGGACTTCGACAAAGAGCGCTCATACGCTGCTTCCCGCAAACAGATAGCGCCTAAAGTTGCCTTACAGTCTGACACTTTCAGATGCAAGAGGGTTCCACGCGTTGGCCCTCGGCCGTTCGCAAGTTTATCTCTATCGGGGCAGCCTAGGCTCCTCAACGCCAGCCCTACGAGCTTGCTATTAGACCATAGGCCAGACGAACGTCGACAATGACGACTCTTTTTTGCCGGCTGTTAACGACTCCAGCGAGCGTCTTTTAGGCAGACGTAGCCTCTTTCTTTCCCTCGGTATCATATGAACATGTCTGTGAGAGCATGCCCTCGCAATCCGAACTCGCGGTTCCCCTCTGCGGGGGCGTGAAGATAAGGCTCGTTACTCAGCAAGTCTGCTTAAGTAATCATGCGAAAGACCCAAAGACCAACCGAAGGTACATCTCCATCGGGCCATCTATCAGTCTACTCCCTCGAACCAACCCCTCATTATGGTTATACTCCTTCATCAGCAGCAACATGCTGCGGCCGACTACCTTGGACGATTCTTATCAGTCCAAAGATGAGAGAATTGGCCGGGATCGACGGTGATTCGGTGGGACCCTAAGTGATGCGCAAGTGATACCAGACGACTGGACTTGTCCTTTACGAACCGCAGGCAATAGAACAACGGCGCGTAGCTATATGAGACGAGAAAGAGCACGACACCGACAGCGTTGTGTTGACGGATAGATACATTGAAGGAGCGTGCGAATGGAGAGCCAGCTAGGCTGAATTAGGGACCTGCGAAATCCTGTCTCGAGGCGATCAAACCGATCGCAGGTTGAAAATCCCTACCTTTCCACTCCACGACATAACTCCGTAGTGGTTGGAGGAGCTCCGAAATAACTCCACCTGGCCCCTTGTCAAACGCTGTCTTCCACGGGTATCTGTTCATTCTCGTTTTCTTCCCTTCTACTTGCCTTCCTCTTAATATTCAAATTTTCCACCCCAAATGTAAATGCCCAAGCAATGCACACCATTGCCAATGCAAATAGCAAAGTTTTCTTAATAGCTGTTGCATAGACTTGCTGTAAAACACGGAGGAGCTGTGGTGTCTGAGCAAGGCTGGGTAGATGGTGGGCACCGGCTGCGATGACGGCGGCGGGGGAGACGGCGGTCGTGCGGCGGGAGACTTCGGAGGTGAGTTTGTTAAGGAAGAGGGTTTGCCCAATGGTAAGACCGATTGCGCTGATTGTGGTTAGCAAGGGCGATTGCTAAGAGGAGGAGGAACTTACGCTCCCAGTTGGTAGGCAAATTGGGCTATTGCTGTGAGTAGTGTTAGTATGTGCTGAATAGACTAAGGTTGGTGTGGCTTACCATTACCCGTTGGAACGTCTTCCTCTCTGTTCGCCACTATTAGAATTTCTTAAGGGCTCGTTTCTTCTGTCACGAACTTACCTGAGGACCACTTGTATAGCAGTATACGGAAGATTGACGCCAATCCCATTCCCAATCCCCTCAATCACCATGTAAGCCGCCCACTTGAGCGTAGACGTGTCTGCATCAAGCGTGATCAATAGCCCGGATCCTACGATCTGGATCGCGGTTCCTACTATTAAGTACGGCACCTTGAGTCGATTAGCGATCATTGCTATAGAGGGCAGTTTATCTCACGTAATAGCCCCACTGCGTAGTCACTGCACCCGCAACGACAATGAAGACGATTTGAGGGAGGGCTAAGGCCATGAACTCAAGACCACTTTTCGTCGGTGAAGAGCCTTTGACTGATTGGAGATAGATTGGGAGATAGTAGCCGTACTGCATCCATTTAGTACAGAACATTGAACTTGTTATAGGCAACGAAACTTACAACATATGCCGGCATAGCACTAGTAAACAAAAACAACGACCCGAAAAGAATGGATCTCTGCTTCAGTACGCGCAAAGGCGTAGTAGCATCTTCGCCCATCTTATACTGCAGAAAACAGAACACGGAAAGAAGTAGTCCTGAGCCGACGAATAGGCCAATCACCGTTGAAGAGTTCCATGGTCGGGATTGGCCTCCCCATTGAAGGGCCAGGAAGAAACAGACTGTAGCTGCAATGATTGCTATAGCGCCAACTGGGTCGAGCTTTGACAGTTGGCGTGTCAGGCTTTGTGATTGGCGTTTCTCGTTCTTGAAGCTGGGATTGAAGAAGATGAGGACGAGGATGAAGGTTACGGCGCCGATGGGGACGTTACTAGACTGTGTCAGCCGCTACCAGAGACTAGATCGCAGGCACGTACATCCAGAAACACCATCGCCAACTGATGTTTTGTGTGAATGCACCCCCAAGCACAGGTCCAATGCAGACGCTGATACCCCAAACGCTAATCACAATCCCAAGATAGAGGGGCCTCTTTTCCAGTGGTACCGTATTCGTGATGATATTTAGAGCGCCTTGGAAGAGGCCCGCAGCCCCGCAGCCCGCGATAGCACGGCCAAGGATGAAGACTGTTGATTTTGGAGCGACAGCGCAGATAATGGAGCCGACTGCAGACGCATTAGCAACATAGCCATGACCAGCGCATCTCTAGCTACTCCGGACAACTTGCCTTCAAAGACCGCCACACACACAAGATATGTCGCCTTAGCGCTATATAACTTGTACACTCTCCCAAACGAAGGTTGAATAGCCGTAAGTGTAATAAGATACGCGCTTCCATACCATGCGATATCATCCAGCGAGCGAAACTGCGATGTTATCGTTGGAATCGCTATTCCGACGATCAAAGTATCGAGCGCAACTAGAAATGTTCCCAGAGCGAGAGAGAACGTTATGATGGCGAGGTTCCAGGTTTTGGGGTAGTTGGGCGCGATTGCGGAGTCAAGGGGCGAGGAGGTGGAGCACTTGCTTGGTGCGTCAGTCGTTGGAACAGGCTCCGTCTTTTCGTCAGCCATCGCTTTCAGCTCTTCTGGCGTTGTACAGAACTGGAGACTCTCTGATGCGTGCGCTGTAGGTGTCGTCTGGGGCTGCGAGCCAGCTTGCATCTTGAATACCCCTTTGCGCAAAGAGCGGCAGTCAAGTTGGACTCATCATAATAGATTAGTACCTATAGATGCCTGATGTCCGCCATGAGCGCTGCCCCTGTCTTACACGATTCCAATTGGGCAATTACTGCGCACTCTCTTTCGTGCATGTCCCGTGCGCATGCGGCGTAGTGGCACCACGATGATACCTAGGTAGGGTATGTGCATTCTCCGGTTCCACAGCGTACATTGAACATATTGAAACTTCGTGGTGGCCAGGGCTTACTAGGGTTTCGCTGACTGCAGAAGCATAGGCTTACAAGGCAATTTTCGGCCCAGCCGAGTTTGTGGGGTTTTCCGGTGAGTGTAGGACGGCGCAGTGTATGGATTAATGCGTATGCAGAGTGACGGGTGGCACACCCTCAAGTTAATGCAGCGCTCGGACCTCGGACCTTCGACCTGTACACGACCACCATTGGAGATTCTGCACGAAACATTCAGCTCAAATCCCAGAAGCAGGCAATGATCTACATCATGATGATGCGGACGGAGACCGACAATATATTGCGCGGTAGGAATAAGAGACAGATATTGATGGTTAGATATCTCGCCATTCGATAGTCCAAAGAAAGCATCGAGAGGTGGGTCGATCAGAGCGTTTGAAGCTGCGCCGCTATGTAATGCACGTCGGAGGCAACTACCGTCAAATAGACAACCTTGAACCGGCCTCACGGCAGCGTGCGGCACGGCACGGAGCGCTCATCGCTCCGATACTCGCGCTCCTTCCCTCCAGCATTTGCAACTCACTAGCCTGTTCCTCAGTGGCGATGCTATCGCTAATCCCGTGTGAATACCTACGCACATGTTTCTATCCAAGGGCCATTTTTAAGTCCCTCGCATGTAACTGCACAGTAACTTGACGAGGAGAATTAGGGCGCCGAAGAGTCTTTTAAAGAGATCATACTTATTATCATATCATCGACATGTGCAACAATTGTGTCTAAGAAATGAGGAACCATGTCTATCAGCAACAGCATGCAAGCTCTTCTCACGCCCTTTCCCGCACTGAGAACATCTCCCCACCGCAAAGCCTTCAAGGCAAATCTTGCCGCTTGGTAGCCATTGCCTTCGCCTCCTTCAACTGCGCATGATAATCGTCATTCACACTATCCAACTCATTATAGCTTTCCAGCTGATAGCTTTGCTGAGGCTGGCTTCTATGCGCCTTCCTAATAAAACTCCTGAGACCCGTCATAGTCGGCTTCGGGATCGTGAGATGTATCTCATCGGACTTTTCACGGTGGTCGGAGTCGTTGTTCTGGCCTTGACTTATGCCATCAGAACGACGCGTGCGGAAGTAGCGCACGAGACTGATGTACGAGTTGCTCTTCGCGACCCGCTTGAGAAAAACGAAGAGGACGGGTAGACAGCTACAAATAAGACCGACGTTGAGTTCTATGATTCTGATAGAACCGCTATTAGCGGCGCTTTGGCAGGAGATGGGGAGAAGGTTACCCTAGAGAGTATGCAGTTATCGTATCCCAGAGCGGGTCCTGAGAGGGTCGGGCTTGAAAACGGTATACGGTCCCCACGATGGAGCAGATGCAAGCGCTGTTTTGATCAGCGCATGTTTCATGGACTCCAAAAGCGGGCACTCACCTCAAACCAGTCAGGAAGATTCCAGAGACACCTAACTTTCTTCCCAGCGGTAAGTGCAAACCCACAACAAGGTGCATGGGAATCAAGAGAATGTAGAAGTCGGACACTATGCCGAAGACTCCAACCACAGCCGTGATATTGAGCAGGGCCGTTGTCTTGGCCGCGCTTTTGGTCATCGCCCATTGCTCAGGGTGGCCTGGAGGAGGCACATAGACGATGATGGAGGCAATGGCAAAGGCGACGTAGGCGAGAGCTACAACCACAATGCCCACCCATATCATGATGTTCGCGCGATAGCTCGGGTGGAATATCCGGAGGTAGAGGACTAGAAGTGTTATCTTGGTGAAGAGGGCGGCGAGGCTGTAGAGCGTCTGGGACCCAAGATTGCTCTGTGCGCATCAATCAGCTTGCGTGGAAAGAAGCAGTCTCTTTGCGCTTACTTTTTGGAAAGGGGCGCCGATGGATGCAAGTGAGACATCCCAAACATGTTCTCCAAGAGGACCATCGAGCACTGTATGAGTCAAAAAGATCGCCCGCGTTAAGTAGCTAAGCCTGACGGAGACTCACTGTAGTATAGAACGCCACAATACCCTCCAATGCATATCTTGAGTCACGGTCAGACAGCCCGTAACTACATCCTTGGCTCATATACTGACCGCTGAAATAATGGCGAGAACTATTGCTGTCAGTAGAGCGTAGCTAGTCTCAGATTATAGGCTTACAATCATCGGCCCCAAAGCCTCTTGTGACCCGCGCTCGGGTGTAAAGACGCATAACTAAGAAGACGAACATGATGGGCAAGGACACATACATGACCGTCTTCGTTTGGCCCTCTCGAGACGGCGGGTTGATTAGGTTTGAAGTTGTGCCGTTGGGTGGTACTCCAGCGGGAATGTGAGGCAGCATCTCGGGGGGGATTGAGCTGAGGTCCATCGTGGCGGCGATTTCAAAATCGATGGCTCAAGCGATAAATCAAAGAAACTCACTTTCGCACGCGAAAAGCGAGTAGCGAGTGAAGATGTCGACTAAAGCAAAGTTGGGCTTGCGTTGGAATAGATAGGGGAGGGGTCGAAGGATAGAGCAGACTTCAGCCTCGCGCAAGATATTATCCTTGACCCTGACATGCACTGTGCCGCATCATAAGCTCTTTGGGGGGTAAGCAGAGTAATCAAGCTGCTCGCTTCTCGGGACGGAGGGACGTTGCCCAGGCGCTGTGGCCCGAGCTGCGGGTCGACGCGCTGCAGTCTTTTCCTTGCGGAGTGAGGGGCTATATTGTGTCGTATGTAATCGGAGTCAGACTTGAACCAGAGTGTGGGTGCCATGGGGGCGAAATGTGGCGAGTTGAAAAGCGCTCGTAGAGCTCTTCGTGTAACGACATCGGGATGCTGGACCGTATGTGACATGAATGGAGCCACACACGATCCACATGAGAATACCCTAGTAATCCCTATCCTTCTCCTCCGGACATATAAATGAAAACGCGAACTTACAGTCCTACCGGCAAATCCAAACACTCTGTCGATTACATACCGACATTCTTTCTCTGCCACGTCTCTTCGTCCGCCATGCACTCGTCCACCGCGACCCCGAGGAACATTCTCGTTGGTTCGACTTCGACGCTAATGATGACCACCTCTCTCGTAAGCATTGTGGCCTTCATCGCCCTGATGAATCTTGCCAGACGCCTTCCTCCAGTCATGAAGGCACTCGGAGTCGGCATCTCAGCTACTCGGGTGCCGATCGCAGGTAGGAAGTCATCCTCCGAGCTCTAACACGGAACATACATAGCTAACGGACTATCTTTTACCAATAGAATATCATTGAAAAGCGGAGTGTTTGAAACGGTCAGAGTGTGGCTGCCAGGTGATCGCTCGGGAAGGATTGAGGAATGCATGGGGGGCGGCCCGGGACGCCAAACTCTTCTGCGCCAGCCCAAAGCGCTTAGCGCCGTGTATGGCTAGCAAGTATGATAGTCGGCGCGGAGGTTGGGCCTCCGCACATTTCATGAAATGAGTTCTGGCTTCAAGCTTTGGATACCTCAATAAAAAGGAATGCATGTGTGGCACAGCTCTCCTTGTGCGTTTTAGTAAACAGATATCTTTCTAAATCCGGTGGGCTGGCAGCAAACTCACAGCATGAACTCCCACCAGTGCAAGAACTAAAATCACTGTGAGAATCGGAGACCGATAATAAATGATGCAGAGCGCGTTGCAGCCCAAGTGGCGAGGATCAGCCTGCAGGGATTTTCAAGGCCGGTCTTCTAAGCTTATTTACGCTATGTAGCCTTGTCTAGCCCTGTACACATATCCGTATTTGGACCCACGCACTGCGAAGGAACGTACAGTCTACGTGTATCAATGTAAGAGGGGAGCAGCCCAGAGGATGAGAGTCCAAGAAATCGTTTGAGCGTGCCACAATGACGATCCATTACTTGATATGGAACATATCCTATGATAGCATAGACAAGTGACCTCACGAGGATCCTCACATTTTCCTCGCATGGGATGCCTGCCATGAGCTCGCTGAAATGGATTTCCGCATTCAGAGCAGTTACTCTGCCTTTGAGTCCACAAGCTCGACCCGGCATGGATACCCATCTGAAGGATGCGTGCCTGCCTTCTCTGTCTGATATACTCTATCATCGTAAACAGTGTTCGGCTCTTCCTTTCCAAACTGTCGAATCATCTTCGTCCAAAAGCCCGCTTGTTGTGCCTGGATCTGATCCCAATCCTCGTACGCGGGCTTGAAGTGGAAATTCCTGGCCGTCATGACCAAGACCGTACGGATCTCAGTGAGGGATAGTTCTTGGCCGATGCAGCGCCGAGGACCAATGTCAAATGGTCGATACGCACCAGATGGGGGATACAGCTCATGACCAGGCTCTACCAGCCACCGCTCCGGAATGAACTCATTGGGCTTAAGCCAGATCCGGGGATTCATATGGATGGGCTGATGGACCAGAATAATGTTCAACCCTTCGGTAGGAAGTATCTTCCCGTTGAGTGCTGGCAGTGTGGCTTCCGAGGTTCCCAGACGCATGTTGGCTCCAGGTGGATACAACCGCAAAGTCTCCTTGACGAAAGCTAGAGTATATCGACACTGATTCAGTAGGGCGGGCTGCGCCTTTAAGACTTCGGCTGTCTTAGAGACGTCCGCGCCGAAGATGCTATCATGCTCCTTCCGCAGCTGAGAGCATGGCTCCGGGTACTTTGACATGAGATGAAGGGCGAATACGATCGTCGCCGAGGTGGTATCATTTCCTGCGAAAAGGAAGAGCCGAATGTGGTTGGAGACAATTGCCGCAAAGTCCTTGTCCAACGTGGCTGTCTCTAAGATGTTGCTGTCTTTGCTCTCATCGATGTAGTCTTCCAGTGCAAGAGAAATGACAGAGAGCGGACGTTTCAACTTGCGGGGAGCTGCACCCGACGTCTTCCGCTCAGCCTTCAACTCTTCGAAGCGGCGCTGCAATTCCTTGTTTATGTAGTTCACCATTTTGCGGCCGTAGTACCTTTGGACGATGGGACGTATTGGGTTTAGTAAGATGCGCGGGTCCCAAAATGAATGCCATCGCGTAATAGTGTTGATGGCCGTCGGAATGATGTGCTCGTGGCGTTGGTAGTTGATATCGGAATCTAGTGTAACCTTCATAATAACGTCGAAGGTCAGGCGCGTCGCATAATCATCCAACGAGAAGATGCCTTTTCCAACGTTGGCACGGAGTTTGTCGCAAAAGACTTGCGCACAGTCCACAATGAATGGGACATGGTTCATCAGGCTCTGCGCGCTGAATCCAGGGTTAAGCAGAGCTCGCCATTTCTTCCAGTCGCTGTTGTTGAAGGAGAGAATGCTTGGTCCACCTACTATGGGCTCCACTGAAGTCCCTGCCTTTGGTGGCTTTGGGAGGTTGTATTTCTGGGTTGCAAGATTGGCCGCCTCCGGATTGAAGCACACAATTGAAGAGGGGTAGCTTGGCCATAGATCCATGAGGAACATTTCAGTGTCCGCGAATTCTTTGCTGAGCTCTCGCATGGGGATGCCGATATTCGCCAAAGGAGGGAAGCGGCTGGTGTAGCGGAAGAGGACGAGTGAGTGACCGAAGAACCAGCTCCAGCCATCTGGCATGGGCTATAGCATCGTCAGCGTTTCTCAATAGAAGAGATAGAATGGCACCTACAAAGCCTTGCTTGCGTAACTTACTGATGCGGGCGCGGTGTTGGTACGTCATGGAGACAAGATAGGCCATGCCAGTCGCTGCAAGCGCCGCGACGGCGACGATGGTGGTCTGCGAAACCATGGCGTCTGGAGCGCGTGTGTATTGCACGGGTGAAAAGTCTGCCGCTCAAAGGTAGGGAGCGTGGTGTTTGCGAAGTCGAATGAAGCAGGTGGGCTGCGCGATAACTCCTGAAAATGCCAAGCCATTCATGTGCGGCACGGGCAACAGTAGGCAAACGTCCATTTCAATATGCCTGCCACTCAATAAGGCCTTGTACTACCCGACACCCGGGGGACTGGTACAGCTGCCGCCCCTTTTTAGCCGACCGGAAAACGCCCGGGCCGCACAGCAGCGCATCTCGCGTGTCACGGAGTCATTCAGAAGGCTTACAAGCTATGCCGAATGCGGACTGCGAGGTGAATGAACGATATCAGGGGAATGCTTAACATCGCAATTGGCCTGTACGTGAGTATGCCCGCATCTCCTGTCTTCACTCGCCGCCTCCTTACTGCAAGTCCGTCTGTATCGTGATCTATCAAAAGCTAGCGTCATTAATGTGAGTCAACCGACCACACCATTTCAGAAGGACAGGGATTCGCGGGCTCCGGTACATGCAGTTCAGCGGCCTCTCCGGTCGACTGTCAGATGCAATACCAAAGCTCCAGGTGAGAGAATAGATATCTGGGGATCAGCTCGCCTTGCTCTTCAAGTTTCCACTTCGCCAGCATCCACTTGAGTGCAAGTGCGCAAGTCCGGTGTCCTCGCTCTATCACCATGTTGCAAAACCTCCTCCAAGGCCTCGCTTCTATCCTCACGCATCGTTCCGGTGACGTATTCACCGTCCTCCTCGTTGTTTCTGTGCTATGGAGGGCGACCGTTGTTCTCCGAATCTACTCTAGTCGTCCTGTAGGCACTGCCTTTCCAGCATAAGATCAGGGACTCACGAAGCTGCAGCGGCATATACCCATCGAAGCGAAGCCTTATCCATTCCGGCGATGGTTCAAAGATTTCGACTTCATCTTGGATGGCTCGACGCAGATCTTGAAAGCCTATAAAAAGCTTGGTGCTGGCTTGACCTTTGCCATACCATCCATGGGCGAATACCAAATTCTTGCAAGCGATCCCAGGGATATTGAGGCCATATGCAACGCCAGCGAGGAAACCTTATCCTTCCATGAGGCAATGACTGATGTTCGCAATCTTATCGTAAGCCAGGTTGCTATGCTGACGATCATTTAGCGATTGAAGCACTATTACACCATCTACCGATTCAAGTATGGCGAACCGGACCCGAATGACAGCATTCCGAAGCGTGTCGTAAAGGTCCTTCTCCGGATGCAGCTAGACGCGCTTAGGCCAACCATTGACGAAAAGATTCGTAAAGCAGTGGACGCTCAGTTTGAAACCGCAGCAGCGCTGAAGGATGGTATGTCTTGAGAAGTACTTTGACACTATTCTCGTAAGCTAATCCCCTTAAAAGACTGGAGAGCCCTACCTACCTTCTTCTTCGCAAAGTCCGTGGTAGAGGAGTTGAATGCCAGGGTCATCCTTGGAGAAGAGATCGGTAAGCGTCCTCTGTGACACTGAATTTGTTGGATTAGGTTTGACCACTGGTAGGAAACAAGCGCGAATGCATCGATGCAGCGCTTCGCTATGTCGGGGACGTTGTTTTTGCGGCCGAAGTCGCCCGGCAATTTCCGGCTTTTCTTACTCCGTAAGTGAGATATACGTGCCGCTCAAACTCACTAACGAGTTATAGCATCATTGCACCTGCGATAATGCGATGGAGCGGCGCAATGAATAAGCTCGTCGACCTCATCAGTCCTGTGGTGGAAGAACGCAAACGTCTTCAAGCTGCCGGCGTGCCCGACCTCTCGAAGAAATATGTGCGTATCTGCCTACCGCCGGCTTTCGGCCCTTCAACCGGGCACGCTGATTCGGCCTTCAGGCGGATTGTATCCAATGGACCGTGGAGTCATCGAAGACACCAGCCCAGCGGGAGACTCCACGTTTGGTAGCGGTTCTTATTGGGTTACTCCTCGCATCCTCTCATCAAATGTCATTGGTAAGTACAACACGCACGTCGTATGTTGCAGGGTCAAGAGGGATACTGACTCACCTGTAGACTCTGACTTACGTCTTGTATGCGCTTTGTGACCATCCAGAGTACATAATCGAGTTGCGACGTGAAATTGAAGAAGGATTCGACGCCCGACCCGGGTCGAGCAACCCTTTCAAGAAGCTATACCTTCTTGAGAGTTTCCTTCTTGAAGTTGCTCGACTCAATCCGCCAGATGCCCGTAAGAAATTCTTGAACCCAAAACTGCTGAAGCGCTTGCTGACAGCATCCAGTGGTCGTTCAGCGCAAGGTCAAAAAGCCGATCCTACTGCCTAGCGGGGCTTTCATTCCTGCGAATAATCTGGTGGCCGTTCCACAGCAAGCCTTGGCCCGCAACTCCGCCGTGTTCTCCAATCCCGATACGTTCGACGGTCGTAGATTTCTTCCCGGTAACGACTATATTCGAGAAACCGAAGCGGTGACCAAGTTTACTGATGTCAAGTACTCTTATATGTTCTGGGGACCGCCGCGCAAGCCTTGGTGAGTGAGAGACTAAACGCGAGACGTAACAAGGCTAACAACGAAGCAGTCCGGGAAGATGGTATGTGTCGCACACACTGAAGGCGGTTGTAGTGCATCTCCTGATGAACTATGACATGAAGCTGGAACAAAAGAATGCCAAAAAGTATTTCCTTTGGACGACTGCTATCTTGCCGCGGCCGACCATAGGGATATTGCTGAGGAAAAAGAAGAATGTCGTCGATGTGGGACGGCTAGCAATGTGATAGCCCTGACTACCATCGGCTGCAGAATACCGCATAGATTTCCAGGATGAAGTGGGAGAGTATAAGGGCACTGCTCGATTAGGTTTAGATTAAGCTTAGACGGTATATGTCGATAAGTCAATAGTGTTGGCAGCCGAGTACGACCAGGCGGGTTGCTCATGTTTCTTCGTTTTTAGAAGTCTGATTAGCGAATAGAAGGTAGAGACCACATGAAGAGATACTAGAGCAGACTTCAGGCGCCGTTTAAGGTGTAATGCGACCTCTATGATGCACACAACAGTCGATATGCGTATTGCACCCCTGAGCATGCCATTTTCGCAACATGGTCCTCGGGAAATGGACCGTAGCCTGACAGCCAGCGTGAGCCGATCTCCTGTTGCCTGGCCCGGAATGCTGTCGAAGCTGCAAGCAAGGGAGGGGTTGCTAACGGTGGGCCAGTCGCAGTGATCTTGTCATCCGAGTCACTTGAGACGAAGGATCTTGACGTCGCCCAGCATTTGGCGGTGGACAAGATGGGAAGCGACAGAATGGAAGTGGGTGAGAGGACTGAGAAGAGCGAGCCAGGACCACGCGTAATTGGATACCGCGTTAGTAAGCTCGTGAAGTGCGCAGGCGCGCTGTGAATGGCTCGTTAAGCGAGCCACCTTCTTGGTTGCCATTCAAGGCCGGCAAACCTCCTCCCACTACCCAGGTACATAGTTCATGTCGTTGACACCGCAGCAAAGTCCAGACTATGCTGCATTGATTCTGACCTCCCACGATCGGACGACATCACTGCTTCAAGTCGAGCCCACCCCACCCACTTACGGCGGTAATAGCTCGGCGCTAGATCCGGGAATAGCCTGCAACAGCTGTTGAGATACGTGAAGGAGAAGGCGCGCAAGCAGTAGGAGAGGACGCCTGTCTCCGCATAGATTTGCCGGCACAATCGCAGCAGGCTGAAGCCGTGATCCTCTAGCATCTAGAACTAAGCTCGGCAGATAATAGAGCAGCTGGAGAGCAGAAAAGGCTCGCGGCTCGTCGCGCAGAGCACCGCGTCCTGGCAGAATATCGGCGTCCGGCGACGATGCCCTCGAGACATTTTCCAGCACCAGGCCCAGACGGTCACTTGCTCCTGACTCGAGTGTGGGATGGCTCTGCAGAGAGCGATGGGTGCGTCGGAGGGGACCGGCTCACGTGCCTCAGCGTCCAGGTTGGCCAATCACACGGCCAGCTCGCAGCTTATCAGCAACTTCTCATGTTAAGCTTTTAGCAAAAGCATGCGCCCGCAGCCCAGAAGGCCTCGAGTTTCCCACCCCAACCACCCGCCGTCGTGGAGACGTGACGATACCCCCGGAGCGAAACGAAGCTGTCGGCCGCCTCCAGCGGCGGTGGCTGCCCATCGGGCCTTGACAGCTGGCCTTGGACGCAGACTAGGTCCCTGCGGATGAGAAATTGCGTATCGTGGGCATTGGCAAAGATAAACATCTATCGGTGCAACAGCGGGTATAAAGCGCATTGCAGCTGTCAGTCGTCATAGCCCGCATCCAGCAGCTCTGCATCGACTTTGCGGCAGCACCTCATTCGGCGATCTACATATCTGCCTGCGCCAGATCCCCGCAATTGGGAAGCCATTCAAAAAAGCACACCCGTCCCTAGCATCTTCTAGCGCACGCGAGCAGATCTGCCTCACAGGCTCCCGCCCATACATCTGGGTATATTAAGCGATCTATCCAGCCATCGACTTGGTCTGCCTCGTCATATTATCGAGATCGCGTCACATTCCTTATCAGCACCCGGTCGATCAAGATTGCGCCGCTGAGATAGGCTCAGGCGCATGAACAGTTGAAATACCCGGACAGGTTCCACCAAACCCTGGTCAAAAGTGACTTCGAAGAACATCAGCAGCTACCCACTATGTCTGAAGCGGATCGCATTGGACCCGACTACCACCCCAAGCGCAGCTTTGGAGAGAAGTGTCGCCGCTTCGTGAAGGCCTTCACCACCAAGTAAGCCATCTATATGCTCTCCTCTAGGGACTTGCAGCTGATAGGACAGGGATGGCCTCATCGGCACATACGACTATGCATTCCTCTTCAAGCCGAACCTGCCCTTCATGAAGAAGGAGCGGCGAGCGGCGCCCTTCTTCGGCCTCCATGACAAGATGCCCGTACTCCTGGCTCTGCTTCTCGGCTTCCAGCATGCCCTGTCCATGCTGGCAGGTGTCATCACGCCGCCTATCATTCTCTCGAGCGCCGCTCATCTTACACCCGATGTGCAGCAATACCTGGTCTCGACCTCGTTGCTTGTCTGCGGTATCTTGTCTTCAATCCAGATCACCCGCTTCCACATCTGGCGCACTCCCTACTACATTGGAACCGGCTTGATCTCCGTCGTCGGTACATCATTCGCAACGATTCCCGTGGCCACTGGAGCTCTCACACAGATGTACGCCACTGGCTACTGCCCTTCAGCTGCGGACGGCACTCCCCTGCCTTGCCCCGACGGCTACGGCGCAATCATCGGTACCGCATGTGTGTGCGCTCTTCTCGAAATCCTCATGGCCTTCACTGCCCCAAGGATCCTCAAGCGCATCTTTCCGCCTCTGGTGACCGGTCCGACCGTCATGCTCATCGGTGTCAAGCTTATCCAGTCCGGCTTCTCGAACTGGGCGGGCGGCAGTGGAGACTGCTCGAAAAGGCCAGAGACGGGACTCTTCCAGCTGTGCCCCAATATCAACGCGCCGCATGCTCTTCCCTGGGGCAGCGCCGAGTTCATTGGCCTCGGCTTTTCAGTCTTCATTACGATCATCATCTGCGAACGTTTCGGTGCCCCTATCATGAAGTCCACAGCCGTCGTCATTGGCCTCCTTGTTGGTTGCATCATCGCTGCAGCATGTGGTTACTTCGACCGCACCAGCATCGATGCTTCGCCCGCAGCATCCTTCATCTGGGTCCACACCTTCAAGCTCTCCGTTTACGGACCAATCGTCTTACCACTATTAGCAGTGTACATGGTGCTAGCCATGGAAGCTATCGGCGACATTACCGCCACCTGCGACGTCTCCCGCCTCGAAGTCGACGGCGAGCTCTTCGACTCCCGCATTCAGGGAGGTGTGCTGGCCGATGGTCTCAACGGCATCATCGCGGGTCTCTGCACCATCACTCCCATGTCGACCTTCGCGCAGAACAACGGCGTTATTGCGCTCACGCGCTGCGCGAACCGCAAGGCGGGATACGCTTGTTGCTTCTGGCTGATTATCATGGGTATCTTTGCTAAGTTCGCGGCTGCGCTTGTTGCAATCCCGTCGGCGGTGCTTGGTGGCATGACCACGTTCCTCTTCTCTGCCGTTACGGTGTCTGGTATCAGGATTATCAGCACGATGCCGTTCACGCGCCGCAACAGGTTCATCCTCACCGCGGGCTTCACGCTAGGCTTCGGCGCTACAATGGTTCCTACGTAAGATTCCCCCTCCCTTCCCCCTCCTCTCTCTACTAACAACCCGTTTAGCTGGTTCTCCTACGTCTTCACCTACGACGGCCCCAACCGCGCCCTCCTCGGCTTCTACAACGCCATCGAGCTGGTCATGGAAACCGGTTTCGCCGTCGTTGCCTTGATCACCGTCATCCTGAACCTGATCCTGCCCGAGGAGATTGAAGACGAGGAGACACCGGAGATTACGGCGAATGAGGCGGACGACCAGCAAGATAAGGAGGAGTGGAATAGGATTCAAAGAGGCAAGAAGCTGAGTGATGAGGAGGGGAGGGATAGCAGTGAGATTGCGCCGGCAAAGGCGTAGAGAAAAGTTGTCGAGGGTTCAGTGCAGTGGACTACATTCGGCTTGGGATTGGCGAAGAAGAAGAAGGCAAAAGGGCTAGACGAGGGATGACGGGCTTATATGACTGACGGGTTGTAGATATGGCTGCGCACTTGTTACTTATGATTTTGCATACGTTGCATATACCCTCACTATTCATTCCAACGAACCATTGTTTCCAATAAATCCCCTCTCCTTCTGCTGTTACCGTCGGTTCGGCCCGTTCGTCAAGAAATCGCGTCATCTATCTACGGGCTTTTCGCACGCGCAGCCAAGTTCTCCGCCCGCCGCACCCAACAGTACTACTATATATATCTATTAGATTGTTATTGTGTATATATACAGGCGCTAGGTATAGTGCCTACACTGCGTTGCTCGCAGAGCAAGTATGGTGCAATTGTGCGGACCTCTCTCTACGATGTAGCCCCCCACGTAAAACCTAACTCAATAAACCCTATCCCAATCTATGATGTCATCGCGCTTTTCTCTTCCCTCTCTGGTTTCGTAAGGGCGAACGAAGCGACCGGAGTAGAGAAGTTGCGGCTCTACTCAGGGGCATGGCAACGAAGCTTTCGGGAATAAGTCTGCGAGGAATACAGCAACTAGCGAGGAACACAGCACAAGAGGTAGACATACTATTAGATGGCATAACACGGGTTTGATCAGGCTATTCCGCTCCATCGCCCGTCCTCTTCCTCGTAAGATATATTCAGGAGATAGACCAACTACCCAAGGAGAGATATAGAGGCAAGTTGCAGAAATGAGGACGAGCGACAGTGAGTAGGACTATTGTGCATTCCTCCAAGGCTTATATCGATAACTCAATCGAGCTTTGTTAGCATAGCATTCCGCCTCTACCTCCCTTACGACAAGCGCTTCCCCGAAGGTGATAGTATCTCACAGCAGCAGTGCTCAGCAATGAGAAGAGTCCAAAGAGCATGCAATTACAAAGCTACAATGAGTATTGTCACAGTCCCAAGCGAATAGATCCACCGCTTTGCCTCGCCTCGCCTCGCCTCGCAGGCACCCACCCGGTAGAATACAAATCGTTTCCCAGTCATGAATTCCGCCGACCAAAAAAGAGCCATTTTTGCTAGACATAGATTGAAAGGAGCAACGGCAGAGCGAGCCGACTCCAGCAAACGCCGATATAGCACCGCCGCTTACCATTTTCGTGAAGATAGAGGGGAGGTATATAGGGTAGGGAAGGGATGAGGGGTTTAGATCTTGCCGTAGGCGTGGTCGACTTCCTTCTTGTACTTGTTCAGGATGCCTTTTCGGTTGAGCTTTTGGGCAGCGGTAGTCATTCCCTGTGTTGCTGTTAGCTTGAGTTCTCGAATGCATTGCCGGAGTAGAAGGGTCACTCACGTTTTGGGGCAGCCATTCCTCGTCAGCTAGAACGACACCGGCAATAATCTCAAAGCTTGCAAGGCCACCCTTGGTGCCAGCAGACTGCAACTGCTTCAATACAGCGTTGTTCAGCTTTTCGTCGTGTACAAGCTCCTCCAAGTGGTCACCCTTGACGCCATTCTCTTCCGCGAGCTTCTTGAGCGCTGGCTCAGCCGGAACAATGATCGCGATCGGCTTCATCTGGTCGGGCGCAGCGTACACGCAGATGTTCGCCACAATAGGAGCAGACCTGTAGATCGACTCAAGCTTCTCGAGTGCAATGTACTCGCCTGCAAGCGTCTTGACCAAGTTCTTCTTGCGGTCGATGATCTTGATCTGGCCCTTGGAGTCGAACTCGCCGACATCACCCGTCTTAAACCAGCCGTCATCGGTGAAGGCTTCTTTGGTCTCCTCTTCGAGGTCAAGATAGCCGGACGTGACGCCTCCTCCGCGGATCCAGATCTCACCCTGAGGTGGGTTGTTCGTGGAGAAGTAACCGGCATCCGCGAAGTCAACCAGCTTCATTTCGATGCACGCGGGCATCTCACCCAGAGCGGAATCAGTCCAAGCCATAGGATCCATAAGGGCGCCCATCGCAGTAGTCTCGGTCAAACCGTAACCACTGATCATGGGAGTGATGGCCAGAGAGATGAAGCGCTGCGTCTCCTTGGCGATGGGACCACCACCGTTCATGCAGATGCGCAGACGTCCACCGGTAGCATCCTTGACCTTGTTGAAGACGACAGTATCGAGGATGCCACTTCCGGGGAGCCCACTGCCGAGCAGGAAGCCCTTGGCAGCCATGGCACCCCAGAAGAGCTTGCTGGTGAGCGAACCGCCAGCCTCGACCTTGGAGACAATGCCCTTCTTGACGGTCTCCCATACCTGCGGAACGCCAACGAGAATCGTTGGCTTGAGCTCCCTGATATCGCCCTTGCAATTTCGCACCGAAGTATCAGAAAGCGTCCGGATAGTCCCATAGCCCATGGTGCCGCCCCAGTAGAGACAGGCGTTTTCGAACACAAACTCGAGGATATGCGCAGCAGGAAGGTAGGTAAGGAGCGAGTCGCCAGGTCCGAGATATTGGCCTACAATGACGTCGACACCGGCGACTGCACTATGTCAGCTGAGTCGAAGGCACTCGCTCATTTCAGAACTTACTGGCTGCAACCACATTGCTGTGCTTGATGAGGACACCCTTGGGCGTTCCCGTAGACCCGGATGTGTACATGATGCAGGCAAGGTCATCCGCCTTGGGGGGAATTGGGTCTGCCGGGTTGTCTCGACCGAGCTGCACCAGCTCGTCGAAGCTGATCACCTTCAAGTGGGGATGCGCGCTCGTGAGCGCATCGATATCCTTCTGCTTCTGTTCCTCCTTCGTGCTGTAGACGACTACCTGGACATCTTTGGCCTCTTTGAACGGGTTCACGAGCTTCGGGAGCAGATGCGGGTCTGTGAACAGGATCTTCGCTTTCGTCTGGTGCATGGAGTGCTTAAGGCCCTCCTCTCCGAGCGTGTCGTATGCGGTCACAATGGCCAGAGACTGCGACAGCGCACCTGGCAAAGGTGGTGTCAGCACGGAACGGCGGGCGTACGGAACAGACTGGGAAATACGTACCGTGAGCAGATGCCAGCCATTGCATGCTGGTGGACGCGAACAGATGGAGGCGGTCATGCGGCGCGAAGCCCAGCTTCTTGAGGCCCGAGCCGACGGTGAGACAGAGGTGCTCGAACTCGACGAAGCTCTTGAACTCGTATGGGCTCAGCTCGAAGTACTGCCACTTCTTGTCCACCTCCTGCTGCTTGCCGTCGATCATCTTCTTGATCTTCTTCGTCTCCTCGTGGATGTGCACCACCTTGCGCGAGCCGACACACTTCGCATTGCCAAACTTGGCCGACGAGTACCGCAGGATGTCGTAGAGGGTGTTGATGCCGTTGGCGGGCGTGAGCCTCAGGGTGCCCTTGGTCTTGACGTTCCGGCGCGGTATCGTCTCGCCCTCGACCTTCTGGTAGCCGGGCGCTTCGGCGCTGACGGGGCCGTGTATCGATGCCTTCGCCTGAGGCATGAGCTTCTTGAGGTCTTGCACCATGGTGGCGGCTGGGGAGCTGGTACTGGGGGAGGACAGGTAAATCGAAAGAGGGAGTCCGGAGAGCGCGAAGAGGAGCAGCAGCGAGAAATATGAAGCCGCCAGCGGAGTCCGATGCTGTGCGCAGGCGAGCAGGCAGGTTGGGAGGAGAGGGCTTGTATAGAGCTTGGGCCTCCGCTTGGCGCGGCGACGTGTGATGTTGAGAATGACGCAGCCACTCGACCGACGCTCAGCGAATCTGGGCCAGGCACGCTGGCTGGGGTCTGCCCGCTGCTCCACACACGCAGTCTGCTATTTCTACGCACATCCTTGCGCAGGCATCTGTCTCAGACCCAACACAAACCTCGACTGCCACCCCAAAGCCGAGCACCAGCTGAAGGCTCAGCGCCAGCCCGCCGGGATTCTACATCGCGGCCAAGCGAGCATACGACCCCCAAGAAAAGGCAGCCCTGGTCTCGACGCCCCCTCTCTCGGCTTTGTACAGCACAATCATCCTGAGCTCTACATTCCCGCCGCACGGGTCGTCGCTCACTCAAAGGCCGGGGTTGTGCGCAGCGCCACCATGGACCTCCACCACCTCTTGGGCGCTCCCGTGACAGACCCTGAAGAAGGTACTGACCAATCTACGCCTGCTCTTGTCCTCGGCACGGCGCATCCCTTTGTAGATGCGATTCGCCCAAGCTCCTGAACCGCAAACGCTCATCTAGTCATCTAGACGCCTTCGTGGTGTTCTCGCAAGCTATCCCGTCCCAGTCGCTAGGCTTCATTGACACCAAGGCACCGGCCGTCATCATCGCCGTCGGAGAAAGAGATCTTACTATCCACCAGTCCCGCGGATTACTCCACTCTGAGAGAAAGCAGGGGACGACGGGTGCAGGTCAGCACTGCCTCAGCCCGCTGCTTGGCTGTCTTGGGCTCGCTAATGTGAACTGCAGTTGTCTGGAAAGTCACACCGTTGTTCGCCGAATGGGTAACCTCACCAAACTTCCTCTTCCAAGCCGGCTATCTGGGTCCCGACTCTGTTGCCATCGAGCTTGGCGCTGGTGTCTCTGGCATCGTAGCGGTGACGCTGGGCCCCAAGATCAAGAAATACATCGCCACGGACCAGGACTACGTTATTCGACTGTTGAAGCAGAACATCACCGACAACTTGCCCCCAGGACCTGCTAATGCCAGCAAGAAGCAGAAGAATAAGCAGATACGGCCGCCTGGCACGCCTCTGCAAGGGCCGTCAAACATTGAGACGCTAGAATTAGACTGGGAACTCGACTCCCTTTCCTCGCTACCCTCCCTCTTACAGGACAACATGGGCACGGAAGACGCCCACGGGGTGGACCTGATCATTGCCTGCGACTGCATCTATAACGATGCGCTCATCGAACCGTTCAACACTACCTGCGCTCAGATATGTCGTCTCCGCTCAGAGAGCCAGGGTGGACGGCCTACTCTCTGTCTCATCGCCCAGCAGCTCCGTTCTTCGGAGGTGTTTGAGTCTTGGCTAACGAGCTTCCATCTCTTGTTCCACGTCTGGAAAGTTCCCGACAAACTTTTGTCGGAGCCATTAAGAGAGAACTCTGGATTCATTGTTCACGCCGGCTACTTGCGGTGACAAAGGGGCAGTGACTGGAATGTGCGGACTGATTCCCAAGATTGAGCAAGAAGGGTACTCTCTCTTCTATATTACATACGGCTAACCATTGTCTATATGTATATCCAGTTCTCCCGTTTACTGCGAATAGTAGTTCAGCGGATAGTCGAGCACCATGCATTGCTCCATTTCTCGAAACCCTTCATTCTTCGGTTCCACATCGAGTACTCTTAGCTTCGGATCTCCAGCTTCCACAGGTTTCCAGGCACTTGATTTCTCCACCGTGTCATGAGTATTGTCAAAACCTCTCGCACGCAGAAAGCCCAACCCAGGATTTGGATCCGCCGTCCTCCCAAACGCGGTCCAGCTGTCAACCATAAACTGAGAGAACGGGACGTCGTCCTTGTCGCGCGGAGGCCGACCTTGCCGGATAACATTGCCAAAGACGTAGTACAGCTCACCACTGTGGCATCTAAAGTAAGGTTGGCTGGGATCCCCGTACGGATGACCAGGAGTAACAGGCGCCTCGCAGGTCGGCGGATTGGGACTCCATTCGCTGATTTGGTATCCGCGGTCTATCTCATACGAATAGACTCTTGGGAAGGCGCTATTCTTGGCGGCTGAGTATGCGGTGGACTGTGTCAGACAGCGGAACTCGGCATCGGTTGCAACTCGAGCTGTCAGATTGAAGATGTCTAAGGTGGTGTTAGAGCCTTTGGGCACAGGAAACTGGTTGGAACCAAGGATATCAGCCGCATCGTAGCCCTGCTCGGTGAGAGCTTGAGAAGCGTTCAGACTTGTGGAGAAAGAGCTGAAAGGATCGCCATCGTCTCGCATAATACCGGTCATAACCACCACATCTTTCGCCGGAGCAGAGCCATCCAAGGGCAGTTCATCACTCGACAAATACGTGCCATCAACGACCGGATACCTGGCAGGTGTATTAGCGTCTATGCCCAAATATTCAGCGGCCTCTATAAACCGACCTTGCAATCGTGCCCGTCCACTGGCCATTCCGACCGCCCACGAGCGTAATGGGATCCTGCGCTCGGAGGCAAGCAAGCTGTACTGACTTATCCGCCTGTGCACAGCCCGTCTCAGTCAATATCGCTTTCGTCAAATCCGTGGCCTCCCCGATCGTCGAATAGTGCGAAAATGTGCTTGCGTAACCTGAACCTTGTGGACAGGATTGCATAATCGCCCTGGAGAATTTGCCTTTGGCCAGTGGCGACGCAAGCAGCGCCCTGACTGACGCAGCACCGGCACTTTGGCCAAAAACCGTTACTCTGCTCTTGTCTCCGCCAAAGTCCTCGATATGGTTTTGAACCCAGTCTAGGGCGGCTATCTGGTCTGACAGCCAGTAGTTTCCTCTCAGGGTAGTGTTGTCCAGGGCTAGGAATCCGAGCGTGGACAGACGGTAGTTGATTGTTACAACGACGACGTCACCTCTGGACGCCATGTTGCCGCCGTCAAACGTGGTATCAGATCCAGTACCCCCGGTGAAGCCTCCTCCATGGATCCAGAGCATCACGGCCTTCTTCTGCGCCGGCACTGTCTTGCCACTTGGGAGTTGGGGCGTCCAGATGTTCAACAACAAGCAGTCCTCGCTACAAGGTCCTAAATCGCCACCACAGCCTGCCTGCATACACATTGAGCCATACGATAAAGCGGACACGTTCGCGCTGCTGCTGGGCGGTTCGTACATGGAGTACCCGAACCTTGCGGGTTGGGATGCATAGTTCAGGCCCAGGAAGCGGAAGGAAAGCTTGTCGCGGTATCCTACGATTGTCGTGTTGCCTGTCGTTACCGACGTCTGCCATTTGGTATCCGTATCAACGTTTCCTACAGAGCTTAGCGGCGCGGACTGCGAGCACAGGGCTGGTAGCCGGGTGTCACAAGGCTCAGGAGCAGTTCGGCCGTCTGCGGTTATCGCGCTGCATCCCGAGGTGCTTCCGATCCCTATCCAGTATTTGGGGATTGCATCGGTCGTGTTCAGATAGTCTAGGTATCGAAAGAAGCCAAGGTCTTTGGTGTTGTTTCCCGGAATCCATAACGTTTCTCCTAGGGCGGCGCAGCTGTTTTGAGCTTTGGAGTGCGATTGACGAGCGCTTAGAACGATAGTGGCGGCTTGCGTGACACTAGCATTGCCTATAGGAAGAGATCAGGAAGGACGCTTTTGCTGTTTCCCCACCGACGTCCTACGAACCGGACAGATCGTTATTCGTAAGAATTGTCAAATCACTCCCTATTGATTGGGGACTGGGAACAGCTTGCACCGTCGCGGGGCTCAGAAGAAACGAGACAACAGTGGCCAAACCAACGAGGGCAGCCATTGCAATGCCGGCAGGACTTATAGAGTCAGAACCTGATTCTCCAACGAGAAGCAGCCTACGCCTTTTTACAGGAAAAAGATCAATATATTCCACCGTCGCGGAGTGCGGCGACATGTCCGTCTATTCGTGGGCTATATTGAGGCTCTAGTGTCTGCGCGGGTGCATAGATGAAGGGAATCTAGGGCCGCTGGCCGTGGAGCGCCCGTGGACGGAGAGTTGGGTCGAGGATCGTCGCCGGGAAGAGTGAAAGCTGGGTCTGGAGGCCCCCAGCGCGGTGCAATAATCAAAGCAGGTCCATGGCGCTGCTTGATGGAGTTTGATCGCACATGAGTTGTGCGCTGCGCGTGGAGCGGGTACTGCAGTGGTATAGCGCGCGGGCAACGCGAACGCTGCTCAGGACACGTCGCGGCTCGGCCGTCGCCGGCTGAAGCATTCTTGGGGGTTCCCAAGCTGTTGCATCGAGGGCCGGAGGGAAGGCCGCAGAGAATATATGCGGAGGGCGGGTTCCGCGAGGCAGCTGTCTGCGACCGGAAAGTCGCGGTGAAGACGCGCCGCTGCTGCTGCGGGGGATGACTTCATGGGCGGCGTTTCAGGGAAGGTGCGACCGGGGGTGGCAGCGCAGCAGTGCAGGCGCGGACACGTCGTCCACTCAGGCCAACGCCCTTTCCCGTCCCTCTGTTGCCTCCTTGCGCCGTCGTCGGCGGACGCGGCGCGCGATAAGACTTCGCACTGGAAATGAAGACGGCGGGCGCGTCGCGTCGAAAACTCGGAGAAGCGCAAAACTCGGCGCCGCAAGCGTGCGCGCCGCGAACCTGATCTGCTGGCTTGCTCCTGGAGGCATCTCACCGGCTAGGCCGCATCCGGCTCGTCGCTTTCTGCCCCGATGGCGCGCGCGCCGGCATTCCAAGTTATTGGCTGTGAGGGGCAACGGCCAAGGATCCGCTGCTGTTGCCATCGTCTCATCACACACTCAGCCCCGACCGAGTTCTTCTGCATCATTATATTCCTCTCACGACGCTGTCCATCGTCCTTCCTGGAGGACCTGATCCCGCACGATGCTGTCCTCACCGCATCTGCACAGCCCAGCTGTCGCCCTGTCGCCGCCCCCCAGGCCGGCCTTGATTTTATCTCGACTGACTGACAAACTCCCCTCCGCTCGCTAACGGTTCTGCCCTGCCCGGCCTGCTCTCTGCTGCCAAAGAAAAGCGGGCCCGTGCGCCGCTAACCCCATCTAGTGCAAGGCTCAAGGCCATTCGTTTCTCTCTCTGCGCTCTCCTCGTTCACTACCCACACACCCAGTGCCTCTCTGACTCCCGCCAGCGCGACGACGCTCCTCGCACTCTGCCCACCCGCTACCTGCTACCCGTGCAGCGCCTCGTCGCGCGCAGCCCTCCTCTTTGATTGCGCCGCGTCTCCTTTGTTGGGGTCCTCAGCCAGACGCCTCAAGAGCCGCCTCCTCCGCCCATTCCTCCTCTCCTCGCCCTCGCACTCAGCGCGTTGCATGGACACGGCCTGCCTCGACCTCAATATACCTTTCTCATGCTAGGCACTCGCTCCTCTCCGTTTCCTGCCGTCCATCTGCCCTTATCGACGCCTCCCTCCATTGCTGCCCATTCTGCACCCGGACACGCAGCCCTTTCTTTCTGGCCACCGGGCCCCAATAACCACCTAACCCCTTCTGCAAGCAGGTAGCTCGTCGATATCCGCCGTCGGATTCGTCTCGCGTCGCTGTCGACAGCCCTACTTTGGTCGTTTGCGCATCGGGCGTCATGCGATCCAAAGGACCGAAAGCCTGAGCACCCAAATATTCGAACACCGCTTTGTCTCTGTGCGCCGGCCGGATTATGACAGACGTCTCGTCGGTCAAGGCGCATGCTGATCCTCAGCCGGCTCCCGTCGCCTTCTACGGTGGCCCTCCACCCCCCGCTTTCACCAACGGCTCCCCTGCGCTAGACGGGACCATCGACGAGGAAGAGTCGTCGACCATCAAGTGCATATGTGGCTTCTCGGACGATGACGGAAACACTGTCTTGTGCGAGAAGTGCGATACGTGGCAGCACATCGTGTGTTACTACCAGTCTGCCCACCGTGTGCCAGATGTCCACGAGTGCACAGACTGCCTTCCTAGACCCATCGACGCCAAAGCTGCCACCGAGAAGCAGCGAGTACGTCGAGAGTTCTTCCACATTGACGAGCCCAAAATCCGGCCGAGAACCACAACCAAGAGCCACAAGAAGAGAGCAAAGGATCCTCTCGGATCGGTGCAGCCCAATGGCTGGGCCGTCCATTCGAACACTGACCTCCATTACAACTCCGAACGGAATAGCGGAAGCCCTCGGGAGCAACCACCGCCTGCCAAACGGCCGAAAACCAGCCATCGGACATCGGGTTCGATCAACATGATGAGCCAAGCACCTGCGCTCGCTCCTGGGTCGCGCAAACGAGGCGGTTCGATTATGTTTAATGGCCACAGCCCCGTCAAGTCCCCCGCTAACCCGGATGGCCCGATCGAAGAATTCTCGCTCGAATTCATGAATCTATATCGCCAGCAAGAGCCACGTTCCGCCGACACCAACTCATATACCGATCTTCGAGTCGCAAACGACATAGCACTATGGCTCAGCGACCGAGACGCTCTCGCCGAGGCCACAGGAGGCAAGACACCAGCCGATGTCTTCATGAGCATTGGGACTACAATCGAAGACATGGAGGCTTCCCATGCGCCAGTCATCACCAAACAGACAGATGAAGACCCCAGCATAACAGCACACGGACTTCATCCACAATGGCATCTCCTCACGGTCGAGACGTTCGTCGCTTCAAGCGGTTTCATTGGCGAGCTCAAAGGTCGCATCGGCAGAAAACAAGACTACTTCTCAGATCCCCTGAACCGGTGGGAGTTACTACGACATCCGGAACCATTCGTTTTCTTCCCTCCCCATCTCCCCATCTATATCGACACACGGCAAGAGGGGACGATACTTCGCTACACCAGGAGGAGCTGCAAGCCAAACATGGCGATGAAAATCCTAACCCAGGGCCCCGAGGGCGGTTATCACTTCTGCTTCCTTGCAATGCGCGACATCGCACCAGGCGAGGAGCTCACTGTAGGTTGGGACATTGACTCTGCTGTGCGGCTCCAGCTACAAAAGGTCGTCACAAACGGTGACATCCAGAAGGAAGGCTTCAAGAAGATCCAGCCATGGGTGACGTGCGTGCTCGCCAACTTTGGCGGATGCGCTTGTGACAATTCAGACGGTTATGAATGTCTTCTTGAGCGCGCTCGTCGCAGTACCAGCAGTTACGCAGAACCAGTACAGCCTCCCAAGACGATGAAAGGCAGGAAGACCAAGAAAGGTCAAGTTTCCCCACTCAGCACGGGCCTTGCCACAAATAGCCGCGCCGGCAGCGAAGCCTACCATCGCGACGCGCATGACGACGACAACAACATGGACACCAGGTCTACTTCTGGTTCGCGCAAGTCAACCAGCCGCGATATAACGCCGGCAACTCATTTTTCGTTAGATGGCGGGAACGGCAAGATGTCAGAGCGCGAAAGGCGAAAGTTGCAGCAGCAAGAACGGCTGTTCGAGCAACTGGAGTACGATGAACAACACAAGGGAAGACGGGGGAAGAGGAACAGTGCTGGGTCAACACTTAACACGCCTAGCCTCTCATCCTCCGTAAGACGCTCTTCACGACCCTCACTTTTTGAAGCTAATCCAGATCTGCAGAAACAACTCGGACATCCAGAACCGTCGCCTTCCGCTCGAAACCCTCGGGAACATGCCAATGGAGTGGCTCGTAAGACTTCAGGCAGCTCGACAAGGACCAATGGGCGTGCTACGCAGAAGCCAAAGCCCATTTACGTGGATAGCTCCACCCAGACTGAGGATGACAGGCCTAGCGCAGACCCTCCTACGCCGGCCAAGGCGAGGATAATCAGGCCGCCCTTGTCGTTCAAGCGCAGGCTCCTCCAGCAAGCTCAGGAAGACAAAATGCAAAGGGAACGCATTCGGTCAGCATCAGTCAAACTGGAAGCCAAGTCGCCGGCTCTCAAGGATGTTACTTCGGGCAAGCCCTCGCCAGTGGCCTCATCCGCTCCCCTCGAGGAACCTACCGCTATGGACATCTCTATCGAGCCTTTCGTGGAGCCTAAACCCAAGGAACCTGCTCCCGCAGCACCCGTTGATGTGGAGATGAAGGACGCTGAGGAGACAACCATTCCAAAGCTGACATCTCTAAAGATCGAAGAAATGCCAGATGCATCAAATCCAGAGCCTTCGTCCGAAACTTCGCATCCTCCAATACCACCGGGTCCTACGCCGTGGGATTCAAATACCACGACGCAGGCGACATCGACTGCCGTCTCCGCACCAACCCAGCCACCTCAAAGACCTGCTGATATGCGCCTCGAGATGCCGGTCAAACCAGATCTGGCAGCTTCTATATCTTCCGCTAATTCCGTTGTTACTCCGGGGTCCGTCTCAAGCATCCTAACCGGTAGTGCAATCGCACAATCGCCGATGAGTGCCGCACCTGCTGCGTCACCGTTCTCTCCCGCCGTTGCCAACGCAGTCACACCGGGTCCCGCGCGAAAGAAACTCAGCTTAAGCGATTACACAAGCCGAAGGGCGAAGCTAGCACAACAATCCTCTAACACCAGTACTACTACGCCCTCACTCGTGCATTCGCAATCAACGAGCTCGCCGACGATGATGAATTCGAGCTTACCTAACAATAGATCGCCATCGAGCAAGAGCGCTGAGCCGCCGTTAGCACCGGTAACAGAGGAACCAAAACCCACCGCACCCACAACCTCATCCTCCACTTCCACTTCGACATGAGCGTTAAATCCCCGCTCCTTCGATGCACGTTTTCTTTGTTCGACACGGCAGGGCGCTCAGCGGGGCACTGAGCGCCGTTAGCTTCGGATTATGCCCTTTTCAGGCCTTCGATATGTATATTATATAATGCCGCCTATGGACCTTCTTTTCTTCTTTCCTTTTACGACTTCTGAGCGTTTTGTTCGCGCTATGATTCCGGGTGGAAATTTTTTCCTGGCTTGGTTTGGAAGTCAAGAGGAGGCGTCCACGTTTGTGGGATTTTACCTCGGTGATGGCGGGCGTTCGTTGGGAAGGAGGCGTTTGGGGACCGATATGCTGGCTCTGGACCGGCCGCTCTTTAGCGTTGGTATTCTATGACGGATGATGGAAAAGGCTAGCGAATTGTGGGTCTTTTAGCAGTACCCTAGGTTGGGTTCTGAGTTCAACCTTCGTATAGTGGATAGGTTTTCGGTGAGAGATGCCCAAATAAAAAGGGCAAAGAGTTGACTTCATGATTGTGTGTTTGAGCACCTGTGCAATGCAATGTGCAGGCTGATGTACTTCAGTGGGTAATGACTGCTTCATTCGGACGTGGCTTGCGCGACTGACTGGCTTCACGTGACCGTAAAGTTATTACTACCAACACGGTTTTGTACTTGCAACGCCGGTATGTAAAGCATATTATATGCATCTAAATGTAGCAAGATGACGGCTTCAGGAACTCGACCCTTATTCCAGTCCCTAGGTGCAGATACAAGTAGATGAAAAGAACTGACTAGTAAGTAACATATTCAAATAAATCCTCCATTAGTTTGTTTGGGTATCTGCATATACATACATACATTCATTCATTACTCGACACTAACGAAAAGAGCAAAGACAAGCCAGATGAGACCGTTTGGGTAAAATAAAGTGGCTTAGAAAAACCTAGCGGGCGGCGGTACGCTGGTGTCGTCCATTTCCACGGGTGCCTGCCCCTGGTTTACATGATATTGCGGCGTTGGCCTGCCGGTCCCGGCCGCAGTCTCGAAGTATCCCGGCGCGTGTGCTCCTACTCCTAGTTCGCCGTTCGAAGACCTGTTGTATACTTGCATTAGCGCATTCTGTGCATTCTGTCCAGACACTGGAGTAGGAAAAAAAGAAATAGGGAATGGAGAGGAACGGAAAAAGAAGAGAAAACATACCGATTCAGCCGCTGCAAATCCATCATCTGCCTCCCATACGGGCCGACAGGAATAAGGTTCGGATCCACGGGACTCGTCATATCGCTCGTATGCGGCGCCGTATACTTATAGCTATCCTGGCCCTCGTGCGTGCGCGTGTAGTAGCCTGTCGTCGGGCTGATGTCGAAGGTGCCGCCGACGCTGCGGTGGCTGGCTGCGCGGCTGACGCGGTTGCTGTTGTTGTTGCTGCTGTGGGAGGAGAAGTCGGAGGGCGGGGCGTGGTGGTGGTTAGGAGCTGGGCATGGGGATGCGTAACCCGGTGTTGGCGTGGCTGAGGGCGTGCCGAAGTACGCGGGTGGTATACCGGGGTTTTGGGAGAGCGGGGTTTGCGAGTATGCCGGCAAGGAGTGAGAGGGGTGAGGATGGGCAGAGCCGAAGAAGGTAGGCGAGCGGGGAGACGTGTGGCGGATGGTGGAGTCTTTGCGCTGCATCTCCTCGTTCAGTCCCTTGAAGCGGCCCCAGAACCAGAATAACAGCGCGGCCAGCACGACGACCCCGACACAGGCTATTGCGATGCCCGCGATTGCGCCGGCAGAGAGCTTGCCGGAGCGCGGGGGTCGGACGTGGGCTGTGGGAATCGAGGTGGAGCTGGGGAGGTTGCTGGGCAAGGGGGATTCAGCGGGGAAGGGTTCACCGGGATTGAGCTGGAAGGCGGAGTCTTGGGCGAGTTGGCGTTGATAGGCGAGAGAGGTGGTGGCGTTGGGGTTGATGACGCCGACCATGCCGTATGTGATACACGACCCTGGAGCACTACAGTAGAAGAAGACGGGAGAGGTGTCGTTGATTTCGATGGACCATTTTGGGGGCTGGGGGCATATTAGCATCCATTTGTTATTATTATGAGAGAGGGGCGTGTAAAGAGGGAAGAAGGAAATGAGTACTTACTTCATCCAAGACCGCATCGACGGGCTGGAACCCCGAGAAGAAGCCTTGCTTCCCTTCGCCCGTCATCTCATATGGAATACATGGGAATTCGTACTCCGCGCGGACGACACTGTGGTTTTGCGGGTAGAAATTGAATTCTACCGTCTGTCCATTGATCAGCAACACTTCCCTAAATCGAACCGAGCCTTACACAAGAATCAAGAGCTATGAAGGAGACCGAAGCAGTGAGGTGGAAGACAAGTAATGATGATGGAAACTTACATCGCCGACGACAGCCTGTACAACTTCAGGCCTGAACTTGTGATCTCCATTGCCAACCGAAACGGTGTGTGTCTGCGGAGGCACCGAGCTTGTTTTGCTTGCTGGAGAGGTGCTTGTTGAGCTCGGATTAGTCGTTGTTGAGAATGGCGATGTCAGACTCTTTGCTGCGTCCGCTGACACCGACGTTGAAGGATTCGGCGTGTCCCGGGCAAGGGTAGAAGCAGCTAACTGAAAGGAACACAGGAGGGATAGGACGGTTATCCAAGAGCTACTCATTCTACAACGACGGAGCATCCTGCCTGACTGTGTTCGTATCCTGCTCGTTGGATAGAAATGATATGGAAGGACCGTGGAGTCGATACCTCAAATCAGTAGAACGAGGTGAGAGCCAGGAACCATCAATCAACCTGAAACACCAAAGGCCTAAGACTTATCTCGCCAGTGGCGATGAGGCGCAAGGAACAAGGTATCGGATGCATTGGGGCACATCCGGGAACCCGAACAAGACACTGCTCTCCTACACCCCGCGGTAATGGTGTAAATCCTCGCCCCTTATTCGCCGCATGATCCGGCAGGCTCCACCTCCTAACATCGGGCATAAAGGGATCTGAAAGAACATGGGTGAGGTATGCGAGAAAGGCGATCATGATCGCGCAGAACAAAGCGCCAGACAAAGCCCCTCAACTTGCCACAACCGCGTACAATCATCGGCTGATGAAACCCATGCCGATTAGGAAGTTGGTGCTAGGGTACGTTGGGCTTGAACGTGGAGGGGAGATGAGGAAGAATGCCAGAAAATTGGGACGGTGTTAGAGTAGATTGGAAGTGTGCTCAGCCGGACCCCACGAATGATCAAGAACAGGAGGACCACACTGCACGATTAGCGAGATCCCCGCCAACCAAATTACAAGACCGTCCGCGTGGTTGTAAGCGCTCCTAAGTCGGTCATACTTTCGTCCTCGCATCTGTATGCAGTATCTGGATTATTTTCCAAAGCTTGCGGTCTGACTCGATTGCATGCTGTTGCCGAAGACAACACCATGTGAAAGCGACGCAAGAAAAGGAAGCAGATTATGAACGTGAAGCAGGATATAAATGAAAGTTTGTTTTTGGGCATTTTGAGTTGCTATCTGGAGAGGAGGATTTTTTTTTTTGGGTAAAGAAACTCGTTGAGACTACCATACCTTCGTAATCGTGAAATCGTGTCCAAACATTCCATGACATCAATGCCTCGCTCATATATTATCCTGATCACGTCGAATGTCGTCGAAATCGAGGAATTACTTTGCACATAGCCTTCTCGTCGCGAGTATATTTTCCGGCTCAGCGCCAACAATATCGATGCAAGGGGATAATGCGCGCTGATCGCCGTAGGAGATGATACTGCAGAAGAGATTACGCTCGAGCTGGCGGATGGCAGAGAGTAGCGAGGTTGTACAGCTGCTGCCGGCTTTGAGCCTGCTTCTTCAGCTAAGGCCAGGGTCACCGAAGCCGTATGGATCGTTGCTCGATGAGCTACCAGAGCCTGATGCATAGCCAGAGGGCGCAGCTGATACCTCTCCTGGCTTGGGGTCCCAAATTGGAAAGCCCTCCGGCGGCTGGCTCTCGCCAATCGGTTTGCCGCGAGAGTAGTCCGCAAGGCTTCCGTTGATTCCGACGAGAGCCCATGCGAAGACCGCAACATCGCGAATGCTCTGCATGAAAGCATTCTGGAACGCCGCAGGAGGTCTTGCCTGCGCCATAGCTGGATGCTGGGCACCAAGCGGATAGGGAGGTTGGTGTGGAAGGGGCGGGAAGAAGACAGGCTGGGGTGCCCAAGGGGCAGCAAAGATACCGTGATGTTGGGCAGGCTGGGTGGCCGAGACTGCCGTTGGGATCATAGGGCGGGCGCGACGTAGGCAGACGACGAGCCCGTCTGATGTGCAAGAGACGACAGCTTCTAGCTCGATGGGCTCATCGCGAGCCTCGGAGTATGGTGAGCCCGCTGGCAAGGAAGACGTGGATGAGCGAGCCGCAGATCCTTGGTTCGATGGATGGGCGCTGTTGCCAGATTGGGCACGTGAGCCTGAAGGACCCTCCTCGCCGCTGACCTCCCTGCTGTTGGAAGGGTGCGATCGGCTGTTGGAAGACTCTTCACCTGAAGTCAAAGGTGCGCCGACGTCCGCTCCGGCATCAGACTCGTCCGTGATGTCAGTCATGATATCGTCCTCACTCTCAGACGTAGCCGCTTCAGGTGGATCGTCCTGACGCGGGTCACGGAAGAAGAAGCGCAAATAAGCGATGGAATCATTGCCTTTGGCGGATTCAAGACATCGGACGGCATCATCCAGGCAGTTGTGCTCGATGCAGAAATAGAAGCTACGGCCTATCATGGCTTCGCTCGGGATACCGATGATCTGCTCGATTCCGCTGGTTGCATACATGACGGTCAAGGTCCGGGTGAAGCGGTTGAGGAAGAGAGCAGCTCGTGGCTCGTGAGTCTGATCGTCGGGTCCGAGGGTGAACTTGCTGGATAAGTGTGACAGCATGTGATAACGGGGATCCTTGGGGGACGAAGCGAACAGCTTGCGGATGATGGGAGCGTCTACCGCACGCTCTGGAATGACGTTAGCTTTCTGTGCGTGAGAAAGGAGGCATGTTCGCTTACTCTGACTATTCATTCCTTGTCGGTAGATGGAGGTGCAGCACACCATGACATCGTAGACGACGGAGAAGCAGCATTCGCACCCAATCCACGCACCCTGTCGATTCTTGATGCGACAGTAGGCCAGAACGGAGGCCTTGTCGAGCCTCACGCCGCGGCTGTGGAGCTGCTTCGCAACCGGGACTTCTTCCGGGTGAAAGAAGTCCCAGCATGATCGATTGACAACCTCGTCCGGAGTGTGGCCGAGAACGTCAACGATAGAGTCGGAAGAGTAGAGGATATGAGCATCCTCGCTAAGGTCTACTTCTGTGAGCTACCGTTCGTGTGTCTGGGGCGCCCAATTAGCTTACCGTGAATAGTGATGAAAGTGGTGTCCATGGCTGCTGCGGTGGGTGAGTGGCGATTGGCAGATGGCGCCGTCTCCGATACTGGTCCGAAATGTCGAATCTAATAATTCGCTCTGGACCGGCGGCGGAGACAAAGAAGACGTGGATAGCACTGGCTTGAGGGACGGCGGGCGGTAGAAGTAGGCAGCCTAGGTTCCACGAGGGGACGTTGGACGCACGGCAGTCAAGGTCCGGATAAGGTTGAGGCGCACAGTGACACTGGAGCCGGTGGCGAAAGTCACAGGGCGCCGGAGCGGATGAGGGGAGTGACGGGTGAAGAGGCAGGAAGCGAGGGGATAGACGAGACGCAGTTGCGTCAGAATGAGCCTGCCGCCGTGAGAGGCTGGGTGTTCAGGATCAATGGAGAAGTTATATGGGGAAGGGGACGGGTCGAGCCTTCCCAGTCTGGCTAGCTTGAGGGCAGCCATAAACGGCGCGCGGATGCAGGAAGGAGGTGGAGGCACAGGGTCAGAGCCTACCCAGGTAGAGGGGACGCTGAGGGGGAGTGTTGCGGAACGAGGGCGCCACGGCGTCCGTGAGCAGGTTCAAGACCCTGCGCAGGTCGGAAGAAAGGGCAATGTAGCGCAAGAGCGACCCGCGTGCTAGGGCGGCGTCTGCGGCAGCAGGCTAGCTAGCGAAGATGAAGGCTCTGGAAGCGCGTGGGGTAGCCTTGGAGGGCTGCTGCGAGGAGCTGCCAATTGCTAGGCACAGCGGGATCGACATGGAGGAAACGCCTAGCGGTAGTGATGAAATTTGCCTGCGGTGAATGAATGAGTGAACGGCCCGCGATGGCCGCGACGGCAGCAGGGAAATGGGAATCGGCAGGCTATATCGGGCCATGGTGGAGCGGATGCTCTGCTGCCATCGGCCCCGGAGGACACAGTCCAGGCGCTGGAGGCGGAAGAACGGCGGGCGGACGGTGTGTGTGTGTGAGGTGCGTATGGCAGGCCGAGTCGTTCTTTCCTAATTCGATCCGGCCAATCACGGAGAGGCACTCTACCGGATTCTCATGATGCACTGCAGCCGCTCACCGTTGTTGACGCTCCGTTGTTTTTTCCTGCTGCAGCCCTCAGCCCTCATCCATACCAGCACGGCAAGCGCCGTTGCACGCTGGCGGCGCTGCTGAGCCCGGCCTCGTCGCACACGGCGTTGCAGGATACGAAGACTACCGAGCAGACGCTGAGGGCAGCCGAGCTGTCACCGTGCCTGCCGGTTCGTCATTTTGCGCTGCGCAAGCGGCGTCATTGGGCGAAGCGGAAGGCTTCCCGGTGCAGATCCCAGCCAGCGACAAAAGAACCCCTCGCTGCTTACTCCCCAGAGCTCGCAGAAACTGCCAGTTTGTCCCGGGCAATTACTGAGAGATGGAATTTGATAACTCTCATGTCTCACAGTTTCACTGCCCCGCCGTGTATCTACCATCGACGATTGTGGTCGGCGCTAGCGCACACCGTGCCAAGACAGCAATCGCCTTGAACCTCCCGCCTCCAACACCCTCGCCGCCCTCAATTGGACACAGCATTCCGTGGGAAGTCTTGCGGCAAGGGATGACCTGAACAGACACATTTGTGGGCGTGGAGGCCGCGCTGATAACTATTTGCTCCTGCACCGTACCTCTCGTAATTGCACTCACCTGCCCCGCTAACCACCAATTGCATTCCGTCCATCCTCCCCATTGGCAGACCCTCCACCCACGACACGGGGACCCGGCTCCACAGCATCCATACCGACCTTTCCACCCTGCATGAGCTGACGGTTCCAAGCACGTCCGCCAGACAATGCACCCTCACAGCGAGCTACCCTCGCTTCGAGCCACTGTCCGACTTGAAGTATACTCATCACGCTTGCAAGCCGCCACCGTATCATCTCACTGACTTGTCACCTCAGGGCAAAAATATCATCAATCAAAGTATGTGAGAGCAGTCCCTAGGCAACGCTCACGCAGCTGACGCCTTCTAGCGCAGTGGTACGATGTCAAGTTCTATCCTTACACAGCGCCCGGCGTGGACCCCATATTCGCTGCCACAGGAGGACGCTTTGTGTGTGCCACCTCGTATTCGCGAGAGACTCGATGCTGATTGGCTCCAGACTATCATCTGTCGATGCGTGCTCGAGAGCAACAACTCCGTCGAGGTTCTGCGGCTCTTTAAGGATGAGCAGGTGGAGAACCCGGATGGAGAGGTACGTCACGCAACAGAGCCACGCTTTCCTGAGAGGAAGCTCCTACGGTCCAGCTTGCTGACCGTATGTGCTAGCCTTTCTGCTTCAATAGTCTAGAGTGGTCGCAAGCCGAAAATGGAGATCCCCTTGTTTGCGTCAGCGGGAATATGTCCCAGATCAAGGTTCTGAATGTCATAACAGGGGAACTGGTGACAGTAAGTGCTCTGGAACAGCTAGGGGTTCCCTCACTGATCGGAACAGACGCTCATAGGCCATGGTTCCGTATGTAACATGATAGCATGGTGATATCCCTCTGGCCTGACAACCGCAAAGCATATAAACGATCTCGCAATGTCACGTATCAACCCCTCCATTTTGGCCTCTGCCTCCATTGATCACAGTGTCCGGATTTGGAGTCTCAACCCTGCCCACAAGAAGCAGCCAACCGCAGCAATATGCTTCGGACAAGGCCACAAGGACCAGGTGCTCACCCTTGTCAGTACCCACCATTTCATATCGAGCCTAAGATCTGACCTGATGTAGGCCTATCATCGCAAGGGCCGATATGTACTATCAGGAGGGATGGACACAAGAGTAAACTTGGTTAGTCAGGCACTACTCCAATGCTAACACACTGACGGCTGTAGTGGATGGTGCCAGATAATCTGGAAGAGCGTATGGGGACCGACAAGCCCGCGATGATCCACTATCCGCACTTCTCCACCACTGAGATCCATACCGACTTCGTAGATTGGTAAGACATCTCCTTCTTTGCAGACTTCCCAAACGTGCTGATGCACCTTCAGTGTCCACTTTTTCGGAGACGTCATCATATCCCACGCAGCGCGCGAATACATAATTCTCATGTGGCGCATTGACGGCTTCAACTCAGACCGCGACCCCCCAGGCCCAGCACCAATCCCTCCCTCCCAAGCCGTGAACAGCCACTCCAAAGTCTCTGTGCCCACGTCCTCCATATCCGGAACGCGCTCAGCCTGGGGCGGTCGCTTCCAGCGCCTCCTCCAGTTCGACCTCCCCGATCACAATCAGTTCTACATCCGCTTCAACATCTTCCACGCAATCGGCGCCCACCCCATTCTCGTCGCCGGAAACGAAAACAGCAAGCTTTTCTTCTGGGATTTGCAGCGCCTCGAAGACGCGGGCATCGGCGACGACCCCTCCGTCTCCGCCTCCTCTTCCGCCGTACAGTCAACGAGCTCAGGTCACATAGGCGTAGCGACCACGAAGCTCGGGCGTGGCGGGAAGGCAGCGAAAGCAGCGAAAGCAGCGAACGCAGCGAAAATAACAAAAATTCCGAAAATTCCGAACCGGGGCATCGGCGACCCTTTTCGCTCCGTTGAACCGCACAAGGAGATCACAATTCAGGGGTATACTTTCGTGTTCCGCCAGATGGCTTGGAGTCCCGATGGGCAGTGGTGCGTTGCAACGGGGGATGTGAGTTTGATCCACATATTGCATCGGTGGGAAGATGGGGTTCCGCCGCCGGAGGTGGGCGCTGGTATGTACTGGGCCCGCCGAAAAGTCCTTGAGTCTTGTGCTGACTCGTGACTAGGGGACGGGAGCGTGATGGAGAGGGTTGTCAACCCGTCGCTGGAGACGGCATAGAATGAATTTGGAGATGAGAAGCGCGTATGGCTGGGGAATTGAAATATTGGTACTTTGAATGCCCGAGCGGCACCGTGGCAGTTATTTCTTGAATGCGCTCTATCATCACGGTGGCCAATCTGGGTGCTTCTGTGAAGGGCGTTGTAGGCCCCTAGCATGAAAACTCGAACTAACTCTACGTCCGTAGAAGCTACGCTGACGCCGACGTCGACATTACGCGCTCTTGTAGCCTTATACTCTACTCTTCCTACAATCATGCCTCCTATATTCTGTTCGCTTTTACACTTGGAATCTTTTCAACCCTGCGCCTATGCTTCCTGTGACGAGTACATTGTCGTAACGCGGCGCACAGAAAACAGCGGCCAACTGTGTACCAGGCATACGGAGGTGCTTCGAGCGAGTGTTGAAGATATGTACTACCGTTGGCATAAGGGGATGTATGAACCCGGGGGGCTTACGCCGCTGTCGGAAGAAGAGATCGCCGCTTTGGAAAAGGAGGCTAGATCACGAGGGGAGAGGCGAAGACGGAGGAATGCGACAGCGCGAGTGATTGGTTAAATCGAGGAGGAGGTGGGGATATGGTATGTTGAACGCTAGTCGGTATGCGGAACGGAAGAAGGGAATGAAATGGAATTAGACCAGTGCCTACTTGTTGGTTTGAGGGTTCAAGGGGACATGATGAACCTAACAAAAAGAAAGAAATGAAAAAAAGGAAAGGTTTTGTTAAAAGTCGTTGATCGAAGTGCAAGGCATCACTGCAGACAGCAGAACGAAAAGTCGTAGTCGTCCTCGTCATCGTCTTCAAGCTCGTCCATCCACTGTGCGTGTCTGTCAGTGAGATCGTCCATATCTGCGTCTTCGGCCGCAAGATCATCCCTCATGTCAACGTCTACTAGGAAGTCAGCATCAAAGCACGCTGGGTTTTGAGCTTGTGAGAATGCCTGCATATGAGACAGGAATGATGTGCCAGTCGACGAATTCGAGGCTATGTATGGCTGCTCTGAGTCTTGGGCAAGCTGCGGCACATCGAACATGTCGGCCTCGGCATAAGCCATTGATGGCAACGTAGTGGTCTGGTCAAACCCATGGCGCATGGGGCATCGGTCGTCATGGTTCTGTTGACAGATGCTGAAGCACTGGTAGTCCAAGGTTCCCGAGATGTATTCGATCATGGATCCATAGTCCGGACCGAGATCATTTCCGAAGTTCTCCAAAGGCGCGTAAGCAGGATCAAAACCCATAGCTTCGTACCAATCATGCTGCCAGTCGTCCATGGGCTCCAAGGGAGCAGCATCTATTGAATCAAGAGGGTCTTCCTCGGACGGTTGCCATGCTGGCGGCTCCACTGTAACGGGCTTGAACAGTACTGTCCGACAGTACGGGCACGTGTTACTCTCTAGACTCCAGCTCAGGATGCAATCGACGCCGAAGATATGTCCACACGGCAGTCGCTTCGGCGTTTCGACATCTCGATCATTCGATTGCCAGCCATCGAAGCTGTACGGCCGGAAGCAGATGTAGCAGTCTCGGTCATCTCTCAGGCTACAAGCGCTCACGGTGGCCAGGCCGCCATTGTTGAGGAAAGAATTTCGAGATGTGAAGCATGCCATATTGCCAGCTGAGGATTGTGTGGGTTGGTTTTCTGGGTTCGTCGGCGCGCGTTTCAAGAAACGGGAGGTTATGTATAAGCACGGCATTGTGCGCCGCGACGTCCAGATTGTGCGGACGGGGGTTGGATCGTTGTTCAGCGTGACAGCATTATTATGATTCGTACACAATACAATGAACTCACCGCTGGTAGCATTGTGTTGAAGGAATAGGTGAAGCGCTGGAGGGTTGGAAATCGAATGATGCCAAAGGGTCCAACGTATTTCGCTCGCTCTTCTCCGGGCTTCTCGCGGAGCGTTCGATGTAGCCGGTGTACGCGATGTGGCGTTCGCTGGAGTGCTGGAGTGCTGAATGAAAGTGGATACCGTGGAGATGCAGGTACTCATCGGTGCAGTTGACGGTCTAGCACCCGAGCCGAAAATAAAGTTGGTATCTGAGCGGCTCCGAGGACGGTTCTAGCCTCGTGCGAATCCGGAGAGCGGTAGCGAGGCAGGTGGGCATGCGCCACGCCGCGTAGGCTCGTCCGTGGCTATCAGTGTAAACAAAGTTACGAGAGAACATCCAGCGCTGTGACGAGCGTCTCGCGTATCCTGCTATAAGTCATGCCGAATGGACTCCAGCATCGGGCTTTCACAAGGCAAGGGGAGTAAGTCATGTTTCCCCGGTTGTGCTTCCAAAGATATCTGATTACAATCTTGCGTTGCAGTTTCTGACCGGTTGGCTGTAGCAACCGATACTGTAGAACGGCACACGAGCGGAGCCGTAGATGGAAGACGATCCTCAGGTGACATTCGAGGTAGTGAGGGCATTGAGCGGGCGCCACCACGGCACGTGGGCAGCGTTGCTGGTTCAGAAACCGGCCGATTTTGGAAATTATGGTGCCAGGACGGGGGTCAGAGATTCCCAATAGACTGGACACGGAAGCGGTCGGGCGACGCGGCGACGCCGATCTCCCTGTTACGCGTCGTCAATCTACCCATTTCTGGTAATAGGTGTACCTGATTACGGCAAGCAAGACGTAACCCACGTGGTCCCAGCATCTGAGGCTTCTGTTTCTGAGACCCAGAATACTCGACTCTCAGCCTCTCGTGAGGCGCCGCTGGGAGGCAGTAGCTTGACCAAGCCACTGCATTGGCGAGTGGATAAGTCCACGGTTATCGTTGAGCTCTGGGAAATGAAGAAGGAAAGGCCGGCATTGCAGCGGCGTTGAATAGGGGCTAGCCTCATCACGTGGGAGGAAGCTAGACCCTTTCTGATTCCATCGAAAACATCCCGGGGCCAGTTCGCAGCCACAACACTTGTCCACCAGCAACATGCCCATGATTCGCGCCACCATCTTCTCAGGATGCCGTCGCTCCATGATCCGAAGCAGGGGTCGGAACACGATAAGCTTTCCATCGCGCTGCTCTCCCGTCGCTATTTTTGTATCCGAAGCCTGCGTCTGCAACCACATCCGTCCTAGACACTCGCGCCGGACACGTCGCCGTAGCAAGACTTCCTAGCCGACATTGCACAAGAAATATTCATGTTTGCGGCGGCTTCAGTCTCAGCTTTCCACAGCTCTAGATCCTTCTCCCTTACTCCACCATCACCAACCACAACGAGGCAGCACGCAAGCCTCAAGCGCCAGCTTCACGGGCGATGCCGAGTCGAAGCCTTCCGGTGTCGCAAGTAGCTTTCTTCGCCAAGTCATGAGACAGCATGGCTGCTAGTCGACTGACTGCACGATCTATTGAAGCCGGGGATGGTATTAGTTGACGGAGCTGAACGATGCGGATGCGGACAACAACAACCGCCTCATCGCATCTGGACCTTTTCAGGGTAGGATATAAGATAAGGCGACTTCTTCCGTCTTGTTGTCCTTCTCATCCCGCAAGCACACCCACCAGCACAAGCACCACACTCCCTCCTTCATCATCTGTCACTCGTTGTCTGTTATCAACATGCGTTCCACACTCATTGCCGCATCCGCTCTGTGCGGGCTCGCCGCTGCCGCTCCCAGGCCCCAAGAGATCAACGTTGCCGCTGCCGAAGAGCTCCCACTTCCGACGGTTCTCGGCGCCCCTCTAGCTGCCACTAACACTCCTGCGGTGACTTATGACCCTACTGCGGCAGCTTCTTCAGCAGCAGCAGCCGTGTCTACGGCCCCAGCAGATCCTAGCAGCAGGCGACGGGCGATGAAGAAGAGAGATGCGTGCCAGCAGCAGCCCGGAGGGTAAGTCTTTCCCACCAGAGGAGAAAATGCGAAGCTAACCGAACCCCAGCTTCGGACCAGTTCCAGGAGACGGCTCGGTGGAGGCATATCTTGCGGAAGACAGCATCCTCGCTTCGGCCGCTCAAGGGGCTTCTACCCCCAGCGGATACATCAATGCCTTCACCGACCTGCAGGGCAGCACACAGCAGATTGGCTACCTCACCTACAAGACCATCGACAGCGGCGACTACGATGTGAAATCCTGCGCCGATTTCTGCGACAGCGAGAAATACTGTCTCGGTTTCAACATTTATTACGAGCGTGATCCGTCTGTCGAGCCAGCTGATAGCTGCGCGAACCCTGACCCGATCACCAATGTCAAATGCGCTCTCTACGGCTACCCTGTTGCGTCTGGCTCCGCCACGAACTATGGACAGTGGCGCAATGATTTCCATGTAGTGATTGCAGGCAGCAACGGTAAGTGCCGTCTAAGCCTCTTCCGCGAGTGGCTTCTCTACATTCTTAGCCAAGAGTACGCCGCTAACAACGCTCAGGGTACTACAAGCTCCCTACCACAGAGCCCACACTACCCAGCTTCAACGCTCCTGAGGCTCTCACCGCCGCTATCGACGCGCTCAATGAGGCAAACAGCTACAACGGCATGCACATGTCGAACGACGGCCCCTTCGACCCCGCCGTCTGCGCCGCTTATTGCCTGGCTCAAACTGAGTTTGATCACGAGCACCTGGTTGACGAGAACGGCAATTACAGGCCCTGCAACTTCTTCAATGCGTACATTCTTACCAAGAACGATGTCCCGCAGGGCACTTACTGCAGCTTCTACACCCAGCCTTGGGATGCTAGCTACGCTGTCAATACGGGCTACTCCTCCGGCGCCGATACGTACAAAGTTGAGGCAAGCTTCTCATACACGCTTACTACGCAAGATGATGGAACCGTTGCGCAGGGCGACTCGCAGTGAGGGGTGCCCAGGTGGTGAAGTTGTGGATGTGAGCTGTGGTGTGTGGTGTACCTGGAAACACGAGTATTTCTTAATGTCTACTGTACTAATGCATATACATACCTATGCATGGAACCACATGCATTTTCGCCCTTCTGTCTAAATTCTCTAACTGTTCACTCTATCTCCCACAACCACACACCACCTCCACCCTTGTATCTGAGTGCAACTGCGGCCACGGCAACATCACACCACCTGCACACGCCAACACATGAGCACAAACAGAACGTCTTCGACACCAAAACTCATCACTACTAGTTCCAGAGTAGATCTAGACTAATGTCCGTCTCTTATCCTCCCTTACGCCTTTTGTCCATCTCGGACGGAATGCCATCCTTTCCATCGCCTTGTTGGAGCACAGACCATCAATGCGCCGCTCGGAACTGCAGATTTGTAGCGAAAAGGAAACAGAAACATGCAGGCGACGTGCTATGCTACGTGCACTTGGGCAAGGTACGGCTTGCGGCGCAGACGTTGGCTTTAAAGAGTTGGCTGTGGCATCTTATTTGGAGGAAAGGCGGGGATCACAAGGCATTGACGGAGATGGGTGGTGGCATATGATAATGAAGACGAGTGAGGAAAGCGCGAGTATCCCGGCGAAGTTCGAATGAGGTGGGATCTGTCGAGGTAGAAGAGAATGGAAGAGTGATGAAAGGACCAGCCGCTTCTGGCTAGCACGCTCTCAAGGAAACACCCCATAAATCATTCACACGTACGCTCTATTCTGTTGACTTTCACCAACAGCCCCCTTCGCACAATATACAGAACTGCAGCCACAAAACGCTAATCTCCACGCCGCAGCCAAGAAGCTGTGAAGCCCTTCCAACGAACGAACTTTCACCGCAATTTTAAATTGCACGTTCAATGGTCTGCACCAATTTTGTTCCAGAAGTCCACTGTTCTCAGACGCACTTTTACTGTCACCCTGACGTAGGATTTCCACATTATTTCCCCTGCGTCAGTGCGCTTGGGCAACCGCACCTTCCGCCGCCCAACATCAAACTCAACAACAATCAAAATCACCTGCCCCCACTGAACGCCAGGCACATGCGCATATACAGAGCATGGCGACTTCTCCAAAACAAGCACCCGCTAAGTCACCAGTTGCGAAGCTCGCGCGCGCCCTCACGCCCCGCTCCCCAATGCTTTGCTCAGCCGAAGGATGCAAGTCGAAGGCGAGGCCGAGGAAGACCAGTTATGGCGGGGTGTTGTGCTTTAAGCATCAATGCCAGTTGGAGACTGTGGCAAGGGAGATATGTAAGGATTGGCAGGTGGAACAATACGGGGGTTTTGGGAAGGATGAGGAGGAGAAAGGTGGGACTGGGAAGAAGTGATGGGTGAGCTAGCAGCTAGGGGAAAGCTAAGTATTTGGAGAAAAGACGATTTCTGGCATTGGAATGGGAGGAATGGGATCGGTACAGGAGCTCGGTGAGTCCTCTGGTTCTTAGCCAGGGGCGAGGGCATACCACTGAATGCTCCACTAGGTGTCCGCAATTATCGATACCTCAGGCAAAGCACCTCAATCAGTATCGGGCTCTGGCTACCGGCGGAGCGCCTAGACTGCGACACTTAATAGCTTTGGTGGATAAGTGCTCCCGAAATTCTATGCCTCAGTCGACTAAGCGCTCAAGAACGAATACCATCACCGTGCACCCAGGACTTATGATGAGTTCTTGAATGAATAGTATGATTGCATCAGCATTTTCAGAAATGTCTAGACGTTTCGGAGCATATTTTCTAATTGTGGTCAGTTTCGTTAACCATTATCTTGAACTAAGGCATTAGATGGGGAAGCCAAGGATCGCAATATAGGCAACCAAGCTTCCTCTACCGAGATATTTATGGCAAGCTTGGGGAGCTCATCAGCAATAAATATATCCGATTGCAAGCATGTGAGCGCCACCTCAAGCACCCACTCCTGTTCGTACACTTACACTCGTTGCAACATGTTCGGTATCACAATCGTTATAGTGCTTCTTTCCATATGCTGCTTTCTTCTGTACCGCCTTCAACCTGGCAGACAGAATGTGCTTGCCCTGGCGGCCTCACTTCCCCAGGCCTTGAATCGCTACATCAACAACACGCCGGCGGATCCTCAGTCGGCCACGAAGACCATCAGATTCCGGTCGAACGTCGATTCAGTCATAGCAAGCAATCCCAATGTCATCATTGACTCGCACGGAGGAGCGTGGTCACCCCAGAGACACAGCGAACTTCTCAATGCTCCGAGAGCGAGCACAATAACGAAACCACCACCCACATTCTCTTTCAGCACTTCCTCGGGTAGCCAGAGACCTCTCGCGGGATTCTCATTCAATGCATTCCCCGAGCAGCACGCACCTCCTCCAGCTTTCTCGTTCAACGCGCACACTACCCCGCAACAAGGTCTGCCTAATTTCTCCTTCTGCAGCCTGCCAAAACCTGTAGAGGGACTATCACCTGCGCCAGAGCCAAACCCCGAGCCAATGCCACCGAAGCCACCGACACCGCCAGTAGGAATCCAGTCCGCATGGAGCACCGGCTTTGAGATGCGGAACGGGAACGCGAGAAGAGCGCATGGCAGAACGGCCCCGTCCCCGTCCCCGTATCCCCAGCCGGTAATGGCTCACAACGTGCGGTCAAACCAAAGCGCCGCCATGACCAGGAGAGCGGAGAGAAATCAAGGTCCGGCGAAGAGGATGCGCAAAGCCGTTGCGAGGCTGGGATATCGGCTTGCCGAGCTGGATGATAGCGATCCGGAGTTTGAGATGATACCTACTCCGCAGACCGCTTTCGAGATGAACCCCACGTCTTCACCATTAGCTTCTGGCCCATACGACGAGTACTCACGGCCCACGGCCCCGGTTCAAGAAAACAAGACAGAGGACAAAGCAGGCTCGATGCGGAAGCGCTGGAGCCACATGGGGGAAATGTTCGGCCTCAATAAGGAAGTGTGGGCGAAACCTCCCGAGAACTTGCCTATGGCAGACGCGAGCTTGCTGCGGAAAAGCCCTCGTGTGCTGGCAAATGGTGGGGTGGAAAGAGGGGAACAGCGCAGAAGTAAGAACTCGTGGAAGGGCAGCTGGAGCCTGGGTGGAAGGAAGAGGGAGCGTGAACGGGGAACGTTGTTTGATATCAATTGGGAGCGGAAGGATCCGATGGATGGCGGGGACTTGAAGGGGGAGGAGAACAAGAAGAGGGTGAGAGTGGATTGAGCGCACGCAGGCTCTATGCGTGTGCCTTGGCGGCGCCTCATATGTCGTATCGAAATCAAAAGCGTGTTTTGGGCTATATATCGCCTTGCCTTCTCGTTTCCTCGATCACTCCTTCAAAAAGAAATGCTCACCTCTCTCTAGCACCTCGACTGCATCTCCCACAGTCACCTCCGCCTCATCCTCAAGAGGGCTCACCTGCATCCCCAGGCACGCACTCTTACTCCCCTTATCAATGACCCTGTACTTCAGCATCGTGGTTCCCGGTTCATTCCGATCCGCGATCCCAGTCTCGGGATCTACATTCGGCAGCTTGCACCGCGTGGTGCGGCAGGAGATGTGGTAGGTTCCCGAGCCGATGCGGGCGCGGGACCAGTCGTCTTCGTTGAAGGCGGGTGGACCGGTAATGTAGAGGTTTGCGCGGTAGCGGAGGGCATTGAGGGGACGGCGGCGGGGAAGGCGGGCGGAAACATTGTGCACGCTTGCCAGGTTCACTGCAGGTTGAGGGTTGAAGTTAGTAGAATTCGGTGGAGAGGGATGGTACTTCTAGGTTGGTCAAGTGGCGCTTTTATCACACAACGCAGCCTACGAGCGAGCGCTTTCTCAAGGAAGGTGTAGTCTTTATCGTGGCCTTACGTACTGATGTGCATGGGGTACTGTGAAGGAGTTAGTCTTCCGTCTCTTTGATTGACGTTGGATAATTAAAGGAGAACGCACAGAGTCCTGCATTCCAATGATGGTTTGAAAGCCCACATCCTTTTTCTTTGGAGCGCACTTCAAGACTTTCCTATACCTCGACGTGTCGATCCGGAAGAGTGTTAGGGGATTTGTAACCCCGAGCGTGTACCTGAGCTTGGCCATAACTTCTTCCGGTACCTCGGATCCCAAATTCAGCGCCATTGGAGTGTCTTTCCATATCTTCATCTCCTCGCTCCTATATTTCATCTTCTTGATCCTGTCTTTCGTCGGGTTGAACGGCACTTTGAACTCCACCATCGGCTCGCTTTTCCCACTCAACTTCGCCGCCAGTAGCTTTCCATAATTCTTTAGTCCTTCTAGGCTAAAGTCCGTGTCTGGTGTGAAGGGGAAGCGGACAACAAGACAGCCCTCGCTCTTCACCCACTCTCCTTCTTCGTCATATCCTGGTGCTGCAGGATCCGGGACCCATATCTCCGTTTCGACTTTCGCTAGCCGTGGGAATGTGCGCTGCGTGATGCAGTTCCATTCGCTGGATACCTTGCCCTCCAGAGACGGCAAACCCGTGACATATTGTCCAAATGTAAATTGCCTGTCATATCGCAGTCCCGTACGGATGACTTCAGCTTTGCCAAGTTCAACGGGCGCGCAGCTCTTGACTGGGTAGATAAAGATTGCCTTTACGGTCCAGCAATTAGAGGGTGATGGCTCCCCTCCTTGGGCGTATTTCCTCGAGTACTGGTCCGAGAGGTTGCTGGGACCCTCGAGTCCGAGCTTGTGGCAGCCGACCGGTGGTAGAGGAGGATCCTCGCGCTGTGTGAGGGCTAGTAGGAAGAGGAGGAGGAATGGGAGGAGAGTGGCTAGGAGGGTGATGAGAATTGAGAGTGGGGTGAGGGTGAAGCCGACATCGGCCCACGTCTTTTGTATCGAGCCCATTAGCTCGTCGAGAATACTTGAAGCCATTCCGAATAGGAAGAGGTCGCGTTGTGAAGAATTCTATGCTTCAAAGTCCCTACGTAGCGGTGGAGATGTGGTTGCGGGCTATTGCTGATGCATGTTGTAATGCACCGCCGAGGAGTCGAAAATTGCTACGACAGCAAACACCAGAGAAGAATGGCGCAAGCGAGAAAAGATCAACGGATTCTCTTTGAGCGAACAAGAGAACTGGAGCGGATTCGCGTCACTGGCATCGCCTGTAAGTGGTGTGGAGTTGTGGAAGAGCAAGTCACGATACAGCGAGTCATGCGCTCGACCTCGCTTGGTCGGCCATCGTCATGGCGGCTTATTTAGCTCGGAGCTCCACCACAACTTCTCTCTCGCGATGCTTCACGTCACCCCCACCATTCACTGCAATGACCGAGGATCACGCGTCGCGCGATGTTTGCAACCAGAGGCTGAACGCCAACTCACGGGACGCGATTGAAGGCCCCGATATCTCCCGCTCAAGGCTGCATTGCACCACACGCAGCGCCCGCCATGGCTAACCAGGACCTTCACATGCTATCGTCGTCGTCGTCGACGTCTCGTGCGTAAGCCCAATATCTCGAGCATGCCCCCCTCCATTATGCTGACGGCGCTATAGACAGACTGCCCACCGTCTCGGCCTCTCAGGCCCTCCAGTCGCTCCACGCGAAAGGCGCCCGCAGCGTCTCTACCGGCCTCTCGCAGCTCAACAGAATACTTGCGCCCTCAGGCCTTCCAGGCCGCAGCGCCTCGGGAGGGTACATGCGCGGAAAGGTCACCGAGGTCTTCGGGCCGCCTGGCGTCGGGAAGACAGCGTTTGGGTAAATTCAAACCTTGCTCCGTCGCATACATCGGGTTCGGAGACTGAACTAGGTGAAGCATTCAGGCCGCTGCAAATGCATTGCGTGATGGCCACCGCGTCGTCTGGGTTGGTCAGTACGAGGAGCGATCGGAGCTCAGCGACGCTGCTGCGGCCATGTGATGAGGGCTAATTGCGTGCAGACGCAGCATGTGCGCCCTTGGTCCCTCAGCGCTTCAACGACGTCCTGTTCGCAGTCAGAGACCAGCTCCCTCCAGGATCTGCAATGAGTGCGGCCTCACCGCCAGAAGTACCTCGAGATGAACTGCAAAACCACTTCCATCACTTTACAGCGTCCACGCTGGTGCACCTGCTGGCTTTATTCGTGCACCCGCCCTCTTCATTTCCGCCACCAAACACAAGCCTCATCGTTATCGACTCGCTCTCGACCCTATTCGATAATGCATACCCCCGCAATGCCGACGATCGAGCATCGAGGAACAGGACTGATGCGACGCGCTGGGCTGCGGGACGCAAATTTGCAGTAATGAACGAGCTCATCTCGACGCTCACTAAGACCGCTGCGCTGCACGACATCGCACTGCTCATAACAAACCAGACCATCACTCGGATTCGGTCCGGTTCTCGGGCTCTATTGGTTCCGGCAATATCAGGCACAGAATGGGACAATGGCATCTCCACCCGCTTGGTTTTGTTTAGGGACTGGGTTCCGGGGCAAGGGAAGTGGAGTGATGCCAACGCTGATAGATTACAAGAAGCCCGGTTTGTCGGTGCCGTAAAGACTAATGGCGCGACTCTGGCCAACGAAGGTGGAGTGGGAAACGTGGTCCCATTTACTGTCGACTGCGTAAGTCAATTTACTACCCGCAGAGCCTACAATATCGCGGACGCATATCGATGCTCTATGCGACGATCACCCGCTGACCTGCTCCAGACAGGCCTTCGCGACCTGAACGTCGCTGCAGTCGATATTGCACCGGCCCCCGTTTCTTCACAAGCGAGGCCGCCGAAAAGACGCTTCGCGGAGATCGACGATGACGAGGGTGGAGAGCCTGATTCTGATGAACTATACGGCTGGGTTGAGGATGATGAAGTCGCCGCGGAGGGACTGCTAATTGAAGAAGCGCCAATCACTTCGGACGTTGACACTGCAGAATCTGGTGCTTCGCCTCTCGCAGAATCTCAAGCAGAACATGTTGCAGAACAACAAGGCAAGAAGGTGACACGACCGGCGACTCTTTGATTAATTCTTGCATGTTTGGGACCGACCGGTCACCGAAGCCTTACTGCCGCCTTCTAGAAATCCCGTTGCCACAATCTCCGCGTCAGCGATACTACGCCTCAACGGTGCTTATCAGAGTGCTTCGGCTTGGATCTTGGAGGATTCCTTCTTCGTAAGCTCACCGGGGCGTGCTCGCGGCTGAGCAAGATTCGGTCAGCGCCAACCAGCGGGGGAATATTTGATCCTTGAATCTGCATCTATCCGGACCACCCCATAGGCCCCGCGTGCCAGGTTCACTCAATTTTGCCGTGTGGGGTTGACCACCCGCTGCGGAGGATGACCCGTCCGGGGAGTACAGAACACCATCAACAATCGTTGTTTCTCACCTCAGCAGCACGGAAGCTGCAATCTAAGTCTCTGCCTCGCGACATCCAATACTTCTCTCCTCCTAAGATCACCCAACAACTCAGCCCGCCCCATGAGTCCATTCTTCCGGTGGCAAATACGAGAGCGGCAGGTCTCATCAACTCAATCCTTCAATTACACCGCGCCTCGATTCTAGAAACGGGGAACCCGGGTGTTGCATCCTGCTCCTGCTCAACAGAGACGTCGCCAAGATCCGGGGGCCGCCTGTACTGTGTCGCAAAAAGCAACGCAGGATCCTTATCCTTCCACCACACCCACACGTGCCCAGGGTCAGCACCACTTTGTTGCGCTGCATGGTTCCGGGGAGACACCGGGATCCAAAGTGCTGGGACGTGTCGCTGACCGGCAAAATTGATGCCCGTTTTGGAACGCCCGCATTCTTGTGGCTGAGGTGCGAGTCTGGGGCAGATGCGTTCTGGCCCGAGGACCCCTGGTCCCGCGTGGGGGTCGCGAGAAGCATGACGAGATCATCTCCTCCTCGGAGGGCATCATTGACCGGTCTGCGAAGTGTGCGACGGGTGAATAGGGATGCGGAATCCTTTGGGCCGTCCCGCTGGGGCTGCTACGGCCCTAGGCTGAGGTTCGCCGCGGAAAACCTGGGTGAGGAATGGAATTCTGAGGCGATGATAGAGTTTCGAGAATACCCGGAGTGTCTGGCTCTGGAAAAGAAGGACAATGCGATTTGCGATTGCGAGTCACAAGATTGCCAATCCTTGAGTCAAGAACGCATAATGAAAGGACCTGTCATAGCACCGTGACTGGTGGAAATTCCTCTTCGTGCCTTTTGCTGTATGTGTGAAGCGACTTACTCGCAATGCTGGGCGCCTACACGACTCTAGGTTTGAACTACCAGTAACTACGGGGCTGACTGACAATTCCACATCGCGAAATCGAAAAAGGCAATGCTTCCTATACCGCTGGTATGCGCTCGCACATTGCATCGCATCGCATCCAGCGGCACGCCAGCCTTCTCTCACTCACCGCAACAGACAAACCGTCTACCTACCCCACTAGGCAAGAACATCCACGACCCCAAGTTACGTATCTCGCACTACCCCACGAAATCTCGTCACCCGCCCCCGGCGCAGGATACGAAGGAAGGCAGAAGCCACGCGTACGCTATCATCGATGCGCGCGGCCTCCCGCTTCGCTCCGCGCTCACCGTTCAGACATCCCTGGCTAGTATCCAGGCTATCTGCTGCCACTGCAGCTTTCCCCAGACGCAAGAGCGAATGCCGGCTCCTACGGCACTCTGTGTGATGTGGTAGGATACAGTGGGCACACTACTCCGGTAGTTGGGGCAAGCGATCCGCGGGGTATTCCTGGGATTTGAGTCTCGTGGCCTGTTTTCGCTTCGAGCCGCTGGTCGCGTATGGGTATGTGTGTATGTAGAAGATAACCTTAGATCACCGGGCCGCGGAAGGGAGGAGGACTGGGTGCCTCGCTTGATCTTCGCTTGATCAGGTGGGGAGGTAAAGCAACGGTATGCGCGGTTCGCATGAGGCCCTGCTATCTATCTGATAAGCCCGGCTTGTGCTTTTGCTTGTCGCTTGGGGGTTTCGATTCGACGGTGCGGTGAGGGAGAGAGAGAGCGTGTTTTCGCTTTCGGAACAAAGACGAGCGAAGGCGCGGGCGCAAATCGCAGTTGTGGTGACATGCCCCTCGCTTTACCCTGCGTCCACGCATAACTCGTAGCGTAAAGGGATCCGCTTCGTTTTGTGGGGGAGGGATGGGCATGGCAGATACGGACCGAGAAAAAGGAAAGCCACGGTGCATTAGTTATTGCAAGTGAGGCGGGAAAGCGAGCAAAACGGAATATAGGGCCCGGGGGCTTGGTAACGACATGCGGATGGTGATGTATAGGGAAAGGAGATGCGATGCGATGAGAAGCGGTGGGGGAATAGGAGAGGGGGAGATGATGTTGTGTATGCTTTTGCTTGCGTGATCGGACCTGCTATGTTTGGAGAAGGGAGAGGAGGAGTGAGCGTGCGCACCATAGCATTGGTGATAGGCCCGTGGAAGTGTGTGAGGACGCGCTGGGGAGAGCTTGGAGGCTGGAAGATGATGCTATGTGTCATGTACGACTGGCGGTAATGCTGGATCTTCGCGACCCGTGGTGGTTGTATTCTGTCGTTGCCATTAGCATTGTTGAGCAACTTCATTCCGAGCGGAGCCAGCGCTGGAAGCGCAAGTCGACCGATGATGCCATCGCAAGCGTGACACCAACGTTGAGACTGTACGACGTCGCCTGTGGCTTTGCTTGGATGTGATAGTGATGAGAGGTGGTGGTGCGGCTTCTGTGAGGTAGTACAAGCCCTACCATTACTCTTTCCGGCCATCTCTGTAACATTCATATGTTTCGTACCTCCCGATTAGGTAACTATATCAGCTTTTCATATACTTAGCGGGCCTGCTAAGTTTTAACATTTTGGTATCGAGTTTCAACGAGCATGTGATGGTTGCACAAGGCCCGAGATGGGGCCTGAGGCCGCGGGCAAGGTCGACGATAGCGCCGCGATACCGGCCGGAAGCTCTTCGCTACGAATTGACAGGCCTGCTTCTTCATGGCATGAGGGCGAGATAGGACGTGACGGTGCTCTCGTGCCACGTCAAGATAGAAGACCCGCTAACGCAGTGAGACTGGCAACCGAGATCGAACACCGGCTCCTAGATCGCCGTTGCTGCGACCCCAAGCTTGCTGAGCTCGTATGTCAAGGAGGCGGGCTTGGTGATGCTATTTGTCGGTCTTATGATGTCTTGGATGGGAATGCATGGGCGGAGATTTTGTTCGGAAAGGGGAGTACTCGAGAAGGCCATGCGGATAGTAGCGAAGAGAAAGAACAGGTTTTGATGCTCGTCTTGGTGCTTTTCGCCGAGGTTATGGTCGGCTCAAAGGTAGTCTAACCCCAGAACTTCGCTACGGCAGGAAGGAAGATTTCGGAACGCAAACGACCGTGCTGATGAAAAGATTCTCCGCTTTGTGCGTCATATAAATTAGCGGACAGACACTTTGCTGAAGCATTGACCGCTCTGCTGCAAAGCCTTCAATGAGAGTACGTATCTCGAGCATGTCGCGTTGTCTGCGACGGCGATAGCTCCGGAATGCGTAGTGTACCGGGTAGACGCCTTGTTGGCAATATTATCGCATATGAAAGGGCTGATATTATTGCGATAGTACAAAGGTACATCGCAGAAACAAAATGCCGTGTCAATGGTACGCCGCCGGAAGTACTGTGCCGCAGACATTTGGTGGGAAGATACATCGGGGCTCGGTATCTATTAAGCCGTGGCCTGGAACATCCGCCGTTCGAAGATCGTTTCTAGAAGCTGGAGATCAGGACCGCTTTCCCGCTGCATGACACTCCATCGCCAGAGTTACTGAGCTAGGAAATCCCTTGAAAGTGAGTCTAGAAAGCGTGAATGCATGCTAACGTGACAATCACATGAAGAGGCACGGACAAGGGAGGAGGTACGAGTGAGGAGGGTACCTACGTTCTAGTGACGCCACCGGCATACATCCCAACAGAAAAATCTGTATATCAATCTCTGTTAACGTTTGAAGGCCCAGCGGTATGTTTAAATATAGAGGAACTTCGGTCTGGCCTGTAAGGTTTGAGGGCTGCAGCTTACGTGCATCGGACTTCATATATCCAACGTGGCTATCAGCAGATACTCGCGGCTAAAGAGCGTTGCTACAATTTGAAAACGCTATCGGGGGAAGAGAACTGCGCGTCTGTGCAGCACCGGAGTTGGAGCTGGGGAGAGATAAGGAAATTTTTCTGCATGTTATGCGAGAGTAGATTGAGGCGATCTGCAGGCCGTAGATCAAGCTGCAGATACGCGTTGATGCGCACGTTGGAGCGGATTAACGGGCTCTTGGCGAAGTTGGCCAAGTTGATGAAGAGTAATTGCGTCGAGAACTCTGTGAAGTCAGCCGTCGGTGGACGAGCTTGAGCGGAGCCGCGATCGTTGGCCGAGGTGTGCGGCTCTGTTGGACTCGGAGGAGCGGACGCTAGACGTTGGAGAGCTCAAGGTTACGGTTCTCATCGGATGCATGGGTGGGTACGTGCTCTGCTCAGCAAGCACATGGAAAAAAATGACGAGTGAGACATGCGCAGATTCGCATGATTGAAGAGCTGCGCAATCATCCACCATCTTGACCCTGCACTTGAAGGATGCGAGCCAATGTACCTCCTTGATGAATTGATAATTGCTGATCTGCAGCACTGATTGACGATACCTCGAAGCGAAAACCGCAGACCTGGTACTGGACTGTGTGAAGTATATTGAGGAGTTGTACGAGATTCTGCGAAGGTGAAGATCGGTCCTATATGCTGTACACCGTAGAGTTAACTTCAAAAGTTTGGCTGAATTAAAGAAAGCTGTTGAGGAACAGGTGTTCGAGGTTCAACAACGGCGAAAGGGCGGTTTCCGTCTGCGGTCCGGGACAGAGGCGAGACATCCTCTACATCATCACGGCGGAGAGTCGGCCCTGGGTTTCCATTGGGCGTCCGCGCTACGTCGGATGGTATCACTGAGCTTGAGCAGCATTGACGTTGTTGATGCGCGGTAGGCATGTGACGATGACCACTGAACGACTTCATGGCACCGACTCACACCCTTCCAAAACAGGCAATTTGATGTCAGTACCCGCTTCACTGACAAAGTCCTGGCATCGGCGATGCGCAGTCCAGTCATCGTTTGACTGGTGCCAATTTGAGTCTCCAAGCAGGCCGGACTCGGGGTAATTTGCTCCTCCAAACGATATCGTGGTACGGTGGGGTACGTGCTATTTCCAGGAGAGGATAATGTGGAGACCCCACACTTCGCATCGCCCGCCTAAATTCTAGGTGTTACATGCTAGAAGCGAGTCAGTGCCCTTAGAATCGTTGTGTTTGGGACCTAGAAGCCTGCTAGACCATAAGAGCATGATTCACCGCAGGAGGGAATTCCCGGTTGAAATTATTCGTGCTATCTTTGGCGCGACGAAGGCTGGCGGTTAGGAGATGGTCGAGTTTCTTATCTCTGGCGACTACGGAGGTACGTACCGCTGAGAAGCGGAAGTCGAGCGACCATTGGGGGTCAAACCTTGGAGGCGAAAGTCGCCATCGCAGACACGGGGTCGCGTGGTTGGATTTTGATTGCATCGCCGGCTCCACGACGCGGCAGTGGTGAGTAGCGTTACACGCCGTACGGGTTGCGTGTTGCGACCCCCATCCACATCTGACTCTGGCCGTCTGATAGGGCAGGTCGGGTCGTCGTCTCGCTCTGATCTGGCTGAATTCTTGACAGCGCAGCATCCCGACGACGTAAGCCCCAGACGAGAATAGCAGCGCGACGTGGGAAACCTGGAAAGCTGGAGAACGGGGGTTGCTGGCCCGCCGTATCTTAGTTTTTCCGGTCGAGACGATAGACGACGAGTAGGCGACCGTGGGATTATCGGAGTGGTGCGAACTGGCCACATCGACTCTTTCTGCCCTTTGGCGCGCTCATCAATAGTCTCGTCCTGGGCGGAAGGCGTGCCGTTGAACCTACTGTGCCGTCGAGACCGCTCTACGCCTAATAGCTCCGTGAGTCGCGATGCTGGAGCCGCAGCAGGGTCGATCATGACCTCGCATGATGCGGAGTGCCGGGTCTGGGGTGCAGGCGCTTTCACCAGACAGCGCAAGACCACTCGCCCAGCAGGCTGAGGTGTCGCAGCTGGACTCCGCCGCCTCAGCAGCAAGCCACCCAAGTCCCGACGACTGCCGACGACAAGGCAGAATGGGGCAGTCGACATGCTGGCCGTGCGCAGGGGTGCGCGGTGTGGTGTTGCGAATGTCACTGGCTGCCGAACTCGGAAGGTCGAGGGCGCATCGATTTTCCCGCGCCGACCGCGCTCCACGTCTGCCGGCGACTGACTGATGCTGACGCCTGTGCCTGGGAGCTGCGATTGCGGAGACGGCGGGAAATGCGGAGGCAGCGTGGCGCTGGTGGGCTTATCGTCGCCTGACGGCCATTACGAGGGTGTGGTTGCGCAGAGGGCTGGAATGTGGCATTGCAGTCCCGGCAGCGCGGTAGCCCTCACCGCATCTCTGCAAAGCCCTTGCTGCACCTCGGGCTGAGACAGCCCGCGGGGAACAGTGTGCGGAGAATTAGTGCTGTTGGGGGAATCACGTACGATGTTCTCATGATAATGTTGTGCCCGGTGGGGAGCGCCGTGTCTAGCGATTAGAGGTGGAGAGATATGCTGCAAGTCCACCGCGGTATCCACTGCCTTGGTATCCCTTCCGTGCAACCCTGCAACGAGTGCGGTTGCCTCACTTGGCGTTGCAAGCACGTCACTCTTTTCCATCTCGTAATGATTAGGGAAAGTAAGGGTGGAATTAGGTGGAGTGTTTCGATTACGTGCTAAGCTGAGCTGAGCTTTTTATGTCTACCAGCTACCAAGCATCTGCCAATAAGCAGTGCTCCCTTCCCCACTCGCCAGCCTGAGATGCCTGCCTAGGAAATCGATAACAAAAACCAAAGTGATAATACATCGACTGCGGATCGCTGGGATCGCGGGGTATGATCGAATCCGACAAAGTAAACAAGTCTATGAGTGATCGAACCGAAAATCGTGGAACTCGTTATTGCCCCTGGCATTACGGTATTGTTCCCCGTGACCCGTCTATGACCCAGAGTACGCAACGCTCGCTGGCTGAAAACGATGAAATCCAATCAATGTTACCGAAACTCCGCCCTGTGCAGTGCTGTGAAGACAATCAAAAGCGGTCCGAGAGGTCGTTGCCGGCCAGGGAACCCGCCGAAGACGAGTTCCCAGAGGAGAACCCGCTCGGTGCATTGAGCAGGTCCTGAACGGCGACTTTGGGAACCTGGGGGACGGGCAGTTTTCGCTGCGCGCCCTCGGATTTCGAGATGATGTCGCCAATCCTCAGGCCGGTTGTGTGACTCGGAATGTAGGGCTGCTCGGTGTTTGTCGAAGGCTCCATTGGTGCTAGCGCCGGCACGTGGTTCAAGGACAGATGCCGAAGATGGGGAAGTTGGACATCGTTGAACCCATGCGGGCGCAGGCGGGGACTGTGCGCTGGCGTGGCAAGCGGAGTATGGTCTGGCGTCGGACTGCATGAGTCATGGGAGAAGGATGGCGATGGCGGCGCGGTGGACATCGGCGAGCCGGGCCGCGACTTCTTTGTCATCCGGTGGGCGTACGGGTCGTCGTCTTCATGTGAATGCGATCTCGACATCGGCTGCGAGGAATACGCATACTGCGAAAGACCGGGAAGTCGAGGACCGCTACCGCTGCTGTTGTGGTACGGATGGTAGCCGTGGCTGGTCAGGTGGCGGTTTCCATGTGAGAAAGAGTGGTGGCTATGGTGACGCTGCTCCAGGCGCGAGGCGGCGTCTGCGAGCAAATCGATATTGCGCGCCAGTCCGTTGGGACTGCTGCTGTTGCTGTGGCTGCCTCCGCTCCGGTACGATGCGAGATCCGAGGCAACGTTCGGCGAGTAGTTCGAGAACGAGTGCGGTGGGGAGACATTTGGCGAGCCGAGATTCGAGCTGGGTGCGGAGCGCGATATTGGCTTTGAAGGCGGGGGCATCATGTGTGTCATGCCCGCACCAGGCTCCATCATTCCGGCAGCGGCCGCAGCAGCAGCGGCGGCGGCATGCTGCTTGTTGCCTCGCCGCGAGTTGGGGTTGTTGTGTATCCTGGAGTGCCGGGTGAGCTCGTCGGAGCGGCTGAAGCGTTTCGAGCATCCGGGGAAAGTGCAGGCGTGCGGCTTCTCTCCAGTGTGGGTCCGGATGTGGCGGGTCTGGTGCTCGAGACGGTGGAAGGCCTTCTCACACAGCGGGCACTTGTACGGGCGCGGAAGGTCCTGGCGGGCGTCCTCTTGGGCAGGCTGTGCGTTCTGCAGGAGGGGAGCCATGAGGCTCACTGCGGCAGTCGCCATGGGGGCCTGGGTGGTGACGGCCGGGTTGGTGGTGGCAGCAAGGAGGGCGGCAGAAGCAGGCTGCTGCGGGCGGTCGGCGGGAGTGTCGTGGTTGAGTACGCTGGAGAGGTTGCCAAAACCTACGGACGGGGTTGAGTGTTGCATGTGATCAGCACCAGCGGCGTGGGCGAGAAAGTCGGGGGAGGGATGGGGGGCTCGAAGATATTTAAGAACGAAAAGGCTTGGCGGTTGGTGTGGGGGGAACTGGCGCCCTGGAAGCTTGTCTGTGCGGACGAGGATCAGCCGGAATCAGGAGAAAGCGCTGCCAAGGCCGGCGCAGAGTGTGGAGCGGCCGGGCGCAAGGTGTTTCTTTTCGGGTCGGCGTCGAGTCGTGGAGAATGTCGCAGGCTAGCGGGCCCCGGTCGCGCAATGATGACTGCGGCGGCTGCTGTCGGGCTCGGGCGTGAATAGATTGCGGCGGCGAGCTGCGCTGGAATGCTGCCGGTGAGATGGCGTGCGTCTGGCGATATATTCTGCTGCCGATGGGCACGCAGGGTTGGGGCCTGGGATCCCGGATGCGATGATGCGGTGTTGGGGCTGTTGGCGAGCGCAGGCCAGGGAGCAAGGGCGGCGGCGGCGGACGGCCGAGGAGGAGGCGCTGCGACTGGAAAACTCCGCCCGGTAAGTTATCTGTGGAGCACGAAGCCGATGTCAGACGCAACCGGGGAACCAGATTTTGCAGCTGAAATTTTTCGCTGGGGCGGTGAGCCGACGCGGACGATGGTGATGCAACGCTGGCAGGGCGGGCAGGCAGAGCGGCGGCGAGGCTGTGTCGAAAGGCAGCATAAGACAGCGGACGCGCCGTGTCTTTTGTACAGCGGCGGAGTGGGTGGTGTACGTGAGCAGCGCGGCAGGCGGGCGCCGAGTCACGCAGGCGTGCTCAGGAGACAGGAATGACGAGGAAGCTGGGGAACGCAACGTGTGGCGGTGGTGGGTTGGGTGGAGTTGGGGGTTGCTGTGGGTGAGATAAGAAGGGCACCACGGCTCGATACGCTGCAGACGTCAACCACTCGCGACGAGATAGCGGAGGCGTGCTTCAAGCCATCCCATCGCATCGCGGCGCGTGGGCCCTGTTATAGGCGTGACGGTCCCCATCTTCCTCGCCCGCCGTCCGCCTGCGGTTTCAGCGCCGCCTCGATTGGCCAAGCAGACGTGAGACGAGCAGCAGCTGTGTGTGACACGGCGACGAGCTCAGCGACAGCATAGGGCGCTCAGCACGAGTAATCAACTCGGCGCAAGGGCCGGTGCCCGCGCCCGATGCAAGGTCGACGACGTGCCCTCACTGGCCCTCCGCATCGCGCAGGACGCGACTCCAGGTACTCTAGAGTGGGATCCGCCATGATCGGCCGCCCTCTCAGTAGTTCCAGGGCAGCAGATCGCACATGTCAGATACGAGGCGCGGACCCCGTGGAGGGCCAATGGTTCACCATATCCGCCATGGTGGATTTTATCCTGCGGTTGCACGGCAGCCGCACTCGTCCTGGAGGATCCGGTGGGGGTCGCTCTGGGGTACTGGGCAGCCCGTGAATAAAGCAAAGGCGCGGCGGCTTCAAATTGTGCAAGCGCCAGGGCGCCCGCTCGTCGAGTGCGAAAAGCAATGCGGCATCGTCACGCTGGCCAACATGGTGTTGAGCTGTGTGCCCTGCCGGGCGGCGCCCTCCATCTCGGCCCGCGTTCAAGGATGCCTCGTCCCGGGCGAGAGTCGGTGAGCACGCAGCAGGGCGATCGATGCCGAGCCACATCTTCCCCTCCCCTCGCGAGGGCGGAATCCTGCTTAATTTACGTCTCCCAGCACACGACGCGATGCTGCAGCTCGACACCATCTCCAAGAGGCCAGACGCGCCTGCGCCGGCCTTGTCCGCCAACAAATCACGGCACCGATAACCCTTGCGGGGGCCCCGGTCGCGACCGTTTCCCGGACAGGCTGTTTTCGCGGGGCGACCCTGAGAGAGATCAGTGGGGGTGCATTCCCCCTTTCATACGCCCGCAGTCGGGACACACCGCGGAAGCGCGAGCCGAAGGTTCCGATGCAATGCCCTGCGAGCTCTAGTCGTTTGTACCACGCGCGAAGCGTACTCTGAAGCAAGTGCAAAGGCGATATTACTCATGTTAAGACGGCGGATAGAGGCGCCGCGCAACACCACCTCATCGGCGTGCACCATCTGTCACCATGATTTCAATTTTCGCAGCTAGCTAGCCTCCGCCAGACCTGCCGCGGTGCATTGGTGGGAATAGGAAGACCTTTCCCTGCGAGCACGCCATTTGTCCGAGCATTCTCCTAGCTCGCACGCTCGCTGCGGTTCTTTTCCGACTTGGTCTGAAATTTTCACACGCCCAACGACGGAGGTACCACGTATCGCGCACGTGGTTCGGAGAAAGTCGGAGGACGGTGGGGACTCGCGCAAGGCTTGGCGCGTAGCCTCTTGGAGCAAGCCGAAGCGTGCCGGCCTGCAAGGTACCGCCGAGGATGAACGTCGAAACAGCGCTATCATATCTCCATCTGTCGTCTTATCATGCCGATGCTCTTCCACCGCTGGCTTGAGTCAGGCTGGGAACGGAGGTTGCACAAGAGCGCTGCTGTGGTTTCAACCCCACTAGCGAGCACGTTTTATCGCTCTTTGATATTGATATGCGACAGGTAGCTCTGCAATGCCCTGTCACCCATTTCCGCTTTCGTGCTTCCAAGTCCTCTCGATCGCCAACGACAGCAATGCGGCGTACTCAGCAACGTGAGCAGCTCGTTGTGGACATAAAAGGCATACCGATGGCTCCTCCGGTCCGCTTACGCTGACGATCTTGTATCAAAAGAAGCAACTTCCGTGTCTCAAGCCACCCTCAAGTCGATCTACGATCATGCCATGGGGCCCCGCATTCTTATCGCCTACGGAGCTTCTACCACCGGCGGTACAAAGGGTATTTCCATGGACCACCAAGCGCCAGCGAAATGACATCAGGTTACGGGTGTAGCTTTGATGTCATAGCCCGCCCAACGATCCACGCTGATTTTATATTTACGAAATCGCAACGCGGCGGAAAGCTGCTCTGGGAAACCAATGCCAACCAAGTTACTAGCAATCCTAGTAGCAAGGGAAATTGTAAGTGTTACAAATTAACGGGCTCAAACCTGAGCATTCCGAAGCCAACTCATCTTCCGCTAACCACCACAACGGTTATTCCCGGCGCGTCAGCACAGCTCCCAAACAGAGTCCACAGGTTGTCCGTTAGCAGACTCATCGCCATTATTGCTGACCAAACAGGTGGCGGAGGAGTCATTCGTGTGCTTCTCAGTTCCTCTTCCGTACCCATCCTACATCTCATGACTAGGTAACTTCCGCGCTACACCGCCTGTGTTATATGACGGTGTTATCAGGTGCTATCTGCTAGGAGTTCGAGTTGACATCTTAATGGATGGAATTCGACGGTAGAATCCACTGTCGATCTTTGTTGTTGATCTTCGCCCCATGCTAGCACTCCGCAGTATACACTCCGTATCACGTATACACTTTCGGGGTTTTCGTTAACCGGCGTGCAGTTATGGACGATCGGTCAATTTCTCCCATACTCGCTTGCCTATGAAAAGTGGGATCTGGACAACTGTACTGCTCTAGTTCGATTGCTACAGATAAAGGGTGGGATGATCGCGATTGAGCAAATACGTGGTCACGTTAGAAACTACCTCCTTACTTTCATGTCGGCTGACTTCGAGATCATATAATCATCCGGTGGTCAAACTCCGTGGGGAAGTACGCCCACACCTCGCAGACCGCTTGATACTAGCCCAGCAACAAGAGATTCGCTTGATTGACGGTACCGGCAGTTACTATACCTCATTTGTCTAAGCGAGGGGGGAAGTGTCACCAACTATCAGTTGTACTCCGTCTCATATTCAATCGACAGATAACATGGCTGACAGCAAAAGGCCGCTCTTTAACGCCAGTACACCATACCCACGCAGCTCAGAGCCAATCGTGCAATTCTCCTAGATTGGAAATAATCGCTCTACCCGTCCCCACGTCCCCATTTATCCCCAGGCACTTGTTGTCAAATTTGTCTTTGTGGGCAGTAATGACGTCGCTGCCCAATCGGTATTCTAAACAGTAACAGGCAACGTACTCGAAAAGGACAAGTTCTCGGATGTGAACATGCGATTCATTGGTAAGGGTATCTATTTCATTCGTCGTCCGTCATGGCAGCTCCTGTCGGCCTTCCGAGCTTCAATACGCGGCTGATGTTACATATCCAAGATCATTCGCAAACCGGCTGGAGCGTATTCAGCACCTCTGTTATATGTCAGCGCTGTGAACGCCCACCGCTTGTCCTCTTCCTTCCTAACTTGAAGAGTTTGTAATACCAAGAAGCACTTACCTAGATTATCGGCGACACTACATGTATCCGATGTGCATTCAGTAACCAGGTCGAAGAATATCCCGCATAAGCAGTCATCGTCGGTGTTCGGGTCGCACCCAGCTTCTTCCGCGCCCTCATTCCAGCAGTCTTGCTGTGAGTGTCATTAGCCGGCTGTACTTTTGAACATTCGACTCGGAGCCTCCACGGGGAAGTCAGTCGACCGTGGTGAATACGTACCGCGCATTGTCCGACGGCTGCTACGGCTTCACCCTGTGGAGCCGCGAGAGCAGAGGCAACCGTGATGGCGCCCAAAACGATCAAACACCCTACCAGGAAGCGACGCATATTGCCTGCAAAAGATCGGCGGGAAAACGATTAGAGGTCGACGGAACGACTAGTTGAAAGGCAAGTCCGCGGTCGATGGAGCAAGTGCTCCAGTGGATACTCAAGCAGTTCTTATAACCTACTTGTATCAGCCATATTATTTTTGAACCCCAGCATTATGCGCTGTGTTTCAAACTTCCACTCCGACGGTTACATACTTCGCCGCATCGTCAGACCAAAACACTGGCATCATCCTTGATATTTAGGGCGCGGCATCGTTGATGCACAAAGTTGGCATGGTGGTGGATGGATCGGATGGTGCTTTCCCAGAGCGGCCGCACGCCATTCACTGTCACGTGACGTTTGCACGAGGTTTCAGGTCCCAAACACGCTCTCAAGATGCCACCCTAGTTCCTCCGCGTTTCGTTCCGTTCCGCAAGACACGCCACCCCAGCTCGGATCAAACGGTATCCCCTTCACGGTAGGCTGATAACCGTCGCTTTGCTCGTACGATACCGCGGCTCGAAGAAATACTTGATGGCGAAATGTTGTGCAGAGTCTTCTCAAGGCATCAATCATGAGCAGATATAACGACTGAATCAGTAAAGATTGAAGCTGCTCTCCGTTACAGCCCAGGAGCTGCCGAGCTGCTTCACTTGGCGGGGTGTTTGCCCAGTGCAGCGTTTCACTCCTTAGGACGACAGGCTCCGTTTCGAGGAAATTTGAGGATGGCCTTCGAGGTCTAAACGTCGTCACTATCTTCGTGGCTTCATTCAAAAGCGTTTTACTACCCTTCACAATCACTATATCCGCAACCACTGCGCCGTTACGAGTGACAATCCGAGGCTCAGCGCTGTACAACGTCGTACAGAGACACCACTGATGATACAGCCAAGGACAGTTCGTCACATTCGCTACAAAGTTGTTTGTGTTATCCTGCAGCTTGCAACCGCCTAGTTCAGTGCGCAATGCGAAGTGAGAGTCTAGCTAGGTCAGCCTCTACTTGCTCTGCGGCACGCTTTTCAAAGGCATACGCTCACTTCTTGAAGGCCTTTTCAAAATACTGAAGGCACGTTGAATCGTACCTCTCACGTGCTCTTTTGGACTGTTGTCATCCCGTCTCACTCGACGTTTCCCGAAACGGAAGTGACATTTGTAAGCAACCACTTCACACCTCATGGCATCATTCTTGAATGTTTCCTACATTCCCATACTGCGAAATCAGTACAAGGCGAAGGTGGCCAAGTCATCTGAAATCTAATGGCACGGAGGACCGATCCAAGCGACGACGACTGGCGGAGCGTCGAGGATGCAAAGAAAAGGAAGCAGATTCAAGACCGACTAGCACAAAGAGCAAGACGTAAGTCCTTCCCTTTGTTGCCTAAGGAAGCGGCGGTATATCGAAAGAGAAGACAGGGAAGTTTCGAGTGAAGGTCTAAAGCATGAACTATAAACCTCTCATCTTAATGGGACCCGATGGCCCCGGAGGAGAGTGCAAGGCAGCACCTAGTCAGTTGGGTGTCGGAAAACCACGCAACATACCCAAATTCGCTCATTGGCTCACTGTGTTCCAGGACAGCGCCTTCGCGAAGCAAAGAACAATGCGAAACGCGGGTCTCGAAAGGATGAAACGCCCAAGTCCGACGGCGACGCGCAACAAGTCGACGAAACCCAATCTCAAGCCATTGTACCACGATCTCCCGGAAGAATGGCCCTTGCTCCCCACGATTTTATCGAAATGCTCCCAATCTGCGCAGTTGCATCAGATGCGAGTGGCATCTCGTCAACTATCGAGTTCCCATCTTCAGACGCATGCAGCTCTTCGTCTGGTGAACTTCCACCCTTCGACATAGGCAACATCCCTTTATGTCCATTCTTCGTAGCCCAAGCCGAGGCCGAGGCCGCGCGTGCGATCGCAGCCGCAATTCCCTCACCAGCAGGCCAACCCAATTATCCACTCTCAGTCTACGGCGCGCTCTTTCTCAACGGCCAAATGCTCGGTCTATCATGCAGCACCGTGATCCCCGCCAAATCCACCCCCGCCACTCCAGATATCCCACTCCCTCTCCAGCCAACCGAGCTACAACTCATGACGATACATCACCGCTGGATAGACAGGTTTCCATTTCCCAAGATGCGGAATTCGTTGATAACCTTGGCCGGCATTATTAATGAGGATGAGTTCTTCCATGATTTGACGCTCATTCCGAGTTTTACTATTGTGCCTGGGCGTGCACCGTGGGATCCAAGGGCATGGAAGATTGAGAAGCCCTTTGCTGATAAATGGGGTTATTTGTTCTTCTAGAAGTGCATAAGGATGGAGAAGACGACCAAGGAGACCCGGAGGCCCAGAGTAGCGGACCACCTTGATATATGGATTAGACGACTTGGATACTCACTCGCTGATGTACATATCCGCCTACCAAACTCGCCACAACCCGATTGATCAGTCGGGCCGCCTACGCCTTCCCGCCTATCTCGACCAAATGCACAAACCAATCCACCACCTTCTCCGGCGCGCTCACACTCGGGCAGTGATCATTCTTTACCCTGGTTACGTCCACATTTCTCCCACTCGCCTTCTCAATAACATCAATGCAGCGCTGCTGCACCATCGGCGGCACGCACTTGTCCTCCTCGCAGAAGAGATACGAAACAGGCACATCCTTGTAGCCCGCGTACGTCAGCTCGTTGGTAAAGCTGACCACCGAGTGCTGCTCGAACTTATTTACCCATTTTAAGCCCTCCTCCGGGGAGAGGTCGCTGAAGACGTAGCCCGCGGTGATTTCGGGTGTGGGGTGGAACATCCATCCATCCTATGCACATCAGCATCTATCTCCCCGTTCCAATCCCAACCAAAGCGTTCAAAAAGCCTTCGAAAACCAGCATATGGGACTACTCAAGGAAACGATACGGGCACAACGGAAAATGGAAAAGGCAAACCTACCTCATCAACCGCCGTATAAGCGCTCGGCGCCTGATCCCCCAGCACACTGAACACAGCCGCACTATTCTCCTCCAACTCCGGCACCACCGCCGTCATATACGCGACTCTCACGACCCCTCCTTTCTTCCCTTCCTTCTCCCTAGTGTCTTTACTTAATCCCTTCAGACTCTCCGACGTCGGGATACCGCCGTACGAGTGCGCGACTAGCACAATATCTTTTCCCTCATCGGCCAGCTTGCTAACCACGGAAGCGATGTGCGCCGCATCATCGTACATGGTCGGCGGCGCTCCGGGCTTTTTACCCACGGTGCACGTATCTACGGCTTGGATGGAGTAGCCCTTCGAGGAGAAGGCGGATATGACGTTGGTGTAGAAGGAAGGGGGTACGAAGGAGCCGGGGACGAGGACGAGCGTTGGTTTTTCGGCGGCCATGTTGCGTTTTTGCTCGGATTTACGTAGTTCTGGATTGAGGTATAGGTAGGGAAGGGGTACTGGATATGGAGGTGGAATCGGCAAACAAAACAATAGCAACAGTAGTCGTTCGTTTATGTAGCCAGCTGACTAGCTAGCTGTTAAAGACTCGTACGAAACAAACAAAAGAGAAAGCGTTGATCAATCTGCAATAATCCTCTTTCTCGTGCGCATCCTAGGACGCCTTATATAAACCCTATAGCTAGCTCTCATCTTGCTTGTTAATCTGACTGCCCAAGCCTTCCGACGTTGGTATTCTGACGTAGCGATGTCAGAAATTAGCTAAGGTGACTAAAAGCGGAATGGTGGGGCTATGCTGGACCATGGACGAGGAGATGTGCATGTGCGGCGTGCGGCGTAGTCAAGTATGCGGGTGCCTAATTGGTGAAGGAGAGGGGAATAAGTAAAGTGTTTGTGGCACGGATGCCGGTGCGAAGGGGAGCGGCTGATCGGCCGATCGGGAACGGCGGAAAGTATTAGGTATCGAGGAGTAGAGGGTTGGTTCGCTGTCTGCTTTAGATGCCTCTACAGAAGGCTTACTGGGGGATGGTTTGCTTATGTTGGCATGGGGCGTAGTGCTAACGCATGGTAGTATCACCGTATAGCGTTCTTCCACACGAATTCCACGTCCCATCAACCGACTTCTGTGCGAAAGAACACCGTGTATCATTTTCACTATGATGTTACGAGCGCGAAGATCTTCCATAAACCTCAGAGATGTCCTCCTTTTCCTGGTCTTGCTATATCCACCCAAGCTGTTTTGCCACATACTGCGCTCGTTCTATCCATGCGAATTATTTCGTCTCCTCGCCGAAAAGGTCTTTCTCCACCATTTGCCTGTGCGCATATTAGCTTTTGGACTTGATTAGATGGGACAAGCACTTACCTGCAGATAGGATGGTAGAAGTCCTTGTTCTTCTCGAACGTCTCTACAGCAAGATCACGGTCTGCCTTCGCCAACAACCTAAACAATGGCCTGACAAACTTCATCCTCCCGATCTTGCCTAGCAGCTCCGCAGTCGGCTTATACGTCTTCTCAGCCTTTGCCTTCAGCCCGATTGTTAAGAATCTGCTCAGGACCTCGATATTCTGCGTCGTCGTGAACCCATACACATCACCTAGCAGATGTACATCCTTCGGAGAAAATGACTCCGCGAATGCCTGGCAGCGCTCAAGGAAGACAACTGATTGATTCGCCATCCAGCTCTCAATATCCTTCTTTCTTGGCTCGAACGTTGACTTCCCGCCTCCTTCAACGCGCGCTTTCCATTTGTCGGCAAGCTCATAGCACGTCTTTACGAGTGTGTCATCGAAGTCGGGTCTCTTGGGGTAGCCCGGCGCGTAGAACAGATTATCCCAATCGAATTCCTCAAGTTTCTTGCCCGCTTCGGTGTCTTTGGCGAAGAAGTCGATCAGGCAGGATTTGAAGTCGTAGCTATCCACCGATTTGAATTTGAACGTCTCGAAGTAGTGCGGAATGAACGAGTCCCATTTCTCCTTTCCAAGGAGCAGTTCGAAGGCATAAAGGGCGTGGAAGCCTTTCTCGTACGGGATGCTAGAGAAGGCATCGTCGGGATCTTGCCCTTTGAGATCGAGAACGAGTTTCGTGTACGGGTGGTCCTTGCCAAATTTCTCGACCGAGTCTTCGAGAGCCTTCCAGCCGATGATGGAGGAGAAGTGTCGATGTGCTTCTCCATGGACATACCCCTGGATCCTTCGCTCCAGATACGTCGTCCATCCCTCGTTAAGCCAGAAGTGCTCCCAGCTCGCCGCACTGACAAGATTTCCGGACCACGAATGCGACAGCTCATGCGCGATGACGTCGACGTTCTGTTTGTCGCCAGAGATGATGCTAGGTGTTGCGTACGTCCAGACGGGGTTCTCCATGCCTAGGGCGAGTATATCAAGTTAGCGCAACTCTTCAAAATGCTCGGGGGGAAGAGGGACTGGTGTCGTTCTTTCCTAAGACTTGCGGTCACGGCGAGCGAAGTGCTGCTTAAGCACCATTTCGATCAACGCAGCGCAGCCACTTTGACGAGGGGACACGCAATTTGTACCCCAGTGTTACGTACCGCCGTAGGGGAACGAAGGTGGTAGAATGAGCACGTTGTATTGTGTCCATTGATAAGGCGGCGAAGCTACGGATTCGATAGCTTTCATGAATGGCTCAATCTCGCCTTCAAGCTCGCGCTGACAGTCTAGCAGCTCTTCAGGGCCGCTCCACACCGTGCTACGAGGCCCAATCGATGCGGATGCAAGATCCCCACTTGCGACGGCGAAGAGGTAGCTTGGAATAGGGACTCTCTGCTCGAACGTGTACAGCAGCGTTCCTGACTTTCCATCCTTCCCAGGCACATACTCTTTCGACCCCGTTGGCAGCCCTGATGCAAGAACAGGTAGTGGGGAGCGGATAGCGAAGTCGAAGGTCGATTTGACATCTGGAGTGTCCTGGCACGGGAAGACGGAGCGCGCATGGATGGCCTGGCATTGCGAAAACATATACGGATGTTTTTTGTTGGAGGTTTGCGCTGGGGTCATCCATTGGAGAGCCGTGCACTTATCGGTCGTTGAGAGCTTGATGTCGATTTCGATCGTCTTTCCTTTCGGGACTCCAGAGTCCAGCTTGATGGATAGAGGGCTGCCGTAGGGCTCGATGCGGTCGCCAACATTCCATTTCGCGGTTCTACCGTCAACTTTGACATCCGCAACATACAGGAAACTATTAATCCATCAGGCGACCGTCCCACGCAGCCTTTCACCGCCTCCCCAATGACCGCTATCAGGTGGGCAAACATACCTCGAATCCAACACCACCTCCTTACTCTCCCCCTCCGTTAAACTCTCCAACGTCAACTTTATTCCACCCCTAAGCACCCTCTCCTCAAAATCAAGTTCAAAGTCTGCAACCGTATGCCTGCTCACAAAATTGTGATAATTAGACAGCGTATTCGGGTCTCTTGGCGTCCTAATCGTGACATTAGGATCGGTCATCGCTTTCGTGACCATAGCTGCGGGCGCGCGATGCATCGTTGAAAAAGGCCTCCTTATTCCACCTCTGCTCTGTAAGAATAAGCGTTGCGGGTTCCAGTAAAGCTGGGTTGACGTTGAAAGTGCGAAAGAGGATGTAGTGATGAAGCGGGCTCGGGCGTCATGAAGGCCAAAAGCCGAACCAAGCCGTGCACACGACCTTCTGCATTGATTGCTCCAGATCGGCTGTGCCGACCCTAGAAGGCGCAATTGGACGCCGAAAGAACTTTGCATCAAGCTATCACTCAGGAACAAAAGGATGAAGGATGGACAAGCATCCTGAACTGCCTCCTTGTCGTCCGAGGCTTTTTGGGATGAAGCACGGACATTGCTGTCACGAGACCTCGCGTCGGCCCCGGGGAAGCATCCTCGCATACAGGCTTCACCAGGTTGTCAAATAGGATGCTGTGTGCACTATGTACAGCTATGCGCTTTAAGGATTCTGTTGCAGGTATATAGCTAAACGAGCCCTTAATCCAAGCAAGCAGTACGCCAGAACGCTCCGAAGCCCACCAAATAGCTAGCAAAGTTCCAATTCTAACATGGGCCATCCATGCCATGCCCTGAACTCCTGTCCAAAAAGACAAATGCGATCATCACTCAATCGGTCTTGCTACTATCTCCCTTTCGCCCCCGGTCTCGTATCACGAGGTTGATGTCTGGCCTCGCGCTCTGATATTGCTCGCTAGTTGGTATCAACGTATCGTCTCTTCCGGTTCTCCCTCTGCTTTCTTCACCGTCTCCGATTTCGAACGCATCGTCTCTTAGCTCGATGAGATCGCCTAGATCGCCGCCAACCGCTCCAATGACAGGGACAGCGGATCGTTTGCCTTGCCCAGGTGTAGACGGTTCGGATAACAGTTTCGTGGCCTGGCTACCGACTTTGCGCACCCAGCCTTCTATCGCGCCTCCAATTTCCTGAAAGTCGATGCCGGCTCCACTCAAGGGCGTCCGCGCGCCTGAGCCACCATGCTGTACGGTTGTCCCTGAGCCTGCATCTAGCAGGGACGGAGCCCAAGGTGTGAAATATTCTTGATCCGGCGGCGGATTGACATCGGGTAAGTGTGATGCAAATAACTTGTTCAATCCATCCTGGGCAGGACCGGGGCTCCGGACATTCTTGCCCATTGTACCGACACCGCCGGGTCCATGAAGATGGAAACCGGAAGTGCTGCGGTGGCGCCCATGGGGCCCAGATATGGATGATAGATTACTCGATGCGCGAGGTCTTGTTGTGCTGTGAGTCGGAGATGTGGCGTGAGAATTTGTAGAGGTGGAAGAACGAGGTAGATCGACAGAAGGTCGAGGGGTGGAAGCGTCTGAAAACGCGAGGGATTTCCGCCTGGCGGGTGGAAAGAAGCCAAGCGCTCTGCGTGGCATTCTTCCTATTTCTGTGGGCTCCGTATCGTTAGGGAGTAGCACCCAAGAATCATGTTTCCAGGGCGGTTCTTCGGTGTGGGATTGGGAGGACGAGAGTATGGAGGGTGTATCGGGGTCTTTGGATTTTAGAGAGCTCCAGCCGTTCGGTATAGAATTCGAATCCGTGCCTGCGCTGTGTAGACTATCCCCATAGTCACCTAGTAAGAGATCATCTTCTTGATGAGCGTCCGGGCCGGCCACTCGCCGCCCCTTTACTCCACAAGCGTCAACCGGAACGACTATGGTATCCTTGATTTGAACGCTGTCATTTGGCCACATGCGATTGGCCTTCCGCAATATTGCCGGCTGGCAATTGAACTTGATGCTGATACCGGCAAGCGTGTCCTGGGGCCGTACCTTGTGTATGTATACCAGCGCATCTCGATCCTCGTTCTCTGCGGGAGGTGCGGACACGCTCAGCCGCTCATCGGAGTTCCTTCGTTTTATGCGCCCAACAGAGTCTGGCATCAAATGCTCGTTAGCAGTCAGCAGGTCCTTGCGCTTCATTGCCCGAACCATGCTGTCCCTCTCTTCCTGCATGCCGGCGCCAACATGCGCGGTCGAAGATGCCGACGGACCCCATTGTTTCGGCGGAGCGCTGCTGGTGGTGCGTCGATGTGTTGCTAGCAACGGCTTGCGCCTCCTTGTGGATGTGCCTGTTGCGCCTGCCTCGTTGCCCAAGACGTTTGTCGCCAGACCCTGAATAGCCGACCAGGAGTTGCCCCACAGCCCGGACAGTGTAGAAGACGTATCCCTAAGCGCTCTCGGAGTATGCGCACTCGCCGATCGCACGAAGGACGACGTTGGGTCCGAGGTGACGTTGGGGCGTGAAGGATGGGCGTTCGGCACGGGGGATGCGGCTCTGGAGCCCAGGGGAGATGCGTATTCGCTGTCAGAGGCAGGGTACAGCTCATCTTCGACGGATATCAGGCGACGTGTCCGCGGGCGGAGCGTCGAGGCTGCAGGCGTCGAACTGCTCTTGGACGAAGGAGGGCCATTGGTGGGGTGCATAGCCTTCACGAGCCGCGGGGAGCTGGTGATACAACATAGGGGTGGGTGCGAGAGTCGGGAAGACGCATGGCATCAAGTTACTGCGGCATTCTCGAGGTTGTGTGCAGGTAACTGCCAAAGCGTGGTGGAATAGTTTATTGTATTGAGCCAGGGCGTACGTATGTCAACGCTGACGCTCAATAGACGACCGTGCGCGAGCCTCCCAAGACCGAGCAATCCGACATAGACTTGAACAGCTCCCCTACCACATACAAGTGCCAGCCAGATCTCACTTATTGCAAACATGCCTGACGGGACCCTTTCCATAGCTCGGACCACATTAGGCGTCAGAGGCCACATAGTCTCATTTGCTTGCTCTAACCCGATCTGGCGCTCGGCCTGCGCCGGTCTTGATTGAGCAGAAAAGTCACGATGCTACATTTCACGGTCAAGAAACCAATTCATTTATGCGCAAATTGAGCGGAAGTGTGACTGTCCTTCCACGGACGCAGCCACGTGTCGTTCGCTAACAACCCGGAAAGGGAACACAGAGCAAACTAGCCGAGTACCCTAGGTATATCATCATTCATTCATCGAACCCAGCAGGTAGTCATTCCATCCACATCCAGAATACCCATTGAGCGCCGCGGCGAAAAGCAACCCAGGAATGAATCGGCCTCATCGCCAAGGACTAGAGCTCTGCTCGACGTAGCTGACGCTTTCGAATTCCATCTCAAATGCATCGACCTCCTCGAACTTCTTAGCGATCGCTTCAAGAGTGGCCGAAGGTCTGGTAATGGAAGGCTCTGTCGTCTCCTCAATCTCGTCGCTATCTTCTTCAAGCTCAACAGCAGCTCCGTTCTCCTTGTCAGAAGAAGTCCGACGGCTGTATGTCCTTGTGTTCTCTTGAGCAGGTTTGGTTGCCGTAGTACTTTTCTTCGCGCGTGATACTTTTCTGGTCGATTTGGGAGCTGCTGATTTCCGAGCTGTGGGCGCCAGGCGACGCGGTGGCAATTGCAGCTCATCTTGATCCGAGTCAGCCGGGAACCCATCATCTGAAGATTGCAAATCATATTCGTCCTCTTGCGGCATTCGGGTTCGCCGTCGCGGAAGGAGTGCTTGCAGCTTCGCCGTGGATATGCCGTGATTCCTTCGTGCTTTCTGTCTCCCTTTCGCTTTCTTCGGGCCATCCGTCTCTTCACAACCTGATTCGACGTCCTTCCCTGCGTTCTTCGCTGTTCCTCGTCTTCTGCTCTGTCGCGGCCTGACGGCAGACTCCGGAGGGTCCTCAATCTCGTCCACCGGATAATCACTGCTGGACATAGGCGGTGCCATCGTCTCGCTGAGGATGTCTGGCTGGGCTCGGTCCACGTTTTCCTGTGCCTCTTCGGTACTTTGTACTACTTCCGGCAAACTTGGAGATGGTGACCGCGAGTCTACGTCAGGACCAGATGGGGGATCATACGGTGGAGAAGAACGTGGGACTTGCACTACGGGAGACGATAGCTTCCGCTTCGTTCCCCGGGAACTTGAGCTGGAAAGACTGAGTCCGCTTTTGTTGCCCGCCTCCTCTCCAGGCGCGCTCTTCTGTACACGGAGCGGCGTAGACTCAGCATCTGGGTGGAAATCATCCAAGTCGCCCAGGTCGTCTAGGTCATTGTCTTCAACATCGGTGGTCTGATGCACCATGCGCAGGAGGCTGGGTTGTCTAGCCCTCCGCTTGAAATTCGTCAACGCAAGGATAGATGTCTCGTGCGCCGGCGTTGCGCCGACTTTGATTGCGGATGGCGGGCGTGTTCCATGGGCTGGGGACTCCGAATCGAGAGATGTGAAGGTCAACAGGTTATCGCCAAAGCCACTGCTGTCTTCCTCATGTGCAGGCGCGTCATGCGCCCTCTTCTGCGCAGAGCGCGACTTGACTCTGGAAGATGCTGCTGACAATTTCCTCACTGAAGAACCTCTTGTGCTGCCCTTGGATGCGCGTGTCTGTCTTGTACTCTTCGACGGTGGCGTGAGATTCTTAATCGATTTTACTGGTGCATCCTCCTCGTTGTCTGGCGGAAGCGCGCCAGTCATTGTCAGGTCGACGTCCTCCTGCCGCGCTGGCTGCCATGGCATCCTCCTCTGTGGGCGCGTTGACTTGACCACCAGCCCATCGCTGTCATCGCTGAAGCTCTCCAAAGGTTTGGGGGCGTCGTCTCTTCGCGCTTTGGTGACTATGCGCCGGCGGGGAGCGGGATCTGTGGCGCTTGACGTTGTCGCGACGCGTGTGGTCGTCAACGCGACTTTTGCCCTCTTGGGGCGCGGCATGGTCGGATTCGAGCGGCGAAGGTTAGAATATGAATGCGTATCGTGTGCGACTGAATGAGCGTGATAGGGAGCCGTTTCGAATATGGTCGTAGAGGGCTATTTAGGTGGAGTGGTGAATCCAAAACATGGGCTGGACGCGCTGTGTGGATCGGACTAGCTGCAGAAGGCATAGCCAAAGCTTGTTTTCACCCATGAGCACGTGATGCGCACTGTCAGTGTCCACTTAGCCATGCCCCTCAGAATATCTCAGGCCGTCTCATAGCAGGTCATATTGCAACAACAAACCTGCCTACCGGTCAAGCTGAACACGTGTGGCGAAGGAGGCGTTCCTTGGCGTCAATTGAATAACCAGGGCTGGCACGCGAGTGTGGCTTATACAAGGCAACGACCATTGGGCTACCCCCTACTTAGGCATTTGGGGTACCACTTATCGTCGCTCACTCGATCTCGCTTTTATCAGAATGGCCGATTCCACCGCGAACAATACATCAGATCAAGATCCGGCTCTTCCTTTCGAGTACCACCCTTCGCTCCAAGAGTATCTAGTCACAGAGAAAGAGTACCTCAGACGAAATCCCCAGTACCATGTCATGTCTACGGGAATCGCAGTCTTCAACAAGGAGGGGAAGCTTCTCCTTGTCCAGCGCGCGGCTACCGAGAAAGCCTTCCCTCTCTTATGGGTAGAGTGACCAAGTCTCCGTGAGGCCCAAGCGAGTATTGACCTGCGGGCAGGAGATTCCTGGAGGAAAGGTCGACGAGCCCGATGAGTCTATCTTGCATGCCGCCGTCCGAGAGCTGAAAGAGGAGGCGGGCTTGGATGCCACGCGGATAGTAAGGAAAGTTGGGCACTTTGAGTTCGGCATCATGAGGCGGACAGGACGCGAAGAGAAGTGGATCAAGCAAATCTTCGAGATGGAAGTCCAGAACCCGGAGGCCGTTGTGCTTGATCCGATTGAGCACCAAGAATATCTGTTTGCTTCAGAAGAGGAGATCGTCAAGGAGCAGGCGGGAGATGTGACTCTCAAGTACATTACGCCTGACAACAAGTGGATTAAGCTGGAAGCTTTCAGGCATCGACGAGAGACGGCGGCATCTTCGTGAGCTTTCCGGCTGGTTGTGGTTGGGGCGGTCATTTCGGCGTTGGGGAGCTGCATAGATAGGAGGACAGGAAGCAATACATGCCTGAATGTTAGCTTGTATAAATTCCAGCAGCCGCTGCTTAGCTGTGCCATTGTTTACGGAAGCTAGATCGGACGGCCTGAACTTTCTACCGTCCTAGCTGCGTATTCAAGATCTAGCGACGGGTGGATTTGGTTTAACCCTGTGATGAAGTTGATAGAGTAAACTGTTTCGCGCAGGACAATATATGAATTGGTCGGCAATATGTGCGCCAGCTTACATTAGCGCTCCTGGCATGCGACGAAGGGGTAAACAACGGAGAAATAGGCGTAAGGCCTATCGGCGTGTTAATCTAAAGTTAGAAGATCGGAATCCACAATGCATGATGTGTGTGATGTGCGAAGCAGATGAAACCACAAACCGCATCGATCCACCAATAGGAGGCGGGACGTTTGAGGGGAGACGTGATGTGTTTTGAAGAGGAAGTACTCCTGGGTACTGGGTAGGCCAAACGCTGGCAGGGCGGATGTGATGGGCAGGTCATGGCTCGCTTTCAACAAAGGCAGGAAGAAGCGCGACCAAGAAAAATGCCTCTGGAATGCGCCAGCGTCCAAGTGAACAGCACGGCGCCGGCGCGCGCACAAAGAAAAGAGAAGAGTTAGGGCTTCACAGGTTGCCGCTCACGCCGCTTTGAATCGATCTCCATCGCACCCCATCCCGGGGGTGGCCAGCCGCTAGTCGCTCGGCCTCGGCGCAGCCTCCCGCAGACCACCGTGACCGCTGCCCGCGTGCATACAAACCGACCGCGACCCAACCCTCGACGAGCCCTCCAGACGGTCGCCGCCAGCATGTCCAGCGAGCACAGCTTCATGGCGACCTCCGCGCCGCCGCCGCAACCGCCGCCGCTGGCAGCGCAGCCCAGCAATGGCCCCGTGCCGTACGTTCCCCGCCTGCCAATCCGCACGCAGCCATTGCACACTGGACTAGGCTTACACCGCGCAGCACTCCTGCCTCGGCCTCGCAGACGCCCGGCCATCCGTCCTTCAGACGCCAGCGCGCAAGCAGAGCGTGCGAAAGTGAGTGCTTCCTTATCTCGCGCGCGACTCCACCGTGGGTGGGACGTGTTGTGGTCTTATATCGATTGCACTTATCCAAACGAATGCCTCGGCACCGAGGTTGATCGCACGACGAATGCTAACCACCGCCTCTCGCAGCTTGCCATGCCCGCAAAGTGAGTAATCGACGCGCAAACCACTCCTTCAAACGGACGCCGCGTAACAACAGCCTAGGTGCGATGCGATGCCGCGAGCCTCGGTGTGCCCTGCACCAATTGCACTGCCTTCTCCATCGAGTGCCGCATCCCCGCCCCCAAGCGCAAGAAGACGCAGTCAGGAAAGGGAAGGGAGTCAGAGAGGTGCGGCCCCTCTTTCTATAGTCAACCTGGGGCATAGCGGGTGGAGCTGATACGAGAAAGCAGCGAACGAGGCGACAATGACGACCGCTCGCCGGCCCCCAGCAGCACCACGGCCGGCGAGCCACCGCGAGACAAGACCACCGTATACAACTCGCCGGACGGCACGCCCTCTACGACCGTCTCGAGCGCCTATGCAGCCCAGCAAGCCACCCACAATGGGACCTATGTGCAGTTCATGAAGCCCAAGTTCGCGAGAGCCCCGATCAAGGAAGCCGGCCGCGTCGCATACCTCGGCGAGTCTTCCAACCTCTCCCTGCTGGTTCACGACCGCTACGGCACGACCGACACAGTGCACTACCCCCTGCCCGAGAACGTGCGGGGCGCCAAAGCCCGCGTCAACGAGCTGGACAACATGGAGATCGAGATCTTGCACCAGCGCGGCGCATTCCTCCTCCCTCCGCGAGCACTATGTGACGAACTGGTAGAGGCCTACTTCAGGTGGGTAGCGCCTGTGGTGCCCGTGATCAACAAGAGCCGATTCATGCGCCAGTACCGCGACCCAAAGAATCCTCCTTCTTTGCTCCTGCTACAGGCTGTGCTATTGGCTGGATCAAGGGTCTGCACAAATCCGCAATTAATGGACTCCAGCGGATCTACTACCCCTGCAGCCATGACCTTCTACAAGCGCGCAAAGGCCTTGTACGATGCGAACTACGAGGATGATCGAGTGACCATCGTTCAGTCCGTCATCCTGATGGGCTGGTACTGGGAAGGGCCTGAGGGTAATTTCAGCCGTTAATTCTGCAAGCGACGACTTCTAACCATGCGCTACAGATGTGACCAAGAACGTGTTCTATTGGACAAGAGTCGGCATTGTCGTAGCTCAAGGCTCAGGCATGCATCGAAGGCAAGCTCTCATGCATACATTCACAGACACATGCGCTAATGCAGACCAGCGTGGAGGGCTCGCAGCTCAGCAGATCCGACAAGCGCCTATGGAAGCGAATATGGTGGACCCTATTTTCACGAGACCGATCAGTGGCTGTTGCTCTCGGTAGGCCCGTTGCTATCAACCCCGAAGATTCCGACGTCGAAATGATCCAGGAAGACGACTTCATCGAGGACGAACTAGACCGGCAAGCGGAGTACCCGCCTGAGTCTGTCCATGTCCATTTCTTCATCAATTACGTCAAACTATGCGAGATCATGGGCCTAGTGCTGTCGCAGCAATATTCTGTAGCTTCGAAGTATAGGCGGACGAATGCTATCGACCTCACCCACAGCGACATGGCGCTCGCGGACTGGTTGCAGAACTGTCCACCGGACGTCCAGTGGGATAAATCTCGCCATCACTTCTGGGCGGCGCTCTTGCATTCGAATTACTAGTAGGTTTGAAACCCATGAAGCCAGAACACAAAGACTGATAGTTTACAGCACGACGCTTTGCTTACTGCACCGCGCACATATGCCACCCGCTGGCTCGCCTAAGGCGAACGCTACGAACGGCTTCGAGGAGCATGCCTATCCTTCGCGGACGATCGCGTACCAGGCAGCTGCGATGATTACGTCCATAATTGAGAACCTCCGAGCACACGGTGAACTACGATACACGCCTGCATTCATCGTGTACAGCTTGTTCTCAGCGCTCATCATGCACGTCTACCAGATGCGGTCATCAAACAAGTCAATCGTGGTGGCAACAGAACAACGATTGCAAATATGCATGGACGCACTCAAAGAAGTTTCTAAAGTCTGGTTGGTAGCGAAGATGGTTCACACCTTGTTTGAATCCATCCTCGGAAACAAGCATCTTGAAGAACGCCTCCAGAAAGCCGCCGGGAAACGTCATCAGAAGAACAAGCCTTCTGCACCGGCTCAACCACAACCACCGCCGAAACCTCCCCAGGACGCGCCGAAACGGAAGTTTGATGACATGGACTTAGGTTTCCCGAACGTCAACGGTCCACCGGCTCCTCAGGTCTCGTACGAACGGTCGCGACCACAGACGCCAGCGGTGACGCCTTCCAGAGAGCTGCCTCAGCAGCAACAGCAGCCAATGCCGCAAATGACGCATGGCTCGCCTCAGATGACGCGACAGAACAACGATGCTTTCATGGGGCCGTCGCGCTCTGGTACACGTCCGACCACTCCGTTCAACCCATCATACTCCTATCCAGGCACGCCTCCCGAGCTCTTCCTGGTCACACGTAATTCGCCCAATATCTCGCAGGAGCTGTGGCAGAACTTCCAACCGGACCAGTTATTTCCTGCTGAATCGCATCTCAGTATACCGCAGATATCGCCGGTGCAGCACCATACCCTCGTTGACCCTGCGCTCTCCCGACCACAGTCAATGGCGATGCACCCAGCACACACGGATATGGGTGCCCAGGCAGTCCCACAGCAGCAGATGCCGATGGGTGGTTTCGACCAGAACAACCCGCAAGCATGGACACAGCACATGGACATGATGGCGCACAACCAGCAGAATGCGGCGACGGATGATGCTTGGAGTAACAGCAGTAATGGTCGGCATAATCCTATCGTGCCCACGACACTAAATGTGGAAGACTGGTACGTTCCTGCGGGATTCTCCAGAAGAAAAGCTAACAACAGTTTTAAGGTTCCATTTCTTCGGTATCAACGGCGAAGGCGCAGACGCTTTTCATTCCGGGCTTTTTCACACCGGCCCAGCATGAGTTTCTTCAGTAGTGATGATTTCTGCACGGCTACTGTGTAGTTGTTTATACGTCATGCGCATCTCGGCTGGAGCGCTAAGCGTGGCAAGGCGTTCAAAGTGGTTCTGGCAAGGGATGAAAGGTTCTCCGGATACCAGATTCTATGTGGAATCGATTTGTCTCTAATCCGTCTGGTTTGTCAGATGCAAGCAAAAGTACAGTCGCTAAGTACAGTTACTCTGCATTACACTCACCCTACATTTCCATGTCTCTGTTGATGTCCCCTAGTCGACTAATTACACCACGACGTCCGCGCGACATCTTCGCAGAGGCTCAAAAAAGCAACGAGAATTGGAAGACTCTTCTATGCCTTGTGCTACTGACACGCTCCTAGATATGCTTCACAAGAGCTTCCATCCAGGGACCTCGACACGACGCCTACCTAACCAGTCTCGCCTCGAGGTCCAATGTTCGTCCACGTGATACATTTCAATGCGGGGACCCCACATTCACCATGCCGGAATACCTAAAAAGGTATCTCCGGTCACTCCATCCAGACAAGTGCCGGCGTCGGCGCCGACCCCGCCATCTCATTTGACATCATCAATATAACTCTCCTTACCTTCACTCTCTACAATGGCACCGCCCAAACGCGCCCTCTTCTCGCTCAATCTCGACTCCAACGCCGACCATATCTACCAGCGAGTCGAAGACCACAACAAAGAAGGGACGGATAAAGTCAAAGTCCTGGAATCCAGCGGTCCAACGCACGGGAACACGAACTTGTCCTTCGTAACGAAACCTTTCGAAGAGGCGGTTAATCGTACGGTTGAGGGAGTCATCGAGGGAACTGGCAAAAAAGTCCATAGTGCAGAGGGAGAATTGACATACGATATCAATAAGTCCGAGCAGGAAACAAGTTCGGGAAGCAGGACTGTGAAGGTTCATAAGAAAGGGAGAAAGAAGATCGAGGATAGTTACGATACGAGCGATCTATAGCCCCTCCATCGCTACCACTCCCGACTCCCACATCTTCATAAGATGGCGGCCAACGGTTCGACAAGAAAGCCCTTCCGCATCGCCATCGGCTGCGACGACGCTGGCGTGTCTTACAAGAAAGCTATCATGAAGGACTTGGAGGCAGACCCGAGAGTGGAATTCGTAAGCGACGTCGGCGTCCCCGAAACCCACGATAAAACCGCATACCCGCACATCGCCGTCGACGCAGCGAAACTCGTCACAGAGGGCAAATGCGACCGCGCACTGCTTATCTGCGGTACGGGCATGGGCGTTGCGATATCCGCAAACAAGGTTCCCGGGATACGGGCTGTGACGGCGCATGATAGTTTCAGCGTGGAGAGGGCGATTATGAGCAATGATGCGCAGGTGCTGTGTATGGGGGAGAGGGTCATTGGGCTGGAGCTTGCGAGACGGCTGGCGAAAGAGTGGCTAGGGTATCGGTTTGATACTACGAGTGCGAGCGCAGAGAAGGTCAAGGCGATTATGGAGCATGAGCATAAGAATTATAAGGAACTGCATTCGGAGGCGAAGGAGAGTGCTTGCTAAAGGGGGTATGGTTGAATGGTGGTCGGGTGGCGAGTGCGGGCTTTTGGATATAAAATAGTATGATGAAGGCATTGCACTACACTTCTTCGTATATCCACAGGTGTTGATGGGTCATCTAGCTTGGGTGTGGTATTGGCATTGTGTGTGCACTCATGCCCAGGAGCAGGACTATTGCCTCAATGAATGCAGATGGCGTAGGATCTTCCATCACATTAGATCACTCCTCTTCTTACTGTCCCACTCCACATGGGAGATCTAGCAGCATAGTAATTTCCTAACCGAGTAAAGAGGGGCACCCACGTGCCATCGCGCTATCCTTGTCAAATTCACCGCTCCTTCCCCACCGAACCGTAAACACCCCCACCAGGCATTTTCCAGCACCCTCTGTCGCCTCAACAAGCTAAACCACCGAGCATATGCTCAAACGCCTCCCACGCCCTTCCACTATCTCCAGTCGAACAGCAAAGCCAAAATCTAGGATAAATTCCAGCTATCACCACCGTCGCATGGACGCCTTCCGCCTCTACTCCTACCAAGCAACCCAAAAGCCCTACTACCCCACGCGCGTCACCGACATCACGATGTCCGACATATCACTCTCAGATCTCGCCTGGATAACGCGCGAAGAGCTCTCCTCGCACATGCTCGGCTCCGATGCCGCACCCCAATTACCAGACCACATTGCCGTCATCGACGTACGCGATTCTGACCACATTGGTGGACACATTAAGGGTAGCACTTGGGTCCCGAGCTCAGAGCTCGACTACAAAACTCCTGAACTCGTGCGCACGCTCAAGGACAAGGAAGTCGTGGTCTTCCACTGTGCGCTATCTCAGCAGCGAGGGCCAAGCGCCGCGCTGCGATATCTACGCGAGAAGCGGAGGCTGGATCCGCAGTCCAAGACGGAGGGCAAAGGTGAGGTAAAGGAGGGCGAAGACAATGAGAAGGAAGCAGATGAGGATGCCAAGAAGGACGAGAAGGGCCAGAAGGTCGTCGTCCTAACCGGCGGCTTCACCCAGTGGCAGGAAAAATACGGAGCGGATAAACGGCTGACCGAGGGCTGGAAAAAGGACATCTGGGAATTTGGCTACTGATGAGCTGTATACTGTATCGGGGGAATGGGCGGGGTTGCGTGGCGTGACGAGCCGACATCAACCGCTCGAGGCGCTACACCATGTCAAACAACACGATACGATACAGGCACGCATGTAGGTACTCAAGACGTGACGCGATAACGGGCCGGAACAACAGGACATGTCGCGCATGCAAGCTGCGGAGCAAGCGGAGAAAGGCCTAACTGGATGGGGTGACTACGAGCTTATGACGTTGGTTGTGTTGCATGATCATACGAGCTGAGAGCTTTCTTTACCACACGTCTGGCCCCCGGACCCCTCAACTCCTCAAACCAAACTATCGAATGACACTCCGCGGCCGGGGTCGGAACACCCTGTTTACGAGATATCGAGATCGCTCTTGACTGGGCTATGCTCTCGCCTACCGAATCACGCTTGCTTTCTTCTTCCAACACTTTCTATGCACCACGCCCATTTGAGTAATGGGCGATATGTCGGGATAGCGTGTGGAGGCTGTGCGTGTTGGTTGCGTGTGTGGAGCGCAGCGGCGTGTGCTGCGTATACGAAACGTCTGTTCGGACTCACATCATCATTCGATAAGGACAAATGCAATGCCGACACTACCCTCTCTTGCTATATATGCCATATCAACCCCTTCTCCCGACTGGATGTCAGCTCCCCGCTGAACCGTTCTTTCCCTCATCTCGATATCTACCCTACAAGCAATACATACTGAACGCGAAAGCAAACCACTAAGCCTTACACTTTACGCTCGCCCCATAGTGGGCACCCCTACACATACAATCCCTCCACGTGACCAGCGCACCCAAGCAAGCAAGCCCCCTCGATAGCCTCACCACTCGCCTTGCGTTCGATGCGTCTGCAGTAGTCCACATCACGTCCAGTGCCTCGTCAAGTCCAGTCCAATCTCACACTATGCGTCAACGCTGCACCGCCGTGGGCTGCAACAACATGGCCGGCCACAGCACACCCGCCAGCGTCGGCGGCGCGCTGTGCTGGAAACACGGGCGCCAGCTCGAGGCGGCGGTCAAGGATGTAAGTACACTTTTAGCTTTACTAATAGAACCGTGTATATACACACATACACTTCCTCTAGTAAGTACAGATAGTAATTCTTCTTTAGGTCGTGAACCGCTGGGTCGAGGAGCAGAATAGCAGGCCGGAGGAGTTTGGCGAGTATTTCACGGGGGTGAAGGAGATGGATTCGAGAGAGGAGGGGGGTGTTGAGTGGGAGGAGTGAGTGAATGGAGAAGAGTGGCATGTTGGTGTGGTTGATGTCAAGACTGAACTTCTTACTGGTCACTAATGGTAAAGAGGTGGATGGTATTTGTGGTGTTAAGGGGATTAGGTCTGTTCTTGTCGATATTGTAAGTGGACGTCCATTCCCTTCGAAGATGTCAAGTGTTAGGTTAGGGAGAAAGAGTGCTAATGTCGATGAACTGTAGTTACGATTTACGTCCAGTACGTCTTCGACGCAGCGAGTATTCCTTTCACAACGAAACCGATGATGCCGGTCATCTATCTCATCGCACCTTACGAACAAGCAAACAAACAATCAAACAAACAACCAAACAAACAACCAAACGAAGCTACCATTGCTCCCCCGGTAGAAGCAGGAGAAGCCGGCCTTCTCCCGCTCCCGAGATCCCCCAATACTCTCCTCAATCCATCCAGTTGGACGTGGCTTTGTCATTCCATATCGTTGCCGTCCCTTTCCCGTGCGGAAGAGTTAAAAGAATGATGGTGGAAAGACAGTGGAGATGTGGGCCAAATGTTTAAGGCTTAAGAAGAGGAGAGAGTGAGTCATACAGTACCTCGTCGTAGCTCCAGCTCTTGTGAGCTCGCATACCGCAAGCAGTGCGGAAGTGGGAGTTTCCTTCCTGATGGATCTCCCTTTCTCATTATACCCCCCCTTTTCACATAGCAGTATGTATACGTATGCAGGTCGGTAGTTCAATAGTTCAAACGATTTCATATCAGTACGAACGAATCAGAAACCGCTGCATCATGCTTGTTCACCTGTGACGCCGCGCCAACCCAGTGAATGCCAAATCAAAGCCAAAGTCGGTATCATACAAGCAGCCCTTAAGCGATCCCTCACCTCGTACATCGTCACTCCCTCTAGTCGTTCTTCCCCATTCCGTTCCCACCTAAGATCCCCTCCTTCCCGTCTAATTGGAAATATGCACCCGTGTTTCCAAACGCTCTTCTCCTCATCCTCGATCTGCCAAACATTGACGCAGCTAGAACGAAGCCGATAGCCACGCCAAGAGACAGCCATGGGTGGCTGCTGCAGAACTTGCGAATCGAGAGGAAGAAGCCGGTGAAAGTGCTAGTTGTGGATTTGGGCACGAGCTGCGGCGGGTTCTTGGTGACCCTGGAGAGGGTTTCTAGGATAGAGAAGCGGGAGGCGCGGATGGGTTCGCCGGTTACGGTGACGTCCCAATAGCGGTGGTTCTGCGATTGCTTGTTAGCATGCACACTCGTTGTGTTGAAGCTTTAGGTTGGGAGACTTACGTCTTCATCGTTTATAACAACTCTCTCACCGTTCTTCACGTCGATACCAAACGTAGTCCTGATCCACCGCTCCCAGAAGACGCCGTCGACCCACGCGAAGCCGACCTGCTTGCGCTCGATCTCGTCCATGTTGATGCGGATGCCCTTCGCGGCGCGGAGAGCACGCTGATCGTTCTTATCTTCCGCTTCTTCGATGCGAAGTTGCTTCGCATCGCGCAGCTCCTGGCGCTCGAGCTGGAACATGTGCTCTTCCCTATCGATCCACTCCAAAGCAGCGTTCTTTATTTCGCGCTTCGCAATGATGAACTCGTCTGAGCGTTCCCTGCTCAAGATACCAAGCACAACAAGCTTGCCGTCCATGATTTCGCGCGCATTGTCAGATTTCAGTTCCGGAACGATAGGGAGCCAGACGGACTTCATCCAGGTGAGTATTTTCCTGGAATCGCGCATATCCTTGGGCGCGATAGGTCCATAATAAGAGGGTTTACCGTCTCTGGAAACCATCAAGCGGGGCCAGGTAGAGATTTTGAAGCGCTTGAACATCTCGGGATCGTTCGATTTGACCAGCCTAGCGTGACCGACCAAGCTGAGAGTGAGTCGTTCCAGGGCCTGAAAATCTTCAGAGGTGGTCGCATGGTCGTAGAAGTACACGAAGATGACCTCTTCCGTCTCCTCCATCTTTTTGAACTCTTCCAGATTCACGTCAGGAACTCCGGATCCAACGGCGACAGCCTTATTAGCATAGTCGATGAAATCGCCCAGCCCGCGCATTCCATTGTACTCGATGCGCTCACCGCCGCGGAAAAAGAGGAGAGTGGGGTAGCCCTTGACGTGTGCGTCCTTGCATAGCCTCTTCTCTGCGTCGCAGTTCACCTCTCCGACGTTCAGCTTCCCCTTCATTTCGCGAGCCATCGACGCCCAGTTCGGTCCCATGGCCTGGCAGTGATGGCACCACGGAGCATAGAACTTGATAAACCATGGGTCCAGAGTGTTGGTGACCAGCTTCTGGAACTTCTCTACGGTAAGCGGTTCGGAGATCCCAGACGGATTCGCGGTGGATATGGGTTTCGCAGGTGTGGGCTTCGCGACCTTGGCGGGTTCAACCTTGACCGACGAAGATTGTGCTACCTCTTCCTTAGCTGCTTCCTTTTCTTTCGCTTCGCCCTCTGTTTCCGGCCCAGTTTCAACAGAATGCGCTCCAACTTTGGGCAGCTTCGGCCCGCCGGGGACACGCGAGCCGGGACGGATGGGCTCCAATATCTCCTCAACCCACTGACTCAGCGCCTGCATGTCCTGTGCGCCTTTCTTCCGCGAGATCTCCTTTCCATCTTGAAATTGTATTATCGAAGGGTAGTTGTTAACCTCATGTTCCGCACAAGCGTCCCTGAATGCTAGGCAGTCCACCTTCGCAAACTTGAAATCGTACCATCGCGTGAATGAATTTAACCCGTCCGAGGAGTCGTCGCTATCTTGGCTCGTAGTAATCGGTTTCGAGGTGTAGTAGAACTCGTATAATGTCTGCCACGTTGGCTTGAAGTGCATGCAGTGCGGGCACGATGGTGAATAGAATTCAACCAGCCTAGCGCATAGATTAGCAGATGCACGGGGGCATATCCATTACGGTATCCTACCAATTTCCATGGCTGATCTCTTGCTCTAGATCTGTGCCCAGCTCTTTCATCGGGGGCACCGTCTGGCCATTGAATATGGTATCCGGTGGCCTCTCATCCCAGTCGTCTGTTGCTTTATCGCTCGGCTTCGGTTCAGGCGCATCGGCTGCCAGTGTAGTCGCGACCGTCGCCAGCGACAGAAGGGAGTAGAATATAGAGCGCATCGCGGCGGCGCTTGTGGTCGTCTGCCGGTCGAGGCAGCGGTCCTCCTGTCACGCAGGTTATATGGATAGCGAGGCCAGCGGGTAAAAGAACGGAGGGACTGAGCGTCTTCCGGGGAATACAAAGTGTCCCTGGCGGGTGTCGGCACTCGTCTGAGGGTTGGTGGCTGCTGCTGATGCGCGAGCATAGAAAGTCAAAGGAGTGGTTGAGCCCTGAATGGCGACAGGGATCTGGCCCCGGCTTGGCAGTCGCAGCCGCAACCTCACTTGACGGCGTCACCCACCTTCGCCCATCCATTGCACCTCAGCCCGGCCCCAAACCAGCGCAATAACCATGAGGGCAGCTGCACGCCTTCTTGCCAGCGTCCGCTCTGGCAAATTCCTCGAGGCCGGCGCGCCGACCGGCCTCACAGGCCTCGTTACCCACCCGTCGCCGCGATCTACGCTGCTCTACCACTACAATGCGACCCTCGACAAGCTCAAGCAGATCCCCGAATCGTCCGTGTACCGCCAGTCAACGGAAGCTCTCACAAGGCACCGACTGAAGATTATCGAGGAGGCGACGCCGGCTGGGTGGGACGAGTGGCAGGAGAGGATCCAAATGCAAATCTCTGAGGATCCGGAGGCATTCCAGTTCGTGCAGACGTCTGGCGGGACCAACATCATAGCGCCCAAAGACCAGGATATTGATACGAGGCTGAAGGATGCTGAGTGGGATGGAGAGATCATGGGGAATTTCCCAGAGGGCATTCGCTCCGCGGCGCAGCGGAGACCGCATATTCAGAAGATGAAGGGCGACAAGAACTACAAGCCGGAGAGGACGTTCACGAAGGTCAACCTTGAGCCGGAGCCGCAATACACAGCTGAGGCGTATGTATGTCCCTCTGCTGCAATGGCGTTTGCTCACAACAAGATCAGGATAGCCGAGCTCGAAAGCAGGATCGGTGGTGGTCTGATTGAGGAGGTCGTTCAGGTTGCCGAAGGCGAGCACCAGCTTGTGGACCACATGATAGAGGCAAAGGTGTAAGTCTAAAGTGGCAAGCAATATCTTGTTGCGCGAAATGCTAACAGTACCTCCAGCTGGGAACCACTGGAAGAGCAGGCTCCCGAAGGCCAATGGTCATACTTTGAACGCGGCACTCACACTTCCACTCAGAAGCCGTAAGCTTGAAAACGAAAGCAGTTGTGTGTATAGCGGGAAAAAGAAGTACTGTACGAGTTAATGAAGTGAGACCCGGGTGTTCACGTGTTCTCTCCACTGGTCTTACACTCTCTCTGAAATTCGAACAGTCCACCTTGCTCCTAATCATATGCGCCTTCGCATGAATGCACATAATCTTAGCCCTCCGTGATAAGTACTCGCCCTAGACCTTCTCGCCAACACAGTCAGACCAGTTCTCGATAGACTCGTGAGCAGAGCCCGTGATTCCTTGGAACATGTCGACCGGGACAGAAGCTTCTGTGGCTCTCTCGGCCTGCCCCTTCGGCACCAGGGTTGTTGAAGTTCATCTGTTAAAAGAGGATCCGGGCTGCTATACCTGCTACGCTGGGGCGAGATGTTCCTCAAGCCACGGCCGTTTAGGCGTGAGCACGATGTCGCTTGGCACCATGAGCCATTTGTCCGGACGCCTTATAAGAGTTCAGGGACATAGGCGATTCTAGCGTGTTACAAGTTGCGTAAGGTAGGCTTGCGCGAGAGGAAAACAAGGATATGAGGCGTAGAGCTGGGCGATCAGAGTGGATTTGCTGATGGGTTCTCCCTCGTATGTTAGGTTGGTTGTGGAAGGATGTTCCTTTCGAGGAGTTAGACAACACTGCGCCTCTGTGTTACAGAGGTAGATTAGAATGCTTGCCTGGTATTCTGGACCACGACTATTTTGGGGGTGTAGTCTAGGTACTCCTCAAAGGAATGAGGCTATTGACAGCGTATACCCAACTGAGGCCGCGCGCATCTCGGACCGAGTAGAATCGGCCAGCTAGGTGCATCAGGGCTCCATAACATGCGCAAGTATGCCTGATGTGGCGCACTACCTACTGCACCGCCAACAGCGCGAGAGCATGTTCAGGCTCGAATCTGCTTCCGGTGAGTGATGCCCAGCCAAGGCAGCGCGATTTTGGGAAACAGCACGCCGTTTCTGCAAGACATCTCGCCGCACTTGCCGTTCTTCCCGTGTCTGGAACTGCGGTGGGCAAGAGGGTGGGAAGGAGCCCCATCAAAAGCCGAAGTGGGACCTGAGCTTAATCGGACTTCGAGCGACGGAGTTTCTGTACCTGAGTAGTCCCATCATGCACAGCAAATAATTCAACGTCTCGATGATTGTGCTCATCGTTTTTGCATTCGAATAACGCCTCGGTACGTCGCGAATGCGCTAGGAGAGAAGAGGGCACCGCGTCCTGCATGGAAGTTATGCCCGCGTACTAAGGCATCCCCTTCCTGGTTTCGACCGCATGCATGCCACGACGCCTGGTAGCTTCCAGAGACTGTTGGCTGGCAGCGAAGAGATGGTGCAAGTTTCCGCTGCGCTGATGCCTTGGACCAAGTTTTTCAGGGTACAGTCATGGATTGCTAATATGGACCGGGAGACCGCGTTCGTCGCAAGAAATTTTCCCCTCGTTGCATGTGAGATGTTTCCAGGTCTGTTGAACGATGGCACTCGATCGGATGCATTTTCCTGAAGCAGAGAATTCTGCAGCATGTTGAGGGAGATCGATACCATGCTAGCGCGGGTCTCCGTTACGCCGTCGTATTGGAAGATACGATGCTTGGCGTGGTGTTTTCCGGCTCAGTTTGGCACGCCTTCCGCTGGAACCCTTCGTGTGGCATCTTGTGATTCCGTCAATAATGTGACGCTGGGATGGAATGCTACTGTGAAGCCGGCCGAGCACCAGTTCGCATGGCCGCAGATGCGCGAGTTGATTCGTGGGCGCCACCGTCGCAATATTCGGATGTGTCACATTTTGTAATGGGGATGGGCTCGGAATGCCGCATTGGGGACCTCCGTCAGCCCGCCATCGGCCGCTGCACCTACGTAAGCTGACGGCGGTGGACAAGACTCACTCTCAACAACGCGTGGACTTGAAAAGCCTTCATCGTCGCGCTACAGCGCAACCGGGGACTGCCTCTTTGCAGCGCCCTTGGTTTCGATTTAACGGCGCGGTCGAGCTTCCATGCAGCTTTCTCGAAGCAGCGTTTCAAGGCTCCCGTTCGAGGCAGGCTTACCCGAGAGCAGTGTATGAGCCGGAGTGCTGGTGGGCGCCGCCGTTGCAATCGGCGACCGGGCCCCTGGCCGCCACTGCAGCAGCTTCCGGGCGTGCGTCATCCGCTATTGCTTCGACGCCTGCTACGGCGGCGGGCAGGCGGGCCAGGTTGGCCGCGAACAGCGCACACAGCACACCGCCGGCGGGCTGGCACGATGCATGGACGTTAGACACACTCCCACGTCGCCGGCCATCTGAGGGCTCCTTCGAGGCAGAGTGAGGCTGTTTGGACGCGCCGGTGCTCTTCTTGTTTCAGGGTCGGGAATAAGACCCCTGCACGCCACAGCCGCTTTTCATCTGTGGTTTGGCCCTTGGCCGCGCACTGCCCGGCGTCTCTCGGCAGCGTGCTCGGAAGACCTTCTCAGTGGCAGGCTGCTCTTATCCGACCCGGCCCTGGACGGCGCGCAGCGATAACAGGAGGGCGAGGGCGGCGGGAACGATGAATCGGGGCGCGGGCCTGGGCGCGGAAATGGCTGTGTGGGCGCAATTTGGGCTTGACGGGCGCCGCGTAACCCTCACGAGAGGGAGCGTTATCGATAATGCGGCCTGAATCGCCGTGGCGTGAATGAAACACCACCGCGAAGACAGCTCTCAATTGAGCGCGCGACAGCGGCAGAGTCGCCCTCAGGAGCTTCCATGGTTGGGAGCGCCGCTCTAGCAAGCTTGGAGGCCGCCGCGCGCGCCTGCGAACAGAGAGGCCCGGCTTCACCGGCGATTGGGCTGCGCCCAGTGCTGCCACGACCGCGCTGTCGTCATTGGCGAAGCATAAAAAACCAGCGCTGCTTATGACGGCGCATATGGCCCGGAGCGAGGAGCAATTGGACGCAGGAACGGCATGCCTAGTCATAAAGCGAGTGAAAAGCCTTCGACTCGGCGGCGTCACGTGCGGCTCCCGCCGTCCAAGCTCGCCGTGCATTTCTCTCGTCCTGCAACCCAACAGTTTTGTAACAACTGGCGCCCTCGCACATCGACCTCTGCTGACGCCGTTTCGCACAACCCTGGACGCGAGCTTGCCGCGTCTGCATCGGTTTGTAAACCACCAGCGTCCCCGCCACTACTGCCTCCCGCCCTGTCTCTTGTCTCCCAGCTGCCTTCGCCCAAGCCCTCCTCAGGCCACCGCTGCTTTACACACTACACCTGTCCGGCCAGCACCGGCGTGCGTTGACAGCAGCGCGGCCAGCAAGCCGTAACGAGTAGCGGGCATCGGAGGCGCGCAGTCCCAAGCCGCCGTCTGAATTTTTCGTCGATTCGTCCTCCCCAAAAGTACCACCACACTTCCCCTCCACCTCCATCGCCAGTCAGCTGCGCCGCCCACTGGTGTTCGTGGGTCTGTACCTGGCTGCCTCGTGCTCCTAGCTACGCTCCACTTGGTTTTTCGGCTGAGGCTGAAGCGGTGGGCCCTGCGATCTGCAGACTGCCCTTGTCTCCGCGTGAATTTGCCGGCGCCAGACAAACTTCATCAATAGCACCGCCAACTATTCCTCATCGCACATCGCACCTGTCATTACCAGCACGTCTAGGCTGCCCGCCTGGCTCTATTTCTCAGCCCGCACGCTTGACAGCCGCGACAAGACAAGGCAAGTCGACGCGAGGAGACAGCTCTCACACCGTTCATCGCGTATCACGGCCATCCCACCTCAGACCCACCCGGCTCCGCAGCGCTTCCTCGTGGTCCATCGTTCCCCAGCTCGACCGCACTTGTGCAGCCCGACTCGACCTGGCTGCCGCCTGTTCCACACACCACTCGAGCGCTCTACGTCGTCGGATGATTTCATCACTAGTCCCACCTATTGGTTGCGCCTTGCTCTTTTCCTTTCGTGATATCAACCACATATCATGGACGACCGCTACCGCCAAAATGGACTGCCCACGCCTACAGGAGGCCAGTATCAGCCGCTAGCCCAGCAGCCCTACGGCGGTGCGCAGCACCAGCTGCCTACGCTGCCACCCCTCCAACAGAGCGGCACCCAGTTCTCCTCGTTGTACGGCCACAATAGCAACCCGCAGACGCCTATCACGCCTCACACGCCTGCAACTTCCGCGTCAAGCACCAGCACCACCATCCCGCCTATCGCTCCACAGCATCCGCCGCTCCGGCCAATCCAGCCCTCCCCGTCATACCTCTCACTCACCTCGTCCTACTCTCAACCTCCCCTGCTTCCAACTGCGCCGGCGCACTCCAACCAACACCACATAGCGCCCGCGCCGCTGTCAACTGGACTACAGGATGTGCGCGCCGGGGGGCTAGGCCTGACACCCCACTCGCAGCTCTATCCTCATCCGCCGGTCCTGTCGAACCAAGAGCCAGAGCCGGTGCATGTCGTGGGCCAGCAAGGCCGCCGCGGTGTGCTCCCCACGCATCCCGGGCGACCTTCGCCGGCAGTGGGTAAGGCAATCACCAACCCCAACAAGAACGCGGAGGGCAAGTACGAGTGCCCGCACTGCAACAAGACATACCTGCATCTGAAGCATCTGAAGCGTCATCTTCTCCGGCGTAAGTAGTTATATACCATCATCATAAGCATTCGCTAACATGCCGTAGACACCGGCGAGCGGCCCTATCAATGTCATCTGTGCAAAGATACGTTTTCGCGCAGCGACATCCTCAAGCGCCATTTTCAAAAGTGCTCAATACGACGTGGAAACCCCACTGGGGCAAGTCATCTTCAGAATGCTCAGTCTCATCTACAGAAGAACCGCCCGCCAAGCGGTGCAGAGGCCAACTCGTATCTCCACCATATCGGCACATCCATGTCTTATTCCGATGCTGCTTATGGTAACACCACCCTTGGCGGGATGCCCCCCATGCAAACCGATGCATACGGCGATGGGCTCCCATCTATGAATGCTCCCCAGTCGTTATCCGCGCGAACCTCGCGATCCAACAGCCTCATCCGTCCTGGCAGTGGAGTCGAGGAGAACCGAAGGAGCATGTCTGCGCTTGAACTTGGAAGCAATCGTGTCAATTTCAACGATTTCCGCGGCCCAAATGGCCTGCCGAACAGTCTATCCCATGATCTTAGCTCGTATGGCACGCAGCAGAACCAGACGTCTGCGGCTGTCCCAAATGGTGCAAACCATTATAGCTACGACAATACCATGGGGCCTCCCGAGATGGCCCAGAACAATATGCCCGTCAAATCTGAGGATACCGGCTCAGCAACTTATGGACGCCCCACGCTACCCAATGTTGATGGCCTGACCAACGCACAAGACAGCTCTATGCGGTGGGGCAGCTCGTTCAACGGGGACCCACAAGACAACTTCCTCATGACGAGTATGGCGAGTGGCCCACACCCCGGCAAATCGGCAGGCGTTCTGACTGTCAATAATTTCTAGACCTCAGATGAACCTTCCCATGGGAGCATGTTCAGTAGGCTATACTCCCAAGATCCCGGGTTTTCTGGCACCACTTCCCTCCTCGATACCTGGGTTCTCGGCTCGTCTGATCCTTTGCGGAACAAGGCGAGCGCATTGGTACATTTCTGCTACCCGGATCCGTCCATGTCGACCTCGGGATCGAATGCAACACACGGTTATGAAACACTACAGGCGGTGTTGAGCCCGGAGAACGTCAAGCACTTTCTGGAGCAGTATAAGAACTACCACAGCCACTGGCCAATGATTCACCTGGCGTCATTTAATCCCACCAACGCGTATGATGGGCTGGTTCTCACTATGATCTGTATTGGGGCCGTGTATTCCGAGAGATTAGGCGTCAAGAAGGTTCGCTGGTTGATGGAGATCGTAAGGGCTGCCGTATTCAGGTCATCTGGGGTCTATAAACTTGCCAGTCAAATTCCCCATGGGGTCGTCGACTCAAACGCACGCTCGTCTACTGAAATTGAAGAGACTCAGGCCTTGATACACCTTCATTCTTTGTTCGTCTGGCACGGGAGTCAGAAGCAGCGGCGACGAGCCCTGGAGGAGTCTTGGGTGCTCGCACGTGTCACCCGCCATCTTGGTATGCTTCGTCCTCTGCCGAATGGGCATCCGAGCTTCAGCGCACTTCATCAGCCTGGACCCGTTGATGGTAACGAAGTCAACACATGGACTTGGACTTCCTGGGTCGAGCAGGAAAAGCGAGCCAGAGTCATGTATCTCATCTTTTTGATAGATGCTTCTGTCGCTATATTCTTCAATGTGGAGCCGCAACTCGACGTCTACGACATCAAACTTCCACTACCGGCGGACGATGCAGCCTGGGAAGCCTTGAACGAGGAAGATTGTGCTTGTGCATTGGGTCTTCGAGGAGAAGCAGCGCAAGGCAAGAACTTTACTGGCAGCCTCCGCGCGAAGCAGCTGGGCATGTCAGAAGCCCTTCAATATCTCCACCAAGGCGGAGAGTTCCCCGAGCGAGCAACGAATATGTTCTCAAAGTTCATCCTCATACACGCCATCCACGTCCAGATTTTCAGGATACAGCGGCAAATCCTTGGTATTTGCGGTCATTCCGGTCATAGTGGCTTCTCCAGTGGAACTAGTACACCTCAGTCCCAAACGGAGTGGACATCTACGGATGGATCGATTAGCAACCCGACAAGCGGACGTGCAACTCCAACGGATTCCATTAACTCCCGCTATTCACATACCCACCAAACGCTTCGCTTGACGATGGCCGCTCTCGAGTTATGGAAGAGACAATGGGATGCCGATGTGCAGATTCAGTACCGCCAGCGTCAGCGGCGGGTGGGCTTCTGCAGAGACGCTATCCATTTCTATTTCCTCGCTACGCTTTTCCTCCGGAGCTCTCGACGCGAAGACTGGGCGTTCCGACCTGATGCTCGCTGCCAGCAAGTCTTCAATATGTTGAAGCAGATCAGAGCTCATGTTGCCTCGGATTCGGTTTCAAAAGGACTAGATATCGGGAGCATCACCGTTGTGAACGATAACTACGGAATTGCAGATCTGACACTCGACATGAAGCTCCTATTCACACCCGTCGATGAGACACCTTGAGCACACGGCAAGACCCTTTAATCATCCATTTACTTTTGCAACCCTTTCAATAAAGACCAGGAGTAGCCCCGGTGGCTTGTCTCGAAACCATTGGATCGCGTCGGAGAAGAACGCGGCGACGAATCATCACGTTCGGCCGACCGGCATCGGATCCGCGGAAGGTTCCATTTGACGATCTAGAAATTTTACATCTACCTCGATTCATGCTAGCAATGGCTAATTGCTAGGACTGCGTTATTTCGGCGGCGTTCGGCGTTACCTTTGCACAGCACGATCTGAGCAATCATCCATAACGAGACATCGGGCGGTTACGTTTTCAGATTACGACCATTTTTTTTCCTCTCAGAAAACGCATTAGATGTCTACCTCACGGCATGCATTTGCCAGGCGCAAAAGTCGAACGATCGGGAAACAGGCGACGAACAGTTCAGAGTAGCGTTTCTTTGTCGGGTGGCTTAGTTCCCCCCGCATTTACCGGCTGGCTTTTTGTCAAGAGAATGGGAAGTTTAGCTCAGAGTATTGCCCTTCGATGTATATTCTTTCTGTGCGTCTCTTTTCGCACGGCCCGGCGCACACCAACTGAACGATAGAGATTAGAAGAACAGCATATGCCGGCGCGCACATAAGTGCCGGAGGCAAAAGCAGGAATGAATGAATTTGTTGATTTTGAATTCTTTCGCATACGAGACCATGGGGGTGGGCAGTACAAAAGAGATGCGCATTTACACCATCTTCATGTTCTTCCAGCAAGTGAAAATGGTGAGCGACTCGGATAAGGTCGGGCTGAGGCAGGTTTGGTGTTTGAGCAGTTTCAGCCTGGCAGACCTCGAACACTTGCCTCAGACCCAACGCACCGGCTAAAATATGGTCTGTGGTTGGAGGCGTCTCGTTCCGAACCCACTCAATGCGCATCACTTGAAAAAAGCAGGGTGGTATCACGTGCCCGCCAGGATGTGTTCGTGCCTTGCCTTTATAGGTTCGCGTGGCCTCTGCGCATTACATTTCACGCCTTCTCTAGACAAGGGCCGGCACGCTCCTCGCCGCGGAAGGGATGTCTCGCATACAAACTAGACTGTTCTTGCCCTGACATCTCATGCCAGCACTCGGGTCGTCGCAGGAGTGCAGATCCGCGCCCACAGCTCCCGGACACGTTGGCTTGAATGCTCTCTCAGCAGGCACCGTCCGATTCGCCTTTTTCGTCCCTGTAATACCGTCACTATCCCGACTTAGGCAAGGTCAACTGCCGATGCTAGGCCCAGGGACGATGAACCCATGCAGGTCCATGATTTGCATAGGGCCCTTCTATCAACTAGGTGTCGGTTTGCTCACCCTGCGTTCTCTGCACCTGGCCAGGGGAAAAGCCGCATGGCTGTTATTCAACCGTGAGGTCTGCAGGAGGGGAAAATCTGGGGAAGCCTAAAAGGATGAATGTGCCTTCGAATTGTCTTGTCGTGCTCAAGCCTCTTCCGCTCGTTTTTGCTTGTGTTGTCTGTCTTTTCTTTGATTGTTTTTGCCTGTGCGGGCCGGCCCTCCTCAGTGCTTATATTCTATGTTGACTAAGACCGTGTCTTAGATTTGGACTTTGTTAGGCATTTACTGAGCTGAGGCGACCGGACGTGAAGCGAGACTGAACTGAACTGACATCATGTTCATACGCCCTGGCTTTGTGGTGGTCATTGTGGGGATCACGCTGACAAGCTTGTCGACTATTGTCGTGGCTATGAGGTACGATGAGTTCTTGAAAAGGATTTGATTGAGGTTAGCTGACTGGTTTCGAATAGGTACTACTGCCGCTGGTATCGAATGGGCATCATTGGCGCGACCGACCACCTTATGATGGTCGCTCTGGTAAGTTAATCATTGCCCTTACGCCATTCCAAGTTCACACATCTCAGATACTCACATGGGGCAACACGGTCGTGAACTACTACCAAGATGAGACGAGCCGCAAATTCCGCCCTAGCTACTTCCGCCGTCCAGTAAGCGCCCATTGCCTCTCCATTTCCAACGTCCTTCCACTAACCGTTACTCAGGACAAACGCCCACAATTCGAAACCGCGCTTAGAGGCACTCTCATCACTTGGTACGTCTACCGCCTGACGTACGGCGTAGCTCTGTGCTTCGTCAAGCTCTCGATCCTCTTCTTCTACCGCGCCATCGCATCCCACCGCGCCTTCCGCCGCATGGTTTATTATACCATTGGCTTTGTCGTCCTGTACACTGTCGGCTCGACGATTGCCGCTGCTTTCCAGTGCGAAAACCCGGCGCACTCGTGGGACACGTCGGGATATCTTGCGCAATTTGACGGCAATCCGAAAACGAAGAAGCCACACTTTAAGTGCTACGATCCGACCAAGCTGTGGGTTTTTACGGCGGCGATAAATCTATTCACTGATGTGCTTATCTTGCTGCTGCCGATTCCAACACTGCTCGGCCTGAGGGTACCCATGACCAAGCGGCTAGCGCTCATCGGTATCTTCTCCGTAGGCATCATGGCCATCGTCGCGTCCTGCGTCCGCATGTGGGTCATGGCCCTGTGGTCCGAGTCCCCGCAAAACTCAGCCCGCTTCGGCGCCGACCTGCTCCTCTGGGGCCAAGTGGAAACCAACAGCGGCATCATCAGCGCCTCCGTCCCCTTCCTACGTCTCTTCTTCCGGCGCAATGACCGTCGCGAGCCAGAGAAAGGGGTTGCTCCTGCGCCTAGGAAAGAAATCAGTCCGCCAAAGCCGGTACACACGGACAACAAGCCATTGCAGATTGATAGCATGGCGTTCTTTGGCCCGGGGGAGGATGGTGAGGATACGGGCCCGAATGGGAGTCCGGGGTGGAAGCCTTTTATTACGGTGCCAGCGAGCTTGAGTAGTAGGGGGAGCGGGATGTTGGAGCCGACGAATGCGCATACTACGGTTTAACGCAGAGAAGACAGTACAAAGAGGAGGATTAATGTAATGTCTAACGGCGGTGGAAGGGCGAGTTGCCCCACGGCTTTCGCCATGTCAGTGCGGTAGCTGGCCTACAATGCCGCTACTGTGAGGGAGCCTGATTTCAGTAAGCGTCTCCTTGTAGCTATGTGGAAGGCTTCGTGCTGATTAATTCGGTAGGCAAACGAAGTTACGATTTGTACGATACGGCGGAAGGACGTCTCCATGAAGAAGTGACGCCATATTGCAAGCAAAGTCGTGTATACGAGGTCGACCACTTGGGTGAATAGAAACAGGGTAGAGGTTGGTAACCGGCCTAGTCTGTGGGGTGAAGGATGGACATTCCAAGGTTGTAATTCGAGGCGAAAGTCGGCAATCGCGTAGAGAGCGCGGAATGAATGAAACTTACCGCCACTGTTTTCGCACCATTCAGTCCTCCCGCCTTGGTACGTGAGCGTGAGTGCAGTGCCAACGTGGTCCTTACGCTTGACGTTGGAGGATCGAAGCAGAGGCCCTGGCGCTAGGCCCGTTTAGGAGTAAACCCAAACCAGGCGGGCGGTGCCAATCCCGAGCTCTCGATGCAGGTGCACATAATCCGGGGTCACGTTGGCCCTTCAGTTACCGCCCGCGCGCCGCCCATCAGCAATCCACACCCTCTCCAAGTGAACGCTGCTCACCGCCTCTAAACATCTCCACAATTATAATTACAATTACAATTACCAATCGCCCCTCCCTTCCATGAATAACACGCTCGGCAGGCAATAACAACCGTGGCTTCCTCACGCAGCTTCCGCATTCTCCTCATCTCCGTCGCCGTCTTCACCTGCCTCTCCGCCATCCTGGCGTCTCTCCGCTTCGGCGCCCGCGCTCCCTCAATCCTCCAGTACCTGAAGCCGAGTAGAATTGGGTCGCAGTTCGGACAGGCGCAACGCCCGCTTCTGAACAGCAGCATGGCGCCTGAGATGTATAGGAAGCCGCCGCAGTTGCCGCCCAAGTTTACGGCGACGCCCGGGAGCTTGATAGAGGATACGAAGAGTCTGGTACGTTGACTCCGCATTCAGAGCGTCCATCGACGAGCTGTGGGCTTGGGGAATGGCGATTGAACCCCGCTTTTGGGGCTGTATTAAGAGTCCAGCTGACAGCGCCAAGATTGACAGGTCGCGGAGCGTCCAAGATGGCATCGTGAAGGATATTACGCCTGAAAAGGCGACCTTCAAGAACGTTATGCTCCCCGTTGCGTACGACGACAACAAGATGGCGATCGAGTCCCACATCATCGGCTTCTACCAGGCCGTGTCCACAAACAAGGAGCTGCGCGATGCGTCGACAGAGGCGGAAAAGCTGCTCGACGACTTCGGCATCGAGTCGAGCATGCGCGAGGACGTGTTCAAGCTCGTCGACGCAGTGCTACGGAAGAAGGAGCCGCTAGATCCGGAGTCGCAGCGAATGCTCGAGAAGGACCACAAGTCGTATATCCGCAACGGGTTGAGCGTACCAGCAGGGCCGAAGCGCGATCGCTTCAAAGAGATCAAGAAGCGGCTGAGCGAGATCAGCATTCTGTTCCAGAAGAACCTCAATGAAGAGCAAGGCGGCATCTGGTTTGCGCCCGAGGAGCTGGATGGCGTACCGGAGGATCTGGTGGCTTCGTTGAAGAAGGGCGAGGGCGAGAATGAAGACAAGGTCTGGCTTACGTTCAAGTACCCGGATCTCTTCCCGACGCTGAGATATGCGAACAACGCCGAGACGCGCAAGAAGGTCTTCGTCGAGAACGAGAACAAGTGCAACCAGAACGTGCCTCTGTTCCAGGAAGCAATCCTGCTGCGAGACGAGGCGGCTCGTATCCTAGGGTACAACAACCATGCAGAGTTTCGGATAGAAGACAAGATGGCGAAGACGCCCAAGACAGTGGACGATTTTCTTGGAGACCTGCGAACTCGTCTTGCGCCGGGTGGCAAGAAGGAGATTGAGAAGTTGCTCGAGCTCAAGAGGCAGGATCTGAAGCAGCGTGGGCTCAACGATGGCACGGATAAGAACTACTTCCTCTGGGATCATCGGTACTACGATCGGTTGATGCTCGAGAAGGATTTCTCGCTCGATCAACAGGTCATTGCAGAGTACTTCCCTCTGCAGACGACCATCCAGGGCATGCTTAAGATCTTCGAGGAACTTTTCGGCTTGGTGTTTGTCGAAATCGTCGGCGAGGACCGAGCTGCGCTTGCGGATGGAGGCAAGAGCTCAGACATCGTTTGGCATGAGGATGTCCAGATCTTCAGTGTCTGGGATGATGAAGGCGAGGGATCCGGCTTCGTCGGATATCTGTACCTTGATCTCTTCCCGCGAGATGGCAAGTACGGCCACGCCGCCAACTTCAACCTCCAGCCAGGATATATCGATGAGAACGGCAAGCGAAGGTATCCGTGCACAGCCCTTGTCTGCAACTTTTCCAAACCGACTCCAAAGAAGCCTTCGTTACTGAAGCACGATGAGGTGGTCACCCTTTTCCACGAGCTTGGCCATGGTATCCACGACCTCGTCTCCCGGACCACATACTCTCGCTTCCACGGCACAAACACGGTCCGCGACTTCGTCGAAGCGCCCAGCCAGATGCTGGAGAACTGGTGCTGGACTCCTTCGCAACTGCGCTCTCTGTCTCACCACTACTCATACCTCTCTCCCGAGTATGAAGCTGCATACAACGAGAGCTCCGGCACGGAGAAGAAGCCCTCTGAGCGCATCCCCAACTCGTTGATCGCCAACATAATCAACACGAAGCACGTCAATGATGCATTATTCAACCTGCGGCAGCTGCACTTCGGTATGTTTGATATGACGGTACATGAACCAGCTAGCCATGAGGCTATCGAGAAGCTGGATATCTCGACTACGTATAACAAGCTGAGGCATGACATCAGCCAGCTTGATGGACCGGAGGTGCTGGGTGGTGATTGGACGTGGGGCAATGGGCAGGCGACGTTTGGTCATCTCATCGGTGGATATGATGCTGGGTAAGTTGGGCCTTCTCTCTCCAAGCCCGCAGCGAATGAGCTAACCCAGGCGACCAGATACTATGGCTATCTCTCCTCACAAGTCTACTCTACCGACATGTTCTACTCCGTGTTCAAGGACGACCCGATGAACGGTAAGGAGGGTCGGCGGTATAGACACACGGTGCTAGAACGCGGCGGCAGCAAAGAGGAGATGGATATCCTAAAGGAGTTCTTGGGTAGGAAACCGAGTACGGAGGCATTCTATAAAGAACTTGGCATCTCACAATAGATGCTGCATAAGTGGGGAGGTCCACAGTCCTTGTGCATTGCGTGGTCTGCATTCTAGCTTAGATGTAGATGATAACTAGGCGTACAGGATATTTTGGGTAGTGTATTTAGTACATGACTGGAGGTCAATGGGTATATGATTTTTGTTACGGCATCACTTGGACCAAAAATAAGTTTTAATTGTCGACCTTGCTTGAGACTCTGTCCCAATGTCTTGGTATTCGCTCCTCTTGCGGAACGGTTAGCCCGATGGATATCGTGCCTTATCGCCTTATCGAAAATGCGGGGGGCCTCCTGGTTCCATCGCGACCCTGCAGCGACGAGTGGCTGATCGATCCATATCAAAAACGGCTTGATAATTGGAGATAATCCCAGGGTGTCAGTGCAATTATCTCGCGCGTGGGATTAGCATAATGTATGGAGTGCGTGCGGTCAGGTGGTGCTTCGATAGCCACCTGGGCAGATGTACCCCGCGAACGATGATAGGCGGATGCGGAGCTTAGGCGGGGATACGATGCGGCAGCGCATCGTGGGAGGAGAGATGGTGATACATCTCCTCTTCAACGACCTTCTGTATCTTTCATTGACGAGTCTGCGGTCACTCTGGCGTTCCATTGGGAGGCCGGAGTCTAGTCGATCGTCTTCCACAGCCACTCCGCATTGTCGTGGACGAAGGGTGGCGCTGACACTGTTCGGTCGATGAACTGTCCAACTCCGAAGGCTACCAGGCGTCTTCTTGACGGAGCATTCTTCCTAAGGGCTTCTATCCTCGTTACATGATTCAGTTCACTTCGCCGTGATTTATCCTGCCGTCAATCTAGGTTCCCTTCTTTCAGCCTGCCAGCGAACCTCGTCCGGCTTCCCGGCCCGGCAGCATCGATCACTACTCCCACTCGTCCTCGTCCTCCATCACCATCCATCTCCGCAATGTCCTGGTGGCGCCGTGACCCCTCGCTCTGGACCCGCTCGCCCATCCACCGCTACGCACGCCGGCAGCTCCGCGACTACGAAGCCGCCCTCCGCGCGCGCTGCTTCTCCAAGTCGAACCTGAACGCCGCCCAACACAAAGACGATGAACATGATGGGGAGAAGCCAGCGGGCATGTCCAACTTGGAGTGGATGCAGCTGCAGCGCTACAGGCGGTGGAAGAGGAGGTTTGAGGAGGATCCGTATAGAGCCCTGTTTGGCGCGAGTGAGGATATGCTGAATGGGAGGGGCTTGAGGGATTGGAATAAGGAGTGGATTTGGAAGACGTTTCCCCGCTGGATGGTGAGGGAGATGGGGGTGGAGGGTGAGGGGAAGGAGGATGGAAAGGGTGAGTCGGTGCTTGGGCTGGTTTTGGGATGCGGGTTGCTGACAGATATCTAGCGAGCTCGAAGGGCAAGAAGGAGGGCTCTTCGAAGCCTTCTGAGGAAGCTAAATCTTTGACTGAGAAGGCAAAAACCAGCGACACGATTTATCCAAGAAAGATTGAAATAGATCCGGATATGGCGCCGCAAGAGCGGGAGCACATGTTCCCTCAACCGTCGATCAGAACGACAGCGAAGTTGGAAAGAGATCTGTGGACGTCCGGCGTGATGTCTCCGTCGGACTCGCGGCGGCCGCCCGAGCAACCTGCTACAGAGCAACCCAGCAAAACTACGAACTACACCACACCTCCGAGCAAAGATACATTGGGTGGGCAGGAAGTGAACTGGACCCCAAAGGAAGCGAAAGCGCAGGAGTTCACCCCAGCTGAGGACTCGTATCGTGTAAGCAAGATCACACCTGACTCAGCCCCTACGAATATGAATAGCAGCGAGGCAAACAAGGAGGCTGCTGCTCGAGAGACCTCGTTCATCGAAGAGTTCCTAGCGGACAAACCTCAGCCGCGAGAGGCTGCCTCCAGCGAGAAGGCGAGGAGCGATGATTGGAAACAGACTGTGCTCGATAGAAGAGCGGCCTTTGACTTCGTGCCAAAGCTTAGGAGAAGGACTGATGTGCCGGTTATCGATGTCACGGCGAAGAGATTGTCTGATATGAGTCCAGGCTCTATCTTCGAGGTTGCGGAAGAAACAACAAAGACTAAAGAGAGGTTCCGGCCTGCTATGGAGAAGCGTGGAGGGTCGATGGGGCCTCCAGCCGCCGACAGCAAAGTGGGAGACGACTGGCTTGTACATTCGGAGAAGTCTATCGAGGTAGAACAACCTAAGTCGGAGGAGCTCGAGACACCTCCCCCTCGAAGATCAACTGCAAAGATCCTCGAACAACTGCCAAAAGATGACATGGACTTTCTCAGTGCGGACGAGATTCGTGCAAATATGGGCCGGATTAGGAGTCCTCGGGAAGATAAGGAGGAACGGCAAAAGCTCGAGAAGGACTTCAAGGACGCGCATAAGGAGTGGCAGCTTGATCCTTTAGTGGGGGCTAAGATTTTCAATGATCAACATATCCGCCGGAAGGAACGAGAGTTGCTGCAAGCGCAGGCACAGGAGCAGGAGCAGGCGAAAGCTGTGCAGCAAGAAGAACCGGAAGCGATGGTCCCTCCGCGAGAAGAACAGATCGGAGCGAAATCACCGAAAGAAGTTTCGGTTCTCGAAACTAGCCTTGACTTCATGTCGAGGTGGCTCCAGACCGGTGGAGATGTTTTCGCTCGGCACTTCTGGCAAGACCCGGTTGCGGAGCAGGACCGTGCCAAAACTAGTATCTTCGGAGAGGGAGATCCGTTCCTGAAAGGCGTTTTCGGAGGTATACAAAAAGGTCGCCGTGCCATGTTCCATGTCAAAGAGGAGCTACAGACCGATATTCCAGCTTCTAAATCGCTGCTGGCGAGATTGACTAAAGATGAGAGGAATGTCGCGTTTGCTGCTAGCTCTCTAAGGACAAAGTCGCTCGACAGGAACATCGACGCCAATGGCGACGAGGTCCGGATGGAGATCCGCAATCGAATCCGGAAACTTCGCCAGTCTCTTCTGGAAACAGACAAAGAGTTTAAGGAAGCTTGCGAAGCTGTCGATAGCATGAAGACAGCCCCTCGGCCTTCTGAGGCGTTTGAGAGACGTATTACGGCGTCAGCAGATGTCTTGCAGAAGAATGCTAAGTTAACGCGGATGATGATATTTGGACTTCAAGCGCGCTGGGAGAGTGCAGCGGCAGATCAGTCAGGGCAGAAGCTTAGGGATCTTGCGCATCGGCTGCTGGCTTTGCAAGACACACAACTCGCGCTGTTGAGGCTCGTCGGGCGAGCTATGCAGGTTCTCGGTATCAAGCCAAAGACGATGGAAGAGACCATAGTACAGGCTCCAGAGGACACCGCCGCCAAAACGTCAAGCCCCTCCGACGAGGCGTTATCATCTCCAAAAGATACTGAAGGCGAGGCTGAACGCAGGCTTCGTGTCGCTGCCGCTAATGAAAAGCTGGAAAACGAGATCGATGCACAGAAAGCCGCTATGCGCGGGCTCTCCGACGACGGATACTCTCGTTCACCGAAGCCTGTTACGAAGAAGCACTTCGATGAACCCAACCCTTTGGCTCACAGCCCCTTCAGACCTTTCGGACTGCAGCTAGAGAGCTTGGGCAAGGATGATGAGGCAGCGAAGACGGAGTTGGATGAAGCTGCTAGGAAGGCGAAAGAGGATAAAGAATTAGTGAGAGAGGTCAAGAGGGCATACGAGGATGTGTATGGGCCGATCACAGTCAAACACCGCCAGGTCCCGAGTGGTGAGCAAGTGCCAGAACAGGCGAAACCCGAAGCCGCGAAGTTAGTCACCGACGAGGCTAATGCCACTGTTGAAGAAGTCAAGCGTGACATGATGCAACTTTTGAAGGAAGATACGGTCTCGCCGGCCTTTTCTACACCGAAGACTCCAGCAGTCGCATCTGATAATTCGTCGACATCGAACGCAGAATCCAAGCCAGAAGATATGGTTGCAGGGAGCCTCAAGATCGCGCCGAAGGAACCCCCTCCTACCAACTCACGAGGGGAGCCCGCGGCAATGCATGAGGATAATGCTCCTGCTACTAGCGCTACCACCGAGGGCGAGCCTAAACCGCTCGATAAGCCAAGTTCCGAGGCCTCCCTAAACAACGAGAATACAGATGCTATCGACCCCTTTGACGAGTTCCCTCAACCCCAGCCCGGAGCCCTACTCCATATCTACACCTACGACCCTCAAACTGAAGAAATCCTTATTACAACCTCCAAAGTCGGCTCTATGCCGACTCTCCCGCCCGCTATCCCCGTCCACGAAGCTCTCGCCACTCTCTCCAACCCTTCAAAATTCATCCCCCATCTGCATCCTGGTTACGACATCATTAGCGCAAAACCAAACATGCTCGTCCTTCGCCCCAACGGCGGCCCCCTTGACCTAGATGGTTTCCACACCGTGCGTGTCCCTGCATCCGGCGAGCCTGAGGCAAGGGATGAGGGTTGGAAAGGCGGCATTAATCCGATTGATGGAACGACGACGCTAAGTCCGACGGGGTATGTGGGAGATGGGCTAGAACTGGAGAGGGACTTTCAGGAGAGGAGACGGGCGGCGGGGGATGGTTGGAGGGTTGAGAGGGATGCTGGCAGGAGTAGGGACAGGGGCAAGGAGAGGAAGGGTGGAGGATTCGCGAGTGTGATGAAGACGGGAATTGTGGCGGCGGCGGGGTGCTACGTCGTTGGCGTCATTGGCGAGCTCTTCAGTTGAGGAGTAGAGCACACACACACACGCACGTTTACAGCCTACATTTTGGTTTGGGTTCTGCCAAGGTTGGGATATGCGGCATTTGGTAGTCTGGATGGATTAGTGTTGGTCAAGGATCTCCCACGTCATGTATGATATCGTATGAACTCTCTACTTTAGCCAACGCTTCTAATTATCGCATTTCACGAAGTCGTCCAGATCTACACTGTTGCTCTAGTATAGCCGTTTAACTGAAAGAGAGAAGAAAAAAACACTAAAACAAAAGGTCAGCAAAAAAACGCCAAAAAGAAATTCTCAATAATCACACAGGAAACAACTCCTGGGTCAGCCCTGCCAACCGGTTTTGGTAACGGCGATTATCTTGAAGATCTTTGTTTGAACTGTGGAATAATTGGATATATACACACATAAATATTTTAAGGGGATCACGGGATTGTTCTGTGTGGTGCCATTTCGTCTACGTGATACGTCGAGTTTATAGTCAGCGGGTGAGTGCGTATCATTGCTGAGGCAAGAGAAAGGGCGTACAGGTAAATATGAATATTTTGTCTCGTGGGAGAGGTGCCGACACCACGAATGAGCAGTGCACTGATTCCCGCCTAGGCCAATACAACGACTCAAAGCCGCCATCAACATGCTATCTAAAACCGTGCGCCTCGAGCTCGCACGTCGTAACCATCGTCGCCGGCAAAGCAAAATCCATTTGCTTCCACACCAGGAAGTGGGTAAACAAATAGACTTGATGTTGGTCGAGGAGTCTTAAAAAGCGGCTCCATTTTCTGAGGCAATTCGCTCTTCACTGTACTGTTAGCTTGGAGGTCAAGAATACTGTGCATTAAGGCTTATTACATCCTATTCACCCCATTAAGCTTCTGACTCGACGACCCTCGGCAATATAACACCTTTGGAAAGTGATGTTCTTTTCAAGGGAATGTATATACGACGGAGGTTGGATCGGCTGTTACACCAGTCGAAGAGGCCATTGTCGGAGATAGCATAGCATCGAAGCTATGGTCATATAGAGCACTCAATTAGGTCTCGGTAAGGGAAGATGTAGGCGCAGTGATTAATTCGCTCGACCTCGTCATAAAGAAGATGGGAGCGTACAACATATACAGTACCAGCAAAAAAGGACGGAAGATGTAGGCGAACCTAATGGTATTCCGAGGAAAGGAACCGGCCATGAGATAGAGATCCACTGCACCAGGAGGAAAGTAAGGCCGACTTTATATCTACTTTGTTTGTCTATCTATAGAAAGCAACCACCGAACCGCGGAACGATACGTAAACTTGCCAGTTTTCTCTTCACGCTACCACGAACCTCGTCGGCCGTACTGCTGCGCACTCCGCAGTCCAACGCTATGTGCATTCGTACAATGCACAGTATTCCGTCTCTTACGCTCCTGTCTCGCATGCTCGTTTTTACTTCCCAAAGTTGCCGGAAGAACGACCCATCGCATATACGCAACACTGAACTCCGTGAGGCGCAGTTGCGATTCCTCAGTTGCGAATGCATCTTGGTCCCACTCCCCTTCCTGGACCACTTCTGTTCCGCGAGAAAGTTTCTCTAAAGCTTTCCGCCGGAGGTTATCGGCGTACACATGGGCCGCTCTCCACCAGGCGTAGCTACGCGCCGATACGCCCTGATGTGTCCAATTCGTTACGCGGACGAGAAAATGGCCCCTGCTCGCCCGCTTCCGGAGTATCCAAAGCCACAAGCTGAAACGAACGGTAGGACTGCCGCCGTCACTGCTACACTGAGCATCCGGCGCACTTAAGAGTGCGAGTCGCGGCATCGTGGGTAGATCCTGTTGAAAGATGGCGACCAAGTCATGAAGTTCAGGCAGAATCAGGGGCATCCATGTGTGGCAGTTGTCCCAGAACTCCTTAGCGCGAAAAGGCTCCGACTTGTTATTTGTATATAAAGGGTCCGGCAACTAGTGTAGGGAAAGGCGTAGAATAGAGGGATTTGACGGAAGGAGGAAAGGCGATCATTGCTGGATAATGAAGTAGGGACTGACTATAACTACGAAGTATCCGTGAAAGCATGCGGTGTATTTATGACACGTACAAACATTGACATAAAGGGCTAAGCAACCCTTTTTCTCCAGTTGTGCTTGCTTTAGGCTGAAAGAAGACTCGAGGAGCATGACACCTTTACCATCATACCACATCAACAACCCTTTCCATAGCCATCCCATACCTCCTCTCCCAGAGCCACCACAACTCATCACTACTCCTCGTATCCTCCGGAATCAACTCCTCATCCCCATTCGCCACAAATGCTTCTTTCAACGTAATCATGCCCGCCTCCTGAAATCCTAACGCTTTGTACATAACCATCAAGAACGTCTTTGCTGGGTTGAAAAACAATCTTATCCGAGCTCTTGCTTTTTCATCAGTCCTTGTTTGTTGTGCTGCGAAGTCCACGCACGCGTGGACTAGTGTCTTTGCCAAACCCTGGCCTCGGTGCGCTGAGGAGGTGTATAGGTTGCAGAGATGCCAGCGTGTTTCGCGGTCTGGATCTTCTGGAATGGGCTGTCCTGATGCTGGGATATGGTACGTCGAATATGGTAGCGGGCCTCTTATAGTTGCCATGCCCACCCAATCACCCAGTATCAGAGCGCGTTCATCATCGGTGGCGGCCGCGCTCTCTGGGGCCACGACACATATGAAGACATTCGAAGGTGGCGCGAGACGCCTCTGCCATATCTCGATGGAATGCAGTATTTCATCTGCATGCTTCACAGCAAAGCCCCCAGGCTCTGCCTCGAGGGCTGCAAGCTTGGTATCGCGGAATTTGGCTACGAGATCGACGAGACGAGGCGAATCGGGTGGGATGCGAACGATGCGGTACTGGGAGGTCGTCGACGCGGCGGAAGCCATTAACCATTGCAACTCATGGAAAGATAACCTGAGACAGTAAGTGTGCTACGTGAAGGAGATATAGAATAAGTAGAGCTATGAATTGGCGAGTGTGCGATCAAGCTTGCGACATGAGGCCACTAGCGGTGATCCTTCGATTTGTGACTCATGGGAAAGTCCACTCGGGGAAAGTCATTACACGGGCGTCTATCATTGATCACCTTCCTCTTGCAGGCAAAGTTTCCCAATGAAAGGATCGGAGATATCAAGGGTGGGTGTGAGGTGCGAGGTGGACAGCTCTCGCGCGATGAACGCATTCCGAGCTCCGAGCTGCCTCCCATCACGCAAGAACCTAGCCAGGTCTTTCTAGATTTTAGGAGTCAGAGTGGCTCGCAATATTGACCGATCAAAGAATCTGAAAAAGCTGGTGGAGCGTTGTGAGTGGGGAGGGTTGATTCGGAGATTTCTTACGTTCGTCCGAGCAAACATTAGCTTGGATGGTCACGTGCACTCTGGATTTCTGGGGCTTGGTCGAACCGTACTGAAAATTTCGTAATGCGGGTCGCCCTTTAGTTTGCGGATAGCGGATGCGTATTGCCGATGAGCTAGGCTTAACAAATCTCAAGCCCATACAGAGACTAGAGGCTATCAATTCTCCCAAGTACCCACTGCAAGTGGCGAAAAGCCGATCGAGCCTGGAACTGTGGTTGCATGTGGCCGCTCAAATATGTCTCCGCCCACATAAGCCCTCTCTCATGATGCTGCATTCCCATAATACCTTGCGGATCCTCCGTCCCGTTATCAAACCCAGAGCTAACAAAAACATTCTGATAGAGCAAGTCTGGGAGTGTAATATCAATGGTGGTGTTTGGCACAGACTGGAAGCCCAGCATGCCGTTCCAAGTCATATTTTGGATCGCCATCAGAGTGCCGTTGGTGATGATTTCGTAGTCAAGGTCGCCATTGGCGACGAGGACGCGGTTCGTATGTTCGATGACTTTCGGGAGGACGGATTGGATGGGATCGGGGGAGAGGTCGCCTTCGTCTTGGGGTCCGCCTTCGCCAATGAATACGGAACCCTTGCATTCGAGCCACTCTACATCCATAGGCGCATGCATCGCTGCCTTTACGTCGCTTCTATTGAAGTACACCGGCAGTCCGGGGTACGAGTATTGGAGATCCGTGGGATAGCCAAGAGGATCCGAGAGCAGCGGACATTGTAATCCAATCTCATAGACGTTGAAGCAGGGGTTTGGGTGGAATGCCTCCATGTACCCCATGCCCCAGACGTCACAATCCTCGTCGCTGCTGGAGTTGAAGTACTTGTGGGGCTGGGTGCCGTTTGGAGGAAACGCGATGTACTGCTCCCTGAACGCCGCATAGCCGCATGACTCGTCTAGGCTTGCGAGCTTCTTTATGAAGGTCTGGTTGTACCCCATAACGCTGTTGTGCTCTTGAATAAAGGGATAAGCGACGGCTTGTTGTTGCTCCCAGACATACTCTCCAATGCACGGATCGTACATCAGCGCCCCAGTAACGTTCAAGTGGTCCTCGTCGCATCGGTCAATCATCTCGGCGGAGATATAGGGCACGTAGCGACCTGCATAACTTTCACCGGTGACAAAGATCTTGAACTTTGAGATGCCGAAGATCTTCTCGAAGTTGAGGAAGAAGTCGACAAAGTCCTTCGCAATGTCCTCTTCGCTTGTCGCCTTGACTTCGCCGATTGAAAAGCCGGTACCCACGGGCTGTTCGACCCACAGAACGTTCGTAAGATTGACCCACGAGTATGGGTTGATGTGTGGTGCATACTCGCCCCATGACCATTGGAAGAGACCATTCTCCTGGAGGAAACCTTCCAAGGAGCTGCAACCTGGTCCTCCATTCAGCCAGATGGTGATCTCATCGACGGGCTCTCCGACGGTTGGTTGGAAGATGAAGAACAGAGCTCGCGACGCATTGCTCATGTCAATTGGGATGAGACCCGAGTAGAACTCGCCAAGATCGAAAGGCATGTCCGGAAGCGAATCCACATAGTACGCTGCCAATGATCAGTAAGCGTCTGCATCGCAGTTGGTGTCGATAGACTCACGCGCTGTGGATTCGCTGTAGAATCTGAATGAGTCGGTCTTGTTTGTGTTATCGTCCCGTCCCAGTACCTGTGGGGCTCTCTTGAGCTTCAGCGAGAATCCTTTGCGCTGACTGACTTCGGATAGCCTGCCTGCGAAGGCGACTTGCACCACGCAGGTGGCGAGAATCAAAGACAAAGGTCCTAACTTCATTTTCGAATATGTAGAACTCTAATTGCACTACACGAATAGAGGAAAGAGGACGATTGACCAGCAAGGAATGAGCAGCAGCAGCTCATCCATCTTTTACCTGCTCCAATACGAAAATGTTCGCGCCAGAGCTCTCATGGCGGCTTTCGTATGACGACAAGCTCATCCGTCACGACCAGGTCAGCGGAAGCCTAACCCTCGTGGATACGCAGGCACCGCGCCAATTGATCAATCGGCTAATAATATGGACCTCTTATCGCTGTGGGGAGAGCGCATTAAAGATGTTGGCGGTGCGTCAGATATCGGATCGAGGTAGACTCGCAGGAATGGTGCAAGCTCGTGCAAGGCGCCATGACATGTAAGGAAGGTCGCAATGTGCGGGGTGACATGGGTGGATGATCAAGAGGAAACGTGGAGCTTAGGAAGCTTATGGAGCTTGGGCCTGGTCCTGATAACGGGACCGAAAGAATAGTGTAAAGCAAATGAGGGTTTCATGCGATTGGGGATTTGGAAAGGATGGTGGTGATGAGTGAAGTCAGGTCGATTGATACCTCGGGACCACGTTCACACGAATGCGGCACTAGTCCCGTTAGGGACGGCCGAGAGAAGCTTGATTCGCAATGACCTTTCGTTCACTCCTTGGCTGAAAAGCTTGCACCCACCTAATGTCAAGGATCAAAAATGCCCCAGATTCTGACATCGGCCGTAATATACTCGAGTAGGAATCTGCATAAGACTAACGGGGCTGACGTCGACGTGCTCCTGTGAAAAGAAGCTAGCAACGTAAGCAAACAAACATCCGACCTTCTGTACCACCTGCGATGCGATCTTCAACATATGGATGGAGGGCGCCAGGGTCTAGGCAGGCGTATAAGGGCCTCAGGGTCCAGGTACGAGGTGAGCTGCGCGTCTTGTGTTAGGAAGGCGTGATGAGCCCAGGAACAAACAGCAAGTGAGATGCTCGTGCTGGGCGGGGAAGGCTTGGATGACTTCAAGGAGGTAACAACAAATCCATACTTAACATGTTCATCCCTCTGTGGCCTTCCACGTATCTCACTCACCGCTTATCCCTCTTCTTCATCACGCGTCACTTTACCGCTTACTCTCTCCTCCCTAACCATTGCTACCCCCCATATACAGTCAGTCTCTCTCCCATCCGCCCCCTCGTGCATCTCACCTCAACAGCACCCGCCACAGTGTTCCCATTCTGCGGTCCACCTTGCGGCGGCTACTTGGTCCCCTCCTCGTATATGTCCCGAGCGCCCAATACTGGTCCCTCACGCGCATCAACACCGGGGCTCGAGCGACGATATACCCGTACCGCCTCCGTACGCACACCTCCTCCCATCGAGAAACCTCGAATCCCGCGCCGCCACGAAAGCTTGATTGAACTTGCCCGCCAGCCCCGAGAACCAGGCCCTTGGGACGACTACTCCAAGGAAGACATCCTCACCCAGATCCTGAGAGAAGAGCGCGCTACTCGCGAGTACCGCAAGTACCTCAAACAGCAAAAGCAGAAGCAGAAGGAGAAGAAGAGGAACGAAGAGGAGAAGTACAAAGCGTGGAAAGAGCACCAGCAGCGCAGAAAGAAGGCGGCACGCAGGAAGCAGCAGGAGCAGAAGAAAGCAACCAAAGAGGAGCAGGAGCAGAAGAAAGCGGCCAAAGAGAAGAAGCGAACCAGCGAAGTAGCGGAGCCTCCATTGAGCTCCGGGAACAACACTCCGACTTCTCCCACCCCTCCTGACTCTGCTTACGCGGAAGGAACTTACGACCTAGCTTCGGCAGAGCAAAATGATCGAGACGTTCAAGGACATGAAGCACGGGAAGAGTGCGTACGAGGGGAAGGGCATGGGGCTCGAGCGGACAGCCCACCAGATCCTGCATCACATGGAGGAAAAGGACTGCGAGGACTCTTTGGAAAGCACAAGGGCAAGAGTACTAGGTGATCCACCTAAACCACCTTGATTGTGCTCCATGACTGATGCCTGCTGCGCAGCGAACGCCCGAGCGATCTACGGTCCGAATCGCTGCCTCGACATAATAAGCTTCGCCCCGACTTCCTCCCGCAAAATTGGCGCCGCAATCGTGGAGCATAATCCGGGCGGCAGATCATACATCCACTGCTCCTCTGCCAAAGAAGATACACGTCTCGCCGCCTGCGAGCACCTCCTTGTCATCACCGAAGACATCCTGCAACGGCTGATTGACACAGAGGGTATCACAAGCAGTGGGTGGCTACCCGCCACAGCGCAAGCGCAGCATGCCGCTACGTACAGTGTGAATGGAAGTGTGGCGGGCAGCGTGCAGCCGAGTATCGCTGGGAGCGTGCCGGCGAGTCGAAGGAGTAGTGTGCAGCCGCCCGAGTGAGTACATTATTCGCCATTGGCGTTCCATATAGAGGATGCGGAGTGCTGACTTATCACGACAGGCATAACCACGACATACACTCAGTTCACAGCCACAGTAGCATGCCCGCATTGCCTTACCCCGGTCTTATGCGCAACAATAGCGACATGATATACCACTCCTCTCCACAACCGACACAGCTCATTCCGCGAACCAACAGCGACGTAATCCAACAACCGAAGCCCGTGCCCGTCGGGCAATTCCAGGGTCACCGTCACGGCCGCGTTCAGTGGAATTTGGGATCTGAAGGTTAGAAAGGAGAATTTCTAGAGGATTGGCGTTGTTAGAAAGATGGAACCTTGGGTAGTTGGTTGCTTCTCTTGAACCCTTGAACTCCTGTCGTTTCCCTAAGGAATGCATTGATTTCCATTATGAATGCAGATGCTTTTCTCTATTGAGAACAGGTCTACCTGTTGGCCAAACCATTCTGCCATGTCCTTTAACGCCATGCAACCACGAATGCCGAATAACCACCGTGACTAAATTGTAGGTATAGTACTTACTTCTGTAGCAACCACTAGTTGGGCTTCTTTGCAAACTCGACGCGCAAGATGAGATGACCGAAACCGTCTGAAAATACTGTCAGTAACGCGCAAAGCCAACGGTGGAGATTGCACTCACATCCATCCATCTTCTCACACGCTCTTGCCGCATCTGTCCGATCTGCGTAGCTAACAAAGGCGAAACCTTTCGCCCTCCCTGTTTCGCGGTCCTTTGCCAAGAAGACACGAGTAACGTGCCCGTACCGCGAGAACATGTCGCGTAGGTCCTGTTCCTCGGCGAATTCGGAGACATTCGTGACACGGAGAGTCGCAGAGTCGTCCCTGTCGAATTTGCCGCCCATTTTTTCACCAGCGCCGCCCCGGCCTCGCAGGTGCGGAGGCACGTAGCTGCCGGAGCCAGCACCAGCAGCTCCCACCTGTGGCGCATCGTCGGGCATATCAGCGGGTGTTGCCTCTCCTTCGGGTGCCATGGTATCCTTGAACGGACATTTCGTCGTGAAGTGGTCTCCGCTGCAGATTCTGCACTTAATCTTGGCCTCCTTCAGGCTGGCCTTTTTCTTCTCGGTCTCGTTCTTGTCTTCGGTGCTCGCTTTCCAGTTCGAGACTGGCCTGAATACGATATTCTCTGCGACGCTGGTGGTGTCGGTCTGTGGACCCGGGGGCTTCCCCTTGTCGCTGCCGAACTTCTCCCAGTGCTTGCGCTCCGCGACGCGTGGGTTGACGATCTGCTTGATGACCGTCTTCTTGATCCGGCGGGTGGTCTTCACCTTCTTGCCATCTTCGCGGATAGAGTAAGTGATTATCGTTTCGGTCCCGTCTTTGTTCTTGATGATTTGCTGCTGCGGGAGCTGGAGGGAGTCTTCGTCCTCTTCTTCCGCCCAGTCGGTTCGTCTGGGTATTGTCAGCGAGGCGAGCTATTGAGAGGCAGAGCCAGATACTCACCCTGCTACTCGAGACATGTTGGTTACGTCTGTATGTAGTGCTGAGATAGTCTGTTGCCAGTGGGTAACGAGGGTTGTGCCGCGAGAGCCGTCCTGTTGGTGATGACTGAAAGTGGCGGGCGTGGGGCAATTTTGTGCAGGGTGGGCGGAACTCTTGGCGCGCTAACCGCAGTGGTGCTAGCCGTGCTTTGTCATACGAGCTTTCTCACCACATTCTTTGCTCATTCACCTCCAGCTTCTATCCTTCCACAATGTTGTATTGTCCCTTAGATTTGTTTTAGACGTTTCACACGAGAGCAAGACTTATAGTAATCTAATAAACATGTGAGATTGAAGAACACGTCCTGCCTTGACCGCATTCAATCACGCCTCCTTCCTTCACCTTGTTAATCATCTATGTCTCCCTTCACCTTGTTTCTCGTCTAATTCTTGCCACCATATCGTGTGCTAGCTCATACGTGCGGGCAAACAGTTCCTCCGGGCATCCAGATAACCCTGACCGGAGAATAGGTTCAACGACATCTCCGTTACACTTGCTCGGTTGTTCAGAATGCGCGTCCTGCATTCAAGACATAATAGGCTCATGCTTACCTCGGCCGGGCTTGACCGGGATGGAAGTTATCCCGGCGAACATGATCTGCTGGACTGCCAGATATCCAGGCTGTTTTGGCTAGGGCACTGAAGCTGTACAGCTTTCGTCCGCCGATATAGAGAGACAAGGGAGCGGTGGGCATATGAGAAGAACACAACCCTTTTTCAGGCTATAAGAAGGGTGGGTATTCACATGAGATCCTCTATACTAGTTCATCGATCCTCTCCTACATCCTCGAACGCTCCCTTTGCCCCGTTCCATTGTCGTTGATAAAATATTCGTCAATCTTAAGCTCACAATTCCCCTTTCCGTCCCCGAAATGACAAGAGCAATACTGGTCATCGGTGCCACAGGGAAGCAAGGTGGTAGCGTGATTAGAACGCTACAAGAGACTGATTTCAAGATCGTGGCCTTGACACGAGACACCGCGTCGCCCTCCGCTCAAAAGCTCTCCAACTCGTCACGGAACGTCAAGCTACTCCAAGGCGACCTAAGCAACGCGCCTGCTATCTTCGAGGGCGCCAAAAGAGTCGCCAAGAATACCGTCTGGGGGGTATATGGCATGCACCCTGCTGGTGCAGGCAAATCTGTTGAGAAGAAGCAAGGAAACGCGCTGATTGACGCTGCAATCACCGCCGACGTACGATTCTTCGTCTACAGCTCGATCGACCGCGGGGGCGAAAGATCTTCCTCCAATCCTACGTCCATTCGGAACTGGGCCTCCAAATACCACATCGAGAAGCACCTCGAACAGGTGGCCGCAGGTACAGGAATGAGGTTCTGCGTACTCCGACCGACAGGCTTCATGGAGGAACTTACGCCTGACTTCGGGGGCAAGGCTATGGCAAAGATGTGGGACGTTGCCCTTAAGGACAAGTCGCTTCAGCTTGTTGCTACGAAAGATATTGGTTGGTTTGCTGCTCAAGCGTTCAAGCACCCGGATGAGTTCGCTGGACGGTACATCTCATTGGCCGGAGATGAACTCACGTTCCGCCAGGCAAACGAGATCTTCAAGGCGAAGTTTGGAAAGGACATGCCGGGCACATTTGGGCTCGTGGCCCGAGGCTTATTGCACGCGATGAAGGACATCGGGGCTATATTCAAATGGTTCAAAGACGAGGGAAATGCGGTGGACATCGAGGAATTGGGGAGGATGAATCCCGAACTGATGGATTTTGGTGCGTGGCTGGAGAGAGAGAGAGCTTTTCGATCTAAATAGTGGTTCGCGACTGGCGGGATGTCTCTGGAGAAGTGGGGAGGACGTGGGATGTTGGTCAATTTTACAACCACCGAATCTGGCGGCTAACGATGGAAGCCTCCCGTAAATCGCAACGCAATTGCAGTAGCTAATTGGGTAATTTCTTGAAAACTTCTTTTCGCTTTCTTGCAATGGACACACCACATGCACCCAGCCTGAAAGGCTTCGTTGGCAAATGCTACTCACCACCACATCAACGTTTATAACAACGAGCGACATCAAAAGCTTCATCATGGGGAGCGCCATCTTGTTCTCCCGGACTTTCAACGGAGAGTTGATAATGGTTAAGGCTAAGGGAAGGCTTCTTCTTGATGTATAGACTTATCGTTTGTATGCAACATAGCATACTCAACTGCAGTGCGTATCTGCATTTGCTCTTGCGATAGTCGTCTAAGGGAGGGAGCTGCTTCATATTCTTACATGCTGTGGGGTGAATGTCGCTAGTAATTTGGGACGCATGACGCATTTCCGGTTTGGGACCCACGATAACCGTACCTTGGGTCGAATCTTTCCACGCGAGATATCAAAGTAAGGATGGTTATGAACATGTACAGCAGAAGATGAACAATGGAGTGATCTTCAGTTAGAAGGTTCAACGACGATCATCGCTGTCTCGGGTTTGAGTGTCAACGGTGAACGAGGCTGGAGCGTGACGCGCGGACCACCTGCACCGCCGCAAATGGCAGGGGCCGTCTTATGAGCGCATAGGGCTTATTCGACTGAGAATCTCCCGAGTCTCTTCAGCTACGAATATGCTTCTCCTTTTGGCCTTGTAGTCTTCTTTTTGAGTGACATTCCAGCATGCAAAACTCCCGGTAGTACGAACCGTCACACACGATCGAACCTAGCGACGACGCGTCTCTTCCGCAGCTCTCCGCAATGGCCTCCTCGTCCTCGCCGAACGAGCCTAACGGGCACCCCGTCGGCGAACACCATGTCGAGCTTGAGGATATGGGCGACAAGAAGCCCAGTCTGCCTATCGAGGAGGATATAATGCAGCTGGCGCGATTAGGCGAAATAGCTGCGATACAGAAGTTGTTCGACAGCGGGAAGTTCGATGCGACTTATAAGGACGAGCAGGGCATAACGCCGCTTCATGTGCGATTACCCGGTCCAACTCTGTTTATATGGGACGTGGACTGATAACGGAGATAGTGGGCTGCGATTAACAATCACTACGCTCTATGCCATTTCCTGATACAGAACGGCGCGAGTGTAAACGCGAAGGGTGGAGACGCCGTCGCTACACCTGTCCTCTGGGCCGCGAAACGATGCCATTACTACGTCGTCAATCTGCTCCTCGAGCACGGCGCCGACCCTCTTCTCACCGACGACCAAGGCTTCAATCTCTTGCACTCGGCGACTCTCGACGGGAACGTGTACCAGCTCGTCTTACTCCTACACCAGGATATACCGGTCGACATACCAGATTCGCAGTCGCATACGGCGCTGATGTGGGCAGCATACAAAGGCTATCCGTCATGCGTGGACCTGTTTCTAAGATGGGGAGCTAATGTGTATGCGACGGATGACCAGGGTTTCACAGCCTTGCACTGGGCGCTTGTGAAGGGATCGCAGGGCTCCATACAGAAGCTGCTCGAGTATGGAGCGGATCGATTCGCGAAGAACAATGACGGGAAGACACCATCCGTAACCGCGGAAGAGATGAATACGGTGCGGCAGTGGCATGCAGCGCTCTCAGCAGCAGGCTACAACAAGGACGGTTCACCAAAGCAGTTCCCAGTCCCGGGGATCAAGGATACGCGGTGGTTTATATCGCGTTTTCTCTTCTTCTGGCCGTTCCTTATCATTTTCCAAGCGATCTATTTAGTCAGCCACTACCCGGTGTATATTGGGCTACCGTTGGCCGCGGTGACATCGTATGCGATGCAGTGGGCGGCGCAGAAACTTGCGTCGTTTGGTCCTGCGAACATGAGGAATGTACATCATACCGTGAGTATCTCTTTTGAATTATGTGTAGCCACTTATTGATCGATGTCCACAGCCTTTCTTGGCCGGCATATTCGCTGGCACTCTGTTTTGGGTGGGTGTCCGTTGGATCACGACCGTTCTCCCTTGTAAGCCCATTACTACTCTCTTGAAGACTACAACTGACCGGTTGTAGGGACATTACGAACCTGCTTCTTTCTCAATATAGTATTCGGAGTATTTTACGGATTCACGACATATTTCTACTTCTTCACGATGGCATCCGATCCGGGCTTTGTGCCCAAGTCAGCGAGCAGGAGCGCCTCGAAGGCAGTCATTGATGAGCTGATGGAGGCGAAGTTGTTTGATGAGAACCACTTTTGCGTCAATTGTATGGTGCGGAAACCGTTGCGGAGTAAGCATTGTAAGAGGTGTGAGCGCTGTGTCGCGAAGTCAGATCAGTAAGTATTCAGTAAAGAAGGTGTGTCAGGCTTGAGCTAACGCCCGTAGTCACTGCCCTTGGGTGAATAATTGCGTTGCGAACAACAATCACCGACACTTTGTGTTCTATGTCCTTTTCATGGAGCTTGGTGTATTGGTATGGGTTCGCTTGGTGCTTGCCTGTACGTTGTTTCCGTCCGCTTTACAGGAGCTTAGAAGCTAACAGATCCAGACCTTGAGAACATAGACGGACCGAAAGACGTTCAATGCAACGTCCTCTCCGACGACCTATGCAAGATTCTACACAAAGATCCATATACCATTGTCCTCTCAATATGGACAGCCTTCCAACTCACTTGGGTCACCATGCTCCTCTGCGTTCAGCTTCTCCAAGTCGCGCGAAATCTCACAACCTACGAAAGCATGCGAGGCCACCTTCACGCCGCTACCCCTGCCGACGCCCTCACCGCGTTCGTCACCACGGGCGATACGTCACAAGAAGTCTCGGGCAGTGCACCCACGACCGGCTTTGGTTCTGGGCAGGACACGGGCGATGGTGCTCCCCCTCGACGTCCCAAGCACTCCATCTGGGATCAATGGAAGCGTCTCCTTGGTCTCGACACATTTGTTGCTACGGCACTGCAGGGTTCACAAGCGGGCCAGACGAGAAGAGGTGGGAATCCGTGGTCGAGAGGTATGATAACGAACTGCAAAGATTTCTGGTGTGATGGGGCACCGGTGTTTGGAAAGAAGGAGGGCGGATATGCGAGGTTGGGTGGAGAGAGGGTAGATTATACGAGGTTGTATGAGGTGCCTCGAATGAGGTACCAGAGGAGCGGCGAGAGCGGAGGTGGGGGCAGGTATGAGGCGGTGAGTAGTGGAGAAGAGGAGGTTTGATGGCCTGGATGTTGGATGAGGTTGGATACTGGGTTTGTAGTGATACTAATTGAGCAGGACATCTCAATCAGCATGCGTGTTTTTCTTTTCTGACTCGCCCCAGGCTGCTCATGTGGCAGCTCACCGAAGATAGTGATGCACATTGGTGTGTCAAAATGATGTTGAATGTTTCCTGGCGTGGCTTTCCAGGGCTTTCTCGCACCCCTAGATTTCGCGCTAGATTGAAAGTGACTAGCTTCCTTGAACCTTCCTAAAAGGGCAGTTCTTGGGATTTCCGTCGAAGACTGCACAATAGGTTCACCGCCGCCTTCACCGCACAACTTCACTCACCGTTCCAAGTTCCTGGCTGGAGTAAAAATACATGCCCACGTGCCGCCACGCCGCATTCGGCAAAGTCCGGAACGTGCGCCGATGACCGAGGCCAAACCCGCGAATCGCCCTGGCTTGCTGCTAGCGGGCCGCATTTCTCTCTCCGTTCGCCGTTGCCGCCATCGCGAACTCAAACCTCTTTTCTCTCATGCTTCTGCTGCATGTGATACCCCAACTGCGCGCTATGATATAAGCATTTTTGCTGCCTATTCTTTATGCATATCCGACCGAAGATTGAGTTCGCGACACGTCCGCCATGACATCATCCGAGGCCCTGCGAGGGCTACGCACGTTGATCGGAAGTACCACACGGAGTCGCACACTGCGCAACAGGCTACTGTTGTATGGGGGTGCGCGAAGGGCCATATGTGCGGATTGTTTGAGGACACTGAGGCAGCACAGAAGCGGTTGGGAGCATGCGCTGGGAGCGAAGGCGGGATTTAGCGCTGTACCGGCTAGTTTGAGGGTTAGAGCTGGTGCCCTCAGGGGCCAAGCGCAGCAGGCGCAAGCGGGTTTGGTGGAGAGGGCCGAGGAGAGGATTGCGAAGGGGTTGAAGACGCCGATGAAAGAGTATGATGAGAGGGTTGACATGGGGAGGTTGCGGGACGATGAGCATCAGAGAGGTATGGGCCGCCTTCAGACTTCTATCCAAAATCTTTGGTTGCGCTTCCACTGTGTGCTTCAGGAACAGCTACTAACCGTTCTGTTTAGGGATCATTCAAGACCTCGAAGACCTCCACCTAATGCTCTCGCGCTACAAACCACCGCCCGTCCGACAACCGCTCGTAAACTCCCTTAGACCAAAGAAATCATTCTTGTCGCTCTTCTCCTCCTCTGGTCCCACGCGTCTTCCGATCTCCCAGATCCCAGACCATGTACCTAAAGGCCTATACATGTACGGCGACGTAGGTTCCGGCAAAACCATGCTCATGGACCTCTTCTACGATACCCTACCGAACAATATCGAGAAGAAGACTCGCATACATTTCCACGCATTCATGCAGGATGTACACAAGAATCTGCACAGGATGAAGATGAGCCACGGGAACGATGTTGATGCTATTCCATACGTGGCGGCAGGCATTGCGGAGGACAGCAATGTGCTGTGCTTCGACGAGTTCCAGTGTACGGATGTGGCTGATGCTATGATTTTGAGGCGGCTGGTTGAGAATTTAATGGCACATGGGACGGTTATTGTTACGACGTCGAATAGACATCCGGACGATCTGTACAAGAACGGCATACAACGCGAGAGTTTCGTTCCGGCGATTAATTTACTGAAGTCGCGGCTCCGCGTCTTGAACCTCGATTCGCAGACCGACTATCGAAAGATCCCTCGTCCACCTTCGGGAGTCTACCACCACCCGCTCAATGAAGGCGCGAGAACCCATGCGGAGCGCTGGTTCCGCTTCCTCGGCGACTTCGAAAATGACCCCCCACATCGCGCATTCCATACCGTCTGGGGAAGAGAAATCGAGGTACCGAAAGCGAGCGGAAGTTGCGCGTGGTTTACCTTCGACGAGATCATTGGACGAGCAACCGGAGCGGCGGACTATTTGGAACTGATGCGGAATTACAATGCTTTTATCGTGACCGACGTGCCTGGGATGAATCATAGGAGTAGAGACCTGGCGCGGAGATTCATTACGTTTATCGACGCTATTTACGAGTCAAGAGTAAGTTGCCTCCTTATGCACCTTGGAAATTGAGCCAAGGCTAACAAACCCAGGCCAAACTTGTGATGACCACGGCCGTGCCAATAACCTCCCTCTTCCTCTCCTCCAACGAACTCCAAGAAGCCATGCACAGCGCCTCTAAGTCTGGCGATCTTCCCGCCGCCGCAACCGCCGACGACCACGCCGACGTCTCGGACGTGATGCGCCATCTCATGGACGACCTCGGCATGAACATGTCGATGCTCAAGAATAGTACTTTGTTTACGGGGGATGAGGAGCGGTTTGCGTTTGCACGGGCGTTGAGTAGGCTAAGCGAGATGGGGAGCAGGGAGTGGGTCGAACGCGGCATGGGGTTGGATGAACGCGGTGGGCGGCAAGAGATGGAGGGATGGCAGAGGGTGAGGAGCAGATGGAGGGAGGATAGCATGTAATAGGAATGGGTAGACTGGATACCTGTGTTTGGCATATAAAGCGGGATTAGATACTGCTGTGCATTTGTGCGGAGGTGTACAAAGATATAGAAGGATTAGCGTGTTTGTGGCATTGAATGATAGTATTTTTTCTGCATTCAGCTCCTTGGTCTCGGGGATACTTCACACTGTAGTGCTGATATGAGAACAGAAAACTCCCGCAGATGACTGCGAACTTGGTATTTCCTCCGTCGTCTGAAGTGCCCTTTGGTCGTCGAGTTCGCCGACCGGAACCGTTGCGCGGCGTACATAAACTCTTTTCTCGCCCTCCATTTCTTCTTCCTCACAATCCACTACGGTCGCCACATAGGCTCTAAAACTCGTGGAGCTAGTAGATATGACTCCTCTTCTCTTGAGTTCTGGGATCCAGAACTAAAATTTAGGCTCGAGACCTCCGATGTGCCGGAAAGCTCGCGCTGTTACGAGTCTAGAGACCAAAAGAACACCGCCGAAAGCTATATGGTAGAGTTTCTGCATCTGTCTCGGGAACGAAAAATCTTGCTGGCCTATTGAGTTCAAATGGTATTCGGAGCTTTGTCGGCGCTGAGGAATGGTTAGGATATGGGGGGATTCCTCATGTGGAGGCTCAGCGGGTGCATGTCTCAGCTCTCCTTCGCTGCTTCCCGCGATCCGGCGATGGCAATAAAGAGACAAAGCACGGCCTCCATGCTGTGCGCCCCTGGTTTCGCGGCTTGGAAATGAGAACAAAAAGGAGACAAGGAGGGAATGATGTCTGGGAGAGACTTCGCCCGTCTGAGTGCGAGAGGTGTCAAAAACGATATGGGACCCGAACATGGGAGAATGGGGAGTGCGCTGAGAGGGAGGTCCCATCAGATGCCTACTCCCTTTTCCGTCTGTACGGGATCTCTGGGACCAGAAGCATAGGACAGCCACAATGTGTCCCGTAATCTGCCTGCCTAGCGTCCCGGGCCAGAAACAAACAAAATACACAGGATCCGCAAAGATTCCTGCTTCGCGCTCCTCGAAATCTAAGAGAGATGAGCCGGCCTTGGGAATATAAACCTCGTCACCACCGCCGTTCCTTCTTCATTCACACATCCCCGCGACGCGCGCCGTCGTCTAAAACGGTGCGTACGTTCCACGCATGCTCTCTGGAATTCTTTGCGCGCCGAATCCCAGGTCCAAGATATGTCGGGTTCCAGGTTTGTCTGCTGGGTCGTGCTTCCCGCGCCGAAGGAAAAGCTTTGAAAACGAACGGGCCCATGGGTGAACTTGTCCATGAGTGCCCCAAGCTGGGTCTGCTTCTTCGTCTGCAAATGACAGAAGAAAGGGCGAATATACCAAGAAAATGGTGCCCGGGACGGCCCGTAGTCTGTCAGGAACATATGGACAGGAAATGGTGATGTGCGGAAGAGATGGATAAACGTACCTACCTTCTACTCATGCTTCCGGACACTATGCGCTCAGAGCTGAAATCATAATTTTACTACGCGATGTGCTCTCCTCTTCCGGGCTCTGCGCTGTTAGCCAAAACCGCGCAGCGAGCAACAGATGTTCTGGGACTCCTTCTCCGGTCCTACCTAGAGAGGGAGACGGAAACCAAACCTAGGCGCGGTTTTGCTCATGTGTCTCTAGTGCCTATCCTGTTTCTGCTTACCAAATGTCCACTCTTTCAATCAAATGATTCCCGAAATTGCTTGTCTCCTGAGCTCTAAAGCCAAACAAAGATACAACATCCAATTCCGTGTCCAGCAGTTGAGCTTCCTCTGCTCTTCCATCTATCCTCATATGTTCCCCAAGCGAGGGTATTCTGGCTTGGAAATCTGACAGACAGATTCGTCGAACGGCTCTGGTCCTATAATGAGGTTGCTAGAACGAAATGTCCATACTTTCTAGCGATGTTCCGTGTGCTCCTGCAGTGGGCTGAATGTACGCACATGGGAGGAGTGCAACCTCCACTGGGACAAGGAATGTGGCTCTCACCGGCAGCGCACGCGAGAACAAAGAGTCATTACTATCGGCCCAGGTTGGCCTGGATTCCTCGTTGTTGATCCCTCGAGTTTTAAGTCCTTTAGTCGAGACTCTCGCGGAATACAAATACCTGCCCTTCGTCCGTTCTTCAAGTTTTCCATTCCTTCAGAGGTTCCAAGCATCGAGGTCCAAAAGGTCGGGTTTCGTTGCTCTATGGGGCGCTTTCTTGCGCTCCTGCCTTCCGAAATATAAATGGTTGGCGGGACCGCACATGCTGCCGCTCTTCTTTCTGGCGTAACTTCATCCCAGAGCGGCATCCACGCAGTTCTCGGATCCCGACTCCTGCCTAGCCAAATAAGAGCTTAAGGTGACGGATGTCTCTTCCTCTTCCCCGAGACTTACCTTTCCTCCGAACAAGGACTGCGGCATCAAATCAAAAGCGGCGCTAACGGATGGAACTTTACACTTCTCTGGATGTGTAGACCAGAATTCCAGATATGATGTCGCCATGGTTGGGGTCCTTCCTGCCAGGACCAATGACCGCAGGTCAGGGAGAAAGAAACAAACATGTGCAGATATCTTGAACCTACTTTGCGCGCTCGCCCTCGTATCCCTGGGAACGAAAATGGCTGCGCACAGAATGCATGACGGACTGTCTTTCTGCTCTGCATGAGCGTCCCGAGCGATATGTGCTATTAGCCCAGCTTCCGAACATAGGTCGCTACTGTTCCATGGTCCACTCCGCGCGTCTCCATGGAAAGGTCAGAAATCGGGTTCGACATTTATGGACTGCTCTTCTGTTCCTTTTCGAAAAAGGGATTCGAAAACTAGTTCAGCTCTCCCGGAACTAAAAGATCCAAATGTCAGCTTTACGGGACTTGCCCTCCCCACAGCATATACCAAAATCGCATTTGGTAGCTGAAAATATCTGAGCTCTTCCCACTCCTCGGCATCGATCTTCTTCCACCACTTAGGGCTCCAAAATAGACACGGGAACCAACATATGCCCGGTGGCTCCACCAAAAACAAGACACGAGATTACCATGTCGCGTCCGGGCTTCTTTTCCTCTGAAGTTCCTCTCACATGACGTGCATATCCCCTCTCCTTTCCTGGATGCAACAACTCGAGCGCGGGATGATCATGTCCAGATTTTCCCTCTCCATTCAACCTGGAAGCTGCAAATCTCTCTCCTCCCCCCGTAATCGAAAAGTGTCTGCTGTCACTCCTATGTGCGCCTGGAAGCAAATCAATCGGAGAAGAAATATAGATATGCCGCGTCCTTGGTCGCTTCTCGTCTCTCACCACTAAACGAAGTACCATACTCGCAATATGTGCTTCCTTCACTCAGTCCCCCGGATAACCACGGATCGTACTAAAGAGTGAGGCCTGTAGCACACGGCTGGAACTAAAAGCGCTCTAGCCCATCGTCATGTTCTTCCCGGATCCTCCCAGATCCTCCCACAATAAGATGGCGCCGGGACTAAGAGAACATTTGTTCATTCCAATGCCCTCTTCCTCGAAAACTCCCAACAACTACTTCTAATGTCTGCTTGCTCTGTGGGAGGTAAAAATGGTAGCATGACTCGAATGTCTTGTGTAGGTCTAAAGACGACATCGAACGCCTCCATGAACCGGCCTCCTAACTTTGAGTCGGAAATGAACCCCCAATAGTTTGCAGGCTGTTCTGGAAAGCATTCTCTCATGCATCTATGCGGAATGGAGCTTCCTATTTGCGAAGAATAACGGATTCGAAGTCGATACCGCCTAAGAGCTGCACTGAATCCATATGCGCTCCGACAAACCTGCTTGGAAGTTGTCTACATGCTCTCTGGGCCCTTTTCTTATTCCATCAACCCTTGGGCCGGAATATGCTCACCCTATGGTCCCTCCAATGCAATGAACAAGATGTCATCTGGTCTTGAGGGCAAAAGCGAGGTTCTATTCTACCATGTTCTGCATTGGATTCAGAGTCGTACTTGCTCTTACTATGGGCTGGCCTTTTTCTTGTGCTCTTCCCCTCGTACCGCACAATGCCCATCCATCCAGCTATGCGTTCGTCTAAAACTAGCAGCTCTTCGTAGCATGTCGCTGAGAATTCTTCTCCGGAAGACAGGGGACGAGGAGACAGAAACGAGATCAGGTAGAAACCAATGTTTGCCGGCACGGTGGAGGCCGAAAATATCTTTCGCGTTCGTACATATCTCGAGGAGACTCTGAAGAATTACTCTGCTTCCGCGTAGGCCTGCCTGTCTCTGTCCCGGACCGTAATCCCTTCTGGAGGAGAATTATGCTCCTCTCCAAAACTAACTGTCGCCCGTGGAAAGCATGTTGGGGAGGGTTCGGATGGAGAAACCAAAACAGTTCTGGAAAAGACGAATGGAGCGAGGAAAGACAGGCGCACGTTTCCATGACTGGTCCACAAAAAGACCTAAAATGTGGGGGCATCGACTGCGCGTGAGTGGTAACGAGCGGACGGTGAATGATGACGATGATCAGCATGGCCTTGGAGCGTTGAAACCCCTTTAGAAAAAGTGGCATGCTTGAGAAAATTAGCTTACGCACGATGTCTTTCTATCCCTTACCCCTTTTCCGAAACCTATACTCTTAAGCCTTGTCATCCTCTCCATCCTCTCCCCTTTAAATCTTCTCCCCCTCCAAAATCGGTCTCGCCTCCTCACTCCTCCACCAACTCACCCCTTCCTGTCCGGGATACCCAAACCTCTCCATACTCTCCGGCTTCATCTCCACACTATACCCCGGCTCCATCGGCGTAACATAATACCCATCCTTAATCTCGCTCGGATGGAAGAAATGCTCATGCAAATGATCTACATACTCGAGCACACTCTTCTTGCCGCTGACGACGACGTAGTCGATGGTGGACAAATGCTGCGTGTACTCGGGCAGGCCGACGCCGCCGCTGTGCGGAACGATGGGAATGCCGAACTTGGCGGCCATGAGCAGCACGGCGATGACTTCGTTTACGCCACCGAGACGACAGGCGTCGATTTGGCACACATCGATTGCGCCGGCCGCGAGGAATTGCTTGAACATGACGCGGTTTTGGCACATTTCGCCTGTGGCGACGCCGATGCCGTAGGGCTTGAGGGCTTCGCGGATTTGCTTGTGCCCAAGTACTGCATTCTGTCAGCCTCGTCCCTCTCCTTCCTCTCTGGCTAGCTCAGGGGTGTAAACTTACCGTCATCAGGGCTAGTCGGCTCTTCAATGAACCACGGCTTAAACTCCGCAAGCTGCTTCATATACTCAATCGCCTCGGGCACGCTCCACACCTGGTTCGCATCTACCATAAGCACATTTCCCTTATCAAACCCGATGATCTCCCTCGCAATGCTCAACCTCTCCTTATCCTGCTCGATATCGCTTCCCACCTTGAGTTTGAAGTGTCGGTAGCCTTTTGCCAGCGTTTCGCGAAGCAGACCGCGCATCTTATCCTGCCCGTACCCCAGCCAACCCGCAGACGTCGTATACGCCGGCACCGCCTTCGAATCCAGCGCCTCCTGTAACCTCTCCTTCTTGCCCTTCTCCGCCTTGGTCAGGATCTCCAGCGCCTCTTCCGGCGTGATAGCATCCGTAATATACCTAAAATCAATCAGGTCGACGATCTGCTGAGGCGTCATGTCCGCGACGATGCGCCACACCGGTTTCTTCAGCGTTTTGGCCCAAAGATCCCAGATGGCATTGACGACGGCACCCAAAGCCAGGTGAATGACGCCCTTTTCGGGGCCGATCCAGCGGAGTTGCGAGTCGTTGACGAGATAGCGCCATGTCTTACCCCAGTTTGCGACGAGGGAGTCAAGTGAGCGGCCTTTTATGCGGTCCGCGAGGTGGGTGATGGCGGTGCAGACTATTTCGTTGCCGCGACCAATGGTGAAGGTCTGGTGGGGCGTTAGAAAAGGTAGTTAGAAAAGAGACTGACCGGATGGGAAGGGGGAAGTGGAAATAGAATATACACGTGACTGGAAGAGAACCTTGCAATGGGAAACAGGAAAGAAATGTGCAAATGAAGCAAAGAATGCCCACGATGCAAGCTCTAGGAACTGGCTAAAATGGAGGAAGAAGCGTTATTGGAGAACATTCAATGAAAACGGACGTACCATTCCATGGCCCTTGTGCTCCGAGTCCGTATGCAGAATGCAATACGCCGCGGAGTAGTCACCAGCTGCATTCATAGCATCGGACCCAGTCTTGTCGAGGGATGTCTATGTCACCATCAGTACTCCCGCATCGAATTTGCCATCAAACCCTCACATACCGGGAATCGAACATCCCTCGTCTCAGCACCAGTAATTGTGACCATCTTGCGGCTTCAATGTTGTCGAGGTGGAGGGTAATGGCAAGCGAACATGGACGTTTGCGGTAAGGTGTATTAGGAGAATATTAGGAGGCAGGAAGGATCTTCAAACAATTGAGAGTGCAGCAATACAGCAGTTCTAGAATCTATATACTTGCACAATCTTCTGACGCACGCTGAAGCTGCATTTAGCTATATGCATGATAGGTGGAGAAATGCGGACCGATAAAAGTCCTTCCGCAGTTGCGTCGAAAGCTCGGCATTTCGCGAGCCGATTTGCGGAGAATTCTACGCCACGTGACAAATTAGTCTCCTCACTGCATGTCACGACCCAGACCTTGCTCAGATCCTGAAAGCTTCGTTGTCGCGGCAAAGCTTAGCTCACATCATTGCTGCCTTTGGTCTACCTACCTCCACGGAAAACTAAGTGCTCGCCCGGTGTTAGCGACACAGAGGAGATGAACAGACCTGATACCATGATGCTCGATCCCTTCCTCAAGGAGCCTCTATAGTACAACCTGAAGATCCGAAGATCCTAGGACTCATCAATAACTTTTTTGAGAAGATCCTCTCACACACTCACCCCCGTTTAATCAACATCGGATGTCGTTCGTATAAGGCGGAGACCGGAGAAACCCTAAGAGACCGTGAACCCGCATCCAGCTTTTTGATCCTGCCGCAATGGAACACTCAGCACTTATTTGATGCCCCTCTTCTCCGACTCGCTGTAGTAGATGACCATGCGCCAGAGCCTCTTCACTAGGGATTCGGCCTCATCGTCAAGTGCCTGGACTTATTGTTAGCCACATGTCTCACAGACGTAAAGAGAGCAACCGACAACTTACCATTTCTAGATTCTCCACCAGTTCCTGCGGACCGCCGCGTTTCCTCAGGTGCTCAACAACAGCCTCCACTAGCAGATCTTCCTGCAATCCAAGAACATCCAGCACCTTATTCGCGGCCCAATCCTTGATCTCTTTATCGATGTGCTTGTCAAGCAGGTGATCCCACGAGACGGGCCATTTCCACAAACCCTCCTTGTCGCCGGGGATATCTCGTGCGAGCTGCCGTTGCGCCTCCTCGATTTCTTCTTGGGTGAGGTTGGCGCGGATAGTAGTATCGAAATTAATCGGGATAAGCGTTCGCTTCTTCGCGCCAGGCTGCTCGGTGATATCCTCGTCTTCGAGCAGGTTTTCGACGTCTGCAGCTGTACGGCGAGGGGCAGCGGTCTGTTCGAGCTTCTTCGCGGCTGCGCCGAGAGAGATCTTGAAGTGCTGGGGTTCGCGAGGCGTTTGCGCCCGAAGAAGCTCTTCGGCCTGCTGGTCGAGGAATGCATTGGCCTGGTCGCGAGCGTAATCTTTCTGTTTCTGCTTGGCGGCCATTTCACGCTGTTCTTGCTCGCGATCGACGCGGTCTTCCCTCTCTTCTCTCTCGCGTACCTTTTGGCGTTCCCGCATGTACTCTCCGTGGTCGCGGTAGTACAGGTGACGTTTCTGTGAGGCTTCGGCATCGTCATCGAATGTCTTGAGCTGAGCTGCCTGTGCTTCACGGGCGGCTTGCTGATCAACTTCCTTGTGCTTCATGCGATCGTGGGTTCGTTCAAGCGAGGAGACGCTCCTGCTTTCGTGCTTTAGCCATCGAGCGAGCTGTTTCTTATACACCTCATCCAGTTCGGCATCTTGCTTCTTCTTGCGGCGTCGCTCAATTTCTGAGTCGCTCGCGGAGTCGTCATCATCTTCGCGTTTGATGTACATTCCACCATTGATAGATCCCCCGTTCACGAAATTGACGCCCCCTTGATAGTCTCGAGGAAACTGTGAGCTCTTGGGTCCGCTAGGTGCACCTTGAATGCCTCTGTCAGCCCTAGGTCCAAGAGGAACTCCATTGGCACCACCGGGCCCAGTGGGGGCCGAAGGGGGCGGCGATACGCGCCTACCCTCACGGCGACGCTGCTCAGCTTCAATCTCCTCTTCTCTCCGCAGGCGTTCCTGGTCCCGCCGGTTCGATCGGTCTCGGAAAGCAGCAATCTCGGCTGCGACAATCTCGCGCATATCAGCCGGAATATCGGCGAGCTCGTCTTCGCCAGCAGTAATATCGATATTAACAATTGCGATATCGGGGCCGTCCTGCATTGGCGCATCTCGCATCATAGCGTCTCCCACGTAATCCATCTGCGGCATATTCAGGGGGTTGAACAGTTGCGAAAGGACCTGTGCTAGAGACTCCTTTGCCGCGTCTATGCGGAACTGGACGGTATTCTCGTCCTCGTTCTTCGTCCACTCCTCGGCGTACTTGACTGAGGCGTCATCAACCATGACCTGCAACTTGGTCGTCTCCACCTCTTCATCTCCGTCCTTGTGGACTTGTCCGGGCTTCTGCCGCTTGGTAGGAACTCGGACATCCTGAAAGATCTCAGCCGCAGTCCGCAGGCTTTGCGCGTCGCCGTACTCGGCAAAGCCGAACGTCTGGGGCCTGTCGTTCGCATCCTTGGCCCTGATCCACCTCTTCAATTCCCCGGCCGTCGCCAGAATGCGCTCCATCCCATCGTCGCCCCCAACCCCTTCGGGTATGTTTCCTACGAAGATAGTGCGAGCGATTTCTTCGCGCGTTGGAGGGTGTATAGGGCCTTTCTGCTCCTCCCTTCTAGCCCCAGAATCTGGACCATCCATTCCAAGCCCTCGACGGGAAGGCGTGGCTGGAGTATCTCGGCGCCCTGTGAGGCTGTCTGCCGCGCCGCGCTGCGTTGTTCCCAAGCGAATTACGGGGGCACTGAAATTGATGTTCGGCATGCCAGCTGGAGGCTGCCAGTTCGATGGCAGAGGGCGTGCGCCACCGAGCTGCGGAGGTGCATTACCTTGGACACCAGGCGGAGCTACACCGGGAGGGATTGGGGTGCCGCTCCCAGGCGGAGGACCTGCGACAATTTGTTAATATGTGCAAACATCTGGCAGTCGCCATTGCCATATAGAGACAGAAAAACACTCACCCATTCCGGGTGGCGGCGCCATGCCAGGCGGAGCCCCAGTGTAGCCCGGCGGGCGGTTGTATCCTGGAGCTACAAACATTGGATTAGCTACATCGAGGTCGCCCTGCGTGCTGGACTCACCACCGTAATTGTACATCTTGGGATGCTGGGTACGCAGATGCTGAAGAGGCGCAGTGTCAGTTCGCAGTTCGTGTCGCGTTGTGTCGGTGGCAGAGGTTGCAGTTGCAGTCTAAATGTCTTTCCTGCCGCACGGGCCATCCGAGGAACAGCCGACAAAATTGCAGTCGCGACGTGAGCGCCTGCCTACCGTCCATTTACACCTCCACGCCAGCTTCAATTGGCTTGTTTTACTATGTATCTCCTCTCACCGCACGCCGTATAGCAATTCGGACCGACCGTAAAATGGGCTCTCGCTCGATTGGCGAGCTGCTGCTCCGGCCATCCTCCATCTCGCGCATCTCCTTCTCCCCATGCACGTCTTCGAGCACCCGAGCACTCGTACCGTCATGGGGTACACGCCGAACCCTCACCACCTCCCCGCCACGCCATGCAGCGCAGTCTCAGCCGAAGGAAGAATCGCTGCATGAATCCCATCCCAAAACTGCCTCGGACCAGCAGACGTCTGAAGCCATCGACGGCCTCTTCAGAGGCGTGAGCTCCAACCGCGCGGCCCCAAGCCACCCTCCTCGCAGAACCTCCCCGTCCTCGGCCGACGAACTCTCCGCAGCGCGCGCGCAGCAAGCCTTCGGCGAGGGCTGGAGCCGCAAGCGGGGGAACATCCACCTCCGCACGCCCCTCAGCATCGATGAGATGAACATGCCAGACTTGGAGTCGGAGAAGGACCTGCCTCCTAGCACGCTTCCGAAGCCAGACACGCCGTTTCCGCGGCTGAACCCGAGCTACGGCCGATCAGTAGAGCTGGCGCCAGACAAAGGAAGGGATTTGGTGAGAGGGATTGGCATACTGGGGAGCTTGATGGCACGGAACAAAGTGAAGGCCGATGCTATGAAGCAAAGATTCCACGAGCGGCCCGGTTTGAAGAGGAAGAGGCTAAAGAGCCAGCGGTGGAGGGCGAGGTTTAAGATCGGATTCCGGCATGTTACAGCACGGGTTAGCGAACTGACTAGGAAGGGATGGTAGGATTCAGGTCAAATGTGTATACTCCGCCAGCAAGAGGCATGGAAGATAATACCATGTATGATATGAGTGAGGGACATATATGTACAACACCGTGGTAGCCATCTTCGATCTGTGCATAGTTCGGATGCAGGGCACCGTATAGAATGAACTGGCTAGGTAGCTTCCCTGTACAGAATTTCCGCAATGCATACCCAATAAGCTATTGATACGGCCCGAGGGGTATATACTGAGCTCCCTCATTTTCTAACATGCACAGCTTTGCACGTCTTTCCGGAAATAGTGATGTTAAGATCCTGCTCTTGCTTCTTTTAATCCTTCTTCCCTATCCCATACCCATACCCGCCATATCCATTCCCTCTCCCATTTGCGACCGGCAACCCATAGCCCCCTCCAAACCTGCCACCCCCATTCATCTTATCCCGCGCATATCTCCTCAACCGCCTCGGCAACTCCACGCCCCTAAAATACGCCACGCAAATTGCGGCACTGCCCACTGCACTCAATATACAATACAAAAACGTACTTTTATACAAATGCCCTCCATACCCACTCCACCCAGGTGGCAGCGTGGTGGAGGGATACCACCTTACGCTGAAAGACAAAGCGAGGCTGTCACCGATCGTTACGCGGGTGTTGCGTGTATGTGAGGAAATGGAGTATGCGGCTGCGGCGTCAATCGTTCCCGGGCTCACGCTCTTAGGCGCCGCATGGACGAGGAGATTCAAGTAATTCCCCACATGCAGATGGCTGAGCTGCAATGTCCCGGCCAAAGCAACAACCAGCGGCGTGTATAGCGTGCTCTGCGTCCCCAAAGCGCCTTCTTGCGTAGACTCGTCGGAGACGCGATACTCGTGTTCGAGGACGGAGGGCGGGAGGGGTTTCGAGGGAATGCGGCAGGATAGTGGTGCGTCATTGTGGATATAGAACTCTAGGAGGTGGAAGAAGGGGTCGGAGATGAAGTCTATGGTGCAGTTGATCTCTGCGGAGTGAAGTTAGCTGGATAGTTCAGATCTGCCTCATCTTTTGGCAAGGAAGCTGGCGATTCTGAGGGTATGGTGCGGTTTCGTACCTCTCTCCACGCCAAAGAACAGCTCCAGCGGTCGTCCCGTCTCATTGCATGTCGGAAAGGGTATGTATTGCAATTGCCCGCTCGCATCTGTGATCTTGGCTGCAAGTCAGCACTTCTTCCTCTCTGAACCTCCATCCCTATCCCAAACCACCCAGTCACCTAGAATCGCGCAAGAATCGTGCGGAAACGTACATGTTCACCCGTGTCTCTGGCACCGCGTCAGCATTGGCTCTCCCACTCTCCCAGAATACCCCATTCTACTCACATCGTCCTATTCAAACAACTAACCGGAATTGGCTCTGCCAGGTTATACCCCCGGCTCTCCTCTGCGCTTTTGAGCGGCTCCTGCCCCGACACCGCTTGCGCGAGCGAGATCCAGAACGAGTATATCGCGATGAGAGGAAGCCATAGCGTAACCGGTCGGGAAAACATTATGCGAGCGGTATATATACAGGGAGATGCTATACTATGCACAACATCTCCGGAGAAAGAAAAGGACCAAGCGGGTGCGCATGTCTCCAGCTGTCAACTTCCGGCCCGTTGAGATTAATTCGGACGTTATGTCAGCGAATGCGCACGGACCTTGTGTGGATGGGAGACCTCCGCTCCATCTCCGCAATTTCACATTCTCCACGGATAAATCTTATTCATTTCAAGGTATGTTCAGATTGTTCAGTCTATGGACCCGCCGGAACCTTACAATTGCTTTTGTCGCCCGTCATGGACGCGTAATCATTCCTGCCATACCCCTATGTTCCCATCTACAACTTCTTCTTGAAAGCATTGATGAGCCCGCTCGTGCTGGCATCATGAGCAGTCGACTCGCCAGACTCGTCGAGCTCTGCCAAAATCTTCTTCGCGAGAACCTTCCCTAACTCGACACCCCACTGGTCGAAGCTGTTGATGTTCCAGATAGCGCCCTCCGTGAAAGTGAGATGCTCGTAGTAGACGATCAGGGCACCGAGGGATGCTGGGGTGATCTTGTCGGCCAGGATGGACGTTGTTGGTCGATTGCCCAAAAAGGTCTTGTGGGGGATGAGGTTGTCAGGAGCACCTTCGGCCTTGACCTCATCCGGGGTCTTGCCAACCATAAGGGCCTCAGCCTGAGCGAAGAAGTTCGATGCGAGCATCCTATAAAGGTCAGTGATCACAAATCAGCCAAAATAAAATGTTCCGTCATACTTCTGGTGCTTGTTGTTTTCCACCGGGTTGTGGCTCTGAGCAGCCAAAATGAAGTCGGTGGGAATGAGCTTGGTGCCCTGGTGCAGCAGCTGGTAGAATGAGTGTTGAGCATTGGTAGCTGGCTCGCCGAAGAGTATCGGTCCGGTAGTGTACTTGACGTAGTCGCCGCTGCGCGTAATAGCCTTTCCGTTGGACTCCATGGACAATTGCTGGAGGTAAGCGGGGAACCTGTGGAGGTACTGGTCGAAGCTAAAACCTAATCAGACTGTACTCTCAAACCCTACAACTGACACTTACGGAGAGACGAGGTGCGTCTGCGCACCAAAAAAGTCCGAGTACCACACGCTCAGCAAGCCACCAATGACCGGGATATTCTTTTCCAGTGGGGTGTTCTTGAAGTGCATGTCCATGGCGTGGGCACCAGCAAGGAATTGGTGGAAGTTGTCGAAGCCAATGTAGAGAGCGACGCTCAAACCAATGGCGCTCCACACACTGTACCGTCCGCCGACCCAGTCTGAGAAGCCAAACATGTTTTTCTTGTCAATTCCGAACTTGGTCACTTCAGCCTCGTTGGTCGACAAAGCCACGAAGTGCTTGGCAATATCTTCCTGCTTTCCACTCTTCAAGAACCATGACTTGGCGGTGTTGGCGTTAGTCGTCGTCTCGGCAGTGGTAAAGGTCTTGGAGGCGATGAGGAAGAGGGTTGTCTCGGGATCAGAGTCTCTGAGCGCCTCAGCAATATGAGTACCGTCGATGTTGGAGACGAAGTGGAGCTTGAGGTTGCGGTCACCGTAGGGTTTCAGAGCCTCGGAGACCATAACAGGACCCCTGCCAGCCGTCAGTAAGTGTTCTGCACACATTCCTTCCGCCAATTGATACCATTGGCGTGGTAACGTACAGATCGGAACCACCAATGCCGACGTTGATGATGGTCTCTATCCGCTTGCCGGTGTAACCCTTCCACTCGCCGCTGCGGACCTGCTCGCAGAACTCCTTCATGTGATCCAGCACGCTGTTGACTTCCTCGACCACACTCTTGCCGTCGACCTGCATCGGCTGGTTGGTGACATTGCGGAGGGCAACGTGGTACACGGCGCGGTTCTCGGTGAAGTTGATCTTCTCGCCAGCGAACATGTCATCGCGGAGCTTCTCAAGGCCAGCCTCCTTCGCAAGCTCGACCAGGAGCTTCAGCGTCTCCTCCGTGACGAAGTTCTTGGAGAAGTCGAAAAGCGTCTCGGAATTGTCGGCGTCATTCTTGAAGACGAAGGAGAACTTCTCGAAGCGCTGCGGGTCCTTCTTGAAGTACTCCCTCAGGACAATGTCCTTTCCAAGCTTTGAGTGGTGGTCTTGGAGGGCGTTCCAAGCCGACAAATCTGACGCCTGGGAGAAGCCGGGCATTGTGGACTTCTGGTGCTGTTGTTGTGCAGGGCTGGTGGGGTTAGTGACGCTCAACAAACTCATGATCGAGGGGCAACCACGGACGTGCGTAGATTCAGCAATTGAGCGGACAATGGGGCTCTTCGATTGTACCGTTGGCCTCAAATGGGGAGAAATGTCTGGTGGTGTGAAATTTCCGCGGATATTGTGATCGGAGAAGAAAGGAAGGCGCGGCGAGACCGTCTTAGTGGGGTATTGAGGAGGCAGGTCCGAGCAACGTCACACTATGGAGGGGCAGCTCATGCGCGGCCGGACAGGGATCTCGTCAACAATTCGCACTGAGTTCTCCTCTCGCGCCTCGCCATCTTGCGTTCCTGTTGGTTTGTAGAGCAATACAAAGCGCTCACTCAGCATCCCTCATTGCTCAGAAAACACCAGCGCTGCACCATGATGTCCAGCGGCATCTGGGCCTTTTTCGAAATGTGGATATCGTCTTGGATTGCCCCATTGGGCGTGCTCTCTCACAAATGCTGCCTCATGCGCCTGAATCATGACTGCCTTTTCCCGAACCTAAAAAGCCTCAAATCCCGTTGCCTGAGCCAGCCAATAACAGAGATGTTCCATGAGTAGCGAGATGACGTCCGAAATCAACGGCAGTGGGATGGTCGTTGCCGCATGAGCCCATCGAACCACGATCGTAGCATCTCGACGGAGTAATCGACAACCGACCTCTCCCCTTCAGTTCGCAGACCCCTTAAGCTACCGGATGACCCATGCTATTGAAGAGCTCTACCGCTCCGCCACGCCCTCGAATGACGGATCCTTCACTGAGCCACCAGCATCGCCAAGACCAGCCACTGGTCGATTGTACGACCATCCTGCGAACTGCTGCTGCATCGTCTGGGATAGCATCGGTCCGTCTACATACGAGTCTGTCGGGGCTTCAGACGTGAATTCGCGATCAAAGTTGGCGGTGTCCTTAGCGTCGACCTATGTGGACATTAGCAAGCAAGCTCGGTTTCGGGCATTAAGAGTACCTACCACACTGGGCTTGAAGCTAGGCTCATACTTCCTCTCGAGCAGCTTCCTCCAGTCAATGCTGTGGAAGAAGTAATGAGCCTTAATCTCGGCTGCGCCCTTTGCTCCTAAACGCTTCTCCGCATTTCGGTCCAGCAGACGTGTCAGCAGGTCTCGAGCGGCCGGCGGTACAATCTCAGGGCCGGGGAAATGTAGAGGCTCGGTAAGAATCTTGCGGTACATGTCGTTGGTGTTCTCGTCGTAGAACGGTGGCAGACCAGTCAACATCTCGTACAGTAGGACACCAAGAGTCCACCAGTCGACCGTCTTGGTGTAACCAGCGCCAGTCAGGAGTTCAGGAGCGAGGTACTCCGGTGTTCCACAGAATGCTAGTTGCCAGTCAGCGGGGTCCGCCTCAAGAGCTAATGCATGCACTTACTGTTCGTCCTGTCCTCGTCCTTCATGTCCAGCTTGCAGAGGCCGAAATCGCAGAGGGCAATGTGTCCAGTATAATCCAGCAGAATGTTCTCCGGTTTAAGATCGCGGTAGATGACGTTGAAGCCATGCAAGCATTCTAAGGCACAGAGAAGCTCCGCTGCGTAGAATCGCGCGCGGTTGATATCAAACCGCTGTTCTTTCTGAAGATGATGGAAAAGCTCGCCACCATTGACAAATGCCAAAACCAGATAAAGTTTCTCAGGAGACTGGAAGGAGAACTTGAGCGGCACGATGAAGGGATTGTTGATCTGAGCAAGGACAGATCGTTCAGCGAGAGTGTGCGCCACTTCCGAGCGGGAGATGATGTGAGCCTTGCGAATGGTCTTGAGGGCGTAGATACGGTGCGTGTCCTTCTTCCTATTCCATTGTAAGCATAACAGTCACCATTAAAATGCATATCAACATACATGACTTGCATGACCTTGCCGAAGCTGCCTTTACCCACGACCTTAAGAAGGTCGAAGTCATCAATGGAAAGTCGGTCTTGGCGGTTCTCGACAAAATTCACGCCAATCCTCATGGAGCCGGTGCCGAATTGGATGTCAATCCAGTCAGCGCCGATCTGGCCTTGGGCAGTCTGCTCCTTGTCCTTCTTCGCCTTCGCATCTCCAGAATGTGACTCCTCGAATCGGGGGTTGACTTTGCAGGTCCCGATGAAGATATCCTCGTTCCTGCCGGCGTTCGGCGGCGCTGAAGGGTTACGGACGTAGAGAGATACAGTAAGATCGGTGACGCGGGAAACATCGAACTTGTACTGCGTGTTGCCTCCTGCCCATAGCGGGTTCTCTGGGGTACCAGAGACCGCGTTGATAAAGACTTGCTGTTTATCGAAGTCTACCAGGGCGTAGGGTAAGTATTTCGAGGAGTAGCGCCCGTGGATGGTAGGGACTGCATTGATGCTGCCAGCAGCCGACTGCGGTCGGTTCGAGGAGTAAGAGCCCGCGACCTGGTTCCGTGACGACGAATTCGGCCGCATAGATCCTGCCACTGAGAAGCCGCCCCCGGTTGAAAGTGAGCCTTGGTGGTGCCCGGTGTTGAAGGCCGCCTCAGACCCCGCCGGGAGCGAGAAGCCCCTGCCCTCATGGAGGGTTACTATGAGGATACCGGGTCGAAGGGGTGGCGGGGGAGGGGCAGCGTTCGCCTCGGAAGCCGCTGAGCAGGTCAGCAACACTCTTTATTGCGGCTCTGGCCTACATACCGATGCCATTGGGGTCTTTGGAGTCTACCAGGGTGGCGCTGCTCGCTGAGCTGGACGACTTCGGCGGCTGGTCACCGACTATGGTAGACGTAGATGAGCTGCGAGAGAAGGCGTTGACTGGATTGAGGTGGGTTTCCTTGAGTTCTGTCTCGTCAGCATGCGACACAGAGAGGAGACAAAGGACACCAACTCTTGGTGAGTTTCCACGACATGGTTGCGGCGGTCGAATGCAGTGGGCGGCAGAGCGAAGTTAGATGAGCGCGGGGGGCGGGCGTAAGATGCGGCGGTGGCTGCGAGGTGCCGAGCAAGCAGAGGAACACGGAAGGCCTAACAGTGCAGAGAGGGATTGAGAGGGCAGAAGGCCTTCGGCGGTATAAGTGCGCGGAAAGTGGCAAAGGCCGTGTTCTCCTGTCGCACTCTAGGGGAAGTCCTTCAATGTACCTCTGCGCACGGATGAGGCGTGTCAGGCTCTGGGACCAAGCGAAATGGGGTGCGACAGGGCTCGTGTTTCTTCGCTCAGCACAGGCACGCCAATCTGCAGCACTCCTCATTTCCAGCGTCCGAACCCCCGCGAGTAGTGAAATTGTCTATTTTGGGCACTCGATGATGCTCGGCGGACGCGACAGGCTGTGAAAAGCTTCAGCGGCCTCGGAAGCGACTGCCTCCTCGCCGCCACGCCTGCTGTAACCCCCCAACCGCAGCCGGCAGCCCGCATCGCATCGCAACGACAGTGCACCCAACAAAGGCGCATTGAACCCGCGCAAACGCAGGCCCTCTCCTCCAAGACGTCATCGCCCAGCGTCGCGCATTGTCGTGCCAGCTGAGACTCGCATCGTGTGCGCGTTCTCCCTGCACAGCCACTTTCGCCGACAGTCCCACGTCTCACTCCCGACGCGGCGTGTGGCGATCCTCCTTCACCACTCCCACGCGTAGAGGGGCACCATGGGTCTCATCAAGAAGAAAACCGCGTCGCGGGGCTCCGACGGGGGCGTCAAGTACGTCTGCGATGTTTGCTCGTCAGACATCACGTCGACGGTAAGTTCCGTGCCCGAGCGCCCACCACCTAGCATCCCTCGAGCGCAGGCAACACTTGCTTCCGGTTTGAAATCATACTAATGGCTGCAGGTCCGAATACGCTGCGCCAACAGCGCCTGCCATGAGTATGACCTTTGCGTGTCATGCTTTTCCGACGCGAAACACTCCCGCGAGCATGACCCCCGAACCCACGCCTATCAAGTGATAGAACAGCACTCCATACCAATATTTACTGAGGACTGGGGTGCGGATGAGGAACTGGCGTTGCTGGAAGGTGCAGAGATATATGGACTGGGGTCATGGGCAGACATCGCGGATCACATCGGTGGCTGCCGGTCGAAGGACGAGGTCCGGGATCACTATGTCGATACATACATCAACAGCTCCAGATTTCCCCTCCCAGAGCACTGCAGTCCGGAAGACACGGAGCTCAGTGACCGAATACCACGCGATGTGTTCCAGGCCAACAAGAAGCGACGGATAGAGCATCGGAAGGACGAACAGAAAAATGCGCCACCTGCTACGCCAAAGCAAAAGCCCACAGCAAGTGTGCCAGCTTGCCATGAGGTGCAGGGATATATGCCGGGACGGTTGGAGTTCGAGACGGAGTACTTCAACGAGGCCGAAGAAGCAGTGCAGCATATGCAGTTCGACCCAGGTGATGGCATCAATACGCGGACGGGAGAGATGGAGCCTGAGATGGAGTTGAAGATGACCGTTATGGACATCTACAATTCTCGGCTGGACGCACGTGTCGAGCGGAAGAAGATCATATTCGAGCACAAGCTACTCGAATATCGGAAGAATGCCGCGGCCGACAAGAAGCGGACGAAGGAAGAGAGAGATCTCCTTAACAAGGCGAAACCTTTCGCTCGGATGATGAAGCATGAAGACTTCGAAAAATTCTGCGATGGATTGTTGTATGAACACAGCCTGAGACAAGCAATTACGCAGCTGCAGGAGTGGAGGAATATGCAGATTACAGATCTCAAGGCAGGCGAGAAGTACGAGCAAGAGAAGCAGCAACGGCAGTCAAGAGGCCCCCCGCTTGGCCAGTTTGACCGACTGGCGTCTAACAGAATCAGCAAGCCCACGCCTCCTTTCGAGACACCCTCCGCCTCCTCGGCATTGATAGCGCCTGAGTTGCCTCTACAGTTACGCCAGAAGAGTGGGCTTAGCACGCCACCTCCAGACCAGCCGAACGGTGCCAATGGTGTTCTGACGCCGCAGCAGACGAAGACGAAGTTCGTGCCTAAGCAGTTGCCAAATACAGTGCCCCTCAGATTCGGCAAAGAGTCTGCGTCGGATCTCCAGCTTCTTACACCGGAAGAGCAGGAAATATGTCGGGTCCTCCGTATCATGCCGAAACCGTATCTTGCCATCAAAGAGAACATGATACGAGAGGCTATGAAACAGGGTGGCGCCCTCAAGAAGAAAGCCGCTAAAGATGTCGCAAAAATTGATCAGGCAAAGACGGGGCAGCTGTTTGAGTTCTTCGTTCATAGCGGGTGGGTTGCGCGGGCTTGAGGCTTGGATCGGTCTGGGCAAGGCGCTGAACGGTTGAGGTTCAATTATACCCAGAAAGGTCAAAGGACATTGCTTAGATTGAGAGTGCAGCTTCGACAGACTTACTCGAGGTTGTTGAATGGAAGATGTGCATCATTAACCCGGTGCACGCCAAGTACTCCCAATTTGGAATGCTGATTAAAATCACGTGATGATGCGTCGGCTTCCTGGGCGACCAGCCATAACAAACGCCTTCAACTCAACGCTTCCCCGCGACACCCACACCGCCTCCACCATGCATCTCTAACTTCTAATAATTGCCTACCGGGAGTGCGTTGAGCGCCCTACAGCTCGCGACAATCAACTACGACCAGCTTTTACAGCAAGCCTTCTTTGCCAGACATCCCGCCTAAGCCGAAGGCAACCTTCGCACTTCCGCATGGCAACCGCATCGCGCGATAAGCTCAATATGCCTGGCACGCTGACCCAAACGCCCCAGCGTGGATGCTCTGATGCCCCGACGACTCTATTCCAGCCCGCACCTCGATACGCGACCGCGAGTGAAACCAGCAGCCGACACCTGATTGATTCAGATGTCCACGGGACCCGCAAGCGCTCTCGCTACGACGGATACTTCGACACTCCTTCCTCTGCATCGCACACCCTCGCTGCAGATCCCTGGACAGACAACTCGCTAGATTACTCTCGCTCTTCGAACGTCCGCAGCCCTCCGCCTCTGGCGAACGACCGATACGAGCTTGCCGGTGGTACGGAGAGCATGGACAAGTTTGTGAGGCAGAATGGGATTTATGACGACTATGACCAGCTGGAGAAGCAGCGGGGCATGTGGTCAACCGCGGCGACTCCTTCGTGCGGGCTACAGGATCAGTTTCAGAGCGTCGGCATGCAGTCAACACCAAATGGGACGAAGCCTTGGATGTTGAACCAGATAATGAGCATAGTCGGTGGTGTTGCAGGCAAGCTCATCCACTTCTGCGCCGTGCCGTTCCGTGGATTTCAGGCAGGAGGTGGACAAGCTTACCCTTTCGAAGCCAACGGAGAGGTTGCTGCAAAGCTAGGTCTACAGGACGACCCGTTCATCGATCAATCGACTGGACCAATAAAGCTGGCTCCACCCGGCAACTACCCCGAGGATGATTACGGCGTGCTCTCAATCGAGTCCCTCGAGAACGAGCGGCCAAGAATGTCAAAACGGTTACGCACCGGAGAAAATTGGGTAATGGTAGACAAAGACGGCGCAATGGAGTCAAGACCCGCGAGCCCACGGCTTTCGGAACGGCGAGTGCCCAACCATGCGAGGTCACCTTCGCAAATACCGCGTCCTCTATCCAGGGCTGGCGCATCAACGCCGGTCCCCAAACGTCCTTCACTCATCCCCGTGTCTCGGCGGTCTACCTTGGATAGAAAGGCTCTCCACGGAGCTTCAAAAGCGCCCACGACGGGGACATACAGCACCCCAAGATGCTACAGTCGTCAGAGCTATGGCTCACCGGTCATGTTCGAAAACAAAACAGACAAGAATAAGAGCAACAGCCCGCTGCCAGCCGAAAGCCAACGGCTTATCAACAAAATGCGACGGGAGAAGCTGGAGGACGACGCCCGTATGCGGAGGATGAGCTCCCAAATGAACACGTTGCTCCGCGAAGCCCGCGAGGCTCTCGGCAGTAAGTTCGAGGTCGAGGTCGAGTACATGGACGATGGCGCAAACGATGGCGACAGCTATTCAGGCCAGACAGACTTATACCGGAGGTAGACAGATGTCTACGTTTGCATACTGCATCATTCGGCAATGTAGGCAACGAGTACAGCAAGTCGTTATTTTGAGTCCGGGGGAACCTTAACTCCGATGACAACCAAGGGAGTCCCGGAATCTCGATTGCGCACCGCCGACGTCGTCCACAGTTCGCCTGGAGCTGAGCGGGCTTTCATGTACCGATACCTGCTTGCGGCGCATGTCCCTAGTGGACGTGCTTGGTGGGAATCTCGGCCATTGTGTATTCTTTAGGCGCAGATTCGGTGAATTCTTGGCCGTGGCTCAGCAGCGGCTCCATTGTAATGCGCCATTTCCTGCTCGGCGTTCTTGAGGGTATACCCTTGGCTTCAGCGCGGCGTTTGAGTGGGCCAGCATAGTCAAACGCGGCCAGCGTCATGGTTCAGACGGCCAGCGGGAGTAAATGAAGAAGTACCGTTTGAGGCGACTTGGCACATGTGCGTTCGCTTGAAAGGGGAGTGATGTGTCTAGAAGCTGTCTAGAAGCGGGAGGCGAGCACTAGACGGTAGACAGTGATAACAAGCCGTGGCGGAGGGCGGGAATGGGCTGTCATGCGCAAGACAGCGCGCATGCAGGGCTCCTCGTGGTCGGCAGTGGGCGCGGCTGGCTATCGATATCAGCCGGCTGGATCAGGAAGCTGGCGCTGGCCAAGCTGGTGGTGCGGGGCGGGCGGAGGTGCGGCACCATGCTCCCTGGCTGGTTCAACACTCCCCGCCATTCACCGTCCGCTGCCCAAGCCTCGTAGTACCATGCAGCTGTGTCTGCCCGCACCGGGCTTGGGTAACTTGGGTAGCCCTCGGGTCACGCCTAAGCTGCATGTCCCAGCCAAGTTCCTGCACACCGTGCCTGGACGGCGCTGCCCCGACGCGCGACTCTTAATGGAATGCACCGCCGCCGGGTCGAACAGTCGATAGCACTCCCCCTTTCCTTTTCCGTTTGGCGCTGCAGTTGACCTGGCGCTCTTCGTTTGTTGATCGAGCCAGTTTGAGCGGTTATCTGCCGCCGTGTCCCTCTCAGTCCTGTGCCCGATATCTACCTAGACTCACACGACACACCGATCGACCGACAGCAGCACGCCGACATGACGACCCTCCTCAACATCACGCCGCTCGACCCAGAGCCCCTCCCCCTCTACTCACGCAACGACCCAGACGCCGTCTCCATCCGCAGCGCCGCGCCCTCCTATGTGTCCGAGACACCCACCTACCACTCTGAGCGCGCCCCGCCGTCCCTCCTCCCACCGCTCTCACCCAACCAGCAGGTCCGCGGCCTCCCCGCTCCGCGATATGCCCCAGGCTTCCAAAGCAGAGCAATGGGCTCCATCTCAGACATCAACAACCACAACTTCAACACTGGTAGCTGGAGCAGCACGAGGACGAGCAACAACTCTCGCCAGTACAATGCCGTAGCTCGACGACGTGCGAACCAGGCTCGAGCCGAAACGACCGCCATCCTCAATTCGCTTTCCGCCGTCCCACCGCCTCTAGAGCGCTCCGGCAGCGGCCATTCCCCGACTTCTTCAAGCACCGATGTCAGCACCTACCCGGTGCAGGTTGGCTCGTCCTCCGACCCGTTCAGCCCACTTGAGGACCCGTATCTAGTCGGCGAGGTAGCCGCGAATCGGGCGAGGGCCCAACGTGTCTACAGGGAGATGTGTCTGCGCGGCGAGGAGGCGTCCCGGTACGAGAGCAGGAGCTGGGATTTCATGTGGGGCCAGATGGCAGACTGGGAGGAGCGCGACAGGAGCTGGACGAACTTCAGGAAGCGTGTTGGGCCGGCCAAGATGCTTGGTCGTCGTCTTGGGCTGAGGGCTGGATTGACACGATGTTAATGAGCACGAGGCATGATTGGATCATGGATGAAACGACACGAGCATCATGTGACGGGTGCTTATGATGCGATGAACGAATAATGTCGTCCTCACGGTGAGTGGCGATTAGTCACTCCATCACGAGACTTGGCACAGTCTTCGAGATACGACGCACCATGGATTGGATTACGGCGTCTGTTCTGGGTATGTTAGGCGCCAAAAGTCTAATCTTCTCTTTCTCTTCGGCATTAGGAGGGCGTCGACCGCATATACATCAACAGGGCATTTGGACGGCGCGCCGAGCTCTTCATTTTCAGTTCGCTTCTTCGGGGTTACAGCATTACTTGGGGGAGGTTTGGGTTTGGACAACGTTCTTACGGCTCTCCCATTTTACCCTCGGCGGGTTTTTGCACGTATGCTTTTCATCATGAGGGGCGCTTTGGCGGGGTCATCCTCGGTGTTCTGGGCCGGTTTTCTGGCTTTCGCGGTGGCCCCACAGTTAGTCACTTTGCAGTTAGGTTCCAACCCACCTCAGCCCACCTCGGACATAGAATCAATAAAGTTTACTCCACAGTTCGCAGCTTTGGGCCGCGTGCATCTATCTGTATCCGCTGCTGACGTGTGACGCATGTGCGTCAAGTTGCAAGTGAGGGATTGCAGCTCAGGAGGTGTAGAGCCGCGGATATGTACATCCTCGTATGCTGGATACTTGGCATGATAGCCTATTCGGGACTGCACAGCTGCTGCTGCTACCACAGCCTCATCTCGGGCCTCCCTTACCCAAAACATCACCCGCTTTCCTGAACTCTGGGATCCGCTTACCCCGCATTCTGCGTGCCATGCAAGCGCCGTAGGTTCGTTATATCGACTCCCGCTATTTTCAAGCAGGTGCGGCATTTTCGCTACCAGCGGAACCCACTGGGCCGACTGGATGGAAATAAGGCAGTGCCCTCTCTAACAAGCTTTCTACCTCCCGCTTCCGCGGGCTTCCGTGCTTGGTTCTGACTTGCTTGCCGCGGCTTGCTATTTCCGTTCCGCGTCGTTGGGATCGTGTAGATGGGCTGGCGCGTCGTCATTACTGTATTCGAAAGTGATCGCGTAGCTCAGGATGGAGGTTGGCGCGGTACGACATTGCTAGCTCCAGCTCTATACGTGGCTAGGGCCGGGGTGAGAAAAGCTTGCGAAAGCTTGTAAGAGCTTGAGTTGGTTGCGATGTGATACGGTACTATCATATGCACGACCGAGATCGACGGTTTGTGAGAGTGAGAAGGAGGCGCAGGTCGAACTGGCGTTACTTGCGCTACGGAGCACACGCGTTACTTTGACGGTTAGGTTGGGGCTGGCGGAACAGGAAGGTGAGAGGAAGTGAAGTGGTGGGAAGAAGAGTCGCAGGTAAGGGTATCACCGTCCCGAATTTAAATGAGGGTGTTGACAGCGCTGTGGTGCTGGTCATCTCCATTATGCCGACGCTATAGTGGAACTACTACCTTCCGTGCGGAACCCAGCGGACGCAGGACTCCATGTCCAAACATCTACCTTTGTTTTCTTCTACTCCGCGGTCCTAGGGCAGGGGAAATGGAGGTTCGGTCTGCGTACTTTGGAAGTATTCATTGCAGCGCTGGGGTCGCTTCAGGAGCGGAACGTAACTCCATACACGCGATTGTTTAGCCTATAGAGACTCTTCACCATGTTTTTGGCTGAAGGAAGAGCAAGAGCGCAACGCATGAGCGGCTCCTGATTCTTCTTCGTGACAGCACCATATCCTGGATCCCACACGGAGCTTAGCTTTAGGAACCGCCATAAATGCTTAGTCTCTGCGTTGTTGGAGATATATGCGGTGCGCTCCGAGGGAAGAGGTGGCCGAAGGACATATTTTGACTTGCACAACTCTTTTTGCTTTCCGTGGAGAGGAGAGAAAAGGTCTCCATGATACTACAGGCCCGGGGTTTGGAAGGGCTGGTATATCGTTGAGATGCGAACAGGAAACCTCCATGAAACTGCACGAGCTTTTCTTTAGCTCCTCATGTCTGCGCTCAAAGGAAGATTCGTGGCACGCATTTAAGTTTTGGAGACGTTCGAGATGTTCATCTAGCGTTGGAGGTAGCCCGAGAAGAGTCGCTCTATCCATGACGGGCCTTTATCACTCGCTCTAATAGCTAGACAGGGATATCAGACGAACATAGCGGCGGCCATGGTGATGTTTTCTTGTGCCCGCAGCGGGGAGAACATCTCTCCATGGGATACTGGGCTAGATACTTCTAGACTCCTCAGCGTGGCAGGATGCCGTAGTGAAGAACCCCGGGCGGATTGCGAGTTTAAGGTTAGAGAGAGGACGCAGACTGCTCCATGCCACGTGCAATTTTGCACTTGCAGCCGGGGGAAGTATACGGGGACGAGAGAGTCTTTGCTCAAGCGCAGCATAAGGCAGGTTTTGCATGGTTTCGAAAGACAGCCACAAGGATCCGGAAAAGCAGTCTCCCCATGTGTTGATCTTGCGTCGCTTTTTGGTCACCTCACAGAGCAATCCCATCGCCTCCACTCACAGGTATTTTCTCCGACATGGGCCTATTATTCTGAGTCTCCTTCGGTCCACAAAGGCTCAACTTGTAGGAATGTGGTATTCGCCTTAGACATATTGCGTCAGGCTAGCCTTTTAAGATTCTTAGAGAAGACAGGTGTAGAGTAGCGTACTCGGAACTGAAAGAAGGGGGAAGACATCAACTTCGTGGAAACTTCCTTCTGAGTCTGGAACAACATAGAAGCGGTTCTCACGCTCTTTGGTTACAAGCCATCAGGTGAGCAGTATCGAACTTCTAGATTTCTGGATGCGGGCGGGAGAGTGTGGTGGAGCATTCGCAGCTCACACCCTCGCGATACCAGCAGCTGGCGTGACCGTAATTTGAGTTCGGCAGAAAGCCCTAGACCGGGTCATATCGTGAAACTCCACTGGCTTCTTTGTTCCAGCGCCGACCCGTCTCATGGCTCGCGGCGTGAAGTAGTTTTGGAGCTCGGAAAGCGCCCACGTATGCGCGAGCTCGTCGCTCCACAGATAGACATACCTGAAAGCCACGTTCACTTTGAAAAAGGGTTTCGAACCAGAGTTCATTGCCTTCTTTCTTGACCATTTGTTACTGTGCCCTAGAGTCGCTGCGGTCATCGCTGCCATGTAGCGGCTGGGTGATGGCTTGAACGCCTTCATCTCGGAGGGCGCTCCAATTTTGGGCCCTGCTCGCCAGAGCCACACATACTGCAAGAAAGGGATGCCTTTATTTCATGTTCGGAGTTTCCTTCCACGGGCGTAGGGGGGAGATGGGGGGTGCTGCGAGAGTCATAATTTTGGATCTCAGTGTGTTTCCAGAAGGCCGAGCGTCTCTCCATACGGTCTGTTGTTCTCCCATTTTGGGACGACCATTGGTGGGATCTCCGGTGTTTTTAGAAGGCCTTGGGGAAGTGTGGAGTGAGGGGGCAGCTTTTCTGAGGGGTGGAAGAGGTTAATATAAACCTCGCACGGACGGGTCGCTTAGTCTGCGAATCTGGAAAAGTGACTATGTATTCGGAGCATGATGCAGCCAGGAACGACACAGGAGTTCTTGGGGATGCACTCAACGCATGACTGGAGCAAATCAGCGCATTGGCCGTAGCGAACTGGGATTCTCTTTGGGAAGCCATTAATCCAGATGCAAGTTCTTCTGGACGCCCTGGTGCCGGGAAACGACGGGCTTGATGCTGGCAGGGTAGCTCAGAGAGGGGAACATAGGTAAAGGCCTGTGATTGAAAAGTCCGAGCAGGAGGAGCTCCCATGTATGCCTGCCTTCGCTGGTTTCGGAAGAGGCCATAACACTAAGCTGACTGGTTTTGAGCCCCGCTCCTTGCTTGGGAGCCTCCTGGATGCATGGAGTTCCATGCAAGAATGGAGGTGTATATTCGGTTCGGAGTCTCTTCGGAATCCAACATCAGTCGGCAGTCGATCGCTTTTAGTGGCCTGATTGCCCTTAAACGACTGAGTCCAAGCACATGGACGGTTCCATGCGCCAGAACTTGCGGGGTTTTCCTAGTATTGGCGACGGCGCACCAACATGTCCCATAGTAGACCTCGGTTTCCTCCGAAGCGGCCAACAAGCACTTCATAGGGCAGCGTACGCGTACTTTTCATTGAGACGAGGACAGCGCTCGGCCCCATGGGGGTTCGGGTTCGGATTTTCGATTTTCGGAGCCCCTGTATCGATCATAGCTGTTTTTGGACCCCAGGAACACATCGAATTGACGGATTCGTAATTTTAGGGGGAAATCCATTGTCGTGGGGGAACAATATTCCTTCTGAATGAGGATAAGCGAAAGGCGCTCCGTAAATTATTTGTTCGTGGCGTATTTCGGTTTAGCGGGATCGCAGGTCATCAAGAAGAGGCTCCTGGAGTTTGAGTATGCATACTCGGAGACAATCCGACCGAACATGTCCGCATTCTTCAACGCCTTTTAGAGATTCCGAAATTCTGCCCATGCTTGACATACATACAGAGTTTTGGATACACCTGCTCGAGCTGAGGTAAAGGAGTGTGCGAAAGGAAAGCAAGCGCCAAGGGGATACGGTATATATACCCTACTCTAGTTTGGGAATGCTTGAGCTGAAGGTAACATTGAGCTGCAAAGGGCGATTCCCGAAACGGCAAAGAGGTATCGACGCCTTCCGGAATCTGCAATGATGACGTGGATTGAACCATGAACATGAAGAGAAACTGTGAGGGTAGCGATGACATGTGAATGAGACGAAGCTTACATTCGCTCTACAAGCTATGAAGCTATGTAGAGAATCTATACGCCATAAGGTAAAGCAGACGACTCCTTTAAGTAGGTGACAATTCTCAGCAATATGATCCAGTGCACTTTGAGGGTGCACGCGCTTGGTGCGAACGACCTTTGTTCAGCCGAACAGGATCTACCCTACGGGCTGAAATGGTCGAGGTCAAGACAGGCCCTTCGCATATCCTCGCAGATGATCCGAAGAGGGATTAAGGTATCCAAGAGCCATATGGACATCTTAATGACCCGAGGATATACGGAGCGAGCAAACAACATCCCGACGTAAGTGCAAACCATTCTATAGATACGGTGAGCCATTCTTCGGAAGATTCGACTGATCGAAGGTGTGTTATGCCATTAAGGGGGTAAGTGATCCAGGATTGAACCTTTTATCCCCAGCGGTGTCTTGAGTTCTTCGATTTTTGCCACCAAATCGGGCATATTGCGTCGCAGAGGGCCAGGCTCTATTCCTGCACGCTTGCAGGCTTCCAAAACTTGCCTTAGTTCTCTTAGAGCATCCGTGTACTTTGCCTGCTTCTCTGGTGCCATATGACCGGTGTTGTCGCCGTCTTCGCTCGTGTCCATATTCCTATCGTCCTCCCCCCCGGACTGTGCAGTGCCCAGGATGAGATCACTGATCCAGAGTCCGAGCTTAACTCGTAGTTGAAGCAGTCCCTCGTGCTTATCGAAAGGCGGCGACTCCATTTTCCCATCAAGCTCCTTGCAAATATCCCTTGCTTGGGCAAGCTCCTCCTCCCGGAGCGCGGCTTCGTGCGCATGAGCGTCTTCTGAATCCGTAGAGCTCTCACTCTCCGAGGCGACACTAGTAGATCTTGACCGATGGAGCCTCCGATACTCCTTCCGTGCACGTTTGCTCTTCTCGTAGACTTCTCGGATCCGAAGCTCGAAGTAAGGCGGGAGAAATGTCCTAGCGTCCACTGCGCGAGGCGCGAGCTTTCTATATGGATATTGAACAGTCAAACGCTTGAGGTAATCCAGCGCAAGTTCGAAGCCGTCTTCTGTAAAGGTCTCATCTTCGTGGACTTGCGGTTGCTCTTCATCGGGACTGCGCGCATGAACGCCCTCATTTCGGATATAATTAGACTCAGATGATGGCTTTCGACGCAGCAACAGCTCTGCGCTAATGGTCCAGCGCTCATGGTTGCGAGGGTCGATTGGACGACCGGCGGCCTGGGTCCTTAAGATCATGCCCCATGCTCTCGATGCGCGATCGTAATCTCCCTCGAGTAGACAACGGTGCATAACGGTAGATAGAATTTCGAGATGCTTCTGCCTCAATGCGCGCTTGTCGCTGGTCCCACCAGCTGGATCGAAAACGGCAGGGGTTAAGCTGGCCATCTCCTCCGCAACGCTGGCGTAGGTGAACTGGCCCTTTGATGCTGCAGCAGGGGTATGGGGGAATGGCGGTGGAGGGAGCTCAAACGCGTCGTCGGGCAATAGACCCGCGACACGCAGCTGCTCTGCTTCTAGGGGTTCAGATGAGGCGAATGATTGCGCGTTTGAAGTAGCGGACGGGCCCGCCGCGGCGTCGTCCTCATCCTCGTCGTGTTTCCTCTTAGTCGGGCGCCTGTATTGGCTTGCGCGCAGCGAGTGTGTCGTTTGCCGGCCCCATCGCAGTTGAGGAGCAAATATGTCCATGTTTGTGCCTGGTTAGGAACCACGCAATTCGGCCGGACGCAACCGGAACACCGGGCGAGTGAACACGCGCCGCGGAGGCTGCGTGTGAGCGAGCTGAAAAAAATTCAACGGGTGTCAAGGCTGAGTCGGCGCAGGTGGAGTGTTGAGTTCGTCACCGCCCAGCCTCGTGACTGCCTTAGGTAATGCGACCCCGGCGGCGACCAGGCCCTACATCACCCATCACCGCCAGGAACTTCACCACCGCACCCGCCCCTTCACCACGCCCGAATATTCTTCCCGCGGCCTGCCTTCACCGCTGGTCGGCCTCCAAGCATGGGCCAGGCCAACTCCAGAGGCACGTCGGACCCGCGCCCCCGCAGCAGACTGCGCCCAACATCATGGGCGCCTTCGCTGAGTCCGCTGCCGCTGCCTGAGAGCGGCAGCGTGCCAGAGCTGCTGCGCTCGCCGCCCCCGTCGTCTTCGAGGCCGCTCTCTCAGAGGTTTAATCCGTTCAACATTTTGTCGACGCACCATGAGCGCTCAGACGGCGCATCGTCTGGGCGGGATGGTGCCATCACCAGTCTTCAGCGCCGCCGCTCCAGGATCACGAGAGCACGCTCGTCCCTCTCTTCCATCCCGAACCTCTTCCACCGCCGTATTTCTAGCAGACCTCGCGACGACGAATCGCCATACGCCTCCTCCGCATCCCCCACTTTCCCCGAAGCCTCGCGCTCCACGCTCCGACATACCACGAGTACCGGATACGAACGTAGCCCTTACCTCCCGCGAGTACATGTGCCAGACTTGGATTTGAATTTCGACGACCTCCCCAACAACGCAAATACCGACCCTTCGCATCCACACCCACCGAGACTAAGCTCAGCGAGACGGGACGGGCGGGCCTCGTCTATGATCCCGTCCTTTCGGCCAGACAGAGGCCTTCGTAGCATATCAAGTTCGTTACGCAGAAGGCGTTCTCCAATAAGGCGCGAAGAAGACCAGGCTGCTATGCTCTCTCGCCTGCTTTCTGTCGCAGCAGCAGCTACCGCAGCTTCACTCATGGGAGACGACCACAGAGCAGTCTCGGAAGCCCGCAGTGTGGCGGGCGATGGCGAGGACGGCACCTTTGACAACTTCTTACAAGCTCTGCAGAATGGGAGGATTGCGTCGGCGCTGAGGCAGAGTGGCAATAGCAACGAAGACGGAGCCGATATACTGGGTGGCCACCCCGCCCCACTCAACTTTTTCAGGATGTTCAGGTTCGGTTCTCCTGTTGGAAGGAGGAACGATACACCGTCAGGAAGTCGCGAAGGTGGATCTGCGGAGAATCAAGATGGGGAGGATGACGACAGTGGGAGGATGGTTCCCATCATCATCGTGGGCATCAGGTCCATCAACCCAGGAAGCGGGAGCTCGCAGGACGATAATATCCCACCCTTCCTCGACGCCCTTTCCAGCTTCCCTACGCCCTTGTCATCGTCTGAAGATGACGCGATGGATGGGATGCTACGTCAGCCCCCACATACAACGAGGTTCAGTCACCGCCGGCGCGCCTCGATGGGAGGCTACAATAACCTTACATCTAGTTACGACAACCAGAGACACTACCGTGCGCCTGACCGGCCGCGCCCCTGGTCCACCGTCTCCGACTCCCCCGCGGGTCCTCTCCCTCCTCCCTCAACTCCCGCTAGCTCTGGGCTCTCCGCCGTCTCCTCTGGAGCCACCACGCCGACCTTCTCCACCTCGCCGCCCTCCCCCACAGTCCAGTCTACAGCTCCATCGCGACGTGGAAGCTTCATGCGCAGAGCAACAGGGCCAAGCTTGGAGCCGCCCGCGGAAGAGCCTCAGACATATCACCGTACCCCACGTCAACGTCGGCTGAGCGAGTCAGACTTCACAAGGTTCGGCTCGGGTGCTTCGCGCAGGAACGGCGTTGTGGAGCCCGACCATAACCCTGGAGAGGGTTCAAGAAGTTGGATCATCTACGTTCTCGGGGGCAGCTACCCAGAGAACCATCCTATTCTGACTACCCCAAGCCTCTTCACCGATTCGCCTACGTACGAAGACATGCTCCTTCTAAACAGCTTACTTGGTCCGGCCAAACCCCCGGTCGCGAGCGAAGAGGACGTGGCATCTGCACCTGGTCTCTTCCGGATTCGCAATCGGTCGGGAGTTCTAGTGGCAGAAGCCATCGAAGATTCGGATACCATCGGCCTCACCGCGGATGCGCGCTGTTTGGTCTGCCTGAGCGACTTTGAAGTTGACGAGGAGGCGCGCAGGCTCATAAGATGTGGACACTTGTTCCATAGGCTCTGTATCGACCAGGTGAGTCAGCCTTCTGATTCTGTGCAATGGATATACTGACTGTTTAGTGGTTGACAACCGGCCGCAATTCCTGCCCTCTATGTAGGGGTCAAGGAGTGGAAGAGAAATCTACCGACAGCGCAGAGCCAACTTCTCCTGACGTCGCGGATGCGTCGTCACAAACACATGCCTGATGATGCGCCCTTCCCGTCGGCGATCCTGCCATGATCACTTTGGGATGGCGGGTTCGCTCTTTCTTTTGCCGCAAACCCGTCTCATGCTCGTCTAGCTTTGTCTTGCTTTGGCCCTGATAGGGCACTTTCTCCCGTTTATTTGGATATCCCCGGTAACGATTTTCATCACCATCTTCTCAAGAGGGAAGACATCTCTTTACGCAGAGCCAATATCCGTCCAGGGCTCTTAATGCGTCGTCATTCAGTTTGCAGCGTTCGGCGTTGTTGTTGTGTTTAGGCATATAGGGCCGTTGTTATATGGGTTGGGATACGGAAATGGATAAAGCGGGTTTATGAGGATCGGAACAGGGCATCTTTGGGAACGAGAATGGTCCCCCGGCGTAGGGTAGGGGGAGCGATCTGAGGCATTTTGGGACGCATGTGAAAGATGCACGACTGAACGACTATTTCTTCTAGGGTTTTGGAACTGCGTGTATATGGTCTTTTGGACAGCAAGTAGTAGTCAGTTTAATGCGACGATGGCATGGAAGCTGCGAGATGCCGCAGCGGAAGCAGATGCAGACTCAGAAATGGACATGCTGATGGCGCAACGAATCACCTTGCAGCCCAGGACCTCGGAACTATGGATGCTGCGGAGCCATGTCAGTGCCTATTGCGGCATGCAATCCGCGGGCTATCCGCCATGGGCCCGAGTACGATATTGAGCGTTGAATTGGTGGCGGCTGGAGGAAATGAATCATTGAACGACCGACGCGTTCGATAAAGTTCGAAGCGCTGTCCCAGCGAAGAAGCCGCCCAGAAGATTCGGCCGCTTCTAGCGCGTGCCCGACGCGCGCGGGAGTGTCCCCGTTGAGCGATTCAGGGCTGGTGGTGGTCGAGGCACACCGTGCTGCTCGGAGTGCTTGGCTAGCCCCGACCGACAGCCGGATCTGGGCGGATCTGCTATCATTGAGGAAGAAGGGCGAGTACCCGGTAATGTTGCTTCTGGAAGGAAGGTTGTCCTTGCGAGGTTTCATTTTCCTACGGAGGGACGGACGTGGGTTGCTGATGGCGATGATGGCCCATACGAGAATGTAGTCGCCGTCAATAGCGCTTGACGGGATGGCGGTATACAGTATAAGGGCTCCTGCGCGCGCGGCAACTCTTTTGATCGACCATCCCGGGGGGTTACGAGCTTCGGACCGCAACCGCCAGGCACAATCGGACAAGAGCGCCGACGTGGTTAAGGATGCCTTGCCCTGAAGCTGAGGTCGGACGCGGCCAAGCCCAGTATTCGCTATTACCTGCCCCGTACCCGCTGCATCCGAAATATCGGATCAGGCGTTCCTGCTGATGCATGACAACACCCTCTCTCACCATTGTGCTGCTGGTGCTGTCCGCGAGAGAATGCAAATCCGCCTTGATACGGCGCTATACGATGTACGCAAGACCGCTCGAGTTTGATTATTACAATTTGCCATTTGATATGGCAATTCATGCGGGGTGCGGGCCATCCCTTCCTGGCGTTGATGCGGGCCTGATGGGAGGCGCATTATCGAATGACCATCTTCCATGCGGTGCCAGAAAGTTCAAAGCACCGACGCAACAGCAAAAGAAACACCATGCCGCTGTGTTCCCGCGATCTGACGAATCCCGAGAGCGCGGCCTGCGGCTTCTGGGGGAGCGTACAGGAGCAGCATGAGAGGTCCGTCTACACCTCTTTCCCAAATGGGGGCCGCCCGGCCTCGCAGTGAGGAAGTCACGATTGGCCCAACGCGCCGCGAAGGAAGGCACGATGGCCTATCGATTGCTAAAGTGCATTGGGCAAATCTTCCGAGCCGGCAGTCCAATTCCTCCTCTTTTCCCCCAGCCTAGCCTGCTGCGGTGCCACAAACCGTTCGATGTTCGCAGCGCGCGCGGTGGCTCTGGACGATGGCACCACTCATCAGCATCCAGCCATCGGACGAAGCTGGGCCGCGGACACGCGGACGGTCGCGCTGCCCCCGCGCCGCCGCCCGGTGCGGTTTGCGACGCTGTACAGTCACGGAATACGGCGCCCGTGGACGGTAGTCAGCAGGCCGAGAGCGGTGGTGGTTGACAACGGTCCTACAGCACGACGATGGCGCGCAGCATGAGGTTGCACGCACACAGCAGAGCGCAGGCGGGGAGTTTCAGAGTTTCAACGTCAGTCTGTGTGTTTCAACGCCGATCGACGGGTCTCACAAAAGGCTGCGACGGCAGGGTTCAAGCTTGCTCCGGCACGTGGCGCCATCCCACAGAATTGGGTGGCCCCCTTCGACCATCCTTCACGGCTTCACTTCTCCGTCCGCGGCCTGGCAGAGAGTCGAGAGCCAGCGCCGCCGTCGACGCCATGCGCGGTGCCTCGGCCTTCCGTCGCCCATCGAAAGACGCTCCTTTCTTCATGCAAATGCACTGCGCCCGTCACACGCCGGCCCGCACATCGGCGCTCCCAACGTGCCGTGAACGGTCAGAACAGCGCGCCCCAAGACGGGCCTGAGGATGCAATGTCCGGGATCAGCTCGAGCGCGCGGCTTCGGCGTCCTGAGGTCGGCGCTTTGATCTTGGACGAGCGGCCTGCGAGTGCTGCATCGTGTGTGAATCAGGGAGATGCCCATGACGTACAGATTCTGCGCATTAGCCGTCTCCAGCCTCGCCACTCACAAGACGGCGGAACCGCTTTTGCGGCAGCCCCGGTTGGTACCCTAGCAAAAGCGCAGAGAGACACAGAGTCTGTAAAGTCTGAGCTGTCAAGGCATGCCGCCAGACCCCGCCTCCAGTCCCTCATCAATCTTTACTGCTCGACCGCACACAAGACGGATCACGGAATCCGCTGGCGTCTTGTCGACGGCCGGCTGGTCACGGCATTGTTACTCACACCTCACTGAGAGACGGCTCAGAAATGCAGCATTGTGCTCCCTGTCGAGCGTCGTGGTGCTTTCACTAAGGTTTCAATGCTACGACAAACTCTGATATGCGACCCTAGCAGTTGGCGCCCGCCAGCAGATTGGGCCGTCGACGGCATGCCGCTCTGGATATGCGCGCACCAATCCCTGGGTCATGCCGGCGGCTTCAGAGTGCAATGGGTGGCTTCCTCGTAGGCCTCAGATACGCAGGTCTTCCCACGACGACCACAGTACCGGAACGGCCAGGGTGAATCCTAGCTGAGGTTGGGTTGGACAGAACAAGCTCCAGCACCGATCGGGCTAGCAGGCGGCGGCGGCGTTCTCTTCTCGAAACCCAGGCTTCTTTGCTGCCGCCAACGGTGCTGTCACTGTCTGGAAAGGCGGATGGCCCTGGCCAGGCATGTTAATTTTGGGATGCCGAGCTAGCCTAGTTCGGCGGTCGAATATCACTCGATATCTCGACACACGCAAGATTGATGAGGCTCGAAATCCTAGGGGGGCGGCCAGGCAATAGCACGGTATCGTGCATCGGCGCTCGCTCCCCTTTGGGCCGCCAGTGTAAATGGATATAGATGTTTGCCTATATCAAAACTTTGCTGCATACGCCTTCACGCGCTTTCGAGTAAGGGCAGTGGCTGTGGCGCTCCGACGGACACGAACACCAAGCCCAAGTGCCGTCTGGCCCTTAGCTCTTACGCCGGACCTCATTCGCCGACGACTGCTGCGTTGCCGTCTAGCAGTACACACCCCACCTCATCCCTCACTTGCTCTCGTAACTCTGAGCCGGTCTGCAGCCCCTCCGCGCTGCTGCTGTCATCTTCTGGCCGGCCCCACAGCAGCTGCAAAGGCGATCCTGACTTTAGGCATGATGCAGCGCGCTCTGCGAATGGCGTCCCGCCGATTCTGCGATGGCAGCAGAGCAGCAGCAGTTGACAGCTGCGATCATCGGCCAGGATAATAGCAGCAGTGCCGCAGAGGGCAACCTGGAGCGAGACAGGCCCGTACCCCGGCCCGTTGTTCTCGACGGCGGCCCCAGAAGAGGCCTGAGGCTTGCTCTCCCTCCCCCAGACGTCGACGGTGGCCCTGCTGTCATCGCGGAGCGGCAGGGTGGATCATTAATACGGCTGTTAAGGGCCTGCTCATGGATTGCAGAGTGAGTCCTGCGCTAAGATGTGAGCGGAAAGCGGAAACGTCCGGCTCGAATCAAGTCTCTTCAGCGCTGGCGCACGGCCTTCACAAGTCGAGGGCTCGCCGCCCGCGTTGTTCCTTTCTTTGCATGGTGGAGCCAGGGTTGGCTTCTATCCCCGCGCATGTCTGATGAGCACTCTAGTTGTGGATTGAGGGCGTCCAGCATTGCTTCTCCTTGGTTCCATTGCGGGTACATGGCTTCTGGCGCAGGCACAAGCAGGCCATCACGCACTACCTCTGCCTGCGACTGCTGTGCTCCTCTCAACGTCGACAGCACTACCGTTCCGTTTCAGACTGGCACTTCATCTGCCTCCCTGTGTTGCGCCGCAAACCACCTTGCTGCCCGGTGAGCGTCGAGACTCTACCGTGCTGTTTAAAAGCCGGCTGGGTTCTCGTTTCTGGAGCTAGCAAGGGACCCAGCGCAAGCCTCATCCATCTCGTCGCAACTTGCTGTCCTCAAATAGGGCCTTGATTCAGTGCCCAGCGGTTGAACTATCGTCAAACACGCCTTAACTACACTACGACCCGTCCCTGACGCCCTTGTGCAGGCCTTCTTCGCAACACGCCCGCGATCGTCCTCGAATCCCTGCTCTATCCTGGATCTTTCGGGGTCCCGGATGACGTTGATCACACTTCCGCGAGCTTCTTGTCACCAACAACCACCGCTTTGTCGCGCAGCGCCTTCTTCGTAGCGACAGAATCATGTCTGGATACTATCCTCCGAATCACAACATACCGCCTCAGTACTACAATGTTAATCCAAACGCGGTCCCAAATCCCAACTTGGGGAATGTCCCGCCAACGATGACGCCAGACGGCTCTTACCCTTACGCCGCTCACGGCCTCCCAGAAAGCCCGGTGTACCATGGAATTCCCGGACCGTTCGTGCAGTACGGAGAACCGCAAATGCAGCAGACCTACATGAGCCAGTATGAGGATCTCTCCGGTTCCATGGATCCCGCGCAGGGTGGAAATGCGCGCATGAGACGTCGAACCGCTCCCGGCGACCAAGTGAAGCACCGAAGAACCCGCAGCGGATGCTATACTTGCAGGCAACGAAGAGTAAAGGTGATTTGTCAAACATTGCGAAACACAAGCGTCACAGAGCTGACAAAACCCACAGTGTGATGAAGCGCATCCAATATGCGAGAGTAAGTCTTCCCTCTTTGGAACATTTGAATACCGCAGTGCTTAGGACCGTTCACTCTAGGATGCCGGAAGGGGAACCGTGAGTGTGTCTATCCAGACCTCTCATCTAACCAAAAGACCGGTCGGAGCGGGTCCAAGTCTGGAAAGTCGTCCTCTGCGGACGAGGGCTCCTCTCCAGAGCAGCAAGATGAAGATGCGAAGGAACGGCTACCCGCAATTCTCGACGATGAAGAAGAGGACCTAGAGTCGGATTCGGCGCAGCCGGGAAAGGGTCGGGACGCACGAGAAGCCTCCTCTGACACCCCAGCCTTAACCCTCGATCGCAGCCCTTCGCCGTCCACGGAGACTTCTTCCACAACGACCGCTCCAGCTCCACGACCGCCGGTGTCACGAAAAGGAAGTTATCAGAGCGCAAAGGTGGCATCATCCGGCAGGCCGGCTCCCATACTGGCCAAGGACGTACAGTTTTATCTCGACTACTTCAGGAACCATATGTCCCATCACCATTATTCGTTGAAGCGCGATGCCGGCAACTTCCTCAAGACCGACTTTCTGCAGCAAACGATGAAATACGAACCTTTACGGTACGCGGTCGTGGGCTACGCTGCTTACTTCCACACGCTTTCGCAACCAGGTGGTCATATCAACACCTTCCTGCAGTACTACAACGAATCCGTCTCTCGCCTCCGCCTCTCCATCACCAAGAACAAGAAGCAGGGCCTCGCAACTTTTCTGACCATTCTGCAGCTTGCAGCCATCGAGGTGAGGAGTATAGGCCCAACATACTTTTGTGACTGGCTAACTGAACTCACCAGGAGGTACTCGGCGACTGGGTCAACCTCATGGGGCACCAAAAGGCCGCCTACGAAATGTTGACGCGGCTGTACACTCCACAGACGATCGTCCAGTCCGATTTTCTCCTGAAGGTTCTCCTGTGGTACATTCGATTCGATCTCTTCGTTGGCTTCCAGTCCGGCGGAGAAGCTGTGCTTGACCGGGAGTGGTATGTTGCGGTGCATGATTATTACTCGCAGAAGTGCCGCGACAACCCCGACGACCTGACGCTGAAATACGAGGAACGATTTGCGCACTCTCGGCTTGTGGCCAAAGATTCAAGCGACCTATTTTCGCGCAAGGCGAAAGGTCTGATCAGCGACGAAGCTTTCATGGAACAACTACCAAAGTTGGACGAGAGGGTGAGGAGCTTGGACAAGAACATCGACCCGGCACTCCTCGAATCCCAGGACAAGATCGAGAGCATTCTCGGCTCACCCGATCCTGATGACATCGTTAATCCATATGAACCTGGTATCCTCTGGGAAGGGCCGCGCTGGACCTCCAACTACCTTCTCCTCGACATGTATGGCATCATGCTCATGTACAACATCTCGATTTCTATGGCTATGCGGAAACCTTTCGATCCAGAAATCGTTCAGAAAGCCTATCGTGCAGTGCAGGTTTTCGAAGCGGTGTGCGCATATCCCAATGCACCTCCCGGAGCAATCATCGAAGCGCAAGCGACCTGCGCAATTGCGACAATCTTCTTACCAAAGGACGCAAAGACGGTAAACTGGTGCCGCCGGAATTTTGTTAAGATAGAATCAGCGGGGTATGTGTCTCAATCACCCCAATCATTTTCTCTATCATGTCTTGAACCTATAGCCCCTTGTCTTACCTCTATCACCCACATTCATAACGATGCTAACGGATCTTCTAGATACATCTACTCCGATGTCCTTCGGAACAGAATGCTCGAATCGTACGGGGTCGGTCCGTCGGATTGGTGGTTACCCAACGATGAGGGGTGCCCTCCTATCATCCGCTCTATCAAGAATTTCATCCGGGACCGAACGACGGCACCAAAGGACCAGGTCTCCGAGGACCTGCGGGAGATGAGGGGCATCTTCAGCACGCTCATCATATCAGATTCCCCGCCGGAAGGCAGTCACACGCCTATCGAGGGCACCGTAGGCGGCGCACCAACCCATGTAGATGAGACGCTCATTTACACAGGCGGGTCTCCTGACTATGATTGGAAATACTCTAGCGCAGAGGCGTACGGATCAGGACCATACTCCTCACAGTGAAGGTTGCGGTTGGCGTCGACAGGATGACACGGCCCCGGATGGTGGCTTCGTGCAGCCCAGCAATGCACCCGAAACGCTCTAATATTTCAGCCCTGTCACACAGCGCGGCGTCTCAGAACATCCCGGATGGTGTTCGGTGACACGTACGATCGATACACCAAGCACGACTTGCGTCCCGCATGTGGCGACGCTACAAGATCATCGCTGTGGTACCTTTCTGCATCCGCCTTTCACTAATCCGGCGATTCCAAGCGAGACCCCCCACTTTATGGCACCGCGTCTACCAAACATTTCGAGTTCTTCTGCAAGCTTAGTTTCAACGTCTGGTCAAGGGATCTTCTCCTACTTCACCTTCCATCCTATCGTTATGGAGCACAACGCAACGTCACGACCGCAAGGGGCACGCGCATTACATCAGTTATCGAAGCAAAAGTTAAATTTGAGGGAGGATTCAGGTCAGGTGGCCAAGAGTCGAAATGGATATGCTGAGATACCCAGACAACATGGCAACAAAGGCATTGGCGTATGGCGGTCAACATCTTACACGGCATATACTCGCGTATCGCGTCGCATTCGCTAGATTTCAGTCGTTTTCGGGACGGTCGCTTTCTTCTTCTGCATACGCACGTGGACTGGCTTGCGTGTCCTCTTGATATTTCCTCTCTTCTTCTTGTACGTATTGTACCAGTATGGACTGCTTTCCCGACTGTTCTGTTTTCAGCAATTAGCGTATACCTAGCCTAGCATCAATACTGTGGACATGTTCAGCCAGGAGTGATCCTGCCATCTCCCCTATCCGAGATGCACGGTTTTTCCGCTCGCTATAGTGCTCGCTGACCGATCAGTCATATAACTCATTCACCTCGCAGATGTGACGCGATTCGGCATGGCGCCTTGAGCCAAATATAACTACAATTTAGAAGAGGGTTGGTGTCTGGTGCCCGACTTGACTTTATCCAGACGCTTTCTATTCGAGGAACGGGCACCCTCGTCATCCAGGCGCCCGTCGACCCGACCTCAGATCAGCATATGAAGCGGAGTGAAACAGGTCATGGATTCGAAAAACTTAGACCTGAGCCGCAGATAGATACATGGTGGACGTAGTGGGATCTTAGATCGAGCTCTTGAGGTCTCCTTGCATGTGTTGGTTTCAGGTCTGCAGGTACTTGACGGATTGTGGGCTAAAGATGTATCGGCACAGCTGCGTGGTGATAAGTCCGACCTCTAAGGCCTTTCCTGTGCCTAGTGATATTCTGTATTCGTGAGCTTGAGATAAGTCTGAATTGTAAAAATGGGGTTGACATGAATACCTTCCAACGGTTGCTCTTAGAGAGTGGCCTAATGCGGACTAGACGTGGCGCAGGGTTCATGCGGCTCGTGGAATGCACGGACGCGGCGCCGCTCAGCAACGGCAGGCTCGACACATGAAAGTTCAGCAAACAATACCACACCGAGCACCCTGACGCCTTGAACCAGGCTTTCCTTACCCGCCCGAATCTATACTACCAGCATCCCTCACCATGGACAAGTTCCAGGCTTTCGGCAAGAACATCTCGTACGTTCGCTCCGTGCTCTCATCCCTATTGAGCCCTCTACTCGGGACTGCGCAGCTTCAGGCATGCTGACATGGCTTCTACAGTGCCACTTTCACGCCGTTTGCTGCCCGAACGCAGCAGTATGTCAAGGAGCAGCTTGGCCAAGCCGATGATAAGGTGCGATACCGCGACACTCTCGAGAAGCGTGCAATGGTGCCTCACGAGCACCTCGATAACCCGTGCTGGATACGACACTGACGAGGGGTATCACAGACCCAGCTCCCTCCCGACTACATCGAGCTCGAGAAGCGAGTCGATGCCCTGAAGAAGGTGCACTCTACTATGCTGCAGGTCACGTATGTTGCCTCCGCACCCCCTATCTCGGAGAAAGTCCGTATAACTGATACGTCTTGCTGGATAGCTCTCAGTACTCGAACGAAGCCTACGACTATCCCGCCAACATCCGCGAGTCCTTCAACGATCTCGGCCGCACCGTCTCCGAGAAAGTCCACCTCCTGTCCTCCGCGACTTCGCCCGCCGAAGCCCAAGCCGCCCTCACCGCACCTCCCGCCGCGAAGCCGCAGCCCAAGACCTTCAGCCACGCCGTTGCCCGTGCCGCCCTGAACAGCTCGCACATTCTGTCCGGTGAGCATTCCGGTGCCGGCGAAGACCCGCTCGCGACCGCCCTCGAGAAGTTCGCTATTGCCAGCGAGAAGGTCGGAGAGGCTAGGCTCGCACAAGATGCCCAGATCCAGAGCAGATTTCTGGCGGGCTGGAGTACGACGCTGAACACGAATATTATGTTTGCGACGCGGGCCCGCAAGGCGGTGGAGAACTCGCGGTTGAGCTTGGATGCTACGAAGGCTAATGCTAAGGGTGGTGCTTTCTCTCTGCCTGGCCAGGCCGGCCGGAAAGATGGCATGGAGGAGGAGATTAGTGAGGAGGCGAGGGCTAAGATTGAGCAGGCTGAGGATGAGTTCGTGGGGCAGACGGAGGAGGCCGTTGGTGTCATGAAGAATGTGAGTGTACATCGATTTATGAGCGCGCGCTCCACCTGCGCGCACGACACTTCAGTAACGTTAGCTTACCTATGTGGTTTAGGTCCTCGACACCCCCGAACCGCTCCGCAACCTCGCGGACCTCATCGCTGCCCAGCTCGAGTACCACAAGAAGGCATACGAGATCCTCTCTGAACTGGCTCCCGTCGTCGACCAGCTGCAGGTCGAACAAGAGGTGCGTCGCCACGAGTCGTCTGATTTCTGATCGCGCATTGCTTTACTTGACCCCTGCGAGTTGGTCTCTGATGCTTGCTTCAGCAAAAATATCGGCATCCCCACTGATTCGTTGAGTTGCGCAGGCCAGCTACCGCAAGTCTCGTGAGGGAGCTTAGCTTGGACATCTCATATTGACCTGAGCTGATTGAGGGGAGATGTTGGACTCAAATGATACCGCTGGAAGTAAGGGGAACTATGGCTTTCTTGGTCGCCCTGAGAGGCGATCTTCCTACGCTCTAGAAGCGGAGGCTTTTCTAGGTGTCTTATGGATAGGTGTTCCTTTTCCACCATCTCTAGTCTAAGGCTCAGAATCGAGTTTCCTTCTCCATTGACACAACAGTATGTCATAATGCTGAAGACCTATCCGATCTTCGAGCGTTCGCGCCTCGCATCTACCCTCTTGCTATAATGGAGTACACAAGTAGGTACCTCATACTCCCAAATTCCCTACCGCCTCTCCTCCGTCCACACTCCGCTCTCATCGCTAAACTCCATCGCCTGCCTATGCGCAAATTCCTCCATACTCTTCCTCTTCTCCGCCTTCCCCTCCTCTGGGATGAACTTGCGCATCACATCCTCCACATACCCCTCCGGTACGCCCATCCTGACCGCGTCTTCAATGCCCCTGTTCATCCGGTAAATGTACTCTTTCTTCGGCTTGTCCTCCGCGGTGCGCTGGCGGTCGATATACACCAGCATTTCCTTCGTCTCGGTTGGTGGTTTCGCGACATCGACTTTCTCCCCCTCGCCGCTGCTCTCTGGCGGCTTCGCCCAGAAATCGCACTCCAGGGTCTCCTTGTTGTAGGCGATGGGCACGCCTTCGTTGCGGTCGAGCGCTGCCTCGTCGGAGGGGGAGAGGCGGTAGACGAGGCCGAAGACGAGGGATGAGTACGGGGACTTGTTGGTGTTTGTGCTGGAAGGGGGAGGGGAAGGGGCAGAACTGGATGGGGATGAGGATGAGACGGCGACGACGTTGGCATAGCCCCGGTCGTTGATTATCCAGCGGTAGGCGGGCAGGCGGGCGACGCCGAGGTAGGTCGAGGCTGGGCAGCGGATGGACATCTGGTGTAGCCAGAGGTTCGAGCCGTAGCCGAAGTAGATGGTTGGGGAGGAGGATGGGGTTTTGGGTGCCATCTTGGAGCTTTGGGGAGATATCCTTTACCCTTTTTTTCTTTTTTAGAAACGGAGCGGCGAAAAAGAGAGATGGCTTTTGGACAGTTTTGGAGGATTATGGACGAAGCAAGCAAACACGTGGTTTGATATAGAATGAGTCTTGGTATGGAGGTGATAACCAGGACGATGTCGTTTGAATAGAATAGCGTCCTGAGGCGGGTCGATGAATGAGTCGGAATGGTTCCGAGGTTTAGGGTTCCGAACAGGAAGACTCCGGATTCAGTGTAACGAGCGATGTCGAGTCACGATCATTCGACATGGTTTGCCGATTCTCGGTGAGCAAGAGGGCTTCTTGAAGTCGTCTCTAGTTGGGGAAGACGTTTCGGTGCCTAAAATGCCGAGGCTTCGGCCTGAGCTAAGCAGAATGAGCTGGACAGGCTCACAAGTGTCGAGCCTCTTGACTCCGTGGTCTCGCTATGTTAGATCACGGATATCTAATCACGGTCTGTTCTAGCTTCGATCTCACAAAGTTATATAAATAGGAGCACTCCTATCAGACGGTAGGCGTTCCGATATCTCGGAGGCGCATTTCCGGTTTCGGAAACCCTAAAAGGGCACGGTGCAAGCACCGGAACAATTACATCACGGAGCAGGCTTCGTTCCTTCCTCAACCAACAACCCAAACATCACTACCTGCACTTGTCTTTCACCGCGCCTCACTTGCCTGTCTTGATTGCAACTAGGCTATCGGCCCGACTCACCTTAGACGCTTGAAATAGCGATTCCAGAGCGGGCCGCAGCAGCCGAGCATTAGTCGCTCTTAACCAAAGTTTCACCCATCTCCAGCAAGGGCTTCCATGGATTCAGCCCTCCATTGACCTAGATTCGCCTCACGACACAGCAATTCGTTTCAAACACATCTGCAGTCGAAACAGTCTCGATGCCGTACTCCCACCACAGCCACTCGGGTCAGTTCTGCGGCCATGCGAAGAACACTTTGGAGGAGATGGTGCAGACGGCCGTGGCCAAGGGATTCCATACCTTTGCTTTGACGGAACACATGCCCCGACCGATCGAGGACTTCTACCCAGAGGAAGTGCGTACGTTTAGCCAGGTACAAGCACCGTGAGTGGTTTCTAACTATAGACAGGAAGACGAGCATACCGAAGAATCTCTTGCGAAGCTGTTCCATGATTTTCTACTTGAAGCAGCGCGGCTCAAGGATGCATATTTCCCTCAGATTAAGCTTCTCATTGGTGTAGAGTCCGAGTGGATCCGACCGTCTACGCTCAAGCTCCTGCAGGACCTCCTCGCGAAACACTCCCTCGACTTCTTCATGGGCTCCGTGCACCACACCCATACGATTCCCATCGATTTCGACAGAGCTAAATATGAGAAGGCTCGAGATGCGGCAGGCGGGACAGATGAGAGGCTTTTCGAAGACTATTTCGATGCGCAATACGATATGCTTCAAGCGCTCCATCCGCCAGTAGTCGGACACCTCGACCTCATACGACTCCTGAGCGACCATCCGGACACCGAATTCAAGGATAAGAAGGGCGTATGGGAGAGGATACAGCGCAATCTCGAGTACATTGCCTCCTACGGGGGCATCCTGGAGCTGAATTCGTCAGCCCTACGGAAAGGTCTGGCTCAGCCATACCCGTGCTTGCCCATATGCCAGGTCCGTCACACCGCTTTCTGAAGCTCCTGAGAATGCTTTTTTTCTGATTCTTATCGCAGTCATTCCTTCGCATGGGAGGCCGTTTCGCAATGTCCGACGATAGCCACGGCATCGATCAGATCGGCACCAACTACGCCCGCTTGTTGGACTTTATACGGAAGTCGGGTATCAAGGAGATACACTATGCTGACGCTATGGCTCCGCGGGAAGGCAGCAGCAACTCTTACGTGGGCTTCTCGAGCATTTCCGTTGACGTCCTCGCACAGCTGCCTTTCTGGACGAAGGCCCAGTGAACTTGCTACATCAAGCCCCTGCATGAGCGCTAGCAATAAGCAACCCGTCGGCAGACGAAAGCCGGCGCCACTAAGGAAGCCGAACTCGTGTTGCTTTGCATACAGCATTCCAGACCGTCGTCGTCATCCGGCAGCCCTTCATTTCGTCCGACTTGCTTCGGCATGCTCACCGCATTGCAGAATGCCATGACGCCAAATTCCAATACTTGCTTTTGAGGGGGGTTGTAGTACAGTACCAGCAAGGTCCGACCCCGGGCGCGGCTGGCCAGAACCACTGACCGGCTATCTGCCTCAGAAGCGTGGGATGGAGACTTGGCCTGCCTAACGATTACGGCAACCGCTGCAAGCGCGAGCGCTCCGGCCAATACGGGGACGGCAACGGGCCCAAACCGAGCTGGCGGAATCCCAGTCCACGGCACATGGGTTCACGATCGCCTCGTCGCGATTGATCAGGGCGCGGGCTGCACTGAGCGGACAGCGAAACACCACGTGCGATGGCTGACGGGTTGTGGATGGGGGACGTGCACGGCGGCCACTCCACACACGCACGGCGGACGTTCGCCGACCTCGCGACTCCGATTCATGGACTTACGTACACGGCGGCCCGGTGCAGCGTTATGAATGAGCAGATTTGAATTGGATCCTGCAGTCTCCGCTCATGCCCGTGATTGTGCGTCGACCGCGCGCTCGACTCCTTTTCGCCGTTACCGCGAGAAGCACGCCAGCAGGATGATTTCCCGTTTTGGGCGCTGCTCAACGACCGTTTTCGGCATGCGTTCGGAAGCAGGGCTGCGCATACCGCTGCAGCCGTGATTGGCCTTGGTTAATGAATGGGAGGGTGACTAGAGTCGGAATTCAGTATGCTAAGCGTTCGAGGGCGCTACGCCTTCGCGGCGGACGTTGAGCAGAGTCTAGTATGGGAGTGGTTGGACGGGCCAGTGACGGATGCGTTAGGTCTTCGTGCATGCTCGGGAATTATTGCCTTGGTTGCTTTTTGGCTCGCATGGAAGGCTGCAGATCCGATGCGAAGCCGGGATAAGGGCCTTCGATGGATGGCCTCGAAGCACGTTGGGCTATTAACGTGAAGCCGGACCCTATGCTCGCCCGTACCGCTACACCCTTATTGATGTTAATATAGAGCAAAGTTTTGCGAGCAGTACCTCTTCGTAAGCCCGCCCGGGCAGGCCAAGGGCCGCGGACTGGGCGGGCTGTCAAATGGGAAGGCTTCCAACGGCGGCCGTGATGGTGTGCGGTCGGGAGTGGTGCATGATTCGACGGCATCGGGCATTTGTGACTCGTCGTCGTGCGACCTGTCGAGGCCTGTCTCGCGCCGGACAGAGCGACTGCTCTCGGAGCTAAGTTTGACGCGAGCGCCACCAGAATGGCGGCGCTGCTCTGCTGATGCGGGTGGCCCGTAGGGACAGGCGTGGATACTTGGCGAGATACACGCCCGTACCCCACCACCCCACCTCCCCCGTTACACGCACGATGCTGCCGCGAAGAAAAGAACTCTGACACGCTCGCGGGCGGTCAGCGGGCGCAAGGCCGACGCAGAGCGCGAGTGGGATGCTTCACGCGGGCCATTGGGGCGGCCCGGTGGGCGTCGTCTCAGTGCCTGGCGATGGAGCGAGGGGGGTGGGCGTGGTATGTTGAGCGCCTGGACAGACGGACCACCTCGACACGCATGCCGGTCAGCTGGGGTGCCGGGGGACGAGGTCTGGCTGCCGTGGGCCAGCCTGCTTCTGCTCTGGCGCTCAAACGGCTTGAGCATCGGGGAGCGTGCCCCGGGAGACGGACGGGCTCTAACGGCGGCTGCTGGCCGGGCCACGGTCATGGCCATGGTCAAGGCCTCGACAGGTGTGGAACAGCCGCCTGCGGTATGCGAGGGGCTAGAGTGCTTGACGCACTCGAGCAAGCCAATCTGTTCCACGGCTTTAAACCCTCCTGGTCGTGTGGGAAGCTGAAGCTGGGAGCCCAAGCCTCCAACCATATACCACCCCCAGAGCCTCTCGACTTGACCAAAGCTCAAAGCACTCGCTCACCTCCCCTTTTAAAGGCCGGACCCCGTCCTCCTGGGCCCGATCTGCCTCTGCTCCAGTCCAGTCCACTCCGCTCTTCTCTCCGTTCACAGTTCACACTAGCACTGCCCAGTGCCCTCGTGAGCCCTGCCCCGCAACGAGCAAGCAACAACCCTGAGCGCACTAGTACCATTCCCCTTCCTCCAGTACCATCCGCTGCCTCTGCCTGTCCGCCGCCGATCGCCATGGGCGTCGAGAAGCAGATCGTGAAGCCGGGCAACGGCGTCGACACGCCCAAGAAGCACGACGAGGTCTCCATGGAGTACACAGGTAGCACGGCATCGCTCACGTGGGCAACGTCAAAGGTCTCACCAACATTCCAGGCTGGCTGTACGACGAGACTGCGGCGGACAAGAAGGGGAACAAGTGAGCACCCGCCAATCGCCCTCCAATTGGAGGCGCACATCCGAGATCTGCTGTGTGCTGAGCCGTGATCTCAGATTCGATTCATCGGTGGGTCGCGGGGACCTCATCACCGAGATTGGGGTTGGGCGTGTCATTCGCGGTACGTATCTTCAATCTGCGTCTCAATACACGGCCCAAAGTGGTCGTTCTGACAGGCGCATTAATGGGCTGATCTTCTGCACAGGCTGGGATGAAGGCATTCTGGGCTCTGCTTCGGCACCGCCCATGTCGCTAGGCGAGAAGGCCACCCTGACCATCTCAGCGTACGTAATGCGCCTCATTGGCTGCCGTGTACGCAAGCATGCCAACCGCTAACGCATCGCCTGTATTAGTGACTACGGCTACGGCAACCGGTGAGTTGTTTTGCGACTTGTTGCTCCACCATCAGCGCTGCGCCGACGACCGACGACGTTGACGCACGCCCAATATTGGCCCTGTGCATTGGCCCAAGCATTCGAGACCACGGCTTCGGCATCGGATGCTCGCCTGTCCCGCTGGACCACGACCGCTACGCACCCCAAGCGTCCTCACCTTCGCAACCCCCATGCAAAACGATTCATCCGCCGGGTTTGCACCATCCTTTGCAATGCACTTGAATCTGAGAGCGCCCGATGACCCGCCCGGAATCTACAACAGCACGCTGGCTGACACTTCATCTAGTGGCTTCCCAGGGCACATTCCTCCAAACGCTCGGTTGATCTTGTAGGTGCCCAACTCCGATATTCCCGTACACGTTCCTACATCATCCGTCATGTGCTTCATCCCTACACCACCTTACCTACTCCTCCCGGCCCCTGCAACCGCACATACCAACTCTCTCTCTCTCTCTCTCTTCATACCCAACGCCCGATACGATCTCAGGTCCCCCGCACTATTTACCCTCGAGCACGGCCGAAACCTTAATCTACCAAATCACGCATGCTAATTACGTGGCTAGCGATGTCGAGCTGAAGGCCATCAACGGCAAGAAAGCCTCATAGACGCTGCGCCCGGTACTTGCACGGGCGAGACCTCAGCACGCTGAGGTCGACGAAATAACCGCCGCCATCCGACCGGACTCGATAGCCGACCAGCCGATTCATGCCCTGGACTCCCGAGTTGGGCTGACGCCCGAGACATCCTCACTTCTCTTGCGGTCGATTGCTTTCTCTTTGTCCACGCGCGGTCCCAAGCACGCACCGGGGCTTGCCTTGCTCAGATCAAGCTGTCACAATCCTTCCCGTATACATCAAAAGCCTTGGTTTTGGTTACCTTCTTTTTTGCAACGGTTACCTCTCGGTTGGCCGACCGGGAGTTTAGAGGGAGCCCGTTCCATTTCCTATGTATGGCTCACCAGCTGACTTCTTTGATAATGGGTCAATCCTGGGTACATCGATCTCTTCTGTCGGTCTGGAATGGGCAATGGACGGACTGGTTTACGGGCTCCATTTTGGTTTCATCACACTTAATTCAATCCACCTACATGGTGGCTCCTTCTGATCTCCACGGCGCATGGCAGCAACTGTGGCTTCCTTGATTCTCATCCTCGTCCTCTTCCTCTGAGCCGAGTGTACCCGCTCAGCTGCCCAACCTGGAGTCTCCAGATGATGCTGATCTGCCCGGGCCTTTGCTCCAGGCGTTTGGGATCTCCCCTCCCAGGCATGCTGCGGGCCAGTCGAGGCAGTGCAACGTCGAGTTCACCGTCCGACTGCATTTGTCTCATCCGCGATAACCACTGCATCCTCCGAGCGAAGCGCTGGACTGAGTCTCGAGCTGGAGCCCGATGACCTGTATTCAAAGAAACCATTCGTTCGGACAAAAGCGCAGTTGGCAGGGAAGACGATGCTCACACCGACAATCTCGCCACAGAAAGAAGACCCGATCGCCTTACAGCTCGGCTTGCCGAACTGACGACAACTGTTCTCCCGACTTGTGCTACCATTGGACAAAGAACCGGAGCGGCGGGCTCGTCGATCGGTCCTTTCCCCCCTCCATCGTTGTACCAAGGCGTGAACATCAGCCTGCCTTCCTATCTGGTACCCGCCTGCGTATCATGTGACACGCCCTTCCGCTCCTTCCCTTATACACGTGCTTATCCCGGTAGACGCCCATTTGCACGGGCCCGCTCTTGTCATCAATCACCTCATCTTCAGGATGGGTGAACTGAGACTCTCGTGCGATGCTGACGCGAATACACTGGCCCTCCTTCCGGATTCTTGAGCGCCCGTACGATAGAGCAGCGCGAAACCCCCACGAGCTCATGCGTGATTCCAGCCATTAGCTCACCGTCGAGTCCAAGAGCCGGCATCCTTCCATCCTACATACGCCGTGCCCGTCACCGCTATGCCGAAGCCAATAATATCCCACTGCCGTAGCCCTTCTCGAATCGAACTTATCATGGATCGAGAGCCCCCGTCTCTGGAGGTGATTCTATACTCACCATCCAAACCAGCAACGACAAGTCAGATTCAGAATCAAAAGAAGAAAGTCACGAACGGCATAAAGTAAACCCCCATACCTCGGTCACCCTAGTTACCGACGACTGCAGCACGCGGCAGCTTACGTCTCCCACACCGATAGCGGGCCGCGCTCGCCTGACATTCGTTGATCGCCCTCCCGTGCCGCTCGCCTCGAGCCTGCTTCCCTGCCTCTGCGCTGTCAGCTATGGATCCTCCAGGAAGCTTACATACTTCGTCCTTCAACGAAAGAGAGAAATACAGCACGGGACCTTGTGTGCATGCGTGCGAGTCTGCATGTGGCTAGATGGGGACGCGGGCCATGGAAAGGTTGAGAAAAGGTTGAGGGGGCTAGACTGCTGCACACGTGAGGCACGGCACTGTGGGATCTTTTCCTGGTAAGGGAGGTGCATGCGGTCGAGGACGGCTGGATTGGATTGCAGGTGAGAATGGTAACGGACCGGCGTAAGGAGATAGAGAGTATGGGCTCTATGGGAATAATGCTCGTTTACGTGCGGCATATTTGTTGGGGCTGGAGGTATGAACACAGGCTGATAGAGGAAAGCAATTTGTCCGATGATGCATGCCATCAATAATGTTCCCCCCTCCCTTCGACAGGGAAGGGGATGACTACGGTACGGCTCAGGGGCGGCTGTACGAAGAACGGGAAGTTGTTGATCAGACTCGATGCAGAGAACCTATTGCCTTTTTCCCCTCCGAGATTCTTTCCTTTCCTCTCACCACCCTGAGATCTCAACTTGGGTTTGAGGGCAAGTGAGATGATGATGAGCAGCAGCAGCAGCAGCAACCGGTTTTTTAATTGTCCCGCATCATGCGAGTAAGCCGGACGGGCCTTGATGAACGGGGAAGTATGGCAAGCGGATATGATATAATGAATGATGATCTGCGTCATCAGTATGAAAAATTCCATATGGATACGAGCTTGAGTGTTGGGTCCGGAAGCGGAAGTCGGAAAATCCGATGAACGACATCAGCGCAGCGCAGGGCTGGGGCCATATTGCATACAGTATCGGCTAGCTCCCTTTTCCTGCACCACCGAATCCGCCGGATGAGTAATGCAGACCAGAGAGCCCCACCGCTCGGGTCTGGCGCACTCGACACGTCTCGCAAGCCGGTGCGATGTTCGGCATTATTGGAAGTTTTCGTGGGTTGCGCGTTTGCCGCGAGGAGCCTTGTTTGAGGATAGAGGAGGGAAGTGCGCGGGATCGTACGACCGCGTCGTTTCTGACTTATCTGCGGTGCGAGGTTGCGGGCCACTCGTTGGGGGGAAGGCTACTTTATACTCACCGTTTACTGCGCCAAGAGGCGTAGGGTCCCGCTGCTGCGGGTGGGAGATTGGGTTTCGGAGCTGAGGCAGGGGTCGTGGCTGGGGAGGTTTACGCAAGGTGTGGAGTTGGGGGGTTTGAGGTAGGACGAATGACGAGGGTTCTTGCGGAAGATGGTGGAGGCTATCTACGATCGGACGCTATGGGAGGAGGGTTGACCTTGACGTTATCGTCCGGATGACTGCACTAGCAGCGTTATAAGATCCGTACGATGTGGCGCGTGGATGGGCGATAGGACAGGAAACAATGGAGGCTTTCACATGCGTGGCTTTATTCCCACTGGTCTAGTCTGAGTACAGAGGAGGCTCACCACGGGTGGAAGATTCCTCCGCACCCACCCGTCAGTATCCCCGCACCCGCCGTTTCCTTCGCTCATCCTTCTAACGCTTTTCCGCCCTGGCATACTTCGACCGGATCCGCTCCGCCATTCTGCACTTTCCCCTCGAAACGGAACACGACCGAAACTCAAAATCTCGAAGCGGAAAATTGTGGAGAAGCCCCAATTCAGCGCCTCTTTACGGCGCAGCAAGCAGCCTTCAGTCGTACAGCTGCAACTGCACTCCTGTATATCATGCCGGCAATAATGAGGATGCAGCACTTGCAGCGGGAGGCCGTATATGCGGCCAATGCTGCACGTTATGGCACACACTTACGAGGCCCCAACTGAGCGCTTGGCGTACAGTACGATGCCGAGGTCCTTGTACGTGCGTAAGTTCTATATGGCTGTGCTGTATAGTTGTATGTGTAGCATCTTCTGGACCTAGCCCCATCGGTGTGACGTCTGGGCAGTGGGCTCGCAGATGGTTGCGTGGCATTTCGTGGGCAGTGTGGCTGATGCGACGCACGCTGGCCTTTTAGGTCGGATTGGGCGCGGAGCTGGGGAGTCCGAGGGTTTCTGGTATAGCAGCTTTGTATGCGCGAGAGGTGCATGTGGCAGGTGTAGAGAGAGAGGCACAGCGAAGAGCGAGGGGAATTTCTTATCCGGTCTCGGACTCGCACTTGGGAGATGCTGCTGCACTGGCTAGTGTGCGGCTGTTTATAGAGTTGGCCAATGAGCGATTCAGCCTGCAGAATTTGTTCGAGGAAGCCAATGGGCTGGGATGTTCATGGCAAATTTGGCTAATGCTGTGCTGATGTCGACCCCAGTCTTCTCTTTTGCCGTGGAGGAAAGTGTAGCCGGTGGGAAGGCACTGCTCAAGATGAATAAGGCTCGGTAATCGATATGTTTTTCGACAATGCTCTTTTGACAGGCCTGGCTAGAGACCGTTAGACTGACAGGGACACCCGCCCAAGACACCATTCTTCCTTTCAGAGGATTGGCAGTCCAGTCTGATGGAAAGCCCACATCTTCGAATATACACCCAATTTGACACTTTGAGCGTGATTACTCGGCGTTAAACTCCTTTTTAGAAGTTCGACAGGTAAATTTTTTTGGTTGAGTCTTCTCACACGGGACAGATGCTGTTCGTATCCAGGTTGCGATGATACCGTAGATGATGAACGTGCAACTTGTATCGACGGAAGAAAGAAAAGCCGACTTCTCCTCTCGGGTGAGCAGTGAAAGAAGCATACTCCAGGGCACTTGCTGATCTTCCCAATCCTGTGGACATCCCATTGTTGGCCAGCGACGAAAGTGCTAAGAGCTGGAGATCATGAAAGTGATCAGATATTTCTGGCTTCTCATCATTGCTCAGTCATATACGCAGCGTTAATGCCACCACTCCACGTTATAACGCAATGAGAATAACTTCATGATGGGTAGGAGAGAGGCCATAGAACGTTGCGGCAGGTTGGGCTCCGGGCACGCAACACGGCTTTCGTTCACTGTACCTCGTGCCAGGCGAAACTTTAGTGGCTCGAGCCAAAGGGCGGTAGTGTCCTTTAGGATGGAAGTTCTTCGACGACGTTGAGTGTTGAAACGGAGTGCCTAAATTTGGCAGGGACGGCCCCAATCGATGGATCACGTGCCTTCGGCCCGAGCCCACGCTAGCGGTGCTGAGCCGCACTACGCGCCCAACGTTCACAGCCTCAACATACCTGTTGATTCTAAGCAGGCTCCAAGAGACTTCACCGCCGTCGATCCAGTCAGTATCAAGGCGATCAGATGCTAATTTTCCGTACACAATGCCATTCGAGCACGAGCCGCGGCGACGGATCCTCCAAGACGATTTTAGCGCCGACGCGCTCTTTTCGTGGACCAGAAGCGCTGCACTGACCTACCGTTTTTCCCAAGCGCTTGTTTTGCATTAGACCTAGCATCTGATTGCATGAAATGTCCGTCCCAGTTAGAAATCGACGAAAAGGATGGTTCAGCGGCTCCGGGGTTGCAGGATGTGGTTGAGTGCCATGTGCTGTGCCGCAATTGCAATATATCCTGAGTGCTTCAGCATGAACATCCGAGCCGAGAGGTTTTGGGGGTCGCTTTTCGTTTCATAGTTTATAAGGTTTGTGGCGAAGTCTTGATGCTTTCGCATTGCTTCCTCTTTTTCTTCCTTGAATCCTATTATTTCGAGACTTCATTCTACGACGTCGTTGCTACCCGCACGCTTTTGAAATGAGCAGCAATTGAGGACTTTCTTGAAAAGAGAAGGATATTCAAGGTTGAGAGTGGTCTGGAACTGGTTCCCCCTTCGAAAGCCCGCGGTTCAGCGTGTACACGCATCTTCAATGGCGCACAGAAACAGTGCCCCTAGCCCCGTATCTCCGGTACAGGAGACCCCTTATTCGCTCCCTAGATTCCCACCTCTGAATAGCAATGCCCTTAGTAGGCGATCCAGCTCTACAGCCGGCCCAGGAGGTGCACATGCGGCACCAGTGCATGGATCCGACACATCCCCACCCGGTTCTACCCAGAGTACGTTGATTGCGAAGAATGGTCCAAATACGATACTGACGTCTTTCAGACTTACCTTCCGACACCTCTCCGGCAGATTGGATTCCATTTACCTTGCGCTGGTACTTCCTCTTACTCCCGATCGCCGCGAGTATCAGCTTCGTCATTACTATAGCCTTATTGTGCTGGTATTCTCGCCGTCACTACGGTCTCGGAAAGGACGATGGATCATCTGCAATCCTTTTTGGTTGGCGCTTCACCCCAACTCTACTAGCTGTCCTGTACACGCAGATCACCGTCATCCTCTTCGAAGACGTCAAACGAACCGAACCTTTCGCACGCTTAGCGAAGCCTCCTGCTGGAGGGGCCAGCGCGTATGGCACGCTCCTCCAGACTCCTAAGGCATGGTGGGCCATTTTGATCGACATGACGTTCAAGCGGAAAGAGGTCGGCAAGACCGGCTGGAGCCTCATCTGCAGCGCTCTTGTCAACGTCTTGGCTCTCCTGGCTATCTCCCCTTTATCTTCAGCTCTCCTTGCTTCGGAAGAGGTGGTTATTCCCAAAACTCTCCAGTTTTCTAGAATCTCCCCAAAGGATAATGCTCAATTTCCGATGAATGCAACCAGAGAAACCTACTTTCGAACCATGGCCGCTCTTACGCGCAATATCTCAACATCTGCTTGGGCATCGGACACCTCCTTGACTCTCCCATTTTGGCCTAGGTCTGAGGAGCCGCAGTTGGGCCCAGACATATCGTCCACATATGGAGCCTGGAAGGCTGGGACTTCGACCTTCCACTCTGGGTTTGAATGCAAGAACATGACTCTTGAAAGAGCAGAGATCGAGAACCGACCATACGCCGTACGCGACTGGCACGAATTTCTCTATAATGGAACCCAGCCCATGGTAAGATTCGTCTTGACTTCTGAAGATGGGTGCCGGTACGATCTGTCCCTACATCCTTCCGTGGAGCTGGCATATAACGGGGGCGTCAGATGGTCGGACGGTTCGAATTTTATTTCCGTCGATACCAGCCTACTGCAGATTGACCGAATCCAAGCCCGTCCGGAGGTTTCGTCGACGAGTCCATTTGCGCGCTTAAATACTTCTCGGGAATGCAACAATCGCGACATTATCCTGATCAGTACTCCATGGACAGCGCCATTCAATACGTCTTTCGGCGAGACTTTGTTCGCCAATCATACGTATAAGCGCTCACCCGATTTTCGAATGCGCGGATTTCTTTGCGACTCTATTTACACGATGTCAAATCAGACCATTGAAGCCTCTACGCAGTTGGGAAAGCAAACCACTCTTCAGAATGCACCTGGTATTACTCAGACTATGGAGAAGCTCGCAAGGACTCTCGTGGACATAGCTGGATTTCAGAACCTAAGTTTGCAGGACACTTGGGGCAAGTTCTTCGATTCACCAAGCACCGCCCACGATGCCGATCCAGGGTTAGGAGAAAAACAAGGTCCGGGTTCCGGGTCAACATTGACCCGGCAAGTGCCTGGGTTCTCAGGGCTGGGCCTTGTTCTTGCATCGCTTTCGAAGTTCAATATGACGACCATACTCGATGATCCTGACCTTCTCGAGCGCGCGGGAAGGGTCAAGAGTCGCTTCTTCGTTGAGACGCTCCGGGAATCTCTCACCTCATCGGATATAGTGCAAACCAGTGCTGTCCAGGGAGAGGTGACGATCGTCGAAGAGAGAGTTATCGTCTTGACCGAAATAGCAGTGGCACTTGCTGTACTCTTCGGAGTATCTCTCACCCAGTTCCTCGCGATATTCTGGTTCTCTCGTCTAGGAAGAAGGCCACTCAATCTACAATCCGACCCCGCTAGCACGGTAGGAATGAGCACCTTGCTTAACCCTCAATTGTCGGGTATATCGACACTCAAAGGCATGCATGCGGCGTCTAAGCATGACCTTTATGGCCTCCTGCGAAACAAGACATTCCACACTTCTCATGGTGTTTTGTATGGAGTTGATGCAAATGCTTCCATGCATTCTGGTAAGTCCCCCCTTTCTGACTTTATCTGCATTCTTGCTGATATCACCTGTGAAGGCGCTAGAACTAAGCACAAGCCGTCACGAGACTGGAGACCCATGGCAATCAACTTGTGGACGCTACTTGCTTTGGCGTGTCTCCTGGCGCTTATTCTCACTGCCGTTCTAATTCTCAACGCATTCTCGATGCGATCGAAGCTGTACCAACGAGCCTTCATATATGAAGCCGATGTTTCAAAGTTCGGTCTGAGCTTTTCCTCCTTTGCGCCCATCTCTATAGCACCTACCGTCATCAGTATCATCGTCGGATTGTGGTGGGATCAGCTGGACATGGCATTCCGTATCCTCCAGCCGTATATCGCAATGTCCCGAGCTCCAACGCCAGTGCGTTCAGGAGCAGGTCTAACGTATCGATCCAAATCTTGGTTTGGCGCAGCCTTGAAAGCAGCGAAACATCGACACTGGCTCTTATTCGCGCTCGCTATCGGTAGTACCCTCTGCCAGGTCCTCACGGTGTCGATGTCGGCACTCTTCGAAAGACAACCCTATGACGTCGTGCAAGAGATTCCGATTCAAAGAAGTCTAGACGTTCGCCAAGTTCCTATCATTACGGAAATTGAGACGTCTTTCGAAACCCGTCCGAAGGACCATACTTTCAGAGTTCTCAATCCTTTATACCAAGGTAGGAAGCCCAAATACCAGCCGCCTCCGTTTAAAAAGTCCCTACACTGTTCTAAGGCACTCTGGTACCTCCACAGCTGTGCAAGGTTACGAATCACACTTTTAGAATAACTCAGCTGACAACTGCGTTAGATCAGTCAAGTAACTGGTTATACAGCGCTGCTGTGGCACTGTCACTGAACGGGTCGCAGCTCGCTTGGACCCATGATGAATGGAATTTCGTTCCACTTGACCTTTCGGATCTGCCTGGCCCGGACTCTATCCAATCCGTAGCGGGCATTAACAGTCAGAATATTCCGGCCGTTTCGACGAACGTCACGGTTCGGACACCCGCGATCCGAGCCTTGCTTGAATGTAATCCTGTCGATCAGATCGCCAATACGTCGACCTGGCTAGCCGAAGTACCTCTTGATGAGCTACCAGAGAACGCTAACGTGACTGGCCTGAAGGATGGGTACGCATTCAGCCGCATGATGTTCGTGGGGACTCCAGCCTCTACCACGGTCTACGCGAACGAGAACCTCATCCAATGTTGTGCGAACGGCACCAATGAGAATCCTCAAAGATCGGTGATTGGCTATTGGTCACCCTTTCAACCAGTAGATTACGATATCACATCTTCTCCTGCCGGGACACGCTTTCCGTACCCTGATAGACCTTGGCCGTTGTCGTTCGTAACGAAGTGGATAACTGGCGAACCAAGAAGTTTCTACGACCGCTTTCAGGGCACGTATATACTGTACTACGAAAAACCACCCTCCATACAAGCTGCTCACTGTATGCCAGTGATTGACATCGCAGAAGCGGTCGTGACCGTGGATAAAGATACGGGAACGGTGCACTCCTATGAGCTTACGGCAGAACCGAATGCGACAGCTTCAGCCTGGTCTGAAGTCTTCGTACGACATGACATCTCCGGTTCGCAAAGTCATTACAACCAAAACTACACCGGCGAATTGAACATCACGACCTCTTTCGGCGTGCTTTTCCTCGATGCAATCTTTGGAGCTTCTGATCGGCGTTCGGAATCTTCGTCGCAGGCTCAGTTGGAACGCGTCGAGGACAACGCTTTTAACCTCCGCGATCAAGAGCATGGAATGAACATGGACCTGATGACATACTCTATGTATGCTCTGGCGAACAAGGACCCTGAAGCACTGCTCAACTATAAGGTCATCGCCGAACATGCAAATCGGACATTCCAAACGTTCTTCCAACATTTCGTCGGCAACAAGTTGTCCTTGAGCAACGGTGGCTGGGCATATCAGAGGATAGATGACAAGAGTATGGACGCGCTCGGACGGCCAGTGAATGAAAACGGCACCGCCATAACTCAGCGCAGCTATCCAACCCTCGACACCAACCAAACCGCTACAGCCTCCGTGTCCAACCGCATTCAGGTCTTGCACCTCAATTCCGTAGCGACCTACCTCTCAGCCGCTATCCTCATCTGGCTGATAGCGACAACGGCGGTTCTCGCGTGCTTGCAACGGAGGTATACGAGCTCGATGCTTCGCAACGTGGAGGTAATAGCGGATGTCTTGGTACTTGTTGCTGGAAGCGATAATTTCCTCAGACTGGTGCAGGAGAGGGGTGTCGCCCTGAAGAAAGACGGAGACATGAAGACGATGCTTGGATGGTTCAAGGGAAGTGACGGCGAAGTGAGATGGGGTGTCGAGGTGGTTGGGGGTAGGAACGCTGTGGAGTGGGTTGATGTCCCGAAGCACCAAGGGCCGGGAATAGAAATGGCTCCTCTATGAGCCCGAAATGAGGATTGTAGGACAGGCTTACTGGTACGTAATAATGCTAACCTTTTTCCTCTCAGCGGGGCATTTGCTTGCGCATACGTAGTCTAGGTGAAAATGCAACCCTGGAGGTGGAGTCTGGCCACGTGATTGAGCCTGCCTCATTCGGCAGCGAGAAAAGTGTCCACCTCAACAAAATGCGCCCAGCATTGACGCCCGTCTCAGAACCCGACAAACCACCAGCCGCCTTCCTCAGCGCCAGCTTTTGGTTCGCCCTTCGCATCCGCTGAGCTGTCTTCGCTCGCCAAAACCTCGCGATTCGGGATGCCACGACAGCGGCGGTGTCAGCCCGTGTGCTTGTGTAGCTGCAACGCGACATCGTCGACCCAAGCCGAAAGCCGCGACTTCGAGGATCGGCAGCGAGGAAAGGAAGCCCCGAAGACGATGCTCATTCGCAGATTTTATTGATTTCATCTTGAATCCGTCTTGAAATCTGCTCTGGGCCAGTCGGCGCGACGCGAAATTACTTGTGGGCACGGTCTCCTCCTGAGTGGCCAAGGCGACATGGCAACGCGGACGGCTCACCACACGCGTCTGGCGGCTTATCGATACCACCGAGACACAGCGGTCATCAATCAGCTCTCAACGCCTGCCGGGCCGTCTCGCGATGACTGCAGGCGACGGTGCCGGGCCTCGACACGTTGCCCCCCTCTCGTGGACGGTTCGGAGACAGAATTCTCTTCCTGCTTGCCACGTCTAAGCGACCAGGGACTGCGAGAGCGAGTGACAGATCAGACGCCCCTTTCCAAGCCTGTCCACAGCGCCAGAGCGCCCGCCTCGGAGCAATTCCAGCCTAGCCAAGGGTGCTCATTTCGGCTTCACTCCTCCAGCACAGAACACACAACAGCAGGAGCCGCCTTTACCGTGCAAGTTCTCTGGTCTGCTGTATGTCTCGGGCGCAAACTCAGCATTCGACTGCCGTGTCGTCATGGTGAAACGGCTTGCCCTCCCGATGGTAGTGCGGTCGAAAAGAAAACTCTGAGCACCAAATCTGCAGGCCAGAGCCACCGCTGACTACCATCATCTTAATCCCGGTCGTAATTTACTCCTATTTTAGAGCTTATCCGGCCTGGGCGGTCTTTATTACGACCAGTCCCGACGAGGCCATCTGCCGATCAGGCACAGCGGTCGTCCGATTGGTCCACCCCTGCTTGGTCTGCCCTGAGCCATGCCTGTTGGGGCCAAACACTTCATCCGTGCAGCTTCTCCGGACCGCCACAACGCCTGGCAAGGTTCCAAACAAACCTGCGCCCTGAGCGGCCATTCGTTCCATGGCAGGCGGGTCACTGACTGGGCGCGGCATGGCTGATACTGGGATGTCGTCTCCCTTATTAAGTTCACATCCCCCAGGCGCCCCCGTTTTCCTTCCCACCACCGCAACAAGCCGGACTTCGTCAGCCTTCGTTATCGCTGGATAGCTTCACTCCTTCAGCTATCGGCAGTCGCTCTTTCAATCGCCATTTCTACGAGTCCAAAGCTTTCTTTATTTGAATCCCATACCGCCTACCATCTATCAGCCGAAATGCAGCTCACTCTCGCCGCCGCGGCGCTCATTGCGACCGCTTCAGCCTCTGCCGTTGCGAACATTCACAAACGTACGGCCAACTTCAATGCCACCTGCGACGATAGCAAGCCCAAGGCCAAGGTTGTCAACCGCTGCTCCTACGCAGTCAATGTTTGGTCGATACAAAAGGAGCTCGGATGCCCTGACGGCGCGGGTCTGACACTGAATCCGGGTGAATTCTACCATGAGAACCTGAGGGACTCCTCTGACGGGACGGGAATCTCCATCAAGCTCTCCAAGTATGAGACTTGCGGCGGCAACGATCTTACCCAGCTGGAGTACTATCTCAACCATGCGACGGACTACCAGGGTAATTACCTTGATATGTCTTTCGTCGATTGCACATCCGGAGACTGCCCCGGCTGGGACGATGGGTTCTACTTCAAGGCCGGCAACCAGGATGGCATGTTCACGTCCGCTGTTGATAACGAGCATTGCCCCATCTTCAGTGTCTACAACTCAGAGGAAGCCGCCAGGGTCTCCTACGTCAACTGGGACGACCGCCAGACCAAGTGGTGCGACCTTGACGCCAGCATGGAGCTCTACCTATGCGGCGGCGAAGCGCCTGGAGAGTCATCTCCCGAGCCCTCTGCTCCTAGCAGCACCGAAGAAGCGGCTCCCAGCAGCACCGAGGTCTACGAGGAGCCGTCCTCCACTGAGGCCGCCGCTACATCAGCCCCCGCATACCAGGACGTTGCCGCTGCCGAAGTCACGCCAGCTCCCGTCCAGCCCGCCAACGTCAAGACCGAGTTTGTCTACACCACCGTGTATGTCAAGGAGAAGAGGCACGCTCACGGCCACCGCCATCAACACTTCCGCGCATAAATTAGCCCATCACCTGTATATCGTTACCGACATGATTTGGCATATTCGGTGTTGGGCAAGCGGTTCCGTCGCAATGCGCATGCCGGAGTTCAAGATACCACATTTGAAGGAAGTAGGGGGAAGAAGACGAGGAATATACCATTCCAACATGTAATGACGGTGTAGTCAGCGTCGCAGGCAATTCACTTCCATTCTACCATATCTTTATCGACGCGCACCCGTCTTGCATTGTGTTAACGTTTCGCTTTGCTATCTTCGACCTTCCGCGCCTTCTCCTCGATTTCGGCATCACCACGAATAGCGACAGGGGGCGGGTCTCACGGCGGTGTTTTCTGGTCACATATTCTCACGATGTCACGATATACCACCTCAACCCCATTGGCGTGCTGGAACATATTTTTTCCCTTTTGTTTGCTTCATGGAACGCGTATGGATATACGTCTCCTTCCTCTTTTGAGAATGGACGGCGGGGGGAGGCTGAGCATATATCAGGTCGTCCGCGCTTGGAGAAAAAGTACAGAGTTTATTGTCTAGTCATTATTCTTTCCTTGAAAATAGACTCATTTCAAAAGATGAAGCACTTCTTGGTTCCCTTGGTGCATTGTGACCTGAAGGTTCGAATTGGCTTTCCCCCTAATTTCGCGTGCAACATGCGCGCGTGGCTTTGGCGAGTGAGCACTTTTAGGGCCCACGCTTTGCCCAAACCCCCTATTTAACCGCGCAACCTCCATGCGGAGGGTGTGTGGTGTCGCACGCTTGCTAAACTTACGCCTAAGATTCGTGTGACTGAAATTGCTTCACGAGTTGTTGCTAAACCCCGTTTTCATTGAACCCCAATCGTGCACCCCAGGAGGCTGGACGTTGAATCAACCTCAAGATGCGAAACACGGCCGGGCCAACAGAACGGAAAAGCAGAGCTTAATCGTCCCTCCCGCTGCGTCCTCGCCGCAGCGCGACGCGCCGACACGCGAGAAGGCACAGCAACAGCACAAACCCAACTTGCGGCCAACATGGCCGGCCGTCGGAAATTGCGAACACTGACGCTGACATGGTGGTTGACGAGGTGACCCGAAAGATGCGAAATTCAAACAATAAATCGGGCTTGGGAGCTAAGCTTTGTTCATCGTGTTGATCTCCAGAGTTGGGGTTGAGAGCTGGAGATCGTCGTTGCTCATCTTGCGCGCTTTTTGGGTAGCCGGAATGAGGATGAAAGGGGTCCGCAAAAGGAGGACCGGCGAGATGGATGGATGTAGTAAGATGTTTCTATTTTCTTTTTTTGCGCAAGAGGAAGGTGGTTCCTTTGCGATATTCTCTGCACTTCATTCGCATCTGTATTTTCGCGATGGTCGCGGCACGCGAGGAACAGGTGCACGCTGCGCAGATCGCCCGCGGTTCTGCGGCGGCGATCTTCAGGCACACGAGGGAACACGACGAACACCACGTGCTGCGTGGCCTGCGCCTTCTCCCAAAGTCTGTCTTTTCTCTAAATTTTCGCACACTTTTTCGTGCTCAACATCTTCGGCAGTTCACATCGTCTCCAGCCCTGAAACCAACGCATCGGCCTTCCCCGACGCTGCAGCACCCCGCCGAGTCTCTCTCCTACTCGCGCGCGAAGTTCGCTCGAACGCCTTCAACTACCCACCAACAATTGACAGACTCCACAAGTTCGATTGGCAGCGCAGCCGGGCTCCCGACGCCGTCCGAGATTCCTCCGCCAAACAGAAGCCCTGGTGTTGTAAATCTCTTCACGTAGAGCGCAGTAGTATGCACACCGCTCGAGTCTACCTGACAAAGCCTTTTCGATACACGAAAGCAGAATACCGATACCGACAGTCGGAAAGTCTAGACGTGCGTTTTGCATGTGCATTGCATCCAACAAGTTTCTTTTCCTCTCCTCCCCCACTTGCCGGACCGGACAATCGTGGCACGCATCGTGAATGGTGCAACGGCACGGGATATGTTGAGTTGTAGGGACAGGACCTGCAGCTTACAGTAGCCTTAGCCTTAGGTATCGATAAGGGACGCGCAAGCTCTTCTCTCGGCATGCGCTGCTGCTATTCGCTGCTGCCCGGTTTCTGGTCGTGAAGGAATATATGTGCTGACGGCTGGGCTGGCAACGACGTGGCATGCGGTCTATGGAGTCAGACTCGCCGTCGTCGCTACTGTTCGGACTGTCGGACGTCCTGGTGAGTCCCGGTATGTGGTACCTACTAGGGCGATAAGAGAGGCTGCGTTACAGGTCCTGTAGCCGTAGGGCCGAGATTGTGGTTGCGAGATCGAGGTGCCGTTTTGGCTGAATGCGGTAATCCATGATGCCTGTGATGAATATCTCGACGACCCGACATTACTACCAGAACGCTTATCGATATGCCTCACGGCCGAAAGTTAGGTGACTCGGTATCATGGATCTATTTTTGCGCAATCAGATCAGCGAGAAGATGTACCGGTATATAGAGGTTCGAAGATTGATGGGAGCGACGCCATGTTACACTGGCATATTACGGTTCCATATGCTAGACTATGCTGTTTTATGTGGGTTCGGTGTCATGGAACGTCTTGCTAGAACTTTCCAGATCGATCATCGGTCTGATCACCAATGTCGCAATTCGATCGCCGAGCGTGAAACAGCGATGATCCGGTACGGGTCGACGCCGGCGAGGGCATCGTGACGATCATCTCCACATAGATTCCCTGGGTATAAACACTACAAACTACGAACTAGATACTAGGTGTAACCATTCCCAATGCCGATAGGTAAGCCAGAGTATCCTAAGAATCCAGCTAGTGGTGGTGGTATAGAACATGCAGAAATCCAAACATTCCGCGTTCGTCTCTCGTCCAAGCGTGCCTCCTTTGCATTAAACTAGCCCAGTGATTCGGATAACCTCATAACAATCCCGCTCTTTCAATATCGTTAGCTATGAACCTCACGGCTTCTTCCTGAAGGCCTTTCGAGTCGTGTTCGCTGTGATCTTCCAAAGATGATAACTCAAGTCGTTTAGCTCTGAAAACCAGAATTCTCCCTACCCGTTTCTCCCGCGACTCTTTTCGTTACGTTTCCTCCTCCTATCTCCCCGTCTGCGGCGGCGGCGGCGGCGGCGAATACGCTACATAATTCTGCTGCGGTTGCTGTTGCCCCGGTTGCTGCCATGATGGAACGTACTGCGCCATATTCTGATGCTGTTGCTGCGACGAATCCAACTCCGCTGAAAACGGTCTCTCACTCACACCCACGCCCGACTGCTTATTCACGCCCCCGTTATCCACCATACCTGCCTGCATAATTTGTGGTGGTGGGCTCTGTGACGGAGGGCTGGTGGGAGGCTGGTTATTATACACTTGTTGGTTTTGAGAATTCCACTGCTGTGCAGGCGGCGGTGATCCGTAGGGGCTTTGGGGTGGTGGTTGTGGGGAATGCGAGCCTTGCGTCGTAGGTGATTGAGGGGGTTGGGGAATCCAGCTGTTGTGTGAGGCGACGCCGTAGGGCACCATGTTCGCTTGTTTTTGCGCCACTTGCGGGTTGTAGTATTCCGCGGATGGTGCTGGGGGAGGTGGATTTGGGCTGCCGACGTAGCCTTGTGGTGGGTAGGGTCCTCCTGGTGCTTGTTGTTGCATTGAAGGTTGTGGCTGCTGCGGTGATGTCTGGTTCTTCTTACGTCTTGCAAGGAGGAACCTATAATTGTAGAGTACACATCAGCAAATGCATCATATCAGAGAGAAGAGTGGGAAACACCCCGGCATGTCTGAACAGTCTCCACTTGCAAGAGGCCTTCTGGAGCGACTTTCTACGGCCAAACAAAGTTGTGACATGCTAGTATGTGCACCGTGGGCCACGTACCAGAGAAGCGCTCCGAGTAATGCCAGCCCAGCTACAGGACCGACCACAGCGCCCGCAATCCATGCCTTGCTTTTCTCCTTCTTGGGCTCCGCGGTGCCGATGGGAAACGGGGAAGCTGAAGTAGACGTCGTCGTCCGGACAGTCGTTGACGGACTAGTGGTTGAGGATTCTTCTGCGATTGTGAATAGTAAGCATAGGAGCGTATCAACCGGGATTGGCGCGCTCCTTTACCTGATGATGTAGTCGACTCCTCTGGCTTCTGACGATAATAAGACCAATTCAACGAACTAACACCGCAGAAGATGTTTGTTTTTGGGTCCGGATCATTCGTATTCTCATACATAAATCCAGTATTGCAGATCGAGAAGGAATAGTCGGCGGGATCGGTATACACCTCGGAACTAAGCGGTCGCAACAGTTAGCTCTCCGAGCTCCCACCAATTCTGCGCCTCCGAACCATCCTGGCGAGATCATTTGCGAAGGAAGGAACATACCACGCGTAGGTTCCCCGACTGACAGTTCCCGTCGCAAACGAATAAATCAAGCTCCCCCCGATGCATCCTATAGGCCCGTTACAGGACGCAAGGCTCGTCGCACAACACCTCCAGTCGTCATTGTCGGAATAGAAGGTACCGCCATAGTCACAGGTGCGCTGCGTCCACTCTCCACTCCATGAAATCCATCCTATGTACCGAACATCATCCTGCTTCTTGAACAAGAGCTCATGGGGTATCTGAGGCGGCGCGGTGATGGTAGGATCCGCGATCGAAGGAGTGGCCACAAGCGGCTCCGCAAGGCTGAAGAATGCGAGCAACGCGAAGCTCGCCAAATACGACGCGCGCATTGTAGGCGTAATTGGCGACTTGTTTCGTAGAGAAGATCACCCTTTGAAGCACTTCCGGCGCCGCGAAACACAAGCAGGGAGACAGCCAGGCGATCAAAAGCGAAGCTGGAGAGATCCACGACGACAACAAGGTCCCAGAGCTATTATTAAGGATCTACCCACCTCCCGGTACGATATTCACGAGGTTGCGGCACGAAAGTACAGCCCCCAACGCCCAGGAGACCCATAACGAAAAGGCAGAAGGTCGTCCACGAGATCTCTGGTTCCTCAAATCAACGTGTGAGCCAAGGCGGCGCTTTACTGATCCAGTCTTGGTGTCTCGTGTTTTGTTCGAAAGGTTCACGAATACGAGGCTGATGTGGCACAGTTAGCCGCCTGGAAAAGGAAATGCGTGATGGTCGAAGTGGGGCTTTCCGGGTTCTGGTGTGGTGGTACGAGCCGGCGGTGTGGCTTTGAGGGCCAAGAAATGAAGCCCTACGGGACGAGCCGTTGAACAATCGATGCTAATGCTTCAGATGATGATATATATCGGCATCATTGACGTGTAGAGAAACACTTGCGGGAAAACCCTGACATCTTCGCGACGTTGTCTGGAGCCCTTTAGCTGTGATTGCAGTGAAGCTCGCGTCGTGCTCGCGGGAGGCTAAAATCCTCCATTGGTCTTTGTAGAGTTCTCTCCGACCCTCGTGTCTCGGGCTGCAGACATTGAGGCCGTTACAAGTCCGTATCGGCCTGCGTGTCCATACAAGATAGTGTACCCAGCGGCTCCGGTGCTCCATCCTTCACTTACCAGTTATGTCGATGCACACCATGGCAGGAGGGACTGAATCCGCAGTAGCGATAACTGTCCTCGTGATTTTCTTCTCTTTCACTACCCTACATTGCAATGAAGATCGCGGTCTTGCTTTGGCGTAGCAGCATTCTTGGATTGTAAGGTCATCATCGATCCGGGAGGCAAGTGAAAGCTCATGTTTTCTTACCCACGTAGTACTGTGGATGAATGCCTCTGCAAGGAGTTGCCGCAGGACTTCCTGTCACCAACCTTAATCTGGTGCTTGTTGTGACGACGCTCGAAATCCCAGCAGCGCATGATTGTTTCGTCAGCCATTCATTTCATCCGAATTTCACCGTGGTTTGCGAGGGTACTCCGGGCGCATGTCTACGTGGAACGGTAGCAAGTCGAAACAATGGACAACGCTGGGTATTTAGGCCGAGTGCTTCTCTTCTCCGCCCACCTATCCCTCAGAGTGTTGTTCTTTCCATTCTTCGATTGTAGGAACGATTGCGACGGCAGTAGCCCAATGTGTGTCATGGCTGATGCTGACCTCGCACAATTGCCCATCTATAGCGTCGATATCGAAAAGCACTCCCTGATTACTATCCTGCGCTTCCCCTGTCTCCCGGAGCTCGGTCGGTTGGTCAGGTAAACGTTCACGAAGGATGAGTCCCTGCGGTCGTCGAGTCTCAATGGTAAAGCCACGATTAGAAGCGACGGGGAGGATTATGATAGAATGGAGGCCATTCGACGAGCCTAGGTGCTCACAAGCTTTGCGACAAGCTTCCTTTGCGGCCCATCTATCGCAAGTTAACTTCGGCAATCACGCAATTGGAAGATACAGGGCTCCTACCGCCCTGCCAGAAACGGCGCGACCGCGTGTAACTCGCTCAAAACATTGTCGGTGTCCTTGTATCGCTCCCAGAAGTACTGCCGTTCAGGCCATGTGAGCAACCTGGCGAGAAAGCGATGAAGATGCCAGCCTTTGCGCTGCGGAAAGTGGCGAGAAGGTGCCGTCATAAGCTTTTGCACGCGCGCAATACTACAGATATCGGTGCCCACACGCAGGGCAAAAGGAAACGGCCGTGGAGGCATGTCCAGGAGGATGAGGTGGAGGTGGAGGGTGCGAGCTCAAGCTTAAAGCTTAGATTAGCAAATCAAACGCCAGGTCTTGGCACGTACCACACTCGACCGTCGCAGGGACAAAGCGCCAAAACGCAAGCGTCTACAAGGTAGGAGTCAGAGCCAAAAGAAAAGATCTTAAACACAATTTTTAACCGGCAAAAAATTGTGCCAAAAAAAGGACGACGCCGACCAGATTCGAACTGGCGCTCCCGAAGGAACAAGATTTCTAGTCTTGCGCGATAACCACTCCGCCACGGCGCCCTAGAAGTACGTGTTGTCCTTTTCGATATATAAATTTTGGGCAGCATTCTCTCCTATATACTAAGCCAATCTTCGCCCCACCCGCCCAACAGCGGCCCCAAACATAGCCTCAGGCACCGGGCCAAGGACAAATACGGCCGCGCGATCTACTGCTACTTTCGAGCGTCGATCTTCCAAGGGTTACCTGCCCGCTCACGCAGACTTCCTCAACCTATCACTCATCACATCTATCTTTATCTTCCCTGTACTACGCGCCACATCGCTATCCAGACAAAACCGTGGTACGCATCTGACGGGCAAGCCGTGGCCCTCCGGAGCCCCATCGCATGCATCCTCAGCCCGGAGGACTTCTCTCCGTCACCCCGCGGCTCTGGTCGTTCGCATCCATCATCCCGCGTAGCCCTGCAGAGCCTTTATCGCAACCAACACTGCGACCGCCTACCCTAGTACACTCGTGGCTTCACAACACGATGCAAGACCCATACTCTTCGGACTTCGAGCTGAAGCTCCCAGGCCCGCACCCCGACGAGCGCACCCAATGGTCCTACCCCGGTCGCTCCGTCTTACTCCCCCATTGGCTCGCTTTGCCTCTTGTAGATATTAGCTCACCGAGGTGGTGTACAACAATAGTGTGCTGACCGCAGCCCACTTGCAGGCCCAGGCAGCACGTCTGACTGAAATGGTCGGAATCAGCCTCTTAGCAGTGTGTAGATATGCACGCTCCGGTCTGGGACAGGCAAGTAGGCGTGCGGGAGCCAGCCACTGCGGGCTTTTGCGACTGGGGATGCAGGGCTGGAAGCCCGACGCCGCGGTGCGACGCGTGCGGGTGTGCGAGTCCGGTCGATGTCATTGTCAGAGAATGCCGACACATATAATCGCAGAGGTGCCGCACGGCGTGCAGCGTAGCTGTGAGGCAAATGTCCGGTCAGAGCGACTTCCGCGTGGCCTGTACATGTCCGACTTTTATCAAGCGTTCTTCTCCCGTCTGAAGACACTTAGCGCCGTCGCCGTCGTGGTCTCCGATTTAAGCAGCACAGAATTTCTCACAGTCTCATGCCCCAACTACCGTCGCCCCGCCTGCCGGGCGTGAACGTCCTACGGCCAGAAGCTACAGGTCCTGAATACACAAGATGGAGACGTGGCGTGAAGAGCGCGTTTGTAGCGAAGGGAACTTGGGCTCATTGCGATGGTAGCTGTCCGATGCCTATGCCAGACGCCGGGCCAAACTTCTTCTCTCCGGTATCCTCCCCGATAAACTCGCAACCGGAGCTATTGGAAGAGAGAAGAGCTTGGGTGAAGAAGGATCGGGATGTCAAGTTGGATATTTTCCTTTCGGTCGCCGACGACATCAAATTGGAAGTCTTCGAGGTGGGACCGCCCCTCCCACCTTCCGCCATGACCGCGAAAGAGATGATGGAGGCATTGGACGCGCGCTTTGAGTCGTTCAAGTTCGAAGAGTACCACCACGTCTTCTGCCATTTTCTGAATCTTCATATCGACCAGTACTCCAACATCGACGACTTCAACGCCGAGTTCCTGGCTACGTTGGAAGACCTGCTTGACCATGGCCACCCAATGTCAAACGCCCAAGCCTGCAGCGCCTACTTCTCCAAGCTGCGCTGCACCCAGAATCCATGGGTAACGAAGCAATTGAAAGCCTGGGATGCTCAAGACCCCGAGCCCCAGCTAGAGGAGCTCATGAAACAATCTCCGCCCTGGTCGATTATCCGCCCGCTAATAACGTCCTCTAAACCCCCTTCTCATCAATCGTTTCCGGAGTCAATTCCAGAGGAGACTCTGGAGGACACGCCCCCACAATCAGACGGGGAAGAGGCGCCATCGGAGCACTCAGAAGTCGCAACCGTATCCTCCAAATCCTCACACTCCCGCCACTCCTCGCGCTCAACGCAAAAGTCGCAAGAAATCACCGTCCACGCCTCTTACGAAGACCTCACCGAGCTCGAAGCGTTCCCTAATGTGCCAGTCAGCATCCTTCCACCAACAGTCCACAAGCGCACATCCAGCCTGTCCAAGCTTTCTCTGCAATCCCTTCCACCACCGATCAACAGGCCTCTGCCGCCTCTCCCACCAGACGCAGACAAGAGCTCAGCCACCAACTCACGATCCGTGTCTCCCAATCCCTCCGCAATACAGCACTCAAAAGAGTCGTCAAAATCGAGCTTAGAGCTTCCAGCCACGCAACCTCGAAGCCCCAAGCCACCATCACAGCCAACAACCCCGACCCTCCAGGGCCTTGAGCAAATTCACCCGGCGCTCCGCACAACCCCAACACCCTCTCCGGAACCGGCATCAGCGCCAAAGGACATAGACACACACCCCGCACTTCGCATTACACCCTCGCCAACACCATCAGCACAAGCCCCGATTCCCACGGTCCGGCAGCCATCACCAACACCCTCAGCGCAGGCCCCAATTCCAGTCATAACACCCTCTCCATCTCCCGCCCCATCGATCCACGCCCCAACTCCACCCGGCCACATATCCTCCGCCATGCGCCCGCGGACCCCGACTCCCCCACTGTCCTCTTCTGCCTTCGTCTCCTCGCCCAATCTCGCACCCCCACACCTGGACTTCACCCAGCAACGCCCGCAATCGGCGCGCGCGCCCTGCCCTCCAACCGAAGACTTCAGCTCCTGGGTGCAGACACGTCCCCTCCTACGCGTAGAATCCAACAACTCGTCCATCATCAGCCTCCCGCTTCAGGGCACCACAGTGCCAGAGTACAGAGACCAGACGATCACGGAGAGCCCGCCGGTGAAGAAGTTCGATATGAGCAAATTGCGGCTGAGCCATAGCCCGCCGAGGGGGTTGCCGGGACGGTTGAGCGCGGAGGCGAGCGAGGAGGAGAAGAGGAGTCGGAAGAGGAGTTGGAGTATCAAGGCGAGGTTGAGTGCGAGGCATGGGATTAAGGAGATTATTTGATCTCTTGCCTTCAGATCTTGTTTCTTTTTGGAGGTTGGAATGGTGTTTTGGGTGTTCTGGGGATGGTAATGTGTTCTACGGCCATTTCTGCCTCTTTCCTCTTTTCTCCACACACTCTCGCTCAGCCGCTTTTCTTTGTATATCCCATTTCATTTCGTTCCATTCCGCGCCCACCCAGCGACGGAGTTACCACGGCGTCTGTCCCTTACTCTACTTCCCCAGTCCATATTCCCACTCTCCTTCCTCCCAACATTTCTTTTCTTAGGCGCCGCCGCACCTGCAACCCCGCCATGCGCACGCAATATACCCGAAACGTCTTCCCTCATCTTTTGTACATACAAACTGCTTCCCCCACCCCAGCTGCAAGCCCGGACAAGGCACAACGCAAACTATCTAATTCCCTGTACATACATACATGCATACATACATACGCACCCCTACCTACCCGCCGCACGAGAGAGGCCCCGTACATATCTTACCCTACCAATTATCTACCGTATGTGGTACGACCAATAATGAATATACATCAAACAAGAATCTCACCACTCTTACTTGCCGTGACGTCCAAGGTTGACATGACAATCCAGCCCTGAAATTCTAACCCGCAACGCATACCCCATCCGCCCATACGCAACGCCGATCTTGCGAGAGCGAGGCTCGAGGCTCTGCAAGGCTTCCACTCCACAGCTGGGCGCCATAAGCCGTAGCGGTAGCCTCGCAAGCCTCGTCGGACGAACCAAGTCGCGCAACGGCAGAGGGCAGAAAGCGACAGCGCATAAAGCTGACTCTGACTCTGACTCTAAGACAGCATAGCATTTCCTATTGCTGACAATCTCTCGGTTTCGGCCCCCCAAAGCCGATCTTACAAGCTACGTCTATCAGCATGGGGAATCTGAATCTTACGGCAGGCGGCAGTTGCTAGCTCGCAGCCTCCACGATCTTAAGCACGGAGTGCCATCTAGCAGCCTCCGCAGTCCCACCTATCAGCCACCCCCAAATCCTTCCCACTAAGTGTACATCCTGAGCCCACGCACGACGTAACAAGCATACCCGCGTTCCTCTCGAGAATCACATAAGCAAGCAGGGATTCGCACAACAGCGGAGATTCTCTACATTCAAGAGTTACCTAATTCTACAATTCTTTTGTAAACCCGTCATAGCCCGAACCCCAAGCCCATCCGGACATCCGTTAAATGTTTTCGTGATCAAGTCGTTGCATGCGGTCTTCGGCGACTGAAACTTGTCGATTCCCGACGCGCAGGAAGACACCAACCCGACGCACCATAGTCACCTGCTCGCTCCTACTAGCGCCCTGTTTCCCGAATCACCTGCGTCCGCATCCCCGAGCCCGCCCGCACCCGTACCTGCAGCAGCAAGTGTGCCGAGGATGTCCAGTTTTACCGCGTCTACTGCGTCTCCCTCACGGCCTTGTCCACGGCCTTGGCGAAGTAATCGATGTTGTGCGTGTTGAGGCCGGCCATGGAGATGCGGCCGTTCTTGGTCATGTAGACGTGCGAGTCCTCGCGCAGCTTCATGACCTGGGTCTCGCTCAGGCCCGTAAAGCTGAACATGCCAATCTGGTCCGTGATGTGGTTCCAGGTGCCGGGCGTGCCCAGCTCCTCAAGCTTGCCACGCAGTGCCTTCCGCATTTCGATGATGCGACCAGACATTGTCCTCAGATCCTCCTCCCACTGTGCGAAGAGCTTAGGGTCGTTCAAGACGAGCGACGCAATGCGCGCACCGTAGGCAGGTGGGTTCGAGATCTCGGAGCGCTGGAGGATGGAGAGCTGCGAGGCTACGCGGGTAACGGTCGATTGCGCATCGGGCGATGGAGAGGTGACAAAGTGGAAGCAGCCTGCGCGCTCGCCGTAAAGCCCGAAGTTCTTCGCGTAGGACTGAGCAATGCACATCTCGAAGTCTTGCTCGAGGAAGTAGCGAATTGCCCAGCCATCTCGCGCCAGGTCACCCGAGGCGAAGCCCTGGTAGGCGGTGTCGAAGAAGGGGAAGTGCTTCTTCGCCCGGACGACCTCTGCGATCTTCTTCCACTGCTCCTGCGTAGGATCCACACCAGTCGGGTTGTGCGCGCAGGCGTGAAGCACGATGATGCTCCCCTCGTCTGCGTTCTGTAGGGTATTGATCATGCCCTCAAAGTCAAGACCGCGGGTCTCCTTCGAGAAGTACGGGTATGTCTGGTTCGGGAGGCCGACGTTGGAGAAGATCTGGAAGTGGTTCGGCCATGTGGGGTTGGAGAAGTAGACGGTGCGCTTCGTGTTCAGCTTATAGAACTTTGCGAGGAACAGAGCACCCAGATGCACAGCACCGGTGCCAGAGATAGTCTGCAAGCTGGTGACCTATACGTTTGTGTGAGCCTGAGTCATGAACAATGGTGGGGGACCTTGCGTACTCGCTTCTCCTTGATGGCGGGGCTGTCCCCTCCCAGGATGAGCTTCTGCGAGGCCGCCGTAAAGTCTGCCAGACCGGCGATTGGCAGATACTCGTGGTTCAGGTTGGGGTCATTGCGGAGTCTGTCGTCGGCCTAGCGTCCACATCGTCAGCATGTTTGCGGGCTCAATTGCTAAGAGGAAAAAGCCCTCGAGGCTCGAGATAGGTCGCACTTACCATCTTGACCACGGGCAAGACCCATGGCTTCGCATTGTCGTCTCTGTAAGCTCCAATGCCCAGGTCGACTTTCTTCGGGTCTGTGTCCCGGCGGAACGCAGCCATCAACCCAAACAGCGGGTCTTCTGGCGCCTGGGGGACGACATCGGCCTGAAACGCGGTGGCAGCCATTGGTGCAATGTGCAGAGAAACCTGAGAGAGCCGGGACTGAGGAGAGGTATTTGAGGAGTCAGAGGGGGGTTTCTGGAAAGGTGACTCGGGCATGATCGAAGCTCGGAATAATACGTCTCACCGCCTGAGCGGGAAGCCACCACCGCCTCACCAAGCCGCACTAACCCCGCAAGGTGCGCAGTGGGAGCCCGGGGCGATGCGCGAGTTTCCGACGCAAAAGTGGAGTGATGATGGAGCAACGGGATGCGGACGAGTGGGCGATGCTGGTACACACCAGCTTGAAGCTGCGGAGCGCTTTCTTTAAGGTTTCCAAGGTTGCGGCTCCGTCATCAGCTTCCCGGGGGTTCTGGGGCAAGCCGAGGCACTCCCGAGGTCAGGGTCCTGCGCGATGGTGATGTCAACAGTCTGAGCGGTCTCTCACAGGCAGCGGCATACAAGAAGAGGGCTGTTGGGCTGGGCTGAGGATGCCGCATGCCGGCAATTAGGCTCGCTACCTGCCACGAGGCTTTCATTTCTTCTGCCAGATTGGGCCATCATATTCGAGGCAAAAAAGAATATGCAGAACTTGTCGGATCATGATAGCACCGTCTTCACATGTTGCATGTCGGACATCTGCTGACCGCGCATGCGAGTGCAGCTGTCATTGTCCTCCGTCATATGAACAGGTCCCAGAGGACCAGCGTCGCGCAGAAGACGCAGGTTGACCAGAACACCATCTGCGCAGTGCTCTTCCTCTCCGTCGCCTTCTTCAATTCCTTGTTCCCAGTCCCGACATTCTCCGCCGTCGAAAATGAGTCCACTACGAGCTGGTCGATGTGTTCGGATTGCACGCTGAGATTGGTTGCGAGTGTAGTGTGCAACTCGGAAATCTCGAGCAGTGACTTTTCCGCAGTGCTGAGTTTGATGTCAGTCGCCTGAGGCTACCGCGAAAGGAGCATTGTGCATACCGAACTTGATCAAGATGGTCCTCGTATTGCTTTAGCAGATCCTGGTTTTCCTGCGCAAATAGCTGAAGTTGTTCCGGATCCAGCTGCTGCTCCACTGCAACCGCGTCGGCTTCTTGCATCTGCGCTGTCTTTCCGCGATAGTCGGGCGCCGCATTGTGTGCCCCGTTCATACCGCTGTAATCCTCCGTGGTAGGCATAGTCCCTCTCGCCTTGTATAACACACTCTTGCTCTTCTCGACCTCTCGCGTGAGCCTGATCTCCATCATGGAACTCTGGAAGCGGCCACATTCTTCCAGCGCCCGTTGCAGGTACCATATTATGCTCTCCCTGTGCGCCTTGATCGTGTTCGCCTTAGCTTCCTCGAGTTCCTCGTCGGGGCTTTTCGCAGTTATTGCGCCGCCTGCTGCCCACCGTCCCAGCGCACCCAAGCCTTTCCTCGCGCGCTTCTTCAATGCAACTGCATTTTGGGCAGCCTGTCGCACCTGCTCCGTCTCCTGCAGCCCGCTGATAGCATGATTAAGCTCTCGGAGTAACTGCTTCGCCGAGGCGTCTATTTCGGTCCGCTGGGCATCGGTGAGGTACTTCGTGTCCTTCTCTACAGGGAGTAGGCCGTTCGCGTTGTTCGTGCGCGTGAGCTGTTTCCGCCGCGTAGGATGCGCGGTGGAGAGGTAGCTTTGCCGTATTGATCTCAGGTATGCGTGGAGCTCCGCAATGTGCGCTCGCTGCGGTGGTTAGCTGTCAAGTTGTGAGCCCCGGCCGGCAACGTGTCCTACAATGCGATATGCTTCCTTCAGGAACTCGTCCAGATCCTGCAGGCGAAAAGTATACGGTTCTACTGGCCGCGAATCGTGCGCGGCCAGGACCTGGTTGAAGACGGGTGTTATGTCCATGTCGTGGTTGCTGCGTCTGCTCGGCCTGCTGGCATCAAAAGCTAGCCATGACGATGCTTCCGCGGGGATCATCGGCTCGCTTAACTGACCAATGGATGACGAGTCGCCTCATCACCGCCGAAGCCTCATGCTTCACCACTTCGCCTCTTCACTTCATTCCTCTCGCAAGCCTTCTGCCGGATCTTTGTGCACTACTCAGACCGCAATTGGAAATAGTTACCTAGCTGACGAATCCAAGCCGGCTGCTTCTTCCTGGGGGGCTTTCAGCGGTTAACCTGCACGGATATCACCTTGCGTTATTCGACCCTGTCCTACTAGTCACAGAAGAGGTGTTGGCCCGTCGGACAAAAGCCGCCCGATGGATCGCATTTCGGCCTCGCGTTATCGAAAAGGGCGGCACCGTTGCATGCGAAAGCGGCATGAAGCCATTGTGAGCCAATCGCGAACAACGAGATGAGCACCGTCGGACAACCTCGCCCAAGATTGACTGTCGCGTGCCGGGGTATACATCATGGCTCGGCAACTTGCACCTATCTCCTCTTCATTATCGCTTGGGTATAACATGTCTATTTGCCTCAATGCCTCATCGACCCATACCATGACAACAGCAGTTTTCTTTCAGACATTCCGTGGTCATGATCGATGATGATAAGTCACTAGAACTTACCAATGGTGGAGAAGTGGGGAAGGATGAACTTGAGGATGTTGAAAGAGAAGAGACCACAAAAGCGGTGGAAGTGATATCAGCCCAAAATAAAGAGAAGGAACAGCTTGAAGAAGCTCCCGCTCCCTCTTCGAAATCGTCATCAATCAACGAGAACGAGGATGAGCATCGCCAGGACCTCGAAGCTCTATCCGCTGTTCAATCCAATTCGCCGCCGTACTCCGTCTTCAGCCGGAGAAAGAAGCACTTCATCGTCTTCCTCGCGGCATGGGGTGGTTTCTTTTCGCCTCTCTCAGCCAACATCTACTTTCCCGCCCTGACGACACTGACGCGCGATTTCAAAGTGTCCAGTACGCTGATGAACTTGACGCTCACGTCGTATATGATTTTCCAAGGACTGGCACCTACTATCTTTGGCGACCTGGCCGATATGGCGTGAGTACTATCCAAAGCCACATGAACACACACTAACTAAAGCCAACTCCCAGCGGAAGGAGACCTGCATACGCTATCGGCTTCATTATTTATATAGGTGCCAATGTGGGTCTTGCTCTCCAGAGCTCCTATGCTGCATTATTCATCCTGCGATGTGTACAAAGTTCGGGGAGCAGCGCCACTATTGCCCTGGGAAACGGAGTAGTAGCAGACATAGCGACGAGCGCAGAGCGTGGCATGTGGATGGGCTATGTCACCAGCGTAAGATTGCAATTACATTCCGGTGCATAACCAGCGCTGACTAGATCACAGGGACCGATGATCGCTCCAGCAATAGCTCCGGTCATTGGAGGACTGCTTTCCGAATTTTTAGGATGGAGAGCTATATTCTGGTTCTTAGTAATTATGACCGCAGCCTATCTGATACCCTTTCTCATTGCCTTCCCCGAAACCGGCCGGGGCGTTGTTGGCAACGGCAGCGTGCCACCCCAGGGATGGAATATGTCCCTCCTCAACTACCTCGAAGTACGTCGGACTCGGCAGGCAGGGATGGAACTTACAAGAGCTACTTCACGCGAGCAACAGCAGGGATTAGCCAAGAAGCGGAAACTCCGGATACCTAACCCTCTTGGTACCTTGCGCGTTATCAAGCAGAAGGATGCAGGGCTGTTGCTGCTCTATAACAGCCTGGTATACACGGCTTTCTACGACGTGATTGCCTCGGCACCATATCTCTTCGCGGAGATCTACGGTTTCAACGACCTGCAAATTGGACTCGCCTTTATACCCTTCGGAGTCGGCGCCCTTGCGGCTCCAATGACAGCAGGGCGGCTGATGGATTGGAACTACCGTCGAGTCGCAAAGAAAGAAGGCTTCCGCATCGATAAGAAAAGGGGCGATGATTTGAAGGACTTTCCACTTGAGAGAGCGCGGTTGCGAGTCGCCGTTCCTATGCTCGTATTTGGCACCGCGGCGGTTCTATGCTATGGTTGGATCCTCGAAGTGGAAACGTCACTTGCCGCTCCTCTAGTCATGCACTTTATCGCCGGACTGTGCTTGACCGGAGCCTTCAATTGCATGAGCGTGATGCTCATCGACTACTATCCCCTCAGCCCGTCGACAGCTACCGCCGCCAATAATCTCGTTCGATGTCTCATGGGCGCAGGGGGAACGGCCATCATCAATATTATGATTGACAGGATGGGCCGAGGCTGGTGCTTCACGTTCATCGCTGCCGTCGTAGCAGCAACGTCGCCTATTCTTTGGGTGCTGTTAAAATGGGGGCCTAAGTGGAGAGAGGAGAGGAGATTGAAGATGGAAGCAGAGAAGGAATGAGGTGTTGGTGGGTGATCCTGACATGACGCTTGCCATAACCTTCAGACTATAGGAACATCCATCCTTCAGGGTGTGACGAACGATAGCCTGGAGTGTGCGACATACTTTTACGACACTTCGGCCTTGTGCGACCACCGCGCACGTTGATCCTTGGGCACGTTGCAGCGGTCTTCACCCCGTACGACGTGACATCGAAAGTTGGCATCGCCTCTCTCCACGAGAATCAAGGTTGACGTCGAGAATAATCAAGAACAGACGGAAGTCCTGGTCCCTGGAGAGTGGTTGACAAGGGCCGCTGATCATGCGGCTTTACTCGGGTGCCTGCACCGGGATCACTATAATTGGACACACGCTTCTGTACGGCCAACGCGGTCGGCAGGATTGTCCTTTGACGCTATCTGAACGCCTTCACATTTTCGATTCACATCACCGCCTTGTGCCCCTTTCTCTTGCCTTTTGTCGCGAAGAATAGACGTGAACAAGGTTATTGGTTGCTGCCCCAAAGGCAAAATGTCAGCTTACCGACAAGCTCCCAATCATGGCTCGCCACCCACAGCGAAATCAGTGCACTAGTCTCCTGACGAACACACATCGTGACCCCGTCCTTTTCCAATAATGTTGCGAGGAGGAAGTGGTACCTGGTGCCTGGGACTTCGGAGGGAGCGGTCTGCGGCTGAAGCTGGAAGACGCGTTTGCGTCAGCCACATCTGAGATCACACCTCGCGCCCTCCGTAACATAAAAGATCACAGCTTCCGCCTTGGGAAAGGGCATCGACAACATACATCCTACTGCGACATCCTTCTGTGTGCACCGCTTCAAGAGTTTACCAGTACTCGTCCACTAGACTGTCTCCATCAATCACGACCTTCGACGGATCACCCAACTCAGCTCCGCACTCCTCCAACCCTCAGATCACGATGCGCTACCTCAAACTTGCCTCTCTCTTACTTCCGGCGGCCTCCCTCGCCGCACCCACATCCCTCTCTGCTCGCCAAGACCCAGCCTGCGCTCCTACCTCCTACGCCATCGCCGACTTCACCTATACGACTGGGCCTTCTTCCAGCTCTCCACACGTCAGCTTCAACTTTCAGTCCTTCTTCAGCAATCCTGCCATCATCAACGATCCCTCTAGCGCGGGCGCAACATGTGATGCGGACGGCGAGTCTGTGGACGCGTTCCCAATGGAGACGGAATGTTCGACTGGACGCGTGAACTTAATGTTCGATCTGAGGGCCCCGGTGGATCAGGCGAACTTCCAGATCATACATACGTGGCATTGTAATGGGTATGTACTATCTCGGTCTCCTTCCAGTCCGCTCCTACAGCCATTCTTGAAGAGGACAGCAGGTTGAATTATCATTTGCTAACAGGTGTTGCAGGCAAACGTGGATGTCCTCAACTCCGCACAAGATCGACCCAGTAAATTGCGATGGCAGCGACGATGGAGCTACTACATGCACGAGCGCGTCGGGGACTTTCGCACCTCAGAACGTGCGCCAGATCTGTTCTACTCCTACTTGCCCTTGAGCATTCCGGTATCTTACCTAAGAGGCGACGGTGCTGCTTGCTACGGAGGGGCTAACCGGTTGTGAGAGCGAGGCCGGTGTTTAGGCAAGGCGAGGAAGTTCTTTCTGAATCTAGGGTTCCCCTTATATTCCTTTTCATGGGCATGTTGCTGGTACGCAACTAAGGCGCAGTGGATTTGAGGCTGCACCATGCATGGGAACTGCATTTCCGGATTGGAGGCGAGGGCGCTCTCTGTAATGCATTCGGAGGCGTGCTTAAGTTGGTTTTCAGGGTCTTTCCTTCATTAGCGGATTTTCTCGTGTTTGGTGCATATACTCTCGGAAGGCACAGGCCTACGTTCTCACTTACGGAATCTTTCCTCACGCTTCTCTACGGACTCTACCCTCTCTGCTTCTCTCAGTCTATAGTGTTTTCACGCCCCATCGCGCTATGTTCGTGCTCTTCACCAGCATCCTCTACCGAAGCATCACTCGTACCGCCCCTGCCTCTCCATCCGTTCGATATAGAGTTATTCCTCTTTTGTGCCGGCGCAGCTCCGGGGGCATCGGCCGTCTGGTTAGGTATTTGGAGATCCGCCCCAGCATTGCTTCCAGATCGTGTGCTTGGTCGTGCGCGGCTCGTCCGAAAGCTGGCACATAGTTTTGCCATAACTTCTTTTTAGTCTCTCCGGACACATGTCCTGTCTGGCTATCTCTTTCGGTTCCGGTGGTCCGCGCGTAAAAGAGTTCAACCGCTGTTTTTCTTCCTGTGGATGCTGCTCATACTATGGTAGCAAGGGGCGTTTGTGACCTGGATTTATGTGCAAGGAGAGTGAAGGTGTTCAAGTCACAGGAGAGGCATGCGGATGCGGATGCTAGGCGCGTTTCTGGCGCATGAGAAGATATGGTGATTATGAAGGAGAGGTTTTAGCTGATCTTATGCGTCGATAGCGCAAGGGCAGAGGAGTTCCCCATGCACAATGTTCGTGCCAGCTTTCAATGGGCAGGATCTGGGGTAGAAACCAGCGGCATGGCATCGTACTTTCGATATTTGAAGACGGCTCAGGAAGCACATCACGGAATGCCCGTTGGAGTTCTAATGCAGGTGTAGCGCGTCAGGTGTTTGGATGACCGGCGGAGGGAGTGGAACGAGACATGAGTTTCCCACTTCTGCTTTTGTCACACCAAGCCAGAACTTTATTTATCGCCATTCGCCATTCGCCATTCGCCATTTTAATAGACTTTTTTAGGTTCAGAGCCGAAACCATAAGAGTTGCTCAAGCCCGTTTGGAAGAGAAGCAAGGAAGGAGCAGTGGAGAGAAGAGGGACATGGGCCTGGCAAGTCCAGTCATCGCCAATATCCACTTGGACTTTTGTGCCGTAGGAATGCGAATCTTTACCAAGGGCGGCCAAAGCAGAGTCCTCGCATGTGTGGAATCGTCGAGCCTGTTTAGTGAGAAGTGTGAAGAACGGTCTTCTCCATGCCGTTTGGCTAAATCCATTTTGCGAAATGCCACAAGAGCGGAGGAACATGATGAATAGTCGTTCTCGCTTTGGAAAACAACAGGGTTCTCCAAGTTCTGTCACTATGGGCCAGTCTGGAAGTGCTGCGCCGAGCGGAGGGACATGCGGTTCCTTGCCTGTTGTTTGAGAAGAAGGTTAGTGAGGCGGGGCTGGAGACGCCGGAGTCCGACATAAGTTGGGTAGTATTGGATTTTGTCGTATTGCGCTGGGACCATGACGTGGATGAACGCATCTTTCGAGGGGTTCCATATGCAGGAAGGACATGAGTGCTTTGCTCGCGCTCTTGTGAAGACGAGAAGAGTGGCTGAGCTTGAGGGAAGGCCCCGGGGTGCCAACATAAATTGTGTTTACCACAGCTTTGAGTGACATACTGAAATATGGAAAGAGGCAGTGGAGGCCAATCATGAAAAACATTTCCTCGCCCTTTGGGGGAAGATGCCGATAAGCAGCCCATGTGCTGCTGAATGTGGTCTTTCGGTACTGCACTGAAGCGAAAAGTTTCAAGATCCAGGAGACTGAGGTAAATGTCTTGGTGTAGATGGATTGAGGAGGAATTTAAGGGTATGAAGACGTGTCCAGACATGCCAGGGATCTCTACCCTATTCGAGCGGAGGCTCTGCTGGATTGGGAGACCATTTGATGTGACGACAAAGTCTTTCGAGAGAGCGACAACGACCACAACAGCCCTATGTGGCGGATATCGTGATCGTTTGACGAGATTGAGCTGCTTTGAACTGTGCAGCACATAGCCACCAAGTATCTCATCTTGTTGTAGTGGCAAAATGCTGCAAGGGGAGGACATGCCGTGTTGGTTGGTGACAATTTGCTAATATGGATTGCGGCGAGGCGGATATTAAAGCGAGTAAGTTCTTCACCATAAGCAGTCACAGTTTCGATTTTGTTGTGGTCAAGTCTGAGGAAGCGGAAGAGACATCATCGGAATAGAGAGCGTATTTCAGAGGCATGATCGATGCATTTCGCGTTCAGAAGAGGCAGGTGGCATATACGCTTCCGACGTCTTGTTTGAGTGGGCTTGCTGCATCGAGAGGTATCGTGTTACCGAATATATATAGGCAATACTTCTAGAAAGTACAAGGTGTTCACCTTTTGCTCCTGAAATATTGTGAATATTGTCCCAAGTGACATGAACGGGAGTAAAGGATCCTCCCATGGGGAAGACTTCGCTGTCTTTTCGTACCTGCTTGTTCCGCAGTCTCGCGAGACGTACGAAGGTTGCGATTATTATTGAAAGTGGAAGGAAAGGTAGATGGACTCCTGAAAAGGCGAGATTGGGGGCGATCAGAAGTGTCGGTTGTGATTGGTAGAGATGGGCTGTAGCCGGGTTCCCGGCATTTCAAGGTGGCCCCCGTCGTTCTGGACTGCCACACAGAGCGAAAGAAGGGCGATATTGGGATGGAGAAGACACAGGTACCCTATGAAATCATATCGCTCGCGTTTGGAGAAGGCACGATCCAAAGAGTACGGAAATATGCATGAGGCGGGGACTGGATTTTATCGGAGCAGAAAGAAAGACGAGCTTCTGGCAGAAGAATCGGACAACAGCCATGACCTGTGAACCGAGAATTTTGGAGACGGCTAGTAGGTTTCCTGGACATGCTATGCGAGGCGGGCTTTTTGGTTTGGTGTATCCGTGAAGCCAAGAGAATGTATAGGTAGAGATACACCATATTTTATCTTCGTCTACAGACAGGGTGGTGGGCATGGAAGGATATGGAAATGTAGATGAGGGATGCGGTATGAATAGAAAACGAGGAACACCCATCAGGCTCTCATTAATCCTGTGAGCGGCAATGAAGCGCCATGAGCTGGTTCGAGGGAGCCCGATTGTAGCACTCTCCTTCCAAGGTTCCCAGGAGGAGTGTGAATGAAGGTCACCAAGGTGTCGACCCATTCTTCTGGAATAGGAGGGGAGTTTGCCGGATAATTGGGCAGGATCCCACGGGCTGGTATCCATCATGCATCGTGAACAGTGTAGATTCAGCTAGTACCTTAGGAATGCAGCCCGGACCTGGCTGCCAACGTATAGCAGCAGCATGCGGCCGGTGGTAGGACTCACGTAAAACTTCTCGCACTCGCCAAGGCCAAGGTTTCGAGCTCTTTTTGGCAAGTGAGGCTATCCACAGGCTACGCGTTAGGCCTAGTTCTGAGGACATAGACTATTACCAACCTAAGAGTGTACCGGGCATCATTTCCGACTTTTGGTGACCAGCGCGCAGCACCGTTCCAAAAGGTAACGAGAATACCTGTGGCATAAACCAGTAAAACGGATGCGCTCAACCTCATGTTGTCGTGCTCGAGGATGCACAGTGTCGGAAACGTGGGGATGTCGACGTCCTTGGGTCAGGCGTTTGGCACAGTGCACGCTAACGTGATTGAGCACTAGCGCTGCCTAGCGTGTTTGTTTCTGTCCCCGCTCTCCTCAAGTGGCTCCACGGTCCATCTTCCACCGCAGTTGCAACGCTCAGGACTTTTATTTGACACAATGTTGCTCATTTCTATAATGCGCTATTACTGTACAAAAGCTCGTTAGAGACGCTCTCGTTAGTCGTTGAAGAAGACATACGTTCGGGCGACCCCAACGATGACCCTCGGTTTCGGGCCCTAGGCAACTTGCGAGACTTTGCAGCCCTCAAATCACTCAAAATATTCAGCGTGGTGCTTCTGGGGGCGCCTCTCTGAATCTATCGTACATGTATTGGGGGCTTGAGCTGGCTGTGGAGGATGAACAGGCGGGATGTACACATCAGCGACTTGCTTGCCATATGTATATCCCTCGAGCGGCTCACCACACAGGATTTCCTCCACCTCCCTGATGAGCTGGAGCATAAGAAGCACAGTTTTCCTTCCAGAGTCTTTTCTAGGATCCTCTTCGGAATAGCCGGTTGTGAGAGGGCACGGTATCAGTCATTGGAGGACACAAGACTCTCCACCGCGCCCATGCTGTATGAAGAGGCCGGTGTTGCGCTAGCTCTTGAGAACCCGTCCGATGTCGAAGTGCTTTCGCACTGTTGCCGCTTTGAAGGCGAAGTCGAGCCCACGCGCGAGCGAGTGCGCTTTCTGCCGCGAGAGGCATCGGGACTCTCATCATTTCTTCCCCTGGAGACGCTGTTCCGCCTCAGCGCCTCGCGCATCTTTTGCGCAACCCTCACAGTCCTCGCAGCTCCCAAGAAGGCCCCATAATCGCGTTTGACCGTCTCTAGTTTAACCCAATCAATCCGACGAACCGGGATTTGAGCCTCCTGACATGCCCGGGGAAGCTGCGCGGCGAGCCTTTCGATCTGCGGCTTCGTCAGGTCGTCAACCTTGAGCGAAAGTCGGAGCACTAGAGACGCTTTCTCTGGCTCTTTGTTCTGGAAGGATGCATCTTGCTTTCGAGTCGGATCCAGAGGAGCCAGCTGGACACTGCGCTTGTACTTCTGGAGTCGGTCCCAAATGAGCGAAGCTTGGTCTGTTCTCTTCTTGTTGATGCTTTCCCAAAGTTTTGTCACTGGGAAGTTCGCGCCCTGGGATTCTTCGAGCAGCTCTACCAGAGACTTGCTTAGGGCAGTCGTAAATGACAACTCCCCTGGTCCACTGGTTGGGCTGCCTGCAGAGGATGCTGCCAGTAATTGATAGGTGCGGAACTCTTCAGCTCGACTTTTGAATGCAGCAGTGCTTGCGAAACAACAGTCGAGAATAGACAAAGCGTCGCCTTCCGCCAGGTTACGCAAAGGTTCTTCCGCTTTATTCCATAATGCCGTGGGAATATACGAGTCTCTTCTCTCGACCCAAGTCTGCGTTCTATCCAGGATGAGTACCACCACAAACTAGTATAGGGATCACTTACGCAGACAACTCTAATTCCTGCCCATTATCACCCTTGACTTGGTTCCCATGGCCCGTGTAATATACGATTAGTAGATTGTTGGGCCCATCATGCTCATGGATGTGCTGCAGTATCGCGAAGTTCAGCTCGATCTGAGGCTTCTTGCAGTTCTTTATCTTGACGACGTTGCATTGATAGTGGAACCGGGTTTTAAAGATAGATTGCAGTTGTGCGATCTGGAACGGGCGCGTGAGTACATAGGCCGTGCCTCAGTCACCTTATTGGACACTTACCTCCTCTTCGTGGCCTTTAAACTCGTCGATGCTATCATCCCACCGGATTATCAAGACTGCGACTTTTTCGTACCCATTCGGTATATTCAGATGGACATTAGATTCATTTTGAAACCATGCTTGTCTCTCTGATTCGCGTTGCAACTCCTGCTTCGCACCATCCTCCCCTGGCTCGAGGATTGGCAGATCCTGAACTGCGATGCTTGGAATTTGCCCAGGCATGTCGGATGGTGGAGGGCTCCGAGTAGGAATGGAACACGTAGGGAGGAGATGCCTTGCATTTGGCTGACGTTGTGTTGCCATCTTGTGAAATGTGAGCAAGGCTGAGGTTTTTGGAGGCAGCCCATTACGGCGCTGAGATCTCATGGAGTCCTATAAGGTTCTCCATTGTCGTTGCCTACATGCAACAGAGGGACCACAAGAGGCTGAGCGCATGGCGGAGTCGAGCTGTTTGCTCTGCATCGTTGAGCTCTTAGGACGTACGGTTTGCTTTTTCGAATGCCCTACCGTCGGCCTACTTTCGTCGATTGGCTACCGATATCCCGGACACCCCTGACTTGCCGTCCTCCACCTTCTGCCGTGGCTCATGCCCCTCCAACCAAGGATTTTCCCAACCCCCCTTCAACGGCTCACAGCGGGTCATCCGTCTGCAACAGCTGAAGTTGAGGCTCAAAATCAATGAGCGATGGACGGCTGTCTGCCTTTCGCGGGGGTTCCACCGGCACTGGTCAGCCCTCCCCGCGCTCCGACTTTTAAGGTGAATCGGCCCCTGTCACGTAAAGAGAAGTAAGTAAAACTCTGCCTTGCTGCCTGGTAAGGCCATTACTCGCCTTCATCGCTCGAAAGCGATTCTTCCTTTCGTAGTGCAGTCGCTTGCATGGCAAATCAGGTGAGGTCACACGCAGATAGTCCCGGTGTCTGCGGCGCACACTGACCGGTACACTTGGCGCTTAGGGGACCATTCCAGAGAGCCAGAGGGACAAGTCCGGCGTGAACAGATCGCAGAACGCCAGCGAGGTAGACTATTGCCTAAGCGCAACCTCCAACCGATGTAGACTAAGTGAAGCCAGAGAGAGCCAGGATTTCAGATTGGGGATGAGGTCAAAATGGTCGTCACTCAACCTTGTCCCGACGGCAACACGCGGACATTTCACAAGTCGTTTCTCGTTGCGGACTCTCGCCCTAATCAAAGCCATTGGGAATACCAACTCAAGGACCCGTTCACCGGTGGGCTTTGGCAAGGCGGCAAATGGTTTCTTGAGACCAACCTGAGGCCGGCTTGAGTTTTTTGTAACTTCGTGGACCCACAGTATCAGGCGACACGCCCCATGTTACCGTTCTACAGCCTGTCGGCGTGCGCCCTCATTTCCTTACTGCCTTATAAAAGCGGTCATTCTTATATCAAAGAGCAATGCCTTATGAAGCAGTTCCAGTCTTCGTTCTTTGCTTCAATGCCTGTCCTCTTCGTGGGGGGAATCGCTCTTTTTCAGAATGGCTTCTAATACTATCTCGAACCCTAACGTTGATCCAGAAAATAACGGATCGAAGAGCTCACAAGGCTCGGGGGATGTAGTCATTAACGTCGACAGTCGTTCCCCGACCCTAGTCCCTTCGGAATCCCGCCGTAAGTACTCCGCCGCCGCCACGACGAAAACTACCTGCAGCTCGCTTAAGTCCCCAGCCTCCACATTATCACCGGCGCAAATCGAAGAAGAGATAAGCAAGACCATAACAATACCATGTAAGCTGCGCCACCTCGTCAGCTCAGCCCCGAAGGCACTGACCTGCGGAAAGTGCAGGATTACCCCAAAGGTTACCCACTACAAGCGGCCTTTCAGTCGAGCGAGCCGAGCTGGTCGATATATCGCGGCTTTAACTATCTGCACTCTCGTGTCCTATTAGAGCTGCAGGACGAGCTTCGCTGTCTGGAGGAGGAGCTCACCGACCTCGATCTCATCGATCTAGAAAACGGTGATGGAAAGCGGCTCCGGTCGCGGAAAGACGATCTCCGGCAAGCGAAGCGCGAGAAAACTAAAAGCCAACGTGCGAGTCTGCTCGCTGCAATACGGGATAAGCTTGTCAACTATGGTGAGTGCTGCTGCGGGCTGGGACGAGTATGTGGCGCGAGCTGATGCCATTCGCAGATGAGATCCTTGTGAAAGCCCGCGAGCTCAACGTCTTCCAACGTCCTTCGAAGCGCGACTATCGAAGCTTCCGAACATGGTTCTGGAACGTGAAGCCATTGAACTACGAATTGGAAGAGCAGTTCATCAAGCGTAAAGAAGATTTGATAACCCTGCGTCACGGGCGAGAGTGGGCCGGCTTCGATGGCTTTGTGGAGAGTTGTATTAGGAAGATCCACTGTCGGCTTACACAGGTCAGCGATTTCACTCTGGAGAAAGACTAAGACGCTGACGCCTCACATATAGAAACTCTTCGCAACCCCCGAACTCCGTGCAAAGACAAACGACGAATGCATATACTACTACTCGCCCTCCCGCATCGAGAAATTGGTCGGCATGATAATCACGCTTGTCGTTTTCATACTGCTCGTGCTCCCTGTCGTCGCGATGTACAAGCTGACTTGCATCGGTGACCGCAACTCCACGTTCGATGCCGTCGGAATTCTCGTAGTGTTCACGCTCCTGTTCTCGGCGGCGATGTCGCTGCTTACGAAGGCGAAGCGGCATGAGCTGTTTGCTGCGAGTGCAGCGTATTGCGCGGTGCTGGTGGTGTTTATAAGTAATTTTAATGATTCGAGGGGCCAGGGTGTTGGGCGATCTTGAGTATGGCTGTGGCAACGCTGTCTCTTACTAGGAACGACCTTTGCAAAATTTCTGGTTGAAAATTGGCTGGAGTCCTTTCGGGCTTTTTATACATAGGAGAAGTATGTGGAAGCCGTTTAGGAAGTCTGGAATGAGCGTGGAAAGGACACACGTCTGCTTTGTGACAAGTGTACAGCATTTATCTTTGTCGTAGTTCAGAACAGTTGAAATGATTAGAGAACGGAACTGCTTTCCGTGAGATGAAGACTGCCAGAGGCATTGCGACGTTGACACGACGGACTGCTGCCACTTACATCTATTCTTTCCCGTGGACCAGGCGAACGGAGATCTGGGGTGTATAGGTACGTTTCGAGACCATAGCGCAGCACGCTCATGATACAGAATGACGGTTTCCATGTGACCTCTGATGGCAGAGTCGAGTTGTTTAAAAGGAGTGGTCTTGGATGTTTTCCGTGCCGGCCAACTCTAAAAATAGCCCAAACTACGTTCACATGTGAGCTCCAGCCTCTTCGCTAAAACCCGCTCCACCAGCCCGCACCTTCGGAAAAGACACCACGAGCGCCAACACTCCGATACGCTTGGCAATCACATTTGGAAGTTTAAATGTATATATAATTTCTATTTGGAGAGGTTTCTCAACAATTTGAAGCAATTCAATCCGATATGGTCTAGTGGCTAGGATTTGCCGCTCTCATAGAGAGTCAGTTCACTCCCGTAGTGCCGGCAAGGCCCGGGTTCGATTCCCGGTGTCGGAAACGTTTCTTTTTGCCATTCGTTTTGACATTGCGAGTGATTAGGAGGAGTCTGGGTGATTTTTAGGCCGTTCGATGCGGTCTCGGTGATTGGGAGAACATTGAAACCGACGTATTTCTTTTACTTACAGACTACATATGTTTTATTTGATCTACAATCTGTAGCGCATCAAAATTCGCCGTGATTTGGTTGTGCGAGCATCAAGATATTGCGCACTGTTCCGGTTGAGCTGGGGGAGAATTGGGTGGGCACGAGCGGCATACCTGCAAAGCGGAAGTTTCATTAATGGGTTCCAAGCAAAGTCACATCCTTGGTGCATCCTCAATCAGCAAAAGTTCCTGCGTATGTCTGAAAATGTCACTGCTGAAAGATTGCGCACGGAGAGCCATATTTTACGTGCTAGGAAAACGATGCGCGACTGCCTCCGAGAATTTTCACTCAAGAGAGGAATTAGCTCTACATTATTGATCGAAGGCCCAGGGCATTATCCTTTTGAGCTTACGTTCCTTCTCCGCTCCGCCCGTGGCTAGACTATTACCAAGGCTGAATTCCATCCCGGTTGATGACATTCCCAGCATCCTCATCTCTCTTTCCCTCCACCACGTCCTTGATGAAGTTCCCGCCAAGGCTGGGATCTCCTGCACCCATTTTCTTCAAATGGTCGGCGCCTATGCTGCCGAGCCCGGTAGCCAAAAACCCAGGGCTGATACACCAGACCTTCGCTCCGTCCTCCTTGAGCATCCTCGCCCAGTCCAGCATCATCATGTTGAGCGCCGCCTTGGAGCTACGATACGCGATCATGCTGGGCACAGGCGGTTTCGGCCAGCCCGCTGGGACAGGCCGCCCCGCCAAGGCGGAATTTGCACCTCCGGAGCAAGTGGTGAGCGAGGAGAGGCCCGAGGTTACGAACAGGAGACGTGGGTGTGCGGATTTGAGGAGCAGGGGAGCGAATTTGTAGGTGAAGACTTGGGTGGAGGTTACGTTGAGGGAGTAGGTGTGGTCCCAGGCTTCGCGGATGCCGGCAGCGCCGGGTTTCTCATTCATGACAGGGTCGAATGCGGCACCTTTGTGTGCAGGTTAGTATCTTGTGGATGGATGGAAGGATTTAGATTCGAAGGCTTACCTGCGTTGTTGATGAGTGCGTCGACCTTTCCGTACTTCGACTCCACCTCCTTGAAGGCATTCTCGACGGACGCATCGTCTTCAATGTCGATTTGTAGAGGTACAATCTCTGATTTCGATTTGGGGACCTCGGATTGGATCTTGGCTATGGCGTCCTTTGCCTTCTCCACAGAGCGGCTTCCCATCAGGATGGTGTGCGCATTCGACGAGGCATAGATCGCTTTGCAGGTTTCCCAGCCAATACCTGTGTTTCCACCTGTGGTGAAGACGACACTCATTTCGGCCATTGTGGAAGCTTAAATATGGTGAAGCTGGCGATAAAAGCAAGTGGAAAGAACCCTGGAAGGAAGGAGTAGAGAGGTACGGCGGGCTCGGCAAGGCGGCTTATATACCTCCAGAAAGATCAAAAACATACTATGCATAGCCTTGCGGCTCCGTTTGGAGTTACTCGAAGTTAATAGGGTACCCTGCCTTATGGCCGTAAGGATTGGAAGGATCATGCACGAGAGAGCTTAACTCCGGGCTCACAAGCTTTCTCCGAGCCATTCTAAGTTGACGACGCATACATCCGTGGATGATTCTGGCTAGGCAACGATCCTCCAGCCTCGTTTCTGAAGGTCTCGGGCCCGAAACGCGTCGTACAATGACGCCGCAAGGATGCATACGCGCGAAACGAGGCGTGAGATGAACCGGCCATTGTATGGAAGAGAAATATCTGTCTAGGTAAGCAGAGATCAATGGGAGAAGGGATGTAAACAAACTCACTTTGTCCTGGCACTCTACTATTAGGGTAGCTAGCTTTGAGCGGTTGAAGTTTTGATGCTCCCGGATCGGAGTTGGCGGGCCCCGATATATCCAAACTACCACAGCATTATCTTTGGAACGCCAAGGCCAGGCCACTGTAATAGAGATAGAAGCGTCCCGGTGGAATTCATGTTGCTTTCTACGGTCTGCAATAGGTATCGATGTGAGCGGGGCAGCAGAGACGATTGGTACACAGACTCAACACTAGCCACACAAGCCACAATCTGTGGCGCCGACTACCCCCGTAGGTGGAAGGCACCGGAAGCAAGCATATCGATAGAATGCACGGATATTTTCAATTCTCAGCTCTGCAAGATAAACGAATGACTACATCTCCAAATCTCCTATCCCCAGAGAAAAGACATCCAGAACGCAAGCAGTCAACACCCCAGCGTGAGCGAAGGTGCTCTCCTACATACAGTTGAGTCGCGTTGATCTACTCCTCGTCATCCGGAGTACCGGTGGGCATAGGCGGCGTGCCAGAACCGGGGAAGCCTTTTAATTCGTTAGCTCAGTCGGTCCGGTCTTGCTGGGGTTGAACTTACCACCACTGGGACGAGGACCGCGGGAGAAGCTGCCAGTTGGGCGAGGGCCACGGCTGAAACCGCCTGTTGGTTATTAGCCTCTGTGTTATTGCGTGTTCTTGGTTGCTTGTACTAACCGGAGGGGAGACCGGAGGGGAGGCCAGTAGGGCGAGGACCACGGCTGAAGCCACCTGATCAATATTAGTCTCTGTATGACGTTGCGTTCTTGTTCGATTGTACTGACCGGTGGGGAATCCCGATGGAAGATCGGTAGGGAAACCGGACGGGAGACCTGTTCATGGTAAGTTACGGAGTTGTGTGAGTGGCAGACCGAAACGAACCCGTGAAGGCGGGCCTGCTGCGAGTAGGCTCCTGGCGCTCTTCAATATCCTCGGGCTCTCCAGTCGGGACCGGAAGGCCTGGGTCTCGTCAGCTATTGAATTACGGCCTCGGTCTAGAAGGTGTATAGTTACCGGATGGGCGAACGCGCGAGTGAGAAGGGCGAGGTTCACCGCTCGGGCGAGCTCCACCGCTTGGACGTCCACCGCTGGGGCGTGCCCCAGTGGGCATAGGAAGACCGCTAGGAAGGCCGGCTTCGCAACGAATTAGCTCCAGCGGCAATATTGTACAGTGGATGATGACGAACTCGGGCGCGGCCTCTCGGAGTGGGCAGGGCGGCTTCCGGACGGCCTTGGGCCGCGGGATGGGACAGCACCCGTGGGCTCAACCTGAGCCACTGGGACGGCAAAGGCGCTGCAGCGAGGAGTCAGCAAGTATTTCAGCTAACATGATAGCGTTGACAGCTTCGAAATGGTGTGTTTGCATATCGGTAGAGCAGTGCAGGGTGAAACGTACCCGGCGGCCAACAGAGCGAGGAGGATGATCTTCATTTTGAAAGTTGGGATGGCTTGCAAAGAGCAATTGATGGAACGATTGGCAGACAAGTATGATCGGTCTTCGGTGTCTCTGGAAAATGACCTTGAGCATGCACGAGGCTGCTCTTTATACAGTTTACTGGCTCACACGTCGGGCACTGATGTCGTGACTCTCATCGAACGAGCCGTCTGATCAATCTCCTTCTTTTCGCCATGATCAAGGGTCATGTTGGGGTTCCGGTTGAACTCCCCGTGAAGCCGTTGAACCCATCGTGAACAGCAATTAACGGCGTAATTTGTTCTCCCTTGAGAAACAAGCGCTGGTATTGCGGCGGCGAGGCTCAAAATTCTTTCGGAAGTTTCCGTTTAAAAGGGAAGGGGTCATCGCATCCTAACTGGTGGTGAATCTCCGATGGCGCTCCGCATTCTTGCATCATTAAGGGGTCGTGCGGGGAGCGTTGCTAGCGCAGGAAACGCTGCGTATGCCAGGCAGCGTTCTCCAGGGTCGGAGAATAGGAAGTTAAGGCTAAGCTTTGCATCTGACTATAAGCTTTGCGTCAAACCACAACCAGGGTCTTCGCTCAGAGAGAAAGTCGAGCTTGCCCAGAGTTTTACTTCACCCGGCCGACGGTGTGGGCCAAATATTACCTGGAATGGGCCTCCAAGGTTGCGGAACGAGAATCGAACGCGCGTAGTCATCAAATTATCTCGGCGTTGTATCGAACTAACCTGGAATTGCGTAATTGCTTCCGATTGCTCACCCGCACCGCAACTCCGTGACATCTGACTGATTTCATGCGCTGGAGAGCATGGGGCTCTTTTCTCCTAAGACATCTGGATGGCGGTTGTAGATGAATGACCCCGAGAGCACTTGGAAAAGGAAGTGTTCAGTAGTGGTCGTCATGGCCTGGAGATAGGCGCTCTATGGGAAGTTGGTGGACAACGAAACATCTAGAAGAGTTAGCATACGTAGCGGAGGTGACGTCTAAGCGAGAGCAATTGGTGGAGTGAAATCCCACTCACCAAAACCCTACGTTGCACGAAGCAATTCTTATCCTTGCTGTGATGCCAGGTCCAGAACAATGTCGCCGCATGTATTTGGGCGAGATCGTCGAAAAGCCTGGAGAGCCTGGAAATGAGATGATCTTGCTGAAGCTTTTTTTGGCCCGGTTTTACAGAAGTGATATGGTGGCGAAACGCGGAGAAGTTCAATATGGAGTACAGTCAAGCTCATCTGGCAGAAACGGGCGCTAATCTGGCGAAAGTGTGCCGGGATTCCCATTGGCTGACCCCGCAAAAGTTTCCGGACGTTGTACCACAGTGCTCAGAAATGGCCCGTGTCTGAGACGATTCGCTTCCGGAAAAGTAGTAAATAGGCATATGCTCCGATGCATTGGCCTTGGTGTACGCGTAAGATCCTAATGAGCAAAGTCAGCAAGTTCTGTGTATAGGGAAAATGATCCTCTTTAACCGCGCGAATAGAAGACGGCCCCAGTGCTTGGGTTTATGACAGCATGAGGCGAGATCTAAATGCGCTAGAGGTTTTATTTTCGAACCCGCCAGACTGGAAATGGTGGCGCCCGGTTTGACAGAGGGATGAGTTACCTGTTCAGGAAGTCCAAGCAAAATCAGCGCCGGGTTGAAGTGGAGATAAATTATTCGATTTGGATCGCGATCATTGGAATAATAAGTTTTTTAACTTATTGGACAGCGATTTGGGTGCGGTTGTTGGGACTACACCATGTGACAGCTTCCAAAGTTCAACACTCCTAGGGCAGGAACGCTAACGAGCGAGCGCTCCCTCAAATTCTTGGAACGCTCTCGTATGGAGACGAGGTTCATTGCGTCACCCTGTTATAAACTCTTGAAACCCACCCTTTGAGAATTTCCTCCAGTCGGTCGGCCGGAGGAGCATTTTCAATGTCCCTAGCACTGTTCTGCTAATTCCGTATGTCTGGTCGTTGGCATTCTTCTTAAGGCAAAGAACCCTGCTAAACAACATTCACCGTCCGGCCATAAATAGTTCTGGTTGCAGGGTCCAATCAATCTTGTATCTGTAATGTAACGTAGGTTGAAGCTCAAGCACCGCAATGTGTGCTGAAGCTCTTCGTGGTCCTTGGCGGTTTGGAATCTGAGCGTTTGGGCTTTCTCCGCGGTCACGAGGACTATCATCCTCTATCAAGTTAATATCCTGGCCCAGGGGCCTTCCAATCACGCGTTGTGGTGCCAGACCGAGTCTTTGGGGGTCACACACGTAGTGGTCGGAGGGGACTACAAGAGCCGAGAGAAATGTATCCATAGCAATTCTCTGCTTTTCGGCCGCGCGTTTGCATCCAAGTAACTGTCAGGTATATTGTTCGTTGCAGTCGCTCCACGAGAGGGGATGGGGGGGTTCTCCAGCCATTCGAATCTGCTCAAGACTTTCCACTGCCTCAGCTCGAGGCCCGACGGCGTCAATCCAGGCTTTCTATTCCTTCTGGGCTGAGAATTCTAAGCCATACCTCTTCCGCATAGATATGTCCCATGTCTTTATCCATGATTGACTGCTTACTTAGACGTGAAAAAGCGGAAGGCCTCCTGAAAGAGAATTTCTCGTTTTCGTTGCGAACCCTCGCGCGGACAAGCCGATCCGTCAGGTAAAACGTCAGCCACGGCCAATAGCTCGGCAAATAGCTGCCACATGTTTGTTCGATAGTTGAAACGTATCTGGTAGCAAAATTTGTAAGGTTAGGAGCCTTGATAGATGATACCGCGACTGTGGGGACATTGCGAATTTACTTATATAGCAGAACCTCTCCCAGATGCGACACAGCCATACGTGCGAGCGCTCCTGTTCGCAACCATAGCCATGATTGGTTCTACAGATTTACGCGGTCTTTGGAACCCAGAAAAATTGCGGGAGAGATGGAGCGATTCTTCAAATTTGCGCCGCCGGAAATTGGAAGTTGTGGATGCGTTCAGGGGAAGTGTGTCACAGGAAGTGATAAGGGGATGGCTGTGCCGTTACAACGACTATCTTAGGCCTTCGAGGTGGAGTGGTGAGTCGTATGGTTTGCGGGAGCGTGGTCATTACTGTGCGCCAATATTCCCTAGGCATACTCGCCGTGCCGCATCCTACTGGGCGTTTCTCACTGCGGGATGCCACCTGGCGTGATATCACAGCCCACCCAGTCCACCCCTGGATCTTTCCGAATCGCATCCAGCAAGGTATCATCCACGGCTTCGTAAGAATATACAACCCGGCCGGGATACATGCCGTCGAAGGAATATTGCACGTAGGGTGTCATGTCTGTACCCACGACGTGGCTGTGGTGCTTGAAAGAATGACCTGGGAAAAGATAGATGAAGAAGGCTTCTGGGACGACCGAGAAACCTTCTTCGAGGTTGTCGCAAAAACGTATCGGTGCCTTGTGTGTGCACGTAGAGTTGGCGAGAGGGATTTGGTTCTCTGTCGGGTAATAGGCTGCCATGGCGAGAATGGTGATCGTTGCCAGTACTTTGCGCATTGCCTTGGATGTCGTGAGCCAGACTCTGCGAAAGATGCCACAGTAGCTTTGGCTTAAGGGGATATTCTCAACGTTGAGGAAGGAATTCGAAGCGGTGAGGCGTGAAGAGGTAGTGCTGGGGGATGAGGCGCTTACCTAGCACACACAAGCTAGCCAATCGCACCTGCATGGCTACCCCACGCCCGCAACCGAGTAGCACTCCCGCTTCACGCTCGATGGACGTCAATGTCTACTTGCGAAAGCAAGGCTAGAAAGGCGCAAGCCATTCCCTCAAACGTCACGGCCAGGGTATAAAAAACTTACTGCTAATTACTTATAAGCAAGACCAGCTGGGACTGTACTGATGCCGACCCACTCTGCAGCGGTGGTACAGGGAAGGGCAGAATGCTAACTTGGCATAGAGCACCCTTCGCGTCGAGATTTCCTCCTATTGACCATGGATAGCCCTGAAAATTCCTGGTCTTTACTAGCTCCCTAGATTTCCTACTCAATCCATGCCTTGGATTCCAAACGTGGGATAGCGTGTTATACTGATGGCTTTTGCGCAGGCTTGTCGTCCGTATATCTAGTTCAATGGGATCATCTAAATTGGCGACGCAAGGCTATGAAGATGTGTAGGTAAAAGCTAACTGCTCAAATTGACCTCTCATCGTTCTCTCGATGCTTTGGGTGGCGCGGCCGGACACACTTGAGCGGAGATGCTAACCCAAGCACACGCAAAAAAAGAGAGTAGAACGAGAAAAGAAATGGCATCCCCAAGGACCGAAAACACGACCACCCACGCGAACACGTTAGATACTTGCCAGGAAAACTTCCACAGGAAGGGCCAGATTGGATGGCTTTCGGTAACTCCCACGTAATGTTGGCAATGGTCGATGAGAGAAGGCGCCAGAACAACGCGAGCCCAATGCTCCCACCTATTGTCATGATCCAAGCTATCCGTTGCCTGGATTAGCTTCCGTTTCGAGATTAGATGTCGCCATATAGCCTTCAATTTCCCGGCGGTGTTGTAAGGTCGTTGTTCCATGAACCCCACCCATCTCTTAACCGTCGCGACAGCTAGGGCTGCGTCGACTTCGTGCCACTCTCTGTGCTCTGTGGCGCATCTGGAACACCAATACGGCCGACACAAATGCCACAGATCACCGTGTACCAGATGCTCTGCTCGCGCATAGTTCTGCACCTCTTCGGAAACGTACACTCGTTCGACCCTGACTCCGCACTGGCGCTCAATTTGCTGCAGACGCAGCGCCGAGTTCATGGTCGCTCCGATTTTCAGGAGATGCGGGCGTTCCGGGTCTCGGATAACATAAACAACTCCCTTCCTATCATTTGGAGTCATGTCTTTGCAGACCCTTCGTCGCAGTTCCTCGTGTACTTGTTGAGCGGTCTTCATAATCGCCAGCGGCGAGGTTGCGCCATTGTCGCCGGGGTTTGACCCACTCCGTGACGAAGCAACCGGAGGGTAATCGGTCGAATCGAGTGACGCTTGTCTTCCCCCAAAGAGGTTCGGAGGTTGCTGCCGTCGTCGGTGTGGTCTTCGAATGGGGCTTCCATAGCTTTGAACAGGTCTTCTAGTACGATTATGTCGAGTGTCGGATACGGATCGTCTGTTGACCGTTGGTCGGTGGTTCCCAGGCAAAGGCGAGATAAAACTCAAGGGTAGATCCATTACCGCCTGCGGATTCAATGCATTTCCTTCATTGCTTTGTGGTGTCGGACCGATGGATGCAGATAGAGCGTGGTCGGCAGGAAAAGCTCCGATTACATTTGGGGTGCTTGAATGGGATATCGTTGCGCTGCCTTCCAAAGGTCGTGAGGATGGCGTCGGCGATGAGAATCCTCGTGAGAGTAGAGTATGGCCCGAGCGGGGTGGAGGAGAAGTCGAAGAGCCCATTCCTAAGATCTCAGATTGTTACGACGAGGAGAATAAGACTTTGATGTATTAAACAAGATAGAGAAAGAGGGCTGTAGTTAACGGCGAATGCTTTCTTCGCGGGATATATATGCTTCCTAAGGTACATCAGCATGAATCGAAACTTGACTGCGGCGTGAGGCGGTGCGAATGATGAATGCTGTGCCGCACCCTAGGATGTCGGCGCTACATCCGCATTCTGAATGTTGCAGCCTCGTCAACGCCATTCGGAGACCTGATTGAGCAACTCGAGCGCAACAGCCACAATCCGCAGGGGGTTGACTTATCGCTTGTCGGGGATAGATTGTGTGGACGAACATGGGGGGCCGGATATTCTTGGAAGAGCGCGCATAGCATGAAACGAGAGAGACAAAAGTGACCTAGCCTTTAGGGTACGTGTGTGATGAGCTCTAGGAGCGAGCGAAAGTCTCATGTCGTATGGCTCCTCAGCGGATCGCGTGATGACCTCTAAGGTTTTGCTGCTGTTTCGCGCGCGGCAACATGAGGAGCCCCTGCAGTTCAAGGTGGAACCACAACGCTCTGTGCGCTACAGTATTGGGCATTCGTGCAGCGCAGGCAAAAGGATCCCGAAGGCTGGAGGAGTATACGAATAATGACTAGGCTCTCGGCTGGTGATCTCTTGTCGTGGTCGTCGATTGTGCGCGACACGAGGAATCAGGCAGCAGAGGTGACTCTGAACGGCGAGCGACAAGCTGAAAGGATGATGGTAAAGAGCGTGGCCCCCAATAAGTCTCATAGAACGCGGATGAAACTACTTCCAGGGGTGTGGATCCTTCCGCATCGCCTGCCGAAGAACGCCAGAACGGGGAGCTGACCGCTCGGAAGAACGAGGCCAGGGTAGCAAGGAGTCATGGGGAGATTGCAGAGCACCATCTGATGCTGTGGCAGTGAATTGACGATGAGGGTCGATGGAGGATCTTCCGCACCAATGTTGAGGAAGAAAGGCCGGTTCGCGCTAGGGCGAAACGAGTAAGCGCCTCTCGATTAATTTCGCCGGCGAACTCACCGACTTCTCCTCCCTCCCGCCTCTCGCCAACCGCTGGTGCCTAACAACTTCGGATCATTCAAATAAAAGACTACATGATACCGGAGGTCGGGTCAAACCTGGATCAATTGGAACTGCGGTGGAAGGAGGTCCTTTCGAGATAGCTTAGCAGGGCGCCACTTCGCTATGGCGTCCTCTCAGATTTCGATATCCCCAAAGCCATGGAGTATGGCCCAAGACACTCCGCCCTTGGCTCAATGTCATAAGATATGGGTATTTATGCTTGGAACTAGATAAACAAAAATCGATCGCTAACAGATAAAAGGACCCCCGAGCTGCTCGCTTTTCCCCATGCTTTCTCCCATTTATTACAGCACTGCCGGCAATTCTGGGCGCTCTGATATTGCTAGCCTACTCTTTTCAAATTTTAGATGCCTATCGACCGAGATGGACGAAGCCATTCGTCGAGGAAGAAAAAGAGAGCCCGGACGAACTTGCCCCCACCTTCTCTCAACGACCACTATCCGCGCCCTATGGGTTACTCCTCGTATCAATGATTGGCCTCACGTTGCAGATAGTCACTATATTCGTCCCATATGTCCAACTTACTGCTATCTACCCCACCATTGCCTGGGTATGGATGCCTATCCTATCTTCGAGCATCCGCTAACAGTAGTAGGCGATCGCTATTGGTATCATTGTCGTTGACCGTCCCAGATCAGCGCCGCTCTCTTTGCTGATACTGTTCACCGGACTTCTTCTAGCACAGCTAGTTGTGCTTTCTCACACCCAAGCCTCGTTAGCTGCGAAAGACATACCACTGGTCTTAGCACCAGCGGCAGCTCTATTCGGCATATTTGTCATCTTAAACATGCCTCTCCGCGATTCAAGTCTGCCGAATGACGAAATCAGTCCGGTTTATACTGCGCCGACGGTCAAGCTACGAACTCCTGAAGACAACTTGACTCCGTGGCAATACATGACCGTTTCCTGGATGGCTCCGCTGATACGAAAGGGAATCACAAGGAAGATGGACGATGAGGACGTCTGGGATCTAGGATACGAGTTCAAGCACGCCAGACTTCACGGCGCATTTCGGACATTGCAGGGTTCCGTGACAAGAAGACTTCTCCAAGCCAATGGAATGGATCTGATACGCACCACGGCACTCGCGCTGGTTCAGTTAATTTCAAGTATGATTAGTCCCTCTACGGTCCTATCCCGATTGTTGACCTTTTACGTTTCTAGCGCTTTTAACGCCTGTATTACTGCAGCAGCTCCTAGCGTCGATGAAGGATCCAGAATCTCGTAACGCTACTATCACCTACGCATTGCTTTCCCTAGTCCTTCGAATGCTCTCCACTCAGTGCAGCGTATTCAATCTGTGGTACCAGCGAAGGGCTTACGAACGATCAAGGGGCGAAATGATCACCATGCTCTACGAAAAGACGTTGAACAGGAAGATCCTCGGTGCCAAACAGGAGCCGAAAGAAGAAGAGCAAGCTAACGGCCAAGCGGAAAATGACACGAACGAACATACGAACGGCGACGTCAACGGCTCGGCGCCGCCAACCAAAGGCCGACCTAAAGGCTTTCGAGTACTTTTGAAGAAGCTGTATGCATTGGCCCCCTCGCTCTTCATGATAAATGCAAAAAAAGAAGCCAGGAAGCAGGACGCCGCATCCATGGGCAAGATTCTGAATTTGATGCGAAACGACGTCTACGAAGTGTCACAGAGATTTTGGGAATTCTCCGACATTATCACCAAACCGACTGGTGCTATCTTTGCTATCCTTCTAATCTGGAGGATGCTCGGCTGGTCCTGCCTGCTCGGTGTGCTCGCACTCGTGGCCACGCAATCCATCAATGTGCTCATTGCACGTTATGAGGTCTACTTCGAAAAGAAGCGCAGAGTGGCGACCGACGAGAAGCTGCAGCGGACGAACCAATTCATTGAATCGATTCGACACCTCCGCTGGTATGGTTGGCAAGAAGCGTGGTTGGAAGGCATCCTCGAATCCCGCCAGAAAGAGCTACATCTCCGTGTCGTACAGATCATCTTCAACACCAGTTTAGCATTCATTCTACGATTTGGCTCGGGTCTTTTCCCCGCAGTAGCCTTTTACGCGTTTACCAAGCTGGCTGGCAAGCCACTGCACGTTGATCTTATCTTCCCGGCTATTGATCTCTTCCACCTCCTGGAGTCATACCTGCGAGCGCTACCACAGCTGATTACGACGCTCCTAAATGCTTATGTTGCTATGGGCCGCATTGAGGACTTCATGAAGGAGCCGGATAAGGAGGAAACGGACGTGGTTCCAGAAGGGACCGCGGAGCTTAGCCTGCAGGATGCATCTTTTGCATGGCCTGGTGTGGATAAGAACGTATTGGAGGACATCACCCTATCCTTTCCACCTGGTCTCACGATCATCTACGGAGAAGTTGCTTCCGGCAAAACTGCCCTATTGCAAGCTCTTCTGGGAGAATTGGACAGGACGGACGGGGAATTTATTCGCCCTGACGAAGTTATCGGATATTGTGCCCAGACACCTTGGCTGCAGAGCATGAGTATTCGCGATAACATCCTGTTCTCCTACCCGTACGAGGAAGCCCGCTACAAGCAAGTCCTAGATGCTTGTGCCCTAGTTCCCGACATGGCTGAGTTCAAACATGGCGATCTTTCCAATATTGGCGAGAACGGTATCGGGCTATCTGGCGGTCAGAAGGCTCGAGTAGCACTCGCTAGAGCCGTCTACAGCAAGTCTAAAGTGCTCTTCCTAGACGATCCTTTATCAGCGCTTGACCATCAAACCGCTGAGTACATCGTACAGAAGCTGCTCGCGGGCCCGCTCCTCGCAGGAAGAACGACAGTACTAGTCACCCATCGCACGGAGCTCTGCCATGGCCTCGCGAAGCAGTGGGTCGAGCTCAACAAGGGCAGGGCTACAATTCACGAACCACATCCCGACGAAGAAAATGCACTCAAGCGTGCCCAGACGCAGGAATCAATTTCAGAAGAAGAAGCCAAAAAGCGAGAAGAGGAGCAAGCAGCAGCCATTCCAGACAAATTCATCGAAGACGAGCACCGTGCGACGGGCGCCGTGAAACTGCGCGTCTACTGGCGCTACATCAAAGCTGGGACCCTATACTGGTGGGCCATCTCCATTGTTGTTATGGCCGGTTTCCGGGTGGTCGACATCGCCGAGACGTGGTTTATCAAAGCCTGGGGTGAGGGCTATGACTTCGACGACCCGAGAGGAATGTTCCACTTCTTGCCTCCGCCCGCGCAGGACGTTATACCTTGGCTTGTCACGTTCTTCCTCTTCGTGACAGGCACAGCTGTTCTCTTCTGGTGGACGAACCTCATCATGTTCGGCGTCGGCTACCATGCCGCAAAGAACATCTTCAAGGAAGCAGTGACTCGGGTCGCGCATGCTACGTTTCGCTTCTACGACGTCACGCCTGTTGGGCGATTGATGAATAGACTTACTTCGGATATGAATACGATAGACGGGCATCTCAGCATGATGTTCACCATCTTTGCTTGGACAATCATTGGATGGGTATCCAGCATTGTCGTCATCCTAGCCTCAGCTCCTGCATTTCTGGCTTTTGGCCTTGTCCTCTGCGCTGGTTTTGTCTACAATTTCTACCGCTTCCTGCCGACTTCGCAGACTTTGAGACGCTTAGAGGTAGGTCTCCGAAATATTACCTCGCTCATGATCCGCACACTGACGACACTGGTTTAGATGGTATCCCTCTCCCCTTTAATGTCCAACTTCGGCGCCCTCGTCGAAGGCCTCACCACTGTCCGCGCCTTCTCCGCACAGCCCCGCTTCCAAGCCCGCGTTATCGAAGTCGTCGACAACTTCCAGAAGAACGACCATTTCTACTGGTCGCTGCAAGCCTGGCTCTCCTTCCGCTTCTCTTCCCTCTCTGCTAGCGCTACCCTTGTCATGACGCTCATCGCGATATACATGGGTATCACGCCTGGCCTTACAGCCTTCGTGCTCGTTACCGCGAGTAGGTTTGTTATGCACACGGACAACATGTGCAGGATTTACGGACAGTTGGAAATGGACTTTACGAGCGTGGAGCGCGTAGTTGAGCTATTGGATCTGGAAACTGAAGCACCAGGTGTCGTTGATCCGCCTGCTTACTGGCCCACATACTCCGGCGACATCGTCTTCGAAGACGTAACCCTGCGTTACGCACCGAACCTCGAGCCCGCCCTTCAAAACATCTCCCTGCGCATACCCGCGGGTAGCCACACCGCAGTCATCGGACGCACGGGGTCCGGAAAATCGACGCTAGTGCTCTCCCTCCTGGCTACCATCACGCCTGAGAGCGGACGGATACTGATCGACGGCGTTGATATTTCGACGGTGAACAAGCAAGCCCTCCGCAACCGCGTAACCTTCCTCGCCCAAGAACCCGTCCTCTTCCCCGGCAGCATGCGGAAGAATCTCGACCCGCTCTCCGAATACAGCGACGCCGCCTGCGAAGCCGTGCTCTCCAAAATCGCCGGCAACCACAACTGGACGCTGTCCACCACCATCGAAGGCGGCGGCAAAGGCCTCTCGCAAGGTCAGCGGCAGCTCGTCGGTCTCGCGCGCGCTATGCTTCGTCGCTCGCCGGTGCTCATCATGGACGAAGCGACCGCGAGTATCGATTTCGAGACCGCGCAGAGGATTCAAAGTGTGCTGAGAGAGGAGATGAGGGAGAGCACCGTGATTACGATTGCGCATCGGTTAGAGGCGGTGAGGAATGCAGAGTATTGCGTTGTGCTGGGCAAGGGAAAGGTGGTGAGGAGTGGGAGGGCGAGTGATATGTTGAGGGAGGGGAGTGAGTTAAGGGGGATGTTGGCGCAGTAGAGGAGGGGCAGAGACAAAAACAAGATTGACCAGGCGTTGGTTTCAAGGCGTTTTGGGAGACATCGCGCCGCGTTTATTGGAAAGGCGTCCTAGGAAAACATTGGTTTGGCGTGCGAGGTACATTATATACGTATGAGGGTCCGTCTCTTTGTATATGCTTGTCTAGCTATGCAGATGCAACGCAATGCTCATGCAAACCACGCGCAACGACTGTCTAAAGAAAATGCCGACCACGCCGTAGCTGTGCGGTGTACACATAAGCGCACACATACTCAAACAAACCAAAGACAAGATTCCCGAAGGATAAATCGGATAACTGGAAAAGTAGCTCCGTCTCATCTTGAGCCGCCTGACAATCAGAGAAACGAGCTCAGACCAGACCGTAAAGAGGCCGCGGCAGAGGAGCACAAACACTCTTCCGTCCCGTCCTCATCTTCACATCCTTGAGCCCGATATATGCTTCCCTCCTCGCCGGATCGCCCACCGTAACCGACCACGTCTTGAGCCCATAGTACACCCCAATATGATGCACAAGCCACCTCCCAAAGCAGCCTCCGTGGTCATCCTCCGGCGTCTCAAACAGCATGAGCTCCTTCTTCGTCTCCCCACTACTGCCCGTCGGACTCCTCAAATCGCTCATCTTGCCATTCCGGCCCACGAAGACAATCTCGTCATCGCTCGAGTCCGGATCCGCAGGTAGCCCGTCCATCTCCGCCCGGCGCTCCTTCTCCTCCCACTCCGCGACGAAGCGCCGCACCTCGCCCTCCAAATCCATGAGCAGGCCCTTCGCGCCGCGGCTCCGCTTGAGCTTCTCGCGCAGCTCTTTGGGCACGACGCCAGGCGTTGTGGGCTTCTTGGCCGTGGTCTTGGGCCCGGCTTTCGCGGCGGCGACGGCGGCTTTGCGCTCTGTGTGCTGGCGCGAGAGACCCGCGTCCCAGAGCGGCGCGAGGTAGTACGGGACGTGGTGGACGGGGTGGGTGGGGCGGATTTCCCAGTCGCGGGGCTGGGGCGGTTCGACGTAGGGGTTGTTGAGGAGGCGATCTGGGGATATTAAATCAACGGGGGATTTGTAGGGATGGGGTGCTGAGTGTGCGGTGCTTGCGCAGCGCTGGGGAGGCGGGCAGTGGTGGAGAGCGTACCGTTCTCCCATCGTAGTCTGCGCTTGCTGCCCTCCTTGCCCTTGAGCAGGGCTTCGCGCCGCTTCAGGCTGTCGCGTCGAAGCGGCTCCTTTCTCTTGTAGTAACCGCCCTCTTTGGCCGCGGCGGCGGCGGGGACGGGACGCGCAGCTGGAGCAGCGGAGGGCGCGACGTCATCGAGTGGGATGTGCAGGCTGACGGTGGTGCCATGAACATTGTCCCCAGGCGCAGAGATAATCACAGTGCTCATAGCAGCCGTCGCTTGCTCGGTCCATGCCTCGATGTCGATGGGCTGCGTGCCTGGAGGGGCTTGCTCGCTGTGGATAGCCATGGTCGCAGGGGTGGCGATCGCGGGGGAGCCGAACCGGTGGAGCTAGATGCGAGAGAGGACCTGCGCTGCAGGAAGAAGAAGCCCCGGGTAGAGCGCCGGGAGGAAGACTAGATGAAGAGCAATGCCTGCGGGAAGGGAGAGAGTGTTGGGGTGGAGGAAGCAAGATAAAGCTCCGCGATACCATGCTCGGCTAGCTCGTGGGCCAATCAGGAGCCATCGTGGGGTCTGCGGGTCATACTGCTGGAGTCACACCTCGGTGACCGCGTTTGGTAGTCTCCGCGGCATTGCAGCGGGACAAGCTGAGCTGCAGCTGACGACAGGCTCCCGTTTGCGAAAACTGAAGAGGGATGACTCCTGCGATCGTATTCCCCGTTGCAACGCTGTACAGTACAAAAATGCTTCTCATCCATGTGTATCCGTTACCCTATACACTGTACCCAAGACCAGTCAGGTATCCTAGCCCTACATCCATATCCAAGAACCATCCCGATGCCATAAAAGAGTTACTTAAACTCTGCAAACGCAAGCTCGTACGCCAACCCCAGCGTCAACCTCGCATGCTGCAGCATGTGGTCGAAGCTCAGATACTCAATCTTGTCCTCCGTCGTATGAATCTTGTTGTCAGAATACTTAAAGTCTGACTCAATGACGAAGGCGGAAGGGTACCCGGCCTTGGAAGCGCTAGCATGATCCGAGCAGGCGTAGCCGCACTTTGTCAGAATGTACGGGATCTCGCAGTAGTCCGTGATGACCTCTTTGATGAACTCGGTCAGGCCGGGGTCGACGTAGTCGGTGATGACTCCAACGCTCTCAGGCTCGCCTGCGTCGATGGTCTTCTGAACGTAGCCAGTCATGTCCTGCTGCAGCATGGCTTTGACATCTCTGCCCGCCTTCTCGTATGACTGGAAGATTGCTTGCGAGCCGAGCAGGCCACCTTCTTCGGCGCTGTACCAGTGGAACTCGACAGTGTTTGCGGCCTTGCCCTTGAGGATCTTGTCGGATTGGAGAAGCACGCGAAGAGCTTCCAGGATCGTCACGGTTCCGCTTCCGTCATCGTCGGCGCCAGGCGCAGCGAGGAGCGAGGGGAGGAACAGGTTGATGCTGTCTTGGTGTGCGCCAATCACGACCGTCTTCTCGCTCTTCCCGGGAATCGTGGCGATGATTGATGACTGGCCCCACGGATGCGAGAAAGCCTTCACCGAGGCGCCATGTTCGATCGCGCCAGCATCCGCCAACGTTTTGTTGACCTGCTCGAGCAGCCACGCAGAGGACTGCGCTCCGTATTGCGACTTATAATACCGAGTATGGAAGGAGGTAAACTTTTCGAGGTGCTTCCGCATGTTCTTCTTCTCGAGCTTCTTGAGCAGCGGCACGATGCTCTCATTCTGTGCGGTCTTCGAGGGGAATTTCACGCTTCGAGCGCCGAACTTGCTGTTCAAGACGCCGAGGTCTGGGGTGTGGGTAATGTCGAAGAAGTTGATGCCTTCCTGTAGGGTGTTAGCAGCGAGCTCACGTCGGGCGAAATCAGAGCGGAAGGTGTGAAGCTCGAGAGAATCGCATTGAAGGGAACATACCCTTCGAAGTGCCCACTTCTCGTCCTCGGTAATCCATTTCGTCTCTCCCGGCGCCAGCTCGATGAGGTACTCGTCCGCTTCCTCGATGGTCAGCTGCGGCTCCTTAATCACGACCTGTGGATCTTTCGGGTGATGGATAGCTGCAGCCAGCGCAGCGGCGCACAGTGGGAGGAACAGAGAGGACTTCATGCTGGTTATGGATGTTTGGTGAAGCTGCTGGTGAGGTGTGCTGCTGCTGTTTGACGCCTGAGGGTTGGCGCAGTGATCGGAGATAGCGGGGTTTAGCTCGTCCTGAAGGGGAAAAGCGCGTTTCACCGAAAGATGGCCATCTTCTTCTGAATGCTTTATCTGCATTGCATAACGCGCAGTCAGAGGTCAATTACTCAGACTCTGGCGGAGTCAAGAGAGGATGCTGAGGACTCGAGCGTAAGTATGACTGGCGTCAAGTATTTAAGAACCTCTTCCGGAGCTTCAACCTTTCTCTCTTCATTCTCATTCACTTGCACCGCAGAACTACATACTGAAAGAAACACCCATATATCCACATCAGCCGACCCTCATATCAGATGCCCGGACATCGTACCACGGCTGACAGCGCATGCTGTGCACGAGAAAATGAGCTCGGAGGAATATCATTTTCTATACTCTTTCCACAGCGCACTCTATGGCCCCATTGGGGGCAAGGACAAGCCGGTGTGCACTCCTGAGCGCCTGGACATGATCCACAGCCAATACAAAGAGCTCATGAAAGACGGGAAGACCACAATGCACGATTTGGACAGACATCCTATCCACGTCTCGCATTGGAGAGATAAGATGACTGGAACGTGGACCCTTAGCTTCCAGCGGAAACAATCTTTCGCCACCATAGAGCTCCACTATCGCGACATTATCTGCATTCGTTATCAAGGCGTACTGGAGATATCATCGGCCCGAGGCTTCCAGTTGGATGCAGCTCGTCCCTTCCAAAACGCATCGCACCGGAGGATTACGAAACTATGCTTCGCCTCCAATGCCGCTGCCTCTTCTATTTCGATGTTCGATTCTACACCGGAGATATCCTCAGGTGCTCCCTCAAAGCAATCACACCGTCCATTGAAGAAAGCATAAAAGCTTGGAACGACAGCGAGGTGCAAGGGCATTTAGAGAACTGGTTCCAACAGAGCGGCAAGAGAAGCCCTGAAGTCACAAAAATCGTCTGCTTCGGAGCTGGCAACATCGTCTCGCAACAGTCTCCAAAAGCTAAGCCCAAGCTTCGTCAAAGAGCCCTTATGCAGCACCTGGCGGCCTGCACCATTGCTACAGCCTTAGGAAAAGCGCAAGCTAGTAATCATCAGAATCCCAACAAAATCAAGATCTATGCCCAGGATCCGGAGTACACGCTCACCTGCGACGAGGTTCTGGCACATCTGGATCCTCCTATCGAGGTTGTGGACCTCACGACCGTCGACGGCATGAAACTCATTGATAGGAACACGTTCGTTCTTACGGATTACTCTTGCTCTCCCATAGTCGAAGCTGCAATCGATCTCGCACCTCCCGCCGGTATTTTAGGTCCCGAGATGACGGTCAATCCCGAGAGTGTTTGGGTGCGAGACAGACCAGCGGAGGAAAATTGGAGCGGGGACGCTACCCTGGGTGGGCTTCTGATCGAGAGTTCCAGTACCGCGGAGCCTGCCACCTATTGAATGTCGAACATCCTGTCTGGTTTGGCTTCAAGAGAGAGCCCTTGCGCTTGAAGACGAGATCGGTCTGGGCACCGGGTAACGCCGAGGATTCATTTGACGACGATGATGGGTCGATGGTTCCTACTGTGCTTATGCTGAGGAAAGAGTAGAAATCGGTGTATTTAATGTACCAAATGGTCCTGGTCCTCCTAGCTATGGCACTTTAATACATCTTCTGGACAATTCCCTAGGCCTTCGTGCAGGAGCGTAACTTCATATCAAATTAAGGTCCTGACCTCATGCCGCGCAAAGAAGGTTGATCAACCCGACATCCACTGAAAATGCAGAATTCTGATTAAACACCGCGCCCGCCTAGAATTTGGTGAAGTCAAGTCAGCCCGGGCAGCTGTGGCTCCGCTATTGGTGGGTTCTTGTCGAGCTGCAGCCACACGGCGAAGCCACTTTACACAAATGTGTCAACCCGAGTTTCCAGCCTCATTGAAGCTTTCGTCATTCTTTTACTGATATTCATGTGCGCGTTGTTTTTATTTGATTGTGGAACCGAACAGTGACCTACCAATACCACAAGGACCTGGCCGAATGGAGTGCACTGCGCTTGACGTGCACGACGCGGCTCCAGCCCCAAAAGCGAGAAAGAGGAAGAGACAGGACGAGGACAGCGACGATGGGAACGGCGAGGCCGCTACAGAGGAAGGGAACGCGCACCACGAAGCTGAAAAACCGGGATTACGATGTCCGTTCTACATGCGCACTCCGGGCGCGCATCGTCGAGACGCATGCCAGATTAAGTCGTACAAGACGATGGGGCGGCTCAAGTACGTCTCATGCTGCCGTCACAGCTCGAGTCGAACCTACTGTAGTAGTAGTACTAACCATGCTAAGACAGCATCTCGATCGCGTACACACTAAACCACTGCAATGCGACCGTTGCTGGCAAGATATGGAATCATTCGAAGCGTATGCAAAACACATCCAATCAGACCCGATCTGCACCAAGGCCAAGCAGCCCTCCGACGACGACCGCATTTGCAAGCAGAAACTGCGCCGCTTGAACCTCAACCAGACGCCCTTTTGCCAGGCGAAGAACGTGGAGGAAAAGTGGGCGATTTTGTACAAGCAGCTCTTTCCCGAAGAAGAGCATGTCCCTTTACCATGTAAGTAGAGCACAAGAAGTGACTTCACCCAAACATCAGGACGCGGTGGACTCATACTTTCTTAGATGGAGAAATGGCACCTAGCGCAGCCGAGGAGCGGTACTTTGCTCAAATCCTCGAGAAACAACTTCTAACAGACTTTGGCCACGTCATACGCCGCTTCCCGAAAACCTACATTCCCCGCGTCATCAAGAAATGCCGGCAGGAAGCTCGCAACGCCGTACAAAAGAAAGCTCGGAACGCCGACTCTATCATCTACAGCTACAGCGAATCATCCCCGTCGCATGACCTTGGTCTAACAGTCCAGCAAGAGCGCGCAAGCCCGGCGAATTTCCATTGTCAGCCTGCGGGCTCGCCTGGCGGAGCGCGGGTCGACGACGGCAGAACAACGCCACCACCACCCGCGATGCCGGGGTTGCCAAATGCGGATGCATGGGATTTCGGGGATTGGCCTGCAGAAGAAGGTCAGAACTTCTTCGACGATCAATGGGATATAAGCTTCGGGACCGAGGGAGGATGAGGGTCCCGGACTGCTTATCACATTGTTCGCGAAACATTCACACCTCGGTGCCCAGCCCGAGCGGAAGCAAGACGAGCTCGCCATATCAAGCGCTGCTAGGCCGGTCGACATCAAGTATACGTGCAACATCATCCGCCTTTCCCATCCGGTCGATTTGCGCGAGCACCTGCTGGATACGCCGTGCTCGTGCTGAAGAACGCTCGACTGCGTCCTCCAGATGCAGGAGGCAAGAAGCGTTGTCCGGCTCTTGAAGATATCGTTGGAGTGGCAGAGAGGCTTTGGCTGGACCGTCACGTCGGCAGCATGCCTTGTTTGTCTCGGTACTATTTCGAGTTAGTGGTCCGCTCGCTGTGGCATTATGTGACGTAGCGTACCTATGGCTCAATGGAGCTGGGTTCGCCTTCATTTGATAGTCTGGGACCGGAAGTCCCATGATTGAAGTTGGCTCTTGGGCAGAATCGGTTGGAAGCAGAGGCTGTGATTGGAAGGAAGGGAACTCTCAGTCTTCTAACTCCGACTGTCTTCGCATCACTGTCATGAGCTGCAAGAGCTGGGGCAAAGACCAGCGTCGCAGCTTATTTATATTAGGGTCGCTCTACACTCATTTTCGTTGCCTTAACATCTTTTGCACGACACTCAATGTGTATATAATCTATTGAGATCTTTGACACTGGTGGAACTTCGAATTGGAGGGTCGCGATTATGAGCATAGCACAACTGTGCTGTGTGGCGTTCATAATTCTCCGATTGGAGCTCCGACGCGTGGGGAGGATGTTCACCTGTATGCCGCAGCGTCCCTAACTCTGCTGTATTCGAACGCAGACTGGGGTGTCTAGAGGCGGGACGCGGCTATTTTAAGTTGCTGTGATCGGTCGAGGCTCACCCTGCCATTAATTATCTCGATTGTCTGCTTCTGTTTTCCTCCGTATCTACCTTGGTCAATCATCAAAAGCCATGTCTTCGGCTCTACCAATCGTCGTGCCAGGACTAGGCTGGACCGAGACGTTGGCATGTTCGAGGATGAGGCTGGAAGGATCAGCGGGCGAGGGGATGAAATAGGAAGAGCGCAGGGCTGAGAAGCCACTTCGTATTCTAGTCAGCGGCGACTAAGTCTATGGAAGCGCAATCAGCAGCTGGAGTGATTGGTGAAGGGGAAGTCAGCAAAAATGGAGTCTTGCGTCGATCGAAGAAGCCGTATCATTTCTCATCCAATGTGAAAGTATCCCTTGTCCAGCCAAACCACCTGTTCATCCTACGTCCCATTGCCTGAAACATAACTGGGTCGATTTTAGCAACCGGATGCGGCTTGTGGAAGACGATCTTGCCATCGGCGTTCTCGAAAATGACCATGGAGCCGCCACCGTTTCGTGCTGCAAAGCCTATGTCTGTCATTGCGCTGACAAACGTCTCCCAATCCATTGTTTTCAAGCGCTCTTCCGCAGTAGAGGGGAACATTGCACGGAATGTGATGAGGTTTTTCCGACTGACCGTTACCGTCTTGGGGGAAGGGGTGGCAGGAGACTCTTCAGAACCATTTCCTTGTTCTTCAGTGGTTTGAGTTGCCGCTTCGCCTCTTGTCTTGATCTTCTCTTTGACTTCTCTCGGGGCCACCTTAGCAGGTTCGTCGAAAGTGGTGGGAAGTGGAAGAAATATGTCAAAGTCCTTGGGTTGATTTGTCTTGTCGAGCTTGGATAGGACGTCTTCCCTTTTCCGTTCAAGCAGGCGAAGGTGCTCCGGGCTCTTCCACTTCTCCACCGGCTCGAGATTAGCCCACACATCCTCCGCGGGAAGTGGCGATTTTTCGTGTTGCAGTTTAATTTCATGATGCACCTTCTGCCAGAGAGCTCGCAGCTTCGTATGGACAGCATCAAAGCCATCAAGCCAAGCTTTGTCTTTCCCGCCACCAGGCAATGTTGTCTTGTAGAAGACTTGCAGAGCTTTGGCAGTGCCTACATGGCCGGGATTCGGGACCCGAGATTTGATGTTTCTCCACGCCCGTCGGTCATCGTGTGACGTGGCTTCGGTCAGTGTCCTGTTGCTGTTCCTCGGTCAAGAAAGCCGAATCGTTACGAGCATTTCCAAAATGACAGAGAAATCTGATAACTTCTCGTACAGCATTGCGTCCAACCTAGAGCGCTCTTCCTTTGACGACTTTGCGAGATGGTCATCGAGAAAGTCAAATAACATTGGGTAATCAAAGCGTGTCTGCGCGTCCGGTGGCCCTTGAAGCTGTACGAGGCACCAGTAGAGAGGGTCTTCGCTAAAATATGCATCTGTCACCTCCGGGAGACCCTTCTTCTTCTCGTACGTGATTTCGCTGCTGCTAATGCTCTTCGCCAGGGCTTCCACACTGAGGTAGGGAAGAAGATACGTTTTGCGAAGCTTGCGGGTCTCTCTCCAATGCGCGCCCGAGTACGAAAGCCGGGGGATGAAGAACTGTTCTTTACAAAGATCGGGGTCCGCCTGAAGCAGGAGTGCTGCCCGCTTTTGTTGGGTGCGCTTTTTCCATCTGGTTACGATTTGGTCTCCGCGTGAGCTGCACTGCTCCAGAAGGAAGGCGCGGTCCCGAGTGATTTGGGAAAGATGCTCCGCAATGATCGCTTTCGCCTCGCCATTTGAGATGCGTCCCTTATAAATGAATCTATCGTACCTCTGCTCCTCCTCTGAAAAGAAAGAGTCACCGCAATCCGCACACTCGCATGGCCGTGCGAACAGGGGCTCGTCCGTACGGAGGAAGAACGTGCGATCGCGCTGAAGAGCGGACTGAAAACTAGATGGGTAGTGCGCCGATGCCTGCATGCCTTCCGGCGGGGGCGGCTTGAAGTCGTCGTCGTCGTCCGGTCTTTCGCTGCGGTCGTCGTTCGTCAGGGGAGGTGCACGAACAGTGGCCACCGCTGTTCGGCACTGCAGTTCGTAAGGGCTCAACAGCAAGAGCTGGTCGTTCGTCGGGCTTGTGCGGGTCGGAGCATGCGGTGCGCAAGAGCTACAATTCGTCCAAGCAAATGCAGGCAAATCAAGGTTGGCAGCACACCCACAAGTAATTCTTCTGTGGCAGATGGAAGGGGTGGGCGGCGATGGGTTGGCACTGCCCCTAGCCAAACGCGCTAATGCGCGGCACGCCTGCGCGTCGCCAGATCACGTTTTTCCGGCCCTCCAGGGATTCTTACATAATTTAAAGGACCTTATCTGAAGGTTGTGGTTTAGTTGACAAGGAACTGCTTTCATGCTTGTTTGCGGTGCTTAACATGGCGCCTCTTCGTTCTCCCAAAGAGGTCAGAGAGCGGTCGTATCGGAACGTTTCCACAGGGCCTTAGGCTGATTGAGAATAGCGCGAGATTACTGCGAGTGTCATGTTATTGATGAAGCACTTACTAATAACTACTCTACTAGGTGATCATGGTCCTGGATGACCAGCCAATTCTCCCAGAATCTGAGCCCATCGAGTCCTTGCTCGCGACAGAGTGCGCCAGCCTCTTCAGCCATCTCCAGCTCCTCTGTAGCAACACCCACGCTCCAGCCAAACCGCTCTGCCGTCTCTTGCGCAGTGACTCCTCTCCCGTATGTCCGCCAGTCCCACGCGACCTCTGTCGCGGGAGATTCATTATGCATATCCCTGAGCCACGCTAGCAGACTTCCAATCGTCTTCTCGTCCGTTCGGTCACGACCTTGGACCACTAGCAGTCCACTCTTGAACTGCCGTAGCCGGACAGGTAGCTTGAGCTTGTCCCACATGCGTGCCGCCTTCTCGAAGTCGGCCGGGCTGACGAGTTCTACCCCGCCTCTTGCTCGGTTGAACACTGCCCAGAGGTCGACCAGCGTCATGATACCTCCTTCTCTCCTCAGGATGCCACGGGTGTCATCGGTCAGCCATTCGGCTAGATTCCTAGATAGCTCAGATACATATAATGACTCTGATCCCGATCCGAGCATGTCCTTGGTGGTGACAAGACCGAGCGCGGAGGCCGATTGGGAAGCTAGCGCGCTTGCTTCAGAGCTGCCATTTGAGCCCAGATTAGCCTGAGACGCAAACTGCTCGGCAAGAGCAATAATCTCCTTCGCGGACGTCATGAGAGCTTCGAGATCTTCGAATGCACTTCCAATCATAGCCTCGTTGTTCTTTCTCTGTTCAAGCCCCCTGCGCTCCAGACCGGCTATGCCTACCACCTTGTTGCGCTCGGGGTCGGAAGGGGTATCCGACATGGTGGAGTAACTATCGTCGAACGTGCTAGAAGGAGGACGTGGTTTGGGGATTGGCGGCGCGCTCTGCAGAAGCCACTTTCGCTGTACGAGCGCGTTCCTGAGGCGTTCGTAGAATATCTTCTCGCCACCGCCACGGAAGGAGAACTTGATGCACTCGATCGTCTCGTCTTGCAAAGGTGAATTGAGAGATGGTCCGGGCGAGTCGGCTCTTCCGATATCCTGCGCGAAGCCTAGCCGTCTATCTGCAGCAGGCACAAGCGAAGCTCCACACATCTCGCAGGTCGATAACGACGGGTGATTTTGGAATGTGCACCTCGGGCATGACAGTGACGACCCGAAGGCCCCACCCACCGCACTTGTAGATGCAAATAGCCCGTTCTTATCATCCTTTGGTGGCACCTGCGGGGTCGGCCGGTTCGCGATGGCGGCTATCGCTGCCTTGACGACATGCACCAAGGGCGGCTTTATCCCGCACGCCAAACACGGTGGTAACGGGGTGCGGGCGTTCGCGGTGGCAGGATCAAAGTTCGAGGGGACTGGGTTGGAGAAGGAGCATATTGGACACACCCACGTCGCGCTGAGAGGAGGTGCAGATGGTGGCGCTGGGCTGCCACGGCGTTCGGGGGTTATCGAGGTGTTGCCAGACGCTGCGGGCGGGCCGCGGGAGAGCCGCTTCGAGGGCTTGGGATAGAGGGTGATCTTTGCAGACGACTTGAGGAAGCCAGCCTAAGCTCGTCAGCCATATTCGGCGGGCACCTGGAGCCATGCATACGTAGAACTCAGGCTTCTCGACGTCCTTGAGGAAAATAGCTACCGAGTTCTTTCGCGGCTCGTTGTGGTCGACGTAGCAGGCGCGGTGGGAGGTCAGATAGGCCTGCCCGTTCTGGTACTGGGGGATCTTGAATTTGCTGCACGGGCGCGGTTAGCAGCGCAAGGCACGCAGGAGGGCAATCGAAGCGCACCCCTCATACAAGCCCACGGCATCCTGCACAAACAGCAGTGTCTCTTCCGGCAGGAGCGACGGGCGCAGCGCGGTCGTGAGGTCCAGCTGGTGCAGAAACATCCAGACGACGCATGGGGGAAGGAGAACTGACTTCCAGGCTTATCTCGACCGCACGCATCACGGGCGCAATTCACCAAGCACCGTCGTCATTAGCGCGGCCTGCGCACGCGCCAATTGGGCCTAGCGCCTGCTCGACTCCACGGCTCACCCACACTTCAGACTTCAGGCCCAGCCCGCCTCACCGCACATCCTGCAACCTTCCATCTCCTCGTCCCAACCTGCACCCGCTGTCCGCCCAAGACACGGCGCTCTCATCTCCCATTCACCTCTCCTGTCGTAGCCTGCTCACCTCACAGTCACTGCACCCTTGTCTCTTATGTCGTTCCCCACCTCCACCGTGGCGTGGTCTCAGTATCCCATGCAACCGCCCGCGTACACCTCAGTCCCCGCCCGCACAACTCTGCCCAGGCCCGCGCCTCCTCCGGTACGTCTTCGCACCGGTGCCAGGCGTGCATCGCAGTCTTCTAACACTTCACCGCAGCCAGCGACGCCCGCCCCGGCGACGCCGCAAAAGGTCGAGTGGTCGCCCGCCGTCCGCGCCTACGTCTCCCGAGCGTTCGATGCAGAAAATGCCATCGCCGGTATCTCGCAAGCGGAGATGACGGAAAAGCTTAGGGCCATCATCAGCTCCTTCGCGGAGCGAGACGCTCTCGACGCTGTCGACTGGCCGAATCATCCCCTGCCGCAGGAGATCCTCCGCGCCGAGCGAGCTGCCGCAAAGTCTCTGCACCCTCAAGTCTACCAACACAGCGCACTCATGACTTCTCCCAACGAGCTCGCTAACCCTCCCTTTGACACCCCTCAATCCAAGAAGCGCAAATCGCAGGACAAGGACGAGCTGCAGGCGCGCCCTGCAGAGGCATCGATCCCGCCCTGGCGAAGGACTAACCTAGAAGACCGCATCACCTACTCTAATGCACACAACGACAAGCGACACAAGAAGAACGCTCTCTTTGGCGACACCGCAAGTAAGTTAGACCAGGCCGACCTGGAGAAGCGCAAACAGCGCTTCCAACTCCCAAAATCCGGCAACAAGTCAACACCGCCCTGGAGCTCGCCGCGACACGACTCTGACTCAGACATGTCTACCGCCCCCGTCATTGGAACGAATCAGAGCCTCGAAAAGAGCTACTTCCGCCTGACAGCCCCGCCCAAGGCAGAGACCGTGCGCCCTCTGCACGTGCTTGAGAAGTCTCTTGCTATGCTCACGAAGAAGTGGAAGGCTGAGAAGAACTACAACTACATCTGCAATCAGTTCAAGTCCCTCCGTCAAGATCTTACTGTCCAGCACATCAAGAATGCCTTCACTGTGAAGGTCTACGAGATTCACGCCCGCGTCGCGCTGGAGAAGGGGGACTTGGGTGAGTATAACCAGTGCCAGACACAGCTGAAGGCGCTGTATTCGCAAAAGTTGGGAGGTAATCCGGCCGAGTTCACCGCGTATCGCATTCTCTATTTCGTGTATACGTGCAACAAGACCGACATGAACGATCTGTTGGCAGAATTAACCCCAGCAGACAAAACCCACCCGTGGATAAAGCATGCCCTTAACGTCCGTTCCGCGCTGGCTCTCGGCAACTACCACAAGTTCTTCAGGCTGTACCTAGACGCTCAGAACATGGGCGGCTACTTGATGGACATGTTCATCGAGCGCGAGCGACTGCATGCTCTCGCTAACATCTCTAGAGCGTACGTACCCACGCATTCCCACATTAACAAACATTCGTTAACCGGTCATAGATATACCAATGTTGCGCAGCGCTTCCTTACGGACGAGCTCGGCTTCGAGAACGACGATGCCTGCCGTGAATTCCTCGATTCCCATGGTGCGCAGCACATTATCGATGAGAAGGTGGACGAGCAGGGCGCACGGCAATTTCGTGTAAAAGTAAGAGAGGGCGCCGCCGTGTTTGAGAGCCTCCGCGCCGCCGCCTTCAGCAAAGTAGACATCAAAGGCCAGATATGAGCCGAGCCCCGACGATTCCGATACGACATGTTCTCCCCCAGTATCTCTTTCTCCCTTGGACAGCGCCCGTTCCTCTAATTTTCCTTGCGATACCCTGCGCCATTTTCCTACGTCACCAACAGCATTCTGCCCGCCCAGGCATCTCAAACAGCCATTACCCGGTATCACTGCTTCGTTTCCCCGATGTCAAGCGATCGGATGGCGGGGCTCCCGCTTTATGCAATGATGCGCGAAGCTTCTAGTTCGCTTTTCTCAGACGTTAGACGTCTCGGAACACTACTCTCGGTCGTACTCGGCATTCGAAGTGGAACCACTACTCGGTTTATATACGTCATCTCTCCAAATCTAGGCAGGGCTGGACAAGAGGGTGTTCGAAAACGAAAGGGGGGTTACCGTAGGGCTGGGTGCCCAAGACGAACGACATGGATGATGACAGATTCAACGCTCGGACTCTAGGGTTCCTTTGTCTCAAACGTGGGCGGAAGCGAAATGTCCGATAACGCACGTGGAAGCGGACGGACACCAGCATGACAGTTCGCACTCTCCCGTCATGGCAAGTATCGATCCGTAGGCGCATGCTGGCGTAACTGGGCGATGGCGCATTCCGGTAGCAGACGGTTTCCTTCCGGGCCCTACTCGACGGCAGGGTCGCATCGTGGGAATTTGACTGGGCGTTATGGGCGGTAACCTTGGAATGGTGTTTGTTTGTTCACGCGGGCATTTTCTTTGTGGTTGTCGTTGGAGGCGCCGAGGAGGGCCAATGAAGTGGGCAGGGTGGCATTGCTGCTTGCGATTCGCCGGGCTAGACTATCGCAACGGCGGTGCCATTCCACTTTGGAGCTTGAGGCGCAAGTAGCAAAGCCAGAAATATACTTGCAATTGGCTCGCAAATGTTTCTGCGAAATATAGTAGACGCGCTGTGCGTGGTGAGCGCGAGAGCGATATTCCGTGTGCGTTCCTATTTCTATTTCTGGGCGTGCGGAGCGAGCGAGGTGCGAGATGCGCCGGACAGGCAACGCCAGCGGAATGTCGTAGAAGACATGGGAAGACGCGGACTTGGAGGAGCTGAGCATGCGGACCACGGTGGGTGCGCTGGGTAAATGTCGAAGTAGCGGTGCCAATGCGTTGTGGACATGATTGCATGCAAAACGCTATGCTGGGCGGTGGGCAGACAGCGATAGTTTGTACAATTGTCCATTTTCAGCGGCCTCTATTGGCCCAGAAGGCATAATCCAGACGGATGAAGGCTGCAGACTACAGCGCCTGACGGACGGCGGACCTGCATTCGTGCCCAGCGTGCTAGTGTGGGCGGCGCTGGAGTGGAGGCCTGGCCTTTTGTGCATCAGCTCCACCGTTCGCGCTGTCCGCCGAGTTTTCCATTCCTCTGAGCCGTTCATTGTTGTCTGCGTGACGACAGCGCGCAGACGAGATTCCGCGACAAAGCCCTCCGCTGGTGCTGCGCCCCGGGGCCCTTGTGCCTTGTCCGATTGTTGTCGCAGCCACGCCGTCGGCGGAGTGCAGTGGCCAGGATCCCCGCCAGGTGCCAGCATAGAGCACTTTGCACTCGCCCTCATCCCTCGCGCCCTCCCACCACCACACCCGCTGCGACCACAGCTCTCGCGACAACGACGACGACGACGACGCGCCCGGCCGCTGCACGCCATCCACCCGCTGCCATCGATCGCGCGCCCGCACCGCCGCACGCCCCCTCGACGAACGAGCCACAGCTCATTTCGCGCCGCTCCCCACGCGGCCCAAGCACAGCACGCCAGCCGGCCGGTTTTCATCCTGGTCCACCCGCACATCATTCACCGCAATCAAACCGTCTTTTCACCACCTCGAGTGCGCCGAACAACACGCCCGCCGTCGCATAGCAACCCCCGCTGCCCACAATGAAGGTAGGCGCTGTCACCGCGCGTTTGCCACGCTCGCATTCCCCGCGAGTCAGGCCCGCGAGCAAACGCTAACCCGGTTGCAGTTCCGCAGGTCGATGAAGGGGGAGAAGGACAGCCGGCCACACCACATCTCCATCCCTCCCAAGGACGCCATCGCCATTGTGCCGCCGAAGAAGGTGCGTCGCCCCTGCTTTGACATCTCCATGCGTGCCCCGCCGCCTGCGCAGGCACGACGGCCGTGAGCAGCGCCGCTAACCCCAGCTCCCGCAGGTCATAAAAGCCCTCTACGACTACTCGGCGCCGGATCCGGACCCGAACTCGGGCTACCTCAGCTTCTCGCAGGGCGACTTCCTGCACGTCGTCGGCCGCGAAAACGACACCGACTGGTACGAGGCCTGCAATCCCCTACATGGCACGCGCGGACTCGTGCCCGTCACATACTTCGAGCCCGTAGGAAAGACGGTGCGGGACAGCGCAAGTTCTACCAAGTCTATGACCCCCAACCAGTCGACTGCCCCCCACGACTCTGGATACCAGGAGCGCGTCACTAGCCCCGGCAGCTTGGAGAACATCATGAGCTCCGGCCGCATGTCGAGGACAATGGGCCTGGGCAAGGGCGCAATGGTCTACGGCATCGTCATGTACGACTTCAAGGCGGAGCGCCCCGACGAGCTTGAGGCCAAGGAAGGAGAGGCCATCATAGTCATCGCCCAGTCCAATCCCGAGTGGTTCGTCGCAAAGCCCATCACACGACTCGGCGGCCCCGGCCTGATTCCAGTGTCCTTCATTGAGATCAGGGACATGACGACCGGACAGGCCGTAACCGACCCGCAAGAGGCAGTCCGACGAGCAGGCGTGCCCAAGGTTGAAGAATGGAAGAAGATGGCAGCTGACTACAAGAACGGAAGCATCCCGTTAGGCAAGCTCGAGACGAACTCGCAGCAAACCCTCCAACAGGGCATGGAGCGAATGAGCTTGGGCAGCCGGAGTCAGGCGAGCGGGGCAACCAACAGTGGATATGCCCAAGGCAAACCGGTGAGTTTTGCCTAATGAAATTTCCGCACATGTTCTGACCAGGGCATTGCAGGTCTCATCTCACTCACGAAGCACCTCGCTCGTCCAGAAACAATACCGTGCATCTGACTCAAACCTGCTTGCGCCGGTCAAGGCATGCGTGCCACGCTACTGCTTCGCAGATGACATTTTCTGGTTCATCATCGAATGCCAGATGGAGGATGGTCGGCACTGGGAGTTGCAGCGCCTATATCAGGACTTTTATGATCTACAGATCCAGCTAATCGCCACATATCCCGTCGAGGCTGGCACTAGCGGCTCGAGCGAGCGCACCCTGCCGTTCATGCCCGGCCCCGTCACTTACGTCACCGACAATATCTCTAACGGTCGCCGAGCTAACCTGGATGAATACATCAAGAATCTGCTCAAACTTGGGCCACACATAACGAATGGCGCTCTTGTCAAGGGCTTCTTTGCGCCCCGACAGGGCGACTACGAAATCGATCCCGATGTCGTCGCCGCAGAAGATTACCGCCTCTCGCAAACGTCCGGTCAGTCGTCGGATCCATCCCACGGAGCCTCGAGGCAGTCGTCTGCCGACCAGCTGCAGGCCACCACACCGCAGACGCCGTATTCAACCGGGTCGAACTTTCCCGGTCACCAGCGAGGCCATTCCATTGGCAGCCAGCAGCATGGTGGACTGAACCCGCCGCCAATGCAGCACCAGCACTCGGGTCTCTCGACCACGTCCGTCTCCACCAACACTGGCACCGGCTCCGCGCTTAAGATTAAGGTCTGGTTCGATGATAATTGCGTCGTCATCCGCATGCCTTTGTCGCTCAAGTACGTGGACCTCTACAACAAATTGAAAGAGCGCATGGCGATAGATAAGCCGGAGTTGAAGGATAAGGACCTCTATGTCGAGTACAAGGACGAGATCGAGAACCAATACTACCCCATCGAAAGCGATGAGGATCTAGCGATTGCGGTGGAGAGGAACCCGAAACTGACCCTGTCAGTCACTACTACTGCAAGGTAAGCGTTTTCTTTTCTCATGCAGGCTGCCAATCTACCAAACTGCCATTTGCTTCTTTTGGGGAATGTGGCTTTGCATCGTCGGGTTTATGATTGATGACGGATGGGGCCATGATTTGGGGGACTTCGAAGGCCTCTTTCGGAGGGCTTGGTTTGGTGGACTCTTTCGGCAGTTCTAGGGGATTGGTTGCGGTCTAGGCGGTTCCCGATACGAGGGTCGACTGGTCCCCGTCAGCACTTTTTTCACTTGATCGACATCACGACTTCATCGGCGTTTGCAAAATAGGAGGACGGCTCACGGACGGGCGTTTCGGGAGCATCATGGCGAACGGCACTTTCTCACCCCTTATTCCCCCGGAGTCGGTCTGTGTTACTGGTGTTTTCGTGGATTGGGCTGCAATGTGGTTGCTTATTCGGAAGAGGACGGTGGTTGCGATGTGGTTGCTTATTTGACGGAGGAGGATGAGATTTGCAAGCTGGATACATGGTACATGGTGGAAGCCGGAGAAATCATCTAATGCTGCAGATGGAGGTATATGTCGGCGGCGATTTCTGGGGTGGGCGTGATCCGTTGCAGCATTAGCAGAGCAATGACGGTATATCCCTCTCCGCCATGCGCATTGCGTGCGGCTTGACGAATACTAGCGTGTTTGTGTGCTTTCTTCATGTCTCGCGAGGTGGTATATTTGGACCGTAGGGAGTAAACAGCTTTTACCTGCTCAATGCATATTTGTTTCTATAGTGCCAGTATTCTGTACATTACCTGTGAGTGGCAGAGCCTACGCCTAAGCCAATCCACGACCTACTCCTACGCGCGGAGGAACATCTCGGATACTTTTTCCACTCATTCAATTAGGTATTCACAACTGATACTACTCATGAAGCCACCATCAGATTCATGGTGTTGATAACGCCTTGGATGCGATTGACCAATCACTGACCGGCTGCCTCGGTCCGCTTTCCTCCGACACCGGCGTTTAGCAAAGGCCGAAGCTGGCCTCTGCCTAAAGCTTTGGGGTGCGCGCCAGCCGTCAGCAACCGCTTTTCTGGCTCCACCTTCTTTAACCACGCCTTATTCACTTCTACGTGGCTCTTACACGTCCCGACGGGCTCATAACGCGTGTCAAGGCGATTTGGAACCGGAAGAAAGATTACATGCCGCACAGAAAGAGAGAGTTTATCAATCACAGGCGGAAGCTGCAATGGGGGAAGAAGGAAAAGTTGAAGAGAGGAAGAGGGTGAGTGGAGAGGCGCAGGAGAAGGATATAGAGATTCAGAGTGCTGCAGAGGAGAGAGAGCGCGCTTGGAGTACGCCGTCGTTGTCGACGCCGAAACTATCGTCTGTGATCCCTTCGATACCTAAGCCGAGTGTGGCTACCAAGACGGCGCCGATTGTTGGCGAAGAGGGCGGGGTCCGAACGTGGAAAACGGGCAAGCTAGGCTTGAGGGTAGGCGTCGATGCGCTGGCGGCTGGGGCAGCGGGAGTACTTGTTGCACCCATAATCACTATGATTGATAAGGGCATTATTGAGAACGCGAGTGGGAGGAACACTTTGGGTGAGAGCTTGAAGAACAGTACGAAGGAACTGCTGCTACGGCCGCATCGGTTTCTCATGAGCAGGCCGTTTGCGTTGATATTCGTACGTCCCAACTTCCCACCATCAAACTACCTTGCCAGCATTGTATATTGACGGATGAATGCGCATATAGACCCTCTACTTTGGAACCTACTTTACTGCAAACTCAATCGACACTGCATCCTCCACCATCCGTAACCGACGGGTAACAGAGACTACGGCGGGAACGTCAAAGTTCGTAGCAACGAGCACCGCGAATCTAGCCCTCTGCCTCTACAAAGACAACCGCTTCACGCAGCTCTTCGGCTCCAGCGCCTCCTCGCGCCCCGTTCCGCTTCCCACATTCGCGCTCTTCACAGTCCGCGACTGCTTGACCATCTTCGCGAGCTTTAACCTCCCGCCACTGCTTGCGCCGAGACTAGAACAGAAGATGGGCGAGGAATTAAAGAAGTATGTGAGCGCGGCGAGCGCGGCGCAGTTCTTGACGCCGGCGGCTGTGCAGTTGGTGAGCACGCCGCTGCATTTGCTCGGCTTGGATTTGTATAACAGGCAGGGCGTGAGGTGGCTGGGACAGGACAGCAGGACGGCGAGGGTCGCGCGCGACTGGGCCAAATCTTCCGTTGCTAGGATGGGAAGGATTATCCCTGCGTTTGGTGTGGGCGGGGTGGTTAATACAAAAGTGAGGAGGAACTTGATGGAGAGATTGGAGGGATAGAAGAGATGAGTGCAAGAGGGATCGAGGAATAACGACTGGGTGATTATGGCTTTAGGAGACGGTCTGGCATTTTAGCGTGTATTGTGGACTGGCTTACGACTCTCCCCCTTTAGTTTGGGGCTACTACGGCATTGTGAGCGTTATAGCGCTGGCACTCTTTATTGGAGTATTTTCTAGCTTCTTCGGCTTCGGCATTCTACTTTCCACCTCTTCTTCCATCAGGTCAGTCGATACCTATTCGTTACGAGGTTGGGCGTAATTTTCATACGAGTCCATGCCTTCTTTCCCATTTTCTGTCCTTTCCATCCATTCCATCCCTCTTCCTTGACCATCCCTCGTCAAATAACCCCAATCCGCAAACCCCCC